TCCTGGCCTGCCGGTGATGGGACGCCTCCTGAGCCACCGCCACCCTGCACCTGATTCATCAGCCAATAAGCGAGCATGCAAAGCATTGCAGACTGCAGGATATATCAAGATGGCATCTCCCCAGAGAATCAGTAGAGACAGGTGCAGCAACTAGGAGGGGTGCATTTTACCTGCAACTCGGGGGCTTTGATTTGGGCAATCTCCTGCTTGAGGGCCCCCGTGGACTGCCGCAGTTGTGCCAGCAGTCGAGCAGCCCTCCTATGCCACTCAAGCAGCTGCTTGGGCAACCTGCGCTCCTTTTTTCGCTGCCAAGCCATCGCCTGCACATGGACCAACATTGTCACTTCTCGCACCTACAGGGTTACAAACTGCAACATCGAGCAAGGCTACAAGAGCTTGCATCATATGAAAGGAGAACTCACCAGGTCCGTCATGTAGTCCTCCCGCGTGGCAGTCGCCATGCGCTTCAAGATGTGTGCAAATTTCCTGTAATGTGCCCAAGCCTGTTCAATGTTGTCACCAAAGGAGTTTCCTGCCGCTAGCATGCGGCGGGCGCCATACTTTTCTTGGCATGCCGGAATGTGAGCCTTCACATGCCACGGCCCCACTGCCAGGCCAGGCATACCCTCCACGTTTCCTTGAACCATCCTGCCAGCACAACACATCACCATTCAAAGGGGACGCTGCTGTGCACTCCGACGAATCCACACACTCATAGCATGACTAGTACTAGACACTAGGAGTGAAATTGTTCCATGCAATAATTGTACAGGGCACATCTTGACGTAAACGCCAGGCATGATGGACGAAAGATTATACCTTCGCCAATATGGGTCAAACTGGCAAGCAATGTCAATGAAGAAGTACTTCAGATCCTTGCCCTCCTCAGGCTTGAACTCCTTCAGCAGACGCTGCAGGAGCAACTCGTAGTAAACAAAGCACTCCGGTGTGAACAGGTTTGCCGCCACGAGAACATACCCGTGGCGGCAAACTGCTGCTGCCACGCCCTACGCACAAGCACATGCGGGAGTGTCAGACCGGCTCCAAAGCACCAGCACATCTTCTTGTTACACGCTTTCCTGCCAAGCAAGGTACATCCTGCAGAGCTGCAATTTAAGGCTGCCATAACCCTACCCCTTGTTGAACTCGCCAGATCCAAGCAAGACCCAATCAACCGTGGGCATGGTATTCAGTATTTTTACCACCTGAAGCAAGGCACGCTAGGGTGCTGCCAAGTATTACCCTTGCCAGCCGGGGCCAGGAAAAAAAGAGAAAAAAATCATGGATATATGAGATGCATGCCAACATCAGTAAGCGCAACAAGATCCCAGAAAAATGCGAGGAGACTCACTTGCACATATAGGCGCAGCTGCGTGTCTGAGGCGGTTGGCGTGGCAGCAACGAACTGAGAGCAGACCGGCCGCTCCAGCGCCGCCGGGTCCAAGGCCTTCCGTTGAGCGAGCAAGGCCTTCACCTCTTCATCAGCAATGAAGGGGCTATAGGGCAGCTTCGGCTGCAGGAAATCAGAGGCTTTGCCCGCCGCCCTGAGCTGCGTGAGTCCCAGGCAGGCGTCAGCAATGGCTGCCACGCAAGTGCGAAAGCAGCAAGGACACTGCACAGTGGGGCCCCCGGAGGCACGACTGTCCAGAGATTCCTGGGTCGCCGGGCCCACCTCAGCTGCATCTCTGCCAGTTTGAGCCGCGAGGCTGCCTGCTTCCATTTCTGGTGGCGATGACGACGCTGCTGCTTCCCTCTGAGTGTTCTCCTGGGGCGGCGGCGGCTGGCCGAGCTGCAAGTCTGAGTCACCGCTGAGCCCTGCCTCCGAACAGATGGGCTGCACGCCAAGCCTGTTGAGGTCATGTGTGGCGATGTCCATTCTGCGCCACTGTCTGACCGCCACTGGGAGGTTCCTCCAGATATTTTTGGGCAGGCCACTCAGTTGCCCGTACGGCACACAGCCGTTCCTGACGTGCACCTCCTCCAGGGCGCTAGTCCAGGCGACCATTGAGGTTGGGCTGGCGAGGCTGAGCTCATGCGTCTGCAACATGAGCGCTCCAGAGTAGTAAACCAGCGGCCTCTGTGGCGTTGCAGGAAAGCATCCCATGCTCACAGGATCGACTGTGAAGGCGGCACTGCACCCGCCACACCTGAATGCTGGGGGGCTGACCTCTGTCCTGCCGCTGATCGAGACATACACAAGCCTGCTGATCGTCTCCACCTGCTCCCACACTGATCCCACCCTCCCAGCCTGACTGCATGGACTGCAAGCGGGCAGGGCTGCTCTGGCAGCTGTCAAAAACTCTGCCTGCAGCTGCTGCTTCAGTGCTGCTTGGCGTGCAGGCTGACCAGCTTGGAAACATGTGTTCCTGAATACATTGTCATCAAAGCACGCATCCCATGCTTGGTGCAGCCGTCTATTATCCTCTTGAGCTGCCTGTTTCCGCAGACGCCGGCGTGAGGGCGGAGGCTGATAATAGGCAGCAGCGGCTTCTCCATCTCCATCTGCAAAGCCATCCTGCTGTTCTTCCTGCTGAGCTGTGTTTCTTGCAGGGATCCGCCAGGATGGAAGGGCGCTGGCCGGCCTCCGGGGTCCCCTCGGTGCAGATGTTGCCACAGTGCTGCCTAGGTTCCTCCCAAATCTGCGGCCTGGCTGCAGCAGAGCAGGAGTGTCGGCTGATGGTATCACCTTGACACTGACCCTCCACCTCTTGTTCCTGACCATTCGTCCTGCATGAAGTCATCACACAACGGTTTCTGCAAGTGATCCACCAGGACATTAAAGGAATGAGAAGTACATCAGCAGCATGCCTTCTAGTACAAGTGATACAACTATCCTTACAAGCACCTGGGCTACTTGCTACTCTTTGGGGTGCACAGTCCTCTCCAGATGCTCCTCATCAGATTGGCATTCCAAGCAAAGCCAGGTCAGGGCAGACACCCACGGCTACTCACAGCAGCAGAGGGATCGTAACGCTCACCAGAACAATTGAACTTGATGTTGGTTTAGATTGTAGACGACTTCAGTGTCTGTCCGGTGCATCAGTGCTCAATTCAGGTGAACGCTCTGTGTTGCCTGCACGCATTTCATTTCAAGGAATTGGCTTGGCAGGGCATGCAGTCACTACGAAAGAAGTAGACATGCACGTCGATGGTCGTGACATTCGATTAGCTGAGTCCAAACAAGTCAAGGATGGGGATGCCAAAAAACCGGCAAAAGTGCGAACCTCACATGGCCAGCGACAGAAGACTTCAAGAATTCGTTTAAATTACTCCCATAAACATTTGCGGCCGTCCCACCCCCCTTTCAAATCCTACTTTGCAACGGTAACCTGGCAAATGGCATTGCTGTCTTCGCAGAAACGAGTAGCGCACGATCCTATAGATACAGGCTTGACCGAAATAATTAGCTTGACGGAGGTACTATGCAATGCTGAGATTGTTGTAGGTAAATCTGAAGGATGTGCAGCATTGCTTTTGTTATTGCACGCCCCGAAGGGGCGTGCTCAGAAAGAGAGCCAAATCCACTAATGTAGTGGAGTGCATGTCCACTAAAGTAGTGGATTTTGCCCGACAGAGTAGGATGCACGAGAACCCACATCAACCAGCTGGCAACCTTACCGCGCTGGCCCCACACTTGGCCGCTCAGCAGACCAGGCCCCTTGGGTTGGTTGATATATTGAAGTATTGTCACCGCGGGCCCTGCTTTAGAGACAGCTCACGAGTAGAGACGCCACTGGAAGCCTGCCCAGGCCCATATGGAATCACTGTGCACTTTGCAACATGAACTTTGCAAGCAACCTTTTGGAGCTGAGAGCTCGAGACCCCTGAAGGCTTGCAGAGTGTCAGATAGCATGGGCTGGCCACAAGACCTTTCTAGGGGAATCACTACTGCCACTCAAGAGCTGAAGCAAATTTGCAGATTTTTCTTGAGAAAATTCTTTAAAGACGCAGGACTTCATGAAGCAGGAAGGCCTTCTCTTAGGATTTCATTTAGACAGTGTGCAGACCTTTGGTGCAACGGCAAGTGCGGCAATACTGCTGTCACAATGGTTGCATGCGTGCGCCGCAGCCGGGCCGGCCAAGTTTGCAGGCCTGCGCATCAAAGTGAACGTGCTTGGAATGCATGCAGCAGCCCGGTTTGTGGCGCAGTAGTTTAAGGACATCGTACACAAACACCCTCATGTTCAAAAAAAAATTACTGAGCATCGAAGGGCTTGAATGGGCTGATCAGAAAGAATGAGTCATCGAGAGAAACCAGCTTCCACGCTGGACGAAGGTGGAAGGCCTCTCAGTTTGGGGAATTGGACTTTACGATTCTCCACACCACATCAATACAACTATCGTGCACTATATCAGATCTATTGTGCACCACTTATCATCTCTCTTATCATCTGTTGCGCATTTCCAAGTAGGTCGCCTAAAGTAGAAGTTTCCTCTGACTGGTCTGGTTCACACGCTTCAGACTCAGGTGTTCGTCACTGCAAATATATAGCTATTCTCTGAGCGACGGACCTGGATAGGCTGTGGAGGTCTAATGGACGTGTTCGCGAGATCGTGTGGAAGGCTGTTGCGTCTGGGTGAGATGATCCAGCGGCTGCTGCTTCTCTGCAATTCAACACTTGATTTAATTGTGAGCTATGCATGCGTGAGCTATGCATGCCAACTAGGACCTCAATTTTGTCGTCTTTGCTGTGTAATAGAGTTGCCACAACCCCATCTCACCCACTAATATGCTGCAGGCTCTTTGCGATCCGTTTTGGATCCGTGCGCATGGCATCAAGCTCAACAGCTGCCTTCTCTTGCCACATTTCCACATATGCTGGAGGTGTGCGAGCAGACCCCTATAAAAAACCTAACAGACGCTGTCCTGCATATACTGACTTGTGAGCAAAGTGCACGCTTCCTGTTCCAGTTTCTGACTCCAATATGCCGTGCAACAGCTCAGAAGACTGGTCTCCTCACCAGCAAGCACCAGGAGTTTCTTTATTGGGAGCCAAAGGATGGACAGTGAACCTGCTGCAGCAGACCATCCTGCTGCCATGGTCAAGCTGTCAGACGCTGCTGTCAAGGTGAGGCTCTCTGGTGGTATGTTGTCTGCAGAGGAGAAGCATTTATCCGCGCCGGGCTTCACATTCTACACAGGGCTTTATGCAGTGACTCTGGCAGCACACTGTTTGCACATTTTCTTTGTGAAGTGACTCTATCAGGTCTGGATAGGCACTGACCATGGCAGTCCTTTGGTCTGCACAGAGGTTGCGGCATGTGCTAGAGACTGCGGCAAGCAAGGATGAGATCGCCCTGCGACTGACAGTGGAAGCGGGCGGGTGTTCAGGCTTCTCCTACAAGTAAGTGCCTGTATTCCCCCCTCAGCTCTGCCGCTGCAAGGCCTTGTCTTCATCTCCCCACAACATTGAACTTGCCAGCAACCCCCGAATGGTGTATCAACGTATTGTTTTGATCATTTGGATGCTCTAAGTAAATCTAATCAGCCCTAGGCGGCCGTATGCTGCTTAATCTTCCTTCCTGCCTTCAATGCATGTTGATGGAGCATTACAGCGTTCTGCAGTATCAGCTACGTGATACTTCAAGAACAGGAAACCCAAAGGATTTTGGAATGAACGAGGGAATAAGCTCCATCAGCATTTGGCAGTGGACATATATATATACTGTGGTGAAGTAAAGGATTGTCGTCATTATGATGTGCATGCGCAGGTTTGATTTAGGGTCAGGGCCCACAGAAGATGACTATGTTGTCGACTGTGACGGTCAGAAGCTGATAATTGACAGCGTGTCTCACGAATTTGTGAAGGGCGCCACAGTCGACTTTGCAGACGAGCTCATAAAGTCGACCTTCGAGGTACACAACTCTATGCCTGCATCTTGCCAATGTCTGAATATGTGAAATTTGTAGAGCGCAAGACTTGAACCCACAGCTTGTGTAGATTCAAGTGCAAGCTGTTGTTGAGGGTCGATTGGACACTGGCTGAGACATGGTTTGCATGGCTCCAGCTCCTGTGATAATAGTGAGACAAAAGTAGGTGCCCGCTTGATGCTGCTTGATGCTGGTGTGCAAATGCAGGTGGTAGACAACCCCAATGCTGGAGGCAAGTGTGGCTGCGGAAGCTCATTCACACCTAAGGACTTGTGATGATGTATGGCTTGCTAGAGGAGTCCTCATAGAGCTCTTGGATTTTTTATCCAGATGTCGTTTCGTGGCAACGTTGTTAAGAGGAATACCCAGATGTGTAGCTAGGTTGTGACAGGTCGCGTGCAATGATATGTTGACATCAGTAAGCTGTATCTCTGTGTGAGCAGATCTGATCAAGACCTTTAAATTAAACCTTATTAGATGCAACCGGAGTGGTTGGATGCAAACTTTAGTTTACAAAGCAGCGAACACGTGAGCATTCTCTGAACGTTTGTCACACTCTCTTTCGCATGCAGAAACAACCAATGGTATCAGTATGTTGTCCCCACATCCAATGCACCCCATTCGTGAATTTGAACACCTTGTCATCCCATTCCCATGCACACAGCTCAACTCCAGATCCTGCTGATCACGAGGAAATATGGAGGTCTCCGAGGCTGCTTAGCTGGGCCTTTGAGAACCTTCCCCTATATCTGGTGTCTGCAAAAACCACAACTCGAAGGGATTGATATATATATATATATATGCACCCCTATACTGACCCAAAAAGCTCATTCCTCCAAATCAAGCAATGACTGCTAAGGTGGCAGGTACCGCTAAGGGCAGCATGTGTCGCTGCATCCTTGCCACATAAATGAGCACCAGGACACATGCATGTACAATAAATATGCATTGACACATTTGTTCTGCGCAGCAAAACTGTCCAACACCACCGAAGCCTAAAGAGAGCACACATTCATAGAGTCCCATATAAGACCATCTTCTCTCTCATGCGTAGCAGTCCGTCAAATCACAGCGTCTTGGTGAGCACGAATAAAATGAGACAGGGCCAGCTTCTAGACAGAATGCAATGCTGCCTGATATGGCGCCCCTGTATGCATGATTTAAAAAGCAGAAGTAGCACTCCTAGAAACTGAGGCCTGGGCCCCTGCATAAGCAAGTTCACTGTCAGACTGACAGCTCTGTATGCAATCCACCCCCCACTTGCAGATCCCTCTGGGCCCATAGCCCAATCCCTGCCGCTGTCCCCTGCCTCACTCGTCTACTACAAACAAATGTATCTGCAATGCGGACAGGCAGGACATTTCAAACGCTATTCCATGAGGCCACGGCCTGCCATTTGCTGGCCTAAAATGTCTGTAAAAAGGCGAGGCCGCTGCCATGAAGTGCCTCTGATGCTCAAAATACAGATATTTTCTGGCGAGATCAGTCTATACACCGAGAAACAAGCCCAATGCTGGTTTCAGCACTGGCACTGTGCGGGCTTGCAATATCCTTGCCCCTTCTGTTAATGAAGAGGCGTATGTATGGATCATGCATCTGAGCTACGCACATTGTACTTGCTGCACCCTGAGCCACGAATAGCAGCTGTATGCAGGGAGTTTCTGAGCATGTTTGGTCCACAACCACTCCCTCGAGGCTCTGATCCCATCTTTTCTCTCCTGCTAATTTGGATACCGTTGCTCCTCTCATCAACCACATCTGCTCTCACTGAGGGACAAAGCCAGCTAAATGAATGCATGCTGCATGTCGCCAACTCACAGTCCTGCAGCACCACTACTTTGTGTCTGCCAACCCCAGAATTGAGAACATGCTGCCTCTGCCTCTGATTGCTGCTGCAGCCGACGGCGGCCACTTTGGCACCAGCAGACTTCCCCGGCTACTCACTGACGGCGCATTCTGAGGGCATGTAGTCTGCCACACACAGCAATGACCTGCTGCCTCTGCCTCTGGCCGTGCGCCAGCAATTGATGGCGGCTCTCCCGCCCCCAGGGGTGACCTGCCGCCTCTGCCTCCGGCCGCGCAACCGCAGCCGACCGCGACCGGGCCGAGACCGGTAGGCTTCCCAGCTACTCACTGCACCGCACTGCGCGCTGCAAGGGCATTTGGTCTGCCACCCACAGGCGTGAGCTGCTGCCTCTGGCCGTGCGGCCGCGGCCGGGGGCGGCTGGGCCGGGGCTGGGGAAATCAGTCGGCGAGGCCGGCAGAGACATCGAGCGGCGCGGGGACGTCGCCCTGGGCGGGGACGCAGGTGAAGTAGGAGGCCATGGCGCCTCGGAAGCGCTTGCAGTAGTCGCGCGGTGACTGAATCGTGGGCGCCTTGCGTGGATCCTGCCCCATCCCCACAGACTTGACCCACCGCTCCAAAGCCTTGTCCCACGTGTACTGCGCGCACAGGGACCGGATGCTCAGTATTGATACATTTTCATGCCCGAATTCCTGCATCCTGAGCCCACACTGCCTGGACGCTCTCTGTGAAGGCCTCCTTGGGCACTACCCAAGTGCTCTTTTCCGCCTCTGGTGAGAGGCACAGCTGTTTATTGCTTGTGTCGAGTAAATGAACGTATAAGCATGCAGGCATGCAGAGCCACAGAGGTATTGGGTTCATGCCGGGGGCCTTGCAAGGCAGCCATGTATAGATGATTCAGCAGCTGCATACTGTTGTCCTGCCAGACAGGGGAGAGCAGAAGACACAACGGTCCGCACCTGGCGCAGGAAGTCAATGATGCCGACGACGAGGGCGCCGTTGGGGGAGTCGACGCCCACGATCAGGGAGTAGTCCATGACGCCCTGCCCCGCCAGAAACGCCGTGTCCGCCCACAGCGCCTTCATCAACGCCGCATGCGCGCCCGACTCCACCTGACACGAAAGGTGAATCATCGCATCAGCTGCTGTATTCTGCAGGGTGCAGACGCAGCCAGGCCCCCCCCTGACAGCATGCAACTGGCTCACCAAAAACTCTATTCTGGCAGTCTTTGCCCAAGGAGCTCGCACAACATGTGCTGGCTGTGAACAGAATGAAAGGACAGTGCTGTAGGACACAGCTGCCATGCTGCTGTGTTACTGGAAGCAAGCAGGGCAAGTTGATGAGGGCTCCACCGTGCGGGTGTCCAGGGCTGATGATCTCAGGAAGAGAAACTGGCTCAATAGCACATCGATGGTGGAGTGTGTTTGTTGACGGACCATTGGCATGAAGGCTTTGTCAATGCAGAGAGTGGGGCGGCACCAGGAGGGGTGCGGACAGGATGGAGCGCTTGAGGTTTTCGTCGAGGAGGACGGTGGTGGGGTCGTTGGGGTCGTCCTTGCACCAGCGCGCGCGCTCGGAGCCCTTGAGGTCGTACACGGGCGACAGGGAACGCTCGTAGAACACGTTCTCCATCACCAGCAGGTCCATCGCCTTCTCCCGCTCCAGCCGCACCTGCGCGCCGAACACATCCCACCCTCAGTTCAATCTTGCATTTCTCTGAACCTCAAGGCTGCAGAGCACCTCTAAGAGGGGCAATCTTGCCTTCGCAGCAGGACAGCAGAAGGTGCCTCTCATGATAGTGGGAATGTGTTGATGCATGCATAAGCTTTTACGGACGGACAGAGGTGTTGGCAACCATATAAATACGGGGTGCAAAGATGCAGGTGACTCTTGATCGCCTTCATGCAGAGATGCACTGACTGACAGGCTGCTTCAGCATTGCCTTGTCAGCCCCCAGAAGGTTGCCCATAAAGTCTTGGGGCGCTGGCACTTCACAACATGAATTGCAGCACCTCACAATCTACTGGCATGTGTGATAGACAGCATAGTAAAGGACTGCCCAGAACTACAGCTGTCAATGGGCAATGAACTGCATGCATAATGACGGACCATGCTGCGCACAACAGAGCAGTAGCGCGCACCGTGAAGACGCCCATGATTTTGGCGAGGCAGGTGGGCTGCCGGTCGCGCGTTGCCCTGGCCAGGTGGGCAAAGTACTTGGGTGCGATCTCCTGGAAGGACTTGCGCTCCGCCAGGCTCAGCTGCTTCACGATGAACCGGTCGTCGCGCGTCTTAGCAAAGAACGAGTTGCTCTTGCCGCCGCGCGGCTCCCACCTGGCAGAAAAAGTAGGTCAGACACCCGACCGGGCTTGGCATCAACTCTTGCAACAGCTACCATACATTTTGCCAGCCACACATGGGAAACAATGGTCACAGGGTGGAAACTAAAGCATGCCGCAGCGAATGCGAATGCCACATGAAGATGGCAATTCCCACCGACAGGCAGGGGCATGATTATCAATGTTCCAAGCCAGAGGAGTAGTCACTCATGCATATAAGGAGAACGGATGCATGGCTCTGCATGGCTGCAATTCAGAGGGGTTGAAGCCCAGACACATGAGGTGCACCACCTGTGGCACCGGCTGAGGCTGGCACAGAAGGCGGCCTCGCCGCCGCAGTGACTCAGACACATGCGCCGCAGCTCTGCGAACTGGGCGGGGAACCACACGCTGATCTGCAGGGGGATGGACAACACGTCAAATCACGCGTTTCTTACGGCAATGCAATGCCCACTTGACAATGTAAGAATCTGCTGTCCATGGAGCACGCAAGGATGCACATGGGCAGTGAGGCGCACGGAGGGCAATGTCTATTTCAGAGGCTCCTTTCCGGGCACAAGCAAATGAGAACACTCACTGAGAGGCGAGCGCGCGAGCCGGGCATGTGGGGAGGGTCGTCCACAACAGTGTGGTCAAAGTGCGTGCGCCCCTGCCACGTCAGCACCCGCCACTCCGTGTCGCCGTTGCCGCCTGCTGTGGCTGCGGCTGCCTTGCCCGCCTTAGTACCCTCCGCTTGAGCTGCACGCACCCATGGACTTAGTATGCAGACTCTTCTGCATGAGCACTACATCCAGTACCTTCTAGATGAAAGTTGCAGAACAATTATGCTGAGGCCACAACACTGTAAACCTCCCAGCTCCCGCAGCTCCGTCAATAGGCACCATTTCGTCCAGAAAAACCCGAAAGCAAATTCCACTACTAGCCGTAGGCGAGCAGGTGAAGCTAGGGAAACACACGTGCGGAATTTGAGGCAGCCGGGGCCGCCGAGTCGGCGTCCGGGGCAGCGGCGCCGGGCGCGGCGGCCAACGCCGTTCCGTCCTCTCGTGCGCCGCCGGCAGCGGCCGCAGGCGTCTCGTCTTGCGCGGCGATGTCTCCGCTGCTGCCAGATCTGGCCTGGGCCGAGGCCAGCGCCAGCACTGCCGGGCCGCGCGGCTGCGGCGAACCGCTGAGGATGTGCGCTCGAAGGTCCCCCAGAAAATGGGCATACTCTCTGGAAAGGCACGGCCCACAGCCAAGGTCAGCAAGACTGGATCAGCAGAACTGTGGCACGCCAGCATGGACATTCAAAGTCACATTAGCAGTCGAGTTGAAGAACACAGATTAGCATCAGGATTCTAATGCAATCCAGGCGCATGATGTGGATAATTCTGGGTTGGAAATTGAAGAAAGAGCTCACCACTGTGCTGACGATTAATCCTACATCATTTACTTTGCTTGAGATACCAGGATCTACAAAACAATTTGTGCATGATGAACAATCTGTTCTCAGACTTCAAGTATGCAAGGAGATGATGCCTGCATGCTCCCAGCAAAGTTCCCTGGGTGCTACAATTTCTAAGTAATGCCTGACTTCAGAGATGTATTTAGCAGTGCAGTCTCTGCTGGCGGCGGTACAAGAGCAAAGACGAGAGTGAAGATGGGCACCTGGAAGAGAGAGCGTAGGCAACGAGTGAGGTGGGCTCATCGTCGCGCACAACAAGGATTCGGTCGTCCAACCCCGGCACAAGCAGCGAGCGCCCAACCAGGCGAATCTGCACCGCATCATGCTGAATCTTCAGGCAGGGCGCTGTAAGACTACATCATCATGCTACTACCATCTACCTCCATTCAAGCCAACAACTGAGTAGCTACAACTCACTGAATTGTTGCCAGCGTCTGCATGCATCCACTTGTTGGCAGAATGTTACATGTACCTTACCCGAAGCACCCTCCAACCTAACATCGAATAGGAAAGGCGAAGCAGCTAGACATTGATGCTGAGACTGCAGAGGACGAGCCCCACCTCCTGGCCGTTGGGCAGCAGGATGACCCCGGGCAGCTGCTGGGCCTTGCGGAGGACGGCCGGCGGCAGGCTCAGCTTGCTCAGCGCCTCCTCTGTCAGCAGCAGCGGCACCACAGAAGAGCTCCCCTGCGCAAGAGCCTGCATGCATGCACCGCGTACTCAGTAGCCATGAAGAACACACGGCCCTGATGCACTTGTCCTTCAGTGACTGTTATGACCAATCCCCTCAAGTGACGCCCGTGGCTCCATGGGATGTTTGGTGTTGGCATGGAGAGTGCATTTGCGCTGAGGAGTAAGAAGACTAGGGAAGTGGGGATGGGAGGGTGTACCGGAGAGGCAGGCCTTGAGAGGGCCATCTGCTCTGGCGTGGTCCCTCCTGCCCGCTGCTGGCTGGTGCTCATGACAGCCTGCACCAGCACAAGGCATCACTTACAACACCAATCATGCCAGTTCAGCAGCCCACGGGTTTGCAACTGCCCAGCTAGCGCAGCGCAAAGAGGAAAATGCCATGCCGATCAGGGATGAGGGCTAGATACCTCCGAAGCTGTCTGGGCTGAGCTGGCGGACTGCTTGGCAGCGCCCTCTGCCTGGGCAAGAGCGCGCTCTGCTTCGGCCAGAGTCTTCCAGGTGTCCCGGTTGAAGTGCAGCTGCACCTCTGAAGGCTCCCGTGCAAGCACCTGCTTCGCCTGCAGGTCACAAATAATGTGTGGTACAGGGTGCTCCGGGGTCCTTCAGCATATTGTATAACAGCCACCACCTTGGAGGGAGAGAGTGCGCACTTGCAGCCAATTGAAAATCTAGCAAAGATCAATTAGCGAGTATAGCAGATAGCAGTGAGTACAAAGACAAAATTAAGTACCTCATTTTACCTCCCTTTAGACCTCTCCATGACGCAATGGAGACTCCCACTGATGCAAGATGCAATTTTATTAGCAAAAGTGAGAGCAGCCAGCTCACCTCTGCATCTGCTTGGCGCTCGTCCGGTGTCTTCTCTGCAGATGCCCCGGGGGCGGCGCCGACCGCGTCGGCCGGCTCGGTAACGCGGGCGGCCCAGTCGCGCGTGCGCTCAAGCCGCTCCAGTATCCGCTCAGCCTGACTGCCCGAGCCCTTGAGCACCTGTAGACAGCCAGCACAGCTTTCAGAAGCTCCCCGGTACGTGTGAGATAGCTCAGTCCAGTCCTCATCAAGTTACAGTGCATGGCAGAGCCTGCAGGGCAGGCTTGCATGAGCTTGTACCCACATCCGCCCACATGTGCGGAGCCCATCAGGACTTCCAAGGTGAAATGACTGGCATTGCAGGATAGCAGACTTGCATGCTTGAAAGAGGGAGTTTGGGAGCAGGTTGTGACAAGGGTGTACAGCGCGTGGGTCGTTGCCGCCAAAGCCTTCGATGAGGCCGCGGGCTTTGGCGGCGCCGCCCGGGAACGGGTCAAGACCGCCGCGCTGGCCGGCCGGGGAGAGGATCGCCACAGGAGACAGCGCGCCGCCGGCACCCTTGGAGAGGTTGCTGCGCACATTGTCCAGATCGATGCTGGGCGTGCGCACAGGTGGCAGCACTCTGCTCTCAAGGCCCTGACGAACATCCACACGCAGCCCACATCAGAGGGCAGGCAGCTTGAGAATGCACACCTCACAGATTTGACAAGACAAGTCGTTGCATTATGAACAGAATTCAATTTCTATATTCTGCGCAAATATCTTGGCAGAAATTGTAGCAAGGTGGCACAAGGGCCACGGCGAAACATTCGCCAGTAATCCGGAAACGGTCACGAGCGCACATTTTCAGCGGTGGTGGCGCGCCGGGCATCGCCAAGGCGGCTGGGGTGGAGGGGTGTGCCGGAGGGCGACCCGGTGCTGGATCGGCTGCCCGGCGAGCGGCCACGCAGCGGACTACTGTGCCGGCGCGGCGGAGTGCGCAAGCCGGCGCTGCCGTCCTCGTCTGAGTTGTCCCCATCACCTTCGTCATGTTCGTCCTCGCTGCCCGAGTGCTCGTCCGAGTCCGAGTGGTGGTGCTGCGCCGGCGCGGCCGAGCGGCTGGCAGCCTCCTCCGGCAAGACGGCGGCCGGCGCACGGCCGCGCGGCCGGCGCTGTCGGTTCAGGAAGCGCAGCACAAGGTCGGTGGATCGGCCGCGCAGCTCCTGCCGTTGCCACGCTGGCATGCTGATGACGGGCTGCCGTGCCTCAAACATTGCCACATAGCGCGAGACGAGGCTGCCGGCTCCCTGCGGGAAGCGGTTGTGGTCGTCGGCTGCGGAGGCCGATGCGGTGCGTGGCGGCGGCCGCGGGTGCAGCGGCTCGGCGGCGGCGAGTGCCGCCTCCGCGGCGGCCACCGGCGCCTCGACGTTTCCCGGCGCGCTGAGCACGCTGTCGGCTCCGTCGCCCAGCAGGCTCAGCAGGCTCTCGCTGCGCACCGGGTGGCTCGTGGGGCTGCCGACGATGTCCTCCAGGCGCGGCATGGGAGGCGCGCTGTGCGCGCGCTCCCACACCGGCCCGCTCGAGCCCAGACTGGACAGCAGCAGGTGCCCCGCGTCGCCGTTCGCTGCCGCGCTTGAGGACGCACCCAGGCTGCTAGTTGCGCTGGTCTGCGCCGTGAGATGGCCACCGTTCGCTGCCGTCTCCGGCCGCTGCGCTTGCTTGCCCTCCTGCTTGCTGCCAGTCACCAAGCTGATGAGCTCCTTCAGCTCCTCGCTTGTATCCCGGTGAGCTGCTTGTGGCTGGGCGTCCTCTGACGCAGCAGCGGATGGCACGACGCCGGCTTTGTCGGTCGGCCCTGCTTCGGAGGGCTCAAAGGGCTGCGACGCCTGGGCCGCGGGTGCTCCAAATGGGTTGATGGGAGGGGTGCGCACGCCACTGGGGCTTCCAGGTGCGCTGGAGGCCGCTGCGGCGGCGGCCGCGTGCGCGATGAGCACTCGCAGGTTCAGGTCCTGCGTGAGCTCTGCGCCACCGGCGCTGCTGTTGCGGCTGTGGGTGGGCAGGGACGGGGCGGACGGCTGGGGTAGGCTCTGCATCCCAGGCACACAATAGGTCACATCCCATACTCAATGCTGATGACCATGTTTACAAGCCTATCTGACAGGGGTACCCCTAAGAGATCGCGATACAATTTCTGCAAGGAGAGAATGCGTGGTGACTCAAAAACCACATACAATTACAGCTTTCATACTGCACATTGCTCACTGTAGACAGAAACAATGGGGAGTCAAGAAGATGGGCTCAGCAAGAAGCACTGCGTCGCACCTGGGCAGATGATATCGAGTTGGCGGAGTTGGCTCTGGCCATGGTATGCGCGGGCAGGGACTGCGCCTGCCGCGGGGCGAATGTGCTGGGGTCGTGCAGGCAGGACGCCCACGTGAGCGCCATTATGGCCAGCGAGCGGCGAAGGCTGTTAATGCGCCAAATGGCCAGCACCAGCGTTTCGTTGCTCAACCCCTCCAGCAGATTCTCCTGCGAACAGGAATTCCCTCTCCGTAAGCTGCAGGCTCCCGCTTGGTCCAGACCAAATCATGCGCAACGTCTAGATATGAGCAAGGTCTGACTGATGGAAGCTGTTGGTACCATGGGCATTGAAAGCTCATCAAGGACGCAGGGAGCTTATTGGGGATACAGAAGGATGCAGGCATAGGAACTACATCTACGGACCTCATTGGCCTGCTTGCGCGGGGAGTCGGTGAGGGCGCCATTGGGGTGCGCCAGGGCGGCCGTATCGGCGCGGATCATGCTGCACACCTCCTGCACGTTGTCCGCCAGGCCCGACACTTCCGCCACGAGCGCGTCGCGCAACTGACTTGTCACCGACGGCGTCTCCGGCCTGCCGCCGGCGCAGCCGTCTTCCTCGGAGCCGGCAGCACCGCCGCCGGGCGCATCCGGGGAGCGGCTGACGGCGCCGGCAAAGGCGGTAGCTGCGGCCGGCCCGGGAATGCCAAGCGGCGCGGCCAGGGGCGGCTTGGCGGTTGGCGGCTGGGGCGGCTTTGGCTGCAGCGCAGGTGCATGCTGCGCGGCCTCCTGCTGCTGCTGCTGACGCTTTGCGCGTGCGGCCAGCTGCTCCTCTCGCTGCTTCAGCGCATTCTCGATTGCCGCAAATACCATGTTTGCCTCCTGCGCACACACAAATCCCATCACCCATCTCTCGAGACGTGCAGGCAAGTTCCACACCACGCTACCAACCTCAAGTACCCCATCTATCCGGGAAATGAAGTGCGACGGATAAGCGCAGCTTGCCTCGATGAGCTCCTCCACTTCGTCCTTGATCCAGCCCTGTTGTGCGGGGACGTAGTAGTGCATGTGCTGGGGCGGCATGTCTATATGCGCGGGCCCCACGCGCTCCCACAGAAAGCAGGCGACCGCGGAGCCGCGGCCGAAGTAGCGCGCATAGCCGGCGTGCAGCTCCCGCGGCCCGACCGACAGGTGGCGCGCGCCGAAGGACACCTCCAGGAAGTGCCCCAACGACATTGCCGCCGCGTCGCGCGACAGCGGCACCCGTCTCGCGGCGTCCAGGAGCTCCAGAGATGCCTGTTTCGGCACTAGGATGTTCAACTGCATTGCCTTCCAATAATGGGCAAAATTCGTGCACGGTCGGGCCCACAGCAGCTGCCCATTCAGCCGCGCAAGATATCAGAACACCTTCCTTTTGCAACGCTGAGACTGTGCTACAACAAACAAGTAAGAATTTGTGTTGAGGAGGGCTTCTTATGTGCTTTCTACGTCCTTCCAAGGTGCATAGATCCCATGACAGAAAACCGACAGCAATAAGCCAAAGGTTGCTCAAAGCCAATTGGGCACCATAAGCCTATTGCTGGGGACTTTCTGCCACGCTCTGTGTCTTCACAAGACCACATGTAAGACGAAAGGACAAGACGGACGCACCAAAAGTCCTCCCGAGCATGCTTGCACGCGAATGCCTCCAGCGGCTCTCAACACACCCGACACCAAAATCCATCACAAACAGGAGTCCATGAAAGCCTTGCCCACCTGGCGGGGTCGCAGCCAGAACCAGACTTGGTCGGTGTCGGCTCCGGGAAGCTCCTGGCCCTCAGGCAGTCGCGCTACGCGCAGCGTGAGCAGCCCGTCCCCATGCAGGTACGTGGTCACGTCCGTGCTGAGGCTGTGAGCCGATGCACCCGACAGAAACTGCGACAGCGCCTGATCTGTCCTCTGGTAGTAGTCAATGCGCTTCACCTGTACCACACACAAGCTAAGCCACTCAATGTACATTGCCCCTCCTGCTAGAGGCCTATTAGCGGGTGAAATTGCACTCTTGGCAAGCAACACATGCCCACAATGGTCTGCGCAAGGAAGTCTGAGCAAGGAAGATTTTGCAAATGCACAAACGGCTTGCTATGCATAGTACATTACCAGATGTTGAGGGATGACAGGTCATGAGACATACAGTGATGCCTCAAGATGCTTACGATGAATGTGTGCAAGGTGCGGCAGCAACTGGATACACCTTGCTTGTATGCATCCATCTGATCTGGCAAGTGCACGCACCTCGGGCGGCCGGGACATTTCTCCGCGCGGCTGGTTGCTCAGCGCTGTGGTGACATACAGCCGCTGGAGGCCCATCAACTCCCCTGCCTCTGCCCGCTGCTCCTCTGTAGACACTGCCTCCTCTGCACCTCCTGCAATACATGGCATGCCTGTTTCATTCAGCCAAGCCTTCACAATCTTCCTAATAAAGACTTTCTTGATGACTAATTAGAAACAGCGACCGCCCCCATCATATATACCCCTCTTGAAGAAGTGAAGTTAAGTGATGGAGCTGCCGCGACAACGCGACACAGTACTGCCCAATCTTGCCAGCGCAGCCCATCATATCATGACACTCGACAGACGAAGTATTGATGGGGCCGGTCAGGTCTCGAGCGGGGACAGCTGGAAGTTTACGGAGGTGACTGTCTTGCACTCAGCCCACACCTTGGCTGCTGGCGGCGTCATTCTCACGCAGAGAGTCCTCCTGCACGGAGGACAAGTGGCTGCGGGCTGAGCCCGGGACAGAATTCTGCCCAATCTGCGCTGTAGCACTAGCTGGGAGACCATTCCTGCGCACACACCCAATAACCCTCCAAAAAGGTTCCCAATATATTGCGGTGTTGGAATCTATGCTCACAGGAAGCTGATAGATGCGTAGAAAAAAATATATATGGGATTTGCAGCAAGCGCAGCAGTACCTGTCATGCCGGTCATTGGAGGGATCATCCTGATCAGGCTCTGCATCGTCTGACATGGCGTGCCCGTTCTCAAGCATGGAGCCCAACTGGTCGCCGCATGCGCCCACGGTAACATGCGGGGAGAGGGACACGAGCGGCCCCGCGCCTCGGTCCGCAGCAGTCCGTATGGCCGAGCGTTGCACCACACGCCGCGCATGCTCCTCCAATTCCTCAGCATTCGTCCCTGCGCAGACAAATTGCCATTCTGGCGTCAGCTGCCTTCCACTGACAGCAAACGGCGTTCCTTCATCTTGAGAATACAAAGGGTAGCGAAGTGGGTTTCAGCACCACAAGATTGCTCAACCTGGAAACTGCTGGCCACACTCATGTCTGCCAGCCAATAACATGGGAGGCCCTCATTGAAAGTCGCTCGTGGGTAATAAGGCTTCCAGACAAAGAGACATAGGGGGGTACAGATTATCCAGGAAGGCGCATGACACTACCTTGAAGGTCCCAAACAGAGTCGAGTCTGTCCAGTGCATCTGCCCTGCTCTGCTCTTCACTGTCCTGTTCCCGGAAGGGCGGGTGGGGCATAATCATCTGTGCGGATGACTGCTGCAGGGATGGTGCACCGCCGCTGTTCATTGGCTGCATCGCAGAGGAGACTGCCCGCGAGAAGAGCGGCTCTGCTGTCGGCGTGCGGCTGGGCGCTGAGCTGGCCATTAGCGATGACATCAGCGATGCGCTGCCTGCATGCACACCCACAAACGTCAAGAACTCAAAAACTTCATTTAGAACAGCTCACCACCAGATCTAGAACGACCAGAGAACCAACAGCACCAGAGGGAGCATCTCTCCAAGTAAAAGCAGCACGAAGGCAAAATTGCAGTGCAGCGCGGACTCACCAGAGTTGTTCTGCTGCTCGGCCTCTGAGGCGCATTCACTGCGTGCCCCTTCGGCCGGCGGCTGCACCGGCGTGCCGATGGATACACCCCCGTGGGGGTGTGACACCGACACGGATGATTGATTGGGAGCCACGCCGTTTGCGAGGGCCGCCTTGGTGGGGGAGGATGGCGCGCTCTGCTGGGGAGTGGCGGTCGAGGAAGCCGGCCGGCTGCCTTTGGGCGCCTTTTCAGGCGTCCCCAGCTTGGAGGAGCTGTGTGACTCGTCGGCGGTGGAAATGGCGGATGCGAGCTGATCTGCCAGGAAGGCCGTCTCCAGGCGGTTGCGGTATGCGGCGTACACTGCAAACTGCGACAGCACACGAATATAAATTTCAGCGCTTAGTGTTGTGTAAGTGAGCTCCACGTCCCTGTTTTTACTGCCCCAGCACAAGCACAAGCAGATGGCGCTCATAATCATGCATATCCAAGTGTCCATGAGAGCTCGAAGAAAATGTGCTGATGGCAGACAACATGATTTCCAGCGAGCGACAAACATGCAGCTCACAGCTTGGCACCCTGTAGCTCAGCGCCGTCTGGTCAATCCCACTATTGCAGCATTGCACAGGTTGTCGCAATGCCGACACAATGGAGAAGGACCGGACAGCGCTGCATTCAAGCCCACTCACGCACCCTGAGTTACTCAAGGCGATACACTGTAGACAGGATCGGATGTCCTGTGCTGAGCAAATCTGACGGGGGCAAACTGCACACCTGCATGACCTTCTTGACGGCGGCCAGGGCCTCGCGCGGGGCGCCCTTGAGCAGCACGGTGCAGCCGAGCGCGTTAGGACAGCCCTTGAAGAACATGAGCGTGCGCGCCGCCATCATCCCCTTGCCCGACTCGGACAGCTTCAGGCTGTTCTGGGGCGTGCCCAGCTCCCTCCCCGACACCCGCCCCAAAGATGTCCCCGGATAGCTCCCGCTCACCCGGTCCAACGCCCCAAACGCCGACGCGCCGCTCCTCGCATCCCCCTTGTAGCTTACCGATGTGCGATCCAGCGACGGGCCCCGCGGCACCGCCGGCGGCACGGCCAGGCCAGCCGCCGCGCCAGATTTGGCCGCATCCGGCTGCGCGGCAGCTTCCGCCTTGGCGCCGGCCCCGGAGCCTTCCGGCACGCTCGGCAGCTTCGCGCTGGCCTCCAGCGCCTGGCCGGATGCGCCTGAGGCGATGCTGTTGGAGGACGTGGCGCCGTTGAGGGTGCGCGGCGGAGCTGGGTATGTGTCCTCTACTGAGAACTCCTCGCACGTCGCCACGTTCTTTGCAGATGCGCTATCCACAGACGCCGCCACCTGCCGTCACAATTATAATTACTTTAACAATTTGGCATGCGTGCTTATCTTGACACCTTGCAGCAATCTCCTCTGTGCCTTGTGTCAGCCCTTTGTAGTGCTCACATCACCTCTGGCAATGTGCTCAACAGATTAGCTGGCGCAATGAGTAAAGAGCAACATGCAAGTTGTGCAGCACTCTGCGCAAAGATTCTTGCCCCAAGAATCTTTGCTCCCCAGCTCTGATCGAGGCAAGCACCTCTGCGCCGGTGCAGCGGGAGAGGAAGTCGAGGACGGAGCGCTTCAGGTTGAGGGCGAGGGAGATGCCCCGGTCGAGTAGCTGGTCCTGCGCAGTGCGCGCCACGCTGCGCTCCACCAGCACAATGTCCGGCTGCAGCGCCACCAGCTTGTCCACCTGATCCTGCAGGTTCTCCTCCTCCTGCACAGGCAACGCCCCAGCAGAACATGTCAGCAACCATTAATTTGATTCTTGCATTGCAAGTCAGGACACTGACTTGCCAACTGGGACATGACTTGAATGAGCGCACTCGGGGTACGGATTCCATCAGGGAGCTGTATCCGTAATGTACACATGACGCTCAAACCATCAGACATGCACAGATATCAGCATGAGTGCACGCCAAGGAGGCTTGTCAGGGCTGCATAGCTGTCAGTGCTGGCCTACATTGAACCTCACAGCACAGGTGTCGCCGTGACAAGCCTTGCTGGCTGCCTTAACTGATGGTGTCTGAGCCTGCATGCTGTGCATGGAGCACAACAATCACGAAACCCACACCGGCGCAATTGCAGGGAGTCATTGGCGCTCACCTGCTGCTTGGTGACGGACTCGAGGGAGGCGAGCCGCGACTGGGTGCGATTGAACTCCACACTGCCGCCGATGAGGAGGATTTTGGCGTTCTCGATGCGCCGCCGCATGCGCTTGTGGGCAATGTTCTTGCGACACACCACGCCGTTCACAATGCTGCTGTCCCCAGGCGTTCCCACCCCCGCCACCTTCTTCACCTGTGCAGGTAAATTATGCCAAGCAGGTTGCTAATTGACCGCATTTTGTAGGATGCATGCATTGCTCAAACAAGCACTTCTGTGCTGAAGGAAATTGTTTCAATGCAGGGATAGCAACCGCGTAAGAAGGCGAATCAAGGGTGAGATGGCAAAGTTCTAAAGTCTTTAGAAGGAGACAAGCCCAGTTCAAAGTCTTGCCAGAGCAATGGCATGCAAGCGTTCCAGCGCTGCACACCTTGATATAAAAGCGGGGGTCCAAATTGCCATGCGCAACTGCCAGGCCTGGCGACAGCTTGGCGACAGCCTCCTCTGCGAGGTGGGACAGTATGGGGCCCCACACGGCTGCATCAGAGACTCCATATGCCAGCAGCAGCTGGTCCACTGTGGCCGCCAACTGCTGCTCTGCCACCTCTGTGAATGGCCCCCTTCAAAATCATCATGATTAAGTTTCAGGAACGGAAGGTATGAAGTACTGTATAATGCATGCAACTGTGCACCATGCAAAGAGGTGTTTGGCATAGATGTTTTCTGCGTGACTCTGTCTCAGTGTCCTCAAGGAGGTCTGGGTTGACCGACCTCAAGTTGCATGCTCTATGGAAATGCTACCATGATGAACACATAATTTACCTGATGATTGTCGCCACGGGGTGTTCGTCATGCATGGGTGGCTCTCCCTCATCCTCCGCGTCAAACAGTGCCTGCAAGGTATTCCAAGAGGACCCATTCAGAGTCGAAATATGCATTTGCAAGGAAAGCCATCATGCTTGTGCTGTGAGATGTATAGAATCCTGCTCAATCTGACTGTTGAAATTCCCTTCCTCACTCGTGGACATCGCCTCGACGGAAAGCAACGTGAGAAATGGGGTCTTACAGCAGGGATCTCTAGAAGAGGTGCAGTCTGCAAGGTGACCGCAGGCTCCTGAGGGCTTCGCAGGGCTCCAAGCACCGACCCCTGCAGCATTGGGAGGGCAGTGCTCGATCTCGGAATGCGCGGTATTGAAAGTGTTGATGGATCACTTGCAATCTACCTACCAGGCCTTTTATAAGCATTAGCAACACTAACACAGACGCAGCAACAACCATGCATAGCTATCTTAAGGACTTACCTCCGCAGGAGGAGCCGTGGCAGGAGCACTGGTGCTCTTTGCCGAAAGCATATCAACAGGTTGGCCTTGGAAGGTGCGTCTCACGCTTCGTGGCTGCACATCCAGATCTGATTACAGTGCATTGCGGCACCACTGGGCCTCTTCGATATAATCAGACTCTGCAGCTATCTGTCGACACAAAGTGCTCGCGTACTAGCGAAGCCAGCGATCTACAAGGACCACGATACTTCCTTGCTCGATGTCTAGACACTACCAGCAAGAATGCTCATGCTCTGCTGCCACAACTTTATGGCACCACCGTGTAGTCGCTAGATACAACCTTGTTGGAATGCATGCAGTGAATGTCTGCCTAGCAGTGCGAACTGGCCATAATCAATGTCGAGTCAGCGTTATCATAAAAACTCCTGATAAGAACGAACATGCGATCCAAGCGTGAGGTCACGCATCCCTCTTGACATCTAAACCCATCTGACTGAGTTCGTAGCTTGTTCTGATGTTGCTTACTTGTACGAAGCAGCTTCCCAGTTCTGACTGGATGGATAGGTTTCGAAAGGGTGACTATTGTGTTGATAAGCCCTGCTGGGGTCGATGGAATTGATAACAACTGGACAGGTGCAAACCGTTGGCAGACAGCCCCAGCAAATCTGCGTTGCATGGGGCGCTTCGTGAGAGAAAAAGATCACAATCACGAAGAATTGATGTTGAGAAGATAGTAGGCGACGTATTAACCCGGTACATACGGAGCGCTAGCCGTTCCATAAAAAAGTAACAATGGCTGAGGGCATCCACGCGTCCCCCTTCGCCTTTGAGAAGGAGAACCTCGGCCAGACGCCAACGAAAATAGACGCAGCTGGCAAAGCTCCGGGCTCGGTGAGTGCGAGCAGCAGACAAATTTTCAGGGGGACGTCCATGCGTGGAATTCCCGCCAGCTTCATTGGGGATTTATTAAAACCTGGTGCCATTGGGCACGTTCATTTGCTCCATACTACTGTGTTAGTTTATTTTTGTATCCTGCTTTGCAGCGTCCAGGTTGTGTAGATCCTCTCACCTAAGTAAAGAATGTGCTGGCACCAACAGATTCTGAAGCGTGAGAGGGCCGTGCTGGGAGATCTGGCGCCGGTGTCTAAACACACATCAACAAAGAGACAGAAGAAGGGGAGCAGGCTGGCCAACAGGCGTGTCAGCTTCGCACCGGATGACCAGCTCAAGACCATGCACCTGTACACAAAGGTCTGCACTGTGCCCCCTGGGATACATCACCGCGTGTCGAATTCATAAGGTATTCCAGAACAATGTGCCAAGAAGCAATGCCAAAAAGAAGCATGCCGATGCTCAGGACGATGAGAGGCAGGCTACACCAGAGAAGGCTCACGTGCCAGAGCCTGATCACCAGCCCTTCCCAGAGCAGGACCTGACAGATGGCATGGGGAACACTTCGATGCCTGTCTACGGGCTGGACAGCTGGAACCAGGAATTGCAGGCTCTGAGCCCGCTGGATAGCTTTGCCAGCCCCTCAGCTGTCTCCATGGAGCTCACAGACATCAGCCAGGAGTATGACTACGCGCAGAACGACGACCTCAGCCACAACCTGACCGGAGAATCCGTGGACAGAACCAAAGGCATGCCAGAAACCATCTCTGTGAATTCCCTTCGTGGGCTTTACACATTTGCCTGAGGATCAGTGCGAAGGCTTCCGCCAGGACGCCCACATGGGGCAAATTGGAACAAATGACGGTCATTCTTCTTGCGGGAGAGCATTGTTGTTGAGGAGGGCTTTGAACATGTCTGAATGCATGGGTGCATGTGGCATGCCAGGTGGCATAACTGAGGGCGTGCCTGGGCTTGCGGAGCTGGTGGAAGCTGATGCAGCAGAGGACGAGTACCTGAGCAGGCTGCACAGGGGCATGGGGCACGCCCCTGCACTGACGCCCCTCACAGAGGAGACTGAGGCCGACCTGCGCTCCAGCTCCTACATTAGAGGAGCCTCCACCACTGGTCTGCAGTCCACGCTTGGCCAAGGTGAAGACCACATCTGCCTGAAGGAAGATTTTTCACTCTTTTGCACCGTGATGGCCATCAGCCCAGACGTGCGCAATGGGGCCATGAAGATTATATTCAGAGTGAATAGCTCCAGTTGCAGATCGCGGAGCTGCTTCATGCTGAAGCTGCTTTCACTGAAGCCAAAACAAAGCAGAATGTGCTCACCAACCCTGGCTAGAGATTGTGTATCTCATTGGATCCTGAGGGGCCAGCTTGACCTGCTAAATATGAAGGCATCTAATAGGAGATTCCAGGGTGCAACGGCAGGCCTGGCTGGGGCACTCAGACTTTTGAGCAGTGTAGGATACTAATTGGGCTGTAATATTCATCGCATGCGGTGGTGACGCTGTGCAGTGATATTCCACATGGTCGTGTCAACTTGAATGCTTGCTGTGCTGCAAGGGTCATCATGGCTGGTTCAGGAGACTTTTAACGAGACAAACAGGGGTCCTTTGGCACTATACATCTCCAGGGTGACTCATTGCCTGTGACTGTCCAGGCGAGCGGGACCGCATGTCATCCTCCTTTGCGCCGCGCGCGGACGAGACGGAAGACATGTCGCTCAACAGCGTCAGCGGTGCGGCGGGAGCCGAGGACGGCGGCACGACCGTGCACAGCACGGGGGCGTTCTCATCCCTGGGATACACCAAGGTCAGTATTCCTGCTGGAGTTTCTGCAACTCTACCAATGCCTTTATTCTAGCTAGCTTGATAATGTTATCCACCAGACCCTTAACACCGGCATTCCACAGAGTGGGGCAAAATGTCAAAATAGGGGTGGCTAATTGCTTGCTTGCCCGCAGTGGCTTCTGTTCTGATACGCAGGTGTGCAATGTGCATTGCTGAAGCTTTTTGCCATCCCCACATTGCATCTGAACAAGATCAATGCTGTATTTCAGGTTTTGGAGGGCGGCGTGCATCCGGCATGGGGCGTTGCCGCTAATGACACCGGTCTGCTTGGGCCAGTAGCTGCCGGCGCGCTCGACAGCCCCGGGGCCGGCTTTGGTGGCGCGGCTGCCCGGCCGGGCGGCGCAGCCGTGCCCGGCGGGCAACAGGTCAACAAGTGGGGCTTTGTGCCGGGGGACGAGGACACCACTGACCTGGACCTGGAAAGGAATGGTGAGCAGCTACTTTTCTGACAGTCCCCAGATGCAAGTGGTACAATCTGGTGGAACGTGTCAAATCCTTTGGGGTGCTGTATGACCAAGTACACTTGTCATGAGGTGAGCGACACACATGAGGAGTGTAAACTCTGCCGAAAGACAACCTTCCATCACAGACCATAATATTGTCAGTGATGTCAAGCAGATGCTGTTTCAGAGGCCTTGGTTGTTTCAGTGAAGCTGGCATTAACATGCCATGCCTGGGTATCGATGCAGGTCTGGCAGTTATGGGAGACTTGACCTATCGTCACGTCTTTGGCGGCAATGACACGACTGGGGAGGTCACAAACAGGCAGCTCCCCGCCAATGACACGACCGATGACTCGCTCTTTGTTCAGCTGCAGAGCCATGCAGTGCAGGAGACAGAGCACGCTGTCGACACACGGCCCCTGGAAGATGCAACAAACGCCAGGTGCAAAACTCGACTTTCATCAAATGTGCAGAAATTTCATGTCTTTTGCCTCACACTTTCAGCTCTGCATGTCTGCAAGGCCCCAGCTGGCCGGGGGCGAAAAAGTAATTGAGCACCGTGCCCATGGTTGCTTGCTCGGATTGGCAAGTCCATTAAGGGGCTGGATATGTGGCAGCCTTAACCTGCAGCTAGTTTGCAGACGTCACTTACCTCTGGCAGGAAGAGCGCGCAGTGAATTATCATAATGATAACGTATGCAAGGTGTCCACGATGTGCGGACAATAGATAAAACTGTGCATGAGTTCTGCAGCGGATATGGCCAAGAGGAGGAGGCAATGGAAGCTCCCGGGTATGCGCTGCCGGTCTTCGAGGATGCGCCGGCAAGCCCGATGCAAGCGCCGTCCCCTGTCGAGCCGGCTGAGGCCCCGCAAGAGGAGTCCGGTGAAGGGTTTGGGGCACATGCAGGTCAGCCCACAGGCACATCAGCATGTGACTTTTGATGATTTACTCTGAAAGCATTGCTGCAGGAAGGTGCTTGTGCACTGCACAGGCATGCATGCACCCATGCATGCCAAGATCTTGGTCAGGAGTCAAATGTCATGGGCATCCATGCTTTGCGACCAGGCATTGGTGTCTGTCCTAAGCATGCACACTCCAATGTACTCTCATCAGTATGATGAGGTGCCTCTCTCAAGATGGCTGGCTGCAGTGTGTTTGCTGCAATCAAGTAATGTATGCAGCGGACAGGCCAGCATTTGATTTAAGTATGAATCTTGAATTTCGCAGGCTTTGGCAGCACGGTGCGCAGGCGCCGCTCCAGTATTGCAGACCTGACCGGGCGCTTACTAATCGATGACATGGACGATGAGAGCGCCCCCCTGGCGGCCGCGCCCCCCAACTCCCCGCTCAACGACAGCTCGGGCGCCAAGGGCACAGGTGCTTTGAGCAGCGCATGTGCTTCAAAGTAATCAAGCACTTATATTGCCTATGTGATGTTTAGGATGCTGGTATGTACACACTGCTCATGTCTAATCATGCTCCTTGTCGGGAGTGGGACCTTACCAGCGAAGAATGCGACAGCAATTCTTTCCACCTTAACCTCTTGCAATCCTGCAGCATCTTGTGGCCCCCTGTATGCATGTTCATGCCAGAAAGAGCCATTAAAACAGTATTCGCTGTCCTTTTACGAAATGCTGCTGAAACAGGCAAGGACATGACTACCGGGCTGCTGCTGGAGGACATTACTCCGCCGGCCGATGGCGCGGATGACGGCCCTCTCGGCGAGCTGCGCCGCCGCCTCACCCTGCTGCAGGGGCCACAGGCGCGCCCCCTGCCCTCCGCTCCACTCATTGTTACGCACAACATGCATTCTTCTGGTCCATGGCGCTTCTCTGCCCCAACTACAGTTTCCCAGGTCGGCACGATGGCTCTTAAAACAGTGTGTCTATTCTTGCATGATGTCGGTGAGCAGTGTCAAGTTGCACCTATATGTTGTTTGTAAGGCAGAGGAGAAGAACCAGTTCATGTGCGCTTGGGGCTAGGTGCACTCCCCCCGCACATGCCATAGCATGCCAGCATGTGCTTTGCTATTTTCCGGTGACCAAGAGATTGTGGGATGTGTGGTGCAGAAGCCGATGGAAACGAGCGAATTCGGACGCCAGGACAGCAGCGGGCCGCACACGCTGGGCATGCTGCACGCATCCACCACGCAGCTGCTGGCCACGCGCTCGCATCTGCCGGCAGCCGCCGCGCATGTGCCAGCACCTGCCGCCGCCGCCATGCTGGCGGACCTGACGGCCACCTCGGCCGTCGCCGAGTGGGCGCCAGCCGCCGCCGATGACAATGACATCAGCGGTGACGCGGGCGCTGAGCTGGAGATGACACCTCCCCCGCGCACCCCTGCCGCACAGCCGCAGGTGCGCGTTTGTTGCGTGGCGAAATAAATGGTTGCTAGTGTGAAGTCAGGATTCAGCCTTGATCTTTCTTTCTTGCAAAATCATGCATTTGGACAGTTCAAACCTGTCTGCATCAGGGAGGTCTCCTACAGCTGCAGTCAGCAGTTAACGTGTGTGTGGCTTTCCCACTGTTGCCAATAAGTAACTAGAAAGGAGCTTCAAAGCTGTGGATACAGGCCCTTGAGAGTGAATATGTGGTGCGACAGGTGGACATGCAAGCAGAGGCAGGCAGGGAGGCAACTCAGGGAGGGAACAGCCCCGACCTGCTGGCAGACCAGTCACTGGATGACCTGGAGGTCCCCTCGGAGCTGCCCTCCCAGTGGGGCCCCGCGCTCGTCGGTGGCGAGACCCCCCTGCGCAGCCTCTTGCCCGGTGAGCCACGCGTGCCTGCTCCATACCCCTCGGGAATTTCAAGTCAACTCTCAGGATAGGGATCCTTCTGTGCCTCTGCCTGGGCTGTAACTTGGCCATTTAGTGGCACACAACGTCAGAAACACCCTGGGTGACAGGGTCCAACACCTGCGTCCTGAAGAGAAGTTCGCCGACTAGCTTACTGCTATGTGCACTTGGGTTCTGTCAGCAGCAGATGGGCAGATGCAGTCGCACACAGCACAAGCCATTGAGGAGCAAATTCACCTACTTTGTATCCATTGTTCATGATGCATGTGATTGCATCGCAGGTGGGCCGCTGCTGGCGCGCACGCCGCCGCCGTCCTTCCACGGCCGCCAGGGGTCCGCGATGAAAATCAGCGTGCGCCCCACTCCAATGCGTGCGCTGCCCTCGCCATCTCCCTCGCCCTCCCCGGTGCCTGCCGCGTCCCAGGTGGTGAGTCATCGCGCCCTTCTCACTAGGAAGAGCAATGCCTTGAAGAAGGCATGGTTCACCAGATGGAAAACGCCTACGGAATACTGGGACAACCCAGAAGCAAACACCTCCACCCTCAGCATTGACCGAACAGGAGCAGCATTGACATTTTCCACAGCAGCAGTCGATCTTTTTATTCTCTCACAAATTGCCAATTCATTGCACCCAACAATAAACCTTGGGATGCTGCTCATGGGTTCGACTCAGCCAGCAAGGAGCTTTCCTTGCGTGTAATGCCCAACAATCCCTGATTTTATTAGCTGTGTGATATCTTTAGGAGCCAAATTGGTAATCCAGACCGCTGATCCGCGAGCGCCAATTGGTGCAGTCGTACCCGATGCCTGAGGTGGACACGAGGGAGCTGGACAGGATTCCTGGAGGGCCCAAGCTGGCTCGCACCCCAATCGGTAGCGTGCACAGCAGGGCGCCCTCTCCCCGGCAGCTGCCGCCCAGCCCCCAGCTGCAGGACCACACCATGTCTCCCATGCAGCAGGTGCCCAAAGTCCCACCATTTCCCGTCTGCTTACTGTAGTGCTCATTCTGAAACCTGCAGAAAGTAATTGTGTTTGGGGTGGTTTCATAATAGGTTTTTGAGGTGCGGCTGCGGAATTATATAATATTGATTAACATTCACCCTGGAACAGTGTATTGAGTGACCTGTCTCAATAGCTGTCCTCAGATCAGAGCGTTTTGACAGAAGGTCATCAAGCACATTGGCCAGGCCCTCAGTTTGGCTTGCTTGCAACACCACCGCTCAATCTGGAGTTTGAATGCCAAGTCACACCTGCTGTCAATGAGTGCTTGGCATCTGATGCATTTCCTGTTCCTATGCGTGGGTGCTTAAGATAGACTGACATTGAAGATGGAAAGAGAAGGAACGATGTGTCCAGGTTGGCATGCAGCAGTCGCCAATGTCAAGCCGCCGCACGCCCCACGGCAGCGTGGCCAGCGGGGGGTCCCGGCCGATGGGGGGCCGCATGCTGGCACTCGGGGGGCGCACCCCCCAGTCTGCGGCGCCAGCCGCAGCGCAGCTCACGTTCCAGGCATGCTCCCCTGTTTTTGCCTCTCCCATTTTTTCTTTCTCCCAGCATAGGTATGCAGTTTTCCTACAGGATGACTGCATCACTATGGCTGAAATGAACTGAACATGTGATCTTGAAAGCAAAAGTCCTGAACTTGTGAAATAAATTCTTTGACATCTGAGCACTGGGCACATGAGAGAAAATCTTCAATCGTCTGGATGACATACTGGGTGCTGACCTAATGATCAGGATCAATCCTGCATGGCTGCAAAATGATGCATCCTAAAATTATGTGGTTGGATGTTGACCGAGATATTGGTTTGGTGTCCCAGGATTTCCTGAAGGAGGTGGACTTGCAGTTCCTGGACCACATGCGCCGAGGCACCTCCATCAACTTTGCCGACCTCGCCTCCGACCCGCCCCCGGCCAACCTGCAGGTGCAATCTACCAACCAGTTTTGCCTGATGGATTTCCCTCGCTATGGGCAGGCTTTCAGTATTCTGCTCATCTGAAAATTAGTGGTGTACATGATGTATATCGTGGAGATCTACTGTGTCTCACAGCAGCTGTAGCTGTTATAACGTTGCAATTCTCTCAACATGAAGGATGCTTGTCAATTGTCTGCTGGGCAACCGCTGCACTTTGCCCGCCTTTAGAGTACCATCAGAGAGCAGCGTTTGACTCCTCTCTTGCCCTGTTAAGGAGACCAGGCATGCTGGCGTACTGATCTGGGGTTCTCAGGAAGTATCTTCAACACAAAATCAGCGTGAAGTCTTCAAAGGCGCTGGTGTGTGTGCAGGATGCGTACAAGCTGCTGTTCCTGACGGCGCCGGCCGTGGGGGAGATGGAGGAGAGCATCCGCACGCTGCGTGAGACCATCGCCTCCGCCAAGGAAACCATCGCCGACAAGGAGGCCCTCATCGGCAAGCACAACCCGCGCCTCTTCCAGACCCTGCAGGTGGGTCTAAAGCCCCTTTGACTGCTTTAATCAGGGGTTGTATCAATTACAACATTTAGTGTCCCCCTGCTTCAACATCATTGACATCACTGGAGGTGTCATAGTCCCATACACAGGCATGCCGGCTGATCGTCTTGCTCCAGTGCAAGAGAGCACGCAGGTACTGCAGGCTTGACAGGAAAAGTCTGGGCAGCCTTTTGAATGCATGAACTCACGCCAAGTATTGGGTCATTGCAGACGAGCGACGCGGCGGAGGTTGAGGGAATAAAGGCGGGAGTGGCGGTGCTGAAGCGCGTGTGCCGCCAGCGCACGACGGTCGCCTGGAAGGACTGGCGCCACAGCGTTGAGGAACAGAAGCGCGTCGCCCTGCAGGTTTGCCCGTTCCTCTCCATTCTTTGTGGGTTCCTTCCAGCAAGGAAGGATCTGCAGCTGGACTGAACCTGGTGGTGCTCATTGTTGCTTATTTTGTGCGCTTCTGTGTGGCTGGACTTTTAAATATGGTACCAGCTAGAAATTGGGCACATGGTGACAAGCATAAGTGCTGCTCCTGCAATAAACAGCTCAGAAGCAGTTTTCCTGTTCGCGCAAAGGCTAGCAATAGGCTCAAGCTTGTCCTCTCATGCACTGCTGTCAACAAACCACTTTTGGACAGGAGCCTTCGGTGGGCATCTGATCTGTTACCACCCTCAGCACGTTCCGTTCATGATTCGCCTGCTTGCTTGACAGAAATCGAATTGGCCTTTCGTGCTTGTCATGGTGCAGGACCATCAAGCAAGGCTGAAGGAGGACCTGGCATTCCTCGCCAGTGCCCTGCAGCAGGCGCGCCAGCTCAAGCAAGCGGCAGCCACCGCTGCTGCAGAGGCACTGGCCGCAGCCCAAACCCACACTGCAGCACACAGGGTGCGCACAGAGCTATGCTTTCCGCCATCCACTGCCTGGAAACTCTATGATTGTACTACTGAACAAAGGAAGGAATGCAGCGCCGTCACGTGCGCCGCTCTGCGCTTGTAGATTTTGCTCATGACTGTGTGGGGCTTTTGGGCTCGCATGCATTGGCCCGCAGGCAGAAGAACGGGGTTTGCTGTACAGACCTCTTAGATCATGAAATCCTGGGGACCCATGCGCGCACCCACTTTCGCCTTCCCCGTCGCGTTAAGAAAGCGTTGTGCACCAAAAGTCAGGCCTTGATGGACCGCTAATTGTTTTTCTGTCCCCTGCCGACAGGCGGAGGCAGAGCGGCGGCAGCGGCTGAGCGCTTTGATGGGCAGCCTGCAGGCGCTGCAGCTGGACAACCAGGGACGAGCCGCCAGAAAGGCCGCCTCAGAGCAGCGCCTCTCCTCGCTGCAGGTAACCTTCCAATCTGCGTCTTGCTGCTAGTTTGGAAGTCTCTTGCGCAGACTGCACCTCCACGACCTTGTTGAGGATAGCCATTGTGCGCAAAGCCCGCCCCAGGGTCGATGTCTGCAGCAGCAAACATGCACCATGTGAAGCACACAACCCTTTCTGCGACCAGCGGGGCAGGAGACTCTCGAGCACCTTACACCGTATCCTGGATTGGCAATCATGAGTCTTGTGCATATCAGTCGTGTGGGTGTGGCAGGCCGAGCTGCGAGCGCTGCGAGAGCAGAGGGCGGCGCTGGAAGCTGCCCGGGCGGCCGACGCAGCTGCCCAGGCCGGGCAGAGCGCCGACAACCTCAGCGAAGCCTCCGCCGAGGCCTTTCTGTCCAAGGTGAGTCTCTCCTGATTGCCAACCTTCTGTTGTTTACCACATTCAGTCCGTTGTCAGAAGAAGCAGAGATGGGCTGCATGAGACGAGGCAAAAAGATGCTCTCTTTTGCCCTGGAAAGGGGCTTTCTTATCAATTTTGTCAGAAGGACAAGGGCTCCCATTGGCCTTACATTCACGGCTCTTAATGCCCAAAAACACACTGGCAGTGTCTGTCAACCTCCAGGACATCAGTCTGAGGGCCTGATTCCTTCTTCTAGTGATGCAGATTATGTGTAATGTTCCGATCTGGTCTGCTGGCGCAGGTCGAGGAGATGGACATTCTGAGCGGCTGTGTCGGCTGGCAGCTGGAGGCTGTGCACAGCGGATCAGAGGACATCCCATGCATCCGCGAGCTGTGCCTGCGCATCGGGCCGCTGTTCCGGCTGCGGCTGCAGCTGCCGGCGTCCGGGACCAACAAATGTTGTGCCCATCTTGAACTTGTCAGCACAGGTGCGAATACCTAAACCCAGACAGCATGCAGCGTTCCCAAGCAGCACACGCTCATAGTAAAGCAAAAGCCTTGGTTGTTTCTGGCAGTATGTGTTAACATTACTGCTGTTCTGTTGAGCTACGGGACTATGGCAGTCTACATGGGAATGCGCAGATGATTAAGTCTGTGCTACTGTATCGGGGCATGCGTAGGTCGCTGACATCGCAAATTCATGGCCTGAAGGCATGGTAGATATGGATACCCGTCATGACTCTACGCCCTACTTTTCGTGCCAGGTGTCCTATATATAGCAGGTCAAGCTGGCCTCGGATGTTCCTGTGAATTACACTGGTTGCAGATGTGTGCCCCTCCAACTCCCCTTGCAGCCTGCTAAAAACCACCCTGACCTTCGCTCCTTTCACATGTGCAGAGGAGGCGCCGGCGGTGCCGCACATTCAGCGCCAGGTGGCGCAGGCGCTGTCTTGCGCGGCGTTGCCTGGCGCGTCAAAAACCTCAGCATCCCCCGGCGCACTGGCCAGCTTCAGCATGAGCGATTTCAGCAGCCCCAAGATCTCCGCTGCCCTGCTGCAGCTCCGCACGCAGGCGCGGCCCGGCATTTCTCTCCATTTATTTTCTGGCGTGTCTAAACCTGCGCTATTACCTTCTTTATCTTCGCGAGGGGTACTAATTTCGACGGGTACCAGAAAAGTACATTTCGCTCCTCCTGGTGGAAGGGCATAATGCACGATTCCACACCCAGGCAAGAACGGTCCTAGCTACACCTGCTGGTCCAAGATATTGAGAACCATGTCATGAGTTCAGAGAATGTTTGTAATTTGGCTATGCCATGCTTGATGAAGCTCCGCTGTCGCAGGCGGCACGCATATCGGATGCGGCAGAAGAGGCGGTTGCTCTGCGGCTGGACTTTCCGCGACTGGCGTCCGTCACGGCCGGCCCCGACGGCGCGCTGTACCTTGCCTTCCTCAACCTTGCCGCCGAGACCAAGTTCTCTGCCACGCTGCGCCTCGGTGCGCTGCAATTTGCCAGCTGACTTATCCACTAGCGGTATAGCTTTGACGTGCGGTGCGCCAGTCCCGACGGTAAAAACCTGCAATGCTTGGAGATGTGAGGCTGTAGAGGCATTCAACTGCAGCACAGTATTTCTACCAACAAGCCAACTCAGAGAGGTGGGTGAAAGGACACAACTTGGTGAGGCTGTAATTTTGACATTGAATCACTTGCTGTGTGCATGCAGGGCCGGAAATGTTTGACGGGGAGGTGGCCTGCGACGCGCGAGTGCACTTCCCGGGCCCGGCCCGGCTCACCGAGGCGGCCGTGCGCGTGGCCGTCAATTCCGCGCCGGCCGGCTACGGCCGCCTCCGCGCGATCTGCGCTGCGCTCTCTGCGTTAGCCGACGCGCGTCAGCCGGCCGCTGCCGATGCAGCGGCGGCTGGCTGCGCGGCGGAGGCGGCGGCCGATGAGACGGCGCCGCTGCATGTGTTCAGCAACCCGCTGTACTCGGTCAACACCCCCAAGCAGATCTGCTGAGGGGAGAAATTGCGTAATTGATTGTGGACGTGTCACGATGGAGATTCCCTGGATGCCATACTGTGATAGGAAGGGAGGGATTTAAGCAAGAGGAAGTATGGTGCAGGCAAATTGTGTCCATGCAGCCAGAGCAAGTGATGGTCCACTGCACAGTGCTGTGTGGGGAGGCAGTGACAGTGCCCAAGATCCATTGATGTCTCGCCATTTCAATGCTGGGGGCTGGCAGGCATACTATGTAGGCAGCTTCGAAATGATTGATGTCTCCTGCAATTCACATTCACAGACGTCCAATGTGATCCGATGTGATCAGGCGGATGTAATGTTGTCACGTGGGGTTCCCCTGATGATGCATATGCCAGTGGCTTTTAGCCTCTGAGAGACTATGATGATTGGAAGCAAAGACTGCATGCAATGTCAATGGAATATTTTCTTGATTCTTAAACGCAACAATTTATGAGGCTTGTTTCCCTGTACAGAATGGCGATGGTGCCATCGTGGCAATCAGTGATTACTCGACTGCAAGTACGGTACTTGTGGTGACGATATAATTTTGAAAGCCGTTTTGGGTGTTCTTATACCATACGAGTCACATGATGTCATGATATATATACGCATGCGCGTGTCACTCAAAACTTGCATGCTCTGGGCTGGTGCCTTTAAACCCTAAAATAAGCATAAGCTGATCGCTGTTATAGTGGTAGCTCCTGACCGTCCCTAAGCCTGCAGCTTTGTTTGTGTGTTCAACCCAAGTTGGCTCTTTCAGGAGGGGCACCAAGATCTAGAGATGAGGTGATATTACATTGATGACCTCAACCGCGTCAGCCCCAAACTTCCAGGGAAATAATTTGAGCCTAATCTCTTGCGCGAGCAGATATCCATCAGAATCGCAGGCATCTAACTACCTCCGGCAACCTATCAACGTCCAATTTAAATCCATCAAGGTAAGGACTTCCACATCACGATGCGTTGGTGGTTCCCGAGGCTTTTCTGACGATCAAGCGCATCCCGCTCTTGACACGAGAAACCTAGCAAACGTCTCCGTGCCGTGGAAACGTGAAATCGAGTGATCGGAGTCTTTCATATTCTGTGTAGTGCCGTTGCGCTTTGGTTTTCGAATTTGAGGGTGTCCTGGCCTCGCCACTGTTTCCGAACGCAGCATGCCCGGGATCGGGTTACTCGATTATTATCTGATCCTTTGTCTTCCGTTATGTACCGTAATAACGCAAATATTCCAAAGATTAATCGTGTGTCTTCCTCCTGCGCAGGGAACCCAGACTCTCAAGGATGGCCTCCTCCAGCATCTACGTCATTCTGGCTGCCAGCCTCTTGTGCGCGTGCGTGGGCGCAGCGCCGACCGGCAAGATGGTATGTATCCACATGTGTCAGTCGGTGTTCTATGTAAGCTACAATTTGCTGCTTCAATGTTCAAGTGAAGTCGCGGATCTCGAAAGGTCACCCACCGGAATATGCCTTAGAGTCCTTGTTGTTAGCCTGCAAGGATCAAAGTGAAGCTCTTCCTGCCCATTTCATCATCCAATGCGGTTTTTACTTGCACATTCCTCGATTGTCGTCGATTTACGTCTTGTCCGTTCACGGTCGAAACCCTCGAACTTTTAGTGGCCCCGTCTGATCTGTGTCGCTGTGCATCCACAGATCACTGCAGCTGACATCCCCGCCACCCCTGCAGCGGCTACATGCAAGGCGATCCTCGACGGCGCCGCTGTCCAATTCGCTGCGGGCGGCATCGCCGCCGTCACCCAAGTCGCCGGCGCAACCATCTCCAACTACGTGAGTTCCGTGCTTCCTTTAGTCTTGCAATTGACACTTGTGGCTAGCTTGGAATATGCTCTTGTGTTCCAGCAACTTCAAAAGGTTGCCAGGGTTCTTCACACTGACCTGGATGGGCAGCCGCATTCCCTTCGCATCCTTCTTCAGAGCTGTTGAGCAGGTTGTCGATCACTCCCTTCATGACCCATACTGACTCAGCACCCATTTTGAGAGGTCGGCTTGTGTTCTTAACGCCCTCAACTGAGACGTCCGGAATCTTGACGTGTCGCCTGCCCTGCTGCAGCTCTTCTGCATGGAGTACAAGCCCACCGCCAAGGACACGGCCATGATCGTGACCCACATCGAGCCCACCTACCTCAAGGTCCCCTTCTCCACCCTCACCACCAGCCCCGCCACCCCCCAGGTCGCCGGTGAGTCACCCTTCTCCTCTGCTACATAGCAGTAACTCCACTGACCCAGGACAGCAGCTCACCAGCTAACCATGTCACTCATGGAATATTGTTCCCGAGCACTGAGCTGAACTTAGCCCACCACCTCCCCACCTCAATGGACACTGTCACACTGCGTGCTAGGCTCCGCTGCAGTTTAGTGTCATCACACTGCCAAACTGGCACTGCCAAGGGGTTGTGTGCAGGCTGCTTGCTGCACACCTGAGTGTCTGATAAGAACCTGCACCCGTCATTTCAAGACAGCCATCACCTCTTTGGCTTGCAGATAATATTGATCGCATTCTATTGCAAGCACACAAACCACCGCCAGAGGCTCACAGCCGGTGACTGATGTGTGCAGGCTTTGTGAACGCGGTGTACATGGTGGGTGCTGCCACGACTGCCAACGGTGACTACGGACTTGCCACCTACCCCTGGGACCTGGCCAACAAGGCCAACGCCGCCCCCGCCAACCAGAAGACCTCCCTCGTCGAGGTGGGTGCTTCTGTCATGACTCCTGCCCTTGTCTGATGTCTCCTCTGCTGCATGGTTTATTGTCGTGCTTCTGCTCATGCAATCAAGACAGCATCTGCTGTTGTGCTCTGCTGTTCAGAGCCACCTGTGCAGTAACCTGTAGAGTACACCGCTTCCCATGCACCCCTTGGTTTCTTAGACAGAGGCCTTAACATCCTGCTCTGAGCAACTCTGTGCTTTTTCCTGACATATGGCTTGTGAAGCATCAGACAACAATCCGTTTGCCCAGAAGGGACCAAAACGCATTTGGAGGAAGCTTCTTGACCAGATGGGGGGATAGCTGACTGTTTTTTTATTTGTGTTTGCAGCGCTTCTCTACCCCGGCAGCCAGCTACCTGTGCGGCTGCGGCATTGCCACCGCTCCCACCTCCTCCCGCCGCATGCTGCACTAAGCTTACTTTGCCAGTGCAATATATGAGGAAGCTACCCAAGAATAATGCCTGCTGCAAGACGCAGAAGGTGCCGCACTCTCCTGAGGTCGGCAGATAGTGAATTGTGCATTCTGTGCGCTGTGTTTTAAACGTCACTGCGTAGATTGAGCAGGCTTGCAGGCCTTGCTGCAGCATGCTACAATAACATTTGAACAGCCTGCTGCATACTGCATGCTAGGCTTTACTGCTCCCAATTCTGTGGCTGTGTGACGCGGCCATTGTCCCTTAGCTCAAGCTTTGTCTCTTCTCTAATTGGGCCATTCATGCCCGAGTTCGTCGCTTTGCATGCATGCAATGCGTATGCCATTGCTGCGCAGAATCTTGGGTCCATCCATTTGATCAAAGTGACGTTGTCGTGTAGATTGTCAGTTTTGACGAGTCTTGCATTGCCGTTGCATGCCCTCAAATGCCGTTTCCTGAGCAGATTGCTTTCCAGGTTGACTCAGCAGCATGCATTAGTGCTGCAGAGGTGTTGCAAAGGGAGCAATGCGTGCTTCTTTGTGTGTCTCTTCTTTGAAGCAAGACATCCATGCAATTCGTGTAATAATTTTTGGTCCAGCCGTCTTAAATTTTAATTTCAAAGTGACCCATTGCAGGAGATGATCTAAGACACGTCATTGACATAGTTCTGGGGAAAAAATACAATGGTCTGTCCCACTTTGGACAAAATATTCCCTTGAAACCAAGCATGACACATGCACACCATATGCACTTGCGCTGGCCTATCACGATCCTTTTCAATTTTAAATTGGAAATTCTTACTTTCATCATGAGCCACTGGTGTGACTGCCCTCAGCAACAGCTCTGTGTCCCCTGGGAAAGCCTCTCTCTGTGGTGCCACATCTGTTCTCCTTACACACACAGAGCCGCAACAAAACCCCCACAAACGCTCTGCAGTTTTGCTCACAAAGGTGCCTTTTTGCAAAATATGCACATTCCGGGGAAGATGCTATGGCTGTGATCCCCAGCCGGGGATGCTTGACTTGGGAGCCGACACCCTGAAGGACTCAGCAGCCACCCTCATGTCTGCCTGCAGCTGGGGCCACCGGCTGTTCTGACACTGCCCATTCAGCGTGTATAAGAGTCCGTTCCTGCACAACACACGCCCTGCATGTCAAAGATTCGAGCAGCAAGGTTGATGATGACTCGCTGTTCCTGCCAAGAGGCAAGGCGCGCCTGCAGGTAAGCTGCAGGTAAAGCTTGATATACAAAGAACCCCGTTTTTTAAATCCTCATCATCAGCGGCAGGTTTGGCTGTGCAGAAGTGCTGACGGTCTTATGCTTGTCAGAGCAAGGCCTCGGAAGGTCACCTATTGCATGCTGCTCTCAACCTTCACCTTTGAACGTACTCAACAGCTGTGTCTAGCCGATGCACACAAAGTCTATGGCCACCAGCAGTCTGGATAGAAGATTGTTGGTGCAGGTCTTTTGAGGGTAAAACTGAGAGTAGGTACAAGCCCACCTGGCTGCGTATACCGATAAATTGTGCCGGAAGAAGTTGGGCGACTGCACAGTGTACTCTAAAGTGTAGTACAGCTCTCCGCTCTCATCCCTCCTGCAAAGGCTTGTCACCATCAGCTGATGATTTGTAAAGAAGTCCACAAGGACACAAGAAATGTGCAGAATACAACAAAGGCTCCTGCTCTGTGCTGCCAACAGAGCAGGCTTATTCCAATGCCATGTGCCCATGCAGATTGCAAGAGTGTCTATTCTAGCACCAGCTTGGACTTGTGCCATCTGCAGCTCTGTTGCACTCTGCTCACAGCTGAACAACTGGCCTGAGACATATGCTTGTCTCCTTATCCTTAGTAATGTTTAGTCACGGCGCACCGCTCGTACGCATCGATGAGGTCAGCGGTTCGGCCGGAGCCCTCCGGAGCGACAGTGGTCGACAAAAAGCGCTCGGCCGCCTGCCGGGGTCCCCCCAGATTTTCTATTTTGAAACCCCCAGCTATGGGGGCCACGACTACACTCAAATTCTCCTCGCCTGCACACAGCCCCAGGAACGCCTCAGGCCGCTGGTGCTTGATCCGCCCCTGGGCTCACCCTCAAGACAGCTGATCTAGCCAGGCAGTGAGCAGGAGTATGAGGCTGTCTGCGTGAGCAAAGCAGTGTGAATTTGAGAAGAGCGGGTGCGGATACGGCAAGACCTGAAACAACAGGAGGGACATTAAACGCACATGGCCCTTTAGAGTGAAAGGGAAGGAATTAATATCACCTGTGCTACCGGGAGGTCCGTACGCCGCTGTGGGCTCTGCTACAGACCTACTATTCCTCCTGCAGGGACCCGCACAACAACCTGTTAGACATCTGAAGAGATCAACATCTCATTTGCTCGTCATCAACAGGGCACCTTCTGTTGCACTGCATGAACGTCCTGGCGGCATGTTCAATGAAGTATCCTGCAAGATATGTTTGATAAGACTCGGCCGCCTCGATGTGTTTCTCGTGAGCAAAGGCAGCCAATCACATGATGTTATTATTAACATTATTATTCCACGCTTATACTGCCAAAAAGCAAGGTACGTCCTGCAGACAAGCTGCAGATAGAGGCTGCTACAATCCTACCCCTTGTTGGACTCGCCAGATCCAAGCAGAGATCTATTCGACCGTGGGCACGGTGCTCAGAAATTACACCGCCCCCCGCCAGCCTGGGACCACAAAATACAAAGAGTGGAATGGAAAAGAAAGTTTTGCGGGGGGGGGGGGGATACGCTGACCTGGCGGCTGGCGGGGGGTCCAGGCTGGCCTGCCGCTCCACTCGCTCTGCATAACGGCGGTACAGCCGCTGGTCTGATAGCCACCGGCTCGGGTACAGAAACTCTGAAATCAGCGCACAAAAATTTAGAAGTCCCTGGACTGGACTTCAGGCACCTTAAAGCACTCAAATTGGTCCTGGAGCATGAGCTTTCTGGTCTGATCCGCATGCATTGGGATAGCTTTCAGCCAAGCCCTCTTGGCATTGTGAGTCATCGTCTTCTGCTCAGCACGCCTGCTGTTGCTATTCTCGCATGCAAATTGGTGGCACGGAAGCAGTTAACAAGACAATGTGTTCAGATATCCTGATGGAAGTGAGACATTGCCTTTTGAGCAGGCCTGCAGCTGTTACAATCGCATGCGAACTGCTGGCACGGAAGCAGGGGTGGTTTCTGCACATCATTAGCTACCTGACTACACTGAAAAGACAAACTGTGCATGCCCCGATGGAAGCAATGCTTGGACAACTTGCGCGCACCGTAGCCGTTCTGGGTGTCGAGGCAGCGCTTGTGGCCTGCCACGGGGTACAGCGCGTCCAATTTAAGCCGCCCCGCCAGCCGCCCGCCATCCACCGACAGCAGCGCGCTTGTGGACCCCCCGAAATTACTCACCAGCACTGCGCACACATTTGAGGTGAGGTACTCGATGAATTGCGTCCAGGCATGGCATGAAGTGCATGCAGAGCCCAAATGGCAGACTTTGTCAGCTGAAGCAAGACTGCATGAGATTAACTCTTCACAGCAGGCACTTTGCATGGTGAGGCAATCACTGCTGCGCAAGGGGCAGGGTTGCTCCTGCAGCACTTGCCTCCTCCAGAGCTCTCTGGTGCGCATGCAAGCATGCTGAGACACCCAATCGTTTCACCAGGCAGCAGTGATGGAGGTTCAAGACAGTGCGCACCGATGGCCAGGCCGGTGAGTCCGCCGGTGATGGCTCTGCGCCGAGAAGGCAGGCGTCCGCCCCACACCACGGTCTGCGCTGGATCCCCCAAATCTGGCTTCGCCTGAGGGGCCTCGCTCCTGCCGCTTGTGCTGGTCCCCTCCTTGCCTGCAGCAAGGGCTATAGCTGTGGGCGGTTGATCTCGTGATAGGGAGATCTGAGCTCTTCATTGTTATGACAACTGATGCTTTTCTGCGTCACCACCAGTTTTCTGGTGACATTGGATAAGAATGCAGAAGTATCTAGCATGCGAGGGTTGCAAAACAAGCGAGCATACCTTCGTACTGCTTCTGCTCTGCACTAATTTGACGTCTGCAGCTACTCCTGCAAGGTGCTTTGAAGGAGCAGTATTGCCTGAAATGCCTGTATCCTTGAGCAGCTGGGCAACTTCTTAGGAGGGCCCCATCCGTTTGGTGAACGGAATACATAGCTGCAACGCCTGATAGAAGTGAGAACTGGATTTCCTTTGCTGAAGTATATGCTCTGCTGAAGTAACCTGAACTTCAATCTCTGCTTGAGTGTATGCCCGAGGCAATGTATATTGAGATCGAATGGCTAGCTGCCCAGGTCCGGGCAGCTGCCATGCATGGCCATATGGCCAGTGCTGAACATCCATCATCATCAGGCATTGCCTTGTCCATCAAACTCCACCAGAAAAATTCAGCAGGTAACTTGATCTTAGAAGACACTACTATAGAATGTGACAATGTGATCACTAGCAATCAGTGCGAGGTGTCGTTGGCTGGCAGATGCCTGCACTAGCCCTTCAAAGCAAGGTGTCCCTCCATCAAATAAAGAGAAGGTCGGGCTTTGTACACAAACACAAACTAGTTCACACAGAAAGCTGTCTTGTTTTTGCAATGAGAGCAGTGATACAGCGAGTGCGCAGCGCCAGTGTTGAAGTAGATGGCAGACTAGTTTCAAGCATCGGACCCGGCCTGCTGTGCCTCATCGGCATAAGAGACACTGATACAGCAGCAGATCAAGAGTTCTTGTGCGTCTCCATTGCTGCCAGTCGCCATCAAAATACTGGATTGGCGACACCTTGTGCTCACTTGTATGAGTTGGGGGCAAGGCTATAGAGCGCCCGTACAATGGTGCATGCTGATATAATGGGTGCTCACAGGTGCCGAAAATTGCTTAATTTCAGAATATGGCCCAGCTCGGATGGCAGCAAGTCCTGGGACCAGAATGTGAGAGCTCTCCGTCTGTGCCTTGTTAGGATTGCTAATCTTCCAGAGCTCTAGCCAGAATACTGTCCATTGTTACCTTCATCAGACCTCACAGATGTTTCTGGCTGCAGGTCTCACAGAAGGGATATGAGCTATTGCTGGTGAGAAGCCCTTGAGTTGACCTTTTTCTCCAATTCTTGAATGCAGAGGTGATATCTTGCTGCCATGCGACGTAAGATACCAGTCCCTTGCGGGCTATTGCTTGACTTCGTTGACTCATGCACATTTGTGGGGGTCGATTTGTGGCATGGCAGAGAGTGAGACGGCAATGTTAAGGGTGCTCTTGTTGCAGGTGAGCCAGTTCACTCTGTACGCAATGGCAAAAGGGAACAAGCCAGACTACCACCTAGCCATGCCACCTGATCAGGTGCTTCACTGTTGCCACACAGTACTGTCCGATCATACTGAAACTCACAATGACTCTATCTGCACGATTTGCTGCATGATCGGTGATTCATTCCGTCATTTTCTTTACTTCCAGCCAAGTCAGCGCTGATTCGACGCCTGGTTGGCCGGACGTTTGACATGAGACACCGGACAACATGAGAAGTACATGCGCTGAGGACATCGGCTGCACAACTGAGCAGGATGACGTCTGTGCTTTTCTTCGCTCTGCTTCAAGGGTTGTGGTAAATTCCCAGGCCAAGGACTTCTACTCGGAGTTCCTGGAGAGAGTAAGAAGGGGGTACCAGGCAGTCCGGGTTAAGGATGGAGTCTTTGGCGCTATGATGGATGTCTCACTCGTCAATGATGTGCGCCCCATGTTCTTGCAGCACTGCTCAGACAGCACTTTTCTCAGATCTGGCAGGGGAAGATGCAGATTGCCACGCATCCTCAACCTGAGAGACTACATTTGATGCAACTTGATTATTCGGCTGCGCAATATTGGAGATGAGATGTGGTAGATATTTGTGGGTCCTGCCAGGCTAGGTCTGATCAGATGTGGGTGTGGTGCAGGGCCCTGTCACTCTCAACTTTGACTCACAATACCCCACTGGACGCTGCTGACTCAGCTGTTGCTGGTCAGCGGGGAGCACGAATTATCCGATGAATAAATGCAGCAGCAGCAGCAGCAGCAGCAGCAGCAGCAGCAGCAGCAGCAGTAGCAGCATTGTAGGAGGCCTGTCTTAGGTGGCATGCATAGTACTCTTAGAGTGCCCCTAGTGACAAGTACTGAGGGCCAAGACATTGAGAAATGCAAAGCTCCTAATCGTGTTTTTCTAGCTGCAAGCCCTTTCTGCTGTTCTTTGAAGTTCAACCTTTGGTCTCCGAGTCTGATTCAGTCAGCACGCCACTATCTTGAACATGAAGATCATTCTGTTTCCTGGACAAATTCTGGCCGTTCCGTCGTTCTTATAGGAAGGATATACATGGGTAGAAAGCTACAGTAGAGGTGATTTGCTATGCATGCGGCGGGCAGCGCGTGTCTACAGAGGGGAGTTCATTCATGGGGCATGCGAGTTTGATGCATATCCATATTCAGATGTAGTCAACAGCTGCAGAAGGATTCTTGTAAATCAACTCTTGTTTGAAGTGTATAAGAGTGCCAGCAGTGATTTATTTTATGCTTGCAAACAAAGGAAACAAAAAATGTGCAATTCCGCAGGATTCGAAACGGGGACCTCGCTGCGCATATTTCAATTCTGCTTTTGCAAGGCGAAGGCGCGCCTCCCCTCTGTGTTTACCAATGTAAATATCGAATCTATCATAATGCGCAGATAACTAAAAAAGTCAATGCTTTTAAGCCCTGAGCCCCGGCGCTGCTTTAAAATCAGCTTCATGCATTGACAGACTTCTGAGAGTGGCTCCCCACCATTGGTCATTCCCAATTTATCTGGTGGTAACATCTTAACAAGTGCTGTTTACACGTTGCAGCAGTGCCTGAAGTATACACTGTTTCTTGTGTCTGACCAGCCAGCCCTTTTCCAACCTCACACTTGTAGCAGGAATTGCTTGACTGGCCAGTGGCCACTGTACAGGACATGTCCTACTCATTGCATGCACACAACTCTCTCCACCAAGACCCACGCACGCATCCACCGAGTGCAGACAAATGTAATCAGCTGCTAGAGGCTTTGGCACAGTTTCACAATTTAATTTGTTTCACAACGGGTGAATGATGCTTTACAGCAATCCACTGCACTGTACTGCTCCTGATGTTCATTCCTGAGCAGCATGTCAATCTACGTACTCACACACCCACCTCAGCACCCTGCTTGTTGCCTGTAAGGCACTCAGCAAACACCTGTTGCAGTTGAATTGAACATCATCAAAGAAAAGCAATCTACCAATGATGGCGACCTGTCTACAGCTTGCCTGCTCTCACTGGCCAGAGAAGAAATCGAATTTAAATATAAGCACCCCACAGAGGGTTTCTTGTGTCTGCAAAAGGCTTAGACACATTATGTCCGGGTGGTGCTTCCTACCACCAATCAATAAATCGGTCATCAAATGGTGAAGCCCCAAGCGAGCATATCCCCAAAGAGGTCATTCCAAATGTTTTCAGCAAAACAATCAACCTACCCCTATCTTACTTCCGTGCCACACAAGCAGGCAGCCCATAATCTTAACATGCGCCTAGTGTAATGAATGCAGCAGAAAAGTCCGTTCTGGGCTTTCTGCAAGAGAATACACATTTGATTCTTGCAAGGCGCCTTTCAATACGCAAACGATCAGCAGTTGCGCCGTTTCTGAGGCACTTGCCTTTGTTGCTACGGCCTAGGAAGCCTGCAGATCTGCGTTAAGGATTGCTGCTGGGCGATTGGACCCACTTAAAAGACACACCTTCTTGCTGCAGCCTAAGACGACTGCACATGGGCACCGTTGATGACTGTTTCTGCGCCATCGGTGTGCGGCAGGCTGCTGTAGGAAGCTGCACCCCCCTTGCTATTAGCAATGCTGACGCGGTGAATCAGCGCGTCGTCAAGTTTGGCGCACGCCAGGCGCGCCAGTTTAGCCGCGACGAGGATGACTAACGCTATGACGACTAAGCATGCAGCCCAGACGTCCAGGGACAGGCGCACAAACAGCGACAGGTCCTGATCCGGTGTCTGGAGGTACGCCTCCCCGTGCGTGGCCAGCGCATGCTCTATCCAGTCTGCATGTACAGCAAAAGGCTTTTCATGTCACTCCTGAACTTGATTGGCATTATCAAGGAGACACTTGCAGTGGCGGCATTGCATCTGTTTTCTGACCAACCCTCCCACCACCTGGGACTTCCAAATGCATGCATGCCCCAGGCTTAGAGATGCAAACGCTCCATAATCAGTAAGGCGTCAACGGTCAGTCTCTTTTGAAATCTGCAGCACTAGTGTAGTATTACATGAATAGTGGTGCTTTGACAACAAAGTGATGACATGAACAGCGATGCAGGATGACTCACCGGCAGCTTCCTGGGTGGGCGTCCGCGGCCGCGCGCGCAGCTTCACAGACAGCTTCTCGGCGACTTCCTTGAAGCTTCGCTCCGTCAGCACGCGCGTGATGGTGTGTGAGAACTGCCCCGTCAGTAAATCCTCGTGGTTCAATCGCAGCGCCAGGCCCTGCATGCACAGCAGCACATCCTTCGGTCATGTATGACTGATTCCCAGCCAGCAGTGCAGCAAAACCTGCTTTGCAAGCTCGCTGCAGCTTGCTTGGTACGGTGTCTGCAAGTCCTGAATGGCAAGACTCTGCTGTGTTTTGGTAACGTGCAGCAGCCAGAACCGCATGGCAACAGACCTAGAGAACTAGCCAGGCAGTTGTGTGTGACCCACAAACATGAAGGCAAGCAAAGGAGCTCTAATAGGCTTGCGCAAGAGCGGTAGAGAATAGCAAAAATACACAAGCACTGATTCCAATGAAGTAGGCTGATCGCCAGAGGGCGCACCCGCCCCACGGCCTTGTCGGCATTCTCACGTTGCTCTGCTAAGAAGGGCAGCGCAATAATTGGCACGCCATGATACGCCGCCTGAGACACGCACAAGAGATCCCTCAGTGATATCCTCACTAATACAGGATCAGAAGCAGCTCGTATATGCAACCATTTTTAGGGCCGTCTGATGCATGCTTGGAAGGCAGGTCCAGCTGTCAGATAGACAAGGCGACTGTTGTACATTCCTCATTGCCCTATGTGGCAGTGGTGGAAATCCAGAACTTGAATTGGCGGGTGGCAGTCAGCGCACCTCGTAAAGTCCATTCACACCGCAGTGTGACAGGAACGCCTTCGTGCGGGGGTGGCCCAGCACATCGTTCTGAGGCAGCCACGTCGCCACCTGGCACAGGCACAGTGAAAGATTATATTTTGGATTGGCCTGCTACCCATGCATACGATTAGGGATTGATTGCGCTAAAAATTAAGTCCTAAGGAAATGAACCCTTGTCACATGGATTGACGGTGAAAAGCACAATTATACACGGGCCCTGCCAGAATCAGTTCTCAATGTTCAGCTGCATTAGCATGATAGACTTCTCACCTTTGTGTTGTTGCCCAGCTTGAGCTCTGCGATGGCTGACTCATCTGGCACCTCAGACTTGGACAGCCGCCACAGCACACGCACCGGCAACTTTGCGAACGCAGCCGCCATCGCGCGCTGCTCGGCTTTCCCTGCGCAAATTCACACACGCCATCTTTTAGATGCAAATAGAACCTGCATTAGCACCTCCGCAGCGACTCTCAGCTCAATCGCTGCGTGATCTGAGAGAGAGAGAGAGAGAGAGAGAGAGAGAAACATTACATCGTGCCAGCCGTGAGAAGCTGCAGATCCGGATGACGGGTGACAAATTGAAGGACATGGCGCACTTGGCCGGAAATTGAGGTCCAATGAAACTCAGGTTTTGGATTCAGCTTCGCACCCAGTGTTGCTATTGTGCCCATGGCAACGAGCAGCACGCCGTCATCCCCTGCACCCTCCATGAACTCCTGAAATTGTCCACCCCAGAGACTGTCAGTCATTTCATTGAAGGGACACAAAGAAGGGCTGCCAGGCCTGCACAGCCAGCACCCTTCAAGTGGATCCTGTTACGGGAAGCAGGCCTGCTGACCAAGCTTTGGATATGCCAGAGCAGATCGTACGCCGGTGACAGCAACTCAGACCAACAATTTCCTGGCACTTGAATCCTGCGCAATTTCAGGTCAGCGGGCACTGGCCGGGGTAGCCTTGGGCAATATTCACATGTATCCCAGGTCAGATGCAAAGTTCTTAAAATTGCATGCAGACAAAACAGGAGCCTGCCCACCTCGAGATCGGCGGGCAGTGGCTGGGCAGGCTCGGGCAGCACGGCTCCGATCAGCTTGTAGCTTGGCGGCAGCGGCCGCAGCCATTCTATGGCAAAATCCGCAATGCACATCGTCATGACCATCCGACGGCGTTCCTTCGGCGCGTCCGGATCCACGCCAAATCGCCGGCTGCATGCGCCACATCAGCGCCACATCAGCACTGCTGACTCAGCAAAGCGACACAACCAGAGCTGCACATGCGAGGCTTGCATGATTTAAGCTTTGATATTTGCTAGAAACATGCGGCAGCGTCGCTCTGCTCAGCTGCAATTGATGAGAGGCCAGATAAGATCAAGGTACCCAGATTTTGGGTCCCCAATGCAAGAGTCATGACAAGGGCCCGACAGCATGATAGGAGGGCATGCAAGATTGTGACTAAGGACTTGAGGGGCTCACAAAGCGCTCCGCACGATGGGCCGCACATGCCAGTAATCGCCAGCATGGAACTTCCAATAGGCGACGAAGTTGTGCAGCCTTTGCGGGAAGCTCTGCGCGCACAGCAGCGCCCAATCAAGCACTGAACTGCCCTATTCTGCACTTCAAAGATTCCATAACACGAGAGAGCAAGATTCATGGCCGTTGAGGCAAGGCAAGCCTGGGCAGCTTTGGTGCCGTAGAAGTGCCGAAACGGAGAAGCAGAAATGCAGACATCAAGGCAGAGCGAGCGCCAGAGATGAGAGGAAATGGCTGGCTTGTCAGTGAAATTTTTTCACAGCAACATTGTGCTCATCTATGTGCACCACAAGATTGCTAATTATAGTAAAGTACTTATTTCAAGGGAAAATTTTATGCGCGCACCATGTGCTGGGTCTCAATGCCGCTGTCCTTTTGGGGGAAGTACGCGAGAGGGTTGGGGGTGAATGCGTTGCGGTTGCTGCCGCGCCAGGCAGAGGTCTGGACTGACTCGATCGGGGCGTACATCTGGAAGTTCACAAAGGGAACGTCCAGCTTGGACGCCAGGACCTGCATGCATGCACAGCACCGCCATTTGCTCAGCGATGTCTCTTTCATGCACAGCCAGGGCCATGATACCCAGGCAACAAACCAACAGCAGTGTGCAGAAGTTGACTGTGGGAGTTGTCGTAGGGAACAGGAGTGAGGCTGCAGGAGAATGTTGAAAAGCAGGTGCCTTGGGAAAAGCATGGCACAGAGGGATGCAGTGCAGAGATCTGTTGCATGCATGCAAGCATGGGCTAAGCAGGTGGGAATTCCCCATGCAGGAATGAGGTGGAGGGTCACCTGTGCGCAGGGGCTGAGAGTCTCTGCCAGCAGCAGCTCTGGGTTGTAGTCCTGGAAGGCACAACAGAAACAATTCCAACCAACTCCTTTGTGAGCATTGAACTCTGAATCCAGCACTGCTGTGGAACCAGTCTAACGCCTTGTGAAGTGCAGCAAATATCTTTGAAGGACCTTTCTGCGTCAATGCATTGGTATCAGGGCCCACAGGGACGAGACAGATGAGCAACCGTCACCTTCAGCTGAGCCATGAGGGTGTCATTGGACAGGATGCCATCGCAGCCGCTCACAAAGACCCTGGTAATGTCTGCCACGGTCTGGACGAAGTTCTGGGCGCCCTTGACCTTCATTGCGGCTGGATCGAACGGTCCTTTGACGACAGGAATGCTGCACAGGAACAGCACTCGAGTCAGCGGGATTGAAGATGGAGAAGGTGGCGAACCTTGAAGAGGCAAAGCGCACTTGCTGAAGGGGCACCCAGCATTCGTGAGCTCTGTCAATCTTCTTTGCAGGGATCGCAACGCCGGTAGGATCATGGAAGCGCACCTGTAAGTGAGCACCGGGACGTCCGTCGGCTGCAGCGCGTGGGCGTTGTTGTCGAGCACAAGGAACTGCAGGCAGAAAGAATCGCATTGTCAGCTACTGAAATTTAATGTATGACCACGCAGTTGATGGCCACAAAGCTGCCGATTCAATGACATGGCCCCCTATCTCCGACATGAGTCAGTACTTCAATTGGATCCCTGATCGAGGCTTCAGAATAGGGAAAGCCTCTGTAATTGAATCCAGAACCAATTTTCGCTCCCTGAAAGAGTAAAATATTCCTTAGAAACCCGAAAGGGGCACTTCATGTCTCTACTGGTACGGCTACCATATCAGCTCCTTCCGAAAGGGCAGCGAGGAGGCGGTAGCAAAGGAGCTCACCTTTACTGTGTGCCCTCGAGCAGCGACCGCTTCTGCAATCTTTTTCATGTTAAAGAGGTGGCTGAGCGGGCCTGGCATCAGCACAGACAAGACGGTCCCACACTGCGCATGCCGGACTACAATCGACAGACACAAGCAGGCCAGGATTGCCCTCCTCATAGCCATATCGACCATTTTACCAGTCTTCTTCTATTACCAGATTTCTCATGAATTGATAATTCTGTCTTGACGGAACAAAAAGGAAAGGAAAGAAGGTTCCGTCCGACATGACGTGAGGCACCTCCGTGACGCAAAAAGCATGCCTAAGGGTTCCCCATCAGGTGTCTTCACGCGCAATGAGGTGAGATGAGAAGCCTCTGAAGCAGCTGTTGTGATCACTTGAAGCTTTTGGCTCCTTCGCATCATATCATTGAAAGATTAATACTATCCTCCACGAGGGGCATCAGAAGAAAGTCAGACAGTGGGTCTACATGGCATCCAGCGCTGCAATATTGCCCATTAATGGGCGAGCTGATCATGATAAGATCTGACTGAAGTGCTAGAAATGCGGTCATCCCAGCCTGAATTCAAAGCGGGTCATCTCTCATCGCCTTTCAACCAAACTCATTGATTGGAGCCAAGATCTACTCATTGCACTGGATTTAGAGGCAATGCACCCTTCCAGCAATCACTGGCATCAGCTGACAATGTTCAGCTGTATGGTAATTAACCCCAATGGCACCTCTGGTCAATCTAGCTAAACGATTTCAGGAAACATCTCCTGCCCTGGATGAAGCCAGGCTGGAAATTAGGCGGTCACTACTGCCTAACTTTCCGTGTCTACTAATACAAGAAATAATGATACTATGATATTCTCAAGACAGAGTCCAGATTGGATCACCTAAGAAAAGTCTCAGTCCGCAGCGCTTGCAGCTGACAGACGCAGACACATCCAGCATAGGACGTCCAGTTCGCCTCATCTGTCCGTCTCAAATTCAAATTCGAGTCCACTGCGCGCGCTTCGCAGCTATCAGACGGCTCACGTGAGTGTCTCGTGCTTTGCCATTTCCATGTCAATGGTCGCCACTGTGAGGCCATATCGCGGGTTTCCCAGGCGGCTGATGGGCGCTAGCTGCTCTGTCTCAATGCAGGGTCTCCCCTTGTCATCTTCCCCCATTACCCCCTCGCTGGCATGCATCATTATGACCTCCCCGATCAGGATGGTGGCATGCGTCTTGCCCTCCCTGCTTGCAAAAAACACACAGGACTGTCAAAATCTGCATGCACGAATGAACTGGGGTGAGCAAAGCTGTATCTGTTGCTCTCTACCCTGCTGACGTGAGCTCACAAACATGGCTTCTGTCTTGATAAAGAAAGCTGCGCTGTAGAACTGGTTTTCTCAAATTGCCGAACGCAAGGCAAGGATTCATGGCATTCTCAGAGGTACATCCATCTACCCGTCTTGACAATTCCTTGATGCATACTGTCTCATGGGTGCGATATATCCATGAGCTTAACATGGTGCACCCTGTACGCGCATCAGAGAGAATGCACGAGCATAAGAATGCTCACTTGTTGATGATGGGGTATTGGTGTCTCAGCACGCACTCCAAATGCACCGCTGACTCTGCAACTCGAGGCGGCTTCACCTGTGCATGGCAGTGCAGACTCTCAGATGTGACATAAAATGACATACCGTGACATAATATGCCTTATCACCATCATCTGACGATACAGTATATCTTGATTGGGCAAGGCCGGTCTGATGTGATTGCTCTGCACTGTCCTGTGTGTGTAAGGACCCAAAGAATTAAAACCCAAAAAATTAATTATTTGGGGCCAGGGATCCACATCATATGAAGTGACATGATTTATGCATCAAGTGGGATTGTGCTCACCTTTACAGAGGGCATGGGGGTCAGGTTTGCAGCCTCCCACTCGCTTTCGTTGTGCTCATAGTCACCGCAGGTCACGTTGGCTGCTTCCAGCATCCAGTGGCTGATAACATTGACCACAAACTCCCTGCACACATGCAATCAGACCGTGAGCTGTTTGCAGGTACCACCTTCTGTAATGTGGCATGGCATTAGGTCCTTGTCTGTCCTAGTTGCAGCATCTTCACTTGACAGGATAGAGCGCTCATCTGCATTTTAAAAACGTCACTCAAGCAGAGCTCTCACGGTGGCACATCAGGCTTGTTTCATCTGCGTACATGACAGAGTATCCATACATAAATGGCTGCAGCAAGGGGCTGAAAGAAGGCTGACCCTGTCTCGGTGATGTTCTGCTGTGAGTCCTTCGTTCCATCCCCGGGCCGCCCCCTGGTGGTCATGGCTCCAATGCACACGTATGGCTGCGCAGCAAGAAAAAAAGTCAATGCTCTGGTAGTGCAGGCCAAAAAAGCTGACAACAAGTGGTTGAAGTGGTCTGCTACGAGGCACCTCTTAACCTACAGAGGTCAATCCCATCACATGCAAGCTGCACACAGAATCACAATGCTGCTGCTGATCCTCCTCAAAAGGTGCTGTGCAGCAGGGAATGGATGAAGCTCCATCACATTTCACTGTCCATCACTGAGGGCAATTAATTTCGTTGGGTTCATGATGTGCAGTGCTCACCGGGTCACAGGACATGATGTTGAAGAAGGAGTAGGGGGCCAAATTGCTGACGCCCTGCAGACAAAGATAAAATTTATGATAAATTCGCAGTGGATTGTTTGGCAGGTGGCCAGCTGCTTCGGTGTTTAACAGACCGCTGTCAACCTGCAAACACTAATTTTGGAGGTAGTGGGTCGCAGCTCGAAGTGAAGTACAAAACGGTACCGTGGCTATGGTGGATAAAAAAGGATGACAGGTGCGAAAGAGTAGAGCAGGCAGGCTTCATCTAGCTCCATGTTGGTCAAACACTGTTGTACCGTGCCCTGCCCAAGAAGGTTATCAGTACCTCTTTGCTGACGGTGGAGAGCAGTGCAATCGGTCGTGGCACCACAGCTGTGACGACGAAGGGGTAAAGCTTGTGTCTCCACACCTGCAGTAACCGGTGACAACGATTGATGAGCAGACGGGAGTCTTGTATCCAGCACACCCTGCATGTCCTGCCAGGATGCAATGCCACACATCAATTGAACATCAGAATTGGAGGAGATAGGACGTGCCATTTACAGGTGCACACTTGCTGCTGACGTGATCAGGGTTGACAGCAGGCTTACCGCAGGATCAAGTGTCCTGAATGGCTGGTCTTTGTACGGCATAGACTGCTTTTCTCCACTTTCTGGCGACCAGTTTGGATGGGGTATTGGTAGATGTTCAACTCTCGGCAAAAGGACTGCCTCTTGCGGAGGATCCGCATCCCTGCAGCATCTGTTGCCTTTACCAAACAAACAAGTAGAGGAAGAGGTGTAACACAATTGAGATAAAAACGCAGAAGAAAAAATAAGAAAATAGTGCAGTAAGGTAGCAAACGAATCGGTTCCACGCGCCTTTTGCTGTCGATGGACTGGTCGACTGCAGCAGATTCCGTGGTGCAAGCCATTGTGATTCGCAGAAACTCTCTTTGAGCAAGGTTCACAAAACTGAGCGATTTTTGGACTTTGGGGGAGGGCAGCAAGGCCACCCGCCCTTAAGTCTGCTCCAAACGTAAATTTGGTGGAGCATTTGCATTCACTACGTAAAAGCAGGGTTTTAACACGATACACACCCTTGTTTTAGGGGATTTTATCCTAGGTTTCAAATGGTCAAAGCACCAAGCACAAACCTCATTCCCATTGGCTGAAATATTTTTTTCTTATTGCAACGTGCAGCTAGAGCGCTTTCTGTCCAGCTAGAACATTCTGAGCAGTTTACAATATTCCAGCGCTGCTTTTGCACGTGTTCGTATTTGTACAATGGAGGGCCGCATGCACATATGTGCATGCACATGCCATGCCGTGCGCCTTCAACGTTAGTTTAATGGCCTGAAGGTCAATGAAGCTGCTGACAACCGTTCTATGCAGCGTAGCTATGATCATACATTATCCAAAGTTCGGGTTAACCGCTTTTTAATTCCTTGCAGGCAGACTGCAGCTGCAGCCTGGCCCGGGAGCACCATACATTATTGGATCACCAAAATTGCATACAAATTTGCCAGCATTCCTGGATTGTCTTAGCTAAGCAAATGTTCCACTGACAAGGTGTGCTACTGTGCATGGCCACGTGGCAACACTCACACAGTGGATCCTAGTGCACTCCAAAGCCATTTGCAAAGATATAGCATGCTGTTCTAAGCAGGAATACAGTACGCTTGGGCAGCATCACAGGCCCAACACCATGATCATTTCTAAAAGCACATACATGACACCAGGAGGATAAAGTTGCAGCACGATTGGAGCAATGGCATTCATGCATTCCTGAGCTCCAGGATCCCCTCAAGTTCAGTTCCTCTTCTCACCCCAGTTGAAGCACTTGCGCTGTCTCCCTGACGGCACACGCACAGAGCACATGCCAGCGAATGCCAGGAACGTCTGCTCATGGGATTTTAAGGCACCAGAGGGCACTGTGAGAGATGACCTTGATGCTCTTGGGCATCCACGTGAGTGGTGGAGGAAGTGCAGGAATCGAAAAGACTGGAGAGCAATAATCCAGGTGTTGCTTGACATACCTAGTCCTCAAGGACTGGAAAACGTGTAAAAATGAAAAACGATAAAGAGAGTACTGAAGCCTTTGCCTAAGGGACCAGGCGCGGCAGAAATTCAGCCTTTTGCAGGCATCCCCGGCATGCGCCGCTGCGGCAGGCAGGAAAAAGATTCCTTGTGCCAGCAGCACTCACCTCGCCCAGCATCTCACCATCAACCCAGTAGATCTCTTCGGTCCATCGACTGCCCTGCCATGGAAGAAATCAATGTGTGGAGATTGACTGAACCCTATGTTGGCTGGCAAGACATAGTCTCTCTCGTATTGCCCTGCCTGGCCCTCAAACAAGCCAAAGCGTTAGTTCGAAAGTCGGGCTCCTCTCCAGAAATCATGTAAAAAAAGTGACTTGGCTGCGCGGCACATAAGGCGCAGCTGCAGTTTCTGTTTAACAGAAGAAGTGGCAGTTATTATTGTCCGCTGCCCAAAGTTCAGGCCCTGTATAGTGCTGCGAGTATCCTCTCCCTAACTCTTTGCGTGTAGAAAAGAAACCAGGGCAACCTGCATATTACAACAGCAAAGGTTGTGTCTAACAGTCATGCATCTATCCATGAACAGCTGTTAGATCCACCCAAAAAATACTGAAGCTTCTTCTACAGTATCTCATTCCTGCCTACCATGCAGCCCGATGTGCCTGCATGCAGTGCCCGGCGCTACTAGCGGCCTGTGTAACTCTCGCTACTGTGCTGCACCTTCCGATAGAAAAAAAATACTCAGGCTGCCTTCTGCTTGCTGCCGTTTGAAGCTGTAAGGCCGCAGCACAGCAGCTGCAAGAGCTTGACCGCTGCACAGAGCACAAGAGCAATCGCGCCCAAAGCAACGGCCCAGACGTCCAGCGACAAGCGCACAAAGTGTGGCAGGTCCTCGTCGGGAGTGCGGAGGTACGCCTCTCCGCCCGTGGCCAGCACATGCTCCACCCAGTCTGCGCGCATCATGTGACACCTTATATGCCGACTCTTCTGAAGATATGAAAAATCAAGTTCGTTGGACTAAAAATGTTGACAATAAACAGCAGAATTGCTAAACAGTCTCTTACTGCTACTTGGTCTTAATTGTGCAGACAAGCATCGCTCAGGCAAGATCAGCATTGCATTGGCTGCTTTATGGCAGGCCCATTTCATGATTGGACTGCAAGGTGCGGACTGCATGCACAGCATTACTATTTATACAGTCCTACCCTGTGCAGAGAACAACACCACAAGTGAAGACAGTGACTCACCGGCGGCTTCCTGAGTGGGCGTCCGCGGCCGCGCGCGCAGCTTCACCGACAGCTTCTCGGCAGCCGCCGCAAAGCTGGGCTCTGTCAGCACGCGCCTGATGGTTTTGGGGAAGCGATCGGTGCCGATGTCAGCATGACTCACCCGCAACGCAAAGCCCTGCGGCCAGCATTGCATCACGATTAGTCAGTTGCATGCTTGATTATCAGGGCTCATGAACAAGAGAAATATCAGATCTAAGAACTGTGTTTGACGGCAGAGGAGCCAAAAGACACAAGCCCATGCATGGCTAAAGCAGGGAATGTACAGCACAGCAGATGATCGCTGTGTGGATCGCACGGCGCAGCATTTGATACCAGACATGCAAAAGATGTCTGTAAAGTTGGCGCACCCGCGCGACTGCCTTGTCGGCGTTTGCCGGCTGGTCGGCAAAGAAGGGCAGCGCCACAATGGGAACGCCGTGGTACGCCGCCTGCAGAACATTCGCAAATGGGCACTTAGGATCCTCTGCATATCAAGACAACTTTCTCCAGAAAATGGCAGAGGCACAGGTGAGCCAGGTGGCGCGCATTGAAACAGTTGTTGAGTATTAAAGTGTCTTATAAGGTATCAGTGACAAGGGTCATGCTCTTTTTACCTCGTAAAGTCCATTCACACCGCAGTGTGACAGGAACGCCTTTGTACGGGGGTGGCCCAGCACATCATTCTGGGGCAGCCACGTCGCCACCTGTCAAGCATGCAGATTTCAGCAATTTTAGCTACAGATGGTAAATATTTTTTCTACTGGTGATATGTCAACAGCAGGATACTTGCAGGTCGTGGGCCTGGCAACAAGCAGCAATGAAAGATCAAGGGGACAGTGCACTATGTAGAAATTCAGTCCGCACCACATGGCCAGATGGTGCAAGACATTTCGAGGGTGCAGGCACAAGCATCACACCTTTGTGTTGTTGCCCAGGTGCAGGTCTGCGATGGCTGACTCATCTGGCACCTCAGACTTGGACAGCCGCCACAGCACACGCACCGGCAACTTTGCGAACGCAGCCGCCATCGCCTGCCTCTCCTTCAGCCCTGTTTCGCGCAAAAACATGTTTCCTTCAATCTTTCATAGCTCAAGGATTCAGCAGTGGCTCTCCATTTGGTACACAAGCACAGTCAGCTGAAAGTCTACCAGCAGTTTTGGGATCGGCAGTGATGCCTCTGATTGCCCTGTTGAAAATTTCCCGAGCTGCTAGCAGCGGGACAGAGAGGAACAAGTCAGGCTTGGAATGGATGGACAGAGGCAAATTGGGAGGAGCGCACCAAGAGTTGCCACAGTGCCCATGGCGACAAGCAGCACTCCATTGTCGCCTGCTCCCTCCATGAACGCCTGATCATGCCAGTATGCTTCAGATGCTGACTTAGATGCCTCAAAACATTGCATCCAATGCTGTGACAATCACATCTCCAACGGTCAGCACCACAAATGCCGTCACAGGTGCTGCAGGTGCGCTGCAAACCGCATGGCTGACATTGGCTTTTGCACACATGCAGAAAATCATACAAACACAAAATCTCAATAAGGAGATTTAGGAGATACCAGCTCTGTGCAAAGTTCAGGTCGGCAGGCACCGGCCGTCCGGATTCAGGCAGAACATGCAAGCCAGCATAGGCACTCTTTTGAACCCGAAATCAAATAGTTGCAGCCAGAAGAGGAGGCTGCCCACCTCGAGATCTTTGGGCAGCGGCCGGGCAGGCTCGGGCAGCAGCGGCCCGACCAGCTTGAAATTTGGCGTCATCGGCCGGAGCCACTCGATCGCAAAATCCGCTATGCACAGTGTCATCGTCAGACGACAGCGTTCCCTTGGCGCGTCCACATCCACGCCAAACTTCCGGCTGCATGCGCCACATCAGCGCCAGATTGACTAGTCAGTCATATCCTCACCATAGCCTCATAGCACATCTAATAGCACAAGTCCGATGCCAGAAATGGTCCCTATGTCACTTTCTTTTGGAGTGTGATAGCAGGAAGGATGCCGAGTCGTTGTCTGCCTGAAAGACGCTCCATTCCTCTGATAGCAAGATATTTTTTTGGGAACCTTGCAGATGGAGGCAGACAAGATTTTACGTAAAAAGGGGGGACTCACAAGAACTTGTGGACGAGCGGCCGCACTACCAAGTAGTCATCGACCTGGAAGCGCCAGTACTTGATAAAGTTCTGCACCCGCTGCACGAAGCTCTGCACAGCCACAAAATGCCATCAGTCCCTCAGATTGAGCAACCAAAGACCCCTCAACCCAGGCTGCGTCAGGCAGACATGCACGGCAATGCAAGCCTGATGCCTGCATCCCACAATACAACTGCAGCACCCTGTCTCTGATGCGTAATACGAGCACAGAAGCACACAAAAGCAGGAACTTCACTTTGAACCCCTCCCTGCAGCAAGAGGCCTCTGCTTTTTAAGACAACGCTGTAAAACATTTCTCCCTCTGAGTAAGGAGTGACTTGTATAAATTTGTGGAGTGGACCGCACCATGTGCTGTGTCTGGATGTCAGTCTCCATCTGGGGGAAATATGCGAGAGGGTTGGGGGTGAATGCATTGCGATTGCTGCCGCGCCACAGTGAAGTGGCAAAGGGCTCTATCGGCGCCGCCAGCCAGAAGTTGACAAATGGCACGTCCAATCTAGACGCCAGCACCTGTTCCACATTCAAACGAAAACTCAGCTGCCAGCTGCGCTGTGGCCTCTCTATTGCCCTGCAGTGCCTGAATATCGGAACAGTGGGCAAGGAAACTGCTAGATCTGTTGACTTTGTAAGTGCAGGCTAGGCATGTGCGCATGGCTGAGTGCGGTAGTCGGGTGTTGCATGTGATTGTGTGAGTATGCTGCGTAAACAAGCAAGCCTGGCATATTGTTGCAACAAGATAGCACGGCATCAGGCAGTCGATAAAGCAGGTGTGACAGGGGGTTAATTACCTGGGTGCAGGGGCTCATTGTTTCCGCCAGCATGAGCTCTGCTTTGTGCTCCTGCATGCATGCAACAAAAAGGTAAGAGATACGGATGCTCTAGCACCAAGCGCCTGTGCTTACATTACCGCACAATTACTTGTCTCTGATGCATCTGCCTAACGTCTGGACGCTTCGCAGTCATCCGGTATCACATGCCCAGATGCAAGAACGTGTGGGCACTGGCCAGCCTCTGCCTGGTCTGAGCACACCCAAGGACAAATGGAAAATAATCTTACCCTTATGTCCGCCATGAGGGTCTCATTCGAGAGGAGGCTGTTGCACGCAGTCTCAAAGATTTCCATGATCTGGGAGATGCTCTGCAGGAACGTCTGGGGCCCAGTCAACTTCAGCGATGCCGCATCCAATGCGCCTTCACCCCTTGGCGGGAGACTGTACGTGGAAATTGGAATGTTGGTCGGCTGCAGCTTTGCAGCATCGGTATCGAGAGCAAGAAACTGCGAGCAAAAATGGCACATCAAGCAGTGTAAGAAATCCAGACATCATAAAATCAGCCGCAACGTTGGGAGTTGGTATTTGATTGCATATCCTAGACTTGTAGACTTTCCAATGAACAGAATCTTAATTGGGGCAGTGCTGCCACAGGATACTCCGATGGGCTTCAAAGGCTGTGGTGGTGGAGGGCCATCCTGCTATGTACACTTCCAAGCAATTTCGAATACAAACCTTCACTGTGTGTCCACGAGCTGCAACCGCTTCTGCAACCTTCTTCATTCCAAAGAGGTGGCTCTGTGGTCCCGGAAGCACGATGGACAGCACCCTCGCGCAGTGCCCATGCGGCACTGCCACTAACAACCACAGGCAGGTCAGGCCCAACCATCTCATGTCCATGATTCCTGATAATCTCAGGACTTCTCCCCGAACATCTGAACAGAAAAAGCAATGCGCTGATCGAGGAAGGAGAAGGAGGGAGCAGCCGCTCGCTCGCCGCTGATGACGTCAAATCCAATTTCGTAAGCAGATTTGAAGGGTGATGTCAAGTGCGCCAGACGGAGCAGTTGAGATGAAGCGCATTTGCATGCATGACCCTGGTCCGTGGTTGTGCACAATACCCAGACAATCAGGGTGATGCGCGTCTTAAAAAAGCTTTCAGACGCGCTGCATGCATGTATGCACTGCATGGGACCCGGCAGCGGACTCCAGGGGATCCCCGGACTAGTCAAAGTGATGATGATGCCCCCCGGCGCCAACCGCCGCTCAGACCTTGAACGGGATCACCTCACCCTCAACTCACCCCTCAACATCTCCAACACGAGCCACTCAAAATTGGACCGCAACACATTTATTCAAAACAAACCAGATCCGAGCAATATGATAATGCTCATGAGATTGTTATGCATAACAATGATAATCGTCTGTTATCATCATGATGTGTGCATGCACATGCCAACTGGTGAGTGACTATTAGTCATGACCTTATGCACTAGCACTAGTGTTACTCCTAGAAGTAGGCCTAGGCCTACTAGGAATACCGTAGTCTAAGTTGTCAGTAACAGCCCGTGGCCATCAACCAAACATTTGTTTAAAAAGTCTATTGGCTCTGTGTGACATGACAGACTCCCTTCAAGTGCACCATCTCCCCGTAATCCCCTCGAAGGACTGCTCCGTCCTAAAGACGGCCCGTTCTCCACCCACCTCGCCATTTGCAGTACAGCAGTACTAGTCAAGCACCGGGCTTGAATCATCCTCTATAGAACACCATTAACCAATTCAATGTTCCTTTTTAATAGAACATACATACAATGAAATCAAGGTAGGCACCAGGCACGCTAATGTGCACCCTGGTGTGCTTATTCAGTCTAGGCAACATGTGGGAATCTCCACATGAGAAGAAGAAGAAGTAAAACAGGCCGCGTGGCAGTCTGTGCTAAGTGCAAGACTATTACTGGAAAGATTCCTGGTGATACAGGGCAATTGCAGCCTCCTTGCAGACCCGTGATTTGGAGCAGACACAGACCTCAAAGGCAATGGTAGGCAGGCATTGCTGCTCCCGAAGAGATCTGTATTCCCTAATGAAGCCCCGGGGAACACGCTCTGAAAGCGCTGATTAAAGACACGCCCTGGCATGGTGACTGCCATCACATGTCATTGCTGCGAATACGATTTTCAGGTTATCGGCCATAAGGTTCGGCGCTCCCTAAACTGAAGAGTCATGCAGCCTTTTTTGCGGCGCCATTTTCCAATGATCTGCTGAGTGCGTAAGCAATCAGCTGCGTCAGTTTACTGAAGATATAGATGACTAATGCTGCGCTGACTAAGAATATGGCCCAGACGTCCAGCGACCACAAAACGAAGAGCGGCAGGTCGTGCTCTGGAGTGCGGAGGTACGCCTTCCCGCCTGTGGCCAGCGCATGCTCGATCCAATCTGCACACGCAGACATGTCAAGACCATGTCACCTGGTAAGAAATCCCCGGCTTGCTTTGTGTGCAACAACAGAGGAACCTTGCGCAACAGGTTATAGGCTCGAGTGATTACATATGATGAGAGTGGCTCATGAATGTCTCATTTCCAGCCATGTTGGTTGCCTGACATCTCACGCTGCAAAGGCACTGGATGATGTTGCACAAGCATAACAAGAGCATGTGGCGCACCGACTGCCTCCTGCACCGGTGTGCGCTTGCGCGCGCGCAGCTTCACGGAGATGCTCCTGGCAGCTGCCGCGTAACTGCCGTTGCCGAGAAGCTCGGCGAGCGCAGCAGGGAACGCCTCTGTGCCGATGTCACTGTGCCGCACAGGCACAGCCATCCCCTGGATCACCAGAAAATCTTATTATCAGAGTGACTCTCCAATTATGCACTTTGTGCTGTTAATTCACACACGGTGCGCTGTCTGCCTGTCAACTTCTCCTGGCCTGAGGAGGCCCATGGCTTGTACTTCTTGAGACAGCGCCTAACGTATAGATCACTGCCACGAGGATGAGATCGAGGTTCTCTTGTATCCAATCCGATCAGCCAGTCACATGGTTACTACCCTTGAAATGAAGAAGGGGTAATAATTGTGCGCACCCTTGCCACTGCCTGCCCAGCATTGCCCGGCTGGTCCCCAAAGAAGGGCAGCGCCGCAATAGGCACTCCATGGTACGCTGCCTGAGACATGCCATATATTTGTCATTCAAATCTGGAGATGACAACTGAGCCATTTCATGATGCAGCTTTCAAAAAAGAAGTACGCAACTTCTCTGTTCCTCTCTGATCTGAGCATAGAAGAACAATCATGGTCCGCTGATCGAAATCAACTTAAAAGTGTCATGAGGTGGATTACCTCATAGAGGCTGTTTGCGCCGCAGTGTGACAGGAACGCCCTCGTGCGGGGGTGGCCCAACACATCGTTCTGAGGCAGCCACGTCGCCACCTAGCACAAGCATGCAATTACTAAGTGCCGTCCACACCATGACTACTTACTCTTGGGTAGTCTGGTATCACCTCAACAGCGGCATACTTGCAGGTTGTGGGCCTGGCATTAGACACAGGATGCGGTGCACCATGTGGAATTCACTGGAAATTTTACTCCACAGCATATGGCAGGAACGGCAGGAATGGTGCAAGACAGAGAAGAGGTGTGCAACTACAAGGCACTCACCTTGGTGTTGTTGCCCAGGTTGAGCTCTGCGATGGATGATTCATCTGGCACCTCAGACTTGGACAGCCGCCACAGCACACGCACCGGCAGTTGAGCAAACGCAGCTGCCATTGCTTGCCTCTCCTTCAGCCCTGCACCAACACATACTCTATCGGCTGCGAATCCCTTTGTACGCATTTCCATCATCACATCATCAATGCAACCAGAGGCCCTGTGCTATGCCTGCCATGGGTGAAGCTAATCAACCAAAGCATGCGAGGCGGGTATTCCAGGCCTGACTATTCACTACTGACATGTGCGACAAAGTGTGGGATTAGCTGATTAGCGCCAGTTAAATTTTACCCAGAGGACCCACCCAGTGTCGCAACTGTTCCCATGGCAATGTACAGCACACCCTCTTCCCCAGCTCCCGCCATGAACTCCTGGGCAGCAACACCCCCATCACTCATGAAAGCCAAAGATCCACAGCTTTATGCATGCGGCTGTGAAACGTGCGCGAGTCATTTGTCCAGCAACATATCTTGCACAGCACCCAAGCACCAATTATTTCAAGGGAAACGTGCAGGCACTCCTTCAGAGGATGCAGCCAGAACAGGAGGTGCCCACCTCGAGATTAGCGGGCAGCGGCTGGGCAGGCTCAGGCAGCACGGGGCCGATCATTTTGAAATCCGGCGGCATCGGCCGCAGCCACTCAATTGCAAAGTCCGCGATGCACAGCGTCAGGACCATTCGACGGCGTTCCCTTGGCGTGTCCAAGTCTATACCGTGCTGCCGGCTGCACAGGAATCCCGATCATTAATGACTTGACTTTGGAATTAGCACAGGGATTCTGTAACTACATGAAGGCAATGCACTTACAGATAGTATTGTGGTACTCCCTGATTGGCACTCTTATTTTGTGGTGCTGGCTCGTGCATACAAAGCCTTTTGTCAAGTCAGCCACCGCACGCAGGGCATGCCCAAAGGTGCATGGGACAAGGGTGAATCTCCGGGGCTCTGATTCAAAAGACATGGAGCTCTCAGATTGAATCAAGTGATGCCACTTTTGGTTGTCATGGGTACAAGGTAATGAGGGGGGAAATGGGTCGCGCACTAGGTTTTGAGGACCCCCGGCCGCACGTACAGGTAGTCGAACAGGTGCGTCTGCCAGTACTTGACGAAATTCTGCAGCCGCTGCGCAAGGCTCTGCACGCCAACACCACCCTCCTTAGACACAAGCACTCTTCTTGCACACTTTGATAGTGACCACACCAAGGCATGCACTTCTAGACCTTCTCCATTTACACATGTAGAATCCCCGTCCACTATTATGCAGACATGCATTCCACGAGTAGAAGTGTCAAGACATATGCTCGGACATGCATGCTCTACCATTGCCACTTGCCAAGGCACCACACCCACAGCACCCATGCCGTCTTGCTGCCGCTCAAGCTTCTGTGGGCTTCTTTCAAGCTTCTTTAGAGGCACGATCTGGCTGCAAAGTGCACAGCAGTCTACAGTGTAGAGGAAAGGTTCATGAGGTGGCAGCGCACCAGGTACTGTGTGGCAAAGTCCTGCTCCATCTGGGGCACGTAGCTGAGGGGGTTTGAGGTGAAGAAGCGGCGGTTGCTGCCGCGCCAGAGGGAGGTGAGGAAGGGTTCTATTGGGGACGCGCCAAAATAATTCACAAAGGGCAGGTCGAGTCTAGACGCCAGGATGTTCACGCAGGGGAACATAGAGGTCCCCAGGAGCAGCTCTGCCCCAAAGTCCTGCATGCAACAGGTCAGCCCATGATGTCATCAAGGCTGCTGAGATTAGATTGACAACAGCTCCGTACGGGCTGCTGCATGTTGAATTGGCAAGTTTCGGGCAAGCATTGGGTGAATTGTGTCTGTCACTGAATGCTGTAGGATCCTGTGTGATATTCTGGTAGGCAGGAGAGAGAGGCAACTAGCTTGAGGAAGCCACAAGGTCATTGGCCTCTCGAAAACATTCCATGCGATCTGGAACGCCTCCATACAATTGATTGATCTGCCAAACTTGCGGACGCCTGCGTGACCCTCGGCAAGAAGCAGTTGAGCAGGAGATGGGAAGCAGAAGCAATTCTACATCTGATAGATCTGGGCATCACCTGGATCTGAGCCATGACAGAGGCGTTGTCCAGGAGGCTGTCACAGGAGTTGCCAGCGATGGGCTGGTACTGGGCCACAGTCGCTATGAGGCTGTGCGGCCCCGCTAGCTGGATGCTACCCGTAGCTGTCTGCCCCTTCCATGGACGCACAGGGTAAGACATGACATTCACATCTGTCGGACGCAGCCGCTCAGCATCCTTCTCTGCTGCGAGGAACTGCGCACAGCGACACCATCGTCAGGTCCCCAGGGAACGACGGCTGGTAAGAGGTACCGTTGATTGTCGGCATCATCAGTATCCGAGAAGAGTGCCCTCCGGGGAGAAAATTATGTATTGGAACCTCCACTTCAGTGCCCTGGGGTATTTGGGGGTGCATGCCTCACTTATGGAGGTCTAGTGCTTTCCGGAGTAAAGGGGCAGCCACGGTTGTTACAACCGTCCTTGTATGAGAGATAGAATGTTCAAGGATGTACTGAAGCCCTCGAGCCAATGGGCTTTGCAAGAAAATGAGCTCCAAGAGAAGCAGATGTGAGATGCTCTAGCCAATCTTGCAGATCCAAAAGGGAGGCGCAAAACGCACCGCCACTTTGTGTCCTCTCGCAGCCATTTCCAATGTGATCTTCTTCATGCCAAACATGTGGCTCTGAGGGCCGGGTGTGATGATGGTGAGCACCGTTCCGGCCCAGCCATCGACTGCCCACCCCAGTAAGAGCGCCAGCAGGAGGCCGTGTCGCCATGGCTCCATCCCCCTTATGGTTGCAGAATAAAGACGATCAGCATTGACAACTGAGCCACATCCTCCTCCTCCTCGTAGCGGTCAGTGTGACGTGAAAGAGGCCTTGAGTCATCCATACCCTGCACAGGGCTTTCAAGCAGCAACCTGATATTAGAGGTCCGTTGCGAGGGTCGAGATTCGGTTAGTAGCATTTCGAACTAGAAAACTTCGTGGTAGAGCTCAGATCAGTAACATCAGCGTGATGCGCGTGCATCCTTCCAGATTTCGTCGCCCAGAGTCGCATCGTCTGAACTCTCGCTGCGCCGTGAATGCAGCAGCAGTTGCCGCATGGATGTTAGGACAGCGGAGGTAGCACTAGATGGTCTCGCCTAGTACACTGCGGGTGCTCCTGGTGTTCGGAGTTGCAGCGGGGTTGGTTCAGTCAGGCTCGGCAGCCCAGGCGAAAGTAGAATTATACCGAAAGAACAGGACTTTGGATAAGAACCCGGCACGGTCGTCGCGAAACGTACTCTGTGAGTGTCCTAGCTCCTCCTTGGCCGGCATGGCTCGAGACGCTGTTCAGCCTGGACCCGGCCCTAGCTAAAATATCTATTGATGTTGAGATCAGAATGGGTGGTTCCTTGTTTCTGCTATTCGAGGTTTCCAGGAGGGACAGGTCCGGGCGAGCACGTAGACATATAGTGTGCCCAAGTCCCTGTTAGCCACTGGATGCGAACTTCATTTTGCAGTCCACTAGGCCTGCTTCTCTGTGTGGGATTTGGTTGCTGTCATAGATCTCAATTGGGGGCGGGAGGATATTGAATACGTTTCCTTATGCGCGCAGACTACGGCAGTATAAAGCTTGGGACGCCGTCACAGGAGGTGACCGTGTGCTTTGACACGGGTTCTGCAGACCTATGGGTTCCCTCGACCGAGTGCAACAATCCTTCGTGCCTCACCCACAATCGCTTTAATCCTGCACTGTCACCCACCCACCAGGTGGGCCTTTCACCAGCACTTCTCTACCCCTGCAATCCCCTGCAAGGACAGACGTGGGCAATCCCAACAAGGACATACACCACAATCATTGCATGCAGCGCTTTCTCCTAAACTTCGAGAAAATATTTTGTCGCAAATTGCGCTGAAGCAACGTGCAGGCTGTTGGGTGTTTTTTCCAACTGCTGATAGTGGCATGTGTGGTGGCAATGCAACAGGAGACCGGGGGAGAATTCAGCATTAAGTATGGCACGGGCGCGGTGCATGGCAATGTCGTTACAGATGTACTGCAGCTGGCAGAGCCTCCAATAGTGGTGCCAGACCAGGGCTTCGGCTTGGCACAGGACCACTCTGCTGACTTCGCCTCAGCTTCCTGCGATGGCATTTTCGTGAGTGCCCATCCGCCCATGCATCCTTGCATGCCCCTATTTTGCTATCAGGAGCTTATGTCAGCCAGTTCCTATCTCTAGTGTACAATACTCAGGTCCAGAAACAAACAGCCTTCAGATCGCACAGAAACCTCAACTTCATTGCCTCAGCCTCTGCTGCAGCGGTGTTTGCTTACATCATCTGGTGATGGGCTGACGCAATGGCTTGGCATTTGCTTCCTTTGGATGTTCATTTGCATGACTAATTCTGAAGCTCAAATTCGATTATTTCATGTCACATCTCACGGTGGCTCGACCCTGCCAAGGGGCTGGCGCAACTGCATCTTCCAAATTGAAATTGAAACTCAAATATTTGAGGTTACTGCTCTTTTTTGGCGCAGGGGCTGGCGTTACCGGCGCTGTCAAAGCAGGGGCAGCTGCCTGCGTTCTTCCGCATGCTGGAGAGCGGCTTGCTGGACGAGCCGCTGTTTTCCATCTGGCTCTCACCGGATCCAACCCTGGAGCCGGCCGGCAAGATCCTGTTTGGCGGCCACAATCCGGCGCGCTACACCGGCGAGCTTCTGGACCTGCCAGTCATCTCCAAGAAGTGCGCGCACTGCCCCTTTCTATATCATATGTGATTTGCAAGCCTCATTCTTGCATGACATGCAGCAACAGCAGCAGAGTGCTCAGATTGCTGCAAAGTGGGATTGCCTGCTCATGCCTCCCCTGTGTCCTACGCGGGCGACAACGTCTGGTGGTGTCTAGCTGGCATAAGCGACTGGCAGAATTGTGAGTGCCGTGGCCTCTGCAAGCAGATATCCTTGACTTTATGGATCCTGCACTTCGGATGAGAGAATATGTCAGAGTGATCGCCCGTGGCAGTCCATGCATGAAGCTGGTGGTCAGCTGTTGAGAAGAAGAATGAAAACGATGCAGCGAAGTGAGGGACTGAAGTGGGGTTTCTATTGTTGCTGCCCAGGTACTGGATGGTGGCGCTAGATTCGATGACGGTGGATGGGAAGATAATCCAGGGGCTCCAGGCGGACGGGGCCATTATGGATACAGGGACCTCACTCATAACCGCCAGCGCCGCCGATGCAGCCACCATCAACGCGGTGCGTGATCTCACAGTCACTCCAATGAGATTGCTCCTCTGCAGAGCTCAATTTGAGGTGTTCATATTTTTGAGAGCAGCCTTTTCGGGTATGTGCTTGTGTCACTCCGTATCCTCTGCAACACCTGGAGCAGCCTGTTAGTAAAGTGCTCAAGCACGAGTAGTAGTCTGCATTGTCCTTGCGGGTCAGCTGCGGTTCATCTGCACAGGCAGTGCACTGCAGCGCAGGCATTGATGCTGTGAAGAAATGCCTATCCTAATCATTTGCCTTTTTGCCATTTGCGTTCAGCATCTGGATACCCAACCGCGACAGCTGACAAAGTGATGGCTTGTCTGCGTGCAGGCGATTCCCGGGATGGTGTTTTCGGCGGATACAAAGACATGGAGGGTTGATGGTGGGTGTGCCAATGTGGACGCCATGCCGGCGGTCTCCTTCATCATGGGAGGCAACCAGTTCTCACTGGGGCCACGGCAGTACATAATCCAGGTGTGTGCTACCGCTCGGCACTGCTTCAGTGCACAGCTCTGCTCACAGAAGCAAGAAAATAAGACAAGCTCAGTGCTGATACTGTAAGCAGCCAAAGACTGCTACGTAAGGACCGGGTAGGGTGACAGATGAGCCACGCAACCGGACATATTTAAATTGCTTGACAAGCACTGCACAGAAATAAACAGTCACGCTTCCTGTGTTTGAGCAAGTTGTGCTGGGGAGCAGGTGGGGAGCGGGGACGGGACGTACTGCATGTCGGGGATAGTGGGCAATGGGCCGAACGGCAAGATGGTGATAGGGGCGACGTTTCTGCGGGCGTACTACTCCGTGTACACGTATGACCTGGCCACAGGGAACGCCTGGGTGTCGCTGGCGCCGGCGGCGCTGGACGCGGGGGGAGACTCGGAGGGGGCCGTTATCAAGCAGGACGCAAAGCAGCAGGGGGCGCCCGTAAACGCCACCTCGGTCTACGTCACGGCCAGCCGCGCCGAGATCGCCGACCGAGCGGCCACCGCCGCTGCCGCGTCAGCCGTGGCCGGCAACTTGACCGCCGGCCTGGTCGCGCCGCCTGCAGCCGCGGTCTCACAGATGGCCGGGATTGCCGCATCCACCGCGGCGGCGGGCGGCCGCAGTGCGGCCGGAGCTGGGGCCGCTCTGGCTGTACCGCCGGCGGCGTCCGTGTATGGGTCATGGGGCCCCGTTACGGGCGGGCAGGCGACTGTGGCAAAGCCGGCGGTGCTAGCGCCTGCGCCGAGCCGGGCGCCGGTGTCGGACGCGCTCACGTGGAGCAGCGCTGACATCTCCACGGGAAAGGAGGCGACCGCCTCGGCGCGCGGCTTGCCGGCCGCCGGCGCTCCCGCGCCAGGGCCGGCCAAGGCCGCCACCGTGCCCTCCGCCGTGCCGGCACCGGCACCGCAGCCGAGGAGCGGGCCGATGGGTGCGGCGGCTATGGCATACTTAAGGGACTCGACTTCAGAAGATGCGGGCAGCCCCATTTGGGCGCAGGCGGTGGCCCCATCTGCGTCTGTGACTGCCGTCCGCAGCTTTGGCGCCATGCTCAGCGGCCGGAAATTGCGCTTGTGATACCTGTAGTTGCGGTCTCAGGGGCACTAGCAGCGGCAGTACTAGAGCAAATGTTGGAGATGTCCAACGCGTAGATCTGTGCAATGTGACCTTCAGTATGGTAATGTTTTGTCCTGATTCCAGGACGGCAAGAACTGCAAAGAGGACTGCAGATTGAGATTTAATTTAGTGCCATTGTATCATGTTGGAATGTCAGGGGTTGCCAACCCCGGGTTGCTACAACACTTAATTACAGCTTGCAAAATTTGTCGCGGCGTCATTTTTGTTGTGTACCGTGCGTATGCATGGGAATTGGCGCAGCATTAGAAACGCGAGCTTTCTCTTCTTAGGTGCAAATGTCAGAGCTTCAGCTGAGTTTGCACCCAGATAGGGTTTCCATGGCTGACAGGGCGGCAGGGCTGCTCCTGCCTGGTTGGTTGTGCGATGAAAAGAACTTCAAAGGACTGTTCGGCACAAGAATGACGAACTGCATTACCTGATCAAGCGACTGGCTTGATCCAGTAGCTGGCTCCTCAACTCCCCATTATGATGGAGCCGTGGAGTCTGTTTGAAGTCAAGTTGATGCATGATTGTGTACTTGTACTTGTACTTGTGACATGTCTTGCATGTAATTTCATGGTGCATGTGGTGCAGCAGCGTTTCTGAGCTGCTTGCCCTGCTCCATGCCCTGCTGGGCAGAAGTGAGCCATGCTGGCAGTCTTGAAGGCTCAGAGAAGGCGACCTAGGTCATAAAATGTTTGCATGCCTGTCCTCGATTAGTGCAGTTCTTAAATAGGTTGACAGTGTGCATCACTTTGCCTCGTTGACAATGTGCAAGTGCAGCACGAACAGGCTGCAAGGCTGAGCCTTGTAATCTGAGAAACCATTAATGCCGCTGTGACTAATAATCACCACCATGATGGCCAGCATGCATGCCAGCTGTGCAGCTCACGACGGCAATTCCACGTGCAAGGGCCGGCCTTGACCAGCTGCGCAGATTCTAATAAGAGAATCATGAAGTCAGTTATATCCCAGACTTACCAGGTTTAGTAAACCTTACATGTGCATGTTCCATGCTGTCACACTGTACGGTATACATGTGGCTGCACAAAAGCAAGCGGCAAGCAGGCTGCATCATGCATGATGCATCTGTAGATCTAGGTGTAGACTTCTGCCATCAGCTGCATGCAGACAATCATTAACATGATGTCTGCCATAGATGTTGACAAAGGTGGGGCTCTAATCAGCTGCCTCCACAGTCTGGAGTCCACATGAGCACCTTACGATGTGGCTCGAGAGCTTCCGAGTACTCCTGGGTTCTCATTAACTTCTTTGCAGTTCTGGGGATACCCGGCTGAACTTTTGCGTACAGGTCTTCATACATTATAGATCATGGCGAAAACATCTGATCATACATCATAGATCATGGCGAAAACATCTGGGAAAATCCTTGATGGGGACCATGCAGAGTGGACACGGAATAAAGTGTCCAAGATTCTGCCTTGGGCTCTTTCTCCACCCAACTTCTCTCCCTCCTTCCCCAGGTCAGACGGCGATCCGACTCGGCCGAAAATCAGTTCTGTCCCTCGACATTCAGCGTCCATTAGGCCGTCTTGAGCCCTGAAGTCACCCAACAGGCCCATCATGAGCGCTCGAGAACGATAGCTGGTGGCTCCATCGTCCAGCGCAGCAGCGGCGCCAGGTTTTCCCCAGACCTGGACGTAAAGTTTCGGCCGTGCGGGGCAATACAGGCGTGGACTCCTGTAACTGCAGGGAGTTTCTTCCTTTTGACAGCACAGATCATCGACGATCAGCCTGGCCTGTTGCGTTGCGTGGGACGCAGGAGTTCAAAGGGAACAGCTGGCGTTGTCAGCACATCAAAGATTGCCTTTTAGCGCCTCTCCCGAGAGACAGCTGGCAGTCAGGTATTCCCTTTTTCCAACCGCAGTGAGAATTTTTACAACACTCTGGTCATTCGAAGGTGCATGGAAGTCCTCCTGCATAGGATGACTGATTACAAACACACATCAATGTCCACTAGCAATACATTAAGACCAACATTTTAGGAAGAATCTCAGCAGCATGTTTCAGTCATTCCTGAGGGAAGATCACTGGTGTCTGTGTTAATCAAGCCCTATCGATTGTGTTGAAAAGGCTCTCAGGGACCAGCGATGCGTTTGCTTGGAAGAATCTGGAAGGACCTTTGGAAAGGGGCCAAATGCAGAGTTGCAGCGATGGAGTCGTATCAAAATGAATGTGTTTGGATGTTGCCAGGTCATCTGCCGTGCACTCTGGAAGCCTCAGCTCCACCTGAAAAGAGTCTAGGTGAGGACCCCCATGGGAACTTCCTTTAAAATGACTTGCCTGAGGAACAGTCAAGGGGCGACATGGCACTGCCCTTTATCATATCAGACGTCTCGACTATGACCTACTCACTGCTCTTCAAATCGCACTTCCACGAAGTCTGTTTGCCAAGGTCAAGGAGCTGCATGGAGGACGCATTGTCTGTCCAAGGTTGAATGCAGGAGGAGGTGACAGACGCTTGGCTGGTGCGCAGCATGAGAGAGAGTGGGCTATGAGCGCCGCGGAGGGAACATCACCGCCTGGCAGCGCGCCTGCGCAAGCAACCCCTGAAGCATGGGGCGGCGCCGCACGCTTGCGCACACCAGTTTTGAGCCTACGCAATGCCATGGAGCAGCAGGCCCAGGTGTGCAGCCATTTACAGTCTCATGCGGCTCAAGTCCTGGATTAAGAGGGCACATAGATATATCCCCTGCCACCCTTGGGTCATAAATGGAGAGCCGGCGGTGGTGAATTGAACGGCTTACAGCATGTGGCATGTTCGACATTTGGCTGTTTGTGATGAGTGGTAACGGGATTTCCTGACACTCTTGTGTGTCTGCTGCAGCTGCAAGCAACAACGCCCCTCTCCTACATGCAGCAGCTGCAGCAGCAGCAGGAGAGCAGGGGTGACATCAGCGGCTCCAGCAGGCGCTTGCCACAGGCACAGGATGCCCAGGGGTGGATGCAGGAAGCCCTCAAGACCCGCCGCGATGCCCTCACAGGTGCCTATTTTGACCTCCCCCTAGCCCCTTACGAGCACATCATAAAGACAGACTGCTCCCTCAGATGGTGTGCCGTGATCACCTCTTATTGCAGCTGGCACCCAGCTGCATCTCAGATGAGAGTGTGTGCTGACTATGATATCAAACAATGGGTTCCATCTGGTTATGCCATGGAAAACTGCATATTGTTGTGACGCGTGACTGTGCTGCTGCAGGGCAGCTGCGATGTCAGCTGTGCGCGAAGGTGGTGCCGGATCACAGCATTCTTGCTCAGCACCTGAAGGACAAGCACGGCGGAGATTCTGCCGAGGTCAGCGCCGGGGGGCCTCCCGAGCCCAGCCTCACATTCAGCCTGGCCGATCTGCTGCTCGCACAAAGGTACTATGTGATGCAATACAAGTCCCTTTATCGTTTCGCAACCTCTGATGTCAAGGCATTTCTTTTGGCTTTTCCTGTGTGGTCCTAAGGGATAAGATAGCGAGTGGACCAGAACGTTCTTATGACTGAGGCTCTTGCAATCCTTTTAACTTTTTCCAAACGCTTTGCAGACCTGGAGCCTCCAAGGCACCGGCGTGGGCGCCGCCGCAGCTGACGGCAAAGCAGCTCCGGAGTGTGAAGGGCCTCGTGCAGGTGCGGCCGTCTGTATCTGCAGACAGAAGCTTGCTCCATGTGTGATTAGCACGATGGGCGACAATGCACTTTCAACAACGAATGGGGCTCTTGCATGTACTAGCGCGACATTACAAGATGGGCTGTGGCTGCGATTGAGCGATGAGAAAACAGGCCGCGGGGTTGCCCTAGCTTTGCACTGGGATGGCAGATGACAGAGCGCCTGAATAGAGAAATTACGGTGTGTCAGGCGTACCCGACGAAGAAGGCGCTGGCGGAGGCATTCAAGGGGGGCCGGCTGCTGGCGACGGGCAAGAAGAAGATGAGCCGCTTAAAGCGCATCATTCTGCGTGAGCGCGCCAACAAGGCGTTTGCCGACGCATCGGCCGCCGCTGAGTCAGCCGCCGCCGCGTCTCGGCTGGCGTGCGCGCTGCGGGACAACATCAGGGAACAGCTCAGGGTGCGCGGCTTGCCCACCCATATTGGGTTCTTAATCCACTTGAGCAGGTGCCAGCTTGACCTGCTTGAAACGAGAGCCTGGCAGGCCTGCAAACACAAGCGCCAGTGGACAGTAATGGTTCTATTTAGATGAGTGAGGGGCCCAACAATAGCTAGGGGTAGTCTCTTAGACCCAGTGAACTAAAACTCAAGCCCTGAAGTGGTCTCTGGTTTTGCAGGTAGCAGGGGAGCAGCTGCTGCTGGAGCAGAGAGGCGGTGCCATGCCTGACGCGTCCGCCATCACGCAGCTGCAAGTGCTAGAGGTTGCCGCTGTCGAAGCAGAGCGGCGGTTGCTCGACGCCGAACGGTGCGCCGCTCTTTGTGCTCTTACTCTTTCTCTCCTCTATTTCCCTTGCTTGGTCCTGGGATATCGATGTGAATGGCTGAAGCATGCTAGTTCTTGTCCTCTCTTTTTTGACAATGCCTGCACTGATTCTTGCATGAGCGTTGCTCATGGCCAGGGCACACGGTCAAACACATGGCAGAGCTACATTTGGCGTACATCCAAGAAACAGGTGGTGATTGGTGTACCTCCTGGGAACCTTCATGTTTTGGTCGCTCCTGATCCTGCACCTCACGATGAAGAGAAAGGGGGCCGACAGGAAGATCTGTGACCAACCTCACCCCTACCTGCTGCGCTCTAATGCCAACCAGCCAAGGGTGATTCGATGTGTTTTGGGGGAGTTAGGAATAGACACCTCACAATTCTTTTGTGTTTCCGGCTGCAGGAATTCGCGCGAGGCAGAGGCGGAGCTTGAGAAAGCCTCGGCCGAGCGCGCGCGCATCTGCAACGAGCCTGCGGGGGCCAATGATGAGCAGCCGCCACGAGGGGTTGAGGACGCTGACGTGGCAGGGGCTGACGAGGCCGCTGAGTCAGGCGGTGCGCCTGAACTGGCCGCCTCGCAGCCATCTAGCTCTCAAGGTGCACACCTCTTATCTCATTCATCTGCTAATCAACTCCCTGATATTGGAAGGCTGCAAATGTGGCGAATGCTTGTGTTGATCGTCTGTATCAGTCCAACAGCTAGTGTAGAGATGCCTGGTGAACGAGGGAATTTGACATGCTTGGAGCTGAGGAGGAAGGGCATTTGCAGGAGGAGCAAGCACGGCACACACAGAGGGAGAAGAGGCGGCGGATGGCAGCGAGCGCATGCAGCTGCATGCGCTGCGCGTGGCGACAGATCTTGGCTTTCAGGGGACCGACGGTGCTGAGAGTGTTGACGGCTTGGACGACTTTGAGGATGTTCTGGTGGGTGCCCAGTTTTCATGTGCTCATGGGACTCCTCTATAGTTGATCGTGACTTGATCGTCGAGGACACCCGCGCCCATACAGTAGTGCCTTGCATTTGATCCTGAGGACTCCACACTGATCCAAGGGGAAATTTGGGTCCAGGCAGCCTCCTGAAGGCTTTCACTTTCAGGAGGCCGCCTCACACCGCGCATGCTCGATGCTGCGCGGTCACTCTGATGCTCGCGTCCAGAATGCTATGCTTTACAAAGCAGGTAGAAGAGTTGTCAACGGTCCTCTTGACTGTTCATATGTGCCGATGCAGGCGACTTGGCTGCACGCTGCCCACGCAAGGGCTGTGAGCGCCCATTCAGACTCCACAATCTGGTCCGAGCCGTCAGTGCCACGTGATGCACCCAGAGCCCACGCCGCTGCTGCTGAGGAAGGGACCCAGAGCGAGCAAGTTACTCCGACTGAGGCTCCCATGCAGCAGCGCCAGCCAGATACCACTGCCGCAGCTGGTGAGACCGGCTTTACTCCGGCGGAGGATGACTCACCCAGGCAGCCACCGCCAGCCTCTGCCATTCTGGCAAAGAACGATGCACAGGTGACTGCTGGACCATCAGCAGAAGAGAAGGAAGCAGAGAAGGTAGAAGAGGAAGACGAGGAGGACCTGGACTTGGGCCCGGACGATTGGGATGACATTTTGTCGGCCTGGATGGGCGCTGTCGGCCTGACAGACATGCTGAAAGCGTCGGAGCCGGCAGAGATGGCCACAGGTGGGACACCATCTTGTTTCTCTACTAAGACACAGCAGTCGCTGAAGAGCATCCGCTGCATCTGATGTGCATCTTTGCAGTGTCTTTGGACCCCAGGCTAGCCGAAGGAATGCGCAAGCATATGTTGCGCTAGCAGAAACGGTGCAATTCCCTATTTGACCCGCGACTATGCATACGCCAAAGTGCACTTGCACACCCCTGACTTGTGTGCGGCTGTGCTTGCAGCTACAGCCTCGGACTTGAGCACTCAAACTACGGTGGCGGCTCCACCTGCGCAGCAGCTTCAGGAAGCTGCGCCGCAGCCGCCGCAGGACAGCGGATTCAGCGCGCCGTACAGGGGCGACTCGCGATCTCTGCAGTCCTTGCAGCAGCAGCCGGCGGCTGTCAGCGCTGGATTTGCGCAGCTGCAAACACCGGGGCAGCAGCAGCCGCGGGACCAGAATGCTGCGCTGGCAGCGCTACTGGGCAGAGGGAACTCTGCGGGAGGACAGCGCAACGGCGCTGGCCGGCCGATGGTCACCGTCGTGCCGCAGATGGACGCGGCCACATCGAATACGCTGCCACTGCTCGGCCATGGCCCCGCGCCCTCCCAAGGTGCCTGTCCTGCACAGGAATCCTGCTCAGGGAGTGGGAGCGCTTGCCTTATCTTCTCATTTGTAGAAATTCCCAATAATTGCGAATTCATGTGCGCACTGCATGTGTGCACATAGACCTGATGATATGGGGAGAAGCCCGAAAATGACAAGATTGGAGAAGTGGTTCTCTACACAATCGTTTACGCATAGTTAAGGCTGTTGAGGCTGGCGACGGTTCTGCTGGAGTTTAGCGTGAATGCTTAGGCATCAATCAGGCATTGTGACCTGTGTATTCCTAGGAAAATTGATTGGATGCTTTCCTTGCTGTTGGGTTGTCAATGAATTCAGAATTTGTTGTATTGGCATGACTGGTGCCCAGTGATAGTGCATCATAAGAGATCAACTGGCGCTTTGGATATTGACTGGCATGTGCGCAAACTGCAGGCATGCGAATGGCGTCGTCCGTAGCATCCACCGCTCAGCAGGGTGACGGGAGCGGCTCGGTGCGCGATCCCCGGGCTTTGCGCAACATCCCCGCATGGCTCAACTCAGCCGATAGCGATGATGAGTCGGGCGTCAGCGAGGCCATCGCAGGCACCAGCCCGCCGTCAGTCGCGGCTGCCCCACAGTCCTTAAACCGCCCGAGCGCCTCCGACTCCCCGCTGACCGTCGCTAGCCTCCCGGCATCCCAGGTGCTTGCATGGGCAGTCTATTCAATACCCTTGCATCTCTTCCTGCCACTCAGAGCATGCTGGCTCAATTTGTGTACCCTAACCCCATTGAGCTCACATGGCTCCGCAGTCTCCCAGCCCCTCATAGCATTCGAACGATTGTAGATAAATCTATTGCATGTGGCGTCTCGTCTCCATGTATGGGTCAAGCTAATATGCCTCGTTGCCCATGGAATGCTTCACGGTCAAGGATACCTCATAGCCAGGTAGTTGGACTGCCCAATAGTGTGGGATTACTCATGACCAGTTCCGTGTTGCACAGGCGAGTGTGGGCGCGCATGGCGCCACGGGCGAGCCGGCGGCCACGGCGGCCGCGGCGGCGTCCAAGCAGGTGGGCCCTCAAGACCCGCTGCGCCGGGCTCCGCCTCCCCCGGGATCCACCCCAATGGTGGTGTCCGACATGGAAGCGCAGTGGCGCGCCAGGCTGCAGGGGCAGAGCTTCAGCGTGGAGGAGATGATCGAGCAGGGCTTGCTGTTTGCCGGCGACAACCTCGGCGCTGACTCGCCCGCCAGCAGCTGCCCAGCCAGCCCCAGCCCCAGCCGCTCCGCTGCTGCCGACACCGTGAGTCTCGCCTGCTGAGACCGGGAAGATAGGGTTAATCCACCGGGTCACCCTCATTCGTGGTGCTCGGTGGATTGGCGACTCATACCTGCCCTTGCATGCCGCCTGCAGCATGGGGGCCCTTCAGGGATGATGGGGTCAAATCACTGGGACGCCCCCATGCGAGGCGCCTGGTGGATTGGCCCCTCATGCCTGCCCTTGCATGCTGCCTGCAACAGACCCCCACAGCTGAGTTTTTCCGCTGGCTGGTAGTTACAAGTCCATGTGGCTCATGCCAACATGCTGGGTGTCGCAGGGTGCTACTGCTGCTGCGCAAACGCTGGAGAGCTCTCAGGCGCCTGCCTGTGCCGGCCCCTCCTCGTTCGAGATGGCCTCGTCTATGCCGCAGCAGACCGACCAGGTGAGATCCTCTGCCTGGATCCCCTGCCATACGCTAAGCAGACAGAGTTTCAGGGCACCACCATCGTGACTGCTACATGCATGGGTGTCACAGCATCGTGCTCTGGGGTACTACAGAACTCCAGTGTGATGCGGAGCAGCAAGTTGGGGAGCTGCAAATCGCAATCAGTGTGCATGGTTCCAATAGTAGCGACTGGTTTCGCACGGCGTGCAGGGTGAGCAGGTTCTGATTGTGTTGTCTGTGCGCAGGATCGCCTGCTGCACGGGCTGCAAGGCGATGCAAGCGTGGATGCAGCCAGGCGGCGCGCCCTTGAATCCATCCTCCAGGTGCGCTGGGGCCTGAAAGTACCTCCTTCATGGTTGTTACATGCTTTTCATACATGCTTGTCTTTGTTGTTGCACACAGGGCCCTGTCCTGCTGTTATCACTGTTGGCACGTCTGGTGTGCCAACAACATCATTCTGTAGTATTAGGTGCAGTAGTATTAGGTGCAGAACATGGCTGTGCTCACCAAATCAAATTCTGAAATGCATGTTAAACATCTGTATCTGCATGTCCTGCAAGGGAAATTTACAAAAAGTTCTTGCCAAGCCCGCTTGAGGGCAGTCGGTTGCTGCGCAGAAACACAAAGCGCCGATGCAGGCGTCCGGCGCGGGCGCGTTCCCCCTCATGGACCAGCTGCCGCTGCAGCCGCACCTCATGCCGGGGGCTTACCAAGACCCCCAGCTCGGCCGCATGCACAGCCAGGGCCTCCTGCAAGCCTACCAGCAAGTACGCGCAAGCTGCCCGCACCCCCCTGCAATCACCCCGAAACAACCCAGTATTGGTGCAATCCTTATCGTGTTGATCTTCTCCATATTTGGGACAGCCACGGATCCTGCGGCAATGCCTTTATCTTTTGGGTAATCCTTAGCTAAAGAGGCTCGTCTTAGCCCATATTGCATGGGTCTACCGTCACCAGCGTTTAAAATATTTCCCCTTTCTGCACTGATGGTCAAGGGCGCATCGAGAAGGGTACATTAGGTGCAAAGGCTGATGCTGTGCGCTGGCGGCTGCAGGCGCAGCAGCGGCAGCAGATGCAGCAGCAGGCACTGCAGAGCCCCTTCCGCTCGCTGTCAGCCATGGACATGCCTCTGGCCCCGCAGCCGCTGCTGGGCAGCCTCTCCCAGGGTCCCCTCTCTCTTGGGGACCCCTACGGCGTTCCCGGCCTCTCCTCCCCCCACGACCTCCCCCTCATGGAAAATCCCTACGCGGTGAGTGCTGGAAACCCGCCGTTTCATCTTGGCTTTAAAGCACTGTCTGCAATCACCGTGGGTTCAGGTTTCTTGGGGGGGAGACCGTTGACTTTAGCTGTGTCAGTTACACCCTGGTGGCTCGAAGCGGCGCCTGTCTTTTTATACAGCTTCCAGCATGTCAAAGTCAACCGGTGTGCGTTCTTGAACAGGTCACTTGAGCACTGTGATTTTCTGAGCGCAGGCCATGGACTTTCTGAGCCAGCAGCAGCTGCCGAACAAGCGCCACGGCTGGCCGACACCCCCAGAGGAGCAGGGCACCTTTGGCAGCCACGAATTCACCTGCGAGGTCAGTCTCCTTTCCAATCGAAGTCATTTGCGCACAAGCAGCCTGGCTGCAATCCAATGGCGCTGTGCTGTACTGCTCGTGCGACCCTGACCCTGTTGTTTGGTGTCTTTGCGCGTTTCCACTTCCATTTTAATCGTCGCCGGAGGCTGCTCGCCAGATGCATCTGAGGCAGAAATCTGTCTGACTCGCGAATGATGATATCCATACACGAGCAGGTGTGCGGGGTGACATGCTGCGGCCTGGTGAATTTCGAGCAGCACTGCTCCTCGAAGAAGCATCTGCGCCGCGCGGCGGCTGCGGCCGGCGCGCTTGCCGGCGGCGGCATGGCGTCCGACTCCACCGGCGATGAGCGCAACACCACCTATGTCGGCCTTCAGGCCCAGTGCCGCAACTACTGCAAGCAGGCGCGTGGCCTTTCTGTTCCGTTCACTCAATTATGGCTTGCATGTACCCGCGATGCTTTGCCACCTACTGCAGTCTAAATCCTTGCCATCTGAGTTCCGGCGCTGCTTCTCCGTCTGGTGCGCATGTCCGCATCTGATGCTGTCAGCTATTTATCCAGGTACAGGAGGAGTCTTATTTTTCCCCTAAATTGTCTGGATATCACAGTCGCATTGTGTGCCTTAAATTGGTGTTCCCCCGCTCACTGCAGGATGCAGCTCACATTGCCGCTTGCATGCATGCTAGCAGGTGAATTGCGCGTCTTGAGGGGTAAGTTGTGTCGCGTGCGCAGGTGATCAGCACAGAGCTGAATCGGGCGGTGGTGGAATTGCTGCAACAGCTGCTGTTCTGGCAGGAGCGTGCCAAAGCCTCCTCCCCCTACAACGTCACCAAGCGCAAGCGCCTCGTCTCCGGCCTGAGGTGCCTTCCTCCACCGCTCCCTTGCCTGACCCCTTTAGGGCTGTCGGCTCGTACAAGGACATGTCTTGCATGGCAAGACTTGTCCGTATGGGGCATGGAAGTGCTTCTATTGTATGCATATCCAGACTCTCACGAGGGTGGGGCAAGCAGGTCATCTTGAACCATGGCACCTCATGAAAGTTGGCCTGCTGGCTCCTAATTCCTGCAATCTGGATCATCCTATTGGCTAATCATGCAATAGAATATTCAATATATGTATATACATATGTCCATTGAGTCATCGCTGACGTGTTCGATCAACCCTTGCTTGGGCACCCAGGCACCCGTTTTGCCGATTTTCAAATCTTCTGGTCAACTTTTACGTCATACTTTCGATGTCGTGCTATTTCCTAAACCTTCTCGTTGGCCTGTATTGTCAGGGAGGTGGCCAAGGCGGTGCGGCTGCGCAAGGCTTGCACGGTGGTGGTGGCGCCCAACATAGAGCAGATTGAGAGCGAGGGCGGCCTGGACGACCTCCTCTCCTCCATCCTCACCCAGGCCGAGGAGGCCTCCATCCCCATCGTCTTTGCCCTCTCCCGCAAAAAACTTGGCCAGGTGCGCCTCAAGCCCACACCTGTTTGCGCTCTTTTCTTTGTTTGTAAAAGTGCGCAGTGTGCTCCATGAGGGGTTGCAGACACCCCGTGCAGAGGCGTCCTCTGTAGGTTGCCGCCCTTCATGCTCCCCGATGCGCCCAATGTGGGTGTGAAAATGTGGCAACTCGCATTTTCAACATTCTGAAGTCTGATGTAACCGACCTGGCCATTAGCACCGCTTCTTTTACCCGGTGACTCCTACCACCTCTGATCATTGCTGCTGCCCTGAGATGTTGAGGTGGATGTGCATGTCTCAACCTTCATGCGTGCGACCATTCCTTGCAATATCCTGTGCATGGGCGCAGATGTTTGGCTGCCGCAAGAAGATGAGCGCGATTGCGATCCTGGACTACAGCGGCGCGGAGGCCATCTACCACCACATGGAAGCGCTCGCGCAGCAGGGCCGCACCGCCTGGCTTGCCCACAACGCCGGCGGCGGCAGCGCCAGTGCTGCCCAGGCCGACACTGCAGCGGCCGGCCCCTTCGCCCTGTCGCACTCGGGCTCCGCCTCGCACCTGCTCGGCAGCGACCCAGCTGCGCAGCAGAAGGTATGCCCTTGCACCCAAGCAGAATACTACTTTTCTAGTAGCCGGGTGTCCTTGCCTTTGCTTGTGAGTCAAGATTTGCCCTGCTTTTAAAGATAGGATAGCCAGGAAGCTTCAGTGCTTGAATAAAGGGCAAAGTAGACATGAAGGGCTGCCGAGGGCTCAGCCCAAACTGGCGTTGCATCACTTGAGACCCTGAGAAGCGTAGAGTAATGTATGATTGGGATGTACCACAACTGACGTAAGGCCATGTTGCGCCAGCAGGGGCCGACCCCAGAGGAGGGCGGCCTGTACGGGCGATCAGCGTCCAGAACCGAGGAGGCCGGCGCGGCCGCTGAGTTCCAGCAGCGCGGCAGGTACCTCCCCGGGGGGGGAGCGCAGCCGCATCTGGCCATGCGGGGCAGCCAGCAGCCGCCGTTGCTGCGGCAGCAGCCGCCGCCGCCGGGGGCCCTCCAGCACCGGCAGGGTGGCCTGCCGCCGCTGCACCGGCTGCCGCCGCCGCAGCAGGCGATGAGCGTTGCGCACCGGCAGGCGCAGCAGCAGCACTTCCAGCAGATGGGCCGCCTCGCCAGCATGCAGTCCGCGCAGGTGACTTCTCCGCCCTGCACTTGCACTGTGCGGCTGCGTCCTGCAGGCCAGGAACATGCAGTCCTGCAGGAACTGCCAAGATTCGTGAGTGCGTGGTTGGTACTGATACTTGCTTGTTGAGTAGAATCTGCGTGGCTACGTGCATGCAGCCAGCCGAGCAATGCGTCTGCAGCAGCACTCTGGCTGCTTGCCTGTTGGGTGTATGGAACCTTGCAGGTTGATCCTGACATTAGCAAAAGCACCATTGATTGCGCACTCCACTGTTCTAGCCTCTTCCTGCAAGGCTGCATGCCTCTTGTCCACTCTCCTGCCTTGCTAACTAGCTCTTGCTCTTGCGATACCTGGGCTGCTTCCCAGACGAAGGCTCGGAAGTGCACACACAGGTGTATAGTTTTGAAGCCTATTCAGGTATGTTATGTTGTTGAAGTGTTGCATTCACAGTGGCACTCGCAGTAAAGTTTGTTGGCTTTGCAGGAGCTTTTGGACGGGCACATGGCAAGCCTGTACGACCAGCAGGCGCTGGCGCAGCAGCTGGGCTCCCAACTGCACTTTGACGGCGGCGGCGCGGCTGGCGGCTACGACGCGCTTGATCCCTCTGGCGGCTTGGGCATGTCAGCATTGGACCTTGGCCAGCACGCGGGCTCGGGCGGCCTTGGCGGCCCGCTCGCGCCCATGGGCGGCTTTCAAGGCCAGGTGTGAGCCAGATCTTTGCTGTACAGGCTGCTCCGCGCTGCTACCTTGCTCATAAAGACAGTGCTTCCCTGAGTAACCTCCCTGCAGCCGATGCCATATGGCGGAGTGCAGCGTATGGGTGACACCTCATTAGAGCACTTGTAGAGCTGAGGACCGGCAGGGGTTGCTCGTCCGGAATCTTGGCATAGGCTGCAAGCAGGTTTTTAAGCGATAACCTCCTCGAGAGCTTCTTTATGAAATGTGCTGCATCAATGGAGCTGTTCGCTGAGGCGTTGTTGTTCGTGTCCCAGCATGCGCACGGGATGGAGGGGGCCGCGTACGGGGAAGCTCTTTACGGGCAGGGCTACGGCGGCGACGGCGACGGGCAGCAGCTGCCGTATGGCGTCGAGGATCCCCGCGCCGCGCAGGGGGGCCACTATGTCGCCCCCTGGCCTAACCTGGGGGGGCCCCAGGACAGCGGTGACCGCCGCTGGTACAGCTGAGCCCGCAGCTCCCCCCGCCGCACCCACACAACCGCCAACCCTGCCACGTTTCCAAGGTCATAATATCAGCCGATGCTGTCAGCCGGCAAGCACCCAGCACTCTGTGGGGACCTGGCAGTGCATTGCGCATCCGCGCGGCGCTGTTAGCTGATGGCTGTGCTGCGCTGAAGGGCGGCTGTCTTGAGGGCCCTGCCGGGATCTGTAGAGCGTGCCACTTATCAAATGAGTATCCGCTGGCAGATTTTGTGTGTCAGCTGTGGATGGTGCTGCTGCGGATTCATTTTCATTGCTGTGGCTGGCTCGTCACCAAACCTATTACAGAAAATATGAGCGCAGCTCCTATTGTTTCCTGGCGCAAGAGATTACATCGCCTTCTATCTGCATTGAGAATCTGATTGCACCAAGATCGGATCCTGCCCCTTGTGCGGCCTCCATTTCTGGTTCCTGCATGCATGCGGGACCATGGCATTCTAAAGTTGTGGGGGGAACATGGATGGAGTGGTTGGAGAATGATATAAAGCAAATTGCTGATGACATCAAGTCCGCTGGCTTTAATGCAGGCCTCCATTGGGGGATCTTTCCATGGAGGCCCGGATGAAATTTCCGCCTGCCGGGCTGAAATAAGCGCGCATGCTTCAACCACCAGCGTCATTTCTGCGCGTTGATCGCCAAGACACTGGCTGGTTGTTTGCTGTCTATCTGGGTCTTTTCGGTCCCGGCAAACAAGCGCAAAACTTTTATGACGGGCGCCGCACGGCTTCTAGTGCGAGCTGCCGCGTTGAGGAGAGTGCGCAATTAGGGGCGCGGTGTGACTATGAATATCAGGTTAGGACGCGGAGAGGCCATCACACCAGAATACACCCTTCGGATTCATACACCGTTTGAAGCAAGGTTTCGGCATGAGCCCTTCTGATGACACAGGGCTCAGTGGGTGACAGCTGGTGGCAGAGCTGTAGCCACTCTGCACAACACCTCACGCTGGCAAGAGGAACCTGTCTGACTCTGCACTGGTGCATGCTTGGAACAGGAACTCTGCGTCTTTGGACGCTTAGCTTGTTTTGCTAGAACGAGGATCAGGCTGCAAGTATACACCCACAGATCGGACGGTGCCTGAGCATTGTGTCAGGAGGCAGAGAGGTTGACTCGAGGGGAGTGATTCCTGTGCCTGCTGTGAACTGAGCGCAGCACTGCTCTGTGGTGGCGCCTGTCCATGTCAGTGTCATAGGCTACTGCTCATTTGCCTGCAGAGCAAGCTGACACGTCCGCTGTGACTGATGTTGAAGGGTGTCTCGATGAAATCCACAGCAGATGTTGGCGGTTTTAAGGTAGGGCAGGTATCTTTGCCGGAATCGCGGTACGAGCATTTTGAGCAGTCATCAGAAGTGACGACCTCTCCGTTCCGGGGGAGGATGTCAAAAGTGATGTGCATGACGAGTGCTTGATTGAGTTGCTCCTGTGCTGCCCCTTCTGCTCTGCACCAGGGAGAATTTGACTGTTTGCTGGGGAAAACACATCATGCAAGGATAGTTTGAGCCTCAAGGGGCTTGCTGTTGGCTTTTGCAGAGTGTCGCTTCTGTTTGCACAGGAGCCAGGGGTGTATGAGGGGATGCGCAGATTGCTGGCTCACGTTCCGATCACTTTGATCTGCGTCGTGACTGCTGATGTATTTACGCTCTCATGCCCCTGTCTCACTGGACATAGAGGCTGGCTGCTCAATCCAGGCTGTTCTGCCTGTCTGGCCTGACATTCTTTCTTGGTACCCGAACTTCGCGACACTAGAGCAGGCGTTGAGAACCATTTTGCGCAAGCTCCCTCCCGTGATGCGTGCGTCTATGCTTCTGCACGACTTGCTGTGCGGGGATGGCGTGTGTGGATGACTGAATTCAGTTTGAGGGGGGAAGGATGCCTGTGGGGCTGACGTGTGCACGCCCCTTTCATTACTTTTCTTGTGATTGTCATTATGATAGCTATGTATCTGGGTCTAGTGGTGCCTCGACATCATCCAGGGCAATTTTTGTCCTTGGGAAGGTGTGAGGTCTCAAACGACCCTTAGATGTCCAGTCCTGAGGAACCTGGTGTCCTCCATTAAATGTAATCATCGCACCTTGTCTGTGACACCTGTAAAGAGTTTGTCTGTTGTGAGTATGATGGAGGCAAGCATCCGCGCACGAGGCCATGTGAGCATCACCCGATCAGATATCAAAACATTGATGACATTTCACGTTGACTCTCTTATATATTTTCTATGATTTTACACTTGCAAGATATATATTGACGTATCGATAGCCTGACACGTAGGTGCAGTACAACATCTACTTTGCATTCAAATGATCAAGGGCCCCGTTTTTACCCCTAAATTTTGTCTGAAAGATCCTATAACCATTCCATTTGATGACTGGGATTCTTCTCTGCTCAATGACCTCAAAGACTACGCGGGGCCCAGATCGAAGGCCGAAAGCACAATGTCCCAAGAGTAGGACATGCATTGATGTGCCCCCTGAATAGACATCGCAGCTACAAACTGAGTTTCTAGTAGTTAAGGGATGGTCAATAAACAGCATGTCTCCCTCAGGGCCACATTCCCAGGACCAACAGTGATGACTGAATCAGGAAAGTGGAGGCCAAGCTGCTTGCTTTCTTTTTAGCTCACTACACAGGTCTTGTTGATGCCGCAAATCCAAAAACTATGCAGACCTATGTCTGAATAAATCAAGCACGCTGCTGTGCAGCCCAAAAGGCTGTGCGCGAAAGCTGTCATGAAGACACCAGCCATGGTCTTGAATGGCATGCTTGCTGGGAAGCCGAGCATTCTCTCAGCGGCTTTTCGATGAACTATCTTCACAGGGCGCCTATGTGGAGCCCTGCGGAGATGTGCCAAGGAGCTGGCTTCGCAGACTCAGAGCGGAACAGCAAAGGCGCCTCAGAGCTTCATGGTGCGCCGCAGCTTGGCCTTGTACTCGCGGATGTCCTTCTTCCAGGGCTTGATGGTGCCCTTGTCACACACCCAGATCTCCTCCGCCACCTGCGCCCAGACAGACCCACATTGGAATATCAGCCAGAAGATTTCCTTCCAGACACCCTTGTTCTGCTCCTCACATCCACAGCGCCTTCCTACTCCACCGGCAAACTAATTCAGAAAGCCAGGCTAAACAGTCCGCCTCAGTTACCACTGCTTCCACAGGGCTGGGATGATAAACACTAATACAGAGCAAGGACACGGCAATACAGCGGCAGCAGAGCAGAGCAGAAAACATCGTGCAGTCCATTGCCCAAAAGATGAACCTGGCTGTTTGGCGAGTTTCCAAACACAAAACCGGTAAACACAACCACACCGTTTTCTGGCTTGGGGAACTACACGGTGTTGGCCTTGCTGCAGGGACGCAAAGCAGGACAGGAAAGAACATTGGAGCCCCATTCGCATCATTTGCAAGGAAAAATGCACAGGCTCATGCCTCCCCTCACCCTGCGGTAATTCTCCAAACCTCACTATTATATTCAACTTTTCCCTAAATCCTACAGAATAGGATTGCGTGCTTATGTCCTGCAGCACTGATGACAACACAAGACATTTTCGGAGACGGCGCACCTGGTCGATGAGTCGGAAGTCGTGGGACACGAGGACGAGACCGCCCTTGTACTGCTTGATGGCGTCAGCCAGTGCGTCGATGGACTCCAGGTCCAAGTGATTGGTCGGCTCGTCCAGCAGCAGCAGGTTGGGGCGCTGCATGCAGATCATGCCAAAGACCAGCCGCGACTTCTGCCCCTCGCTCAACTCGCCAATCTTCGTCGTCTGCGCAGGAATTTCAGCACCTTGAGTCTTGAGCCAGGTAGAAAAGCAGTGCTGGCACGGTGCTGCAACATGCTGCATGCTTGCAAATTTTGGTTCCAAGCTGCATGAAGCTGGGAGCCAGAGTTTGTGGTGCAGAGTGCCCAGAGCCTCCTCCAGAGAATGGCGCGGGAATGTCATCGCAATCGAACAGTTTCCTCTCACGTGGACGACGCCTCAGCTGTCGAGAGAGCACTGTTCCACCATGATGCACACCCGCTCTTGCACTGTTCACTGCAGGAGGAAGTGACATCGAGGAACAGACAGGATCACTGCCTATCTGACAGTAGAGTGGCCATTGTGGCCGCAGGAGGGAACGGTACCTGGAGGCGGCCGGAGATGCCGAAACGGCCGAGGTAGGCGCGCCACTCATCGACCTCGCGCGTGAAGGTCATGTTGTTGGGGTACGTTGACCGGAAGAAGTCCAGCACCTGCAGCCGGTCCGAGCACGCCTCAGCACACACATCACAGGGGTAATGAAAGACTGCAGAATCACACATACCAACACAGCAAGCACATGCCACATCAGCCGTCTGAAGGGCTTGCACGAAACACATTCAGAACGTATGGCTCACAAATGTGCGCAAAGACTTGTCCAAATGGATGTAGCACTGCTACCCAATACCCACAAAGACCTCCAGGCACCGACAATCTGCTTCCTTAAAGCGCTGACGGCAGTAGTCCCTGAAGATATTACAAACAGCAAGCCCTCAGTGTCCCCGACGCCAGCAGCAAAAGGGCAGGTGGAGAGCGCGCACCGCCATGGAGTCGTCGAGGATGTCGACGGAGTGCTGGTGGTAGCGCCCAATGCTGAGGTGGGAGTGGCGCTTCACGTCTCCGCGCGTCGGGTTGAGGTCCCCGCACATCAGCTTCAGCAGCGTGCTCTTGCCTGCAGGCGACCCAGACATGCATGAGCATGAGCATGCGCTTGCATATCTGCATCAGGCACCTTGCTACTCCTTCGAGGAATCCTAGCTGATGTTGCAGCAGGAGTTTCAGGCCCCTCCAACAAGCCCTCATGCTGCACATGCAGTCATGGAGTGTAACAAGCCCCGGGCGTCAGGCATTGCAGAGTTGCGAAGAGGCAGCGAGGGCGAGTGCGTGGGGCATGAGCATAAGGGGAGAGAAACTCAATGATGGAGGTCACCTGCTCCGTTGGGTCCCACGAGGGCCACGCGCGAATCGCAGTCGATGCCAAACTCCAGGTTCTGCGCACACAACAAACATATCGACGTAAAGGCACAACCTCCTTTTCAGAAGACGCAGCCAAGAAGACAGCGACGCTGTGTCTACTTCATTCGCAAGAGGTTGGGCCAGTGCACATTCACAAAGCACCTCAACTTGCTTGACGCAGAGGCTGCTCAATGCCTCCTCATAGAACACTCAGGACAGAATTTCAGTGCTACTGCCAGTAGGTCCACTGCTGACCAACTCTTGCTGCAAGTGGTATAGGCATGCTGTCACTCGCTTGCATAAAAAGAGGTGCTCAAAGACTGCATCGGCATGGGGCCTCACCCTGTAGAGCATGTCCTCCTCCTTCCCAGAGTAGGCGAAGCTGACGTCAATGAAGGGCAGCACTGGGGGCGGCAGCTTGTCGCAGTCGGGGAAGGTGAAGGTGAAGCTGCGTGTGTGCACCACCGGCTTTGTCAGACCCACCGCCTCCATCTTGTCCAGAATCTTCTGCTTCGACTTCGCCTGCCGCACCAGGTTTGCGTACGTTCCTGCACAGCAGCGGCACAACAAGTCATTTGTTTATCATCTGCTTTGTTGCTACGTGTCTGCCTGACGCCTAGTGCGTTTTTTGCTGCACGTGTTCTTGGCGGAGTGATACACTACTTAGAACTACTCCACTGATCATCAACATAGCAATGCACATTCGCGCCCGGGCCGACCCTAATTCCCTGCGCTCCAGTGCTTGCAGATACTGCCTATGTCCCTCTCTCGGCGCTATTTTCCAAGCTTTATTTACAGCAACCTGGCGCCACATACAAGCAAAATCCCCAAGGTGTGCGGCAGACGAACGATGTCTAAACGAGTTCTGATGGCGGAAGGGATGCAGGTTGGGCATGCGCGTCTGTGGGAAGAGCAGCGCACCACAGCTGGCGATGAACTCCTTGATGTGCTTGATGTCGTCCTGCTCCTTCTCATACTTCTTCTGCTGGATGACCTCATTCTCCTTCACCGTCTTCTGGAAGGTGTCGTAATTTCCTGCGCACCAGCAGAGCCCGCCTCAGTATCTTACTCATACAATTTTGCCTGTCTGCATCCTTTACGTCTGTTGTGGGAGTGGCGTTAGGTTATGGAATTATACCAACAAGAAGCCAAGCAGAGTCGGAGGTCACCTGAGTAGTATGTGAGCTGCTTCTCTGTCAGCCAGATCATGTGCGTGCACACGCCGTTCAGGAAATCCTGCAGTCAACACATGACGGTCACAACTCTGAAGGGTCAGCATGGACACATCACACACAAGAGCTTTGCCTCCAAACATTGTCCCTCCATGACAAGAGCAGTCTCTGCTCAGCCCCCGCATGCATGTGTTACGTATTATCATACAAATCAGTGTCAAGCACCAGGAATGGCAGCACTGTACAATTCCTCCACTGCAATGACTGAGGGATACACAGAATTAAGTACATATTTTCAGCAGAGCTGTAGGGCACCTGGGAGTGACTGACGAGGACAAGGCACTTCTTGTAGTGCTTGAGGTACTCCTCAAGCCACACACAGGCCTCCAGGTCCAGATGGTTGGTGGGCTCGTCCAGCAGCAGCAGCGTGGGCGCAGCAAAGAGCGCCCGCGCCAACGCCACTCGCATCCGCCACCCTCCTGACATGTCCTGCGCAGGGGGCATACTGGATATATGATAACTGCTGAGAATTCCCAAAATGCACACAAGAATTGCTCATTGGCTACAATTACTAAAGTCCCTTCGTTGGCACGCGCTCTGTCGTGATGTCTGCATTGTCTCGTTGCTTATTATAGGGGGATGAGGAGGGAGGGACCCAAAGGGGCATATCAATTTGATCTGGCGGCTGGTACAGAACTACCCTTTTTGCCAGAAGGGATCCCCATTTTAGCAGAAATAGTAGCGCAGGCAGACTTAAGAAGCCTAATGCAGGCGAGCATGCTCGTATGCATAGAAAGTGGTCACACCTTTGTGGGCTTGGCCATCATCTTGGGGCCGAAGCCCAAGCCAGTCAGCAGCTTGATCGCATCCGTTTCAAAGGTGGTCGGATCCAGCTCCTCTAGTCTGTCATAGATTTCCTGCACACCAAAATAGACAAAATCGCTCAGGCTTTGCTATCATCTTCTGATTGCTGATAGATGCACCAACGCCAGCATAACTCATCTGCGAATTATGAGCTGTCCCTTCATCTGCCCACGCTCTTCAGCATGCATGCATCCAGAGACACCCACAACAGCTCCTGAGGGCACTCTGTTAGAGAGACTTGCTGCATGTCAGATCACACAAAAGATGAACAAGAAGTTTCAGAGTAATTCACTACCTGCAGGCGCTCGTCCTCCGGCCCAAACTCGCACATGATGTGCTCTTCCAGTGCGTTCAGCCGTGCTACCTCAGCCTCGATGTGGTCCACAACCGCCTGCAGCGCTGTCCTGTCGCTGGGCTCCGCCTCCTGGTGCAGATGGTACAGATCCATGTGGTCTGGGATCGGCACCTGTTGAACGACCAGGCACAGTGTGTGAGGTGCAACTGATACAGGATGGACTGCCCTCAGGATAGACTGCCATGACAAAAACACTCAAGACGTGCATCTTACACACAGTCATCAAGAACTGTCAGAGACACTGGCATGAGGCGCTGACAGACCCAGGACATGCAAGTGCATTCTTTGTTGACAAGTGAGGATGCAAAAGGATGAAACTGCTTGGTTATATTAGAGGGTGTGAGCACGCGCACCTCTCTGTTGGCAAGACACTGCAGGAAGTTGGTCTTGCCGCTGCCGTTGGTGCCGATGAGGCCATATCTGCGCCCGATGGTCAGCTCTATGGAGCAGTCCTGTATGAGCTCGATTCCATTGAGGCTCAGACTGAAGCCGTCAATTTTGATATCCCTGGATGTCGGCCGCGATGTCAAGACGCCTGTGACGGCCCTCTGTGACTCCAGAATCGACTTCTGATTTGCAGTGCCACTTATATCCAGGTCTGCTAGCCCGTTTTCTGTCCCATTGAGGTTTGCCTCGCTCTGCAAAGCAAAAGGTCATGATTCAGAACGACTCCTACAGGAGCTGCAAATGGGTGAGGATCTGGACTTGGTTTTCTTCTCCTTCTCAAGCTATGCCACCAGCTAAGGTTGACACACAACAACTCTGGAGGCATAGACGCCAAAAAGCGCACAAGTATTATTTTTAGAAGCTCCGAACAGCTTCGAAGGGCTTCGACAGGCATAGTACGCCATAGGGAAATGACATCAGCTGATTGCAACACCAAATTGTGTCTTACAACCACACTTCCCCATTGAGAAATCTGCCTCAGCCAACTTCTGTGGGCTGGGCCAGTACATTGTAAAAAGTAAATGAAAGCCACATCAGCGCTTGTTACAGCAGGATTGTCACCTGGCTTGGAGTTATAGCAGGACTTGGCCTGGCGCTGCCCCCAAGCTTGGTGTCTTTAGCTGCCTTCTTAGCAGCCAAGCGCTTTTTCGCGGCTTCACTGACCATTGTGAGGTGGATCCTACCTCTAGAGCCTCTGAGAACCTACTCAAGGGCGTGTTTAATGATCCGAGGAAAAACGGAATATGCAAAGGGCGGCTGAGAGACGTCCTAGCTCTTTACTGGATTGCTGCTTTGTTCCCTCAAAGTCTGCTCCGTCCTTTTTGTGCAAGAGGATCTACGATGACAATGAGAGCAACCGTTGTGTAAATGTGGTTGCCTGGAAAAATCAGAGCAGACGTTGTCGGCCTTGCCATGCCTTTTCGATATCTTCCCTCCCTAGGGGCGCCCAATTTCTTGGTGCGACAGCTTGCTAAAATATTTCTGCTCTGGAAAAAAGTAGTTCCCCAAGCTTTTCGCACTTTCTTTTTGGCAGATCCAGATAGAGTTGCGGCTGGTGATAGTGTGAAAAGCTTTCAGCTGGGCCAAAGCCAACTGGTGGACACGCTGGTGGTACCACATTGGTTGCCAGCTGGTGCCACCAGTACAGTAGTGGTACAACGTTTCAAGATCAACCCGTACTTACAAAGGCAATCGTACATTGTGGACAAAGACGTCTCTACTCTTGAGATGCATGCATTGCAAGCTCATAAACAAGAATGGCAACACTCAAGACACTTGGCAGGCCTAGGATGCATGTGCGCACAAAATGCAGGCCACCCCTTCTGATATTCAAGCCCAGAAATGATCCATTTCTTGATACCTATGTAGCATGCAATGCCCATACATATGTCTAGAAGTAGCCTTATAGTGTGCACTGGCACACTGCGCAGCCAACAAGCATGGCCTATCTGCCTACGACTGCTCTGACACAATAACAGGTGAACTGCAGGCAGAATTGATGGGGCTTTACAACTCTCCTTTCTCTATCTCGCTCAGAATGACAAACTTCTGCTGGCTGGCCGGCCGCACCAGCTTGGCCTTGCTGCCATAGCTGCTCCCCAGAGAGGAAAGCCTCGACCCATAGGACACCGCTCTCCTCTCCAAACCCACCAGCTCTGCACAGCATCCAGATCCCAACTTTAATGCGGTGCTTGCACTCCATCCACCAATTGATGAAAGTTACACTCCTGCAGTCTGCACAAACCTGCCTCGAGAAAAACAAGGGACTCGTGGAGACACAGCACATTATCTGCGACTGGCATTCAGCTAGGCTGATGTAGCAACAATTCGTGTCTGAACTAGGCAGGAAATTACCTTCACAATTAGTAAAAAATCTTCTGAACTAGGGTTTCTTGGGAGTCAACAAAGCAGTCACCTGTGCCGGTGAGGGAGGCAAGTGAGCCGAAGGAGTTGAGGGAGGTGACTCGGCGGTGCCCCCCTGCCGCCAGATTAGTCGCGCTGCCGTTGCGCCAGCGCCGCCGCCGCCTGAACAGCCGCATGCACAGCACCGCCGCCATCGCCACCAGCAACGCTGCCCCCATCGCCTGCGCATCACGCGGACGCAGGCCTTTAGGCACCTTGTCTTGCGCTGGATCATGTGATGGCTGCCCAGTGAGGTGCTCTGGGCAGCCTTCACCGCATGCGGCACATGACCACTTTTCAGGACCATAAATCTATGTGCTGGGCTGTATGATCCGTCTCCACACCATAGATTTCCACTGTCCTCCACAGGGGAGAGTGCCCATGGCAGCTGCCTGACAGCCATAGAATTGCTGAAGATATGGTCTCAGCATAAGAGAGACTCTCAAGGTAGTACAAGGAAGCCCCTGCATCAGCCCCATATTTGTCTCCCCAGCCTCCCAGCATCCCAGCACCAGCCTGGACTCCCTCAGAAGTGGCATCAAACAGGACAAGCGCTGTGCGAAAAACTTGCAATCGCTCAAGTAAACTGAGTCCTCAATTTGGGGGCCTTGAATGCCAGGTCAAGGTGCTGGGCAGGCTATGGATCCAAGACAGCTGGCTGGAAAGCCTTCCTCAACACGCTACAGAGGCTGGACTTTGCTTTGGCCACAGCCACACCCAAGCAGAGGACGCACCAGGGTGGCCCAGGTGTCGGCGCGCAGTCGCAGGCGCAGCTTCAGGGAGAGCGGCGAGGGGGCCTCGTCGCCGTAACCCTTGAGCCAGGTGCCGGCGTTCTTGTGGTGGCCCACGATGCCGCGCAGGGGCGTTCCCGACACCGCCGCGATGTCCACCAGCGCATGGCACGACAGGTCGCTCCACTCGCACGGCTCAAACCTGCACCAGTGGGGCCTTTAGAAGAGGGTGATTAATATATTGTGCAGTAGCTGTCCAGGCCCTGCTCAGAAACCCCTGGCCTCACAGCAGGCAGCAACCTTCGTGAATTTCTTGACATTGTGGTGCAAGCTGTCGATCCCAGAAGCAGTCGGCGTTGGCGATAACCAACATCTTTAACGCGCAGTGCAATGACCTGGTCTGATAAATTGCAGAATGGCAGCTCTCCTCCTGCAGCCGCCGCCGCAGCTGCAGCATGCGTGTGTGCTAGCAAGTTGCTACAAGCGCAGCCTCCTTTAGGATGTGACATGAGACACTGCTCCAGTGGTGGAGAATACAAGGAAATGCGCACCACTGGCCGAGCGCGTAGACGATGACGTGGGTGCCCTTGACGGTATGCTCCCCCGCGTAGCCGGTGGCGAGGTCGCCGGCCTCCCCCGAGAAATCTTTGAAGGCGTCACGCAGCAGCCAGGGCCCAGTCGCGTACAGTACCGCGTGCGACATGTCCCGCTGCGACCGAGTCTTGTTGTGCATCGCCACCAGGTGCGGCGCCCTGGGGCACACCCAACCCATACACCCAACCTCAGTCATTGCTGCTTCATTCTAGGGCACATCTTGAGGGGTCCCACTCCTAACTTTGTGTGTGTATTTCTCAGAAACTCAAGCGCAGGGGTAAGCTTCGCCCATCAATGATCAATGGGCCATCATTGTAAGTGATGCAATGGGATTTACTGCCGCTCTGCGTGCCTTAAAGAAGCATGGTTGCATCCCCGAGCTGCACTGCCACATTCGTTCTACTAATCCCAGTGACCGCTTTTGTTATGGTTTTCTTGTAGAGATCTGTGGAGGGAGGAGCAACAGGAAGGCACCTGTCCCGCAGCAGCCCGTGCATGATGGACCAGATCTCGAGGCCGGGCGCGCCGGCCATGACGGCGTTGTTGAGGGACTTGTTGCCGCTGTCCTCCAGCTGCAGCACCAGGTCAAAGCCGTCGATCATCTTGTCCGTGGCGTCAAAGCACTCCACGTCCACATCCATGTAGAGGCCCCCGTACGCATGCAGCAGGAACGGCCGTATCGCGTCCCCTGCGCACACCCCAAATCCCCACTCGGTACATAGATTTGGCTCTTCGTTGATGATGCCGGTGCCCGATATGGATTCACTACACAAGGAAGGGCATCATGATGTTCCTCTTCGGGAAAACTTGGCCGGACATTGCCGCTTGGGTGCTGGCCTTTCAAAGGGTGCCAATAGATGTAGCTTTAAACAGTGCCCGCACTTCGTCTTATCTGGGAATTTGTAAACGGTTCGAGTCCTGTCAGCAGAGAAGGTGTGTCTGCCTCTTCCTAGAGATGTGAGGTATTAGCGCTCTCTATTCTTATCAGCAGAGAGGGTGTGTTCAGAAAGGTAGTAGGAAAACAGCGCACCGCGGTGGACGACGCGGGGGTAGGAGCGCCAGGTGTCGAGGAACCAGGGGTAGCGCTCCTGCAGCAGCTCCTCGGCCGCCTGGTTGTCCCAGAACATGTGCCGCCAGCCCGGGTGCAGCTTCTGGCACGAGTTGCGCCACCTGCGCAGCATGCCTCCCCTCGGTGGGAAATCCCCCTTTGTTTCTCAGAGCGCTGTGCAGCCATGCTGAGGTATGGACCAACGAGTACTGTACAATTTGGACTGAACTACAGGGATTTGGAACAATGTGAATGTTATAAAAAGAGAAACGTGGCTGCTTGTAATGCGTAAAAAGGTGTTGCCAAAGAGGACATGTGTGAGGTGGGCTGCAGCACCTGTGGTTGAACCTGCGGAACTCCCTCCCAGCTTTCTCCTCCTTTCTCTCCTCATCTTCCAGCGCAGCCTCCCCATCCAGAAAAACCTGCTCATTGGACAATCAGTACGCCATCAAGCCCAGCAGATCTTTGTGGTAGTAGCATCTCTTAGGGCAGCTGAAGAGGGCACCAGGAACAATCACAGCAGAAATGCGGATGGGTGACGAGAGCAGCCATAAGGCTGACAGATAAATCCTTTGTGGAATGGAGACTGCTTCCATTTACAATCACAGCAAGCAGAATGGGCATGGGTGCCCAGAGCATGCCATGAGGCATACCTGGTGGATGATGTGCGGAATGGTGATCTCCTTCAGCCTCCTTTTCCGCATGCCCTCGCCAGAGCCTCTCTCATCCCAAACCAACTCCCCTGATTCCTCACTGCCTGTCTCCTGCCACCTGTATGTGGGCCGTGGGCGGCTGCCCACCAGCCAACTCCACATCCACGATCTCCAAATGCAGAGGCTGGCCCAGGAGCTACCCACATCACAGGCTGTCACTGACTGCCGCTGTACTTCTGCTGACGTTGCAAGGGGCTGCTGGGCCATAAGCCTGCTCCCCCTCCAGTGTTCGGCTGGCTGGTTCGCCGTTTCGGAGGACTGCAGGTCTGCAATTATGCTGGCAATGCCCCTTCCCTGCCCGTTCCCTGCCCGTTCGTGCTTTGGAGGCACTGCAAGCCCAGTGGTGACGAGGTTGAGGCACAGCAAGGCTAGTAAGAACCTCGTGCTGCTCGGCCCAACTGATACCGCCATCAGGACAACACCTGAGCGCTATGTCCTCAACATGTTGCACTAAATTGCATGCACTGCGTCAGCCAGGGCTGTCCACCTCCAATACTTCCATCTTGGTCTTCTATGCCATTTCTGATCTGTATTGAGATGGCTAACAAAAAGTGCTATTATTCTGAATCCAGCAACTAGGAACCAGTAAGATGGCTAGCACCAGCAGGACAACAACAGCTCTCATTGTTATTGGCAGCGCTCTGCGGATCTCTTCTGCTATTCCTTCAGTTGGTTGCCTGCACCACAAATCAATGTTCAGATCAAGCTCGAACTCCGACAATATTGTACTCCTGTACTAGCAATCCAAGAAAGTACTTCGACTGAAAGATTCCAACGGTTTCTTACGCTGCAGATATGAGCATTAGTAGTATCAAGGCGGTGGATTGTTTATTGAGACACAGATGAGCTCCAGACCGTTTACAGTACTGTTCTGCTGAAGGCCAATTAAAGCTTCAACGGCACAGGTATTACCCGGACTTGGACGCCAAGGAGCCATCGTCACATACTTGGCATGCCTATCTTCCTTTGTCGCGTGTACGTTCTGGGAATGCTAGCATTCCGATATTACTGTGACATTTTGGATGTTGAGTTGGTCACGCAGAACCCTCCCTTGGATACGAATTGTTGCTTGACAGCTGTGTGCTCAAATCTGCAAGCCTTGCACCCAGGCAAACGTGACACATTACTGTAACGCTCCGCTGCAGAAAGTACACCACTTTTATGATTTACATGTGGTCCTCAAATGCTCTGAGGATGCTTCTTTCAGGGATGTTGCTGTCAGTGTGGCACTTGCTCCAAGCTCGACTTCCAACATGGAGCTCTCACGAAAACATGAACGAAAGTCTCTGTGTTAAACATCATATATAATGATTCGTAGCCCGCAGTAATGCTTCTGCATGTTTTTTACTACTTTTTTGTCACATAGCCAAATCAGGCAACTGCATCAACAGAAGTCGACGGGACCCCTGGCGTTCACGATTGACGATCAAACATCTGGCCCGTTGCAGATTAAAATATTATCCATGCTTGTGGCAGCAGATCGTGGTACTGTGCTTAATATCGTACATCACATTCCTTGGGTGATGCATTGGTATTGACCAGTAGGGCAAAAGGTTCTCCATAAGAGTCCGTTGCTGGTCAGCAATCCAATATACAAAGGATTTAACAAGTTTTAAAATGATCAGCTTGGCTGGAATAGCTTGGTCCATCGTTGGCTTCATCTTCCTATCTTACCTGATCCCTCACTTCGTTGTCACTTTTCTCAAACCAAAGGACCTTAAGAAGGCTTATAACGCAAAATGGGGGCTTGTCACGGGCGCAAGCAGTGGTACGAGATTGAGTTCGTCGCAGCCTTACCATCCCTTTGTCTTGTATCTCTCTTACTTTGATACAACTCTGATGGCCTCTTAAAACTGACTCTGGATCACCTTCAGGAATTGGGAAATCGCTTGCCACAAGGCTTGCTGATCAAGGACTGAACGTGGTGGTAGTGGCATTGCAAGACGGTCTGTTGGATGCCACATTCTCTGAGTTGCAGGCTCAGTTTCCCAAGCAGACATTTCGTAAGGTGTGTACCAAATGCACATCTCCTACGGGTACTACCGAAGTTTTGGTGTGCACATGGGGTGCAAAGGATGCATCTGTGCTTGTGCAGGTGGGGGTAAATCTTGGTAAGACAGGCTACCTGGAAAAGATAGCAGAGGCCACAGCTGATATTGATGTCCAAATACTGTTCTGTAACGCTGGCTACATGCTGACAGGCTTCTTCGAGAACACGTGCGCGACCCCCCATTTGGACACAACTGGCTGTGTTGGCCTTTGCATCTTGCATTTGTCGACCCTGATTTGTAGTTTGCATGCATGCATATCCACTCAGCTGAGGCCTGGTATATTGCAGGCCCTTGGAGCAGCAGATGGCCAATTTGGAGTGCAATGCAGTCTGTGCAGTGGCAATCACACATCACTTTCTTGCCAAGATGGTGAGAAATCCCCTGATCTTCCTCCCCTGATCAATTCAGTGACAACATCAGGGTGGCCTTGCCACCATATTATTGTACTTACTACAGCAGATTTGCCATCCTGCATTTGATCACCACAGGTGGCTAAGAAGCTCAAAGGATGCATCGTGTTCACGTCAAGCGCGGCTGCATCTATTGCCTCGCCGTTCACTGCGCTGTATGCAGCCACAAAGAGCTTCGTATCCTCCTTCGGCGCCAGCCTGGCAGTAGAGGTTAGGCACCATGGCATTGATGTCCTGGTGTTCCACCCTTCCCCAGTCAACACCAGGCACGCTCTTTCCATTTCCCCATCTGCATCAGCTTTATGATGTTTGAAGATGAGCACATCAAAGTGAGACTGCGGATTCTCTGATTCCTGACCAGGAATCAGAGAATCTGCATTCTCTACTGACAGGTGACACAGACAGCACCCTCTGGCAGGCGCCCTTCAACGTTCTTTTTCATTCACAGCGGCAGCCAAAATTTGATGCACTGCAGATTCTATGACAAGGCACACAAGCTGGACGTCCTGGACTTCTTCAAGGCACAGGCAGTGCACCCAGATGCCCTGCCTGACGCTGTCTTCAGGTAGCTCTGTGCCATCCTTGAGCTTTCCCATGCAAGATCCTGACGCATGCATGCATGCATACGGTTTTCAAGCAAAGTGACACTCCTTGGCAACCCCGACGCCAATGGCATTGCATATATATCTATGTATGTGATGTCAAAACGAATGTTACATGTATCTATTGCAGGTGCATTGGCCGCACGGTGTGGGCAGACATTGGGACTACAGCACTGTGCTTCCGTTTGGCCATGAAGCTGATGGACTACAATCTCATGGCCACCATCACCGCACTTATGGCGCCGCTGCTGCCAGACTTCAAAAAGGCCATGAAGGCGAAGAAGGCCAACTAAGTAGTATACCATAGTATGAGAGATGTTGGATTTTGAGCATTAAAGCGTTTAAACTAAAATTTTAGTAACATTGGAGAGAAAGCTATGAACGCAGAGATGACTATAAACAAGAGTTGCCAGTTCTGCAAAGCATAGTATGAGACTGTGTGCAGAGGGTCTAACATATTGATACAATAGCTCCCTACAGGCCTGCAACTGCAGGTCGAGCTTTACCTGTGTAGAGTAGACGCTGAGAGATATGATGAGGACGGAGGAAGTTGAGTCACATCAACCCTGAGCACGAGCTGATCCACAGTATTAGTAAGATTGCACGAGCGTTGTCATGTCTTCTTTCAAGCCTGCCCTAGCGCTAGCTGGGGCCACTGCCGCTGTGGCTATCGCTGATGAGTTTGGGTCCTTCCGCAAGTTGCTGCAGGTGGACTATGTTGCGCAAGGAGCTGCTGCATGGCAAGCGGTCGTTTGCCAATCTGTGGGCCAAATTCTCAGTGAGGAGAAGTCAAGATGCTAATGACATGTGCAGCCCAGCCAAAACGGGCAACCCAGGCCTTCAACTCATGCAAATTCCCTCCTGACAAGAACGATCAGAGCACATATGAACTCCAATCGAAGATGACACAACGCCGTTCACAAAAGCAGGCTCCTAAATGTAGTTCATATCGGTAAATAAGATATGAGCACAGCAGGCGATGGTGTGGATGTGCCTGCTGAGGTTGAGATTCAAAGAGTTAAGAGAGTGAGGACCAGTGTTTCGCACCCTAGGGGCGTCAACTGGGATGATATTGAACTTGAAAGCGATGAAGATGATTATCGCCCAGCTAAGAAAGGGAAGACAGCGTCCAAGGATGCTGGACAACAACGTGGCAATCAGACGGTATGAGTGATCATTGCAAGCTCAGATGTAGTCTAGTTCTCCTTTGAAATTTTTGTTATTCGTAATGGTTGTTACGGGGCGTTTCACACGGCTTTGAACCCCCTGATACCTTCTTGGTGCTCAGCACTCTTGTTGTGGATGATCGTTGAGTAACCTGCAGGGTGTCCCGCTCTCCTCTGCTCATGAGTACCAGCTTGATTTGGAGACTGCATGGGCTCTTGGTTTCAACGCCATGGCGCTCACAGAGGAGGAGGAAGATCTTCTTCCAAGTGGCAGCCAAGAAAGCATCTATGTCGAGGTGAGCCACCAAAACTCTGCTTGTGGCACACGGGCTTGCACGATGGATCCTGTGAGACGTATAGATGTCGCAGATTTGGCCTTGCTCGCAATTTATCATAGCTTTCTGCTCAGGTCCGGAACCACGTCCTGACCAGATGGAGAGAGGACGTCTCCAGGTGTGTGCTCTCCACGCAGCATGATGGCGGATGAACAACAGCTCTGAACTTTTAGACATGGTTGCTCGGTCATGTGGGTGACACTAAGCTATATATCTGCCATGTGGTATCCGCATAGCCAGACGCTCTCAAGAAATCATGGGCATCACTGCAGCAATCACGTTGCAGGTATCTGTCAGTGGAGCAGGCGGAGGCTGGAGTGAAGCCAGACCTGCGCAAGTATGCCAGAGTAGCCTGGACATTCCTCAACACAGCAGGGTACATCAACTTTGGGGTCGCACCGGACATTGCAGCCAAGGCTCTGAAAACACCAGCCACTCGTGGGACTGTCATCATTATTGGTGCAGGCTTGGCAGGTACTTTGACCGACCTTGCATGTCTGTGATCTCCTGCATCCTGCATCTCCTTTACCCGGCAAAATGTTTCGCAGAAATTGCAGTGATGTCCATAAGGTTCTGATGAAGTCCGTGCACGGCCCATGTGCTTGCAGGTCTCTCGGCTGCGCGCCAGCTGCGCATATTCGGATTCCAGGTGGTGGTGCTAGAGGGCCACGGCAGGCCAGGAGGCCGCGTGTACACAAAGCGACTTGAGGTGCGACCATGCAATTGACTCTCTCGCGCTTGTCACCTCAATCCCAAGAATGGGAATGCACCTGATCCTGGTGAAAGCTTGCAAATCCCGCCCTTGGCTTGTCTAGAGCCAATCCCTGACATGGCCTACCTGACAAGCAATCATGGTGCCAACTGACCTGAGGGGCCCTTCCCTAGCAGAGATTTTAAGGTGGCTGGGACAAATTTCCTAGTCCAGTCACCCTTGATCATTCGCGATGCTGCCGCTGCCTCGGACAAATGCAGCTAACCCTGAACCACTCTTTCTGAAGCCCTTCCATGTCCCCCTTAAGAACAGATCTCTGTGATGGTCAACCTCAGGATAAAAGCTCTCCCGGCTGTGTCCTAGCACACGCTCTTATTATCTGGCGATGCTGCCTTTTCTGGCAGGCTGACGGGCACGCAGCGGTGGCGGATCTGGGCGGCAGCATCATAACTGGCATTGATGGCAACCCGCTTGCAGTGCTGGCAGCGCAGCGCAACATCCCCATGCATGACATCAACACTGCCGGGGTGCCGCTGTATCTGGAGGACGGCCGGGAAGCCGACACGCGCATTGACGGCCGGGTGGGCCCTCACATCTGAGGGCATTCAGATCAAACCCTGGAATGTCATTAGCTATGCCAGATTGGAAGTGATGTGATCTTTGCAAAGCAACACTGGCAGAGGACCAGGAACATCACCTGAAGTGCAGCCTGACTCACTGGTGAGGGAACGGTGCAGACAGTGAGATAAAGGTAAGCAAGCAGGCGTGGCGTGGCGCACTGTTTTCCCCTCCAAATATCCTCTTGCTGCCCTCAAGTAGCCGTATGAGGGTGAGTACATATCGTCAGGTCTGGGGTCAGATGCTTGAATTGGAATATGACCCCTGGTGTGGCGTGCAGGCTGAGAAGGAGCACAATACGCTGCTGGACGAGTGCGACAGGTTCAGGGAGGACATGGGGGAGATCACCGACAACATCTCCCTTGCCACCGCCCTGGAAACCATCTGGGCCTCCAGACGGGAGGACGGTGTGACACTTCCCTCGTTAAGCTGTTGATCCTGCGTCTTGCTTCACCTCACTCTCTCCTTCAAATAGTATGCTGTGCTATCAGCAGTGCCATCATGGCTCAGCAAGCATTGCCTTGGCAGGGTATGCAGCACATAGAAGGCACTGTGCATGGGTGGGTTGCAGGGGAGGAGCAGAATGGCAAGGGCAATGCAAGCAGTCAAGCGCAGCTGGAGCGGCGGCTGCTGGACTGGCATTTTGCCAACCTGGAATTTGCCAACGCGGCGCCGCTCAGCCTGCTGTCCCTGCGCACCTGGGACCAGGATGACCCCCACGAAATGCAGGGGGCCCACACCTTCCTCCCAGGTGATGATTGTCGTCTCAGCCCTGTTCCTTCCTTCTGGCTCGGATTCTGCGCATCTACCAGAGACACATACGGCTGCACAGCTTGTTCATGTTCTCCTCCTCTCATTGGCATCTACACGTGCTGTGTGGATATGGTAGTTGTCACTGCATCAGACCCACATCTCTGCATTTTTGTACACCATAGAGGGATTTCTGTGCGCATGGTGCAAACACCAGGCAGAACTGCTTAAATTGCATCATATTTCTGCGATAGGATATCAGATGGACTGTAAGCAGACAGTCTTGATTTCCTCATTTACGTGACACAAGGATCTGGCCGCTGTCTGTGCAGGTGGGAACCTGAGGCTGGTGGCAGCACTTCAAGAGGGTCTGCCCATAATGTACAACAGCGTGGTGATGGAGATCCGGTACTCAAAGAACGGCGTGGTTGTGAGGACCACTGCAAAACAGGAGTTCCCAGGCATGCCTCCGCCTTGCACAGACATGCTTCCCTAAGAACATTTCTATGCACATATCATAAGCCAGTGTGTACATGAGGATCGCACTGAGAGTGTCTGGTGGCTCCGTCAAAGCTGCCTTGCAAGCTGACATGGCACTCAAAAGTCTCCTGGGTTTGCATTTTGCCTTGCAGGTGTTGCAGTGCTGGTGACGGTGCCACTGGGCGTGCTGAAAGCTGGCAGCATAAAATTTGACCCACCTCTGCCGCAGCGCAAGCTCGACTCTATCCAACGCATGGGTTTTGGCGTCTTGAATAAGGTCTGCCCCATCGCCCTCGGAACGATTGAATCCGGCAGGCCCCTCACAGATCGCTGCATGCTTTACTGTTCTTTCATGATGCATAGCCTGAATCACTTATTCTCGAAGGTGCAAACTGCTATGTGTGAGATGGGTCTCAATGGTCTATGTTGTTGATGATACACATCACATGCGCCTTCATACGTGTTGCAAGGCTGGGGGCTTAAATACAAGCAGCGCCCATTCAGCAAGGCAGCGCCCTGTGCAGGTGGTCATGCTGTTCCCGCATGCCTTCTGGCGCAAGGCGGACATGTTTGGGCGCATTGCGCCGAGCCGGGAGTGCCGCGGCGAGTTCTTCCTGTTCTACTCCTATGCGACCATCTCCGGCGGGGCCGTGCTGGCGGCTCTGGTAGCCGGTGATGCAGCTGTGGACTTTGAGAAGACAGCATCGGAGGAGTCGGCGCGCCGGGTGCTGGCCACCCTCAGGGGCATCTTCAACCCCAAGGGAATCCACGTGCCCGCGCCCCTGCAGGTCATCATTTCCCTTCTTCACTAGTCAGTCGGCAGAGCGCAGACAAGGCAGTCCATCATGAATTATCCTCGCTGGATTTTATTGGAGAGTGATGCTGTCATGATTGCAAATCTGTCTCATCTGCTGTGTGTTCAATGCTTGCACAGCTGGTCTGTGTCAGGGTTGCGATCATGACAGCGTCAGATAAGCAGATGGCCTTTCAATGAGCCAACCATATTTAAAACCTCTATCGTGCTTGCTCACAGGCGCACAGCCTCTCCAACAGGAAAATGAGCCGTAAGATGTCTTTTTTGGTGTTCTCAAACTCAAGATTCGACGGCTGGAAGCGCAGGTGGTGTGCACGCGGTGGGGCGCGGATCCGATGGCGTGCGGGAGCTACAGCAGCATAGCGGTGGGCGCGCTGGGAGGCGAGGAGTACGACATCCTGCAGCAGTCCGTGGCCGGCCGCCTCTTCTTCGCGGGGGAGGCCACCACCAAGAAGCACCCCGCCACCATGCACGGAGCCTTCCTCTCCGGCCTGCGCGAGGTGCGGCCGAACACGATATAGACCGACCTGCTCAGAGTGTCCTCTATGCCTCCTCCACCCTGCAGGATATCATGCCGCGCACCAGTGCTGCAAAGCGGTGGGAGGGAGCAGTTGTGGGAGGGTGGTCATAGCACGCATAAAGGCTGCAACTCGGTGGCAGCAATCCCTGTAGCGGTGAGGTCAGCGTGAGTGAACTCAGCATTGCAGGATCACTGCCTCAGGTTTGCATGGCATCTGCCCCTTGCGTCGAGCAGGGGTGCACCAATAGGCATCCCGATTGAGGACAGCATAAAGGGAATGCCTTGAAATTAAACCAGGAATCTTCCGAGCTGGAAAAGCGCCTCACGGCATTGAATTTTTGCACGCAGGCGGCAAATGTGTCTGCGACGCTGGCAAAGGACAGCGCGGAGGCCGCAGCTGCTAAGGCGGCGGCTGCGCGAGCTGCAGCAAATGTGAATGGCGCAGTAGTACAGCGCAGGGCGCCTACACAGGACGACGCAGCAGTGCGGCGCGCGGCGCTCACCGCCAAAGTGGCGCAGGCATTGAAGCAGGTGCGCATGTTGCTCCTTGTCTGTGTGATCATTCTCTGCGTATGTTGTCAGGATGACTGGGCCTTCCTTGACCCTGGCTAGTGCATCAAGGGGTAGAATATTTGGCAGCTTTCACCTGCAGTGCGCCGGCAGACGCACCTTGCCTCTGCCAGAAGAGCGTGTAATGATAATAGTGATGTCATGGATGCACCAGGCACTTCACACAGTCTTGCCACTCTCTCTGGGCCTCCAAAATGCTCAACCCTGATTGTCACTCCTGCATGCTGCAGCATGATAGCAGAGATACGATGCTTTCTGCTGGTTAATGCCAAGTCATTAATGCTAACGCTAACTTGCAGACACCGGAAGGTCTCAGGCAAGCTAAGATTTAGACTATGAGGACGCTGGTGTTGTGCACTGCAGGTGTTCCACGATCCGAGGCGTCCGCCGGATGTGGAGTTTGGCTGCTTTGCTGCGTTGTACGGTCCAAGGGGAAGCGCCTATGAGGATCAGGCAGTCCTGCGGGTGGATGTTGGATTGGGCCGCACCGGCCGCGGCAAAGCCATGCCCATCGTCGTCCCCATGAAACGCACCGACGTTGCCAGGTGTGTTGCCATTGTCCCATACCTGTGGCATGTCCCATTACTGTTCTGTTGAGCCCAGTGCGCAAGCAAAGCGGTGAGGATACAGACCTGTCGTCTAGTACAAGAGTGGCAAGGCTTGGCAAGTAAAAGTTGCCTGGATAGTTCAGTCAAAAGGCACGGCATTTGTAGTCAGCAGGCACTGCTTGCAGGTATTGTGCAGAAGAGCCAATCGTGCATAGCAAAATCTTCAAGCTCATCTAGCTGAATGCCCAAAAAAAGACGCCAGGCTGTTTTCATTTCATGGCTGTGTGCATGCCCTTCAACCGCCTCTCTGATGAATGTGACTGTTTGGAATGAGCCCCTCTCCCTGTGCAGGCTGCGTGATGCAAAGGGGGGTGATGACGCGCGGTTCAGCCTGCTGATGGGCCCCATGGGGGGCAAGCTGGTGAGCCGGGGGTCACCCAGTGAGAACCTCGCGCTCATGCAAGCCGTCCTGGCCGCCCGCGGCATCAACATTGTGGAAGAGCGCGCTCCTGCTGCCTCCTGCAGCCTGCATGCGCCACCAGGGGAACAGCAGTACCACCAGCAGCAGGTTTGTGATCACGATCTGCTGCCTTACCTACCAATGTCATGCATGGCTCCTCTTATTGTCACTTGCCGCGCTCATGACCATCAGATGATACCAATATGTTGCAGTTATGAAGGATTAGGTCTGCTGCAGATCTCGTGATTCCTGGCTTGTTGTTCTGGGAGATTAAATAAGGATGGGTGACTACCAGCATCCAGACCCACTGGCTGACAGGAAATCTCAGAGTAAGTAAAAGAATACGGGCGTTATTTTGCTGTCTGGGTGTTGCAGGGCGCCCACATGTCTCACCTGATGCACCAGCGCCAGCAGCAGCAGCAGCAGCCGCTCTCCAACGGCATGCACCTCCCGAACGGCAGCACACAGCACCCGCGGCAGCAGCCACCGCCGCAGCCGAGCCGGCCGCCGCATGCTACCCAGTCAGCCTCCCAGCCGTCACTGAACGCCCTGCTGCAGCAATTGGCGCCGCACCTGAATCCCCGCCAGCAGCAGCAGCAGTCACCACAGAGCGCTTCCAGAGCACCTCACAGCGCTAACAGCCCCAGCCAACCAGGCAGCTTCTCCGGCCCCTTCTGGCAGCAGGGGTTTGCGCAGCAGGGGAGCATGCCAGCACAGCCTGCCGCAGGATCCTGGAGACCCGGCACTCAGTCTTCCGGGGCTCCTGCCGTGGACGCGGGCTCCGCCATGCAACCGTCATACCCGGCGTACGGTGGCAGCTCAGCCGCCGCGCCGTCGGCGGCAGCCGCGCAGATGCCAGCACGCCAGGTGAGCGCCTCGGCAGTGTGGCAGGGGCCCCCTCACAGCTATGCAGCACCTTCCCAGTACCTGTCAGCCTCTCAGCCGCTGGGAGAGTCAGCCCCTGCTTGGAAGAAGGTGGAGGCTACTTGGTTGTGCGACACAGCGGCAGGGGCAGCCGAGCCGAGCGGTGCTGCGCACCCGGTAGCTCCTCGGCGCGCCAGCAATGCGCCGGCTGTGCCGCTACTCGACTCGGCAGCTCTGGCGCGGCTGACAGCGATGATGACAGCGCAGCGCAGCTCGTCAGTGCAGCAGGGCCTGGCTGGCAATGGAATGCCTGAGAATCGGACGGGCCAGAATGGCGAACCATGAACCTTATGAGAATGTGCTGCATGCAGTTGTTGTGATTGCTATCTGGATTTTGGATTTTGTGGGTGACTTGCGCAAAATGTCTGTATCTGAATTGCTGCAACACTTGCTCTGCTTTGAATAATCTGTGCACAAAATTGAACTGAATTGCTAGCGCACATGTGTGCTTGCAATGCAAGATCCATTTGTGATTTCACCAGTACCTTTTGACTTGGTCGCATGATGTTACAAGATTGGCAAATGCAAAGGCTATAGGCCATACACCACGAGATAAATACAAGGCACTGATTCAGATCGATCTTGATACATCCAAGTGTACTCACTCTCACACGCGCAATGTACAAAGTCTCTCTCAACACTCGTCAAAAACCAAAGTTCCACTCAATTGCTGCTTAAAAGTACAGAGTGTACAGAGTACCAGCTACAGTCACACACATTCTGCTGCTCAGGAGCAGCCCGTATCACAGAGCAAGCTCCGATAGAACTGATGAGATGGTGTCCCAGGAGTGGCCTCGCCTCTGCAGCCATCCCACCATCCTCCGCCGCCTGGTCTCCGAGGGCATTCCCTTTGTCAGATGCGCCTGCCGCTGCGCAGTCTCCAGCAGCTGCAGATCCAATCCTGCACGCCAATACCCCTCCACATCAATACATAACCCCTGAGCTGGATGCAGCACGCATCGACCCTTCAACACACCTACCGTGCATAGAAAAAGTTGACGACTTCAAGACACCAGGCAACCCTGTGCATCTCCTGGTTGTGCTTGATTCGTACCAGCTGTAAGGGAAGACTTTAGAGGCCTGAACAGCAAGCAGAGCCATTCCAATTGACCCAATCACATGTCTGCTATGCTTTGAACCACATGGAAGATCAGCGGGGCGTGCTCACTGTGTGACTCGCCCATTCCATCCTCGTCCTCCTCCAAGTCCTCGGTGTGCATATGCAGCTTGTGCGAGTCTGTGCCAAACACCTCCCGCAGCCCATGCTCAATGTCCTTCTTGTTCACCCCCTTCCTCACCAGTTCCTGTCCCACACATTCACCCCTTCAGACCAAGTGGCCACTGACCTGATGCGCAAGAGTATATATGGGAGAGTGAGCCAAATGCATTGTGGATGTAATGTGCATAGCAAGAGACCCACAATTCGTATGCGGGAGGGCGCCCATCTGGACTGCCGCCACTTGGACCGCGCAAAGATGGTCACAAAGTCAACATCGCTCTGCAGCCCCTGCACAAAGCCACAGAACTCCCCTGTCAGACACATATTACTGTGGTAGTAGATCCAGGCACACAAATATTGCCTGTCAGACTGCATTTGCTCAAGCACACCCTGGGCCAGAAAGATAGACCTGTGCAACCCAAGGGCTAACATTAAAAGCATCGCACAATTTTGCGTGCAACTTTGGACTATGATCAAGAAAGCATTGGTCAAAGTTCACGAATCTCTTTTAGCCCATGCAAGGGGAATTATGCGCACCAGCTCTTGGAGGCGTGACAAGGCTCGGTCAATAGTAGCTTTGTCGTAGCCCTTGTCGACAAGTTTTGTGGCGAGCTCGCTGCGCGAGTGTGGCCGGAAGGCCAGGCTGCCAGCTGCAGATGCCTTGCAAGCTTCAAACTCCTTGTCCTGTGGCGCCCTGATCAGAAGAACAACAATGTCAGTATTAAGGACACTCCGTGGACTATACAGCACTCGCACAGGTGCATCTTGGCCATTGCGACTGCCTGCAGAAAGATTGAGGCCCAGAACGGATACTCTGTGGAGAAGGCAATTTATGCTGGCTTCTTCCTGGCACATCTGCGAGCTCATGATGGGTTTGGGATGTCGTACGTACTTGTAAGACTGCTGCATGTCCCTGTTGACGCCCCAGTCGTCGACTGTCTTCGAGTCGTAAGAAGCTTCATCAGAAGCGTCATCCCAGAGGTTACTTTGTAGCTTTCCAATTGATTTCGGATAGCTCAAAGGACGCCTACGCCCTGCTGCAGAGAAGGACAGTCTATTTATTAATGTGCTGGTGAAGGTGTTCATATTGGACAGTGAAGTACTTCAATGAAGTCCTCAAGAAGTCCTTGAGAAGTCCAGAAGACCTTGCAAGCTGAAGCCCGGCAGGTCACGATCCTCACCTTTGTACGGTACTGTTTTGGAGCAGAATGTAAGAACATGTTGCCTCCGTGATTGCAGCGTGCGGATCCGGCACCGATTTTGACCAGGACGCAAAGGACAGCGAAGCAGACACTGCTTTGCTAAGAGAAAAGTTCCAGCCGTGAACATCATGCCTCTATCAAAAGTACATGACTAACTTGATGATTTAACACCGTGGATGGCGAATTCGTTTTATATGCAAGAGATCTGCACTGTCCAATGAACCACAAGTGACAATGGAGAAATGGCCAAAACTGTTGCGTACTCGGAAATCCGATCAATGATCTTTAAAATCGCACGAATTTCGATGCTGAAGGAAGAGAGTGTCTGAAAATGTCGCAACAGCGAGGACACTAGAGGAGAAGCTGCGCCAAGAAGGTGCTTACTCACCCCATTAGTGATGCATGCTTGACAGCCAAACCAGGCTCCTGCCTGGATTCTGGTCGAACCCTGCGCTTCAACTTGCGATGCCAGCCCAGCGCTTTCCAAAATATATTTATGCCAACTCTGGTATTCGGTGCTCTTGTCAGCATCAAGTCAGGCAATTTCCTCAATTTGCTCAATTTGAGGTCAGACGACGTGTTTGTACGAACATCGAAAAGACACAGCTTGGTGCTGGGAGTAGTACCACCTCGGGGGTGTAAACAACAGTATATGTGCTGCATCTTGCCTGGATTTAGCAGCAGGATGCTTGCAACAGACGACATCGCTGATGCTAAAGCTGTTATTAGCCAGACATCTAACATTTCCAAGGGTTCAGCTGCTGCTACCGGGGTGAGTGGTGCACGCTCCCCTAATCCCATGGTACGGGATGAAGCACCTCCAAGTCCAATAACACCCAGCCCTCGGCAGACCAATGGCACTTGGCAGAGACCCACTCAGACTGCAACCGACAACAGTGGCCATGCCAGCACAAGTGACAGAGATGAGGAGCGCAGCAGATTGCGCTGGGCAATCAATATCAAGAAGTGGACTCCATGGGACGACGAGTGGCTATTCCTCCTGGACATGCTTCCGGAGGAGGACCAAAAAGAGGTGCAATTTTTTTCCAACAACTATCCTGTCCCCTGACCTTCGTATCAAGCCTGCTTGGCCTGTCTTGTGTCGATGCACGTGGTGCATGTTGATATGTGAATCGCTGTCACAGGGCACTGAGCATCCAAAATGTGCTGTGCTCGTGCCAGGGATGTGACATAACGTGCCTGTGCAGGTGGAGTCCTTCAAGTTCAAGGACGACCAGAAGCGGGCATTGGTGAGCAGGCTACTGCAGCGGCAGTGTGTGGCAGTGGCGCTGGGGATCCCTTGGGAGAAGGTGCTCATTAAGCGCACCAAGGGCCGCAAACCATTTGTCATCAACAAGGGTCTTGACAAGACTCACGCGCCCAACTTCAACTTCAATGTCTCGCATGAGGTGGGCATTCCTCCCCCCTATACTGTTGCTCCTCGAGGCAGATTGCCAGCTTGCATGTGTCTTGGTCGTGTGCATCTGGAAGACAAGCAACACCATTCGATGCACCACAAGTGTGCCGCCCTTCATTGTTGCCCCTTTCATTGACAGTAAATGAGCAATAAATGAACTGCAGATCTGCCATCAACAGTCGGGGTGGCAGGCATTGGGTTGCATGTCAGCTGATCTCCACAGGACCTACCACACCAAACGGGAAAGAGATTTCTCTTTCTAGCAGGGACAGCAGGAACAATCATGTTGAGAGCCAGCTGGTCAATTGCTGTCCAGGGGGATTTTGTGGTGCTGGCGTCGGAGCCCATCTCCATCTGCGGCGTGGATGTGGCTGCGCCTCAGCAGCTGCGCGCGCGCGGTACCCAGCAGAAGCTGACCATCCCGCAGCTCAAATCCATCTTCGACAAGCAGTTCACGCCCTATGAGGTGCGCTCTTACTCCGACTCTTATTGCCGACATCTCTTTTGTGATCATTCTCTCTACAGTTTGTTCAATACACCTGCCTTATATATCACCTTTGCTGCCTGGACATGTCATGGTTGATGTATCAAGGGGGTAGAACTTCCAATGCATCCATCTAGTGCCAGGGATTTTCATGAACACATTGGGCTGGTGTCTGCAGTGGGCTTCCATCGACAATGCCGGCAGCGGCGATGAGGCGAAGGAGTCCATGTTCAGGAGGCTTTGGAGCCTTAAAGAGGTCAGCTTCACAGCCTTGTCCGTGATCACATGATGCACCGCAGGCACATGACTATACGTATGTGCTTGGGATCCTGCACATGCTAGTGGCCGACCTTCTGAGCCAGGGGAATGCTGTAAACCAAACAGTGCAAGCACTCGTACGCTACAGGCTTCTTTTATATAGCCATCCTTGTCTTGCTTTAATGTGGGAATCTTCTGCTACTTTTTTTTCAAGGTTCCAGAAATGTCAAATGTGACGGTGGTGGAGCGCAGGCGCTGGTGAAGGCTCGAGGGGATGGGCTGGGCTTCGATCTGTCTAAGGCGGAGTTCCATTTTGAGGACGGCATCCGCAGCGACACCGCCAGCGTCTGGATCGACGGCAGGCAGCAGACAAGGTGTGACTAATCGTATGACTCATCGCCATGCTGACATCAGTAATCTCATGTTCACCTCAGACTGGATCTGAGACATGCCTCACCGGTAGAGGCACTGCGATCAATGCTGTTGCCTTTTCCTGCCATGGCTGCAGATTCAACAGTCGACGCCTGAGAACGATGTTATTGCTTTTCGAGCCATGGCTGCAAAGCCTGTGGTTTGGCCATTTGCATGTGCATACCAGGATCACGGCACGATGGCACCCCTGGCTGAGGCAATCTCGCAGCCAGTCCATTGTGCTTCCGGAGCGTAGAGGTAAGGGGCTGCACAGCAGACAGTGGTTATAGCCCTGGGATGTTGGTGTGCGTCGCTGGCGCTGAGCTAGCATGTGTTGCGCACAGGTGGCGATTCTTCCTGCAGGAGCTGTCGGACGGGCACTGGGTGTCGGTGGCGCGCGGCCCCCCCGAAAACATCGTGGACGCCTGGCGGGAGTTCACGGGCACCCTGCAGGAACCAGACATCCCCGGGGCCAAGTTCCAGGTGGGTGAACAGCGCAACTATTGGCCGCGGAACACCGTCAGACGCTGTGAATATCAACTGGTGGTCTGTGAAATGGTGTTAGTTGCCTGGCAGCTTGGGCAATTGCCTTACAGCTCTCGAGCTTTTATTATATCTCATTGTAGATTGCAGTGTTAACAAATGTTTGCAAGAAGGGCCGGGGAAAGAGAGGCAGGATCTCACCTTGATGATTTGGTCTTGACCGTTGTTCTGTTGTTACTGCAGGAAGCACTGGAGGCGCCCAACCCAGCTTTCACGATGTTGGGCATTGCTGACATCATCCCACAGCGGCTGCGTGATGACTACGCAGATGCTGCTGGCCAAGCATGAATTGAGCTTGTGGCGATGATGGCCTTACAAACATCTTTGCGGAACAATAAGATTACCATCGCAGATTTGTATATACATATATGTAGAATACTTAGGCCAATATTGCTTTTAGATTAATCATTCCTGAATAGAAACCTCCCAGAAGCAATTGCACACAACAGCAGTAAGACTGCGAAAGGCTGGATTGGACGAAAAAAATGCATCTTGTCCAGCGATCTAGGTGGTCACTGTCTATCAATAAAGTTGTTCCATGGGCAGCAAAGCGCCTAGCATGCACAATTCATCTCCATATTCGACCCCGACTCGGAATTCAACATTTCTGAAAGACAATTGACACACGCTCCACACCAGCACAAATTAATGAAGTCCTTGTGCTTCGGGTAGTAGAAGACAGGGTGCTTCCGAACAAGTACTTGCGCATCTGTAATACGATCATACGACTTGTACTTAATTCGCCGGCTGTTCAGTGCATGAAACATCATGACCAGCCAATTGTCTTTCAGGACCATGGTATTGTACCGAATCCTGAAGTTGGTCACATCCCTGACAAATGCCTCCACCTTCTCAAAGACATCTTCAAGTCACCTGAACAACAAAACACCTGGACAACGAGTACTCGCCTTCACGACAGGTCTCCAGTCTGAGCAACAGCACCAAGCTTGGTTGTGAAGAAATTCCTCCTAATTCCAGAAAAATAATGACCGATTAGCAAGATCAATAACGCACACTGCATGCTTCATGAAGCAAGCTGCGCTACATAGGTACGTAAATGCAGGAACGGTCATTGCTAAATTGCAAGTGACGTGAGAATATGTGCCTGCCTTGAAGAAGAAGCACCAGTTGAGTCAGGGTTCAATGTCCCCAGCCTGGTGCTTATTTTTTCATTTTTTTTTGCTTTTCCTGGCCGACAAGCTGATCTTGAAGTCGCATACAGTGTGCAGCGTAACCTTAGAGGCACCAGCTCCAGTCATCTACCGGTGATGCTGTTGTTGAGTCTGCAAGCATGGCTAAGCCGAGGTGATCATGCCTGCTCGCAGCGAGAGTGACCGCTTAAGCCGCGTCTGTCGAACGAGAGATCACCGTTCGATTCACATACCTCGGCGAGGCCCATATCGCGGAAACCGTCATCGTCAGTGCTGGTGCGTGTTGCCTTTAGAGGGCAATCTCTTGTCCTAATATAATAATATGCTGGCCTTTCAGACAATTGACAGTCAGGACCAGGAAAGTGAATTTATCGGTCGACAATCTGCTGCCCCAACCAGTAACTCAGGCCAGAAGGAAGGGCCCTTCCTTGCCGGCTAGCCTTACGCGGTGCAGAAAACCTTATACAGCGAGCTTTGCCTCTCAAATAACAAAATTTTATTAAATGGCCACAGGGAGCAATCTGCATTCAGTGATTGAAGGGGAAGTATGCTGGCACGCGTGACCGTACGGGACCGTTTGAATATTCCTAGATTAATCCTAGACAGGTTCTGCCGGTGTCTAATCATGCCCTTCATGCATGATTGTTTTTTGAGAAGCTATTGCTGATCCCACGGCCACGAGCATCAGAAGAATTATACATGCATCTGTTGCAAACCACCAACAACGTTCCTAATTGTTATAGCAAGGAATCTGCACATGTGCATTCGTGCGTGGCTGCTGATGTCGATCAACATGACGCCCAAGACCAGGCCAAGGCCTGTTGCGATCGAATGGAGATAACAAACAATATGAGATCAAAATTACTTCTGGACATAAGTCAAAAGTATCCATAACAGCACGATCACAGAAGAAAGAGTATATTCCACGGCCTCCCCTGGCACTGTAAATCCCCCCGGCCCTCAGCCGCAGTGATCATCGGTAGCGCAGTTCGTGCAGCCCCTTGAGCCGTTTCTCAAGGCTGGCAATACCCCCGCGCACATTTTCTAGCTCCTTGTTCACCACTGACAGGGGCCCGCCAGCGCCGGCTTGGGCTGCGCTGCGTGGGGGCAAGTTCTCAACTTGCCTGCCTCCTGCATGGCTCAGCACATCCGGGTGCCTCTTGTCCAGGCTGCCCATCAGCGCATCCAGCCTCTCATCGTCTGCGCACAGCACAGCCTCGGTCAGAACCTGGCTGCAGCACATTCTTCTCTCCTGTGCCATCTAGAGACAGAGCAACGCAGTATGCCTGCCAAGTCCTCTAACAGGCCCTATAAAACAACGATGTCCAACATCAGCGCGGGAAGCCATGGGCTCTTTGTGATGAGGTTCAAGTAATTGTAGCAAAAAGGTGCAAATCGATTCTTGCCAGGTCACATGGCGTCTGACCTGGCAGGCGTGCGCTGAGTCGCATCTGGTGCAGCTTCCTGTCGGCCGCCTGCAGCTGCTGCCGCAGCAGTGTTATGTCGCTCATCCACCCTTCCACGTCCAGCAGCCGCCTGCACCATCAACATCCCAATCTGCCGATGCAACCCATAGTGTCCCAACAGACCATTCTGAAACAATACCGACCTGTCAGGCGCCGAGGAGCAAGCTTTGCCGTTCAGTAGCCCCCTCACCCTGCACCTATAAACCTCCTACTGCATAGGGCAAACCCCAGGGCGTTTTTTCCAATAGGTGACGGAGATGCTGTAAGCCTCGTGCATGACAGGTGCCCCTTACATGCATTAGGGGTGATCAAAATACATTTTATATAAGAATTGCCAACTCATGCAGTAGGGGGCACATGATGGAAGTCGCAAGACATGCAAGCATGATTCTCTGCTTGGCATGAGTGATGTCAGGAAGGCAGTTCCAATGTTGTGCGCGCACCGGTGCTCGAGCTGGCGGCAGCGTTCGATCTGTTTGGCGAGGCGAGCTTCCACATGCGCTAATCGCTGCTCCAGGCGCCCTGTCACCCCCCGGTGCATGGCCTCCAAGTCAGCAACCTCCTTCTCCCGCTGCAACACCTGCCACGTGCACGACAGCCTGCCGCTCATGTCTGTCCATGACTCTGAAAGGCTACAACGCAGCGCAGCTGGTCTGTGTAAGATACATAGCACGCAATAAGGAAGTTGCTGGAGAACCCTACAGGCCAGCCTTCGCTCTAATGTCTCTTTGAGAAGCTCGGGGTGCACTGCGCAATGCCAGCATGCGCAAATCGGGCCGGTCTGCCCGCGCATGGCGATCTCGGTCATGGGAGAGGCGAACCTTTAGGTAGTGATTAGTTTTGCCATCTCGCACGATTTTCGGATGATGGCAAACACCTCTGAAGCAGATGCTGCCACGCTGCTGAATGCATGACGTGGACAGCAGGCCGGCTGCCAAAAGCTCACACCTGGGAGCGGTAGGCTTCGGTGTGCTGCTCCAGGCGCTCCTCGGCGGTGCTGCGCGCGTCGTGCAGCCGCTGCGCCAGCTCACCCTCCAGCTGCGCCACCCGCGCGCCCAGCTGGCCCCTCACCGCCTTCAGCTTGAACTCGGCCGCCGCCGCGCGCCGCTCCGCATCGGCCCGCGCCTTCTTGCCTGCGCAAAAGCATGTCGCCCAGTGAATTGCAGGTCATTTAGAGGATGTCCGAAGCATTCTGACTGAATACTTGCATGCGTTGCTACGTTGCTGCACAAGACAAACGCAGATACCGATGAAGACACAACACAACATGTGAGCAGTATGCAGGACGCGTGAGGGTGAGAGTCGGCATGTGGGATCTCAAAAACGCGCACAGAGGATGTAGTCCTTGACACAACAGGGCTTGTGAGCAGCATGCAAGACGCGCGAGGTGAGAGTAGGCAAGTGGGATATTTCGGCATGCGCACCGAGGATGTAGTCTTTGGTGGTGGCCTGCAGCGCGTCTTCGGCCCTGTGCAGGCGCTGCAGCAGCTCGTCGTGCCGGGCGGAGGCAACGCCGTGCCGCGCCGCCTCGTCCACCTCGCGCATGCGCCGCTCCTCCACAAGCGACGCTATCCGCTCCGCCGCAAACTGCTTCTGTCAAGGGGCAACGCGCATTCTCAGCAATCAGGACTTTGCGCGTCGTTTTGTGGGCTCCAGCGGGAATTGGGCGTTCATGATCTCATCGCGAACAGAGCAAGGTCAATGGAGACGCCGTGCCTTGAGGATACTGAGGAACTGCGCATGCAGCAGAATATCTGCGAATGATGCATTTTTGCTTGGTACGTCGAACATTGCTCTTTGGCCGGCTTGCAGTAAAGTTAGCAATTTGCCAAGATGGTATATCTCTAGACGTGTCTGAAGAATGAACGATGCTGTGCCATTGATGGGAATGTGCTGTGCATGCAGCAGAAACAACCACAAGTTCCTCTGCATGCAAGTTACGCCAGTGTCCACCTAAAAACTTGCACTGGTGGTCATGCCATGTTGCTTCCCACCTGTTCTGTCAGCTGGGACTGCAGAGATTCTACTCTCATCCTGACCACTTCCACGTCAGCGGCTGACATGCCAATCTCCTTGTCCCTGGCGGCGGCTGCGCTAGCCTTTGAGCCCTTCTGGGCCTCCAGCAGGAAGAGAAGGTGCTGCAGGCGGTGCCTGTCATCCACCTCTTGCAGCCGCAGCTCATCGTTCTCTGCTTGCAGCTGCAGCAGCCGGTCCCGCTCCTCAAAGATGTACGCTTGCGAGCTGCTCAGCGCCTGTTTGGCACACCAGTTTCCTCATCATCCAATACTGCTCAAACAAAGGATTACCGCTGTAGTCTGATGATTGGCATGAAGAGCATGTATGTCTTGTATGAAGTCCAGTGTGATAATTAAGCTTGGATGTTGCCTGGAACACTTGGAACCTGTACTGCACACCAGAATGACCAGATAAGCTTTGACTGACCTTCTGCAGGTCCCTGATTTCATCGGCACGCTTTTTCAGCTCCCACTCAAGCTCGTGCACCTGCTTTTGCGGCGCTGCACAGGCGTCCAGCTTCTCCAGGAAGTCTTGCCTCTCCTGATCGACGTCATCTGCAAGCAAGTTTGAATTGTCTGTAACACACAAGGATCACTCCTGCACGTTGCCCTGAGCACCTCTAGAGCTGGACAGCCTTGAGAGACTCGGCCCTACCCCACACAAGACACGAAGTATTGGACAGGCACATGTGCAATGTTATTTTATACTTTAAAAACCTCGATCTGCATTCCATCGGCGAACTTCCGCTTGGCCAGTATGTTGCAAGATGGCTGCCTGTGACTTGCACCTAAAGAGAGTAACACAGGGCAACACCTGCACGATGGTGGTATACAAAATCAGAGGACATCTCCAGGCAGCTGGTTGGGCTGCCCCGCTGTATCATCATGTGTCTAGCTGGTCAAGGATAGATCAGATATACTTGCATCGTGCTTGCTGGGTACAGCGGACGTCTGTCCAAACGTGTATTCTGCTTTGTCTGCTACAGAAAACCTCTCCGATCACAGATGCGATCTGAGATTCTCGACCATGAATGGCCATCATTGGCAAGCCGAGATCCGTGCCGTTGACTGATAATCCGAGGGGCCCTTAGGGCTTACATAATCAAATAGAAACCTAAAGGAAATATCGTGACGTCAATTAATGCGCAAGGGCGATCTAGACAATCAAGGACTATCCTTCGTTAAGGGACATCAAATTCTTTTAAAATTGTTTGTTTTCTGGTTGTAAGCACCACGAAGATTTCGCGAAGACGCAGAAAGTTGGTGTCGAGGCGGAAGATCGATTGGCAAACGCGTTGCAACGCGCATCGCGTGACGACAGCGCACTTTTGCCTCAAAATGCAATCCATAGTTTTCCAATCGAGTGTCACCATCTGTAGAGTCTCGGAAGTACCCTTTGCCGCTCGGTAGGAGCGCCTGAAAACGTGGGCTAGAGGGGTTTAGTGCACAGAGGGTGGGCAGGCAAGCTGGAGACCTTCGAAAGGCACAAGGCAGCAGCTTTAGAGACCCTCAAGGAGGGCATTGTTGTCACTGGTGGGCGCCCAAGAATGTTCTCGAAGACGGGTTTGTTTGGGATGGGCATATTTGTAATCACAGGAACCACGTTTATGCCCAACTTTGGCATAGTGCTTGCTGGACTATTCTTTGCTCAACATGACCATGCATGCGTGCTTCAAGTTGCCCCAGCTCCTGACCACCTGCAGCAGATTTTGGGTCCCCTGCTCCAACCTCTTGCGGCTGTCTTTGCAGAGTATGGAGGTCAGGGACTCGTGCAGTACGTCAACGACGCCTTCCTACAGTGCACAGGTGCAGCATTGAGCCATGCAAACCTGCTAAGGATACCCTCAATGAGCAGCCTCCAGACTGGCTTTTCGTCAACCATTTCAAGGCTATATCCAAACAAGCGTTGGTTGATGGCCAGGCTACGACCGAGGAGAGGTGTTGGGGAGGCCTGTCAAGGGCCTCTTGCTCGGCGAGGGGACAGAACCAGGGGCAAGGGCAGTCTTGGACGATGCGGCTGCCCAGGGGGTGGAACGCACAGTCGAGGTGCTCCACTACAGGAAAAACGGCACGGCCTTCTGCGATCAGGCACGTTCCCTTTCATGGGTGCTTTTTATTAGACTTTCCTGTATTCGCTCTTCTGTTGGTGGCAAGATGCCCTGTACTCGCCATGCTGTGCATGGCCAGCCAGTGGGAAAACTTCCTTGTTTCCTTCGTGAGATTTGCAATCTTCTCGAGTGAAGGAATTGGCTAAGGCGCCTGAGGGAAATTTGGCGCTTATGGGTGGGTGTTACTTGTGATTACCTGGCCTTGGGTGACCAGAACACAGGTTGGCGGGACACCGGCTTAGCAACCCGTCGAGGTTTTCAATGTTCCAGGGGGTTGGGAGCGGCTCAGATTTTTGAGGGATATTTGTAAATTTCAGGATTACTTGTAGCGCTCCGGACCTTTAGTACCAAGGCGATCCTTAGACGGGGTTTACGAACAGAGCGTGAGCAGCAGCGATGGTTCTAAAGCATTCCTGTAGCACTCCGGCGTTTAGCAGCGAGGCTATCTGGGGACAGGGCACATGATTGCAGCACGCAAAGCAGGGATATTTAAGGGTTAGGGGTGCGCAGGTGCGGGTGACGCCAATGAGCGAGGCCGGCCGCATAACGAACGTGATCTGGGTGCACCGGGACGTGACCGAGGTGGCGGAGCAGCAGCACATGCTGGCGCTGCGCAGCCGCGTGCTCAACTTCATGTCCGACGGCATCTTTATTGCCGACTGCGCCGGGCGCCTCATGCACACCAACCAGGGCTTCGCGCGCCTCACCGGCTACGAGCAGATCGAGGCCGTCGGCCGCCCCTGGACCTTCCTGCTGGTAAGTCACCAGAGCTTGCACTGCAATCGATAGCGACGTGGGGTCTCACCAGCCGCTGATGCCGTGAGCGGTCGGTTTGTCTTGCAATGCTGCTGCCTTGAGCAAAGTGGCCTGGTGGCAGCGCATTTAATTTGCATGACTACTCAGCTGACAGCATAACTTTGTGCTACAAGGGCCTGACAAAGAGCACTTCTCACAAGTGCTCTCATGGGATGAGAGAGGGGCTCAGGGGTTTCGGTGGTATGCTTTGGTCAGACTGTGAGGTGATGCATGTGCGTCTAGGCCGATGACGCGGATACAGCGTTGGCGGGGAGTGTGTGGGCGGCCTTCGCGGCGGGGGCCGCTGTCAGCGTGGACTTGCTGCTGCGCACCAAGGGGGACACGCGGCTGTGGGGGCAGATCAGCTTCACGCCTGTGCTCTCAGAGATTGACGGCACCGTGGAAAACCATGTGAGCCTCATGGACGCTTCATCTGGAGCTTGGCTTGTTGCGCGTTTTGTGCAAGTGCTTCGCGCAGAAAGTGGAATAACTCTTGAATGTGGGAGTGTTTTTGTCTATTCCGACTCTCTGTGATGTAGCCTAGCCAGCTTTTCACAGATTCCTTGAGCTGCACCCTCTTCTGCCTGGATGCTGGTCGAAAGCATGCGGATGTGTTTAGTTAAGAGGAATTGCTCCCGCAGGTGGGTGTAATTACGGACATTACGGCGCGCAAGTCTACGGCGGAGGCAATGCACCTGTGCGACAAGGCACTGGCGGCCACGTCGGAGGCGACGCTCATCACGGATGCCGCCCAGCCCGACAATCCCATCATTTACGTCAACTCCGGCTTCATCAAGCTGCTCGGTGCGCGCCCCATGGCTTAGACGCCCGCCCTTGTGAAGTTCTCTGAATTGGGCGGGATTTTGGCAGGCACCATTGGCAGGCACCAAGGCGTGCATGTGTGGTCCTGCGGCTCAGTGTTCAAGGGTCTTGCGCACAGAGCTGCTGGTGTATTCATACAGTGGAAAATTGCTGGATGAGCCACCCTGCGTACAGAAGCCAGAATGCTGACTTGCGGGACCCCCACATGCAGTTGCATCCTAGCTTGCTTGTTTTCTTGTATACAGATTGTTGATGCTTTGGCTGTCTCACAAGTGGCTGGCTGTCCACTCCCATGTGCGGCTATAGCGGGTTCTATGTCGATCCCTAGCATCGGCGTAGCAAATGACCTCTTCAAATGGGGCCATGTTTGTAATTCGCTTGCAACTGCAGGGTACACGATGGGGGAGGTGGTGGGGCGCAATGCTCGGTTCATGCAGGGGCCGGACTCGGACCCGGAGGCGGTGGCGGAGCTGCGGGACGCGGTGCGCACCGGCCGCGCCACCGTCGTCGAGCTCATCAACCTGCGCAAGGACGGCTCCCGCTTCTGGAACCAGGCGCGCCCCCTGCTGCGATTCTGTCCTGGTTTTGTACACCATTTCCATGGTGTGCCATTCCAGAGGTTCCCTGCTCCATCTGGGATTGCAACCTGTCTTGCAGTGCTGGCATGCAAATGGGACAATGTTGCTTATCACCTTGCATTCCTTGGACCCCCAAGAGACCTTCACAGAGCTGCCTACCATTTACAGGCGCGTGGTGCAATGACTGCTTGTTCTTTGTTGGAGCTCAAATTGACCGCCAACAGCTGCCCTGCGCGGGGCATGGAACCCGATGGCATTCTGGGGCACTCGTGTCCAGCATGTCTTCTACTTTGCGTGTGATGGTCCAATTGCACAGACACTCAGAATACTATCAGCCAGTCCTGGAGATGTGCACGGACGATGTGTCCAGAAAGCGCCATCAACTCTCATGCCCCCTAGGCGCATGAGATACGTATGGTGATAAGTGTGCAGATGCAGCCCACTCGGTATGTATAGAGAAACTTGCCATGTGCAGGTGTCCATGACGCCCATCAAGGACAGCTCGGGGTTTGTGACCAATTTCGTGGGCGTGCTGCAAGACGTGACGGAGCGCAAGGCCTCGGAGGCCGCCTTCAAGCTGCGTGACCACGCCCTCTCCAATCTCAACGAGGTGCGCGCGCATATACTGTAGCACACGCCCTAGTATGGCTTCCATGCCTCGTGCTTCGCATGGAATGGCAGGTGATGCGTGCAGATTGGGACAAATTCTCACCTGGCACGCATTGCTACGGTCAAACAACAGGAGCAGTACTTATCTTCTCCCAGCTGACCTACTTCATTGGGCACTTGTGCTTTGGGATGGCACATTCTATCATCTGGGGTCCCTGATCACTGCCGATGGCCTGGTCAGACTGTGCATGGCAGCGGATGCATCGTGGGGGTGAACTCTTACCTTTTTACTTGAATGGTTAGGATTTGCAAGATAGTGCATGCGTGAAGGGGGTTGAAGTTGCGCGCTGAAAGGGCGGCGGCTGTGCAGGGCATCACGATCGCGGACCCGAACTTGCCGGACTGCCCGCTCATGTATGTGAACGAGGCGTTCTGCCGCATGACGGGGTATGCGCGCGAAGAGATCATTGGCCGCAACTGCCGCTTTCTGCAGGGGCCTGACACCGACCCGGCATCTGTCGTGCGCATCCGCGAGGCCCTGGAACAGGTGTGCTCCAGCATCCCGCAGCTGACTTGTTATTGTTATCATTATATAACATGTGGCGCCTGCCGGAAGGCAAGGTATGTTCGCAGATGCATTTGGATAGCTGCACCAGATATGGTTGCCGGAGGCCCATGTGGAGGCACCTACATTGATGCCCCAATTGAGACTCTGTTTGAGTTATTTTGCGATTTTGCAGCTTACTCAGTCACTATCTGCATCCAACTTGCTCAAGAGCGGACTGTGTATTGAATGTCCTCAATGGCAGTGTCGTGAGGACAAAAATATATCTGGTAGGTATCATGCTAGGGACCACATGCTGCTTCAAGGGAACTTGGATGGCGGCCTTCATGGTTTGAGCTTGCATGTGTGCACCGCGCAGAAGCGGGAGGTGAGCCTGGAGATTCTGAACTACAAGAAGAACGGCGACAAGTTCTGGAACCTGCTGAGCATGATGCCGGTGTGCAACGCTGCGGGCGCGGTGGTCTCCTTCATCGGCGTGCAGTCAGACATCACCGAGCTCATCCGCCGCAAGCACGCCGAACGCGAGCTGCAGCAGGCCAAGGTGCGCAATGACAATCCTCTGAAGCATGTAAAATCCTGGGGTTTCTGGCAGGATTCAAGCCGCCACCATTAATCTCCAGAATATGGGTCAAATTATGGGCGCTGTGGCAGGGTAGCAAGCCAGTACTATCACCCTCCAGAGCGTGGGCCAATGTTCTCGTTTCTATATACCTTGACACTTTTGTGCCCTTCTGGGCAGTGCCTGGACTCCCATCCATACAGCAATTACAAAAGCAGTTGCATTACATCCATACTGTCACATAGTAATTTTGATTGGTGGCTGTGGGGTGGTTTGGCACATGTCAAAAGTCTGCAGCGCGGCATCTGAATAGGGAGGGCTGTGAATGACCTGTAGGTGGCGGCGGAGACGGCGACGGAGGCGAAGAGCATGTTTCTGGCCAACATGAGCCACGAGATCCGCACGCCCCTCAACGGCATGATCGCCGTCGCGCAGCTGCTCCTCTCCACCAACCTCACCCCCGAGCAGCGGTGCGCGCCCCTTCTCGCCCCTTCTCAACCCCAGGGTTATCCATTTGTCGCATGTGCTTGGCAGCTGTGCATGCATGGCTTCGCAGTGCTCCAAGCAGGCGCTTGCGCGTGTGGAAAAATGGGGAGATTCTCACCCCCGTGCAGCAGTGCACACCCCTTTGCCTATTGGACGCTCCCATGCAATGCTGCCTGTCAGCTCTGCATGCGTGGCTTCCCAATGCTCCAAGCAAGTCCTTTTATGCATGTGAATAACAGGGACGTTCTCATCCCCAAGCAGCAGTGCACACCCGTTTGCCTATTGGAAGTCTTTTGTAGAAAAGAGAGAGAGAGAGCACTGTTTGATGGTGTTCCCTTGTCGCATGCAGGGAGCTGGCGGAGACGATCCTGGACAGCGGGGACACGCTGCTGACCATCCTGGGCGACATCCTGGACTTCTCCAAGATCGACCACAACTCCATGGTCCTTGAATCCGCCCCGGTGCGGCCCCACATTTGCCCTTGCAACATCCAAAATTCAGGTTGCTTGCTGCCTCGTGCACGGGCCTAGAGTATTTCGTTATCTCCTTCTCTGTTGTAGAGATATCCTTCTACCTAGAGAGGACTGTAATGGGTTTCAAGGAGGTGAAGCGGAGCCACACACGAGGCGGCAAAAATGCAGGGCTGACGGGCTGAGACACGTGCAGGTGTCGCTGAGGGACGTGATAAGTTCGACGGTGGAGATGGTGGCGGCTGACGCGACGAAGAAGGGGCTGGACCTGGCTTACACGATGGACGACGCCCTCCTGCGCCGCACCGTCCTCGGAGACGCCATCCGCATCCGCCAGGTTCTGCTTTTTATTCGCCTGCAGCGCCCCTAGTGTTGATATTGGCATTGATGGTTCCCTGCAAGGGCACGCTGGTGCCAATATGTCGACACAAGTGCTGCCAGATGGGAATCTCAGCGGCTTTGTCAGTGATATCCTTGCGGAGCTGTGCATTGCATAGACGTGCTTTATTGTGGCTGGCACGCTGCCTGTGTCTTCATCTGTCAGCACTTCACAAGTAGCCCGGCGTTGCACTGCTTGGGACAGGGATGCTGGCAGTGCGGTTCTCAGACCTTCAGAAGAGGTCGTCCAAGACCTCGTCATTGGTAGGCAGCAAACATTGGAGAGTTATCCAAGCGCAGCATCTCTCGAATTGGCATCTGATTGCACTGAGCACGCATGCAGGTGCTGGCAAACATTCTGGCGAACGCGGTCAAGTTCACACAGAGGGGCGAAGTGGTGGTCACGGCGACGTGCGCGGACGCATCGGCGGCGCTGCCGAGCGCGGCGGCCGGCCGCGGTGGCGACGGCCCCGGGGACGTGTGCGCGGGGCGGCAGCTGGTGCACGTGGCCATCCGCGACACGGGCATCGGCATCAGCGAGGACTCCATGAAGAAGCTCTTCCAGTGCTTTCGCCAGGGCAGCGAGTCGATGAGCCGCAAGTACGGCGGCACAGGTGCGGCGGCTTTCCCCCTTGCAACTCTTGTGCCACAGTCACTCTCAGAAGAGGCTGTATCTGTGTTGTCAAGGGCCAAAGGCAGCACTGCAAATAATCTTACTTGCCCTTGCAAATTCTGAGGGCTATTTGCAGCCTGGTGGCGCTTTCTGAGCTTGTGAATTGACGCTTGTCTGTGGCACGGCTGTGCCCAATTTCCCAATGCAATAATATACTTGTGCAAACCTATACTTTTCTTGTGTCAGATGTGTAGATAAAAGGGCAGATCTGACAGGGGTGGTATGCCTTTACAACAGGGCTGGGCCTGGTGATATCCAAGCGGCTGACTGAGCTGATGGGGGGCACCACATGGGTGGAGTCGACTGTGGGCAAGGGTTCCATCTTCCACTTCACCATGCTGCTGGTGTGGGCCGACGAGGCGCCCCCCGAGTCCCCCCGGCCCTTGGGTCCCCTCCCCCAGATTGAGCACCCCTCCCCCGCCACCAAAGGTGCCCCCCCTTCTGCAGCTCTCTACAATGGCGACACACGCGCGGCAGTGCCGCTGCACACTGCTGTATTCTGTTTCCAATTGTCCAATTGTCCTTTTTGGAAGTGTTGTTGACTGAAGAGGTTGGGTGCATTAGATACCTATGCATCACTGCAGTGCACATGCAGCTTTCACTCCTGTGTAGTCTCCCTGTGTGAGAGGGTAGTTTGGCGAGGGGCTTAGATTCAGCCCGGCTGATGGTGTCATCGCAGCATGCGTGGGGGTGTTCGAGAGGGCAGTCTGGCATTAAGCTGACTGGACGCATGCGTGGCGCAGGCATATCGTGGCAGCTGCCGGTGGCGACGTCGGCGGCGAACGGGTGGCGGCAGCTGGACGACAACGCGCAGTGGACGGGCCCCAGCATGGCCGAGTGCGCGCAGCTCTCCGGCCGCCGCGCCGTCGTCGACATCCTGCACCAGCCCACCGCCCTGCAGGCGCGCCGCGGTCCTCCCTTGTTTGTTTAACCAATTGCTCTTTTTTTGACCTGAGTGGGAGCTTGCACTCATGAATCCCGACGTTGTGGGGTCTGCATCTTGATGGGCGCCTTGGCAGCAAAGGGAACTTACGGCGCGCAAGTCGATGGCAGGCTTCCAAGCAGAAGGGAACTGTGTGACCTTTTTGCTTCCCTTAGATGAGCAGCACGGTCCTGTGGCTGTGAGATAGAGAAGAACAAGTAGAGTTGCTGCAAGGTTTCCAAATAGTTTGGAAGAGGGCTTTGAGATTCTGAAGTTTTGGTGGTTGTGAGGGCAGGTGGCGCAGAGCTGCCGGATGCTGTGCATGGAGGCAGACATCGGGTGCGCGGTGGGCTGCAGTGACAAGTACGACTTCGCCATCGTCGGCGTGGATGAGGCCGTTGCGGGTCTCAGGTCAGCCCAATTCTCCCCCATAGTTCTTTCTTCATTGTCAAAACCCTGTGCCACCCCCAGACACGAGGATCTGGAGCTGACGTTGGGTCGTCAATCTTGCGCTCTCTTGATGGGTGGCATGCCTATGCGGGAAATGGCATGACTTGACGACTTCGCACCACATCCTTCTGTCTGTTGGGACTTCATCAGCAAGCAACGCAGCTCGCAAGCTGCTTGTTGCACGTTCAGCCTACCTCTAGCCACACTCATCCTCATCAGCACATCATCTTTGGCATTTCTAAAACCGCTAGATTTAGAGCCGCAAGAGGTTCATAAAGCAGGCGTATTGAAGGGGTGCATGCTGCATGTATTCCTCTGGTTCAGAATACTCAGATGACCTGCAGCCGGCATAGCAGGGATGTGTAAAAGACAGGGCCTGGCTCTGGGAAGGAGCACTACAGACACTTGAGAGACTCTTCTGTGTGCAGCGTGCGCTCACCAACAAATTGCGTTTTTAGAATTTTCAAAATTCACTACAATGAGAGCCAGCGGAGGCTTATAAAGCAGACGTGCTGATGGGGGTGTGTGCGCTATCAAACACTAGCACGAGAGCCGGCAGAGGCTTATAAAGCAGGCGTGCTGATTGGGTTGTGTGCTGCGCACAACAGGGGTGGGTGGAAGGGGCGTCCGGTGGTGGTGCTGGGGCAGAAGGAGGGGGTGCCGATGGGGCTGCACCCGCTCGTGTCCATGGTCGCGCGCCCCGTCAAGCACGTCCGCCTCGTCACCGCCCTGCTCAAGGCCATAGCCCTCATGCGCTCCAAGGCCCAGGTGCAGCCGCTCGCCTTGCTATTGTCCTTTACCCCTTCACTGTTGTGCCATGTACTGTTGCACATGCCCTTGAGAGGTGGGGCCACTGAAGCGAACTCCAGAAATAGATTGTTGCTCAGAAGCACGCAAGCCTCGTTTGCTTCTTGCTGCCGTACCAACGGTTTTGATAATGGCCTTTGCATTAAGTTGCTTCAACAGGAGTGAAGCTTACCCAACACAGCGCATTATCTGGGCTGAAGCTCAAGTAGGTGTCAGTTGGCTGCATATGACCATTGTGCTGAAAGGCAACGTTGATTGTTTGTTGATGATGTGTGCAGCACGTGCCGCTGCACGGGACGGCGAGCGCGCGGGCGGCGGCGGCGGCGATTGACGCGTTCCACATCGGCGGCGGCGAGGAGCCCAGCCGGCGGCGCGGGCGCGACCAGACGCTAGCGCAGCAGCAGCGCAGCGCAACCGCGCGCCGCCGCATGAGCCTCGACAACTCCGCCCTCGACTTCGGCCAGTCCGACGGGTACTGCCTTGACCCTCATGCACCTTCTTTCTCACTCTCATATCCTTCTGCCCGGATGCCCCTTGTGCACCTGCTTCAAGCAGTCTTTCAGTCTCCTGCTCATATCGCTTTCGCCTGCCTCTGAGGAGGCCAAGATATTTGAGGAAAACTGCGGTGCGTCCGCTGATATGATTTGGCAGAGATATAAATGTATTGCTATTCTGTCTGGATTGCTGACAAGCAAGGCAAAAATACAACGGTACTAGAGAGAGAGAGGGATTGGGTCGGTGAATTCTGGGTGTCCATCCTGATGGATGCATGCGAGGCATAAAAAAGAAGTGCTGAGGTTCCACGACATGCTGCTGCAGGACTGCCAAGGCGCGGCAGGGCCGCAGGAACAACCCGAGCCGCACAAGCTTTGCGTACGACACAATCGAGGAAGAAGAGCAGCGCGCGCAGGGCAGCTGCTCCTCTTCGCCCCCCGCCAACAAATTCAATGGTCAGCCCATTTCCTTTACTCATCCTCAAGTCCCGCATCTTGTTGGTGCTGAATGGTTCCTTCACCGTGATACCCACACTTTTAAACGCTTCTTGTGTGACTTGAAGTCACCTAAGACTCCTGTGAGCACCGCAATAGAAGGAATGGTGCAACTCTCTATCAAACCTGTGCAGACGGCAAGGGCGTTTAGGGTTGATTTGAATTGATCTGATGGCCCGGGTGCTGGGTTGATTTGAGCTGTGGCGAACCATGGGCAGGTGCGCAGCAGCGGTTGCGGACGAGAATGGAGGTGGACGAGAAGAACAGCATGAGCAGCAACTCCAGCATGCAGTCCTGCCACACCACCGTCTCCGCACACAGCAACAACAGCAACAGCAATAGCAACAGCAGCAACAGCAGCAGCATCAACGCCGCCGACAAAGATCAGCCGGTTGCGCCGGCCGCACCGGCCGCACCGGCCGCACAGGCCGAGCGAAGCAATTCCGCGCAGCCACCCTCGGAATCGTGCAAAAGAAGCCACGGCGGCTCGCAGGACCGCACGCGCGCCTCGAGGGACAACGCCGAGAGAGGCTGGAGCAGCGGCCCGCCGCGGTTGACCGGCGGCGGCAGCGGTGCGGCGGCTGCGGCGACCGAGCGGTCGCCGTCGCCGGGGGGCGCTCTGCGCGTGCTTGTGGCGGAGGACAACCTGGTGAATCAGAAGGTGCTGCTCAAGGTGCTGCAGCGCGTGACGCCCGAGAGCAAAGTCTTCGTCGCCAACAACGGCCAGGAAGCCCTGCAGGTGGGCGCTGCATTCCTCTCCAAGACATTTGCTCATTGTCTCTCGTCACGCACCGAAACTATCTCCACCTACTCTCTGTTCAGTAGTTGAGGTTGCAGCGGAGCAGTTGCAGGGAGAAAGCAACAATTGACTGGCATGCGGCAAGAGGTTGGTATGTAACAGGTTTGGTGAGCCATGTTTGAAATAGAGCAATGGCTGTGCACAGGAAATGGAGAAGAACGTGTACGACATAGTGCTGATGGACGTGCACATGCCCATCATCGACGGTCTGGAGGCCTCGCGGCGCATACGGGACATATACCCGGAAGAGGACCGGCCCAAAATCGTGGCGCTGTCCGCTGACACAACGCAGGCATGCACACTCTCCCAGCCTATCTTTGAATCAGGAGAGATTGCGTACATGAAAGTCAGTGCGAGTGCAAATGTAGGGAGGACGGGCTGCATCGGCAACACTATTGTATCCTATTTGAGAATCATTCTTGACCAAGTGAAAGCATGCCAGACCTGGCGGTCATGTGGCTATGGGCATAATGGTGACCTGTTATAATGCGCTGTGCAGGATATGCAGTCGCAGGGCAAGGACGTCGGCATTCACCAATTCATCTGCAAGCCATTCAGGATTGAGGAGCTGCAGCGTGTGCTTAATTCAACGTCCCGTGTGAAGCGCGTGCTGCCTTCCTGATCCTCAGATTATGAAGAAGCAGCGACTGAAGATTATTTTGAATCAGGAGCCTGGGGTTCACTTCTTTTTTGCGAAGGGTGGAGCAGCATGGCTCTGTCCTTGGCGCATTCACTGTATTGAGTTGAAAATGGGAACGTTGTAAAAGCTGTAGGTTTTTACAAGGTGTTGTCAGTCATTATGCCCTCTTTTGAGGCTGGCAGCTGAGAGGGTCATGAGAGTGTGTTTCACATTTAATCAGGACCCTGGGGATTACTTCTTTTTTGCAAAGGGTGGAGCAGCATGGCTCTGTCCTTGGCGCATTCGCTGTATTGAGTTGAAAATGGGAATGTTGTAAAAGCTGTAGGTTTTTACAAGGTTTTGTCAGTCATTATGCCCTCTTTTGAGGCTGGCAGCTGAGAGGGTCATGAAGAGTGTGTTTCACATTTTAGTTTGTGGCCAAGTACTCTTACCATTTTTTCAGGTGCAGCTCGTCCAGCACTTCTGCTGATGTTGGAACGGCAGACACTAATTTTTTGGGGCAAAGACTCTGGCATTTCAATTTTGGAAGAAAGGCTGGCGAGCTAACTGCACCATTGAGCGACGCAGAAAAAATGCAACAGAACAGTTTCAAGACAACATTGCCTGGTTAAGTGAGTACTTTCCGTCCATGTTGCTGTTAGTGCGTTTGAGTACCTGGAGTATTGGTCACAAGGATACCAATCATTATTTGGGCACTGTCATGTCTAAATGCTGCGCATTTGTAGGTGTGGTGAATACTGGTAATTGTATTGCTGCATTTACACTAATTGCTGAACGGACGCAAGGAGTACTTGGGCTTTGTAACCAATGCATCAGTGACATCTGTGCCGCCCATTTCACACACTGATACACTGCTCATAGCATGGGTATTCTCTCAGGCACACAGAGCCCGCCCGCATTTCACTTGACATGAGCAACTTGCGCTCAATTGTCCGAGAAGTTGAACCTGAAAATAGCAGGGCTGTCCTGCACAGCGGCGCCCGGGCCTTTCTGGCAACTGTCAATCTTGGGCCGTTTGCTTGCCTCCTGATCACTTCCATCGACATTGCCCTGAAAGAGCGATGCCAAACTCCTGACTTGTGACCTTTTCTGCTCCTCCTCCAAGCATGCCTCCAGAACCTGTGCCATCACCATTATATGCCGTCAGTAAAAATTCACTCTCAGAATCAATATAGCGCTGGTGTATGCTTGATAAATAGACCCTGTTCCTTTCATCATGCTAGCATCAATGAACGCGCCACAAGCTTGCTGTGCCTGGGGCCTGCAGTACAACACATAAGCAGGAATCCATTAACTTGCACGTGCAATATCTGAAAAATGCAAACATAGACATGTACTGACCTGTGGCCGCTGCTCTCGAAGGGCCTCCACAAAGCGGTCGTGCATGTCGGCGCGGTTGCCTTCGGCACAGCCGGACACCAGATCCGCATTCCCCGTCTTCAGGAAGGCCAGCACTGCGGATAGCCCTGCGCTGCTCACGTAATTTTGTGTCACCGCTATGCTCTCCTGCGCGCGTAGCACACACACAATACAACTCAACGCCATGCGATTCATTATTTCTCTTTTAACACTAGAAGGTCAAATATGCATGCTGCAGCAGCGCCAAAATCACAGATGCAGCGCTTAGACGCATGTATAAAGCCTACGCAGTCCAGGCTTGCTCCAGGAAAGATTGCTCGCAGGAAAACCAGCACGGGACAACAAGACCGCGCTTCTCAGGCAGTACAGAGGTCCAGCTTGCTCATGCAGCCAATATGGGTTAGGACAACAGCAATTCAAGGCACATTGCCCACAATATAAGAGTCATTCCATGGGCCCAACTCCCAAAGAGCCTGACCGCGTTGAAACTTGCTGTCTGTGAGGCAGGAAAGAACCAGGGATGGGATATGACATGCTCAAAAGGGGGGGCGCATCTGCAGTTGTCTGCAGGACGTACCTTTTCATTTGGCAGGCAAAGCGTGTAAAAATAACAATCATAAAGGGGGCCTAACAGGGTGGGCAGCGCACCTCCAGGTTGATGGCGAAGTGCCACCAGCCGCGGGGCACGAAGAGGACTTCGCCCGCGCGCACGACGCCCTCCACCGGAGGAACGCGCATTCGCTGGGACGCATCGTAGAAGTTGAGCATCCACTCCACCAGCGACACCGGTGTCGCCACGTCAGCGCCATCCGCACTTGCATGCACGCCTGTACCCGTGTGAGTCATGACTGATGATGCTGTAAGAGACTGGTTGCTGCCCGGACAGGCTCAGGAGCAAGCCCCAGGGGAGGGTGCCATACTGAGTAAACCATTGTATTGGTTTCTGCTCTCTCCTTCTGAGCGCCCCAAGCATCTTATTTGATAATAGATGTGCATTTCACGCGCCATCACTATTCCTTAAATCTCAGTACTTCCCAGCATGTGCGCTCAATCCCATTCAAGGGACTTCAAGCTTAATCATCCCTGGACAACACTCCATGGCGCGCGGCAATTTTAAAAACAGTCTGCGCACCTGGCGGGGTGACGTGTGGCGGAAAAAGGATCCACTTCTTGGACCCCTTGATGACGGCGTTCCAGGCTGAGGTGGCGTTGGGGTCCTTGTGGAAGGACGAGCCCGACCGGGCCGGCCCCATGATCAGCCACCGGTGGTGCGGCCGCGCATCCTCCCCCAGCACCCCAAACAGATCCTCCGCAAAATACTCCGGTACCTGCAACACAAGAGATGATGGTCCTGTAATTGAGATAGATAATTACATAATGGGCTTCGTGCAACAGGCCTTCAGCATTCTCTTATCGGCACATGGCAGCAGCTTCTGCCTGTTGTGGCTGCATGCCAGAGGCAGGATGCTTGAGATTTATTCACTCGATGCATGCACCGTCACCAGAATAACCATTTGCAGGGGCCACAACACATAGGCCACCCGAACATGCTACGACTGATTTGGGGCCATGGCACAAAGATAGATGCAAAGAATTATATGATCTGGGCAGAGGAATGCCGCCCACCTCATAGTCAGCGGCGAGCTTTGGCGCCTTGGCAGCAAATTGGCAGTCAAAGAGGTACAGCGGCATGTCATCCCTGGCCGCATCCGCATAGGCCAGGTAGTCATCAAAGGCCATGGAATAATCCCCCGCCATCACCTTTTGCCCCTTAAAGGCCTTCCTCAAATACTTCCGAGTCCACTTCTTCCGCGCCGGCCATTTCTTGGCCTGTCACACAAATCAGAACAGCTCAAAGCAAGGAATCATCATTGCCTCTTCATATTTTTTGATAGTCATGCTATGCCATGCATGCTGGCACTCTATTGCTCACATGCTTGGTCACAGACACGTTTTGGGCACTTAAAATGTGTGCTCACCTGACATGTAAAATGAGGTCAAGTTGAGTTTTATTTGACATGCAACGAGATTCCCAAGAGCTATAAATGCAAGATGTAAGCCACAAAGGGGAGCGCACAGCATCGGTCAGGACGACCGGGCAGTTGGGCAGCTCGTACTGCTGGCGGAACTCTTCGGCGCTGAGGCTGCTCCTGCGCTCCAGATTGTCCCTCTCCAGCCACTCCTCCCTGATGGGCGTGGTCGCGCAGAAAGAGGGCTGGTACAGAATGTCCGAATAGAACCCCTGCACTCTGAGGGGGCTGCTGGAAGGCTCTGTTTCGGCATCTCTTAAGCCTGTTGCTGTCAGGTAGGTGTGCTGCCAGCTGCTGCGGTACTGGAAGCTGCCCTCAAACTCCTGCAATCCCATGCATGCATCATTAAGGCATAGAACGCGTCACAAGTTGGACAGTTTTAAATAGATTAGTCATGATGACAGATGAGCCTAGACCGTGCCAGAAGAAACAAATCAAGATATTCAGAGATAGATGCAGCATCACACCTGCAGCGTGAGTGACCTCCAGAGTTCCTCATGGGTGCAGAAGCAGTACAGGGCCTTGCTGGTGGCTGAACAGGACAAGAGGACCTTGGCTGGAAGCAGTCCCAGCACAGAAAGCAGCAAGTCATCGCTGAGCACTCGCAAGTGTCCCAATCCTATTCATGCCAGCATCTGTGAATCACTAACCTTGCACTTTCCTTGCAACGTCCAGCCGCAGCTTCAGCATGTCACCAGCTCTCAAGACCCCATCAATAAACTGCCAAGTGGTACCGAATAATCTTATTTACGCTAAGCAATGATGAGATCGCATGATGCAAACTGACAAGTAGCCTTACCAGCAGATCGAATCTCTGCGCCTCCGTTAAACAGGAAATTTCCCCACGGCTGCACGCCCTGAGGATGCTCCATCAAATGCTCTGAATGACTACAAAAGCAATACGATTTTATCTGCCTGAGGTTTCTGTCAGTATTGAGAACGCGAATCTAGAGTGAAAGTGAAGTTGTACTAGCTATAAGATGTTTATGCCTATTGCTTATTCAAGTCAGCAAGAGCCTTGAAAAAGCAAAGTACTATTCCTCTGCATATTAGGGTATAATGCCAAGCTGTGACCGTGTGCTAGCCATTCTATCAACTTGAGGAAGTTTGGATGATGTAGCTGCAATCTCAGTACCGTCGGCTATAATTCGCACGTGCTTTTATTCCGATACAAGGTTGGATGCGTAGTGATGTTACATTATTCTTGAATTAACATTGCAATTTTCTATTTCCAATTTGATGCGACGGCCCCGAACGGCTCTTAGGATATTAGACCCTGACACTTGTCATGCTGGTGTTCGTGAACGACTGGAATATATGGATGCAGGCCGCTAGAGCATTGCAGGTATCCCAACAATGTGCTGCCAGCATGCGTGCTCAAGTTACAAGCGATAAAGGCCGTGTTGGCCGGTGCTGCACCGTGCACCATCATGGACCCAACTGAGATCAACTTATAACTTGCCGACCTCCAAACGCTATCACCAATCCGCAAAGACCGGCCCTTACACATGGAACGCTCCCTCATGGCACAGGAGCACCTGCTGTTTCCCCAGCAACCCCTGCTGTGTTCTGCGGCCCGGGCCCCGATCCCCGCCCGCGCCTGTTGCGGGACCTGGGCTCCCGCTGCCGCTGCTGCCCTTCCTGCTGCTCTGCCTGCAGCTGACCCTGCTGCAGCTGAACTTCCTGCGTCTGCGGCTGCGACGGTCTCTGCTGCGGCTGCTGGCGCCGTTGGCCGCCACGTCCCCTTCCCCTATCGCCTCTGTGACCCTCCCTCTGCTGTGTGCGCCCCTCAGGCACATGTTCCCCTCTGCCATTGCTGCCCTGCTCCTGGCCAGGCTGTCTGCTGGGAGTGTCCAAGCTGTGCACTTGGTCCAGCCCCATGTAGGCGTCCGACATCTGCATCCACAATCCTCCATTAGATATACCATACCAGTCAGCACAACTCCAATACATATGTGTGGTTTGCACATTGGCAGTCTGTGCAGAGGATGTCCAACAGACCTTCTTGGAATGCCCAGATAGAAAAGGCCTCACCAGTATATCTGGTCGACATTGTCTACACAGGTTATCCACACTAACTCTTCTTCAATCATTCCAAGGAGAGCCTCACCAGGTACAGGTGCAGGTTGGAGAAGGGCGCAGCGCCGGAGCCAGCGGCGCCTGCAGTAAAGCTGAGTCGCGCATTGGCCCTGTCGGAGAAGGACACGCGCTTTATGGCATGCAGCTCTTGTGTGCTCGCATCCCCCAGCACCAGCCACCATCCTGCCTCCTTCACCTGTGCACCCAAAAAAACAGAACTCACCAACAACAGAAGATTATCCTTCCATTATAGCATCTGGAAACGAAGCCTTACACAGCCTTCATGCATCAGCACCTCTGGAGGCTTCATAGCTGCACAATAAACAAAATTAAGTGAAGTAAATAGCACACTCGGACTCCATCGTAGACAAAAGTACGAGACAATGACCATTTGTATTTTTGGCAGACTGCCCACCTTGGGGAAGAGGGGGGCATAGGCCTTTCCGGCCGCTCCTCGAGGACCCCTCGCTGCTCGGACTGCCACTTCCAACACATAGCGCTGCCTGCCGGTCGCCCCACTCTGCCCTGAGCTGCTGGCCTCTGGCTGCTCTGCCACCCGCCTGTCTTCCTGCACCGGCCTGGGCGCCTGCCAGGACATCTCCACCAGAGGCAGCCGCTCGCACACCTGCCCAAACATGAAATAAAAATTTGAATTGAGTCCAAATTTCAAACACGTCATGCATATGGTCACTGCCCCACGCTTGCCCGACCTCTTCTGTACGGTATATACTGGGTGTTTTAGTGGGGCGCGGTTGGTGCTCTGCTTGAGGTATGCGGGTGTTGGGAGTGTGACAAGAGAGAGTGTGTCACCGTCATGGCTTCCTCGGCTGCCCTTGAGCTGCCCAGGGCTTGCTCCAGGGCAGCCCGGGCCTGGGCAGGCTGCCGACGGCACTGTTCCAGAAGCTGCGGCAGCGACGCCAGCTTCCTGGAAGCCAGCAGCTGCACCCCGCTCGCCTCCATGCGCGGCAGCATCAGCAGCGCATTCTCGTCCCACCAGCGAGCCTGCATAAGACCTCTCTCCTCAGCTGTGTTCTACACTTCCACATTCGGTCCAATTGAGCCTCACTGAGCCTCGGTATGGGAACAAGACAGCAGCACCTAATTACCACACACTCAGACAAGGGCCCTTCTCCACACAGCTGAAGACGCTGTGTTCAGGGGCACACCATGGTTCTGTAAGCAACCCTCTGCCACTTGATTTGTTCCACACAGAATGCTCCCCCAGGATCCCTTGTGTGCATGCGCTAAGCCTCTACGAACTAACCTGTTTGCTGCAGACGGCTTTTCCAGCAGCCCCTCATTCCAAGGGATAGTCCAACATGCAAGCACGAGACAAGTACCGGACCTGCATTACACGGGCTAGCCCAGGCAGCGAGCAAGAGTGAGCACAAACCACGGACCTGCATGAGGCCCTGGATGAGGTGCATGGTGGAGAGGGCGGTGCCCAGCCATCCGGCGTCGGCTGCCAGGTCGGTGATGGCCTGCAGCACGCGCACGCTGTTGTCCAGCGCGCCCTTCGTGTCCCCCACGTAGTCGCTGATCGGCACCGCCACCCGCCCCATGTGCGCCTGCGTGGACACACTCACTCCACCTCAGACCACCACTATTGCACATAATGGTTGCGCCTTTATGTAGTTCAGCAGCGCGGCGGATATTTGACCTTCCTTGCAGATCAGGGCATTCGATTGCAGCTGCAATGCACTGATCTATTTGCTGTTGTGTGGAGAGGTGGGAACACCAGCAAACATGCGCCTGTGCGACTGAGACGTGCATGAGTGTGACGGGCCCTTGATTGGCAGATGCACAGCCCTTTGGCTGGCAAAAGCAATGGACAAAGCTTCACACATGTAAGAGAAAATCTCTGCCCCAAAGATCAGGATCTTGAAAAAGACTAGGATAAATTGCGCGCCTGCAGCAGGAGGTTGGCTTTGGTGTGGGGGTCGTCGGCGGAGCGGGCGTCGATCGGGAATCTCACTTCGGCCGACAGCGTCATGTTGAGCTTGTCCTCGTTGTGCCGCACCGGCAGCTCGTCATACTCTGCCGCCGCACACAGCGCGCCCAACAACTGCGCAAACAATCACGGCAAGTATTCAACAAAGTTGCTGCCTTGACCATCAAGTTTTGCTTGCTGAAGCACATGCATTACGGAGGAAATGTGCGTGCCTGCCCCCTGACTAGCGCCGAAATTCTGGACTGATGCTAAAATATTGACTTCCGACCACTACAGTCCTCATATTCTCATTCAAACTCCAATTTGAGCAAATCCAAGTCCAGTAACATCATGCATCAAGCCGGACATGTCCAGAATGGAAGGGACAAGGGTGTATCAGGTGGGTGGACCACCTCGGGCACGGTCATGTCAGCGTGCAGGCCGGTGTGCAGGGTGGCCATGGTCTGGTATTTGAGGTAGTAGAAGCTTGCCACTCGCCCCATCGTCAGGGGCCCAATCGCGCCATCCTCCTCGATTGTCACGCAGCCAGCATCCTGCATGGCAGTCCGAAAGGTCATTTTATTATTCAGAGCTCTTCACTCCACAATATCCCAGCATGTGGCAGCAAGTCCCCGTGGTCTCGAAGAAATCTCCCTCAACCTAAAACCTGCAGTGCTGATGACGATCTTGTGCCTTCACTGGATCTTGCTGTTGTAAACATTTACCCAGGAATTGGGTACTTACTGCCGCAACAGCTGGTCCCAGATGACGCAAGAGACCATAATTGCAACTGCCACTTCCATGTGGAGAGCTCCGAGAGACTAGGTCTGCCCTCTTAACCACCTCGCCATTCATTTCGAGAAGCAGGCGTAAGACCCCGTGAGCAGCTGGGTGTTGAGGCCCAAAATTGATAGTGAAACTCTTTATCTTTTGCGGTGTAATTGCCTTTTCCAGGGCCATTAAGCTCTGTGCACAATCCCTTGACACCATACCTGCATATTCTGGCACTTATGCATGAAAGCAGCGCTGCCCACCTGCAGGGTGGCCATGGTGGTTTCCACCATGTCGGACAGGAAGTCGCTGACGTCCTCCATCTCTGTGCTCTCCAGGTTGTAGTAGGACGGATTCTGCAGCAGGCGCCGGTAGAAGAAGGTCCAGGTGAGGTAGTCTATCGCGTCCTGCTTGGAGCCTATTGTGCCCGCCACCACCTCAGCATTGAAGTGGTCCGCCACCTGTCACAATGCAACCTCAGGGTAATGCCCTGTGCCTGACTTCGCTTTCTTAAGCTCTGTTGAACCCAAGAGGCAGAAGGCAATATGTCCAGATAATAATGGTCTCAGCTGCCCGCGATTGCTGTGTGCAGTTCGCTTGGACACCGCAATCTCATAGCACAAGCACAAGCATAAACAAGACCCTTTCTGTCTTCAGTCCTTTTATCTGTTGAAGCAAAGTTTCAGGAAAGAAAAACCAGGCAGAGGATGTCAAAGAGGCTGCATGCATGCCAACTGCATGTCCCTTTCGTGACATACAAACTCTTGGCGCTCAACAGAATGCACCAATGGAACGCTGGGCTTCCAAGTTTATACATGTCGTAGTTAAAGACTCTCGATTTTTTCCTAACTGCCCCATAGCACGCAAGCCAGACCTGTCTTTTTGCATCTATTACAGGATATGTAACAGATCGCCCCAAATAGAGGTGATCTGGTGCCCTAGGGTCCAAAGGTGTCAGACAGCACATGGGAAGGGAGGAAGGACCACACCTGGTCCTGCAGGCTGGACTCGACAGGGAAGGGCTCGTAGAGGAACTTCTTGTAGAAGGACTTTTTGGGCTCGTGCACCATGATTACGGCCACGCCATGCCGGTCATACTGCGGCCGCCCCGCTCGCCCCATCATCTGCAGCACGTCCGTTATGGGGAAGTCAACGTAGCGCCTGCACACCACACGCGCACGGCCATCATCGAGCTATACACCCCATGTGTGCACAGCCATCATTACCTTATAATTGTATATACACTTGACGCTGGGACGTTTGTGGAGGAAATGATCAGGCAGCAAGCGATGTTGAGAGGTTCTGAAAAGGCGCCATTGATCGTGAGTTTGCACCTTGCCTCTTATTGGCAAGACACACGGTCAGATGCGGCTGGCGGACCCGTTGGTCAAGCGTAGGCTTGTTCAGGTCAGCCTCGATTGTTTGCGAGCAAGAGAGGAGGAGGGCAACAGGCTGACCTGGTGGGAGCATCAAAGAACTCTGTGCCCTTGATGATGACCAGGTGTGCTGGTGTATTGACACCCCAGGCCAGAGTGCTCGTTGCCACCAAAACCTGCAGACAAATGCATGTGTTCAAATTTGCTGATGAGTCCTGCATGAGCACTACTTCGCAATCAACTTGCCTTTCTTCATTGCACACAAGAAGAAATGGGCACTGTAAAAGAATTTGTTGAATGGCAGGCTATTGAGAGCATTGATGATGCCTCACCTGGATCTTGCCGGCAACGAACAGATTCTCGACTACGGTGCGGTCGGTCTCGTTGAGGCCGGCATGGTGCAGCCCAATGCCAAACTGCAGCGTGTGGCGCAGGTTGCCATCCTGCAGCATAAAAAGGGACGTTTCAAGAAAAGCCAAGCCAAGTTCAGCAAGTCACACTGAAATTTCTAAACGCCCTACAGTACTTCAGGTCGTCAAAGCCAAAGCCAGATGCCATAGGGGATAAACACGCAGGGCTTCTGCAGCGATTTTTGTGGGGCCTACAAAAGTCCGCAGTCAAGTGTTGTTTTGCTTCTGAGTCACAATCTATCTCTATTGTTTTTGGGTACGCAGAAGCAGAGGGATTGCGCGGATGCATGCCTTGATGGACACCAGCGCCTGCTCGAGCTCCTCTTCGGGGCAGTGCACATATTGGCGCGGCCGCTCATCGGCCGCCGCGTAGCCGATGAGGTCCAGCGCCGTCAGCCGCGTCTGGCGCCGCGAGCTCACAAACACCAGCACCGGCTTTATGGGCGAGTGCGCCTGTTCCAAGCACAACATAACAGCTCGCTCTTGAACATACATGTGTTTTGTTGCGTCTTGATGAGAAACTGCCAGAATTCTCAAACTCTTCCCGTGTAATGTACTGATGAAAATTGAACAGCAGGGTAAACTGTGGACATCTAATTGAGAAATTCCAAGGCATCCGTGTGTCTGTGCTGACCTTCATGGAAGTCAGAAGATGACGCTTTGTGAGTCAGAGCATCCATGACAATCGAAAACACACGGCAAGTCTCTGGCTGACGATCTTAAACTGACATTGTCACTCGGGGCTCGCAGTGCGTCTCTTCAGGAGCAGCTCTTCAGAGAACTGGGCAGACAGCCTCTGTGCCAGCAGGAGGCAATGGGTATGGAAAGATGCTGTACCTGGATGGCGGCATAGGCCGGCTTGTTCATGGTGGCCATGCGCGGGCAATAGAACTTGCCGGGGAAGCCCTGGATGTGGCATTCCAGCGGGACAGGGCGCACGCTCGGCTTGAAGTTGAACAGACCCTGCAAACCTTACAATGAACCTTCAAGACATGTCAAATTCACACAGACATGACATCACTGCACCATGCTTGACAATCGGCACTCCGGACACTCATATTCCATCTTGGGGTGTAGACATACAGGTTGCGTGGTTCCTCCTAGGTTCCGAATGCATGCTAGGTTCCCCTTGAACGTTCGAGGATGTGGCTACAAGGATGTGGCTGGAACGTTGCACATGGCATCTGTGAAGCAGAGCCCTGGCCAGATGGACAACCTGAGGCAAGAGCAACCTCAAAATCATCACATTGTCAAGCTAAAGCTGATAAGGGTCATAGAGATCATTCAGTATTTTACCTTGGGGCCGACGCCGAGCCAGTCTGCCAGGTCAATGGCGTTGGCCAGCGCAGTGGAGAGCCCCACAAAGCGGATCGGCTGGTCCATTGTGGCCGCAATGTAGCGCATCCGGGACACTATCACCTCCAGTATAGGACCCCTGCAACACATTCCCACATTTCAACAAACTATGTTGACCGATCAAGAATACCTCATTGACCAAAATAAAGCATCCCAGCCTGCACCTCTTGCACGCATGCATTCCCTGTTGCTTCATGACTCTGCATTCTTTCTGGCATGGGCAGAATTGCAGGTAACCTCTTTTGACAGTATAGCTATTCCTGCATGTTTAGACACTCCTGAGGACAGGCGACTTATAATCAACTTGATTTAGAAACCCCTCCTGAGAACATGCATACAGAGATGCATGAGGAGATGTATGAATAGATGTATAGTTAAATTGTCAAGATCACGGCCCCAAAAAGGCATGCAGCAGGAGAACTGCTCACCTGTCGGCGCCCAGGAGGTGGATCTCGTCGATGATGAGCAGGCAGACTTGCTTGACGTAGGAGCGGGTGTGCCAGGCGCGGCTGATGCCGTCCCACTTCTCGGGCGTGCAGATGATGACGTCAGCGCCCATCAGCGCGCGCATGTCGGGGGTGTACTCCCCAGTCAGCTCCACCAGCTTCTTGCCCAGCTTCTTGCACAGCCCCTGGCCCCAGTCCTTTATCCGCTCCCGCACCAGCGCCTGCGCTCACATGGTGCAAGCTTTTTCGAGGGTCCATTCGCCAGAACTTATCTCCACAGCAGACAATTTGTGAGGCGTTTTGGATCACTACTGAGCATGGTAGCTACCCTCCTGCAATGATAGGGCCACAACTGTAGCAAAACCACTGAACAAATTTCACAGTGAGTGCCACATGCACTCTAGAAGAGGTTTGGTGCGGCATGCAACTCATGAGACGCCCGCAACAGGAGAACTGATGGCAACAAGAAGATTGCCAGATGGTGTGAATGTGGGGAAATGTTTGTGACAAGGGAATGATGCAGTGTGTCACCTTGAGAGGTGCTATGTAGATGATCTTCTTGCCCGGGTGGGCGTTGAACACGCGCAGCATGGTCAGCTCAGCGCTGATGGTCTTGCCCGACCCAGTGGGTGCACCCAGCAGCACGCTCTCATCCGTGTGGTACAGCGTGTGGAACGCCTGTGTTCAAAACAATTCCCTCAAACTTCAATCGCAGTATTTCTTGCTGCTGAAAACAACAGGCCTCGCAGCTCTGCTGTCAACCCCCCCAAGGCATTTATTCACCGGGTGTGGCCGCTTTAACGATACTAATCCTTTTTTTTCAGAATTAGGAAGCAAGCACCTGCGTCTGGATGGGGTTGAAGTGAGAGAACTTGTACTGGGCCTCGTAAAGAGGGTTGTCCAACGCAGAGACTGGTAGTGGGTCCAGGTCAAGGAGCTCGGTGTGGGGCGGGTGGCGCTCCGGCAGAATTAGGCCCTTGAATGACATGGGCAATGTTGCCTCTGCCTGCAGCCACGTATCCGACACCACCCTGTGCCACAGCCCAGTTCCTTTATGACTAAAAAACGGGGGCGCTGGCCGGTGACGCCATGCATTGAGAAAGGGAAGGTCTGTCGCTAGAAGAGTTGCTAGGTGTGTCTTGCAGAGGTGTAGAGGCACAAGCGTCTGATGTAACCATCGCAGCTTCTCAAGCTGGAATCTTTGAAGCACTGCAGCCAGGGAAAGAGCCAGGGACATTTGTTACATGACCTCTATGCAGGGAACAGGGTGCTACAATTTTGCAAAAATTCCTGTTTGTGGAAGGAATGCCTGCAAGGGGACGGCACCTTCGCCCCTGCATTGTGGTTTATAGGATATCCTGACATGGCATATGATCATGTCACGATGAGAAGAAATCCTGTGGGCTTTCAGGCAGAGATCGGCCCATGTCCCAGTCCAAACAGCCACAAAATACCTCTTATACCTCTTATGAAATGGGAATATTCCCCATTTCCCATATCACAGGCTATTCCCCAGAGGCCAGGATTCAATGGAGGGCACGGTGCTCAGCTTACCGCCCTCCGCCAGCCGGTGCCAATGGGAAAAGAGAAGTTTAAAAGTTGGAAGCACACCGGATGTAGTACTGGGAGGGCAGCGGCTCAAAGATGGGGATGGTGAAGGCCAGTCTGTGCTGCGGCTCGCGCATCATCTTCTTGGTGAGCATCCAGGTCTCGCTGTGGTACACGTGCTCGTTCTCGCTGTCCTCCACCCAGATGTGCCACTGCATGCTGTTGCCGTGCGACGCGTCCCGCCACTGAAACGTCGGCTGCACCGTCAGTTGCACCCGCAGCACCGTCCTGCGCACCGCACCACACATACACACGGGTCAGGGCCATCTTTGCTGGATTTTACTGGGTTGTCGTGTGCAGCAAAGCTTCTTTTCATAGGGATTTCATGCCAGGATTTGGGCTCCTGGAGCATTACGCAAAAAGGAGTGCTGGAGCACATGACCAGGGCTTGATTGTGGACTCCGGACTTTACAGATGGCCCCGGAATGCCATTAGACAATGTAACATTCCATAAGATTCCTGTCTGTTCCCAGATATCTGTTCCCAGAGATTCCCCGCATACAGTACTATGACAGTGCTTCGGCCACTTCAGCCCAGAGAAGCAAGAGCAGGTGTCAGGGGCACCTGGTGATGGGCTGCAGCACGGCGTCCAGCTGGAGCGCGGGGAACGCCTCGAGGCAGGCGGCGATGGATTTGCCAGCGGCCGGGTGGCGCAGCAGCGCCCCGATGTCGGCAGCCTCCATGTCCCACAGCCGGTCCAGGTCCAGGCCCCGGTCCTCCAGCTTCATCAGCAGCTCCGGCGCCAGCGCGTGCTCAAACTGGCGCAGCGCATGCGCGTGCGGCCACAGCCGCCGCTCAAACGCCTGCAATATCAATATTGTTATTATCACAGGCCTGCAAAACGCCTGCATGGAGGGTCCAAAACCAGCTGACACCGCTCTCGTCTGACCGGCCATGAACATGGACCGCTTGTATTCTTCAAGCTGTACCTAGACCGTGCTTGGCCTTTGGCCGACTTGAAAAGATGACGAGCCCAGAGCTTCAATAAGCATGTGCGTTTGCAGGCGAGTACCCTCAGAGATTCCCAAGAGAGAGCTTCAGGAAGATGATGCATGAAGGCCTTTTGAGAATTTGTAATGTGCCGACAAGAAGAGTAAAGACTGGGAGTGCACCTTGCAGAGGCTTAATGCTCACCATGTGTGCATGCGCACATTGCCCTCAAACATGAACAACAGATATCTCCAAGGAGATGTTAAGCAAGGCGTGTTGGAATTTTTGAAATTTGTTGGGAATCTTAAAAGTTTGCAGGCAAGAAGGGCAAGCGGTGGGAGTGCACCTTGCAGAGGGTGAGTGCCAGCTCGGCAGCGGTGGACCAGCTGCGGCGCAGGCAGATCTCAAACAGCGCTCGGCAGATGCGCGGCGCATTCTGGCTCACGTACATCATGTCCGCAGTCAGCGAGAAGCTCTCCATGCGCACCCGGGAGATGTACGCCTGTCAGCAATCAGTCACTATTAGTACTTGGTTGCCAGATTGCATACCAGAATGCATGCCTGCTGTCATCCACTATGCTCAGGATGATGCTGATGATGACTGGAATGCACACCAAAATGTGTGCCCCCTGCTATCGTGGAAAGAGGAAAGCGAGGAGGCATTGTTGAGATTTTCAAAATGGTCGATTGAGTTGCATATCGAATAGCATGCCAGCTGCCATTGATTGCACATTTAAGAAAAGTGAAGAGGCACCCATGGTACACTGCAGATGCCTGCTTTGACGTTTGTGAAAGAAGAGTGGTGAAGAAAAGAGGTTGTGTTGTCATGAACGGCGTCACGTTGAAAGCTTGCTGGGCAGGGATTAATTGAAGTAAGTTGGAGTTTGAAGACAAGCGGTGGGTGGCTAGGCACACCTCCTCTGCGGTCATGTAATATTCAACACCCTTTTTATAGACCCGCAACCCCCACCAGGCTTTGCTTGTGGGGACAACCGTCCCGGGTGGCGTTTGGGACACATAGGCCTAGGCAGACCATACCCAAATGAGAGGGGGTCGTGACGCATGCAAGAAAATCTGTAATTACCATCTTTCAACTACAAGGGTCCGATTTTCTGACTGGCAAAGTTGGCAGAAAGACAGACCTGTGCCTTTGACAGTGGATAATTGCAAGTTTTCTAACTTCAAAATATCGAAATTAGAAAGTATGGAGGTGTGCACTGGTGGGCTCCAGGGACTGGCCAAGTGGATGCTCCAAAAGCTCAGGGACGCCATAAGCATGGAGCAGTTGATGCAGATTTGAGAGGAAGCAACAAGAAGCGGGAGCAGAGCAGGAAGCTCACCTGAAGCAGGATGTTGATCTTGCCGTGCTTGTTCTCTGGGCCGCCCTTGACATCAAAGGGGCACGCGCTGCGCACAAGAGCGTCCAGCTCTGGCAGCTCATCCTCCCGCACCGCCATGTTTTCAAACTCGCTGCTCTGCGCCAGCATGGCCAGAAACTGCGCATGCACACCCCCCCAGATTTGTCATCCTTCTGAGTTCGTCACCCTCTTCTATGAATTTCCCTTCTTCAGACTTGTCACATTGCAGCTTTGAAGATCGAGCGCCTGCTTCTACACAAGGCATGCATGCATTGCCTTTGCGCTCCATTACCTTGGCATGTGCATGGACAGTTTGGAATGCTCTAGTGGTCGAGCAGGTGAATGCAGGACATAGGAGGGTGCACGCGCACCTCAGACTCAGTCATGTGGGGCTTCAGAAGCTCGTTGAAGGCCACGATGGACTTGTGGCGGATGTAAAAGTGCGACGCCACCCGGCCCAGCTCTGTCACATACAGCTGCCCGCTCCGCTCGTCAAAGCGTGCCATCTTGCACCTGCAAGAAATTCTCCACATTGGACACCATCCAACATCAATTTGTCACTAGGCCAAATGGTAATCATTGGACCATGATACAAGCTCCTTCCAACACCATATCCTCATCACATGTATGAGCCCCTGGGGCACGCAAGGTGTGCACCGAGCTGCAGGATCTGACAAGACACCGGTTGACGACAGCAACATGGCCCTAGGCCGCATCATCCTCGTCTGCAGTGGCGACAGGCAAATGGTGAGTGGCCGCACTTCTCCAGCTTGCGCGCTGCGTCGGTGATGAGCTGCTTGCGCCGGCCGTCCAGGCGCTGGTCGGCTGCCAGCTCCTCCCAGGGAATGCCGTAGGACAGCGGGTTCTTCAGCATGCGCACAAACAGGTACGTGTACGACAGCCACGCGCACGCCTCCTTCACATTTGTCACCGTGCCTGCACGATGCATATAACGAATGCAGCTGAGCCTCTTTGGCTCCTTGGCTACTCTTCAGAGCCCTGATAGCATAACATGGCCCGTGCCTCAACACATCACAAAGCCTCCTTTTGGGGCAGATGCAGTGTGATGTCATCTGCTGCACAGGCCATGTTATGTTGCCATGCCTGGCTCTTTGAGCTGATCAAGTGTATGATTGATCCTGCGGTGTAACTGCGTCATGAATGAATAAAGCACACGATAGACCCTTAAAACTCGGTTATCAGTAAGGGAAATTAAGGTCACACTTCTCAGACAGCACAAGCCAAACATAAAAGATGACGGCGCACCCAGCACAATCTCAGCGTTGAGGTTGTCCTCCAGGTTGCTGACAAACTGGGACTCAATGGGCAGCTGATGAGTCAGCATGCCCAGGTAGTGGGCCAGCTGCGCGTGCTGTGTCAGTATGATGCCCAGCCCGGTGTCCTCATATTGCGGCCGCCCCGCCCGCCCAAAAATTTGCTGCACATCCAGCATGCCTGCAAAAACACAGCAAATAACCGTGCGGTCAAGAGCAGGGGGCAAGCCTGTTGAAATGAGGCGCACACATGATGTGACTGCGCAGATTAGATGCACAGTAGAACCACAATCAAGGCAGCCCACCAAACACGGCAGCCATTCAATCATTGCCGCAGCAAATCTGCCTCTAAAAAGATGCAAATACCCTTTGAGCAGTCGTAAAGATCACCTACCCGGTCTGACTTCCTGAAGGAAGCAGTTGGAATAGAGAAGGAAAGAAGGACGTCCAAGCATTGTCCTCCATGGGACAATGTGTGCGCTTTATTGACACAGAATGTGGTTTTATGAGGTGAGGAAAGAGAAGTGTCCTGGCGCGTACCCAGATTCTTGAATTGGCCCTTCTGCGCGTCGTACAGCTGCGTGCCCTTGATGATGACGGTGTGCGCCGGCAGGTTGACACCCCACGCCAGCGTGGCAGTTGTGCACAGGACCTGATACAACAAATGAGATCAGAGGAGCGTCAAGTATTCAAAACTTGCTTCCTCTATCCCAGTGCATCCCTTAGCTGGTCAAGGGTGAGCAGGATCCTCAATCGCTGAGAGGAACATCCATAACTTATTTCCAGTCTTCTTCAAACATCAAGCAGAGTGGTTGCAGTAAAAGGAGGTGCATTGAACACCCCGACAGTGGGCTCGAATCACCTACCTTCAGCATGCCGTCAGCAAACGCTTTCTCCATGAGGTTGCGGTCTGAGCGCAGCATGCCGGCATGGTGCATGCCTATGCCCCCTGGGAATAGATCTTGCAACTCCCTGCACAACAGCAAAATACTACATTCTGCATAAATTCTTCTACCTGCTGTGTATGACTAGGCAATGGACTGAGATGAACACAGCAAGTCTTGCTAGCCCCTCACGGGACAGGCCCTCCATGCTGGACAGCACGCTTCACTGAGAAGGATAAGAGCCATGCCTGTTGCGTGAGCGCTTGATTTCTTTGAGGGTGAACGGGTACTGGTCCTCCTGGGAGCAGTCAAAGACATCCGTCTCGCCAGCGTTCTGCGCTTTGGTGATCAGCGTGCGCGCAGTCTTGCCCGTGTCCTTGCGCGAGTGCACAAACACCATCGCCTGATGCCCCTTCCGCAGTGAATCCACCACCTGGATGAAATCACAACACAGACATCAGCATGACAGCTGGAACGATGCATCAGCATATCAAAAGTTCACATCCTCGCATGAAGTATATGCGCACAAACACAGGCAAAGATCCTAAGCACATGAGCCAGTCTCATGATGATGCAAGGCAAACTTCCATATGCAAGGTCAAATTTGGCATGCAAGGCACGGCACTCCAGTGAGATGCTGCAAATGATAATATACGGCACAAATTGAAGTATGAAGCAGCCAACCTTCTCATAGCAGATTTCGTCCATGACGTTTTTGGCGTCCAGCACCCTCTTCTCAGTGACGCCCACGAACTGCATCTCCAGGGGAACAGGCCGATACGAGGCATCGAAGTAGAAGAGGCCTGTGTCGACATTGACGCCCAGAAACAGACCCACGTCCTTGTAGTTGGGCAGCGTTGCGCTCAGGCCTACAATGCGGATCATGCTCTGGCTCGCCTCCACCTGTAGAAAAGATGAGAAGGCGCTCAGCAGTCTGATCACCAATTTAGGATCACTTACGTTAAACCCTGCTGTGTTGCTTTTATCATGTAATATTTGCCATCCCTGCAGGTCCAGAAGGCAGGGCCATTCTATTACTTCTTCGAGAACCGGGGTAATAGGCTGCACAAGATGGATAAGGCCTGCCAGCATGGGGCCACAGCATGATGACCCTCCCTGCTGTTGAGCGCTGCATGCCCCAGAAAGCTGCAGGCACCTCTGCTGCACAGCCCAGAAGCCAGGAAGAATCACAGGGTGACCAGCCAGATCAGGCTGTTTAAGGTGAGGACAGATCCCGCAAGTGTCGTTGCGCAGGACGCCTCAGGCTGACCGACAGTACCCAAGAAAGCTGAATGCCTCCTCCCCGACCATTGCTGCACACCCCACACGCCACTAATAGTCACAGACCATCCTGATCCAGGCTCTTTTCTCCACCCGTAAGAGGTCAGGTCAGATCCAGTACCTGGCGCTGCGTGCGCGCGATGAGGGTCTCGATGACGGGACCGCGCTCGTCATTGAGCAGGTGCACCTCGTCGATGATGAGCAGGCGCACGGCCTGGGCCACCGCCACGTCACCGCCCTTGCGCGTGATGACGTCCCACTTCTCGGGCGTGGTCACGATCATCTGCGTCTCCGTCAGCTCGCGCTTGCTCAGCTGCATGTCGCCCGTGAGCTCCCGCACCACTATGCCTGCAGCGCAGCAGAGACTCCTAATCTTAAGTATTTTGCTATTGCATTGTTTGTGATTGCGGAAGAAGATGCAGGCTCCTTCGAGTAGCAGGCTACCTTTGACAAAGATGGAAATCTTCTCAAGCGACTTGAAACCCATGTACAGCAATGGGTGCCCTTCAAAGGCCATGTTTCTCTACCTGTTGCCATAAGGTCACCTTGAACACCCCACCAAGAAGCATTTTGGAACAAGGAACCTGGGTTTGCAACGAGATTCTCAGAACCAATGAATTTCTCAGTGGACGTTGCCAGGTGATGTTATGGCAACAGGTAATACTTAGGTCAGGCAGCAGACGCAAATCTCGTCTCGTTGCAGGACGTCACGTTTCAGGGATAAGCTCGATCCTGAAACTATTGCAGGAAGACAGTGTTGAAGATCTCTGATCTCACATGAAACTGATAGGCAGAGCAGTTAGAATTGGTTTGGGCAGCCGAAGGGTGGAGGGGTCAAGCACAGTACCGAGGTCTTATTATGAAATGATGGTGATAAGAACAACGACATCGGCACGTGCTGTTTAGCCTCCAGGGGAAAAGACAACTGATTTGGGTGCTATGAGATTCGGACGGGTCCAGTGCAGTACCGAGGGCGGAGAGGCGCTTGGAGAAAGTGGCGGTGACCTCAGCGGCCAGGGCTTTCATGGGCGCCACATAGACGATCTTGAAGTCCTGCTTCTGGATGACGCCCTGCCGCATGTTGGCGCCGATCTCGCGCAGCACCGCGATCATCGCGATGTTGGTCTTGCCGGCCCCCGTGGGCGCGCACACCAGCAGGTTCTCGTTGCTGCCAAAGGCCGTCGGGTAGATGCGGCTCTGGATGCGGTTCAGCTTCCTGCGCAAGGCCAGAAACCAAATTTGAAGCATTCCAAATGTAGTTTTCAAATGTAATTCCATTGTCCTCTGAAGTGCATGCTCCTCAACGGACTTCAGTGGCAATGCCAGCAGCAGGTCCACTGCAAAAGATTGTTATGCAACTGGTCTACTACTTGACGCCATACAGAGTTGTCAGAGTATTGATGTGCCAGTGGGTGTCAGAATGCACTGCTGAGCCGAATCTTGCAATATGGGGCTTTTCTTCAACTGCTAGCATTGAGTGGACTGGGGCCATGGAAACAGAATACAACATTATTAGGATAGGTTTGGGCTCACTTGTAGCCGGTGAATGCCAGCTGGGCCCACTCCTCCATCTCCTCAATCAGGACCACCCTCTCGCCTGGCTCTGGAGTGCTCTTCTTCGCAGCTGGGACCTTGACCTCCTCGTACCCTTTGTAGTGCCTACAACACGCTGGTATGGTCTTGCCATACTCACAAATTTACAGTCATCCCAAGGTATTGTGGCAGGGTCACACGACAACCTGTACAATGTGAGAAGAGGAGCTCACTGTCGAGTGGTGCCCTTTGGCAGGGCGCCCTTTGTCACCAGGCTCATCTCCTCCCCTCCTATTTTGAACTCCAGGTCGCCCACCACGAGACCCTGTTGACACAGACCAAAAGCAAAATGACATTATGCAAAAAAAAATGTTGGGGAGATTTGTCTGCTGTCTGCTGTGACTGGCACGGCGGAAATCTGCGCAAGTATAACAAGTCATGGAAGATACGATTCCTAGATACACAGCCTTCCACTCTGGATTAGAAGAAGACTCAAAAGTTGCGCGTTTGTGGAAGTCATCCATGCAAGTGGAAGCTTTTCACCTCAGTCTTTGAATTGCGCATGATCTCAGCTTCAACCAGGGCATTGAAACCCTGGATCCCATTGATGGAGAGCCAGTCCAGCTCAGCGTCTGCGCCGGCCCTGCCCTTGGCCATGCGCCGTTTGTCCTTGCGCTCTAACTTCCCCAGCAGCTTCTGGGACTCCGACGTGATGCTGCGGCGACACAACGCATCTTCAAAATTTGTCATTTGATTCTTCGTCTGCATTAGCACTTGCGGGGGGCAATATAAAAATTGAGCATAGCGCCCACGTTTGATTGGGTCTTGCTTGGATCTGGCGAGTCCAACAAGGAGTAGGATTGTGGCAGCCTTCAAGCGCAGCTTGTCTGCAGGACGTACCTTGCCTTTGGCAGGAAGAGCGTGCAATGATAACAAAGAATAGTAAGCACTTGCTGGTGCAGAATCTGGTATGGGCATTGTTTTTGGGATCACTTATAACATTTGTGGCTATACTCCTGGTGGCTGCTATCCAGTCATGGTTTTGCAGGTTTCAGATCTGTGGATGAGGAAATATCAAGTGAAGACACCTGACAGAGCTGCCATAGGTGGGCATCTTTGGCTTCTCAGCCGCTTCCATCTCCATCTGGGCAGCAACCTGCAGCCTCAAATTTGCCGCCAGTGTCCGCCTGAACAAGCCAGGCATATAAGTACTTCACGCATCAGGAATTATAAAAGAAGTCTACGTCCTCAGAGCTACATGCATGACATGTTGCTACAGAGATCTGTGAGGCCCTCTTAGGATCAGTAGGTACACACCTGATGCTCAGGATCTCTGGAATAGACTCAATCCCCCCAGTGCCCAGAAGGTCATACAGCTGGGTTCCTGCCTCATGGTCCCCCTTGGCAGACATGATCATTTGGGCCACAGCCAGCGCCACACTGCCATCTGCCTGGGCCCCGTCCTCCCCGGCTGCCTTGGCACACCAATTTCGCAACCACACAGCACCAGTCTGCACACCACCACACATCTCACAAATCACCCACCACCTTTTTCATGCACACAGTACAGGTGCCAGGCTGCTCACCACCGAGCATCGGACATATCACCCACCTATTTATAATGCACCACAGCACCAGTGCCCGTCTTTCTTACCCCTGGAACAAAGTACAAAAGCACGGATCTTGTAGGATTTTCTACATACTGCCTGTGCCAAATTTCTGTACACCTGGAACGGTGTAGAATAGCATGAACAAGGAGTGTGGAGTGTGCCCTAGGCTTCTTTTTGTAAGAGCGAGGGGCTGGGCTTGTGGCTGACCTTGGCCTGGGGAGCCTTAGGGGCGAACTCATCTGTGTCATCGTGGTCTTCCACATAGGGCTTCCCGGGCTCGCTGGGCCCGATGTTGGCTGTGAACATGTCTCGCAAACTCTGTGGCGTTGCTGGCCTGTACCAGCAGCAGCAGACACTTAAGACACAAGTGCAGGAATGATCTAGCAACAATTGGATGACTCAGAGCTTTAAATCTTCAACCTGAAGTAATGCACGATGTGCACATCAGAAAGCACGCCCTCTGTGTGGCATCAAGCAAAACACAGCATGTCGGTAACACATGCAAAAGTTGAGATGTAGAATCAGAGGTGCGCACGTGCTTCCAAGGGCGCCTGTCTGGCTGTGGTCAGCGAGGTTGTCCAGCTCTGCTTCATCAGGCCTAGCCTGCAGCCGAGGGAAGTGAAACTCTAGGTCTGCACCAAACTCCTTGCGCAGTGGCTGGGCAGCAGCCGCAGACTTGCCCTTTGCCACAGCAGTGGAGGCCTCATTTCCAGAGCTCCCAAGAGACTTCTGCCAGACCTGCAATCTCAGAACTCTGCCATGAGTGCTGCAAGGCCTGAGAGGGGACAAGTGCGTGCATGGTAGAAACTTAGCAGCAAAGACCAGACCTCTTGATCACCATGTTATTTCAACCAGATACAGAGTAATACAGATATTTCTCACCTGCAATTTGGCTACTGCCTTCAGGAGGTTTTGCAGCTCCTTGTCCCCGAGCTCCCCCACGACCCCCTTGACCGCATTCCTGTAGCAGCATGACGGACTAATTCAATTGCAGCAGTGGCAAAGCAGCGCATCTCCTCAATGCAGATCCAATGAATTTTGTAAACAGTCCTTGCAAGTGGTGTGAGTCACACAGAGGACACCGGCAATGTACCTGTATGGCATGAGCTTCTTTGCCATGGTGACACGCACTGTGTTGCTGTCATCTGGGTTGGGGAGTTTTGACAATTTCTCCCACACGTCCTGAGCGCTTGCCTGCAGGTCACGCAAATTTTTATGGCGTCAAATGTCTGCTGAGAAATGTGGATCTCTACCATTTGGGTTGTGCAGCAGAGCAAGCACATGGCAGTAATTTATGGGATCGTAAAGGCACTGTGGCACTGTGACAGTGAAAATGACCTGCAGCGCTTCTGGGGTGTCTTCACCACCCAGTAAAGATGACACCATCTTCATGTAATGCTCGTAGTCATCGCGCGCCGCCTTTGGCGCCTTGGACCAGGAACCCAGCAGCTTCTGTGCCAGAGGGGATGTCCCAATAGTAGGAGCCTGCACATATGTCCAAGCAATTATATAACGCAACGTACTGACTGTCTAACAAAGCTATTGTACATAGGCTTCAGGTTGAGAGAGCATGAGCCAAGGTGTGACAAGCACACCTTCTTGCCAGTCAACTGCTGGCGCTTGGCTTCAAGAGCCTGTGAGCGCTGCAGGTACAATGCTCCCACATTCAGGGACCCAGAGTCCGTGGCAAATGCACGTAGCATGGCCGTGAGCCGAGGGACCTGTCAGCCACAGTGAGGGCCTGTTTGATTGAGGAAAAAATTACCTTGGGTAAGTACCAAGGAGAAAATGAGTTTTAGAATCTAAAACACCAGATCATATCTGACCTGAGATCATGACATAGTACATGTGTAAGCAGGGCAAAGAGCCATCGATATGTGGCTCACCTGAGCATCCTGGCCTTGTGGAGAGGTAAGTGCTCCACCAGCTCCCATTTGAACCTTGAGAAATAAATCAGTGTACCCCTCTGTTCGATTTCTAACGTCCGATATCAAGTTGAACTATATGTTCCTGATCGATCTGCAGAAAAAGTCATCGGTGTGATATAAGCTGTTTCAGTATTAAAAGTACTGGTCGTGAGCCGATACTAAGATATTTTTCAAACAAACATACTAGCTATTATATCGCTTCATTACTTTGGAAATGCAATCCTTTTGCTTGTATTTGTTTGCTACGCATGCCTGAGCATGCAAGGAGCATGCCGTCCAAGTTTGGCATCATGCTGCCACGCAAGACAATCTCCAAGATCCTGGTTCAAAAGGTGTCCATTATTCGAGGTTTTACAATCTTGTGCACGCGGCAAACAGTATACTCGCGAGCATTTGCTCTCGATACATCTTTCTGCGTGCCTGCCCTGCAGGCATTGGGTCTTGCTTGGATCTGGCGAGTCCGACAAGGGGTAGTATTGTGGCAGCCTTTAACTGCAGCTTGTCTGCAGAACGCACCTTGCCTGTTGGCAGGAAAAGCGTGTTATAATAATACTAATAATAATGCTGGTCAGCGCAACAGGTTTTGAATTCAGGACCATACTAGACTGAATAATTGCTTCTTCAGATGTACCCTGTTGCAATTTAAGCTTACATCAGATTGGCACGGGCTTGCTGCTTGCCATCATCAGGCATCAACGCCGCAAACACATCAGAGATGATGTCATTGGAAACCAGGAACCCATCAGGGTCTGCCAGCCTGACCACCTCCCTTGCCCCAATCCCTTCACCCTTCCCTTCTTTCCCTTCCTTCCCTTCCTCAGAGCTTCTCACTACCAGAGCCGCCTCCTCATGGGGCTCTAGCGCCTTGTTCACTGCCCTGACTGCACCAGAACCAAACTGCTCTCCAAATTGTCTCAAATCCAAGCCGTCGGCAGTGCGCAGACGCATCATGACTATGTCCAGCATCTCGTCCTCCTTCCCCTGGTCATCCGCCGCGCTTCCTGCAATGCAAACGAGTGAATTCAGCACCTCCTCTTACTTATCTCCTCATTTTTTTGGAGTACTTGCCGCTCGCACTACTGCTTGCTGGATTTGCGGTCAGCACAACCTTCTCTTGCTCATGGTAAAGCTTCTCTTGCCCATGGCATGCTTGGGATGCCAACTCTGCACTTTCATCCTGCTAGGAAAAGCATACTTTAGCAGCAGAGAGGAGCTCATGCTTGCTCATTATCTTATTCAGTATAAGCTGATAAATTAGAGTGGTCCGCACGTAGGCACTTGCTTGAAATTTTCCTAGTCTCTACTCTTCATCTATCTGTAAATTGCTGTTGTTTTGAGCTCCCCAGCCCCTGTTTTTGCAGCTCAATTTGCATTTGGGCAGGCCATAACAACGATGGCCCCAAATTCTCAGGTGCTCCTCTAGATTGGGCGGACCAAAGCGGACAAATTAATCACCTGGGAAGCCAGCGCCAGAGCTGGCAAACTGTGACACCCACTTGCGGTAGGCCACCATCTGGCGCGGCCGGCTGAAGCGGCGAGATTGCAGGTAAGATGCTGCGCCCAGCCCGAAGGCATAGTAGGGCTCATCTCCCCTCCAGTACACCTCGTTGTGCTTGCACCTGCGCCCGGCAGCAACAACCCCTTGCGATCATATCCAGTGTGTTACCAGCAATGACATTGCCAGTGCATGCACCCCTGCTTGAGCAGCTGTGTCATGGTGGGAGGATGCGTTGCTCTGCATTCTCAAGAAGTGTGTCATGGCTGCAGGGCACCGTGCACAGATTACTACTTGAGCATTTTGCCATTGCAGATATTGATGTAAAGACACAAATATCATTCAACAGTAAGTGCCTGTTTAAAGCCTCAGAGCTTAGGCAGAGATACAAAGATATTATGCCCGCACCTGTGACCTGGGCGCGCATAGTTGCTGACTTCATAGTGTTCATAGCCAGCGCTGCGCAGTACAGAGGAGGCAGCCTTGTACATCTCGGCCCCATCCTCTGAGGAGGGCAGCGGCTTGACATCAATCGTGTACTTCTTTGCAAAGGGCGTCTTGTCCTCAACCTGAATGCCATGTATGCCTCTCAGCAGCTACCCTGCAAAGCATCTGAAGTTTTCACCTCAAAATACATGCTATCACCGCAAAGAACCTTGGACGTCCAAGCAGAATCACCCCATGGCAGAGCTCCTTACTGCATACAAATATACTCGGCAGGTACAACCTTTGGGCTGAGTCCTGGACATACCTCCTTGCCAAAATAGCCACAAAGAGAACCTCTGGACAGCTATTTTATATCAGCAGGGTCCCCCAGCTCAATGCAGGTCATGTAACAGGGCTGCAGAGGCTCGTTGAGAGGCAGTCCCTCGAGTGGTGATGATGGTGTTTGTGACACAGACTGCAAATAGATCTGAACACAGACGGTAAGAAGATCTCAATACAGTATTGAGCAGCACCTGCAGGTCGTAGACGGAGATGTGGGGCGGTTCCGCATCCAGTGCGCAACTAAGGGACTGGTGCCAGGTGTCCTCAGTCAGATGGGGCAGGCCAGAAATGAGGTCCAGGCTCCAGGAAGGCGGAGCCGCTGCATGCACCGCCTCCAGCGCCTTGTACACATCGTACAGCGAGTGCGAGCGCCCGCACACCTCCAACAGCTCCTGCACACATCAAAAGAAAAGAGCTCAATTATTGACTTATGCACCATGGTTTCTATCCTAGAATAGTACACAGAGCATGTCTGCAGTCAGGCCAGGCAAAGGTGCAGAGATTCTTGAGAGAGGCGGAGGCAAGAGCAACAAGCTAGCCTTCATGCATATCTCCAACTGATTCTTGGGGCAACAGACAAAGGAAGCAAAGGAAGTGTGCATGATGGTCAGGTGCTCAGAGCATGCATGCCTGCATGGACAACGAACAGGTGAATCAATTAGATGGTGCAGGTCTGCTGGGGCGTGCCTCCTGGAAGGCCTGCACGCCGATGCTGAAGCGGGAGAGGCCCAGGTCCATGTACTCGCGCAGCCGCTCTGCATCAAAAGTCCCGGGATCTGCCTCCATCGAAATCTCTGCCCCGGCCGCTATGCCAAACCGCTTGTCCAGCGCGCTGATAATCTGCACGCAAATATATACCGTGGTTAGTACTGCAACTGCCTGTCATCTTTTGGCATGTCTAACACACAATATAATATGCAGGAGCAGCAGCAGCAGCTCATGAGCAGGTGTAGTATATAGAGGCTGCCAACAGGGAGGCTCACCTGGTCCAACTGCTTCGGTGGTATGAGGGAGGGCGTTCCGCCGCCAAAGAACACCGTCTGCAGCGGTTGGTCGGTCAGCGGCGTGCTCGCCTTGATCTCCTGGATCACAGTGTCCACATATGCCTGCCATGACAGCCAAGGAATTGCTTGAATATCTGCCATGATCAAACAATCTTTGCTGCTTTGAGCCTAACAGCTTCCTTTTAAACAATTGAGGGCTGAAAATGCCAAACCTTCATGCTGTCCTGTATTTCAGGAGAGTTCAGGCGTGAGCCAGTGGCGACAACAGGGAAGTCGCAGTACAGGCATCTGCGCTTGCAGAAGGGCAGGTGCACATAAGCAGCCCGAGGCTCCTTGTCATAGGAGGTCGATGCCTCTTTGGAGCTGGCCAAACGTTCAGCAAGGGCTGCGTTTGTGATCATGCACCTCCCTTGCTGTCGTGAGGAGGCACGTTGGCCCCTGGGCATCGCAGGATATGTATTAGGGCTGCTGAAAAACTTGAGAGCTTCAAAATATCGTCACATGTCTACCAAAGTCACCTTTGCGGGGATATCGAAGACACGTTCACGAGACAGTGCTGCCTTAATGGCTGCCTGTGCCCAATCGCAGAATACCCCAAGGAAAGGAGTCGGCGCTGTGCATTTATTAAAATTCCCATTTACAAGATTTTTAATATTAGAGATTTAAAAATCCTCCATCTATCAGAACCAGCAGTGAGATCCAAGTGCAAGCTGGTGGCTTAAGCAATTTTGTTCAAATTTGCAGGGGATACAATCATAGTTCTTCAGAGAGACAAAGTCGAGATTCCATTTGACAACTGTATGATTGGATTGCGTGTGCGATTACTGCGAGTCTTGCTGTGGGAGCCGAAGATAGCTTACCAGCTTCCTCTGTCTTGGAAGCTGACGTCACAGCGGGTGTGTCCTCAAGGAGGACGCGAGCAAACAGCCAGTTTCGAGTACGGATCTATCTTAAATTATCTCAAGATGGCAGAGGTGGCTCACGACGAGAGGTGGGAGGCATCGTCCGACCGTCAAGGTACGTGACGGTGTTCTTTGATCGTATCGGAGTCAGCTTCCATCTCTGCCTTGATGCTTTAAATACGGCAGCGGGACCTTCATTCGCCTTCACCCATCGTTCTAAAGCTAGGATATGCCCCCATTTTTGCTGTACGCCTCGATCCCCAAGGGGTTCAATGCGCACTTGAGAATGTGTCCTGGATCGGACCTTCTCACCCGGCCGGATCGACACACAATTATTGCAAGGCTCAATCTTGTATTCGATAGGGAGTCACAACAACTACCTCATGTATCCACTTATGCCAAATACTTCTTGCTTTTGGCATTAATGCGGCAATGCAGGAGCTCGCAAGACTGTATGATAACGTGCAATTAGAGGTGCAAGTGCTCTGCACCCTGTCTTTAACAATGATGGCTTGCTTGCTTTGCAGGCGGAAAGAGTAACGACACCAGGGATCAACATGATGACACCAGGTCTCAGCAGAATGGACACGGTTCTGAGAGCGAGTTCAGGACAACTTCCAAGGCCCAGGAGCAGCGCAGGGTGTTTGATGAGCCCGAGAACCGCAGAAGGAACGATGACACGTCCAGCATTGCCTCGTTCGAGTAAGCCTTGCCACCTTATTGCAGCTTCTTGCCATGCATCTCTATATTTTATTTGCAGCACTGCATCCATCAGTTGGAAGCTTCAATCCATGCTGGCCTAGCCTGAGCATTGCAGTCAAATCAATGCAGCCATGCATCGGCTTGCTAAATGATCCATTGCGGACGAAGAAAGCCAGAAAACATGATCACGATGCAGAAAAGTGACTGTAAGCAGAGTTTGAAATTGCTGTGATTTCTTGTGCAGGCATGGGCACGCCGCGCCCTCCAGCGCGGGGCCGACAGTGACGCAGGACGATGATCCGACGACGCACGAGGTACGCTACACGGCGGATGTGGGCCGGGACATCGAGGGCGCCGGCGGCAAGAGCCTGCTGATGGCAGCTTCCCCGCAGCTGGCGCAGGACGTGCGCGCGGCGTTCGCAGGCGTTCCCCGCGTGAAGCCCCAGTGGAACGACCGCCACCTCAAGATCCTCATTGTGGGCGAGAGCGGCCTCGGTGAGCTCTTGTCATGTCAAGATTCAATCTGTCATATTGCACAAGAAGTAACTGTGATGATCTGTGTTGCAGGCTCTGCCAGAGTGGTCTACTTGCAAAGTTTGAAGAAGATCTTTTGGCAAGCCCAGCAGACCTGGGAGTCAGCATTAACATGCTGACATCGTCGTTGAAAGTGCTGACCTTATGCCAGCTTTTACGTCTTATTTCATCCTGTGCCCCAGCTATGTAGCTGATGTGGCCGGCCAAAGTTTCCTGGCAATCTGGTGAGCACCAATTAATGCTGAGTGTGTTCGCATGGCGTGTGCAGGCAAGACCACGTTCATCAAGAACCTGCTGGCGCCGTACGCTCAGGACCCGGACGTGAAGGTCAACAACGTGGCGGGGCACGAGGCGCTCAAGACATTCATCGAGACACCTGAGAAGCTGTCCACCACAGTCCTGGTCAACGACCACAACTCCCTCACCTCCTTCCACTACCGCGTGCAAGAAACGCCGGGTGAGCTTTTTCTGTCCATGCTAATGAACATGAGAGTTCTGAACTTACTTGTTCTGTTGCATGCTCTCAATTTGATATTTCTCAAGCCATGCAAATGCCATGCAGTAATTGTGCTTTTAGTGAAGCTCTGAACATCGTGTGTGATATTTGCTGGTATGCAGCTGTATGTGCGTTTGTCACACTTGGGAGGCCCATTATTCCAATGAAGGCACGTGATTGCACCAATTCCGGCAAGCTGCATGCGCGGACATCCTCTGCACAGTGGGTTACTATTACAGAACGGAACCCTCCCCACATGTGGTAACAGCATAGCCAATAAAAGGGATATCACTGTTACTTCCCGTTGTAAGCAATCGCTGTTGCAGGCTACAACACGCTGGAGGAGTGCCGGGAGCCCATCCTGGAGTACATCAAGCGCCAGAACAGCGAGCACATCGACCGTGAGCAGGACGCCAAACGTGCCAACCCGCTCACCAAGTTCACCGACTCGCGCGTCGATGTGGCCCTGTTCTTCATCGCCCCCCACCGGCTGCGCCCCATCGACATCGATTTCATGGCCCAGCTGGCCGATCTTGTGCCTGTGGTAAGCGCGCTGTTCCCTCTAGCAATATCCCCTTGAATGATATTCCCCTCCAGCTTATGAGGGTGTGAGGGGCGCGACGTATAATGCCTTGCCTCCCTGCGAATTAGAACCTGCCTTATAAAGGGGGGTACTGCTTCGCCTTCCATTGCTCGCATGCTTGTTTGTCTCAATACATCAAGAACTCTGCTCAAGAGGCAGTCTGTTGAGACACACCAGGTTGCGTCGGCGGAAGTTGATTTGTGCACTTCAATCAAAAATGTGAGGGTTTTATGGTGACTGCGCATGCCGTGTGGTGGATTGTTTGCGAGTCTTAGGAGCTTCTTTCTGCACTGCAGGTGCCGGTGTTGGCCAAGGCTGACAGCATGACTGTGGAGGAACTGCGCGACTTCAGGCGCCACGTCCAAGAGCAGCTGGCACACGTAAGCTACCCTTTGTGCTACACCCATCCCTGACACATGGAAAGGAACATGATGTCTCAAGATGATATGTGGCTGGCAGCTGTTTAGTACGCCCAATCTGGAGGAGCACCTGAGCATTTGGGACCACCATTGTTATGCCCTGCCCAATATCCAAACCGAGCTGCAAATACTGGGGCTGGGGAGCTCAAAACAACGGCAGATTCACAAAGAGATGTAAAATTGAGACTAGAAATTTTTCAAGCAAGTGGCTACGTGCGGACCCTTCTAGTTGTGCACAGAAATGCTTGGAATGCAAAGTAATCAAAGGAAAATAGAGAGCTGCAGCACGTGCTGAGGGGGGAGTTGTGTTGTGAGCAGGCTGGGAAGAAGCACAAGAAGGATCTGCTACACGCGTTCTCTGAGGAGGCCCTGGACGCTGCCGGCGCCCGCCGCGATGCGCCGCCCTTCGCCGTTGTGGCTTCCACCACCATGGACCTGTCAGTCGGCCGGTGAGAGATCATTCTTCGTCACCGTTGCTCTTGCCACACAAAGCCACAATATTTCTGCCGTACAAATCCAGGGCAGATGCATTGTATGGGGACATTGCCTACTTCTTGTGGGTCTAGTGATGACATATCGTGCCCAGGACACTCCTGTTGCTTTCCTTGGGAATGATTAAGCCATGCGGTACTGAACACAACAGATAAGGGGTTCTCTACAGTGCTCTCTCACACGATGTGATGAGGGCTGATCAGGCGTAACTTAAGGAAGGGTGGCTGATGTAATGATGCATTTCTTGGCAGGTTCTGGCCGGTGAGAAAGTATCCGTGGGGCACGTGCGAGGCGCTGTCGAGTGTGCACTCGGACGTGGGCGCCCTCAAGCGGCTGCTCTTTGAGGAGGGCTATGAGGAGCTGAAGGCGGCCACAGAGGATCGCTACTACCACTACCGCTCCCAGCAACTGCTCAACCTGGACGACCCCTCCCTGTGAGCATCTCTGAACTTCCTTTTGCCATGTTGATATTGATCTGCTTTCTTGCCGATGAACACAAGCGCAATAGATGGATCAGGGCCTTGACACAAGCTGTGGTGCCCTGCTGTCCAGCATTGCTGGATGCCGGATTTGTGCAAAACTCGTGGGTGTCCTGCAAGCTTTCTGTCCTGAACACAATCTGAATGATTTCCTGTAGATCATCCACAAATTCGGCTCAAATCAGGCATTGCGTTTAGATGCGCTGTGATTGTGTTTTGCCAGGGAAATCTACACAACAGTCCTAGAATTTGCAATCAATCCCCCTTGCAAGTGTGGCACAGCTTGCTGGCAGGCAGAGTATTCAAGGCATTAAAATACTTATGTGTTTCGTGCATTGTAGGCCGGTGCGGCGCGGTACGCTGGCGGAGCACCTGTACCGGGCGGTGGCCAAGCCCAAGAGCGGCGAGCAGCAGCGCATCCGCAAAGCCATCGGCAAGGGGCTCAAGTACGCCGTCGGCGGCGCCGTGTTCTACTTCGGAGTTGCGCTCGTTCTCGGCGGCAAGGCGCGCGTGCGCGAGGACCTTGAGAAGCTGCAGGTGCGTCGACATTCCCTCCCGCACTGCAGTACCCGAGCGCCTTCCTTTACAGCATGAAATGCCTAGCATTCCTTATACTGTGGTGGAATGAGGACAGTGCACATGTTTGCCGGGTACCCTGCTGCACCCAGCAGCGCCGCCTTTGTGGACCTGAGGGGGGATTTTTGCCTGTTAATGTGGATTCTAGCTCCCTGCCTGTAAGATGATATCTACAATGATCAGATTGAAGGCCAGAATGAAGCCATTCTGGCAAAGAAGGCTAGGCAGTTTTCTTGCCTTTGTCCTGACCACCATAAAGATGGAACCAAAGTAGAGGGTTGCAAGCCATCTCGCTTCAAGCTGCCATTGCATACCTGTTGGGCAGCGCAAATCCTTGTTTGAGGCAAACCTTGCTTCTTGAGTTTGGTGCAAGCCACACACATATAACTCTGCATGATGTGCTGGTGAAGATCAGCGGCAGAATTCACTACGGAAGCATCAAGGAAATGTCACGTGCTGCCAACAGGAGAAGGGCGGGGAGGCAGCGCAGTGGACGGCGAACAGGGCCGGCGAGGCGGGCGGCGTGATTGCTGACAAGGCGGGCGATGTCGGCGGTGTCATTGCTGACAAGGCTGATTACGTGGCGGAGGTCACAAAGGAGAAGGTGGTTGATGCGAGCGTCACTGCCAAGGACTTCACCGTGCGCAAGGGCAAGGAGGTCGGCAGCGCTGCGGCTGAGAAGGCCGGCCAGGTCTGTCCTGCCCTGATTCTAAAATATATTCTCTGGAAGGGGCATAACGAGTTGCTTGTGGTGGAGCACAATGTGTCTAGTATTTACTCCCGGGAGATTTCTTGTTGAAACAAGCATGCCCTGGAGTGGACCTGTGAAATTCCAATCCAATAGTTTTGTAGCGTCAGCAAGGACAGCAGCAGACGGTATGCAGCTGAGCTGCACACGTGCGAGTGATCAGCAAATGCTATTAAGTCCAGAGAGACGGCCTGCAGGAACATTCCCCCCATTAAGGGTTGTTCTGGAAGGCAATACATCATTGTCTCCTGGTTATATGGGAGGGCTCGGGCAGTATTATGTTGGTCCATGTTGTGCCTGAAAAGATAGGGGTAATTAAAGTATTGTTAGTTCCCCTTTGAAATGTTTGGTGCATGTGCAGGTGAAGGAGGCAGTGCAGGAGAAGCTGATGAGCGAGGAAGAGCTGGAGGCCAAGCGCAGGGAAGAAGCCAAGAAGAAGCGCTGGGGACCTTTTGGAATCTTCCCAGGTGGCAAATAGGGCACTGTCAGAGATATCGAGAGGTGTTGCGCTACTGTTCATATTGAAGAAACTCACGCCAGAGTCAAGTTTGAGCAGGCAGCTGCCATCCAGAAAATATGGTGAAGAAGTTTGAGGGGAGTGAGATTATCAAAGGCTTTTGAGAGTTAGTCAGAATATCCCCTGAATTTTGCAGCCAGGAGATCTTGAATTCCTTTGTTGATACCATCATCAGCCTGAAGAGTGGGTTCACTACTAGTTGGCCCACGATGGCATTATATTTACTTTTCTTATTTGCAGATGCGTAAGTTATATGGCCAATTTATAGCACAGACCATAGCCTAGAATCATGTTAACACTCAGTGGACTGACTGGCAGTACTGGTGGACACTAGTGGACTCAGCAAACCCACCAGCCAAACCTCTTCCTTTGCTCTGGACAGATGCTAGTTCTGCAGCATTGGAACCCTTGACACAAAAACTTCCATTTCACAAAGTGCTGACATGCTAGTGCTTCAAGGGTGCCGGGTGCCCTGCATGGAAATATTCTCTAATCCTCTCGTACCAATCTCCGCCGTGTGTCACAAAGGTTCTCCGGTCCTTGTTGTACAGCGCATAGCGCAGGGTCTGCAGAACAAAGGGGATCTGTTACTAAGCAGAATTTCTGGAGCCTGCTAACTATTCAGGACATCAGCGGCGATGCATTCATTCAGCTTTTCATACAGCTGGCTCAGAAGATAATCAAGAGGCTGCAGGCATGTCCTACAAAGCGCATTTGCATGTGTTTCTTTTCAAAGGAAAAATTACTCATAAGTGCTGCACAATGCACGTGCATGTGCTTTCTTTTACAGTGAGTGTACCTCTATCAAAGGCGACAAGCCGGATTTGGTCGTGCCGATGAAATAGTCAGTGTGCGCCAGGAGCTCCAGGTCAAAGAGCAGATTTCGCGTCAGCAGGCAGTGCGCCTGTGGGCTGCCATGGGACACATTTGCAGGGTCCCCCACCTGTGGAAATTACCACAAACCATCAAAGTCAAAAAAGTTGATGAGTCAGCCAACAAATGCACAGAGTAACTGCCTGCCACAGTAGCATGCAATGGATGCTCTACAGAGGTCCTTAGTCAGCACAGCAAACAGAGTCAGAGGAGATATTGAATTAGCCAACAGACGCACAGAGTGATTGTCCGCCCCAACAGCATGCAATGGATGTTCTAAAGACATCTGTTGTGAAACAAGCCTGACGCTGCACAGACCCACAGAATACCAGCAAGATGGTGATCCGGTCCACAGATGCCCAAAGAACGTTGTGCCACTGCAGCATACAAGGGATGCTGCAGTGTTCGATGGCTTTTCAGTGGTGTGGCCAGGACTTGCCTGGTGATGCACGGCAGTCCTGTTGAAAGTTTTGCAGCCGATTTGTTGGGCAGCCAGGGCTGCTGTCTCAGCATTCATTGCCTCGTCCCCTCCAGCAATGATGCATGTGCCATTCTGCGGAGCAAGCTCTGCACTTCAGAGGCACTGCAGGTACTCTGAAGCAGGGTGATCTGCTGGTGAGGGGCAAGAACAAGCCAATTATGGTAACCAGCAAGGCGACTCACCTTCACATGGGGAAATGTCTTCACAAACAAGCTGACATATTCCTGCGCCGAAAGAGCCAAATGCTTCTGCAGAGCAAGAAAACCATCAGTGACACTTCATTTGATGCTTTGAAGAAGGCCCAAGAGAGCTGGTCAGGCAGTATTGGCATCACAGTAGGCATTCAAACTTTGATTTTCAAGGCACCTGAACAGGCGTGTTGCCATGGGCCTTGACATGTATAGCAATGGTCGGCTTGTCTGCCGCCTCCAGGCTGCGCAACACATGCAGCAGCTGCGTTTTCATGCGCGGCTGATACTTCCATATCTGACAGCACACACAAACTTTTCAACATAGCAAAGTTGAAAAGTTGCTTGATCTTGCTGCACATCCAGGTATGCCCGTTCTGCACCTGGATATGTGCGCTGTTGGCATCGCCATTGTCCAATGGCTCAAAAGGACATTGCAAAGCATCCCTGCTGAGTGTGCAAGATGATTTTCCAGGCGATCTAGATGTGAGATGAACTGCAAACTTACCCGCTTGAGGCTGATCTCCAGCAGCTCGGTCCATCCCAGACCAGCTTCGAGCACCACTGCATCTATATTCCCCAGGAAGTACTTCGCGCAAGCCTCGCCCTCAGCTGCCTCCTTCTCGGCAGACCACGGCACTGCATTGGACAGAAGCATTCACGTGGAAGTAAGTATCGCAGAAAGCATTATCCAATATCGAAACAGGGTGAGGTCTGTTTGTACCCACCTGCATGAGAGCCCAAGTCAAAGAAGTCCTGCCACCCGCCATCGGCATGGCATTTGTGAGTGGAGGCGGTGAAGTCGAGAAACACGGTGCCATTAGCACCTTCGAAGATTGGCAGCGCGTGCATCAGACGCACAGCGTTGGCTGAGAAAGAATGGTTGGTGAACTGCAGGACCGTACAGCACTGTGCGAACGCCAGCGACGCCACGGCCACTAGCAATGTCAGCAATTGCTTCGAGAAGCACTTCATTACTGTGCTGCTTGATCATACCCAGGTAATTAGATCATTTCACTGCAAAGCAAAAGCAAGGTGTCCGTCTAAGTTCCCATCATACGAGTGGACCCCAGGAAGATGGCTGGGTGCAACGATGGATCTTTAGTACGGACTACGAATACGAGTATAATTGAACAACCCAATACAATGACTGGTGCTAATTCCAACACTTGGGCTTCAACCTGTACTAGAACCGAAGAGATCACGTGTTCTGCAGGAAATTGTCCATTGGTTCTCACGATCGCGACAACACTCGATCTCTATATTCAGGGTTCGGTCAAAGGATCAATTTCTTTATCGGTGAGCAATTAAGCAAACAGGTTCCGAAACAACTCAGCAAAGTTACGGAACGATCAAAAGGGTCGATTCACTCGGCTGCAGCGCACCCTTCTGCACGTTGCCCAAAAAGATCATCAGGGACGGGTCATGCATCCAACGTGAAAGCCCTTTGAGCAGCACAACACGTAATTACAGTGTTGATCCTTTTAGCAGAATCCCTGGTGCATCACGAGGAGGTACTGCAACTTTTCTATAATAGGCGCCCCATTCTGATCTGGACTTGCTGTTGGGTCTGTCGTGCCAACAAAACATTGGGAGAGCATCTCGCTCTTGGATATCATCTGTGGCATAAGAAGCTTCTTTGCGGCACATCAACATAGAAACTCAGGAGGAAGCAGTAAAAGTTGCCCTAAGGCTTTTAGTGCCCATTAAGCGCGCAGTCAAGAGCCCGCGGTTTTCATAAGGTTGTGTCGGCGGAGATCATCGTTGCGTGTTGCCGTATCTCGAGGTCGAGGCGGGCATATGAGTGGTCTCGGCCCTGATATAGCCTTGCCAGCTTTTGCAATATATAGCTGCTGAATACAGCCAAAGGTTGCACTTCTTGACGAGGGTACGAAATGGCAAACATCCTTAAGAAGGTGCTGCATAATACCAGCAGCAAGTCCCCCCAGGATATGGTGCTGAGGGCAGCGCAGACAACTGAGAAGTTGACGGACACAGCAACTGAAAGACAGCAGGAGGAGCTTGCCAGATACCTCTCACAGATGAAGGTGCTTGGCTTACCTCGGTCTTTGTGTCCTCTGTGTAGTGCGTACCACTGTTTGCTCGCAACCTTGAAGATCCGTAAGCAAGCTGGAGTGTTGGGCAATTCCGACAGACCGGTGAATGTGGTATCAATCGCAGCAAATACTGTTTTAGAGCAAGGCATTGTGCACATGAGGATACGTGCAATAACAGGCGGCCATGTATGGGGATGGGGAGATTGAGCCTTCAAAGGAGACTGCGGTGCTGCTTTGCTGGGAGGCATGCAAGGTTGGGCTGCCATTGGTGCTGGCCCAGAAGCTGTCCCTGCTGGACTTTGAGACCCGCAAAGATGCTGCCCAGGCATGCACTCTTCCTACTGTCATAATGTCCACGCCTTCTGCATATGTTGGACAAACACTTGTCCTGCGAATGCTGCTCATTGCTTTATCATCAAATTGTTGTCCCTTGAATTGTTGTCACCGCCACATATGCATTTTGGGCCTTGAATGAGTGACGATGGCTGCATGCATGGTGCAGGTGTGTGGGTGCATCTTCCGCATGGACAGCAATGCTGATGGCCCAGGAGTGAGATTCGTGCATGAGCACCCTCACATCCTGGAAATCCTGTTTCAGGGGTGCGCCACTGACTGAGACAATTGATTCTTTTTCTTTTCCTGTAGGAGCTACTCTGATGACATTCCTGAAGCCGTATGTAATCTTCTGAGTGTTTGCAGAGATCACGTGCATGCATCACTGACAAAATGTGTGTTTGTTTGTTGTGCAGCTATGACAATCCTTCCATCGCCCTGAACTGCGGCAGCATGCTGAGGGACTGCGTACGAGATGAGAGCCTGGCAAGGTGAGAACTCTTTGTAACAATTACCCAGCAGACTTTTGGCTGCCACATCAGCTACTGGCCTGTTACACCACATGGTACCTGCTTTTCTCAAAGTGGCTTCCTGTGAGGGCGGATGCGCGCTTCATGCTGGGCTTTGTCATTGGCAGGATGGTATTGGAGGGTCCGCTTTTCCAGGAGTACTTCAAGAAGGTGGAGGTGTCCAATTTTGAGGTGGCCTCAGATGCATTCCAGACCTTTAAAGACCTGCTCACTCGCCATGAGCCCCTGGTGGCCAGCTACCTGCAGGGTCACTACCAGGAGGTGGGTTTGGTCTGCATGCACGTATTGAACTAATGAGGCCGAGGCTGTCATGGTCGGGGTTTAGTACAAGAGCCTGTTGCTAATCTTGGTGTTCCTCTGTGTTGATCTCATGCTGCTGCATTTCTCCAAAAAATACATTGCTTACTTGGGGGATTATGCTGTGCAGTTCTTTGGCGCCTATGTGAACCTCCTCCAGTCTTCAAACTATGTCACACGGCGGCAGTCCCTCAAGGTGCGCACATGTTTTCTGGCCTTTTTATGATGCTTGTGTTCGTATGTATCACTTGAACATCCGTGCTATAATTCAGCCCTGACTTCAAGCCTTGTCATTTCAGTGCCACAGCTTGCAGAGGCCATCTTTGTCCACATGAAGACACGACATAGAATGGGACACTGCCTGAGTGGCAGTCAAGCTCTGACAATATAAAACAACAATCTGTGTGCTGCAGCTGCTGGGAGAGCTGCTGCTGAACAGGGCGAATGTGAAGGTGATGATGCGCTATGTCAGCGACGTCAACAACCTGAAGCTCATGATGATCCTGCTCAAGGACAACTCCCGGTCCATCCAGTTCGAGGCGTTCCATGTCTTCAAGGTATGAATTACAATGATCTGCAATTATGCCGTGCATATGGGGACAACTCGATGCAGCATGCAAATTGTGGCAACTGCGGCGTTTGATCCTTCTCCTCTGTGTTGCTGAAAGTCAGGGCTTTGCTGTAGGTGTTTGTGGCCAACCCCAACAAGACAAAGGAGATTGTCGAGGTGCTGTCTACCAACAAGGAAAAGCTGCTCAAATACCTTGGCGACTTCCATACAGACAAAGGTATGCCCCTGAGCAGGATGTCACTTCTGTAGCTGTAATCACTTCTGTAGCTGCACAACTGCCACCTGACGGAAGCTTCCTCTCCGAATGGCAGGGATGGCTCATCAAAAAGCAGGATCCCGGTGCCAGCATGCAAAATGAAAATTGTGTGAGTATCGAATGGTGCCGCAAGATTCTGATCCGGCAGAGACCAAAGCGTGTATCTTGTTGTGGCGCAGAGGATGAGCAGTTCAAAGAGGAGAAGGCGGTCATCATCAAGGAGATATCCATGCTGCAGAGTCAGCAGGATCTGGACCAGGAGGCAGGCGATGAGCCAATGTAGCTAGCCACTGAAGGTTCAGGATCCTATTGACACGGTCCTGGTACTGAGCCCTCTTGTGTGCATGGACCCTCTGCATTATTGATAGTGCACTTGGTCTAATTTGGTAGTGCTGCAAACACCTTGTCTGGTAGGTAGGAGCGTCTCTATAAATTACTCAGAGGTAGTGTTGCACCCGTCAGGCTCAGGACCCCTGATGGTATCTCTCTGCCCTTGGGATGTGTTTGTACATGTTGCTCAGGCAGGTGTTGCTCAGGCAGATTGTGTCTTTTCTAGAGCTGGGCATGCCAAGGCAGTTTTGAGATAGCCAGCAAGTTGCAATAAGTTGTGCTTGTGAGCAGAGTTGTGCGGGTTGAGCAACCAAGGGTTCTTGGCACGATTGGCCCATCACAACCGCTGTATTTCTGGATTGGAAACGTTGATCAAGAGGGAATGAATACTTTTAAGATGCATCAATCATATTTGTAGCGTTCTAATTTGATGCGTCCACCTGGAGGTGTATACCAAAGCCCCAGTTTGTAACACCCTAGGGCAAAGACGCTGCGCTCAACAGCACAGGACTGCTTTGACTGCAGTCAGAGTGACTGGCCAGTAAACCGGGTCCCACTTCATGTTCGCACCAGCTGCGGCAGCACCAGGACCTGGTCTGGCCCCGAAATGCAACTTACTAAATCCTCCTAACGGACCACTGAATCTCAAACTAGAAACAGGGCATACTTGGAGCCGACCAAGACACCCGAGGCTTGGCACCTTGCACGTGCAAGCAACGTATTTTGCACGTGTGCTACGATCTTTCCATCTTGCCTTGATTCTTGCAGCGAAGAATATTTCACCAAAGTAACTTCATTATTGCCAAGCTATGCAGACTCTGCAACGATTTGGATCGCTTGGTAGAGCTTCAGCCCGTTTGGAATTCCGAGCAGAGTTGGGTAGCACAAGACAACTTTCCTCGTCCCTTGTAAACGATCATCGAACGGATCAAGAAACCTTGTACGACATTCTTGGAGTTCCGCGCACATCAAGCATCTTGAGTATCAAGGCGGCTTTCCGAAAGGTTAGATTGATCACGTCAGTCAACTTGCCAACTCGCTATTGCTTTGATATCGATTCTGTCTTTCTCGTGCAATAATAATATACGAAGGGATCGATGATTAGTCTTCATCGCAATGTCTACTTGTGCGTTAGTCCTGATGCACAGATTTTCAATATAATGCATGCAGAAAGCCAAGGAGCTGCACCCGGACGTTCAGGACCCAAATATCATAGACGATGACAAGTCTGCATTCTTACGCATTCTGACAGCTTACAAGGCGAGTTCATCATGCGTCTGTCCAGATAAGCTTGCCATCTGCATTGTTATCTTCTCAGTAACTATTTTTGGTACAGAATTTATCAGACACACATTCCATGTTACAGGTACTGTCAGATGAACGGGAAAGGCAAATGTACGATCTGTCTCTGGACTCGAGGGCCAGTCGTATACTCAAGGAAGCAACCAGAGGCTCCGATACTATCAGGTAGGTTGTGCACGCTCGCCTAAAAGTGAGGGTCATCATTTAAGAAGCATCCATTGAGTGATAAAGACTGCATCAGGAGCGAGGAGGAAGGGGAGTGGGTGCAAGGAGGCGGCTGGAGAGCATGGGTAGCCAGAACGGTGCGCGCCGAAGACATAGCAAACCCCAGAAATGAGGTTGACAGGCTTCGCGCCGAGCTCCGTGGAGACTTCAGATCAGCGCTGCGCCACGCTTATCTCGGCCCCAAGTGAGCCTTTCCCCTCATAAAGTATTTGCAGTAAAGATAATCCTTACAATGCTTGCATCTTGTGCTTGATTGAAGTATTTGCACTACCGCCATATATAACGCTGTAGGCCCCGGTTGGCGAGGGCCGGTATAAATACTGAGCACCGTGTCCATGCTTGCTTGGGTCTTGTTTGGATCTGGCGAGTCCAATAAGGGGTTGAAATTTGGCAGCCTTTATGGGCAGGTCGTCTGCACACGCACCTTGCCTCTTGGCAGGGAACAGCGTGCATCAGTAATATAAATGATGATGTAGGCTGCATGGCCACTGTGAACACCGCGTGATGGAGTGTGTGGGTGTGGTCAGGCTGAGCCTTGGCAGAGGGGAACTGCCAGAGGCGTTTGAGGCAGAAGAGCGCACAGTTCCCGGCCTGGGAGATCTGCTGCACCTCGTCAGCGGCCGCACGCTGATTGGCGTTGTGCGGGAGCGCAGCACCGACCGCCTCAATGACAGCGCCAGCAGCGTGCATGCACACCTTCAAGCCGCGCAGGAGCAGCGGCTCAAAGCGATCGCCAACGCATCTTCATCCCTGCCAGGACAGCACAGCAGTAGCATCGTCAGTAGAGGCGGCGGTGGCGGCGACGGCGGCAGCAGCAGCAGCATAGGCTGCGGCAGTTCTGATGGAGAGTATGGGTCCTCTGAGAAGGCAGGCTGGGGGAGCTTGGCATCAGATGCGTCAGGTGCTGGGTGCTGCGAGGATGACAGGAAGGGGCGGTTTGCAGAAGAGGATGGCCAGTCTGGCAGCGACAGCTATGATGCAGGCACGGATGTCAGGTGGCAGGACAGTGTGCAGGGGGAACAAAGGGACGGGCCTGCACCGCAGATACTGGATCTCATAGTGCAGGACGAGCTCGTTGCTGTTGCAGTCAGGCAGCGAGGATCAAGTGCATGCAGCATGTCAAGCAGTCAGCAAGCAGCAGACATGAAAAGGGAATCAGGTCAGTACACAGAGAAAGGCAAGATTGCCGAAGATAGTATCAGCATGTACACTGCGGAAGGGCAGCTGCTGTGCATGCTGGATGCTTGGCAGCTGCGCGGCGGCTGCCTGGATGCCAGGGTGAACTTCAGAGTCATCCGCTCTGCCACTCCGTTGGTCCGCCACTTGCACTTCGTGGCCGAGACAGGTGTGGCTTGATGCTTGATACTTTCACGCATTCTCAGTGAACACATCATCGGTGGGCATGCTGACTGGATGTGAAATGGCGGCAAATCATTGTTGTGCTGGCAGGAGGGAAAAGGACGGTGGTGTGCCGCTGCAAGAGGGCATGGATGCCTCCGGCGGCCACATGGCTGTTCCCTCCCAGGTCCCCTCTGCACGCGACTGGCGGATACTATTTTGAATGGCCCGGACACCACTCGAAGCATATGCAGAATCCCATGTACGTTTAACCACTTTCTTTTGACAATGGCGCGTTAATAGGGCTGTGACTCTGTATTTATTCTTTATGGTAACAGAGCCTGTATTCCTTATTGTACAGCACCATAGCAGCGCCTAATGATTCACTGACGGGTGCTCTTCTCATGCAACAGGTGGCTGCACCCTGCCATATTTGTCCTGGCAGCTGCTTTCGACAGCCTGGAGCACGAAGCATCCAGGCAGGGCAGCAATATTGGAGCAGCACCACAACATGAAGAGCGCATCCAATGGAGCGATGTCCAGCAAGAACCACACCCGGGTTTGCGGGGTGCAAAGTCTTGGGCGAGGAATTTTCTCAGGTTCCACGGGTGGGCTCGGAAATGAACAGGACTTCAACATGATATTTTTCGAAGGACAAAAAAAAGAAAGTATTGCTGTAGACATCTTCAAACCAGGGAGAATGCAGGTACTTGAGCGTGTTTGCATGCATTTTTTGCATGCCAGGCATTGGGCTTAAATTGGCTCCAATGATCTCCACACTGCTCAAGCACTGCTGATTGGCAGAAGAAAATGAAATTGCAATTGCTGCTGGGATTCAATATCTTGTGAGAGTACGGAAATCTTATGATACGAGTCAACTTGGCAGAACAAGCTTAAGTTGTTCACTGTAAAGACATCGATCCTGAGCAGCCGTCCTCACAACATGTCTCAGCACACTTCACATTGACATTTAGCACAATTAGATCGAGCAGTATAACATGGAGATCGAGCAAGGCCTCCGAGCAGTGGAATTCTACAGTGGCATAGGAGGTCTGCATTACTGTTGTTGAAGTTGATGATCAGATAAATGTGAACTAGCAACTTTATTTGTATTCGTCAACAACGTTGAGATACTTTGCTCGAAGACTACGATTTTGCCACTAATGATAAAGTGCCCGATCGTTCTGCAGGCATGCACTATGGGCTCCAGCAGGCATGCCCCACAGCGCAGGTCGTGGCAGCTTTCGACCTGAATGGGGTTGCCAATGACGTCTACGAGCACAATTTTGGCTGGCGCCCCTGGCAAGGCAACCTGGAAGGTGTCTCCGCAAGTGTCCTGGACGGTTTTAATGCCCAGCTCTGGTTGATGGCACCACCCTGCCAACCCTTCACCAGAAGGGGGCTGCAGCAGGATGTTGCTGATCCGCGATCAGCCTCCTTCTTGAAATTGATCAGCATTTTGCCCAGCTTGCGGGTACGCGCGACTGCATGATCCACTGCTTGATCCTATGAGTCCTGACGTGCGAAGAGACCCGGATTGATGCAGTCTTTTGCTGGGAAATGTTCTTTTCCCGCAGATGCTGAACACTTCTGTGTGCTGATGCAGCGCAGCATCCCCCACAATACGTGATCGTGGAGAATGTCGTAGGCTTTGAGGCATCCAGCATGCGCAAGCAGCTGGCAGCAGGTCTCAGTGCTGCAGGATTGGATATGCAGGTGAGCAGTGATGCCATGCCTGACTTTGGCATGCGGCTCACTTGCTGGCAGGCGATCTCATCCCTTGGACTGCTGCTGCACACTTGTGCATGCGATCGTGCGTGGTAAATACTAATACTGTAAAACTGCCTTGGGACTCCAGGAGTTTCTGCTGAGCCCTCTGCAGCTGGGCATTCCCTATTCAAGGCCCCGGTACTATGCATTGGCGCGCCAAAGGACTCCCAGTGGCGCCTGCCCCTTCCCAACAGCCCCCTTGCCCGACGCCCAGCCGTTCTGCTGCCCAGCCAACTCACTGCTGCCACATGCAAGTAAAAGTGTGCCACCACCAGCCAGTGCTGAATGCAGCAGCACACAGAACAATGGAAACTGCTCAGCTGGAGAAAGCTCCTTGGGTGGAGATTTGACACCGCAAAGTGCCACGCAGAACAGCAGAGCAGAGGTCAGCAAGGCATTGTTGCCGATAGCAGCGTTCCTGGTAGAGCGGCCCAGCCCTGTGGACGGCGCCAATTCACTACAAGCAGGCAGCAACGCAAGTGATGCTGGGGACGGGGCGCTGGAATCTGAGGCAGATGGGCCGGTCAGCAATGCTGCTACAGAGGAATCTGAGGCACCGGAGGACTTCTTCTGGGTCCCTGACAACGTGATAGAGCAGTGGGGAGAGGTGCTGGACATTGTGGTGCCCTCCTCGCAGCGATGCAACTGCTTCACGAAGACTTACACCCGCTACACAAAGGTGTGTGCTTTAAGACATCGCCATAATTCACATAAATGCCCTTGTTGCCTTTCTTGGCCTCTGCCTTCCAGAGAATCAGTCCACATATACAGAGGCTATTGAAATTTTGCTGTTCCTTCCAGTACCTCTGACAGTGCTGTGTATTGTTGTGGTGCCCAAGGCATGTGTTTGATGGGTCCGCAGGGTTCCGGGTCACAATTGGCAACAAGGAGCTTGGATCTGGTGCGGCCGCGCCCGGGGCTCCACCCCGGCGACCTGACGTTGAGACCCGATGCAGACGCGGTTCACTTGGCGCGGCAGCGCATGGCTCACTCAGCGCACCAGGCGCCCCTTGACTCTCCTTCTCCTCCCACCAATGCCGATGGAGGTGTTAGCTCGGGTGAGAATACGCCACAGCATCGAGATGAGTTTTGCTTGGAATGTCAGGGATTGATGTCGCAGAGATCACATCACCATGGATCATAATCATCATGATGAGAATGTTGAGGCAGTCAATCACACCTCCTCGATCTTCCGCTGGGAAGGTGTGAAGCAAGGGCACAGGATGAGGCAAACAAAAGAATTAACTGGCCCTGCCATGCTGTGCAGGTGACGAGGCGCCAGCTGGCAGCCACGTCACGCGCTCCGGCCGGACGTCGACACGGCCGCGCGAGTTTGACGGGCTGAGCCGGGAGCAGCTGCGCGCTATGCGGCTGCGCTACTTCACTCCGCGGGAGATCGCCAACCTGCACTCCTTCCCGGCCGGCTTCTCCTTCCCCGCGCATGTCACCCTGCGCCAGCGCTACGCCCTGCTGGGCAACAGCCTCAGCGCGCTCGTCGTGGCGGACCTGCTGCGTTACCTCCTGCACTGACTGGACTCGTTGTCAGCAAGCTTTGAGCTGTGCATTATAGGCAAAGGGATAGGACTTTTCAATCGGTAACGATTGTTCAGCCAGTTAGGCTGCACTCGGGCTCAGAGCGATCTGCTGTGTGTGGGGCTAACCTTGCATGAATGTCCGTGTTGTCTTGACAAGACAAATTTTACGCATTCTGTGCTTTCCTCAAGGAGGAAAGAGGGACTGCTACAACTGCCTTGAAGTGGCTGCTATGCATGCAAACGAGCCTGAATAGGCCATGGAAGGTCTCCAAGAAGACAAGACCGCACAAGACGCAAGAGAATCGAGATCAAATTAGCCGGTTCACTTGTGTAAAATCGCATATCCTCTCCTGTCACAATTTAAGTCCTGTTACAAACGCCTTGAAGCTGTGAGTAATATCAGCATTCTCTCTGAGTAGCACTCCTGAAGTGTGAGTTATTCTCGTACTTGGGAGTTTAAATGACGAAAGTTGGCAATTACAACACTCTTGAAATACATATCAATGCTCAGAACGTCGCCACTCTCGAGCTTTCCCGTGGTGCCAAGTCTAATGCAGTCAACTCAGAGATGTGGGATGAACTTCCTCCGGTCTGTCCCATCCTGTCACGATCGTGTTCAGAAACCCCCCAATTATACAGCATATGCTGAGATGTATCACATTTCTCTAATCTCCCCCTTACTGACGCTTGAGCAGGCCCTGGAGCTCTTGGATAGAAGAGATGATCTGAGAGTGGTAAAGCAGCTGTTGGGACATTTGTTTTCGATCTACTGCGCAGTGTACTACCTCGAAACAAAAACACAGTTGCTCCAAGGTGTTTGGAGGATCAGAAGTATCTGAAAGGTTGTCTTCTACCCTCACAGGTCGTCTTGAAAGGCCATGGCAGGAACTTCTGTGCAGGCATCGACTTTTCTGCTCTGAAGGGGCTCTCTGCATCAGTAGATCTATCGTGTCCTGGAAGATCAAGGGAAGCCTTGAGGCGCAGCATTCTCAGATGGCAGGTTGTGGGCCACTTTTCTATGCTGCATGAACGCCGCACTGCTCATATCAGACACTCCCATAAGTGATTGCATGGCTCGGTTAATTTTAATTATTTTTTAGCTGCGGATGCCGTGACACAGGATTCCTTAACATCATTGGAAAAGTGCCGATGGCCAGTCATTGCAGCAGTCCAAGGTGCTCTCTCTGCCTGCAATATGCATGCAAAACAGATCATGTGGCCAATGTAATCAGATCCCAGGGCTTCATGTTGTTTGATTGTTTCTGCTGTTGGGCAGGGGCATGTGTGGGAGCTGGCGTTGACATGATCACTGCAGCAGACATCCGGTACTGCTCGGCGGATGCCACATTTTGCGTGAAGGAGGTGGACCTGGCCATCGTTGCTGACATGGGCACGCTGCAGCGCTTGCCTGGCATTGTTGGCGAAGGTCAGCCTCGTGCCAAGAACTCCCCCGCTCTCCTGCTGAACGGCATGTGTGAATGTTGCACATGCTTGATGTGAAGAGCACAGGAACTGGGCAGAGATCAGCCTGGAAGCAAGGAGTCTCTCACTATCTCAACACACACTCCAGAGCAGCATGCCTGGGTTGACGCAGAGAACACAGGAGCACTGTTAGAACTGGAACAGGACTGCTTCATTGGGCACCTGTTGAGCCGGCTCTTAGCAAAGTTTCCTGCATGGCACAGGCGTTGCGAGGGAGCTGGCATTGACGGCAAGGATCATAAGCGCTGAGGAGGCGAAGAGAGTTGGGCTTGTAACGGAGGTGTTTCCTGATGTGGCAGCCCTGTATGCTGCAGTGGACCGGATTGCTGCCACCATGGCTGCCAAGTCGCCCCTGGCCATCACTGGCACCAAGCGCGTCATGCTGCACAGCAGGTCGGTGTTTAACATGACTATACATCACGCTGTAGCAGTAGCATGTTAATGGAGGTCCCAACATCCTTGCAATGTGTTATAAGCACTTGGTCTGTGACCGCTGCGTAGCCTAAGATGCAGATGCCATACCTGCCTGTTCCATGAGATATCTGCATGTCTGTTCAATGGCACAGGGTGCACCGATCATCAAGGGATTAGGTCCAGATCTTTTTAATACAGCATACACAAATTAACCAACACTACTAAAGGCTTGTTTGCAACGGTGGCGCAGGGATATGACGGTTAGCAATGGTCTGGATTATGTGGCGACTTGGAACAGCGCGCAAATGCTCTCAGAGGACATTCAGACAGTCATTGAGTCGCTGGCAAGAAAGTCCAAGCAGCTTCCTCCCTTCTCGAAACTCTGAGGGGACTGTACAACATGTATGTATTAGGGATGCGGTTGGAAGGTAAAGGGTACAGAGTCTGTACAAGAGGCCTCATGCCAATGCATATGAATGCTGTTACAAAAGGGTGCAGACACTTGCCATGTACAGTAGGGCGCTTATTTTGCGCCCGCGTCAAATGGGAAGCATGACATCATGCTCTCAATGGAAATGTCTCGTTTCGTCAATTGCATAACTGGACCCACACACAAAATTTGGACTTCATTCTTGCTCACCTCTTGCTTCAAATAAGGCTAGCACGTCAAAAAGATCCTGACAGGTATTTTGGAAGCATTTGGACAAGACCACCTCCGTACATCTGTAAGCACCTTGTTATAGGTTTTAAAGTAGCCTCGCCATATCAGAAGCCCACTTCACTTGATAGCTCTGTCACTCTCTCCCATCACTGTCTCAACATCTCTCATCATGCCTGGTTGAGCGCCCACTCCTCACTCCATTCTTACTTGTTCCTGCTCTACTCTTGGCTGCGCATGGCTGGCGCCTCCTGCCCTCTGGACTCCTCATTTGTTCCCTGACCCGCAGGTGTCCTGAAAGGGGAAGGCTGCGCCGCCCTGACGCTGCATGTTGCATCCACCACAATTGCCAGCGCAAAACTGTTCTCGCTCGGCTGCACCACTCCCACAAACTTCTTTCCGGCACCCTGCAATGGCATGCACCTGTTGTCAGAGGCTGCCTAGTCCTGCGCTGTCTTTGATGGTACATTCTTGCGTGGATTACCAAGGTGAATTGCATATGGACTTCACCGTATACTGCTGCCTTTGTGCCTGAGCGGAAGCTGGCGTGGCACTTTCCCTGCAGAGCCACACAGCAAACACCATCAGCAAAATCCCATCAACACATTGCTTGCCGTATAATGTGCAAGAATGTGCCAGAACAGCGGGGGTGCTGTGTCTGACTGACCTGTGCTCCCCCTGGCCAGCAATGCCTTCGGCAGCAAGCATCATCTCTGCGCCGCTGGCTGTGGCCCAGTCCATGAATTGCGCCCAGTTGACCCACAGCGTCACAATCACCCCAATCACAATCTGCGCAGTCACCCCATCTCTGAAACAATCTATTGCACAATGCACACCCCTTTTCTCAAGGATCACCTTCTTGAACATCTACGCAGCTCAGAGTGAAGCTCTGCCTCACTCCAGGAATCCAAAGCAAAGAGTCCTGCAATGGAGCTGACATGAAGTGACATCGCACCTCGAGTATGAGGATGCAGCCTGCCAAGATGACGGTGATGCAACCAGAGAAGGGCGCAGTTGCGCAGTTGGCCCTCTGAGTGCAGAGGATCAGATTGATCACCGCCAGGAACACTTGCACTGCGGAGGTCTGCAGAAACACAGCAGGACATTAGCCTCCTGAGAAACTCGCATGCCCTGTGATGTTACTAAGGAACTGGCGCAAAAGATAGCTACATAATGGTTAGGAGCAAAGATGCGGAACTGATCATAGCAGCAGAGTCGATTGGTGGTGTGAAACCATACCGTAATGGAGATGAAATGGTTTTTGAAAAGAAGTGCCACGATCTCAATGAAGCGGTTCAGTACGAGGGGGAGCATAGGCCATATGGGTGAGTTCCATGCAGGGCCACGCCACTGCTGCACGCTGAAAGCGCCCACTGCAATCACAGTCACCTGAAACACACCAACAGCCTCTTCTTGAGCACTCTGATCTTTGCTACCTGCACAGGTGACAAAAGGTCTTTGGTGTGCACTCACAGCAGTCAAACCTGACAGGGTGAGATGTTAGCTAACGATGGACCAAATTGGACTTCAACTCGAAATTTGGATTAAAACACGCTAACGGTCACTGCCCCCCCCAAACATATATTGGAGCTGTGCTTGAAGTTGGAGGTGAAGGTGGGGACTGGTGATGTTATCGTCCCCAACTCAATGTTATGATGTAAACGTGATCAGGTGTTTTGAAAGAAATCAGTGGTGAAGTGTGTGAAAAGAGCACTGGGATCTACAGATTTCACTCATTCAACAGCTTAAAGAAGCCAGTGCCCCACCAGGTCGACGGCACACAGGGTGAGAAAGGCTCGTCGCAATCGTACACCCCGTGCTGCGAATAAAGGGACATCATTGTGACTAGCGCTGGCCTCCCTCTGAGCGCGCTGCCGTTCCTGATCGCTGAACGCTTCGACATCTCTTCCCTCATCGTGCCTAGAGTTCATCGTGAGAATCTCTATGTTATCACCTGGACGTCTTTGTGAGTGCTTCTTAGGAAGCGTTGACAGGTGATAGCTTTTCTATTGGAAGGAACCTCGGCGAATGCCTCGCTCTCAGAAGGGAAGAGGGAAGGTGATCAGAACCTTTTCCTGGCAATTTGAAAACCGAGATCGTCCTAATTAGGCGCATGATAGGACAGCATCTACTCAATGAAGACCCTTCCTGGAGGGGCCTTCCATGTCATTGGTGCAAGCTACCATTCGTTATGCCAACCGGGGTTCACAAAGAAGCAGACATCAAAGGTACCAGTTCCTGAGCGGCCTGTGTGCAGATGAACTATGCTGCACCAGTATACTACGCTGTAGTACATGCGGTCACATATTTTTACAGTCCACTCAGTGACTGTCAATGTACTGTACATGTACAGTGGCGTTACATCAGTACTGTGACAGGCTGTCTGATGAGTCATCAGTGATGACAAGTGCATTGCATGAAAGAACTTCAACGACTCGGACACCTCATGACTCATATGAGTCACAGACATCACACTAGGCGGTGGACCAGCTCCCTCCCCTCTCGTCTTCTCACAATGTTCTCGACCAGCAGGGCAGCATACGCGTCAATGACATCATGCGTGCACACGCCGGTGTGCGGCGTGGCTTGTACATTGGGATGCTGGTACAGCGGATCATTGGGATCAGCGGGCTCCTCCCAGTGCACGTCCAGCCCTGCCCCTCCCAGCTTGCCACTCTCCAAGGCATCCAGCAGCGCCTGTGCCCATGAAAACACATTTAGACACCTCACTTCAAACGTTGTTTGGACATTGAGGTTTGCACCTTGACTCTTGTTTTACATTCCTCAATATCCCAATCAAAACCTTCCAGACTTTAAGCCTCTTCAAGAAGAAGCGCATGCTTGAGCCCACCCAGATGCAGTCTTGGACTAGGTCAGTCCCTTCGAGCAGACAGGGCGCCATGCAAGCCGCTTGCAGGAATCATCAAACTGCATGCCTCACTCAGGCTTTGACAGGGCCTGAACAGCAGTTTCTGATGTCTCTGGGCAATGTCAGGGATATGAGACCCGCCAAGCAGCTATGGCAGTCAATCTTGCAAGGAAACTCTCTGGGCAGACCACAACCCCGTTTCAGAATCTAGAAGCATAGGCCCCATCCCAGAGGGGATCCCCCTGCAATGTCATATTCTGGCCTTGCGCCATGCAAGGGTTACTAATCAGTTGTCCGGAGAGCACCTGCTTGTCGATGACCTCCCCGCGCGCATAGTTGATGACCATCGCCCCCGGCCGCATCAGCGCGAATTCAGTGCGGCCCAGCAGCCCCCGCGTCTTGGGCGTGAGCGGGCAGTGCAGTGACACAAAGTGTGCGCGTTGTAGCATTGCCTCAAACTCGCTCCTCGAGCTCTGCGAGCCGATGCCAATCACCTCCATGTCCAGCGCTGCCGCCGCCCGCGCCAAACGAGTGCCTGCACATGAATTTACTGTTGACATGCAGGTAATTTGTTATTGTTATTACTTTTTTAGTATACGCTTCTACTGCCAAGAGGCAAGGTGCTTTCGCAGACGAGCTGCAGTTACAGGCTGCCAAGACCCCCCTTGGTGGATTGGCGAGCCCAAGCAAGACCCAATGAGCCATGAGCACGACGCCTATTTTATACCATCCCCCAGTGCCATGCAGGTAACGTCGCACTTCATATGCACTAGAATTTTGTCATGCATGCCAAGGCAAATTCACGTCAGATCACTGCAGATTATCCGGATTACAGTAAGGCAAGATCAGGAGCCGGGGAGACATTCAGCATCCTCACCTATGGCGCCCATGCCTACAATACCCAGTGTCTTTCCGGCCAGCTGCATGCCCAGAGGCCGCCCCAGGCCGCGCTGCTGGAAGGTGGTGTGCTGCTCACGCACCCGCTTGGCCAGCATCAGCAGAGTCATCAGTGCTGACTCAGCCACACTGGCTGCATTCACGCCTGCACCCAAGTCATGCCTTTTGTCAGTCGCATTTTTATCCCCTCACCGATCTTGCACATGACTACCGTCCTGCAAAATACCTTCAGTGCATGCATGCGGGAGCCAGCTAGTACAGGGCCTAGATCTGGGCAGCAGCGCCTACCCGGTGCTGTGCAGACTGGGATGCCCAAGGATGCAGCTGTGTCCACAGCGATATTGTCATGCCCCGCTGCTGGTTGGACAATAAGCTTCAGCTTTGGGGCACTTCTGACAGTGTTCTCATCAACAAGGCCTGTGGTAGGAATGAACACATCTGCGTTGGAGACCTGTGCACAGGCGTCCCCGTCAACAGACAGGAAGGGTTGTGAAGGCAGGAAGAGGTGAACAGCAAGAGTGAGGCACCTGTTCGTGGAGGGGCTGAGAAGCATTCACTCTCTTCAAGGTGCACCATTCCGGGAGTTTCGATTTCAAACTGCACACCTTGCTACATTCTCTCAGAGTGAGTCCTACTGATCTGTGTATCAATGCGTGGTTCCAACACAGCACAGAATCAGAATGGGGTGCAAATGCACCTGTCGTATAGGATATCCCAATGATCATAGCACCAGAAAACCTCCCAGCGCTCCTGATCAATCATCTCGACTGTTCTGAAGCTGGAGGAAGGTGGTTGGCAAAATGATCAGATCGCCCAGGTGAAATAAATTTTCCGGTACTGAATCTCAAGGTTTGACGACTCCTTAACAACACGCCTTAATGAAAGCAGCCAGATGGAATTATATGGATACTACAATGGATGCTTGCAGCTCTCGTCAGGTTTCGGAGGAAAGTGACGAATCAACCGGCTCCTAATGGGAGCCAAACTTGGCTGCAAGGCAGGCAACAAACATCAGCGCTTTGGCATTCATGAGCCGCGATCCAGCAAGGATTTGGCTGAGAATCGTCGCGGATTGAAGTGTTGGCATCGTCCAAATCCCGGTGCAACGGTTGGGGCCTTACACCACCTACAAGAAATCTTGTAGAGGAGCTTGTTGCGTACCGGCTGGACACCCGGCCCGGCATCCCTGTTCTGCAACACTTGTTGTTGAGTACCCCAAGGTACTCGCCCAAGGCGCACGCTTCACTTTTCTGCGGCCCTTTACTGCACCCAAGCTAGACAAGTTGACTACAATATGGCAAGCCGGCCGTCCAAATGGAGGATCCTTGCTGTCTTTGGCGGGCTTGACCTGGATGCAATTGAGGACAACACAGAGCCTTCATGTGGGGCAATGGCGGAGTTCACCGATCTAGCCGGATCATCAGCAGAGGTGTGCACATATTTTCCCAATGTCAGTGTAAATTGTGCATTAAGTGACTATGGCGCACAGATGCTCTACTGGCTTGATCGTGGCAACTGCTGTATTTTGTCCGTCAGTAAGAGGTATTTGCATTAGCAAATAGCTTTGCTGAGGCATGACGATATCAAGTACTTTAATGCGGATGATGCCCTTTCGGGCAAAGGTTCCCCTGAGGCAATTAGACCCCCTCACATCTCTCTAGATTTCACGCTCGCCAGATGATTTTTCTAATTTCAGATTGATTTATCAGACTCTGTCTTAGATGTTTTCTGTGAATACATCAGCTGTATACTAGCTACGCCGAGGAGCCTTAGCATTAAGAAGCATTTGACATTGCTTGAGGTGCTCAACTATTTTTCTGGTTGCTATGGGCTTTCTGCTCTTTATTGAGGGTGTGCTGGTTCAGTTGCTGATGCTGCGGGACAAGACTCTGGAGGATGTGGCCAAGCAGCTGACCGTGTGGCGGCCAAACTTGGTGTACTTCAGCAGCGGTGCATCACCTGTCACTGAAGCTGGGCACAGAACACTCATGCATCTTTCCTTCAAGGCCGCAGACGGTGAGCAGGCTTGTACCGAACGCAATAGATTGCACAAAATTATTAGATTCTGTCATAACGGTGTTTGTAGCCATGTGCAATCATAAGCATGTGCATGCGTGGCAGGCATGGACGTTCCTGTGGAACCTCAAGATCTGGCAGCCATCCTTGATGGACAGGAGATTGATGCAGTCTACTTTGATGGCTTTGTGACTGCAGCGCACGGTGAGTAAACCAATTCCTGTGCTAATGAGGTTGTCCCAATCCCAGCATGCATGCTGGCCGCACGCAAGCCCCGGCATGCTTTGAGAAGCCTTAAAAAGCTCTTGGGAGCTGACTATGTTCTGCAACGATTTTTCTCTGAGCACTCATGTGACCTGCAGCGGAGGCTCTGAGGGAGCAAGGCGTTGCCCATGTCGTGTACTGGGACAAGAAACTGACGCCCAGCCCAAAGGCTCTGCACGTCACACAGTTCAGCCATGCCTTCTTTGCCACACTGAGAAACAGGAGCGCAACCATTCCCGAGGTAAGTGAGACCACTCACTTATCCAGGCATAGTTCAGCACTCGTTGTTGGAGGGCACATTTATGTACAATTCCCGCGGCGTTCTTAACATGCTGCATCTTCTGATTGCCTTGAATGCTTCGCAGGCCTTTGCCGTAGCCCTGCACTCTGGGCACGCTCACTGCGGATCCAACCCAGGGCCCATGCTGCGGCCCTCTTGGCTCCCGGAGCTGGTGTCTGACTTCGAGCCTCTGCTGCCCAGCATCGACTCAGTGCCCCTGCCACGTGCGCTACTGTCTGCAACTACTCCACCGCCCTTGGAGATCTCTCCCAAAAAATCGCGCATTTGCTATAATTCGCGCCGAGTCTGTGAAAGGCATGTCTGCTGTTGCAGTGGTGAGAGGAGCAGACTTCAAGAACGGCGTGGCGGCAGCCGTGCCTGGCTGGGAGAATGTGCGCCTCCTGGCGCCCCACGCTGAGCTCAGGCTCCTGGTGTGCGGCCAATCCACAATCATTGACGCTCACCGCCTCAGGTGCATGCCCAAATACAATCTCTCTTTGCTTTTCTCATTGTACCTCCATGATTGCCAATGGCTCCAGGAAATATTCAGGAGACCTGTGAATGACCATTGCGGTATTCGTTGTGCTTCAAAAAGTAGTCATGACTCATGGTACCTTGAAATTGTCTCATAGAAGTTGCTCCACACTTCCTGAGGGATGTAAAATCAAAACGTCAAGGATTTTATGTGCTGCGCAGCTATCTGGGCGAGGCCCTGAGGGCGCTGCTGGTGTTGGAAGTGCGCCAGCTCGTGCTTGCAAGCCACAACCCCTGCGAGCGCACGCCCGCCCACCTGCCCGCCAACGCCACTGCCACCCGCTGCTCCATGCGCTGGGCCTCCAACGCGCACGCCACTGTCGTCCTGGGCGGACCCCCGCAAGGTGTGCCGCTGCTCTCTTGTTCATGATTGCCCTTACACGCCTTGTCCTATTCCAGTGGTGCTGTCTCTTCACTGTATGGGCCCCTGTCAGCGCGACTGAGTCGTCGTGCATAGGCTCACTTAAGATTGCCCCCTTGTTCCACTAGATTCCCTCAGCAACGATGAGTCACAGTTGGTGCTGTGCCAGCTCAGAAGTGTTTCTGTGGACGATGGTAGTCTTTTCATCTATTCCATGAGGAGGGCATAGTCCACCTGCGGGCATATTTCACAAGCAGGCTGAGGAAGCCTTCCTGCAGCAGCAAGTAAAGTGATCTATGGCGGCCAGTGTCGAGTGTGTCGAGTGTTCGGTCTCGCATGAACGTCCGCTGGATATGAAGCGCCCTGTGTGTTTGACAGTGCTGGGCCATGACAGCCTGGTAGAGTACGCGCTGCGGCAGACTCTGGTGGCAGACGCTCTCTCCCTGCAGTTCCGCCTGCCGCCCGCCGGCATCCCGGCCCCCGTCGCGCGCCGATCAGCGGCCATCGCCAACAACACCGCCGTCGTCGACGCTCTGGTCGTCACCTCCGTGTGGGCGGTCCACCTGCTCCGCACGCTGAGCCAGGTGCCATTCCTGATGATCTCTTGCAAGTATCAATGCATAAGGCTGCCATCGGCTTTGGGGCTGCGCATGCAAATGTTCATTCTTGCAAGGCATGCAAGCCTCCCCTTAACATGATTGCACAATCAAATTTTTATCCTTACAAGGCTTGCATCCATAGATAGCCTGCAGGTCATTTGGCTGTGCATGACTTTGATTGTATGCTTGGCATGTATCCATGTTGACAGCTTGTTGGTCAGTTGAGTGTGCCTGACTATTTTTGCCCTTCTTATGCAGTACACAAGCTTCAGGGGCCTCGTCGCCCTGGGCTTCGGCGGCGTGGGCTCTGCCAGGGTGGCCGGCTTCAACTCCACAGATGCCGCCAGATACTCGGCCCTTTCAGATGCCTACGACACCCCTGAGGCTCTGCAGGTGTGCGCACCTTTCCACGATTATATCCCACACTTCATCTGCTCACAACATGCTTCTGCTGTCTGTGCTATTTGGCATGCAAAGGAAAAGTTATGAATTGCAGCTGGACCTATTGTGCATTGCTTCGATGCAATGGTTGAGGCTGAGAGATATTTACATATTTGCGCCCCTGATGCATTCCTTTCGTGGCACTGTTCAGGCAGCCGGTGCTCTCCCTGCGGCGCTGCCTGGAGGCCAGCCCGGCGCCGGCCCTTCGGCGCCATCGGGGCCTGCCTCCTACCCGACCATGCTCGCGCCCAAGCACCCCGACGCACAGAAAGATGCGGACGCCCAGCCAGGCGGCAGCAGCTCTCAAGCCCAGCCCGCCAACGGGCACGCCAAGGAGGTGCGCGCGGCTCACTTGCCCTTCTCGCGGCCGTTTGTCTCTGGTTGGGTTGTTCTTTCCAATGTTGCAGGGTCACCATGTTGCCACTTGTATCAGTATAGGGCTCTGGTGAAAGCTCTGATGCCCTGGACCTGCTCCGTGCCTACCTTCGGGAGCCTTTACAGAGGTGATGAGGCATACTCTTCCAATGCACCTAGCCAGTGGCCAGAAACAACTCGTTCATACACAATCAGGATATTCTCTGTTGCTTACAGGAGGCGGATGAGGACGAGGGGGCGGGAGCAGGAGCAGCAAAGAGGAGGAAGCTGACGGAGGCGGCGGCGGCGGTGCCGGTGTGGGTGTCGAAGCGGCCGCGCATGTGGGAGTGCAGCGAGGCGCAGTTCTTGGAGGACCTGTGCGCCTTCCACTGCGAGCGCAACGGCAAGAACGTGACGCCCGAGACCTTCCCGGACGCCATCCTCAATGGAAGCCGCCTCGACCTTTACAACCTCTACAAGGAGGTCACCAGCCGCGGCGGCATCAAGTGCGCTGCCTCCTCCCTTCTCGTCGCCTGATCTGCTGCGGGTTGTCAGCGCTAAATATGCAATGCAACAGGGACATGGCCCCCGGGACAAAAGAACCTATGGCCAAGGGAACGGCTGAATGTCGAAGAATTTGTAGATGCTTTTGGCGTCTGCTGTTATAACGTTGTCAACTTGTGGCTTGGACAAGCCTAAGGGCCCGGAAGGACCTTTGTCCTCATATGGTTGCCTGAGAAGCAAGTGTGGGGTGTGGCAGAAGATTGCCACTTCAGCTTGCGCCATTGAAAGTGCAAGTAGGGCGCTGACAGTAGGGGATGTGTGGTGCAGAGTTGGCAACGGCATCAACTGGAAGGGGCAGGTGTTCCCCAAGATGAACAACTTCACCGCCCACAACCGCATGACCGGCGTGGGCAACGCCCTCAAACGCCACTACACCATGTACCTCCTGGAGTACGAGCAGGTGCAGCGCAATTTCCCTTACCTGCTCCCTCCGATTGCGCCCTCACTTGAACAGCAGGCGACTTTGGCTGTCTTTCAAAGCTTGCAGCATTGCTGGCCAGGTCTCGCTGGATTTCTCTGGATCTGTGGCCTTGTGAGGAGGAATGGCTCTGCTGAGCTGAAGAGTGTCTCGATCATTATGTGGTGCTGGTGAGCGCCACTGTCAGGATTCTCTAGACCTTAGGGGGGTCTCAGAGAACGAGTCATCAGTTATAAGAGCGGTGACGTGATCACGCATTATCACTGCGCGCAGGCTCACCCGGAGGATGTGATCAGGGACACGTGCGCGATCTGCGGCGGCAGCGACGAGGCGGCGACGGACTGGATCTCCTGCGACAGCTGCAACAACTGGGTGCACTTCTCCTGCGACGGCCGCACCAACCTGGGCACCTTCAAGGACTACGCCAAGGGCAACGGCGCCACCTACAACTGCATCAATTGCGCCAACGCCAAGCGCGCCTGATCTTCTACAGGAAACAGCCGCAGACAGAGACGGCAGCGCGATCTTCTGCATTTCAATTTGTGCATTCCCGGCCCTCAAAAGTGGAAACAGGTGCAGACAAGAGAGGCAGCGCAATATTTCGGAGATGGATCCTGGGTGCTTGAATGGCTGCGAATGGATGCACTGGCTGGAGTGGCTGGGTGCCACATTGAGCAATAGGATGCAGGGGCCCGTGGCCAAGAAATTTGCAGGTTTCGCTGTCCATAGTCTGCTATCTTCAATATCTACTGTATAGAGAAAGCCTGCAAAGCTGCCAATTGCAGAGCATGGCTCCTGCAGCATACTTTGAGGCATGTGCTCACAAGAGATACCCCAATGAAAGCAAATGTTGAAAAGTTGGCTGTGGGGAAGAGACGGGGCAGCGTGGTTTCCTCTGAGTTCTACATGCCTCCTCAATGGATGTGTCTTTGTTGTTAGGTTGTAATGACTACCATGCGGGCAGAAGGAAGAACATATCTGTTGTGAGGAAATCTTGAGATGCTGTGTGATATATGCCCACCCTAGCGCTACATGTCGCACACCCCGTACCAATCTAATCCCTGCTTTGGTGCACCAAATGGTGCAGAATGCATGGAACTCATTGTAAACAGGCAGCGTGCTATTATCGTCCGTGGTCTCATGTTCAATCTTGTCTACACATGCATGCCATTTGTTTGACACTTCTTTAACCGTCACGGTAGCGTGGATAAGCAAGGTATTAAGCAGACAACATCTAGCACGTACAGTCATTGAGGCACACATGCGCTTCTGACCAAAGCAGGCAGTCAGTATTGCTGGCGCTCACCTTTGTGTTGAGTGCCTCAACCTCCTTCTATTCCTCATCGTGCTTGCGCAGGATCTCGTCACACTGCTCCATTGTCAGATGCTCGGTATATTCCCTGTGCTCTGGAAGTAGTAGATATCTCTCCCATCCACATTGCTCTGCATATTAAACAGCTGAATACGATCATTATGTTTATGCTGCCTTGGCTGCCTTGAGGGGTTTGGTTGATGTGATATTGACTGGCATAAGCGGTCCAGCAAAATGACTCGGCATCATTGCACAATGATACCTTGATCATGCGGGCCCGCAATGCTGCGGCACTCTCCCCATATATCCATGGGGGTTTCAGCAGGCGTTGTTCGTCATGCCGCTCTGCACATCTTGTACATCGCTTTGCCCTGCACACCGGACCATGATGGTGCTGCTCAAGCTTTAGCTTGCTGGCAAGAATGGTCCCTGGAGTTTTGTCGTACCTTTGATGAATTTTGCGTCATCTGGTGCACCTCCATCCTCGATTCTGCCCTCATCCGGTGGCTTTGCAGCTTTGCAGTGCGGCGTCAGGCACCTGCGCAGGCATCGCGTTTGTGAAGGATCGGAGTCACAGATTTGCTGTACCATGGTGCGGTTGTTTTGACAGATATTAAGTAATTTGACTCGACAAGAATACGTTGCCCGTCTCTGCTGCCGTGATGCGATGTTTAGCTGTCATCTGAGAAATTGAAAGATCAGGCACTATCTCTTGAACGGTTAGCATTAGAGACGCATGAAAAGATCATGCACCGCTACTGAATCTACAGGGCCTGCAAGCCGTTGCCGTGTGCCAGACGTTCCGCCGTTTTCCACAGTATGGATCTGTCCTGTCCTCTCTTACAACTTCGCCCAGGACCTGACATGCGTGCCGGTCGCCAACTTCACCGTAACTGACTGAGATCTTTCAATGGAGCAAGCTTGTGAACCTCGTCTGCCCGTCCTTGAGATCAAATCCAAGGCTGGTCAGGCAGAAATGGGGACCCCCCGCTGCTGACGGTGGCGCCCTTCCCGGCAGCTACGGCCTCCCCGGCTGAGGTGGCGGCAAGAATCTTTAACATGAACGGCTCAGAATGTCAGTCCCGGTACACAAAAGTAGGTCATACATCTTGAGCTCCTGGATCTCCCCTGACGTGCCGTGCATCGCATTGGCAGGCTCTGAGATCGTCTCCTGCGCAAAAGCTGAGAGGCTTCTGCTGTGACCACGAGCTTCACTTCCCCAAGATAGGATTGTACTGCCGCCTTGTAGATGGGCGCCATGATAGAGCTCAGGCCCTCCGCCGAACTCAGCGAAGGAGAGCTTCTGTTCGGCCTCGACAGCCGAGCCGAGTCTGACGCGGTCAGCGCCGTCACCTCGGCGCTGTCTGCCGCCCTGCGTGCCAACAGGGAGGACGGAACCCCAGAGGAAGGAGCAGCGCTTCCATCCGGCATACTTCAGCAACCAAGCTTTCAGACTGTCGGGTGAGAACTTGGCAGGGCTACGATGGTTTTTTTTGTCAGTCTCACTTTGCGCGGCAAGCAATGTTGGCGTTGTGTTGGGTGGCGCACAAGGCAGAAAACTCCTGGTGACCCGCTCCAGTTATCAGGACAGATGTGTTGGCTAATGTATCCAGATCTGGTATACGACATGGCTTCGCCTCAGTGTCAAGGCGTTCTGGGCCACTTTATACTGGGAGGTGATCGAACCTCGTTGTCTCTCTTGCAGGGCCACCAAGAAGAGGGACAGGCCAGCATCGCTTGCCAAGACCCCACGGCTCATGACTATAGTGCTGCCTGACCACTTAGACAGGATGCCGCAGCTAAAGAAGCCACAGACGCGCTTGGCCATTCAGAGCAAGGGGTTTGTGCCTCCCCACGAGCTGGTGTCGCAGCAGGACATCCTGGCCAGCAGCCTGCCTGTAGATCCCACGGGCTTGGGTGTCAGCGTCCGCAGCACCTTCCGCCCAGTGAGTTTTCAGCATATTTTACTAAGCCTTTTATTGAGCGCTGTGGCAAGGAGATAGCAAAATGAGGGTGCTCATCTGGAAACGTGGGGTTGACTCAAAATATATACAGCAAGACATTTCTCTGACTACATTAAGTGGTCCATAAGGATCTGGAACATTGGTCTGACAATAGTCATCACTCGCAGGGATCTGTCATGGAGGGCAAGGGGCGCAAGCTGGCAGGCCTGGAAGCCGTGAGGTTCAGGAACGCAATCATGCGGCAGACGGGGTTCATCGAGCCAGACTGCGCAGATTTCTCCATCAGCTATGCGACAGGGAGCTGAACTGTACAGCATTGGTATCCCACCTAGACAGACGCAGGCATGAGAGAGAGAGAGAGTGAGAGGCAGGAACAGACGACACAGGTCGCGCAATTCAAATTGTTATTTGTGGCTTCCATGCCGCGTTGCAAGGCATGCGAGCAAAGGTTTGCGGGGCAGAGGTTGCCCGTCACCCTTGAGCAAGAAGTGGCCGCATTGCTCTTCCTTCTGCATTGGCATTGGGTATCGCCTACAATTTTGTAGAAAGATTACGACTGATGTTTCGAAGGGCAAAGCTTCGAGCAGTCTGTTGTGCGTGTATGTGGACACGGATTTTGGAGCAGATTCTACATCGGTGGCCACAAAATTGTTGGCGCTGAAAGCTTCCGAAATTGTGCATTGGCAAGTGTAGCACTTGAGCCGCACCTCCCCTTCCAATTTTGAATGTGCCCCATGGAAGGGGAGTGAAGTGGGGTCGTGTGCAGCCCATTGTTCACCTCCTATGTTGATGTTCAGCACTGCACATCAATGGTGAGGATGTACGGTGTGCTGATTTGCTTGTGTTGTATGTGATTTCTAGCCCGACATACCCCAGACATCTCTCCTGAACATCTATGTCAGGCATGATGAATGCCCTGGGTGTGTCGGTACACATTTAGACGCAGGCTGCTAAATTGAGTGTGAGAGAAATAATTATTTGCACAGTGTCTTCGGATCCAGTGATGTTTGACTGGAAGAGATTTGCCATCGTGCTTGACGTGGCATAGTATCCAAGTGTGTGTGCCTTTGGACGATTAAACTAATTTATCAACATCTTTTGGCATGCAGACATTTGGCTGTGATGATTCGGGATGGGCCATATCAAAAGATGTAAATACACTCCGAGCAAAATACCATATTCTTCTGAAGAATCTTTGAACTAGCTAGTATCTGTGAAGTAGACTATAGTACGTACTGAACAGCGGTTTACCTGTAGGCATCACTGCTTTCAATCAGTGCATGCCATTAAACCAAGGTAGCGCAAAGCACCCATTACAACATTGCATTCGGTATAGATCATCCAAACAAAGACGCACTGGCTACAATGTGCTGATGGAGGTGACCAGATGGGACAGCCTTAATGCTGGACAGGAGGCATGGACAACTGTCAGCTGCACGATTGTTACTCTCCCATGCTTCATCACTTCGTTAGAGCGTCAGCACAGGGGACTCCTAAGCATTGACAGAACTGTGCTTTTGACAGGAACTCGACTGTTCAACAGTTCACTCCCTGAATTCCCTGGTCAGCAGCACTCCGGTAATTTGTCTATCATCAGAACGTTTGCTTGCATGTCTTTTTCACAACTCCGATAGTACAGTGTCCTGCACATTGCCAATTGCCAATGCAGTGCACTTTGCATGGTACGCAGGCAGACTCTTAGTGCCTCTCCAAGAGTCTACTGTCCAACTGCGTGGACATGGCTTTGTTCCCATCAGCTTTGCAAGGAGTACTATGCCATCAAGACAGGAGAAGCCAGCCTCAAGGTGCAAGCAATGTCATTCCCGCTCAGTCGAGGTAGAGAACGCCCTTAGAGACAATCACGGCGGCCCCGGCGACGTCGACGCGCCCCGGCTCGGCCTCCGGCGTCACTGTTATGTCACCGCCCCGGGGGGAGCACTGCCGCGCGCACAGCCGCCGCCTGTTCAGGCGCTGCGCCCAGAATGGTCCCGCCACGGCGTAGGCTGAGCCCGTTACGGGGTCCTCATCGATGCCGGCCATCGGCGCGAAAAAGCGCAGCAGCAGATCGTGCTCCCCGCTCGGGTCTGCACAGCAGCAGCGGCGCCATAAGCACATGCACGGGGCAAGCTACTCTTTGGGCATTATGTGTAAAGAGAGGGAGACAGCCAAAATGCAAGGCAGTGGGAGCGCCAAGTGGGTAGGAAGGGCTGCCGTTGTTCAAAGAGGCGTGCATCGACAATATAAACACTCCCCGGCCCATCTTTGTAACATCGGTGTGGACGCAGCAGAAGACAGACATGCGCGCATAGGCAACCTGCCTTCCTGATCACAAGGATGCAGGCACGTACCGACGAGCAGGACATACACCAGGACATACACTGTCTTACAATGATGAAAATATGTGATCTATCTATCTGTCCAGAGGCTGCACTTCTTCCGTCCATGAGTTCAGGACTTACAAGATCACCGGATGGCCAGATATTTGTCTGACAGGCCAGGGCACAAAGCATCACACATGGCCCACCTGCAGCCGTGACCATGATGGCAAAGACTCCGCTGCCCTGGCACGCCTCTTTAAGGGACCTGAAATCGGGCGCCAGGGACTGCAGCTGCTCGCGTGTGGTGCCATCCCGGCACACGGCCATTAAGTAGCGCAGCTTGCTGCTGTAATGCAGGCTGGCCGCCATGTCCACATTGCCGGCTCCAAACACCGCCTGCGCAACAACGCTCGCTGTGGCCTGCTCTCTTCACCTATGCTGATGCACTATTACTTTCATTGTTACACGATGGTCCTGCCAGAGGCAAGGTGCGTATGCAGCAAGCTGCAGGTGAAGGCTGCCAAAATCTTCCCCTTGTTGGACTCGCCACACCCAATCAACCATGGGCACGTGCTCAGTATTTGTACCGGGTCCCGCCAGCCGGGGCTGACATGAAGTGCCATTGTGAAGGCCTCTTGATGAACTGGCACTTGTGACACTGAAGCTGATCTCATGGCATTCTGAGGGTCCGCATGCAGAGGGTGTTGTCACAGCAGCAGAAGCGCTGACGCAGAAATTGTCATCTGTTTCATTGTGACCCCTCTTATAATATCAGATCCGCACTTTGCAACATGCAAAAAGTGATGACAAGCAGCTTGCCTGAAGAATGGCAATTCTGTGTTCGGGGGAGCCTGGGAAGTCGTCTGCCGGCGGGTAACTGGGCACGCTCAAGTGGTACTGCCCATCTTCGCGGTGCCTCACTGTGAGCGTGCCGCTCCTTGTCTCAAATTGCAGCACGTCCGCTTGCAGCCCCTCACCTGACCACAGCAACTCTCACCGTCGACAATGACAAGCAATCCTTATAGTCACTTGTTGCCCCACAATGACAACGAAAAAATATCTCTTGAGTTTGGAGCCCTTCTGGGTTCCTTTCCTGGCAGGCTTGTCGCAGCAGGAGGGGCAAAATTGTGCCTTTTACGCTGCAAGGTGAATGAGTATGGCTACACGGTAGATGCATTCTCTGCTTAGGCGCGCACCTTGGATCAGGGCGGCTGCAGTGGCGACTGTGGCATGGCCGCACAAATCCACCTCAACACTGGGTGTGAACCATCTGAGCTTGAAGCGCCTGCGCAGTGTCCAGGCTGCTTCTGACATAGCCAATATGCAAGCTCGTGGAGGCACTTCCCAGGACAGTTATGACCCATTTGTTGCCGTTTGGAGAGAGCCTCACCCCTTTTCGCCAGAAACTGAGGGCTCCAAGAACGCTGTCTCAGATAAGTTCATCTCGTTGGCTATCTTGGCCATGGTCGCATCATCCACAAATGCATTTGATGGATCCGTCAGGATGCATACAGCAGCCGAATTTCCATGAAACCGATCTTGACTGAAGGCATCGACCTGTGGGCGTGTGAAATTCTGTCAGATACCAACTACCCTTCTTGGTCATCAAGAACGTGAGTTATAGTGTTGCATGACATCTGAATATCCCAGATCACAGCATCACGGGGTAATTACCTGGTACAGAGGAATCGAGCTGGCCATGAGGAGTGGGACTTGGCGATTTGCCCAGTGCCCAAGCTCAATAACTTCCCAGGAAGCTGTCTTCCGTATACTGTACCGATGTTGCAAGGCCAATTCATGCGACGATGGCATCACCACCCATTCAAGCCCTTCGCGTAACATACGGAAGCTGCGCGCAGTTGAGGGTTCCGGCCGACCCCACGTGAAAGGGTCGCGGACTTTCCCTAACCAGCCAGCTGTTCAACGCACAAGTGCGGAACAATATTCGAGAAGCTATATTGCTGTGTAGCGTGCCTAGACTCCAGAAACAAGCAAGACAAAGTCTGCACACAACATCGAGACTAGGGGTCCCGCCGCACTACACAAAGTCTTACCACAGATCAGGATTTAGGTCTTTGCCTGAGTCGTTGCCTACTTTTACTGCGTCCAGGTAAGACTGATATGAACTACATGTCTGGCAGAGCTACGATGTATTTATATGTACCAGATGGAAGTTCAATTACTCTAAATCCAAGCATCGCGAGAATTAAAGCGTCGTGTGGTGATCGTTTACAGTCAGCCCGACGCTCTCTATCCGAGACTGTGCGTGTACGAATACTCACTCTGATAGGGATGCTGATTGCAGATTGGGCTGCGAAACTTTGGTGGGTTCGCAATCACAGGCGAAGGGGCTGTGCAAAGACGGTGCAAGGTTGCGGTTGTAGAACTTCCCATGCGATTTACTGGCAAGATCAGTTGTTGACGCTAAGTCACGTCGACTCGTCCTGAGTGAGGTATTTTCACCAAAATCTAAGCTTTATTACACTCGTGCCTTCCGTTCACTGCAAAGTTCTTGCTTCTTTTCAGTGGCGCGACTGTTCAGCGTTGCAGTCTGCCATCTTATTGCTGCCAGATAAAGTTGCCATGACAAGCATGATCTTGCAGTCTGCGCTTATCAACAATGTCAAAGACGATCTAGAATTCCTTTGCCCCTCTGGTTTGCAGGCCTAGTGGAGGGAGGTCGGTCAGCACAAGATGGTTCCAGTTCTGCGGATGTTCGAGGTGGTAGTTGCTACTGCCTTCTACTCAGGGCTGTGTTACATGGTCTTCGAGGGCACGGGTGAGACCTTTTACGATCTCTACATGACTGCAGCCTTCTCGAGCGACCAGAGACGCTTTGCATGCGTGCCGCCTGACCTACGAAGCGCTGGTTCCTCTCAAGTCGCTGTGGGAAGCTCTGAGTGCCATGTCTGACAGCATTCAATTTTGCCTGCAGCGCGGCAACTTGGGAAGTTTGGTCTGGGATCAAGCATGTTCACCTCTCAGAAAGCGGCGGACATGCTCATAATCACGGCCATCCACAGCAAGTCCTGCATCTACCCACAAGGGGACCACCTCAACTTCATGTCAGTTGTCAACAAACAGGTTGGACTCTCATGCCTCGGCCACCCTTTGACAGTCCTTCTTGCTTAAGGAGATGGCTACCATGCCTGCAACCTGGCAATACAATTCCTTGCCAATGCAGCAGAGTGCAGCAGGGAATGTGAGTGATGGATTGCTTGTGTTTGGCAAGCTGAGCTGTGCACACCACCTCTTAAACCATCCGCTCAATATCCAGCCCCGCAAACGTACTTGAACTGTTTCAGTTGTGCAGGACTATGGAAGGCTGCACAATTACAAAGTGATTGCGGCCACGAATCTGGCCGACCCTTCGCTGGACAACATGTGGAACAAAGTGGGCTGGCTCCTCAAGGCCTACCATGTGAGCCCCTCTCGACACCCTGCCATTTTGACGGTGTACTTATCTAGTCCCTTTGCACTTTGATTTGCGGCTACATTGTCCCCTATCCATGGATAGAAGTTATACAAGGAGGTGGCATGCTTTGATTTGTTGGTGCAATGTCATCAGAGCTCTAGCTTGATAGCGCTGGTTGAAAGATAGGATAAAACCTCACAGGCAGCCCAGTGCTAGATGCGATGTGAGTGGCTGGCGCTGCAGGAATACCCGGAGACGGAGTGGTTCATGTGGATTGACAGTGACACCATGATCATCAACCCCACCTTCCAGCTGCCCCTCAACAAATTTGCCGGCAAGGACCTCGTCATCTGGGGCAACGAGACCGCGCTGCTGGCAGGGGACGGAAAATCAGGTGTGTGCTCATTTTTGCGGGCCTGCAGACTTGTATGCTGCTCACTAGCCATCTTATCTCTCATGTCACCAGGCACTTGTACTATGCTCAAGATGTCATGCTGGAAGCAGCACAGCTGGTGATGGGTAAGGGCGGGGAAAGATTGTCTGGTCATCTCAAGGAAGGGCGCACAATTCTGTCCAATTTGATGCATTTGTCACACGGCCAAGTGCTTCTCACTAGCGCCTCTGCAATAATTGCAGAAATAATGCTGACGCGGCGCTGACTCATCCGCTGATGCTGGCAGCGCTGACTGTGCCGCCTAACTTGGATATTCCAAGCTAATGGTTGGGCCGCTGTGCGCAGGCATGAACTCTGGGGTGATGCTGTTCCGGAGGACTCCCTGGATGGAGGAGTTTTTGGAGCAGGTGGCTACTCTTGGCAGGATACCTGAGCCAGAGCTGGGCGAGGTGCGAAAAATGAAGTCCTGCATAAAACACACAAACATGAGCGCCCATTTGTATACAACCCTCCCAAACATCTAAAATGAGCATGAGCAAATACTTGTGCTAACCTGTCCCTCTTCCATCATTGGACAGAGTTATGTACGGTGAGACATCTTGGAGCATCAGCAACTGGGCTCCTGGCTACCAGATGGTAGCAGAATCCGACAGCTTTAATTCTTTGTCAGCGCATAGCAGACATGCAGAAGAGTTCATTTGAAATGGCAGCAGAGTAGGAGGGAATTGCAACTTTGATTCAGCAGATCTGGGGGGTGAGGTAGTGTGCTATTGTGCAGATCCTGAAGAAGGAGCTGACGGCACCAGGGTATGCCTACGACAGCGGGCTGAGGGATCAGAATGCGTTTGTGTACGTCATGAAGACGGCCTGGAAGCAGCACAGCTCGCACGTGATGCTGGTGAACAAGCAGTACTGCCTCAACTGCTACTGGAAGGACCTGCTGCAGTCCGGCGACCTCTCTTCAGATGACAAGAAGGTGAGTTACATGTGCCGCCCTGCCAATGACAGCAAGAAGGCATGCGGCAAGAAGGATGGACCACACAAAAGCATAGGTGCATTGCAGCCTGCACATTACCATCTATTGTTTGTTATGCAAGGAACAAAGACTATAAAGACTCGAGACTCAGCAAATGGCCACCTGCGATGCAAGGGGACACACGTGCAGGCATTTTGGGTTACAATGTGAGCTGGCTTGCACAATGCAGTGGAGTTTGGAGGCACTGCCTGAGCAGAATAGTGCACTCTCACATCAGCATTGGACAAGCATTGACCTGCTTCTCCGAACCAATCATGGTAATTTCTGGAAACATTGTGTTATTCCGTGAGAGCGATTTGTATTGCGCGCAGGTGAACTTCATCAACCACTTCAGCGGCTGCCAGCTGTGCACGAGGCAGAACAAGGAGGGCAATTACAAGGAGTGCGAGGCCGAGTTTGTGAAGAGCTTTGAGTATGCCAACGCCATCTTTGGCAAGCTGCTCAAGCGCATGCCTCCCCGTGACATCGCCCACCAAGTCCAGCTGGCATCCACTCCCTACTGCAAGGTGAGCGCTCTGCTCCATTACTTCATCTCGAGGTGTCTTTCTATGTCACTAGCACTGTATGTACACTGCCTGGCAGCTATTCCTCCCTACAAGGTGCCTGCACTGCCTTGTATGTCTTGCGTCTATTTCCTCCTAATCTATTCCGGGCTCCTTCGCGCTCTACCAAGCTTGAGATTGAAGGTTTCGTGTGCTCCCTGTGCCAACTGCAAGAGGCCGACTTGCAAAACTGCCGGTGGGCTGAACGACAGTGTGCATGGTGAGCCTTACATAGATTGCCTTATCATGCTTTCCTCGCAAGTCACGGTCAGCAAGTGAAGTCCACATTCCTGTCATCTGCAGGAGAACGAGCGCCACAAGGAGTGCCGGGTGGCAGTCACCGCAGTGGCGGCCTACAAGGAGCGCAAGGCCGAGGAGCTGCGCGCGCGACTGGACTCCGACGACGACCTCCCGGTCGCGCGCCGCCAGCTCAAGGCCTGAGCCAGCGCCGCCACCTGTCGCCGCCAGCCAGGCGCGTGACTAATGATGACATTATCACGGTCTTTGTTGGCAGCCGGGCCCGTGACTAAGCATGACGGCATCCACGGCCGCCGCTGCCATGCGTCGCCAGCCGGGCACATGACTAAGCATGACGGCATCCACGGCCTGCAATAACGGTGTGATTGGGTGTCTGGGGGCTCGCGGCCTGCAGGCTTGTCAGGGGTGATGAGTGTGGGGCGGAGGGAGCCGATGTGCTGTCAGGGAGACACCCTTTTTGAATGTCTCATGCATGAAGGCCATTGCCGGTGCTGAGACGAGTAGCTGATTGCTGCTGCAAATGGGACTCTGGTGTACGGAATGCCCAGCAATGGGCCGGCCGTGGTCGCTGCAAGGCATGAGTCTCCCTCTATCGCGGCTTCTGAGGCAGCAGCCCACTGGGTGAGCAAGGCTGTGGGGTTGTGAAGAGTGATTATCAGGGGTTGACTGTTCAAATGGCCTGAACCTTCATGTTGTGCTCACAGCAAGTCAACGCATTGCGTCCGGACAAAACCCAAGTTTTCTTGATCTTTGCTGCTCAGAGCTTGCTTTGTTTGTGGTGCGTGCATTGAGGTAGGATGGAGGGCTCACAGAGCATAATCGGCTGTCTCAGCAGCCTTAAGCTTGAAGCCTGGAAGTGATAAAAGTTCGTGAAGTAGAAGTCTGCCATTTCTGAGAACTGATCATCCTGCTGTCTTCCTGTCTGACGCTGCAGCAGCACACTGGGTTTGTAGCAGTTGGATTGAGCCAAAAAGGAGCCAAAAAAGGAAGCTAGACGCCGTCACTGCTGTGCCATGCACAGCGGCTGAAATGCTTGTGACTAAGAAGGCTTTTGTGAGAGCCCTTTTTTTGCATGGGACAGCAGGCAGTTCAGGACCCGATTAGTGGAAGGAAGTGGAAGAGGTCATGAGAGTGTTTTTCACTGGTAGATGTATTGCCAGGAGGTGTTCTGGGGCGATTTTCCCCATCAGATAACACGGTTGTGTGTCAAAAACGCAGTATGCAGATATGAGAGCTCCTACATACATTTATTAGAAAGCAGGACATGACATTTTTTCCTGAACACATTCATCTTTCGGCTTGTGAAAGATGCTGTTGAGGAATTGCGCCTGCAAGCAGCTTTCTACTGGAGTATTGCAAGGCCTATGTGCTTGTTTTGGAAATTTAGATTGCCAGACATGTGCACTGTTTGGTCATTCCATGTGATCCTGCAGGGTGTTTGAGTTCAGGCGGTGTTGGCTTGCCTTGACCTTCCCTCTTTATTGGACTCTTCTTTTTCTTTGGTGCCTTAGTGTTCTGCCTGCCTAGGGTGTGCCTGCTTTGGCGAACCATGATTTGTGATCAATTCTTATTTCATTCAAATTTGTAACGCTTATCTGCACCGCAGCGGCATGCTCCGACGTGTCGCAGGCAATTGCTCCGCTAGCGCTGTCTTCATGACAGATGCATGACATCATGATCAAATGTTTGTTCAATCTTTGCTGAGCAGGTGGATGCCGATCAGGTTGGTCTCATCGCCACAGATACTCTGAGACCGGGGCACCCACTGGGCGAAAGTTGTCTTTCTTTGTCTCGAGATAAGGAGCTCCTTATACAAAGATGAAAACCTATTATGCCCGGGCCCGGGCCTCTTGAATAAGCACTGGCCGTCAGGCAAGCTCAACGCTGCACGTTGTTTTCAATTCATGATGCTGATCAGCGAACGTTTGACTCAACTTCTCGGAGACGTCTGCATGCAATTCAACCTGCGGGTCAACATGATACACTATATAAGAGAATGTAAATTTATAATGTAAGACATGTGCTCGATAGTGGGCGAAAACCTAAACCAGGAGCCTCTTGTCCATCAGAGAGGTACCAATGGCTTCTTCCTTTGCATGTGAAGAGGGGAACAGGAGTAGCCACCTTAAGGAAGCTTCCTTCCCTGGGAAGCTGCCGGTGATAATACCACACCTTCTACCCCGCTTCTTACCGATCTGGCTGTGATTCCTTGGACAGTCCTGCAAGTTCAATCCAATCTCTTTGCTCAGAATTCAAAAGCTTATCAAACTTTTCTATCGAAAGCTAACGACAGCACATCTCGCCAGAGCAAGTTAAAATGGTAAGTTGCACATACTTCGCGACAAACACTGTTGCTCATCCCAGTAGAACGTGCAAGACTCCTTTGGTCCTCATTGGCGTCCATGCCTATGAAATTGAACCTTACGAATAATTGTTTCCGGATTGAAATGCTGGGCACGCTGCCCCTTGCCTGGTGGGCGAATGGTCTGCCGAGTATCATCTTTGACTGTCAGTATATTCTGAAGTTAAGAAGCAGAGCAATCTCGTGCTCAGAAAATGGTCGTGATTATTTGCAGGGTTTCTGCAACGACCTCGTCTGCTGTCCCTGCCGGGCTCTTCAGCTGGTATGTACGATTCTGGGTAGCTGCCAGCAGCTGGCACCAGTACTTCTGAAAACTGTTCTTCTGCCGTACATTTGCAATTCTTGATCCATCTGAAGTGATTCTGTTACACGCAGGTTGTGGATGCCCTTGTGGTGGTCCTGTGCTGCCCATGCAGGTGAGACTTCTGAGTCTTCCTTTACATTGATACTCTTTCCTGCCAGATCCTCTTGCCCCTGAGCACAGCAGCTGCGTGCTTCAGGACATCAGTGCTGTGGACATCAGCAAATGATGGTTCTGTGATATTCTCAGGTGTATGTGCGGCTGCCCTGCCACTGCAACGGAGGGTGCAGGGCCAGTTGTGCGCTAAGGCACCATGCGGCACCCTTGAAGGTGACTTTCATTTCTGTAGAAAGTGTTTTATTGTGTCACATGTTCCTCTAACACTGCGAGGTAGCCTTTCCTCCTTTATTTTGGCGCTGCTTTAAAGCAAATTTGATGTCAGCATACCATTTCCTGTATTTTTGTGTGGGTCTCACACTCGGAGAGGCAGATTGCCTTCATGTCACTGCGCTGCATGCTTGTGCGAAGTGATGCCGAACGACACTTATTTGTGTAATTGCTCTGGCATGCGGCATCAGTAAGGCATCTCATTGGATGTTGCAGGTACTGGAATCCCAAAGAATAATGCTCGGGAGCATATTCACAAGGAGCATGAACAAGTTTGTGCAGCATGTCCGCATGCCTGTGCAGTTTTGCTGGACATCCAATTTTATACAACGTTAGCGTGAGTGGCGCGTGCAGCCATGCCTGCCTGAAAGGCGCTTGCAAGCCTTTGATGAATGATCTTGCCAAAACGCCGAAGGATTTTGTTGCATCGAGTTGTGTCATGTCTTTTTGAATGTGTTGAGTTGGTTTGTCTATTTCAGCATACATGTCTGGTTCTCTAACCTAAGAGGTCTGTCCCAGTGCAGGATAGCAGTTGGTAGGGCAGGGCAGTAGGGTGTCTGAATGGGTGCCTTGTGTTTATGATGGCAAGCTTATTAGGCCAGCTGGCATTGCATTCCAGAGTCTCAATTCGTTCAGGGTGACTAGCCATCCTTGATCAATGTATCCACAATAATCAACAGCAATCTAAAGTACAACCTGACGTCAACAGATGAGATCCTGTCTCTGTTAGCTTTCAGTATTCTTGATGGGTAGTGTTAATACCTGACTTGCAAAGAAACCCAAGAATGAAATGTGGCAACCACCCAAACGTTCAATGTCAATGGGACACATGTAGAGTTCTTTGCACAATACTGAGTATTAATCACACTGGATGAGGGAAATTTTTACAACCACCAGTCCCAATGGCCAGATTCACCGATCTGACGACCAGAGTCAAGGAAAGCTCCGCGTTTGTCTCGAGGATTGCAGAAGAAGTTCACATAAATTCACAAGGTATGTTTATGTCTCTCGATTCAGATTCACGTAACGCGCCCACAAGAAAGGTGTCTAACACATGCATGCTTGTAGAGGCATGGAATGCAGCATACGCGATTGGTACCGAACAACTCGAGCAATTGACTTCTCTAAGGGCCTTCAACTCAGGTCAGATGATTGCAGACATTCACCGTGGAGTGTTTTGGCTTTCTCAATTCCTTTGTTCTGAGCTGATCATCACGTGCAGATCTGCACTACATCGACAAAGGACCCCTGACTATCTTATACCTGCTCTGCATGGATGCGATCAATTGCTGTTTCTGGCCTCAGCCTGGGCTTGAATATGAGCATCTGGCGAGAGGTCTGAAGGTGTGCATTTGTTGCACGCACCACACAGTGCACAGTGGCGCCTCATTCTGGCTAACTTTGGTTTTGACCAGGCAATGGTGGACTGCAGGAGGCCCTATTGCGTGACAAGAAAGCTTTGGATGCTGGCAGGCTGGCATGCATCACTGGCAGCCAACTGCAGGAGCTTCTCTCACTGAGAAAACCCATGCCGGCACAAGACACACGGGCAGGCCTCCTGAGAGAGGTGGTTCTGAGCTGCACCTATTCTCCATGTCAGCAAACATTGCGAGGTCATTACATGGTTCTTCAGTGCCGGTGCATAAGATGCGCTCGTGAGTGGATGCAGGTGGGTCAGCAGTTGCTGGCTTGCTTTGATGGACGGCCGGAGCGGCTCATTGCCCAAGCGCAAGGGTCTGCGGCACGGCTTGTTGACATTGTCACAGAAACCTTCCCAGGCTTTCGGGACTGCACAGTGTACAAGTGAGTTAACGACATATAAAAATAAATTGCTGGCCCAAGAAAGAGTACTTGCGTCATGGGTGTTTCTGGCACAGACTCAATCTTTCTCAGCTGCCAACAGCATGGAGTGTCAACGCAGGGGCCGCGAGGTGTGGTTTCTCAAGAGGGCTCAGATATTTGTTGGGGATGTTTGGGGAGCCTTCCAAGTCCGTCCCACCCATCTGCTGCTCAAGTTTCATGCATCACATGTCTGTGGGGCCACAGTTCTTGCATACCGTATGTCATAATTTGTTACCTGGTTGCAAGCATGGAATGAGCAGTTGGATATCATGAGGGCCACCTTTTAGCATGTTGCATGCTAGCACTCTCGGTCTCATTCAAATTCGCATGCAGGGCCAGGGCCTGGGGAGGTTTGAGGACATATCACAGCTGACAATGTTTGCAGACTACCGGGTGCCAGTCGTGCTGCGCCAGATGGGCATCCTGGTCTACTCGGACCAGCTCGCCCACAAAGTACGCCGTTGTGATGTTGTAATGAGACAAAAAGACCCAGACTGTCGGTTTAGAATTGTGCATGGGTAAAAGACATGCCAAGGGTGGCATTCTAATCCGAGACTGCCAAGAAAGGTCTTAACAGCTGTGACGTAATTTGTCAGACTTGGAACAGAGCCTTGCATGTGCCGAATTGCGTGCAGATGATCTCACATGCAGATGGCAATTTTTGCGACAGGATTTTTTGTTGTTGTCTATCTATTCATAGCATTCATCTTGTGTGTTGATGTCATCAGGTGGAAGGTGGTGAGGAGTTGGCAGCTGGCAGTAAGGAGGAGGTAGAAATCAGGGCGTGCACCATCGAGGCAGTGGAGGCGCTGAAGCGCGCTCTGCAGGAGAGGTCAAGCAAGGATGGCTGTGTTGTGCCCCACAGCGTGCAGCTGGACTGGTTTCTGTGGGAGACAGGGGAAAAGGAGAGGGAAACAGCCCCCCCACATCACCGAACGCAGACCACCTTCTACTGACGGACTGCTGTCGATGATTGTTTTGTATGGAGATGATTTTGTAACATGATGGTGCCACCATGGCAGCAAGATGCACCGATATATACACTGTTGTCATTACCGTGTTGGCATTTGTACGCTGCAGAAAGGCCTGTGCAATAATGGTTTATTTGGTTGCTTTGTGTGTTTGCGTGCTGTTCTCGTGTTACTCTGTACTGGGTACAAGTGCCACTAGTGCCTGCTCTGGAGATCTCTGAAGATGCGCATTTGTTCTGGTGAATGCCAGTGTAAGACATTGCATACGCTCTGCTTGCAACATCGAGGTGATTGGGATTAAATTAGGTGGTCTGTACAATCAATTCGTCGCTTTGCTTGTTGACAGGTTTGATAAGCCAGCGCTTCCCTACTATTGTATACAGCAGGCTCTGTTTGCACCGCAGGTGACTGTCACACTGAGCAATAATAATTAGTCAACAGTTATTTCCTATTTATAAACCGCTGTCCGGACATCTACATCCCCGTCGGTGGTGTCAAAGGCGAGACAGTCCACCAGGCAGGGCCTGAAAAGCTCAACTAGGCAACAAATTGGCGTTCCAACTCAATGAGTGATACTCTTGCCAACAGCAAGGACTGGGGATTCGGCAGCACTACAGCTCCCCGTGCTTTCCCGGGCGGATCCCAAAGCGCTCCAGAGTCTGCTGCAGCCTCACATCCAGCCCCAAGGCCCACACAGCCGCCAGCGCCGCCAACAGCAATACTAATAGCAGCAGGATTAGGGTTACAAGGGAGATGCCGCGGCCCCAGGGAGCTATGGGGGTGAGGTGCGCGCTGGCGTCGGCTGAGACAGACAGCAGAGCGCTGTCGCCCCTTTCAAAGGCAACCGCCGTGGCGAACACCATGTGCGCCGCCCTCGTCCTGCTCACTGGCGCCAGCGTGGCGCTGTTGAAAACGCCTGCGTCACCTGCCAAACACAAAGACGGGCGAAATCTCACTGACGATTTCCCTGAAGCCCGACTGCTGACAGACTCCTATTCAAGCTGCACCTGGTCCGTATTTACATCACAATGCCCTGCACAGAAACTGCAATGACTCTGCTACAAAAAGATTCTCAACCCTTAGAATGAGGCAGCGCCCTATGATTAAACACCCACTACGGCCATGCATACGCATGAGCTCGATGATGCATAAGCACCGGCTTTCGTGCAGCTTGCTGTGCATGTTTGGCCGCAGCAACTTCTCTTCCTGTTGGAGCTTTAGATCTCACTGTGGCCTACAAAGTTGAGTCAAGTAGCTATGGCGGTCGACCTTCTGAGGTTGCAGATCCAAGATAAGCTCCTGATGGGCTGATGTCAAAGGAGGTTGAGGCGCCGGCGTGCGCCTTGGCCTGCCTCTCCAATAGCAACTCCCCTTCCTCGTTCTGCATCAACATACTGCATCTCACGCTGAGACAGCGATCAGCACCAAGGAGGTAGCGCAACACAGAATTCTCATTTTAGTGGATCCTGGTACTGTGCATGAAGGAAAGAACCTGCTCCCAGCGCAGGAGATGTCCCTCTCCCCTCTGATTGACAGTGACAAAGAGCGCGTTACTGCCGTCTCGCGCAAATCTACACCTGTTGAAGGCGCCTCCTTTCTCAAGCCCTGCAAGAATGATAGAAACCCCTGCTCAAGCTTGCGCTTGCCAAAAATGCTCACACCAACCCTGATGTACCAATGGCTGGCAACAATAAAACTTCCAAATTTTTGTGGCCCCAAGTGGACAAGGTATCATTGCTTGCATGTGACAGGACAAATGGGCCATGTTGAGGGCCAACCTTGAGGCAGGTCGAGGGAGGCTATCTGCAGCTGCTTCTCCCATGCCCACAGGGTGCAGCTGCCATCCTCGCACGTGGCTGCCAACACCTTGTCTTTGTGGGCCGGGCTGAAGTCCACGTCTCTGACTGCGTCCCTCAGGCCATTTTCACCCCTGCGATGATCATTCATTGTAAATACAGGCGCCTCCTGTACTCACTTAGGCAGAGACAAATGCCTGACCAAACAAAGGCTTTTGCTGTGCACTTTCCAAGGAACACTCGTACATAGCTTCAGGGGGACAGAGAATCTTACCTTAGGTCAGCTAGCACTCGCAGCGTCAGGTAGTCCAGCACAGTGATTGAGCCATCCTCTCCTCCCATTGCCAGCAGGCGGCCGTCACTGCTGAATGCCAGGCACTTCACCGACGCAAACCCCGCCAATCTTTCCCTCTCCTTGCCTGCGCGCACAGCATGCAACATACTTTAATTGCACCATTCAAGCTTCTCCTTCTCCATTCACTCGGATCGAAGAACTCTTTTGATGGGTTGTTTCTTGTGCGGCATGCCGTGTTTCTAGTCTGTCAGTATGGCCTTTCTTTCAAAAGGAGACGAGGCACAAATGCTTGGCTTGACTATGAATTGATATTGGCTAGTGCTGCACCTGCAGCCGGGTGAAGCACTGGTGGAGCCTCCGGCCTAATCTCCACATCGAAGCGCTCTAGCGTCCCAGTGCCAAGTGCCAGCACCAGCGAGGTCCCCTGCACATTCCACAAATTTCATGCAAATGACCACACACCACTTGCACTGTTGCCTACCCACTGCATTGTTAATGAAAGGACAGAAAAATTTGTGCTTAGGAATGACCTGTGGATGCAGCGCCATGCGCAGAGGTGCCTCCTTTGTCGCCACAGAGTCAACCTCAGCGCCTAGCTTGCCCTGCGAGACCTGGACAATAGCTATCCTGCAGAATGGCGAGAGGCTTCGTCATGTTGGCATCGGCCTCATTTGTAGATGCTCATATAGCCTGGGAAAATATTTGCACTGTATAAAGACCGGAAAAGGACCGGAAGTAGAATGATAGGGCAAAATGACATGGCGGACTATCTGTTGTGCTTATGAAGGGACACGTACTTGTTTGGAATTCCGCTACTCTTCTTTCCACCGCCACCAGCAACCAAGACGTAGCCTCCTGGAGGCCATGCTGCACAATAGAGAGGTGCTCCATACTTCGACGACTGTGCCTTCTTCTTCCCCATCTGCTCTAGTATCAACAAGTATGGCAGCGAACTCTTAAAATGAAGCTGTGCTAGGGAAAGCACAATGATTCTCTTATTTTTCTTACAGTCGATTCAATGCAGGATGTGGCATACGCGTCTTATGACAAGACAATTAGCTGGCGATGCAATGTCTCCCGACTATTCAGACGAACAATCTATTCCTGCCAAAGCTTTTGCCAAGAATCCAAGCAGGGCGTGGAGCGATCAAGGCTTGCAAAGGGCACGTGATAACAGCATGCTGGCACCTGCCGAGAAACGATTTCGAACTGGTTCCTGGCCAGCTAGAGTGCTAAATTTATCGGTGGGAGCCTTATAACATCGCTTATAAGATCATAGCGAAACTTTGTTCATATCTGGGTGTCCTGGGTGTTGTGTTCTCTATGCTCAGCTTTCGACACACTGATCACCTTTGAAGACTGTCACAGCCTGTCAATACGGTGTTCTCTGTGAGGATGATGAAGTGAAGTCTATCTTTCCCTCCACAATGGAAAATTCAGAAACGATAACATTTAAAGCCCTGAGAATCCACGTCTGGTAGCAGCTCCATGCTGATAAGGACTTGGGCCCTGATTTGCACGCAAGCATCGAGAAATGAGGCAGGAACTCTTTGTACTTATTGCTGCTATTGCGGTAGCAGCAGCACCGATCTCGGCAAGGGATCATGCTGGCATCAGGCTGGCAAGCAAAGGTGGTCACCAAGATGCCCAGAAGAAGGGAAGCGATATGCTTACTGTCTTCATGACTGGTTGTAGCACTGCAGCAGACTGGCAGAGCCTTGGCATGTACTACAGCTTCATCAGGTAGTTGCTGCAAGATGATCCAACAGAGCAGCGCCAATCTTGTATGCGTAAGGCTGATACTAAACCGTCACCGCGTCCTGAGGGTATGATGTGCCGTAGATCAGGGCAGCCAGGGCGCATGATGCGCATAGCTGCGTGTCGGGCAGAGGATCCTTCCGAGACCCCGCCTTCAGATCTCACACCCAATTGGGTGACTGAAGGGATTTGGAAAGTGGAAAATGTGGTCTACCCTCTCTTCAACAAAGCCTGGGCCATCAAACAGGTGCTTTCCATGCCTTGTACCAATTTGGTCTGATCCCAAGTCTGCCATGGAAGTCTTTTGCCACTTGCAGCACCTTGTGGTTGCTGCCTCATCTGAAAATGGTGCCACCTTGTCGAGAAATGCAGAGCAGGGGCGCTGCATGCACCTATGCTGTGTTCTGGCAATTCAAGCCAAAGATGTGTAATTGTGCAGTTCATGGAGATGGCAAGGCCCCCAGAGGAGTACATCCTTGTCCTTGACTCAGACATGCTCATTCACAAGCCCTTCTTGCCCTCGAATTTTGAGGTGGCGAAGGGCACGGCAGCGTCGGAAAACATGTGAGCACCCTCTCCTCTGCTCTGCATCTCGCGTCAATGCATAACACCTGGCGCAAACACCCACTTTTTAGACTTGATGCCAAAAGCAGGCCGTCAATAAGTCCTTGACTATCGCGTGCAGTTGGTACTTGGAAGACTTGAACACATTTTTGGCACCGGAGCTCTTGCCACACCTCCCACCTCGGGCCGACTGGGATGCTTACCCAGGGGTGGGCAGGCTGGCGGATCAAGTGGGCGAATTCTACTTTCTGCACAGGCGCGCCTCACGAGCAGCCCTTCCCAGATTTAGCTGTGGCAGATCTGCACACAACGCCCAGTGCAATGTAACACCTGGAATACGTTTGCTGGCACATGCAGGGATGATCTGGAACGCATTGCGCCGCTCTGGTTTGACTACACACTGCCAGTCCTGCAAAGCATACAGAGGAATGGACAGATCGTTGAGGTGGGATCCTTTTTCTGCTGGTCTCCACACGCAACAGCTCCAATTATTTGAGACTGAGCAAATATTGGTGCAGGATGCAAGTCTTTTAAGGACTGAATCTTCTTGTGCTGCCTTGCAGACGAAGCAGTCACTGCAGCGCAGGGTCTGGTATGCAGAAATGCATGCATACACCCTGGGTGCAGCAAAGGAGGGCGTCCATCACATAGCCTCAAATTCATCTGTCTTCCACCTGGGTTATTACCATCCCCATGGTATGGCCATCCTCCGTGTTTCCATGTCAGCACCTCTGCAGCTATGAATGCCTCGGCCAAACTGTTCTAAACCGCCTTGCTTAGAAGTGCACAAGTGCTGTAGCCTAGGTATTCCATCTGGCGAGTCCAATAAGGGGTAGGTATTTGGTAGCCTTCATCTGCAGCTTGTCTGCAGACGCAAGTTGCCTCTGGCAGAAATAGCGTGAACTAAAATTGATAGCAATCTTATTTCAGGGATGCCAAATGCGCTGCACTATGCCTGGGAGGCAACAGTGCCCGGCTCTGACTGGGCATTCGATAAGCACAAGCACAGGGACTTTGTGGCGGAGAAGTGCCCTCCCTGGGACCTGGAGGGCGGCCAGGAGGGCCTCTTCCCGCACCCACCTTCACCTTCCAAGCTTACCAGCAAGGTATCCTTCAAGATCGGCCCCTGTATTTATCAAAGGTTGCGGTGATCTACATCGAGCGAAGAGAGAATGCATACATACCTGTCCATGCAAGCGCCAAAGTAGGAAGGGCTGCGTCGCTGTGTGTGCATTGTATTTAGCATAATGTTCACATTCACCAGCAAGATTACTCGCATCATGTGACCATGGTAGCAAGGTGACAACATCACCTTTGCAAGCAATGCACATGCCACATGCAGGACATGAGACTACCACCGGGGTTTGCGCACAAGCTGAATGTAATCTATCAGGAATTGTTAATGATACATGATATAATGCGTACTTTAATCAAATCACGATCTGCCTTCAAAAGCTTAAAAGGTTTGGGAGCATCAGATGGTGAAAATCTTATGCGCTACTAGTCTCAAAAGCCGGTGTAGAGTTGACTTATGTACTGTATGCGCTGCTGGCGCTGCAGGGAGGGGAGCGGATCAGAAATCTGCTGAACATTGAGGTGGTGGCCACCTTGAACATGGCCTTCTGTGAGCTGCACCACAACAAGCTCTGCGGCGAGCATGAACAGGCTAAGCAGGAGTGTGCAAAGGTGCGCCACAATTGTGCCCATCTGACGTGACCTTCAAATTTGCATTTCTATGTCTTGGCCAAATATTTGAGACGCGCTTTTCCTGCCAGAGGTGAGGCAATGTGCATCTGCAGACAAGCTGCCACCCCGCCAGCCCCGTCTTGGGAATTTTTTTGTACGGATTGAGGTGTACTTGAATGCAGCACGTGATGATCTGCAGGCATCGAGGCTGGTGGATGAGCTCCAGGAGGCATGGGAAGAGATTAGGGCAGATACCGGCCTGACATGCATTGATGTCCTGGTGAGCGGCCTACCCTTCGCTCTTCAACCCTAGCTCTTGGCCTTGCAGTGCTGCAGCGGCACCTGCAGGGTAGCATGCTCATTGCTGCTTTGATTGCCATCTGCTTTCGGCGGTGCTAGGGGCGGTGAAATTGTGCCCAAGGTCGATTGGGTCTTGCTTGGTTTTGGCGGGTTCATAAAGGCCCTAGGGTGGGATTTGTGGCAGTCTTCATCTGCAGCTTGTCTGCAGACGCACCTTGCCACCTGGCAGCAGTAGCATGTACCAATGATACTGTTGATGATTGTGTCTCCTTCACCATTCAAGGCAATCGCATGTCACTGCAGCCGGAGGGGGAGTGCAGCGACACCTCAAGGTGCACAGAGAACATCATGAACTTCCGCATGCGGAGAGAGTTCTGCAGAAAAAGCTGTAATCTCTGCTGATGTATTCTAGATGTTCTTTGTTGGGAAATTTCACCCAATAGTGTCCTATTTGTTGCTGGTTGAATGCATTAGCTGCAGCACCTGATTTGGCTTCACCTGTAACTGCTGCTGACATCAGCAAGCTGTAACTGTCCAGTGATTGGACTCCAAACTGAGTCAATTTCCAGGAATGCAATTGCTCAACGATATCACTGCTTGAAAGAAGCCCTAAAATCACTTTCAGTACCACCAGATTCTGCACTGAGAGCCAACGTCTCATGTGATTTGCTAAGTTTATATAAATCCATGGCAGCCAAAGAAAACAGTTCAATTATCTCAACGATTGTGCAGCTTTTCAGCGATCTATTCTACATGATATATTCCGTCATAAGATCCACCTTGTTCTTCGCTACACTGCCCATCACCCAGAGACTGTGTAGCAGGTGCACAGGTTACATTGGCAATTTCATTGTTGTCATTTGCTTCCCAATTGTATTCAGCTCCGCGAAGTCTTCTATGTAATGTTATGATCGATTGTAAAAGGATCCAGAGCAATATCTATGTGTTGCACCTGTGCAGACAGCCCAATCCGCCCACTCTCTTAGCAAGGGACGCGAGATACAACAAGGTAGGAAAACTGCATTGCTGCTTCGCATCAATGAGAATTTTCCTGTAGACCCCACAGGTGCTCTTAAACACAAATTGCTGTCACCTGCAGGTTGATGTCAAAGTCTTTCCCAAACTATCATCTCAGTTCAATGTGGAGTCGTATGAGATCCAGACACGCACTCTTATGCCCGAGAACAGTCCATGGAAGCCAGCTGGGTACGCACTACATGTTTCCCGATTCCCTATCTTTCAATGAAAACACAACGATCCCATGACAGGCGCCATGCATGATGGAAACTGACGATTGAGATTTTGACAGCTACAGCAGGGGATCAAGCACGGATGTGGATGTGGGGAGCCTTCAGGAGTACACAGAGCATGAAATTAGAGGACGCGCTCAGAACATCAGAGGGGCGAGCGAGTGGTCCAAGCCAATCCGTGTCCTGACAAGGCGGAAAGCCGTCGAAGGCGGCTGTGACAGTGGGCTCTACAAGTGGACACAGACAAGGGGAGAAGTGGTCTTTCAGCTGGCGGTGGGCTCTTCTTGCAGGCTCCCATGTGCTGACATACAGATGCTTGCATGCGAGCGCTGAAAAGTTTGGATTGAATGCATGCTAAGCACTCACCCGTTCAGCGGCAGGCAAACAGGGCAAGTACTCCTTCGTGCTGCAGGTGCCCATGGCTGTGAAGGGGAGGGATATCAAGGTGAGCTTGAGGGAGCAGAGGTATCTGGACATACAAGTCAGCCTAGGGGCTAGAGACAGCAGGAGAGTGGAGGGCCTCTTGCGCAAGGCTGTGAAGAGCTTTGGCAATGGGTCTACCTGGGAGCTCATCACTGAAGGAACCTGCAAGGCGAGCATGCAATCCCTCTGCTGTGCATGCAGCCCATCCACTGTCATGTCAATTTTCAGGTCCTGGACCCCAAAAAAACGTTGAGCTGAAACGAGGCCTTCCCAGTGCATTCTGCTGCGTTGATGCTGGGTGTCGTGTGCGAGGCAGGTGGTCATAGTGACATTGGAAAAGGAGATGATTGGGCTATGGTGGACATCTGCCTTGAAGGGGCATGCTGAGATTGACCTGCACACAGTGCCTGGCTATGATCCGCCACCGTTTGATCCAAGCGTTTACAGGATGTAGCTTGTTATGAGGCTCCAAACTACCAGTGGGGCTTGGCCTCAACCATTTCAATGACTCATCATCTGTGCTGACTCCACAAGCAAACATGCCCGCACTGTTTTATGCTCGCTGCAAATCCCAATACTCATCAGCAATATAAGCTTTGATAGAGTCCCAAAGCTCTCCACAGATTGTGATGTCTTGGTTCTGTGTTGACCAGTACTTTTCTGAACACAAGCACTGCCTCCAGCTGTATCTCTATATGATATGGTAAACAACATTCTGTGTACATTGGCCTCAGAACCAGAAGGCACTGCCCTAATCCACACACCACATAATCACGAGGAATAACACTTTGACTGCTTCAGACTCATATGCATAGCTGGGCGTGGCCAGCTAATAAAAGAGCCCCAGAACGTGCGTTCGATGCCTCAGGGCACTGACAAAGCACTCAGGCACCACATGCGACAAGCATGCAGACCGAAATATCCATGCCTCTGTTAAACTGTATTATACACCCTCTCTTTAAAAATGAAACGTCGCACTCAGCACCATCCTGACTGACCAAAACCTACACCACAATATCCAGAAAAAAACCCTAGCATATGTTGAGACAAGCTTGACAAGACAAGCGCAAGACAATAGTTCATTTGCAAAATTTACCAGTGGCTTTGGGGTATAGCGCATTTGCCACTCCTAAATGTCTCGACATACATCAGAACACAGGATGAGCCTGTACCGGGGTCTGTAGAAACCCTGACCTAAATCTAAGAACCTCATTTAGCCTAAGAGAAGCATTCACTTGGACAGAGGCAACACAAATTACTATTCATTTGACGGCAACAAGTGGCGCCCGCAGCGGCCGCATGGCCAATCAACTCCATTGAATCCCTCAGGTTGTCTTGCAATCTCAATTGATCTCCTACTCTTGCTTACTACTGCACCTTAGAATGTGGCTGGGCCTTTCGCAATCATTATTATCGAACCCCGAGTCCCATGGAATTATGAGAGATATTAGCCAAGCCAAGTGCTCGCTATGGCAGACCGACCTGAGGTTGACAGGCCAGCAAGTCTCAGGACTTGCTGTTGTTTAGCCGGTGCATGGCATCCTGCAGCTGCTGCTGCTGCTCCCTGCTGGCGGGCAGCAGCGGTGGGCGCACAGTGGCTGAGAAGCCCTCAATGGTGCTTGCCAGTGCCACCTTAGCAGCAGGGATGTCCAGAACCCCCATGCCCTCCCTCTGATCGTGCCTGGAACAACACAGCACCACATTCAATTCAACAGTCTCTCTTGCATGCACACACTTTCTCGCATGCACACACAGTGTATAATGCTCACGCAGCGTTTGTTTACCTGCAGTCACCCCAAGCATTCGCAATTCCCCCAGTGAGCGGCAAGGGGCCACGATAAGGGCCATGATCCAATGCATTTCCAAGTGGCATCTGATGTCACTTGAGTAAGCACATTTATTTTCGTTTGTCTTAGCACCAAAAGCGATAGTCCAGAGCTCACCAGGAGGTGACAGATGCAAAGGCAGACTCAGCGGATTCGTCATCGCCCTTCACGGCCGCGTCAACCGTCGCCAGCATGGCGGAGACAATGGCGCTGCCACCCCCTGATGACACATTGCCATCCAGGCCGGCCTCCGCCGCCTCGAGCGCCATTTTGTCCGAGCCGATGAACACCTGCACAGACATGCGGACCCCTCAGCTCCTTGCATGCAACAAATCAGGGGACTCTGATTTGTTTCTCCGGAAATTGGTCTAGAGTCCTGAAAAACATCCTGTTGCAAGACATACATTGGCCATCACAGGAAGCCTCAGGGTTGAATTTCAACATGCAAAGGTTCCAAAAACTTCATTCAAAAATCGTCCCAGCGCTGCTTAACACCAGATTGCAACTGCTTTGCCACGACTGGAATCCTAAGTCATTGATGATGAGGTACAAGGAGGCCGGCATGTCGTGGATTTTCACTCATGACTGCAAATGCTCTGATTCCATGCGTTCTATGAGGGGTCAGGAGCAGCACCTGGCGGTCTGGCATTGCATACTTAAACTGCTGCGCCATGGGGACGTCGTCAAATGTGTTCTTGATGCCACGCAGCAGCGGGAAATCATGCGCCAGCCGTGCGTACAGCGCCGGCCCGATCATGTTGCCTGTCAAGTCAATAGCATAACATTTATACTTTATCGCTTACCAAGCCACAGGCAGGGGGTGCAAAAGACTACCAGACTGAGGAGTCTTCAGTGCTCCTTGGCACAGGCAGCACAGGGGGGTGCGTGTTCACATTCCTACCATTCCCACTGGACACAGTGGGGTAGGCATGCATGCACATGGATCGCTTCCTCCCATACTGTTTGTTGGCGTGCCCGCTCATTAGGTGAAGCAAGCTGCCGATTTGGCACGAAAAGGTACAGAGGATCTGGAAACAGCTGGAAAGAGCTTGGCTCTGAGTCCGAGGTATTTCAGCATGCCTGTGTGTGCGGGGAAGTTGTAGAGGAAGACCGGCTGGTGCGCCTCCTCCAGCACATGGCGCAGCCACCGCTCCAGGCCCTCCTCAGGCGCAGCAGAGAAGTAGTAGGGCGGCAGCAGCAGCGCCGCGTCCACCTTTGCCTACACATGTGCCATTCTCAGCCAATCAAACAGATCATATTGCTTCCAGCAAACTTTTGGATGACCCACTTTGGGACAACCTCCGAAAGAAAAAGTTGTAGCCATATTATATCATTCTGGCGGAGGCCACAGTGTGCGCTGATGCCCTGTACCTTTCAAAAAGAGGTTGCCTGTCTTGGGTGCTCTTTGCTGGCCATGCGCACTCCCTTCCTAATTGCGATAAATTCGCCATGCTCAGCACAATTCCTACTTGATTGCATTTCTCTGTGTTGAGGCTTCAATTATTGCAGTAGTGGAGGGCACAGGGGGCACCTCTGCGCCGGCGATGGGCTGCTGGCTGTGCTCCAGTAGAGCCAGGGCATCCTGGTAGGACGCAGCGCTAACGTTGTTGACCATGATTCCAGGCCAGTGGGCCCTTGCAAGCTCGGTGATATGCATGCGCTCCTCCATAGTCATGGATGTAAACTCGCCTGTTGTCCTATCACATGCAAATCACATGGTTCCCCTTGGCATCTTTGCAGATTGTTAATCTTGAGATCCTCTTCAAGACATCTTAAGACTTGAAATTGTTCGGCAATGTCCTCGCTGAGAGCGCACCCGTTCACGATGATGCTCCTCACTCCAGCGTCCCAAAGATACTGCAGACCAGACAGACCTCATTGTAATCATGAATTTGACTATGTGCGATTGAATAAGCTCAAGTGTGAAGGAGAATCAAGGCTGACCTGGAGGTACTTGACAAAGCTGTCCTCATCCACTCGGAGGTTGCAGGGCTGGAAGGGGGTGACAATCGCAACCACGAGGCCCTCGAGCTTGAAATGCTGCTTTCCCGACATGGTTCTGGATAGAGTACGGAAGATCTCCCGTTCTTGTGATGGTTCAGCAAGGGCAGTCTTTGCACCTAGGGAAATAACAGATTCGAATCAGAAGATATGTAATAGTCAGTCGTTTGTCCTCAATAAAGATTATTTGCATATACGGTAATATAGCGTAGAAAGCTGTTGTTGGATGGAAAGATGTCCGTCTGTCAGGGCAATGCATTGTAGGGTGGAAATGCGGCATTGGTCTATATTATGAAGCTGATAGCAAGAATGAGATACCTGACTGAATCCTGTCACCCCTCACAATCAAAGTCCTTCTTGGTATGATCCTGTGATCAAACCTCCCATCACTGGTCGTCCCAAATCTCCAAGGAAGTGCCCGAGTAACCCACTGAACTCTGGGCCCTCCGAGAGGAGGCTTACTGGTGAACGAGTAGCTTTGCGCAAATCCCAGCATGGTTTTCTTTGGGATAATGACAGCGGCACCGGGATCTGCGAGATTGTGCTGAAAATAGCAAGGGGCCCCCCGCTGCTGTCGTGGACTGGGGGGACCGACTGCTGAGATCAGATAAAGCAGTCTGCTTTGAGGACAACTTTGACTGCCCTGCGTATTTGCTTTCCAACTGATTGAACTTTGTGGTAGTAGACAGGCCTTGCAGGCTCTCGTACACCGCTGTTTTCTCAAATTGGTACACCAAACAGTTTCTTGGCGATGGAGAGCTTGCGAGCTGCAAGCCAAGGACAGATGCCCATAATTTGCAGATGCATAACGCAACCTACATATCGCTTCATAGTATCAGGTACGTAAGGGGCGCTAGTACTAATCTAACTTTTTATTTTAGCGATCGAAGGGTTCTACAGTGGATCTATGTGCTCCAGGATGCCCAAGCAGGATAGCAGGAGGAAAAGGGCGCTCGTTGGATCTATCCTTACCTCGGACTTCCTTGAAATCTAGCCGCCAGGCGGGCAGCCAGCAAAGAAGGGACAGCAGGATGCATGTCGTTGCAGCAAGCGCTGGGTCCTGCTCACCTGCAAGCCTCCCCCAGCAACCAGAGAGGCATCCTGCCGCAGCAATACTCGGAGTTATGGCCGCCATGTGGCACGCACTCACATCTGCCTTGAAGAAAGCAGCTCAGAAGGCATGTCTCTCAGACAGCTCCCTTGCTGCAGCAGCTAATCTCCCATCCGTTGGCAGGGGTGCCCCAAACAAGGTTCAATGATGAGGCACGCTAGCCTTGACTGCTATTTTGTGAACATGCAGGTGCAGGAGAGGGATCCTGCAGTCATCAATTCGGGCATCAAGCAGTCAGTGAGGCACTTCCACATGCTGGGTGTGATCGCTCCCTTTGCAGCTGCCTCTAGCGGCGCCAACACCTTCCTGCTGCTCACCAAGGCCATGGCCAAGTTCCTGAAGGTGAGTTGGAGCTGCAACTCCACTTTCCGCTGTATTACAACGGCTGGTTTCTGCAATTTTGCTACAGTATATGGTCTGGCTTGGATGAGCACGGTTCCTTGATAGAATGCTGTACCGTTACCCATTATGCAGCTCTTTTAGGAAACATGGTATTGATTTGTCAAAAAGATTATCGTTCACTTCTGAAAAAAATTGGTTGCATGTGCAGATCTACTTGCTGCTTCTGTTCCTGCGCGTGCTGCTGTCTTGGTTCCCTGCCTTCAACTGGGAGAGGCAGCCCTGGCTCGCCCTGCGGCAGGTGCAGCGTCTCATGCAAAACTCACACTAGGCTATCACCACAGACTCGTAATTGTTTTTGAACTCTGCATTTCCCTCTTGCTATGCAACCTTGGGAAGTAAATTCCCTTAATGATCAAGGCTGAAGTCTAAACAGTCATCATGACTTGCTCTTGGGGTGGTTGCAGATGACGGACCCTTACCTGAACCTGTACAGAGGCCTGGTTCCGCCGCTGCTTGGAACAATTGACTTCACGCCTCTGCTGGGGTTCTTCATTCTGCAGTACCTGTCCGGTGTGCTGGAGTCTGGGGCATCTGAGGATGAGTTGGATGAGTGGTGGTGAGCGCAGCAGGGCGATTTAGGAATTTCTGGGTTTGGTGTCAGTTGAGCTCTGATCAATGATTCTGTGAGCATGCTGTGTGCGGACCAGATGCCTTCAAGGGACTCACTGTTTGCAGTGACTGTCTGAGTACTCTGCTATGCCATATTGCATTGTCTGCATTTCAATGCCATGAATGTAATATGCTTTTTCTTCGCATTCTGAAGTACTTTATGAAGCCTGAACTTCAGGCCCTTAGACACAATGCAGCACGAGTAGCTACATTTAAGATGCATAGAAATAATTCGAGTCCCCAAAATCTTGCAAGTACTTGGTCTGCTGCTTATCATATTTGACACCGATGACATCAGCTGTCAGCTCATAAGGAAAACGACATGTGCACAGCAAGTGCACCGTCTGTAGCACGGCAAAAACACTGCAGCGCTGCAGGTGACATGTTACTTATCACAGGACACTTGCACATCAGGTGAAGCTAGTGCATAAGTATGCGGCTTATCCATATAAAGTGACTCTATTTATAGAGTCTATTTCCGCACGGTTCAATAGGGCGACCTTGTCATCTGTAACAGTATAATCATATCTGCATCACACACCATTTTCCTTCTTGGAGCACACAAGACAGGTCCGCTCGATGCTACACTCGGCAGGCAGACAGATACATGCACAAGGCCAGCCGCTCAGGCCGTGGCCTGAGCCTCTTCCACCTGATCCTCTTGCAGCGGCTCCTGCTGCTCTGGCTCCTGCTCTTCCTGCTGTGCCGGCAGCTCCGGGTCCCCCTGGTCCTGCAGCTGCGGCTCTTCAGGCGGCAGGTGCGGCTGCAGCATGACCGGCTGCAGCTGCTGCGGCGGCGGCTGCATGTGCTGCTGCAGGAGCGCCTGCTGCTGCAGCTGCTGGAGGTGCATCAAGTGCTGCTGCTGCTGCGGGTCCGGCTGCACTGCCATGGGCACGCCAATCTGCGGGGCCATCATGTGCGCCCACGCCGCCTGCTGCAGCCCCGCGCTTGCTGCCTGCTCCGCATCCAGCGCCCCTGCCCACGCCGCCATCGGCTGCACGCACACCCACAAGGAAAGGTAAAGCACCTCCGCACTTTAACACTTTGCTTGAAACCCAACTCTATAACAAGGGGTGAGCTTGCTGTACCGGCACCATCTAGGGTGCTGGAGCTTCTCTCGCCCATGTCTTGCAAGACTTGAATTCGATTAGATGCTGCTGGTATTCCTAACACCAAGCCAGGCTTCTCCTCTAAATCCTCTTTTTGACAGCAAGCTACAGGGATATAGGGTGTATCAGGATGCTAGGGTCCACAGATATCACTCTGGACTGGCAGGGGCGGCCTCACCTGCCCGGGAACGCCGTCCTGTGGTGCCATGCCGGGGCCGGAAGTCCCCAGAGAGGCCTCCACTGCGGCCACCGCCTCGGCCCTCTGGATCGCTGCACTCGCCGCCGCATCCATGTCCTCATCATGAATCTCCACCACCGAAAAGGAGATTCTTGTTAGAGCAATTGGCGCTCAGTGCTTACCCTTATCAGCACCCTCGTTGCCTTCTACAAGGGGATCCTGAAGTAAACGTTACTTGTCTAGACTCCCCTGTATCTACAGCTTGATGGCTGTTTCCCATTCCTATTCTAATGACAAAATACACACCGCTTCTGAACTGCAGTCAGGACTCTGCACTACAGAATCGGTATGGCACGACGCACTCAAATTTGCAACAGCGCGAGAAGGGTAGAAAGCAGAGTGGGGATTTGCACTGCGTGCATTTGAGGGCCGCTCACTTGCATTGCACGTTTGCGACGGGTGGTTGATTAGGCTTCATGTGGCGCAAATGTACGGGCACAGGGTCCATCGCAGAAAGGATCTGCAGAGCAGAAGATACCTGCTCGGGAATGGGTGAGCCGCCGCCGCGATTTGAAGCGGCCTTGCAGGGCCTGCAGTAGCTGTGCAGGCCGTCACTGCTGGAAGCTCGCGCCGGGAACTCCGATGCCGCCTTGTCCTCCCCGCACCGCCCACACACCTGCGCGATCAAAAGACTCTTCAAGAGCCATTTCTGTGTGTCAACACCGCCATTTCGCCTCAACTCAGTTGATCCTGCTCAGCATCTGCAGCTTCCTCATGACCAGTAGAAGGCACGTGCTCTCTACACTGCTTTGAAGCTCCATTTGCCTGCCCTCAGTTGTTTGAGAAGCGCTAGAGATCAGGTAATACACCTTTTAGAACTGGTAAGAATGGTTTGGAGGGCTGCATGCGTGCACCTTGCTGACAAAATTGGGAGAGGCGCAAGCCTTGTCCTTCTAAATTGAAAGTGCCAGATGGCATGGAGGGATGTATGCGCGCACCGTTGCTGATGAGAATAGAAAAAAGACCGGGACCCAGTGCTTCCAATCTGAAGAGTGCAAGTGGCAGGTAGTGTGAGGAGCACGTGCGCTAAGACCTTGAAAAGTGCAAGATGCTTGCATGCGCGCACCTTGCTGACGAACTGGAAGACAGGGCCCTCGCAAGAGGCAGATGGTATGGAGCGATGCATGAACGCACCATTGCTGGTGACAATGGGAGAGACCGACCCCTTGCGCTTGCAGACTTGAGGTTTGCAAGAGGCAGATGGTGTGGAGGATTCGAAAGATGAGGGAGTTTGAGCTTCAAATCTTGCAATTTCACCCTCTTCAATGTTGCATGCGCACACCTTGCTGACAACGTTGGGAGCTATGGGCCCCTTGCGCTGCACGCGCAGGGCGGTGGCTGCGCAGTTGCAGACCTTGCAGTAGCTGTCCAGCCCGTCCGAGCGCTCCTTCTTGCGCGGGAAATCCTCCGCTGCACACCACAGCACACCTCCGCCATGTCAGCACCCACTTGCCACAGCGCCAGCTGGACATCCAGAGCACACAGCTCTATTTTCACACCCGTCCTCTACACACCCTTTAAATGAAGAAGGTACTGTTCTTTACATGCCCGTCATACAGGGAGAGGTGCAACTTTGTGACAGAAAGACAACTAGGGAATGCTCTCCGCTGAGGAGTTAGTTGCTGGTGTCATGAACTGCCTCGTAGCTGAGGAGTTTACCCTCAAAGACTGGGAACCATGTATGAGATGCACGATTGACGCCAACCAATCCTTGCCTCTGGCAGAAACAGCGTTGCATATACTCTGATGATAGTTTGAGCGGGAGCAATGGAGGGGGCCCGCACCGGACTTCTCGACGTTGCAGCGGCGGCAGACCTTGGACTCGACGGTGGGCTCCAGGGTCTTGTGGCGCGAATGGCGGCGCACCTGGCCGGCGGCGGCCTCGCACGCGCGGCAGCGGCCGCGGAGGCCGTCCGGCTTGTTGCAGTCGCGGTGGAACTCCGCCGCCGGCTTCTCCTCGCGGCACTTGGAGCATTGCTGTAGCCAGACAGAGCCCCAGTCAGCGGTCCATACTGTCCTTCATAATAACCTTATCCAACTGCAAACCACACGGACACTAGGCCACAACGCCATAATATCCCTCTTTTCAAATGCTCATTGCCATGAACAGGGGGGAAGTGCTGCACTTGAGCAGGCTCTGCAATAGCCTTAGCATCACCTGCCATCAAATCATGATGACTCAGGAAACAGATGACTGCGTTTCAGTATAAACAGAATATTCCGCGCTGTACCAAGGTGGGCTTCCTTCCAAAACCAGCTAGGCAATCTTGTGAACTAGCCAAGACAAGGGTTATGCAGTGCGGGCCCAGGGACTGCTCTATTCGCTTCCATGCCTGGGCTGACTTTCAAAGGCATCCAATCTGGCGGAACATTTTGGAAAGACCACGGCATGGTCACCCTTGCCTTGGATCTGGAGACATACAACACAGTGGCAGGGGTTGGATGCAGCTGCGGACCTTGGACTCGACGGTGGGCTGTTTGACGGGTCCGCGGGCAGCCACGCGGGCGGCGGTGGCGCGGGCGTGGCAGGCCTTGCAGTAGTCGTCGCGACCGTCCGGGTGTGACCTCTTCTGCGGAAAGTCCTCTGCCGGCTTTGTCTCGTTGCACTTGCGGCACCCCTGCCACCACCCCAGACTTAATATATCACATTGATATTGTGTAAAACGTCATTTGCGTGAATGGTGAAGTTGGGTAAAAAAACATCTTGTGTGGCAGATGTGTGAGACCCAGATCATGGCCAAAGTGTCAAAGTGAAGCATGAGACAATAAGACCCACAGCAAAGGCGAGGATATCTGCTGCACAGACACCACAGCGACCCAGACGGCCTACCGCCCTTCAGTCACTAGAAAGGGATGAAAAAAGGCATACGCATGCACACACAGCGTTTCACAATTCCTGTGCACGGACTGACATCATCTTGGTAGGAAGCTTCATCCAATTGATCCCTGCAGCCATGTCTCGTCTGCATTGATCAACACGGGGTGTACTGTTCAGGAACCTTGCACCCATAGGCAAGACGTCCATTGGAGCGCCCGGAGTTATTATTGCGCGCACCTTGTGTGTGAGGGGGAGGAGGGCGGCGGCGCGCGGCGGCCGGCCGGGGCGGCGGGGAATTACGTTAGCCGCGGCGGCGGTGCCGGAGAGGCAGCACTCACGGCAGTAGTTCATGAGGCCGTCCTTGCTGCGGCGGTCCGGCATGAAGTGCGGCGCCTGCTTCTCCAGCGCGCACCCGTGGCACACCTTCTGCGGCACCACCTGCGGCCCATGAAATTCACCCCTGTGAGATTGCTAGCTTGCAAGCTTGATAACTGCAGTCAGCACCAGAATTCCAGCACACCTCAAGATTATTTCCATTTTTCCGAAAGGCCTTCCTGCGATTTTCTCGTAGTTGTGCAGGCGGTGTGACAAGGGTCATCACGCAGCTGCAAGGTTGTGCCTTTGCCTCAACTCCACGACTAGACTAAAATGATGGCAGTGTGAGTGCACCAGGATTTTGCACGATTCATGGTGGTGTACAGCAGGTGAGACTGGCAGAGTTCCCAGAGGCCTGGCAAAAAAATTAAGGAAAGAGGACCACCTGCAGAGGCTCACTCAGTGAGGGGTCCACGAGAAGGGCAGTCAGCGACGCATCCGGCTCGCCTTGCGCTGCCGATACAGCTGTGCCCATTGCGGCAGACGCATTGCGGGGCGCTGCCTGCTGCATCTGCGCATCGCCGTAACCGCCTGCATCTGGAACCTGCAGAAGAAGCAGGACGTTAGCCGCACACCTTCTGCCCACCGGTAAGAAGCGCTTGACAGACATATCCCGGGTGCGCCCTATACATGCCAACTGCTCTGCCGGGTGCCAGATACAAGAAGGTGAGGCTGCAAGGAGCTCTCTTAAAGTCCCTCGCCTGAGTGCCCTGTCTGTGCAATCCCTGCTCGGCCATATGCCAGAATTGAGAGAAAGAGGCTGCAAGAACCCGCGTGGGCAGCAACTCACCGGCAGTTGGTATGAATCAGGCAAGCCCGGGTGCTCCGAGGGAGGCAGCCGAGAGGATGCCGCCAGCGCAGCTGCGTACTGCTGGGGATCGGCTCCGTCCATGACTGGTGCACCCTGCAGCAAGCCGCAGCAAGTCATGAGGTTTACACCGCATCAGACACGCATTCACCCTCGTGCATGAGCACGACATATGTGCATGAGACCGGCATATACGATATTGGCAAGCACAGCGAGCAGCCTTTACCATTTGACGCACCCTGATTTTTCTGACAGGAACAGCCCCAGTTGGCACTGGCGGTACAAGTGCTGAGTACCATGTCTTGGTCTTGCTTGGATATGGTGAGTCTAACAAGGGTACAATTCCTAGCTGCCTTCACCTGCAGCTCCTCTGCAGTTGTATCCTGCCTCTGGCAGGAACATCATGTATCACTTGCAGGAACAGAGGTACTGAAATCACCTCGTGGATGGCCTGCTGCTGCTCGTCCAGCTGCTGTTGGCTGTAGGCGGCAAGCGCGGTGCGGCAGGGGATGCAGCGCAGGACGCCGGGCATGGCGGGGTCTTCGCTCATGCTCTCGATGGGGTGATACTGCTTGCAGCTGTCGCACAGCAGCAACTGCGGCATCGGCATCTCCTCCGGAGCGCCCCTGCCGCGGGCCCCCTCCTGCGGCCCTGCCTCGGGGAGAATCTGGCCCCGTGGAGTGTATCCGTTGCCGTCCTGGCGCTTGCGCTTCTCGCGGCTGATTGTGTCCAGCGCCAGCTTGCACTTCCTGTGCGCCAATGGCTGAGTGGCTGAAAACGCGCATTCAGAGTGCGGCTGAGAGCATGCAAACCCCACCTTCTGAGTGACATGCAAACACTTCTTCAGGATGCACCGCTATACTGAAGCGTGGAGCTTGCTCTCTTCCCTTCTCACTTGCAGAGCCATTGCTGACCGGGAGGCAGCATGCGCTGGCTTATTGATGCGCCTTGATAGGGGTCGTTGCAGGGATCTTGTAAATGAGCGAAAAGGTGAGGGGAATGTCAGGACAGAAAATTAAAGAGGCTCCAAGGCTTGATAAGACGCACTTGCAGTAGCTGTGCAGGCCGTCACTCGTGAGCTTGTTACGAGGAAAGTCCTCGGCCGGCTTCTCCACCTGGCACTTTTTGCAGGTCTTCTGGCTGACATTGGGCACCATCTGCACACCCAAAACGTGGGAGTTTCGGAAATTGCAATGTTATGGGTAGGAAGGGTATGCTAAGATGGCACAAGGTTTGGAGGGAAGTGCATATTCAGGTGAACATGAGAAGCAGAGCTCACCGAGGCGCGCATGGCCCTGCGACTGGCATCTCGCTGGGCCTTGCAGGGCCTGCAGACATCCTCCAGCTCGTCTGCCTTGGAGTGGTTCTTGTGGAAGTCTGTGCGGGGCTTCTTTTCGCCGCAGTTCCTGCATGTCTTCAGGTTGGGCAGGGGAGGCTCTTCCACTGTTGGCACTCCCACTGTTGGCTCTACCACTGGAAGATCTTCCACTGTTGGTGGAGGGAGACTGGCTTCTGGCTCCGGCACTGGCTCTGGCGGGGATTGGGTTGTTGGAAGTTCTGGTTCATCTACACCTCCCTCTTGTAAGCCTTGCTCCACTGGCAACCCCATTGCCACCTCCATGTCAAACAAAGAGCCTCTGACAGGAGTCTATGGGTGCCTGCATGCAAGTGCAAAATGTCAGCTAATATTTGGAAGAGATCTCCTCAGCCTCCCTTGAGTTTGCAAGTCCAGGGGTTGCGTGAGGTATTGATGCTAGAGAGATACCAAAGGCAGTTTCTCAATGTTTATATTGGAGTGTAAACTCGTCGTTCGTCCTGGGTAAAGGAGGAGCGTCCTGGCGTTTGGGATCAGAGGTGCTTAAAAGCCCCTTTCCAGTAACTGCAGTCCTCAACAAGGGAATATGCTGCTGCACGAACATGCGGCATGGAGAGAAAAGGAGAGATAATCTAATCGACAGCTCAGAGTGAGAGTTCGAAATGTCACCTCGATTTTGGAAGTGAAAGACACGCACAGCAAGCGTGTCTTTTTTTAGGCTTCCCCTTGAAAATCAAATATCAAAGCGCCTCGCGTGTGACATTTTCCAACACACCGAGATAGTCAAAATTTTATCTGTACTGCTTGCTTCTCTAAACATCTAAAAGAAGTTCTTCTGGCCCTGTGCTGTTGGCCAAAATCTGTCCTTTTGCTGAGAGCCAAATTAGGCACAGCTTGGCCCCAACAACAAGAAATGCGATTGCACAACGCGTAAGCAGCAACAAATTGGCTAAGCGCATGTAGAGAAACTGCAGTGAGTTCACAGCTCAACAAGGGCGTGCGATCAGGATTTGAAACGCGTTTTCTGCGACTTCGTCTGTGATGACCAATCCTATTACTAGATACGCTGTCGCTCGAGAGAATGGTTTCTTCAAAATAGAGCAGGTATACTGTAAGCTAACATTACGTTTAAGAGCAGCCCCTTTTCGAAATTGACGCATAATCTGGTGCCTGCAGCCAATATTCAGCTTCAGTTTATGATGAGGAAATATAGCTACACTTTTGCAGCACTTGATACGTAGGCTGTTTTTCAAGTGGTTTAATTGTATTTTGTCAGATTTATGTGCCCTGTACCGATGGAATGGTCACTGATCCCCTACTTGCCAGAAGTTGGCTTCCCAGCTGTCCTGGCTCGGCTTATCTGATGCTCTTCGGCACTTTCTGGCTCACAGAATCTGACACGCTGAACAGGAAGCCGATATTCAAAGGCATAGGCAGCGCTTGATCAACCAGGGGCATATAGAGGACATAGCAGCTGGAGCGTTTGGCCCGCGCCGGCAGCAGACACTGGAGCAGAGCGCTCAGACATTCGAGGTACTTATTACGATTTATATGACTCACTGAGCATTGTGACTTGTCTGCATGGTGCCATGTGCTGCATAAAAGTTTGTGTGAAAGTTGCAGGAAGCTGCTCTGGTCCACTATTTGATGCTACTTCACTCAGGTTTCCGCAAAATGCAGGTGCTAGCAGAGGTCCTGCAGCAGCAGGCCCGTCTTGATGACCCAACAGCTGCAGCCAGACAAGAGTATGAGCGGTACGTGCATGCGTTCAGCTCTCTCCGGATGCGGTCTGTCATGTGCACACTTGTGGTCGATAATCACAATTCTCTTGCCACTGTGATAAGTTTTGGCAGAATAGGAGCCTTTCTAAGTGATTGAGAGCATTATGGAAACATCGTGGCAGCGGTGATTAGTTGTGTCTCTCTATTCATATTTCGTGCGTTGCAGGAAGGTGCGGGGGCAGTTGCCAGCGCTGACAGAGGCAGAGATGCAGCGGTACCGATCTGCTCTGTACGGCGTTGCAGCGGCAGTAGGGCACGCACCTAAGTTGTCGCTAGCAGGTAATCGCACTCACCTTGTTTTCTGAGATCGTTCACCTATTTTGTCCCTGTTGAGAGAAGCAAAATGCGGACTGTGGGTTTGTGGCATGCTTAAACGTCTTACCCAGGAGGCCACACCTGATTTGTTACTACTGGGAGAAGTAAGTATGGGAAGTGTGTGTTGCAGCATGATAAGAATGTGGCGAATGGAACAATCTCTTGCAGCTCGTTGTGTGCATGTCTTATTGAACTCTCAAGGTCTTTTTGGTGGTAATTCACAGGGAGGCATCGATATGGGGCACTCTATGCAGCCTCAGGCGCCAGTCCTCCGACGACAGTAGACACACCAACACCCCAGGCGCGAGAGGCAGCCAGGCGAGCTTTCACAGCAGGTGCGCGCTCGGCCTGCTGCTTCCTTTTGCTGCATGGCCGATCACATTGCATTTCTGACTGTTGCGTGTGCATGCTGTTCTCGGGCGCGTCTCCATCGTGCTGAGCTGCACTTTGTAGCCGGTCATGGGCAGATCCCAGTGATCTGCGCTGCAGACAGGCCAACATGCTGCTGATCAACATGCCCATTGCAAGATGCGGCATGGTCTTGACCTGTTCGTTATTCTGTGATGAGGATCTGGCTCATATCTTGTGCTCCTTTGTTGTGCTGCAGGGGCTCGCTCGTTGCTGTACGGCTCTGCGCTGGGCATTGGGGGCGTTGTCCTGCTGAGCAGCCTGGCGTTGCGAGCCATGGATGTGCGCAGCCCTGCGGACTTCAAACTGCGAGCGCAGGAAGCCGCCAATCCCCTCGCACACTCCCTCAAGTCCAGCCTGCAGCCCTTGAAAGGCCGGATGCAGGTCTGGCCCCTGCACTAACCCTTCCTAATACTATGAAGTATACCAGCTTTCCAAAGCTTTACATACAGCATGCTTATGCTCTTGCTTGCACCTGTTGCTCAGCATGCACATGCCTGTCTCTCATGGGGGTGTAGCACAGTAGGCTTGCACCATTTGTGATGCTGAGAGGATGGACTGGGATGCAGGCAGCAGCTGCGTCATGGTTTGGGCTGGAAGTTGTTCAGGAAGGGGAGGGCTCGGGGCAGGTGGAGACAGAGTTTACCCGCTCACTGAGCAGGCGGCTGCACAGGCGGATGGGCAGCCACCTCAGCGCGCAGCCAGAACAGCCGAACAGCCGAGAATAGCTTCAAATCTATATGGCATTCAGTCAGCTAGATGTACATCAGTCAGACATTAGTATATATGTACCAAGAGTGTGACTAGCATGCTCCTTAGTGTATTTCTTATGATATTTTTCTGCTGCCTTTGCGCATGCATTGATGCCCACATGGTGCATTGAACGGTCTAGATTAGTTGTTAGGCTGTTGTCGAACTACTGTATTTACAAGTGAACACCACTTCTTCAAATCTTTTCAATCTGGAAATGGTTCTGGTGCACCCTGATTGGTTGCTTAGTGGAGGGCTTCACAGCATGGACCATTTCAAAGGCAGATTGCCAGTGGTGCATGTCTGAACATGAAGTCAAGGATAAGTGTCTGAACTCAATATTGTTGTTAGAAGGATGGCTTTAATTAGGTTTATAGTCGATAAGAACACACCAACGATACATTTCATACTGGATACATTCCATGCTGGCAAGTAACGATTCTGTCAACCTGAATAAAATCAGGGTCTCTTCTGCATTCTGAAAGGTGCACAACGATAGCTTGCCGCAACTGAACGATGTGGCTGAGCAATGAACTGCAATGCGCTTGGACCGCTTTTACCGCTGAATTTCACTCATGCACCTGCCTCAAAGCTAGCAAATATATTTGAGGGCGTCCTGTCGCCACTAGTCGGAAGTTGGGGGGCCATGATGCTACAGAATACAAATTTCCTCAAGTCACCGGCTGCCTTTACTTCCTAAAGTTTCTCTTGGGAGACTGGTCTGTCAGGGCCTTATCAACAATTGTGTTGCGAATCTTGTTGGGGCTGCCTCTGCTCTCCCCTTCCGTTCCAGAAACCTGCACATTCCAGCGCTGCCATCACTGCTGCATACTGAGCAGGGCATCTTTGTTTTTGGCATAGGATCAACTTGAGTGCAAGCTCGCAAACCAGCTATTTTTGATCACATGTGTCACAGTCGCTTGATGGCCTTCCTGTGCCCCAGCTGCAGCAATATGATGCTCACCTGATCTGAGACATTGAAGCCTGAACTTTTGCCTGGCAATACAGTCTTCAAAGGATCTGGCACTTCCATCCGGGTGACCCCCTCCTTCAATGCCTGACCAACGTCTGATGGAGGGGAGGACTCCATTGTGGACCCAGCAACCTTAGCCATCTGTCACACATGCACGCACATTTCCGATGTCAGGGAGGCTTTGGAAGGCTTGAGGCAGGAATATGATACATCAGCTTAGGAAAGCTGCTAAACTCACCGACTCGACAGCATCCCCGATCTTTGGAGGGCTGACAGTGGTTATGCTGGGATCAAGTTCCTTCACAGCGTCTGCACTTGTCCCAGCAATTGCAACTCCTGAATGACACACTTCGATATTACCAATAGAAGTGTTCAAAAAAAATTTAGTTTCTACTAGCCTCTCAGACTGTGCAATTTTTAGGAGGCTTTTTTGACACTTCAACGATGAAGAAGCCTGCAAATTTACCTGGAAGGATCAAAGAAATGGGCAACCCAAGAAGCATTGCTCCATTCACAGTCCTTCTAGTTGGGTGTATCGTATCCTGCTCATGCAAGGCGTAGGTCACCAAAACGCATGCCATTGATTTAGTTAGCCCCAACAACCTGGCCAACGTGACACAAGCGAAACCAGAAGCAGCTTCTGTGGAGCATAAGAACAAAAGCAATTCAATATACGACGTGCACTTTATTGTCACTTCGAGTTTTGGCTGCCTTGGCCGATCCTTGTCACTAGCTGATCAACAGAACTTCTCAAGTTAGGGAATGCCTGTACGACTCAGGGAGGTTCTAATTACCCCGTCTGGTGTTGATCCTCCTTCCGATGCAATAGTCTTAGACGCTGACGTCCTCATGTATCTGCTGAAAGGTCGAACACTTGGACGAGCGCGCTTTAGATCCTTTTGCCAAGTTGGCCTTACCGGACAAAACGCTGTCAAAGTCTGCATTCTTAATGATCGTTCTTCACTGTATAGGTGAAACTGCAAATTGGCGTCTGATATGTTCAGAGTGGATCGGAGCAATTCTAGCGGAGGAGTTCCAAGAATAGCCACGTCCCACCGCCCAGCATGCACTTCATGGATGGGCTTCATCAAGACTGGGCCAGTCTCAAAATTCGTTGCTGGTGGCCCTTCATATGAACCGAAAATTTATGCACATTGAAAGGGGTGGCATGCCTCGAGAGATTGCGCGTTCAATTTGGAATTGTGGAGTGTGGCTCTAACGTTGATCTGGCCACAATGGCCACGATGCGCACTTTAGATACTTCGTGCAATCCATCATCACTGAATTTTGGGAATTTTAAATGCTTTGGTAGCATCAGAAGTTTTGAGAAAAGAAGCAGCGGGCCTCATGACCATAGCAGAACTCGTTGTACAACTCCCAATGCGAACTTCAAACTCTGGTGAAAATCTCGCTGTCTCCAAGCTTTTTGGCTCTCAATGCATTAATTACACCTTTAGACATGACATTATCTTCTGAGTATGCTCATTTGTGTAGGGACCCCAGGCCTAGTAAAGAAAGGCGCCTTGGGCCAATGAAGGCTCCCCAAATGGGGCTTGGCACATGGGCCTGGGGTAATCAATTCCTCTGGTGCGCTCCTGTCAAAGCTTACGGTTGCCTGCCAGATTCTATGACTTGAAACAGCTCACGCACTCTTTAAGTTCTGCTCAGGGGATATGAAGAAAAGATGGATGGGGAGCTGCAGGAGCTGTTTAATTATGCACTCAGCAAGGATGTCAGTCTGTTTGACACTGCAGACAGCTATGTTGAGTCAGCCATCCATTCGTTCCTGCACGCTGTCAAAGCACTTGACGATGTACCTTTTATGAGCCACTGGCAGGAGTGCTGGACTTCCTGGCATGCATGGCACATCTGATCCTGTGCATGGGTATTAGTGCAGGCACGGGGCGCTTGAATGGGCGCAGCGAGCAGCTCTTGGGCAGATTCATAGCGGAGAGCCCCACAAAACGAAGAGATGATGTGCTGATCGCTACCAAATTTGCAGCTTACCCATGGCGTGTCACACCTGGGCAGTACGTCAGCGCATGCAGGTTTGTATGGCTAAATCCTCCCTGCGGGACCAGCCTGAGTACGGCTTGGTTCAAGGTAGCACCTGCCGTATCTGGTAGTCCAGTATTTAAGAGGAAGAGGCGGAAGGTGCGAGCACATGCATGCACAGGGGTTCTTTGAGGCGGCTGGGGCTTAATCAGCTGGCATTGGGGCAGCTGCATTGGAGCGTGGCCAAGTATGCTCCTCCACTTGAGCGGGCTCTCTGGGACGGCTTGGCAGCCATCTATGATGAGGTGCGTTACTTTTTTGGTTTCGGTCTCAAGAAGGCAATTTGAATACAAAAGGCAGTGCGCGGTGCATGCACATGACCGTGCATTGGTCAACTCTGATTCATCTTCCCACGCACTTGAGTGTTTGTGATTGTGGTGGTGTAAACAATTGATCCAAGTGCCACTAGTGCCATCTGCTAACCTTGGGCAAATTGGCCACGGCCAGATTCTGTCTTCAAGATATACAGCATGGGCCGCTGCAGGGTTTGGTGAAGGCAGTGGGTGTATCAAATTATGGCCCTAGGCAGCTGGAGAAGATTCACACATATTTGACAGACAGGGGCGTGCCGCTTGCTTCTGCTCAGGTAGGAGGGCTTCTAGATAAAAATGGAACACCGCACCCACACAGGTTGAGGCAGTTGATCAGTCATATTTGTTGCCTTGAATTATTCTCATTATGACTGGCAGGTACAATTTTCGTTGCTCAGCAAGGGGCCGCAGCAACAAGATATCAAGGACGTTTGCCAAGCCCTTGGAATCCAGCTCATTGCGTACTCTCCCCTGGTATGGCCCAAGCCTTCATCACCACGCAATCACTGCATTCTGTAATTGCTTTTCTTTGTTCGATTGTGAAGCTCGCATTGATGGGCTTCTGAAGTCATAAAAGTGTGTCACTGTAGTGATGCATTGACTTTCAGCCTTGACATTGCAGGGCTTGGGGATGCTGACTGGCAAGTACAGTGCCACAGGCAGATTGCCAAAGGGGCCCAGAGGCCTTTTGTTCAGGCAGATTCTGCCCGGCATTCAGCCCTTGTTGAACACCATGCAGGCCATTGCGGATGAGCGGAACAAGTCGGTCTCTCAGGTAAGCCTTCTCATTTGGCCCCCATCTTCAAGCAGACCTTCCCGACTGCAGATGACTCATAGCTGGGTGTTTGTTTTCAAGCGCATGTGCGGAGCTCTCATGATCAGTTTGCAGGATCCCCCATGCACATGCAGATATTGAGACGCAATACTTTTCATGAGGTAGACTTATATTGACCTTCTCTTGTGCAATGCAGGTTGCTGTGAATTGGTGCATTGTCCAAGGGACAATACCGATTCCTGGCGCTAAGACTCTCAAGCATGCCAAGGACAACATAGGCTCGCTCGGCTGGTCACTGAAGCAGGCTGAGGTGGACGAACTGAACAGCCTAGCTGACAGTGTACCTCAAGCCATGGTCCAGAATGTGTTTCAAACTAAATGATGCCTGTGCTGCCCCAAATCATGAAGCACTGCCCAGGTTGCCTACATAGGACAGCTCCTGCATGCTGTTCATGTGATCCAACTAGGCAAGGCAATCCTCGAGGACACCGCTGCTGTTGGACATTGTACGTTTCTCGATAGTAATTGAGGATTATCATGGGACAATAGAGGTCTGTGGCCGATACAAGGCCCCGATTTTGTGGTGATACACTTGATTAACCTCTCATGACGGGTTTGTGAGACTGGGTAACCAGGTGATGCATAAATTAGAAAGTTTCCCACGTCTTAAATTGATTTCCAAAAATTCCAAGCAATATCAATCGAATACGGAATTAGCCCGGAACCTCTGATTGGTACTGGTGTAGTCCTAGTAGTGGTGCTGATCAGTCCACGTAATCCAAGAGTGTACAAGCCCACACTATGGCTCGCAAGTTGATAATAGTTACTATCTTTGTTTTCTCATATAGTGTTTCTGTGAATGCGAGAATTCCCCAGCTGCAGTACTCTAGCCAAGGAAAGGCATTGGACTTCGATGGGCAGGTTGTTGCAGAGTACGAAAGCACTCTATCGCGAGATCCAGGCGTTGATAGGAGCAACAGAAACTTCACAGACCCGTTTGGGTATGGAACATCTGGTAAAGAGGTCATCCCATCCGTGATAGCAGAAGTGCAGCCCTTGTTCTTCCAGCGGGCATCTCTGGTCATGGTTCAGTTGGTCCGTGATCACCTTTCTAAGACGTTCCTGGGAAGCCTCGAGACTTATGCAGATGGTATGATCACGCCTACATAGTGCTGTACACATAGAAACACCCTGACAGGAGCGAAGAGACTGCCTATGCCTGCGATGATAGTTTGCAAATTCGTAGCAGCGGGCTGAAGCTTTCTGCTGTGTCAATGCAGTGCCGGTACTTGGCCAGTTCCGTGTCAATCTGGATGAGATTCAATTGGAGAGCCTGGATCTATCAGAAGCCAACACAGGTGTCCTTTCTTCCTCACCCTGCGCACAGAACCAATCTCAGTCCTGCATTGCATTCCTGCGCCTAGCATATGCATCCCTTCAGAGGGATGCTTCGCTCAAAACGGGTGCTTGTGCTGCCAGGTTTGTCGCTGGGCCCAGATGGAGCATTCCTGCTGACAGTCGACAACCTACGGACCAATGTGAACGCGAAGTTTGCTTACCAGCGCATGGCCTTCCCCCAGTTTGGCGGCAACGGCCGCGCGCAAGTGGTCGCTGTGGGCGGCTTTGCGCGCCTGCAGATCCGTGTCGCCAATGATGGCGCCGGCCGCCCAATGGTAAATGTCATTGTCTGCCTTACGGTTGATCACTGTTTTGCAATGCAATGCAATTCATACCACTCTGTCCTATGTTGAGCAAAGACACAATTTTGCTCCAAGCAGGCTGAGAGACCCATGGACGTTACAAATTGCCAGTAAGCCTTTGACCTTGGAGGATGCATGCTGAGGTTTTTTGCTTCTAGAGTTTTGGGGCAGGACATAATTAAGAAGGTCACGCTTCATATTTCTCTCCCCATTAGCCATTCGATCAATGATGCTTTGGGGTTGCCCTTCAGCAATTGAGACCATTGCACCATTATGTGTGGTTGAGCAGGTGACTGCGGTGGATGCTGCGGAGCTGTGGTTTGTGGGGGTGCGAGTGACGGTGTCTGACACGGATCTGGCCTGGCTCTACAACCTGATCACCAACCTGGCAGCAGGGCCAATCCAGGACGCCATCACCCGAGAAGTCGCATCCCAGGTGGGATACGCTTCACCAGTCAAGCAATTGTGAGGAAAAACAAAGAGCTGCCAGATACTGCCATGCCATGATGACCATCCCTTGTGCACAAATAATGCATAATGAATGGCTTTAATGAAATTGCAGCTTCTGCAATATTGATACTACTAGCTGCATTACTGGAGGCATGGGTCCAGCTGACTTCTCATGTGCATGTTGCAGCTGCCGTGCCGCCTGACATCTGCAAACTGCTCTACTTGCGGCCACAAATTGATGCAACATGTGTATGTGTCCTCAGGTGACGCAGAAGGTGCCACAGCTGGCAAATGGCTTCCTGGCCGGGATACCAAAGACAATTGATGTGAAGGGCCTGGAGCTGAACATCTCCTTGGCCGGAGATCCTCTGGTCACTCAAGAAGCGCTCATCGTGCGCGACTGGGGCCGCTTCCAGAATCCAAATGGGGAGAGCTCAGGTGGACCACCTTGATCTGTACCTACTGATAAGTACAGAGATACCATTCAGACACTTATTGCACCATCACACAGTTTGTTGTTCCAAATGGCTTCCTGTACATTTGACGATTGCACTGGGCACTTAATATAAGTATATAATTTCAATTATGGACCGTGTCCAAGCTGGTGGCAAATTTGTGCAGGGTCACAGGAGGAGTGTCCATACAAGAGGACGGCATCAAGCAGCAATCTGTCTGCTGATGGCTTGAGCAACAACACCAACCCCATGATCATCGGACTTGTTGACCAGTCCATTGCCAACTGGTGATTCTTCATTTGTCCATTATCTTGCAATAATGCCATGACACAGCCTGGCACTGTCTCTGCTTCACTTGTTTTCCTGCTGCTCGGATTTTTGCTCGGTGTTGTGTTTAAAGGGGGCCCTGTCATGTGCAGTTTCACATGGGTGTTGTACGAACGGGGGGAGCTGGAGAGATATTTTGAGGGAGATGATGTACCCGGCTATGCGTTGTACACCGCCACGTGGGGCCTCATTGTGCCACACCTGGCAGAGGCATACCCAGGCAACCGCAAGATGGGGGTGCAGGTACGTGACAGCCAACTTGGAGTCTTCATCTTTCTGATAAGCTACTGTGCTCCACACTCTACCTCGACTGAGTAATGGCTTTTGTTGTCTTGAATGACTATGATTACATCTCACCGCAATCTACATGCTGTCAAGAACAGACGGGAAGAGCGCTGTGTTCGGAAACCACGCGATGAAGCGCACAAGGGTTGTCCACCACTCTGAGATTTCTCTTCTGTGGCTCAACCATGCGGGTGCACATGCAGGTGAGCATTGCAGCGGCGCCCAACACAAGCATTGACTCGAGCAGAGGCGTGGTAACATTTGGCAACCTGACCCTGGCCTTCCACCTGGCGCCCGATGACGCTAACATAAGCGCTGACATCAGCGCTGACAGATCTTGGGCGCCGGAGGTCCTGGCCAGCCTCGGCCTGACGCCTGACGAAGCGGCCGCCGAGCAGCTGCTGGCAGCTGCCTCGGCAGGCGCAGCGCAGCTGCACGCATCGGGTACAATCCTCTGACTCATTTTACTTTGAGAAAAGAATTAAAACCTGCTACTGTGCCTCAATCCTCCTAGAGAGTGCAATGCTGGCTGGACGGCGCACTGGTGATGCAGGCCAAGGTGAAGCTTGTGCTTACAAATAAACCCTTCTTATCATGAAGGGAGACAGGAGGAGAATCCAACTTAAGATATCCAAAAGAGTGTCCATCCTAATGTCTCTTGATATGTGGTCTCAGGGAGGCAGGGACACAGCGTGGCGCGGCGGCTGGCGGAGGGGGATGCAGGGGAGGGAAGGGACGCGCACCTATTCACGGTGGGCATCAGCGGGGAGATAGTGGCGTCGCGGCTGCAGCTGGAGCCGGATGTGCCGGACCGGCCGGCCAGCTACCGCTTGGGGATCACCATGGAGCTCGATCTGGACAGCCTTCGCACGCAGGTGGCCTCCTGCACCCTCCTCAGCACACGAGTCTTTTCAAATTCAATCACCAATCAAAGCAAAATGCAGTTTGGGCCCCACGTGCTTGTGAGTGACAGGTCAGGGAACCACTGCCGCTGCACTGTCCTTTCTTTCAAAGCAGACATTGTCGATGTTGATTATTCCTGGCAATTGGGGAAGGTAGTTGAGCGTGCGTTGCTTATGTCCAGGTGCTGGCGTCGGATGTTGGGGAGGTGAACCAGGCGAGGCTGCAGCTGCTGTTCTCGCTGGTGGGCTTTCTGGTGCAGCAGGAGATCAACGACTCTGTGCTGAAGGACGGCTTTCCTCTGCCGGACATCCCGCATGTGCAGTTCATCGATCCAGACCTGACCTTTGTCCAGCATGCAGTCAAGCTGGCTGCCAATGTGAAGTATCAGCCGTAGCACAATGACTGCGTGAGGTGTATGTTTTTGTATGTTTCCCCATTGGAGACTGATCTGTATCATGGAATGTACCATATTATGTTATTAACCACCTTGGCACGCCTGCAGAATACAACTGCACTCAGTCTGTTTAACATTAATGCGGCGGCCGCACACTGAACATGTTATTGTGCAGCTTATCTCTGCTGCATGCCTATTGGTGGATTGTCGTGGTAGAGCTACTAGCCCGAGGGACTTGAAGGAAAGGGTTGGCGAGTTTGTAGTTCTAGTGGCACTGTCAACTTGAAGACGTCGACTGTGACTGCTGGTAGTGCCTCAAATACTGTGATAGCTTGATAATGGTATGTGTAGTCTCCAAAGTAGTGTCCTGTCCGCGGTCCTTTTCACACACGCTTTCCACGATGGAAATTCCATCACCTCTTTTTTGTGTACTTTTGCATGCTTCCAGCAATTATTTATTATGCACTGCCCAACCTTGAATTGGCACCTTGGAGATGCCCTCTACATTCCCCGGTCTTCTTCCACTTAAATCAGCATACCTCACCTGTGTAAAAGAGCTTGTATGGTTATCGAGCTGGTGAACGCGACCGAGATCATTTGGAAGTGATCAAAACAACTGCAGAAAGCTATTTTTCGCATGGTGCCGCCTGCTAGTCTCGAGCTTTTCGAGGCCGTGATCGGGGCGTCCATTTGATTGAAATATTCTTGAAGGGAGAAGATTTGAGCAGGTTGAGCTCTGAAATTTAGCAGAAACTGAGATTTTGAGATTCAGCACAATTCGATCTGGACATGGTCAGTGGGGACGTAAGAGCAAGCCCTTATTGCAAGGGAGTTTGGTTCGTGAACGATCAAGAATGGATGGTGAGACTCATACGATTTGAAAATGTTACTCCGTCATGCTGTGAACGAGCTATGATGTACTCTTTAAGGAGGACCTCAAGAAAATTTTTGGCAATTTTCATCCTGCGTCGAACGCGATAAATTCTGCTCGAAAACTGTTGAGATCCCCTATACATAATCCTAGATACTAATGCATGCATCTGAAACTTTCTCAGGTCTGTCATCTCTTCCAGAGTGCTGAATAGGGGGCAAAGAACTCTGCGTTGATGAACTCAAGCAAGGCTTGGGTTCAGTGCTGCCACTGGATCATAGGAAATAAGTGTTTTTTTATCTACAGGTTGGGGAGCGATACCAGCTGATCAAGCTGCTGGGCCATGGGTCCTTCTCCAGTGTCTGTCTGGCCACTGACACCTTCACAGCCGAAAAGGTCAGCCTTGTATCACAACATCCCCCAAAATCCATTCACACCGTAGCGTCAACCGATTATGTCAAGCACAGGAGAGCGATGCTGGCAGCTGTCCCATCCTGACATCCATGAAGTTGCTCTCCTGGTGTGATGTTGTTGTTGCAGCAATTGTGCTCCTCAGCATTGCTGCAAGTTCTGGTGTGGTGTTGCTGACATCATGCCGGGTGTCCAGGTGGCCCTCAAGCGCATTCCGGATGTGCTCAGCAGCCCAGATCAGGCCAAGAGGGTGCTGCGCGAAGTGTGCATCCTGCGCAGACTGCACCACCCCTTCCTCATTAACCTGCGAGATGCCTTCACGCGGCCGTCTTCTTGCGGTGCGCACCAGCTCAGACATCTGCGCTTGCAACTTGTGTGTAAAGTTGCTATGGAATACTCTTGGATATCGGGTTGGATTTTGTGTAGTGCTGAGAGGCTGAGGCTGGTGCTACAGGCCCTCAAACGCTCATCAATGGCAGGTTGCAGCCGGCCTCCTTGGATGTCTACATTGCCATGGAATTTGGCTCTGATGGGGACCTTTTCAACCTCAGGTGCGTGCCCCGAAGTTGTGCAGGGACCATTGCCAGCCTGTCCATTGCTGGAAGATGCAAAGAAGCTAATGCTGAAAGAGCCAAGAAGCTGGTGGGATATGCAAAATGGTTCAATCGCTTGAGAAAGCTATCAACAACATGCGCAGAGATGACACATGTCCGCTGTGCGCAGGGGACAGATGACAGAGGAGGAGGTTTGCCTCATCATGTGGCAGCTGCTGCATGCCTTAAAGTTTCTGCACTCCAACAATGTCTGGCACCGGTGAGCCACATGCTGAGGGCGCTACTCTGCGCGAACTCCTTGCTGTATGGCGTCAATTTATTTTTCTTTCCAGAAAAGCAGTGGTAGATTCTGCATGACGTCCTCATCCATTGCTGGCTTTTGCAGGGATATCAAGTCCTCGAATATCATGCTCACACGAGCAAAGGGACATCGCATTGTGAAGGTAAAATCAATGCACTCTTCACTCTTCACTCTTTCTTCTCTGCCTCGTTAATGCTATCAACTCATCCATGTCTAAAAAAGTACTCATCAAGACCATGTGCATGTGCCAGGTGGCGGACTTTGGATCTGCGCGCTCAGCAATCAGTGAAGGTTATCACTGGGCGGAGCAAGACCCACCTACCTCCCTGAACCCTTTCATCAGGCAGAGGCCTCAGGTACAAGTCTACCTTTCTGAGTGCCATGCCTCCTGCATGCCAGTCTGTTCCATCTGAAACATCGAGGAGTGAAGCTTGTGAAGCATTTAAGCTCCTGCCAGCGGGCATGAGAGAAGAAGGGCAAAGGTGTGATGCTTGTCTGATGCAGGATTGGACGGGGCCCATGCAGCCTGTGCTGATGCACTCAGACTCCCTGGCCAACCTGCCAGGGAATGAGCAGAATGTGCATCCAAAGGACCTGCACGTGCAACTGGGTGCGCCTTCATCCGGCTCACTGACTTCTTTGCTGTTCGGTGCCAGTACCCTTGCAGCATTGTTGCCCAGTCACAGGCTGCAACAATGGATGCACAGCAGCAAGATCTTCGATGAGATGTGCTGATGCAGATGTGCTGATGCATAAGCGGTGTCTGGCAGGTTCCAGCCCAAGATCTCCCACACGGGGCCGCGGCTGCGGCGTGGGCTTTTCATCGCCGCTGACACGCATGGTGGCTACCCCCTGCTACAGAGCCCCTGAGGTGTGGCATTTTGATCTTCTGCACTGCACTCTTTGATGTATCCTCTAGGCTGCATGTGTACGGCGCCGTGTGTGCCAATGCTCTGCCATGGTCCGAATGCCTCTTAAGATTACAATGGGTACTGGGCCGTTGTCATGGAGTGCACGGTGCTCACAGGATTATCGCGTCAAGAGAGACGCTGAGGGGTTACAGATCATTTCACGGCAGTGCTGAGGTGCAGTACAAGATCCCCTGGGTTGCCTGTAGGTACGCTAGCATAGACATGGCTACGTGCACTCCAAATATCTCTCCAGGTGCACTGATATGTACCAGAGTGACAACGGTTGCAAGCAAGGCAGCTCAAGCAAGGCAGCAAAATTACCATACTCATACCCAGAGGGGCTCTGTACAAAAAAATAGAAGCGCGCTTCTGTGAGTTCCTCTTGGCAGTTGGGTGCACCAGGAGTCCTTCCTTTGCATTAAGGGGAGACTGCCTTGGAGAATTATATTCATCCTTGAGTCATGCCACAGCCAAGGGTGCATATATCAGGGCAAGGGCTGCACTGTGTCCTTGCATATTCATTCGCAGATCCAGTGCTCTTGATTCCTGCTGCTGCTGTTTGCCGCAGGTGGTGATGTCTCGCGGTGGGTACACCGCGGCCATCGATATGTGGTCGCTGGGCTGCATTTTTGGGGAGCTCCTGCAGCGGGTGGCGCGCGTGGGCTCTGCCACGACACCACACCTGCAGGTGGCGCCGCTGTTCGCAGTGCATGGCGGCATCCCCAAAACACCCTCTGCCGGGTAAATCACCATCCCTCACATCCTTTGCTGCATCACCAAGAGTTTGTCTCCGCAGAAACCTTCTTTTGATATGGTCTTTGCTGAAGGAAAGAATGCTCACCTGAGCTAACCTGCATGACAACTCCAAAAAATTGTCATTCCGCCACAAGCATGCCATTTTGGCGAGCCTAGAATGGAGGTGGTCGTGTGGTGTGCAGTCAAAATGCACGGTGCGCGATGATCATGTGCTGAGTGATCTGGGTTATCGGATGCGCAGGGATCGCTTTGTGGCGGGCCCATCAAACTCAGTTACGCGCAAGGAACTGGGCGCGCTGTTTGATGTGATTGGGACGCCCTCGTGGGCGGATGTGGACCGGGTGCAGTCAGCATCGTGGCGGAATTACCTGCAGAAGCTTCCCGGCCGCGCACCCACCCTCTTCCGCCGTCTCGGCTTTGCCGGTGTGCACTCTACCTACCCCTCATGAGGTCCTCAGCCTGGCCGTGACCATTGCAACATCGTCATTGACTGACTAAAGCTCAGTCATGATATCCCCCTATGTGAGCTGGGTGGGCGCAGCCTGTTAATCTTTGGGAGGGCAGGGGAGGAATTTCATCTGCACAACGTGTTTGATCTTCCAAAAATGTTCTTGTCAGTCCAAAGACACTTAGCAGCGGCTATATAGCTTAGCATGACTAGAGCGTGACTGCTTAGAGGGCTGCTGACGTGTCAGGGGAGCCTGCGGTGCACCTGCTGGAGCGCATGCTGGCATTCGACCCCGACCGCCGCCTCAGCGCAGAGGAGGCGCTCACCCACGAATACTTCACCTCCCTTGAGAACTCCGCCATCGACGAACTCGGTACATCCCTCACTTCCCCAAGCGTCGCCGTGCTGAAATCATACTGTGATGGCAGCTCTTCTTACCCACACAGGTCAATAGCTTGGGGAATATATAATGGTCAATCTTGCCTTGATGCACCATCTCTCTTACAGGGCGAGGCAGCAGATGCAAAGCAGCTGTAGCTCAGCAGCAAAGACACTTCCACTCTTTTCTTGACATTCTCTTTTTTTGCTTGCGCGCCCGCAGATGGCTCCATATTCGCCGTCAGCCTGGAGGAGAGCATGGACCGGATGGATGCTGACGGCTTGGCAGAGGAACGCAGCAAGCGCTCCCGGGCCGCGGCGGCCGGCGCGGCCGTCTCGGACCTGCGCTCGGCCGTCGACGCTGCTATGGAAATGCAACAGACCGCGAAGAAGGCTCGCTCGGCGTCCGGCAGCCTCTCAAGTTCCCTAGCCGCGATGGATCTTGACCGAGGTGCCGCAGCCGTGCAGCCGCGCTATTTTACTCTGTTCTGATTTTCTCTATGCTGTTCAATGTTGTTGTTATTGCTTCTGTGGGTGCCCGACGATGCATCCCATCCCTCCTGGCAGAGGACTCTGTCGAGAGGCTGCAAGCATGGCAGTGCGAAGCTCAAATGACAGAGCTTCGAGAACATCCACCATGAGACACCTGCGATTGCCTCCGCATGCTTGCCCGTCCGGCCGTTGGCACCAAAATGGAGCCAATCGAGATACAATCCTCTTGAGAAACGGTGTCTCATCCTGCACAGACCAGTGGCGCCGTGCATGTGAGACAAAGGTTGTCGGTGCGGTGTGCAGGGGAGTCGCCGCGCGTGCGCAGCCTCCGGAACGCGTCGCCGCTGCTGAGACGCCATTACTACGAGGAGGCAGACCCCGACCGCGCGCTGGCGATGCTCGAAGAAGAGATGTCGGCCGCCGTGCCGCACAACGACGGCGCATCGGACGCCTCCAGCCGCCATTCTGCCGGCCTCGATACCCTGCGCACCCTGCTGGAGCGCGAGTGCGAGGCGCAGGTGGCCGTCTGTGTCCTGCTTCTGCAAAAGTGGTATTTAGATGGGCACCGTGTAGGGGCTCACATTTCAGTTCATCGGCAGCGCAAGGGGCGTCGATTGTTTCATTTGGGCACCACACCGCTATGCAGCGGAAGTTAAGCTGCTCAGCATCCAGGGCAGGGCACATGACGTGCAGTATCTGTCACATGTCACGTTCTTCCAGCTGCTCTTGCTGTGCTACGTGCGCCGTGCTTTGCGCCCGGCTGGCCGTAGCGCAAGTGCAGAATGTGGTCACGGCCTTTCAGCCATGAGTCTATCCGGCTATGAAGCTGCTCAGGCTTTAGAAAGCGGCGCTGCAGCCGTGTTGGCATCAGGACTTCTCTGTCATGTGTCACAGTGTCAGTAAAGTTTAGTGACCAGCGACACTTTGTCCCGTATGCAGGCGTTGGCGGGCGCAGCTCAGGTGCAGGCGCTGAAGCAGCAACGGATGCGCATGGCCGCGGATGCCAGCGCCAGTGATGCACCGGCAGACGACGGCGACAATGTACTCATCCACTGGGTCCGCAGCGCTTCCGACATGCGCCTTAAGGTGTGTGGGCAGATGCTCCCAATCGCCTATTCTATTTGCCACCCAGCCCAGTGCTCATCCATGTGGAGAAAGCGATGCATGTTTTTGGAGACGAGGGATATCCTGCAGCGGATGCCTGGCCTTTCGCACAAGTTCAAGAGTGCCCCAGTAGAGGTCATATCAGCCCTCAGGCCTCCCGTTCTTATTGTGGCACCTTCACAGTGCTGCACCGAGAGCACAACCCTCAATCCTTCCTGGCGGTAGTAGGAGCCATTGTAGACTCATTCCTCGGGGTGCATGAGCACAAAAATACCAGGCCTGACCTGCATTCTGATCATGAACAATCCATGGCTGTGCAGGAGGACATACACGCAAAGCTGCAGACGGGGGAAGACTACGGCGCAGAGCGGCTGGCGTTTGTGGCAGACACGTGGATGGGGCGATTAGATCCTGCCGAACACCTCAACCCCGGCCGCCATGGGGAGTGGACGACTGCCTCTGGGCAGGGACCCCCCGCTGGCCCCACCTGGGGGGTCACCTCCATTCCCCCCGGCGTAGATGCCAACGACCCACAAGTGCGCAACATCATGCGCCAGCAGCAGCTGCGCTGACATTTGCTGCTTGCACGCGCCTGTGTCTGGGCGCTCGCATGCAGTATGTCTGGACTTTGGAAGTCCAGACATACCTTGACATAGACAAGGTATCTACCAACGGGGCTGTCTTGGTTGGGGCAGCCTTGCCTGGCTGGCGGTCAGCATCCATCAGATCAAAGCTGTGACCAATGAGATGCTGCGCCTGATCTGACGTGGTCCCAAGTGAAGAGTTTGTGAAGCAGTTTGACGGCAAAATTAATCTGCTGGATGGTCCTGCATCAAGGTAGATGCAGCTATTACGCACGACTTCATCGATGCTGCAAGATGATGCCTTGTTTGTGTAAACGAATACGTAACAGAGGAATCAAATTCTTGTGTACAGTGTACATTACGCAGAGGTGTGCCCTTTCTTGACTACATGAAGTACGCAGACTGTGCTTCCAGTGGTGCAGCAAGGTGATGGCGTCTTTTGGGCCATCTTTGCAGAGCAGCATTCCGGCTTAATATTATTGTCCATGAATCACTCGAAGTCCATATGGTCCACATGCACATCGAGATGCAAAAATGTAGTTGCATGCATGTCGGTGCTACAAGCAAATATGCGGTTGCGCTGTAGCTCGAGTCTCGACCAGTAAGGAAAGATTTTTCATTAATTTCTCAGAGCTCAGAGCTCCGGGTACTACCGGAGCTAGCTTAGTAAGTCTCTGCCTTCCGCTACAGCCTGGCGACCTTTGCCCACGCTTCGCCTTTGCTTTGAGCACGTTCAAACTCGTGCAATAGTGATACCACATCGTGGACTTCACCTCCTATCTCCTAAAAACTAGATTAGGGGAAATCCAATTTTACAAATGCTTTGGCTGGAAGCTGAAGGAAGCTTCTGCCGCCAGTGGGGAAGCCGCCCCCGGAGTCCCCCCGCTTGGGAGGAGGGAGGTCCATTTCTTGCCTCATCAACCTCGGACTCAGACAAGAAAGAAGCTCGCACTAAGCCACGCAAAAACCGCTTCATAACATTGGCAAAAATGGCTACCAAGAAACTTGCGAGATCTTATGCTGACGCGTTGAAGGGCGGTGCTATGGGCAGTGCTACCCAACAGGAAGGGTCTGGAGCAAACGATGGTTAGGACGCTGTAGGTCCTGTACGAAAGGATGTGGCACAAACTGAGGTAATCTTATACCTGAAATTTAACAATGTGCTATTTTGCAGGCATCAATATGTTGTTGAGGATGGAGTGACGCCACCTGCTCTGATCAGCTCACGACGACAAGCCTGCTCCGTTGCTCAATATGTCTACGGGCATGTATTGTTGCTCTGTAGGATCTGGGAGCGGAGGGCAGGGTTGGCGGTCACATATCTTCGAACGCTTGGAGTAAGCGATCTCACTTGATGACGTCAGAAGCAAGCTTGGTGACCAACATGTCTCCATTCATGAACGTTTGCTCCAGAGACTAAAGAAATTATGTGTCCGTGCCACAGTGACTCCAATTTCATCTCGAACGGTGCCCCAACCTGAAACCGCCACAAGTTCCCTGGACAAGGTATGATGCACTGTTGAGTCTTTCTGATGGATATGAATGTTCCACTGCACAAGGACGTTGCAAGTGCGTCCACGCCATGTAAGGGTGAGATTAGGGGAACGGCAGGAGAGAGGAATCCACAGCATTGACGATCACATGCATGAAGCCCACTGCTTTACAACCTTCACCTGCCTGTTGTGTAGCCGCAGCTGGCGCGAATCAGGTAGTCCAGTTGTGATCTGACGCTATGAAAGGGATGAACGTTGGATCAAGAGCTCCTGCATCGTTTGCCTGCAGGTTGCGGACCCGTTGACTGCCGTTAGAGCGCTAAAGAAGGGCAGTCTCAAGGCTACACTGGCAGCTGAGGAGGGGCGCCTGATCAGGGTATTTGGATTATAATGCTCTTGCTGTGCAATCCCTGGAACTCCATACTTTTGTTACATCCATGACACAGGAGAGCGACACACATCCTGCAAACTTCAACACAATGTCATCAAGGAAGCTTCTTTGGGGTGCAGGAGAATGTCGGGGGGAGGCAGATTGCATACATGCCCGAGGACATGGCATATGTGAATACCCTGAGCATCAAAGAATGCGAAGAACTCATCCGCGCGAACGAGAATAAAATGAAGGAGCGCAGGCAAGCAAGGCAGAAGGTAGGAGCCAGTGACCACAGCTGCCAACAGGCTTTGGAAGCCTGCAAACTTACAGACTCTTCTGTTGCTCCACCTAGCTGAATGCTTCTCCGATGTTTGATCGTCAAGTGGCTGTGAGCAGATGCTGCGACCGCTGGCGCGCATGCCAGCCAGCAGGAAGGGGAATGAAGGAGTGGTTGCATCAGCGGAGGAGAAAGTGATCACGGTACATGCAGATGACTTTGGCAAATGAAAGAAAGAATTTTTTGCTTGTTAACATTGCCTTGACACTCAGCTCAATTGCTCTGTCATGTGTCAGTTGTGGTGTGCAGGAAGTGGTGAATGGGAAAGAATGCTCATACACGTTGCAAGACATGGAGTATGTCAACAGCTTGACAATTGAGGAGTGCGAAGCCTTGATAGAGAAGAACAAGCAGAAGCTGAAAAGGCGCGAAGACCTGAAACTGAGGGTGCGCACCAGTACTCACAGCTGCCTGCTAGCCATAAATGCAGTAGTGTACTCTCTTGTAGGCCTTCTTTGTTGTATGGCACTCCAGACCGCCGAAACCTCTTGACTCTGAGCTGCTGTCTGCAGACGCTCCGTGGAATGCCAATGATGCTGGCTCGCATGAGGGCTGACACAGGAGGAGATCAGTGACATGGGAGCAGTGCCCTGCGTGAAGAATAGCAAGTCTGCACAGTAGCAATCCCATTGCCTAACGCGCTTAGACTTAAAGGAGCATCAGCAATCTGAATTCCTCCCACTACATGATACACAAAGATCACATGCTGTGCTCCAAATGGATTGGAGTGCATGGCGGCGCTGTCAATAGAAGCATTATTTTATTTGGCGTGGAATGGTATCCTCCAGCTGAGCAGATTCAAGTTTTGCAGTTTGAGTAGGAAACGCCGTCATATTCCAATCTGGATATCAGGAACAAAGGCTTGAGGTTTGCTGTCAAGCTTGCTTAGTGGCTTTACAACAATTGAACTAAGAAGGGAATCCCAGAACCGTACGCTTGTATAGGGCTGAGCATCTTAAGACACAGGGATACTGCTCGATTGCAGGAGAATATGACCAATTGTAAGGATTGGCCATATGTAACAATGCCGAATACTGAGATTGGCATGATGCACAGCATGCTTGACAAAGATGGCTAGAAAATACGCTTGTAATCGCTCTTTTATCTCTGCCTTCCGCTACAGCGCTGGCAACCTTCGCCCACGCTCTGCTTTTGCTTTGAGCACGTTCAAACTCGTGCAATAGTGTACCACATCCTGGACTTTACCTCCTATCTCCTAAAACTTAGAAATAGGGGAGTCCAATTTTACAAATGCTTTGGCTGGAAGCTGAAGGAAGCTTCTGACTCCAGTGGGGAAGCCGCCCCCGGAGTCCCCCCCCTCGGGAGGAGGGAGGTCCAATTTCTTGCCTCATCAACCTCGGACTCAGACAAGAAAGAAGCTCGCACTAAGCCACGCAAAAACCGCTTCATAACATTGGCAAAAATGGCTACCAAGAAACTTGCGCGATCATTTGCTGACGTGGTGAAGGGCGGTGCTGTGAGCAGTACTGACCAACAGGAAGGGTCTTGTGCAACCAAATATCCGGACGCTGTAGGTCCTGTACGGAAGGATGTGGCACAAACTGAGGTAATCTTATACCTGAATTTCAACAATGTGCTACTTTGCAGGCATCAATATGATATTGACGATGAAGTGACGCCACCTGCTCTGATCAGCTCACGACGACAAGCCTGCTCCGTTGCTCAAAATGTCTACGGGCATGTGTTGTTGCTCTGTAGGATCTGGGAGCGGAGGGCAGGGTTGGCGGTCACATATCTTCGAACGCTTGGAGTAAGCGATCTCACTTGATGACGTCAGAAGCAAGCTTGGTGACCAACATGTCTCTATTCATGAACGTTTGCTCCAGAGACTAAAGCAAATAACGTGTCCGTGCCACAGTGACTCCAATTTCATCTCGGATGGTGCCTCAACCTGAATCCGCCGCAAGTACCCTGGACAACGTACGATGCACTATTGAGCTTCATCATGTTGTGTACCAAACTGTCTGCTTTGCATATGAACAATTGAGGATGGAAACGATTTGCAATATCTGGCTTGAGCTTGAAGGTACATTGTGCTGTGGCAATACTAAAGTAGTTGGAAAGTCTGATCGTGCTGTGCTGGAACAGCCGGAGTCTGGTTCCTCGGACAAGCAATCCTCCACTTCAAGCCCCAGTGCAGCTACACCACAGAGCAAAATCAGAGTCCCAGCAATCAAGGCAAGTAGTCTTGCTTTACTGCACACCTGCATATGGTTTAGCACATGGCCCTGGTTGAAAATTTCTTTTGGTGGTCAGCGCAGATGGTGAACCAGTTGCTAGGTGAGCACGCGTGCAGCAAAGACAAAGAGACAGACACACAGGAACAGCCACAAACACTGACGGTGAGTTGACCAGAGTGCGTGGCACGAGCTTTCCTGTTCTCTGACAGGGTCTGGAGGCTCAGCGTTTGCACTGAGAATACTGAAGCGTGAGTGTCCAGAGTTTTTGTGCTGAACAGATGACAGTGGACGGGGTGGAGTATACCTTCTACGAGGAAGACTGGAACATTGCTAAAGAGATGGATGAAGAACAATGTTTACAGTTTCTGGAGGAATATGACAGGGAAATGATGCTGCGCGATGAACTGCACCTGAAGGTGAGCGGCACTTGACCATAGCTGCCTCCTTGCACCATGAGTACACAGTCGTTGTTGGCACTGTCTACATCCCTGGTCCCTTGCAATTGTCCTTCCATGCCATTGTGCCTTGAGAATTAGATGTGCGTCTGCAGATGATATCTGCCCTGTCGAGGTGGGGTGTATAAGCCTCCTGTAGGGACATGCCCGCTCAAGGAGGGCGTACCAAGGAAGTCCAAAGCAAAGCACGACAAAACAGAAGCAATTGGATTGCAAGCGCAAGTGTCTCCTCACATGCATGTAATTGTCCCAAAGCCATCTGGTGTCGCAGGGATTTTCTGCTGATTGATTGCCTTGCAGAAGCTCCAGCATTAGTAATTGGCTGATCCTGCTGGCACAATGATCCTCCCGCCTCAAGCTGCATGTGATATATACGTACTTTGTGTATATATACATTGTCTGGTGTATAGAATCATCAGCAGGTACTCTGACATGTAATAGCGCATCTCAAAAGGTCCTGGGAGTTCATCCTGGTTGTTTGCAACACCAAACAGCCACAACATGCATTCTCCTACAAAGATTCGTCATATTTGAACGCAGACTCCTGGTAGCTGCAGACTGTTCTACGTGCCACTCGATTTTCTTTGGGGGTGCTACCATCCTGTGCATGTGTCAATTCAAAATTTCTGTTCCGCTCTTCCCCACCTTCAGCGCATTATTCTAGACATCAAATTGTGCATGCATGGGCGCGAGCCTATCTTGTGCAAGAGCTAGACTGCCTTTGGTCCCTTGTTTGAAGGCACCAATATCAAATATATCATCTAAACCGTGTTCATTTCCGTTTTCATCCTCTCAGACACAGTTGTGCGGATGACTCACTGCCGCTAGTGGCACCAACATATAGAATCTCTGAGCTGAAATCAAGATTTCTTTGGGAATATTATGGTGCGCTTGCTGGTCTGGACTAGACTTGGAGCCTCTGACGCATTTCAGGTGCCCCAATTGCCATTGGCATTGTTGAGACTTTGAAAGCCCAGGTGCCGCTGGCCGCTGCCGCAAGAGATATGTGTCCAGTATGTTTGTTGCAGCTGTTGGGGGGCCCATAGGACATCCACGTCTAGGCCAGTGCACTGCTACCTCCGCAAATGGCGCAGGGATCCCGGACCATGTCCTCTGGGTGCGTCTGCACATGACCACAGCCTGTCAATGGCATGCTGCTCTCAGCACAAAGCTGGCAGGGAATCTTGACAGCAGCAAGCAGTACTCAATGGCGTCTCCAATCAGCTAGTCAACCAAGAGAGCCACATTATGGACAAGAATTGTGTGTTGAAGTTGCAGGCCTGCCCTCACCTTCTCTCAAGCAAGCAGGGATATGGCGCCGTGTGCCGTGCCTGACAGAGATGCCGAGGCCGACTTTGCGTGTTTGGGCAGATATAAGGGTGAGAAGTAGCTCCATTGCCCACCCTGCATTGCAATCCCTGCTCTTGGCGCCTTGCTCATTGTTTCTTGGTAGCATCAGCAAGACGCCAAAGCTATGAGAACTGGGAGGAGGAGGCAGCGCACTTGAAGCCGCCGCGGCTGGTGACCTCCTTGTAGAGGTTGTAGAGGTCGAGGCGGCTTCCATTGAGGATGGCGTCCGGGGAGGTCTCGGGCGTCACTTTCTTGCCGTTGCGCTCGCAGTGGAAGGCGCACAGGTCCTCCATGAACTGCGCCTCGCTGCACTCCCACATGCGCGGCCGCTTCGACACCCACACCGGCACCGCCGCCGGGCCCCCTTGGCCAGCCATGGGCCCATCCTTCCTATTCTCCTCACCTGAACCCCTACATTAAGAAGCTTCTGAGCCCTTACTTTTCTGGCAGTCATGGTCTCAGCAGCCTTACTGGCAATCATTGGAGGCTGGTCTGAGCGGAATTTGCACAGGCAGCTTCTAGCAGTATTGATGTTCTGAGTGTAGCAGGCAGTCGTGCCTGTAGTGGAGGGGCGTTCCGGTATTGCTCTTGGACGTCGCAACGACGTCCAGATCTTGCATAAGGCAAATTCAAATGCCATGCGATTGAACTCTGATCGTGTTGTTCGGGATTTTTCGCTGCTACAAATCTGACCTGGTCGTATTGACGATCGGTTCACGAAGCATTTATGTATGCCTTTCAGCAGTCCTTTTCGGTGCCGTTCATTGGGACTGATCGCGCAGAAGAAGCCAAGGCAGCTTCAGGATCCCTGTCAGAGGCAGACGTGGGGATGGCGTCCGCGAATTCCTGGACTGCACGTCAGCCAAGCCAGGTACAGTATGGTCTGCCCTCGTGATACCTTACCAATTCGCTCGTTGAAGTATAAAGGAACCAAAAGAATCAAGAAAATAAGAATTGTCTCCAAGTGAGGCGTTTTGATGCCAAGCTAAGAATCCTCCCCAAACGGGAGTGTTGATCAGCCCTGCCAGGCAAGCTACTAGCCTAGTAGTACTAGGCTTTGAGGCTTCCTAAATGGTGGGAAATGCCAAGGATGCTCCTCAAAAGCAGACTCAGAGGTGCCTGCTACGATGAGCCAGTCTGGATTAAAAGCAGCCTGACACCCTCCCTTCAGCTTCTGTGGGGTCATGGGCCTTTTCCATAGTGGTGGCCTCTCAAGCAGCTGGATAGTAGACCACCTTGAGGACTGGCGTTAGCATTCTGTATCATCAAATCATTCGGAACGCCTGGGATGCATGCAGGGACCCGTCAAGATCACTGCGATAGTCCTCGGAAAATGTCATCCAGGAGGGTCAGCAATGCTGGACGGGAGGCTGATCCCCACGGGTAGTGATTTGGCGGACCCTGTCATCGGTGAGAGCTCCTATGAGAGCCCATAAGTCCCAGATATTGCCACAAAGGGTCCATGTGCAGGCCTAGTCCCGCCCATGCATGCTCCCCTATGCAAGAGCAATGCTCCACAGTGTTTGGCAACGCCAGACTTTATATCCTTGCATGGCATGTCTGCACTGCAGGTGGAAAGATCGACTGTTACCTTGAGACCAGTGCCGGACGTACTCTGATTGGCAGCGGCGCCAACCAGCTGTTGAAGGACATGCCAAGGAGCATCAGCTCGTTTTCGGTCCCTATCACGATTCCACTCGATGTTTCACCTGGCGTCCCGGTGAAGCCCTGCTAATTCATCCTTCATCACCCTCAATATGCTATGTCTAGGAAGCTGTCCTGCCTTACAGCTGATGCAGTGCTCTGCTTCCTTTGTGTTTGCCCATAGTGCCTTGGAGGGCATCTTCCAATATAGAGGCATACCTGGGTGCCAATCCATTATGTAATACAGAGCGCTTCAGTAATGCCTGGTGTTTGCACGGGTGCAGCGCCTCAATGTTGTCTTCAGTGGCAATGATGAGTACCTTACAGCGAGTGTCGGAGTGGCGTCTGGGCCAGAGATGAAAGTGGTAATTCTCTTCCAGGAGGTTCCTTATGAGACATGCATGGAAGTAAATCTGCAGATGGTAAATGTTTGCAAATTCTGACCTTGCATGAATGTTTGTGCAACTATTTGCAAACATGGTCCAGCAAGCCCTGCAGGTCATTTACATGCTTGCCCAACTGACACGGGTGTTGTCTCAATTCAGGTGATGCCTTCAACAAAGGAGGGAACCAGCTCTTACAGGGCAGCCACGGCTGCAGCAAAGCCAGGCGGCACCCCTGGCGACCTACAGCTGGTATGTCGCAGACGATTGCCGATGAGACTGGAGTGGAATGCTCGCTTTGCTCAAGTACAGAGGCTTGGTCACCCGGCAAGATGAAGGAAGACAGGTTGCCATAACAGAGGTTGTTTGGGTCCAAAGAAGGATCTGGGAGAAAAGGCAGGCCTGTCAAATCCTGGAATGACCTGGACTCTGGAAATTGGATCCATAGGATTGACATGCCATTGGTGGAGAAAGTGCCAAGACAGGGAAGGTTGGAGACATATCTTCGAGACATTGCTGCAAGGCACCTGACCTTGAGGGCTTCAACACGGTTGTAAAATTGCCAATGCATTGGGCGTGACCTTGCAGGGGGGGCTGTTGATGCTGCCACAGAATGTAAAATCACTTGCAAAAGGATTTGCAGCGGACGTTCCATGCCGAGATCTTTTCGAGGGGTCACTCCCTCCACCGAATGAATCACATGACTTTGGATGCTGACTTAGTGCACTCACCCTCTTGATTCAGGGGCTGCTTTCGAGTGCGGAGGACAGCGGCGGCTCGCTGCAGCAGCATGCTGAAACTGGTCTCCAAGGAGGCCTATTCCAAGTGCGAGGATCTCAAGCGCTGACATTTGGCGGAGGAACAGCAGTAAGTTCTTGATTGAGGCTATATGCCACAGAACTCTGGAAGTCCCTTCATTGTTGTAGCGAACATTATGTGTTGTGATTTCCCAGCTTGCCCCTTTAAAGCAAGGAGTCCCAGATGATCATTGCTTCATCATGAGCGATAAGGGGCTGTTGCAATTCAGGAGCTTAATTATGGAGAAGACGGTGTTCCTGCGGCAGAAGCAATAGATATACAGGGTGATGACGTGCTGGTGAGTGAGCGACAGTTGTTGAGTGCTATGGCCCTGATATTGCAGCCAATGCCGGTGGAGGCAGTCAAATATTTGCACAAATACCTGCAGGGATGCTTATAAGCGTGCAGCAAAATGCACTGCTGGGACCTTTGCATAAGGCAGTTTCCTCGCAACCTTGGAAATAGCAGCGTATCCATCAGGCCGCTACAAGGTGGCTTTGGAAGCAAGCTCTGTTCATTCAGCCGGATGATGTCATTTTTTCAGGTCGTGCTCGCTGGAGAGAAGAATGCGACGGCGCTCCACGTGAGGCAGCACTTTGCCGCTTGAGGCTGCCGGGAGATTACCAATGGATTCTGCCTGGAAGTCTGCCAGCAATCAAATAATGTTGAACTCTTGGTCAGGCACTTGAGCCAATTCCACTAAAACTGCGCCCAAATAGTCCAGCGCCCTCCAGTGGCTCTGTTGGAGAACGTTTGTTCGAACGGGATATCCCTCAGCTTTGGATTGGTCCTGTAACTCTGAGGCAATTGCCACGTTGATTGCCTCACACCAGGAAGAAAACTGTAGCGCTGAGGCGCAGTAAGCGCAATATTTCATCTTATTTGAAGTTTGCTCTCTGTTTGTTCAAGTGATGGAGCCTTGACAGGCATCGAGACTCGAGTGAAAGCGACTACCCTGATTTGTCAGGGGGTGGGGTGATGGGTCTAGCTGTCCGGCCAACTTTTGGGGTGAATAATTTCTCCCTAGGGGATGAATTGTGGCAAAATCTCGCTCAAATTTTGAAGTTAAAATATTGAATTTTAAGGGTGGCCCGCCACCTTGCCACCACAGTAAACATTCAATGCCAGCTTGCTAACCCTAAGGCCTTGAGCAGTCTGTAAAGCATTGGGCAGAATTGGGTAGCTGTGGGCAGGGTGCAGCATGCCTGGGCAGTCTGGGCAGCCCTGCGCAGCTCAACAGGTGAGTAGACAAATGCACGTGATCTGGCACGTGCCCTTTAAGAGCCTAGAAAGGCAACATGGGGGATGATGTTTGGTTGTGTCGAGGTGGCCTCCCTCTAACTCTGGGGTCGATATTCCCCGAATATCAATTTCTGCCCCACCTTGCTTGGCAGTGCTTTCATGCATGCCTGTTCTGACAGCAGGGTCAGGGAGTAAAAGGCGCGCCACCAGGGTTTGACAACCCTGCAGGGTCCCTGAAGGGATTGGCCTATCCGGTCAGAGTTAGGGGCAAGGTTTCAGGGCGGCCCCGGGAAATTTTGAGATTTGGGAAAGTGACGTCAGGGCGTTGCCCTGATGCCAATTTGCCATGATCTCAGGGCAGCCCTGTTTTTTTTGTGGTGTGCAAGGCCTACTTACGGGTTGCTCCAAACAACTCAGGCGTGTCGCACGCATGTTTCGATACAGAACAGATCAAGATTGCGGCTGTATGGTGCCAAAGCTGGGCTTGCTCTCATGGTAGACGAGTCAGATGCCATTTTAAAAAGCATTTCCGTTGTTGTGAAGGATTTTGATCTCGACTCGGGGCTGCCTCGACATATTTGCGGAATCGGCGAGAATATAGGCTCCGCCCCTGCCTGTTCGAGCTTTGGTTCAGGGTCACCCTATGTTTTCGGTGACCCCGTGTCAAACCCTGCGCGCCACCATGCGAGCTAGTGGGTCCGCGGGGGAGGGTGTGCAAGCAGTGGTGGCTGCCACCCTGGGCACATGAGCTCCGGCAGCAGCTACTTCGTGACAAGGAGGTAAGCAATCATTTTCCGGGCGTCTCATGGATAGCTGCCACAAAGAGAATGCCTATTCGAATGCTGGCATGGGCTGCACTTGTAGCACGCGCACATGCATGGTGCTTGTTATTGCGTGGGCTGGCTGGGGGCGAAGGTTGCACAGTTGGCAAGTCGCGGAGTTGGTTTGGAAGCCTCCCTCAACGGGAGGGGTTTGACAGCCCTCAGGGAATTCTAGGTGATCTGCTTTTATGTTCAGGGCTTGCAACTGGATCATTGTGCCCTGAGAAAAGCAACTCGGGCGTCAGGCCAAAGCTCATTTGACGCAAAAATATCAAGGGAAACCTGTTGGTGTCTCGTCAAAGATCATGTGCATCTAGATCTTAGGGATGCCCTAAACTTCTATTCAGTACTATGGCACGCAAACGGGGGCAAATTAGGCCTAGGGGCTGCCCTGAACTAGGACCCTTGTCAAAGCCTACTTGACGTCATAGTTTGAGCTGGTCACTCAAGACTTGTGTGGTTTGCATGCAGGCTTTTGCTGGAACCTGTGAAATGGCCGCTGCCATCACAGTAGACGACCCTTGCCAGATCTTGCTCAAGGGCAGCTTCAATGGACGGGCAACCAACATGACACTCTTTAGGAGGCAGTGAGTTGGTGCAGGGACTTCGGCCAACTTTACCTTGCTGAAGGACTTGGCCGCACGCTTACCGCAAGTCTTAGGAGGCAGCACCTTCCTCAACAACTATGATAGCATTCCTAAAGCGAAATGGTATGACGTACCGTTTCGCTTGACGATTGCTATCATATAGTTGTCGAGGAAGGTGGTGACTCCTCTGACTTGCGGGAAGCGTGCGGCCCAATCCTTTAGCAAGGTGTAGTTGGCCGAAGTCTCTGCACCAGCCCACTGCCTCCTAAAGAGTGTCATGTTGGTTGCTCGTCCATTGAAGCTGCCCTTGAGCAATATTTGGCACGGGTCGTCTATTGTGATGGCAGCGGCCATTTCAAAGATTCCAACGAAGGCCTGCATGCAAACCACAGAAGTCCTGAGTGACCAGCTCCAACTACGACGTCAAGCAGGGTTTGACAGGGGTCCTAGTTTAGGTCAGCCCCTAGGCCTAATTTGCCCCCGTTTGCGTGCCAAGATCACGCCTAAGTAAACAGGTCAGAGGCCCTCAGCCTTTCTGAAATCGCCAACATCAGAAATCCAATCTTTGTGTCACTTTCAAGGAAATGCAATACTTTAGGGATGCGCTTGCTGTGTTCACCGTGTGATGCACATGCACGCTAGAGCCAAAGAGGTTAAGCAGTGCTTTGGAAGAAACATAGCAATGCTTGTGAAGTTCATGAAGAGGACATTGGTGTCTGCTTGAGAATGGTGTGCTCTGTCTGCTGTTTGCATTTGGGTTTGTGGACCACCGAGTCCCCGAAGAAGAATTGCATGCATTGCTGTTGCAGGGAACACCAGCATGCCTGAATCCGCATGAGACGCGCGAGCTTGAGATCATGGGGAGAGGAGACCTGGGCTGGCCACGACCGCAGAACGGTGGCAGCTGCAAGAAAGGACTATCACAACAGCGTCGCCATGTGTGCTTTACCTTGTAGCATAGGGTTAGGGTTTATTCAAATGAAGTGGTGTGCAACAACACAGAGACAGCCGGCGTAAGCGTATGCAGAGTGACATAGTACCCGAGTTTAAGAGCACTAGACAGACTGCTTTTGTGATGAAAAGGCAAGACTGACCTGATATGCATATGCTATCATCATAGGATCATCACAGGATGGAACAAGACCACCGTATGGACTAGCAGCCATGCACCACAGTTTTTGCTGTAATTGCATAGCTACCTCAGTCTTGACCAGTCGCCCTGAGAGGTTTGAGTACACACAGAGCAACAATGCTAGACTTCATTGATGAGACATCTGCTGAGATGATATCGTGCAAAGAGGACAATCCCTTACGCTTAGCTGCATGCGGCTTAGACACAAAGAAAAAGCTGATTAGTTCTAAGACCCCAGGAGAAGTCCAGCCGGCTGGCGCTCTATGCTACAATGCCAATTTTGAAAGAAAGCACTTCACTCAAAAACCTCAACGCACTCTGAAGAATTGAAGCACATTATCTCTCAAAGCCAAGATGCGCTGACTTCAAGCAACGCTCTGCATTGTGGTACGAGACATGAGATCAAGGCGCCAGCAAAAATCCAAATCTTCTTGCCCACACTTCCTGCCGTATCTGTTGTCGATGCCAATTTGGCAGTGGAACAGTCAGAAATGTCCTTGCCATACACTAATGGGTGCTGGATGTACCCAAGCATAATAGAGAGAGGATATGCCTAGAGGCAGCATTCCTCTGCAACCTTTTGCCTTGCTGTTGCAGCACACCCTGTTTCCGCCTGGGTTCCATTCACATTTCTCTAGTACTTCATGACTTCGCTTTCCTTGAGCCCTTGACCGGCAGCTTCAGACGAGGCATGTGCTGCAAGCCCTCCTTCACATTGATCCGGCTCCACTTCTGCACAACAGTATTGAAACATTCTCAAGTGCTCCTATCTCCCTCTTCAAGACTCTGGTGTCAAACCAGGCGCTCTGAAAACGTCATGCAGATTCACGGCATAACTGTCCCTCTGGGGCTCAACAAAATTGGTCAGAAATCAGCACTCTGCACGTAATGAAAGGTGATTGAAAGCAGAGGCAGGCACCTGTGTAAGAGCGAGTGCAGCCCACTTCAAGGCTGCAGAAATGGCCTGGAATCCTCGCCGCAGGCCGAATAGCGCCAGAACCACCAGAGACAGCGTGAGCAGAAACATGTTGCGGACATCCGCGTCCAATGCTGCATGGCAGGTCTGCAGCACGCACTTGGCTTCCGCGGTTGCGCCTTTTTGAGTCGCGCTCTGTAGCACGCACTGGAGGCCCATCGCCAGCTGCGCACAGCAGCAACAGCGATGCGTCAGATGCCTGGTCTTGAGTCGATCAGCTGAGCGATTTTGCCAACTAAGAAGACACCAACAAACTCAGCAAGGAATCTGATCGCCAGCCAAGCACAGCACCACCTGCAGAATCCTCCCTGCAGCAACAGGGATTGCCGGACACCGCAAGAGATCGGACGGTCATGGGCGGTCAAGGCGCGGACACGGAACCTCCCAGCATTACAGCATCCTGCCTCATGCTCTCAAGGCTCAAGTTGCCCAAGGCATCTACTGCCCCTCATGTGGATTGCATCACTAAATGATCACTAAATAATTTAGGATGAGCCACCTACGGGCCAAGCTGTTCAGCAGTGCTGCTGAGGAGGCCAGCCGCCACTGACTAAATCATGGGCATGTGATGACTAACATCGGTAGTAATGTGATGTTAGATAAGTCACCTGGGGGCCGAGCTGCGGCGCGGCGCTGCTGAGAATGTCGAATATTGAAGACAGGGGGTCGGCGGCAAGCGCGGCCGGGTTGAGTGCGGCCGCCACATGTGCCGCCACGTCATCGCCCGTGTCCAGCCGCACCGCCAGCGCCGGCCTGTCCATTCCACAGAAGCCCTGTGCACACAACCCCGGGATTATTTAAGGATTTTTTGATCAATCACCCCTAAATGAAAAGACCCAGTGGCACCCTTCGCTGGCATTCCCGTTCTGCATGGAAAGCTGTGTGCATGTGTCAAGGGCGCAGTCGCTCAACTGGTCAGTGCTGATAACAAGGTCTCAAGAAATATTTGCAATCAATCAGAAGCATTCAGCAGGGTGTTGTCGCCTTCTGAGTGCTTCAAAAAGCTGCAAAAAACTGCACAGGAGTTTGCTGCATATATTGAAGAGCGGCGCGCACTGTTTGGGCAAGCTTGAAGAGAGCGAGGTGCTGCTTGTGCCAGGGCACGGCGGCGTACTCCACTATTGTAGCCATCTCAACAGACCACCTGCTGAAGCTCAGGCCTGTGCATGCACACAGACACAGCTCAGCCCCCAATCAGAAGGCCAAGCCCTGCATACCCAACATCACATACCCAGCATTGTAGTCCCTCCAACATCAGCCTTCCCCCGCACAATAACTTCCTCTGAAGCACGATCCTAGAACCACATACACTGTAGAGATAAGTAAAGGAGTGCAGGCAACTCTACTGCCTGGCATAACTCTTATCTGATATGTTGATCAAGGCATGATTATGGCAGAGTGCAAGAGCTCATTAATACAAGCGGCTAGTGCAGAAAACGATGTGCACGAGTAAGCAGTGCAGGGTTCGCACCTGGCAGGTAGTGAAGGGGCCGGGCGGTGCGGTAGAGAGAGCGAGCGGTCGGGGCAACTGCGCCAGATAAGAGCAGTCCCACCACCAAGATAGCGCCCAGCAGCACGGCTGTGGCAGTCCTCTGCCGCAGATGCGCGGCGGCTGCATAGCCGGCATTCGCCGTGTACAGCGACACGAGGAAGAAGGATAACGAATACCAATCGTACCCTCCCTGGAGGGGCAGCTGCGCGCACACAAGACAGCGCCATTTATCGAAATCCACTGATGTCCACTGATGGATTGGTTATGCAGGGATATGATGTGTGTTCAATATGGCACTGCCATCGATTGATGCGCGCAAGAGGTATGCAGGGGTGTGAAAGGAGGAGATGTGGAGCTCACCACCCACAGGAGGACGCCACCAAAGGCGAGTGGCCGGATCATGACATTGATGAGATCGACCAACGCCGTGCCAATATAGAACGCGAGCGTGTACAGGCCTGCAAGGTGCTCAGAATCAAGAATCTCGTAATCGTCATGTGATATGTAATCTGAGTCCCCATCAGCAACTTTGCTCGGATAAATCATGTAGATCTTGTGCACACAACACAAGCAGGGTGCAATCCTTCAGACCAGGAGCTAAGGCGCCCAGTTTATTGCTCCCAAGGGTGAGACAGATCACTCATTGATGCACAGAACACCAACAGTGCCTCGCACTGCAGCATTCTTTCAAGCTTTTCCCAGTGGCCGGCATGCTAAAAGAGGGGCAGGCACAAAAGGGTGCGCACATCCAAGATCCTGGTGTGCCAGGTGGCGCCGGGCGGCTGAGAAGGGCTGCAAGGCCCATGGAGCGCAGCACAGTGCGAGCGCCAGCACACACCGCAGCAGAACAGCCGGCGTATTACTAATGTCCAGCGAGCTCGCGCAGAGCAGCCCCACTGCGAATGCCACGGATGCAGCGAGCACCAACGAGTTCGTGAGGCTTCCAAGATGGCGCCTCCACTGTAGCGCGGCCCTGCACAGGCACACAATTACAGTTCAAAAATTGGAATTTGAAGTCAAAATTGAATGCCGTGATCTGCCTGGGGTATGATAAAAGACACATGGTGTCCCTCCATACAGCTCATTCTGATGGGCTGGAATTTCTCAGGCCTGATCACAGTGTGAAAGGACTTGGGTGTTTACAAGGTCCCTGCAAGGTCTCCAATTGGAGGCCGAATGGGGACCAGGTAAGTGAACAGGCCTTACTGCAGTGGGTCTTTACTGGCTAATTGCAGCCACATCGCACTGTCTCAAGTTGGCAACAAAGTATGAAGACACACCCAACTACCATGTTTTCAGAGATACAGCCAATGGTTCAACAGCAGAAGCCCACATGCAGATTGCAGTTCTGTGCGCCCACCTTGCTGCTGCTCCTAACAAGGCAGGCACTCTGTAATTGGCGCCACTGCTGTACAGCACTGTACGCTACTGCACATGCCTCAAGAGTGTCTGCATATCGGTTTGGTGTGGTTCATGCCAGGTGGCAAGAACAGAGCTCACCGCTGTATGCAGTACACGGTTTGATGGAGGCAGCTGGGCGCTCTCCTGCGCCGGTACTTCTTCTCTACGAGCTCCGCTTGCTCGCCCTTCCGGCAGCCCACGCCCGACCCCTGCAACACAATCAGAATCATACTCATCACCCCAAGACCTCGCAAAGGTTTCATATGAAGAGCGCAAGGCGCGTGCGTTTATTTCCCACTGTAATGCAGAGCAGAGGAAATAGATGTCAACAAAGCAAGTGCCATAACTTGTGTAGCGCCCTTCGGCCATTTTGTGCCTCTGCTCAGTGGGTCACAAGCAGACAGGAGCAGAAGGGCACCTTGAAGCATTGGGACATCATCACGCATATGCTGCGCGGCCGTCTTGGCGGCCGCGGGCCGGGGGACTCGGGGTCCCCCGGGTCCTCCCCCAGGCCACCACCGCTGCCACCACCGCCGGAGGAGCGGTCCCCCCAGCTGCGCTCCCTGAGGGGCACTGGCTCCCGGCCGCCGCCGTCGGCCGCCACTGATGCCGCGTCCGACCGTGCCAGCTCTATGGAGCCGCGAGCGCCCATTGATGCTCGTGACAGGCTGCCATTGCGCACCATGTGTGCCTCTTCTGCCTGCAGCAACACAGTGTCCGGCTGCTCATCACTTGCTGCTCCATGAGAAGCTGAAATCCATCTCCAGCTGCAAAAATGTCTGTTTTTGTGGCTGCAAAACATGTCCCCTGTCAGGTAAAATACTGTCTCACCTGGACTGTTTGGCACTCACTCAAGAGCAGGTGCAAGCGACACTGGGACATTCAGGAATGAGAGGCATCTCGTTCCAGTGTGCTGAAGATGAGATGATTCTACTTTAACAAGTCGATGGTGCATGAAGATCACCGTTGGGAGCTGAAGCTCCTTGGACCCCTCGCGGTTGAAAGTTGTCAAGAGCCTTTTAGTAGAGCTGGCCCGCGGCTCAGCTGCGTCAATTTCCTCCGGATCGGCCTCGTGGCCCAGGGCGTCGTTCTCGATGTCAATTGACATGAACATCTGCCGCGGCATCATTTCTATTTCAATTCCACCCCCGTCCTGCTCACTGCTCAGCTGGCCCTCACCCCTGCAAGTATCCCACCCCGGCTGTCATCAGCACATTTCTTGACTGCCAAAATTTCTCTTGGCCTGGTAACATCCCCATGAAGCCCAGCCTACCAAGATTTTGTGCAGTTTCTTTCAGCTCATTGCGAGCAGACAGAATGCTAGACAAGCAAGGCAAGCAAGGCAAGCAAGGCAAAAGCCATGATTCTGATGACAAATCAAGGCCGCTGCTGTGTTCTTGATGCTTCCAGAGAGAAAGCCTCCACAGCATAACAAAGAACATCTGGCGTGATACAAAACGCATGAAAATAACGCACCCGTTGCCGCCAACGCGCAAGGAAGGCAGCGCCCCCGGCCAACCTTGTCTTTGGCCGCCGCCGCGCTGCGCTGCGCTGTGCTCCCGGGCTCTAGCGCGGCGCACGGCCGCCTGCTGCACGAGCCACGTGACAAAGTGCACCAGTGTCACTGCCGCGCCGGCCGCAGGTTGGGACGCCGCGTGAGACAGGTCCTCCTTGGCTGAGTCCTGCGGAGGAAACGGTGCGCAGGGCCGCGTGGACCACGCTGAGCTGGCGGACAGCAGCATGCAGGGCGAGGCTGCGGCGGAGCACGGCAGGCCGAAGGCTGCGAACAGGTCCAGCACGTCCGTGCTGCACAGCTCCGTGCGCGCAGTGACCTGCGAACCACAAAGCTCTCAGAACTACAATCTCACACAGCTGCCTGAACATGCTTGTACAAGCCTGTGCATATCCTGAAATGCCCCACTGCAGTGTGTGGCATCAAGGTGACTGAGTCCTGAAACTGGCAAGAGCTGACAGGGTCAATATTTCAAGAATCCAAAGTCTGAACTATAAGATATGCCCCAACACACCGCCGCCATCAAACCAGCTAAAGTAAACAGAGGCAGAAATTTTCACCCAACCTAGGGTAACAGGGTGCACCTCTTCAGCAGTGTCGGGGCCGCGGTTGCCGGCGGCGGACTGCAGCACAGCAACAGAGAGCGGCAGAAGCTTCTCGAGGTCGAAGCGCTGTGAAGAGTGCGCATGCAGCACCGGTTCTGCCGCGGCCTCCATCGGGCGGCCAGCCGCGTCTTCGGCATTTGGTCGCAGCGCCTTCTGCGTCCACGGATCCGTCGCGCGCTCGGCCCACGCGTCCGCCAGCGACTGCGATGCAATTGTGCTCACAGCATTCAGCAGAAGATTTTTTGATCTCTGAATTCATGGATTCGTGAACATCCCGACGCGCAGATACTTTCTGGCGCATGACTCAGACACCATACTCCCCCTGTCGTTTGGCTAGATCGCAAGCAGCTCCCCTGTCACGGTGCCCTTTGTGGTGGGCAGCAGCACCAGCAGGCATTTCCATGCACTGACTGTTGCATGCACTAATTCTTGCATGCTCTGACACTTGCATAGTGTCTTACATGCTCCAAAACTTGTCAGCTCTACCTTGGGTACATTGCATTTGCAGAGGTTGAATGAGGCAACAGTTGAACTCGTCTCGTCACGCTTGGTGGTGGTTGGCGCGGCCACCCATCAGATGAAAAATAGAAACTTGATGAGATGAAGGAATGTCAATATAAAATGAGTCAACCCACCTGGCCGTCTAGAAGGGGCGTGCTGGCTTCAGGGCTGGACACAATATCCAGGAGAGTATCGTCGCTGCAGCCGCGGCCCAGGCCCCCCAGTCCGATGGACAGGAAGTAGGGGACCGTCAGGCGCAGTGGCCCATTGTACACTGTCAGACCATCCCGGCTAAGAAGCAAAATGTCCACGTTTGGCGCACTCCGCGCGTAGGCTTGCCTGCACACAGTAGTCCCTTTCTTTCAGCTCTCACAACATGAAGCAGGAGATCTCAGAACTGTTTGGAGGGATCATGCTCAGCAAGCAAAAGACTTGGAGAGTCACTCCAGTTCATGACATTCTGAGGTTGCCAGAGCAGGGGCCATTAGGAATTTACCCAGGGAGATATGTGGTGATGATCGTCATGCCGAGCCCAGCCAGCAGGTTAAGGCAATCCAGGAAGAGCGCCGACTGGAACGGGTCCAAGCCTGTTTCAAAGAAGCATAGGTGAGCTAACTGTCAAACAATTACATCATGCAGCTGCAGTGCCACACGCCTGAGCACGGGTCAAACAAGCTCCTTATCACTCTGTTTCTCAGATATAACGACCTCTTATGTGCGATGTGCCTTCGAGCAAAAAAAGGCTGTGTGCTTGAGCATGTGAGCATGGGGTGCAGAGCTTACTGTCGGGTGCGCAGTCCACCACAAGGAGGGAAGGGCAGGCAACAAGCTCCAGAGCCATGCTCAGCCGCCAATTAAGGCTGCTGCTTTCCATCAGTGCGGCTCCCTTGTGCAGCGACATCACGCCCCTCTTCTCGTAAAGATGCAGCAGCCGGAGCACGTCCTCCACAATTGCGCGCCGCTGCATAGTCATGCCACCCACATGTCAAACATCAAATGGCATCATGGCACCTGTGTCTCTTGACACGAGCTCTCGAAATTAAAGGCAGGTGCCCTGATGCAGGCTGGGGCATGATGAAGCAAAAAGCCGTGAGGGCATGGGTAAAGTGTTGCACCCAATACAGCATGAAGTGGTCCCTGGAGCAATGTATGCACTTGCACTTGCCTAATGCAAAGCACGGGATCTCCACATGCAGCATGCAGAACGTCAGAGAGGAGCACGGTAGGAGCCTGTATGAAATTGGTGATATTCTGTGATCCACGAGAGCAGACCTGCTGACTGGACACTGACGTCGGCAGCCTGAGCCTGGCGGTGTACTCCAGATTCTCAGACACTGTCAGGTCATCGAATAGTGCTACCACCTGTGCGCACCAGTGCAGCTCTGTCAGCCTTCTGAACTGCACTGTGCAGTTGGACCAAGCACATATGACAGTCGGGAGTGCAGCAACAGACAATTTATACAAAGAGGTCGTGTTGATGCGCACTTAGTGCAAAACAAGCAAGCGTGAGTGAAACAGAGCATGTCCTGAAGTCCATGGTACTGTGACATGATACCAGCAGCGCACCTTTGAGGCAAACCCAATGAGACGGCGGCACTGTGCCAGGCTGGCAGAGCTCCCCCCCACTGCCACGCTCGCAGACCCTGATAGGATCGTGCCCCGGGGGACGCGCGCCGACAAAACCTTGACCAGATTAGTCAAGTCGCATTCGCGCGGCGCCAGCATCACCGTCAGCCTCGAGTGCTGGATCCTTCCGCTCACGCCTGCGCAGCATGAAATTTCACTTTAATGTTGCATCTTCTGAGCTGTCCTTTGCAGCTCACAAATGGAAGATGGCATGCGAGCTAGCTCTGCTCCATTGCGGCCTCTGTTCAATCTGATGTGTCAAGCTGGCAGCGTCCAGACGTCAAGGTCAGGTAGTTTGAATGAAGAACAGGATCAAAAGGCGTGACAAGCATCGCACGGAGCTTTTCTGCATGCCATCACTGCTGAGTATTTGCAAGGGCATGCTCAAATGAGAGCACACCTTTCAGGAGCGGTGAGCCATTGGCAGGCGGCGAAACAGAGAGATCGCTCAATGTGATCTCCACATGGTCCCTTATTGGCTGCATGCCCTGGAACCTGAACCCCTCCGTCGCACGTATCTGGTCGTTGAGAAGGTGCCACATCTGCTCGCATGCATGCGTAAAGTCAGCCCGCGCTTTGCATTTCACACCCACGCAATTGCCCTTTTCACTGTCCACTCTAGGAAATCTCCAGCAAAGCATCATCATACCAATACCACGGTGCACTAGAAGTGACAAGACAAGCAAGCATTTGGCAGCATCAGTGGCATCATTTGGCATACTTAGATTGCAGAAGGAGAGACGATAGCAATACCTGCGCCCGGAGCGCTTCATATGGCTGTCGCAGCCGCTTCTGATGCTTATGGAAGTGGACAACTCCAAAAAAGGCAGCAGCGTACAGCAGCAGCACAAGGCACATGATCACCAGCCCCGCCGTATTGAACGCTGGGAAGGAAGAGCCAGCTGCGCACACTGCCAGAGCCGGGCAGGGCAGCGGGCTTGAGGAACCCCTTGGGCAGTACGTCCCCTGCGCAGCACATTCAATTGTTACATTCTGTTTTCGCATGCACAAGCTTGCATGTGTGCCTCTTCTCAGAAAGCAGTCCCTGCAGTATGTAGGCACCGTTCCAGTATATTGTCAAGTCTGCTCGTAGCTCTGCCTTGTCAGATGTATATTATTAGCTTTATCCCCTTTCCAAGACTTGGTACTCCTGATGGATGGACGGCAATGGGATTATCGCCATTGAGCCTGGGCTTCCCTCATTTGTTGGAGTGAGGGTGTCCTACCGCGAAGCACCGGTGCTGCTCGCCCGGCGTGGGGCAGAAGTGACCCGGTGCACAGCCGACAAACGGCGCGCCTGTATTGCCCGGGCAGAAATTCCCCTTCAGCGGGCCCCTGATGGCGGCTGCCAGCAGAGTCTGGCCCTTGCTCACCTCCAATTCTGGATCTGTCGCCAGCTGGAACACACAATCACACTGTACTCACAAACCATTTGTGGCATTGAACGATACCATCGGTGCAGGATTATTACCTGATTTTTATTGTTAGACTCTTTTGCTGCCCAAGTTGCGAATGCAGACGAGTTGCGTGTACAGGCTGCCAAAATCATACCCCGTGCTGGACTCGCCAGATCCAAGCAAGACCCAACCAACCGTGGGCTCAGTATATGTGCTGTGCAGGAACACAGAGAGCAATAGATACACGAATCTGTCTAGAGAAGGGACCGCACCAGCTCAGGAATTGAGCAAGTCAGCGAGGCAGATGCATCGTCCGGCACAAACGTGCCCAGCTTCACGTTTGGGTCTCTGCTGATCAGCGCGGTCAGCGCTGCAGTGTCCTGTGGCTCAGAGGATTGTACAGCGTTATCAGCTCCTGTCTTCTCTGGCTTTGCAGTTGGGCTGCGATCTGCCGGTGGAGTGCTGGCAGGAGTGTCATTCTGTACCGCTGGAAAAGTGCCCTGTGGTGCTGCAGCTGGCTTGTCTTGCACTAGGCCTGATGTGTAGGCGGATCCGCTGGTGTCAATGGCTGGATCAGAGACAGCTCCGGGGCTCCTGCTGCTGTCAGCGTCTGGGCTGCCAGGGATCATCAGCACTTTCGGCTCAGCTGGACTGGCGCTATTAGGGCTGGGGCTGGGTGTACTGCTGCTGCTGTCAGCATCCCCCGGGATTGGAGGCAGTAGCGCCGTTTCAGGGCTTTCTGAAGGGGTATCCAGCGTCTCTAAGAGCCGCAGCCCCTGTCAGAAGCCATTAGCGCTTCAAATCTGTACCTCTGGGGTGTCACATCCGCTTTCCACATCTGTGCTTGACGTCAGCAAAAATCGAAGCATACGGGAGCAAAGCGGACCTGTGAGGATGGAGAGCATAACAGAAGTATTGAGATTATGATCCCACGAACAAGTTGTCGGGATGCTGCCTTGTCCATCGAGAGAAACAAGGGGACTAAGAATCACGGATGTGCTTCCGCTACACCGAATTCACCATCAAGCCCCATGTAGGAGGCATTTGTCAACTAATATACACTCTCTTCAGCGTGGGAATATATATAACACAGTACGGGGCTTGTCGTGCAGAGATGTGGTCCTGCCGATCCCCAAAATGCCGGGACCTCGTCAAACGGATGACCTGCGTTGGATGTGCCAGATCCAAGCATAAACCTTTGATTAAATCACGATCAGAAGTATCCGTGTTGCTGCTGATTCCCCTGGCCAGGACCGCAACTTTCGGGACTTCGAGCAACGGCCTTGCCAATTTTGGCCACCTGTGACGTCATTACACGGCTTGACGGAACTCGCGAGTTCCGGATCAGTGCTTTGACCACGAGGGAAGAGATCAGAAAGACTGGCACAGTAGGATATCAGATCGAAGATTTTGTCGCCAACTACCATCAATTCATGATCCTGAGGACGTGTCGGTGGCCTGTGTACATATGGCTCCGATGCTGCTCGACGCAAGCACTACTTTTGGAGCTGTGACCCTGCAGTATATATGTCGAAGGCCAGGGGAAGAACCACAAAAGTGCTGGACAACTCAGGATGACTCCTCCTCATCACAAGGTACTTTGACAAGTCAGATCAATCAAAGCTCTGCTGTGTCAATTGGACTGCACGCCTATTGATCGGCCATTGATTGCCGGCAGCATTTGCTTGCTGTGATAGCCATTAAATAATGTAAGTCATGATTAACATGGCTGCGCTCTGTTTGGTCAGGGGCACCTATGCCAGAGAATCTGGTAGATGACATAGGCCTGGACATCTGGCCGGCCAGTGGTATTCTCTGTCGATTCCTGACAGATCATCCCGCCTTTGCAAAAATCGCCACATCAGTTCTAGAGCTCGGCGCAGGTTTGCCATGATCCTTGGCAACACTCTGTCTGCAAACACCCTGCTTGTGGCGCTTATTGAAGCTAGTCAGACATGCCTTGGTCGTGCATATTATATCCTGATTTCCACAGGTGTTGGCCTCCCAGGCCTGCTGGCAGCCCTCCTAGGTGAGGCTTCCTTGACGCTGTCTGACTACGATCCTCAGGTTGTCCCTGGTTCTCCAATGAAATTGAGATGCTACCTCATCAGGCAGCCCACCTTTCCCTGCAAGTGCCAAGACGCCTGCTTTGCTCCACCCATACTGGGTCTATTCGGCTTGCTCAGCATCAAAGAAACATCCAGGCAGCAAGGCAGCGCTGAAGGTGTAATGTTGACTGTCATGGATTAAAGAGGGGTTGGTGTGCAGGTTCTGGATGTGCTGCAGCAGAATCTGGACGCGAATGGCCTGTCAGGCCGCGGCAGAGTGCAGCAGATAGATTGGAAGCGCTGGAGGGGTGACCCTGACTTTGGCCGCTTTGATCTGCTGCTGGGAGCTGACCTCCTCTATGCCAGCACCATTGTTAAAGTAAGGATCTTTCCAACGCTTTCAGTCAGGAACACCTGCAGGTGCTCAATCGCTCACTCCTTGAGATGTCACCTGCAAGACGCAATAATGTAATGTGCTTGCTGCAGGATTTTGTGGAGGTCTTAAAGCTCCTGCTGGATCCGCGTGGTGTCTTTCTGATGGCTCATCAGACACGACGCTCGGTGAGTAGGAGCACATCACAGTCTTGCAGGTTGCACAAAAGCCAGACCGCAATGCTGTTTAAGGGGTGCTCTTGCTGAATATGTGTTGCTTCTCTTCAGCGCCGTGCTAGAAAGCAATGTGATGTGCAGATCGTGCTTGATCCAAAGACGAGGATACCTAGACTGGAAGACTTTGATGAGCCACTGGAGCGGTTCAAGAAAATAGCGAAAGAGGCTGGCATGCACTTGCGCGAGCTGCTTGTAGTGAAGCCGGAAACTCCCGGCAGCATGTCAGACGGCGAGTTCTGTGTGCTTGCTGTTGGCTGGGAACGGTCAGATCTTGAGAGTCTGCCCTTGTAAGTGTACACATGTGTGGTTTCATGAAGTATCCTTCCGGGTCGAGAATGGCATCAAAAGGACCGATCAAGCTTCAAGAAGTATTTACAGGCATTGTCCTCCATGAAATTCAAATGATCAAATCAAGACATATCATGCAGTGAGCATGTGACACACCATTCTGGCATTTCTTTTGGCATCCAGCCAAGCACGGTACTTGCACGGCCACAGTCCGCTTGTGTTATGTATAAGAGCAAACATGCAGAATGTGCAGGCACGCTCAGGGTCACAAGAATACATGTGCATGAAATTTTAAATTTTAACAGAAAGCCTGTTCACTACTGGGACAAAATAAGTGCATGCTTTTCACATGTCTCCTTCCAAACTTATTCAGATTTGCCCTTCTCTGCTGCATGAACACAAATAGCTGGACTTGCATCGCAGTGCGTTGCCTAAAGCTGGGTTGTCCTACTTGCCCATGCACGGTCAAATCGCCATTCCTTTAATTCAATTATTTCCATGCATCCACCCACGCATGCGAAACTTGCTCGAGAACGAGATCCCTGCCTGCATACTAGTGGAGAATTATGGGCACATTGGTAGCAACCCAAACATGTTGCGTGATGTGGATTTCTTACAGGGCTTAGTGCCTGCCGCCAGCAGCAGGCACGGGCATGGGCTGAGGGCCCATTGCAGCCGCCATCGTCGCGGCAGCGGCGGCAGCCGGCAGCATGGGCGGCAGGGCGGCGGGAACCGGGGCCAGCACGGCGTCGATGACGTGGATGATGGCGTTGCAGGCAACCACGTCCGGGTAGATGACGTTGGCCACAACGCCGTTTCCTCCCAGCAGCTTCACGCCATTCGCGCCCGCCTGCACCTGAGTCACCGCATGCAAAGCCAGACATCAGTCATGCGGCATTAGTCATGCCCATGAAGACAGGCGCTGGTTTAGATTCTTAGAATGGGCCCGAAGGCTTGCCACTACGGAGACGCAGCACGAGACACGGCCTGTGCACAGAAAAGCAATCATTCAGAAGCGTGCACACAGGACCTTAAAAATGCGTCCAAGTGGAGTGTTGCATGGCAGTGTCTGGAAGGAGCTGCACAGTCAAGCCATACAACCATTAGCAGCATGCTGCGTTCAAAGAGACATTATATTTCACTTTTGAGGGAGCAAAGAATGGGGAGAAGCTGACTTTGATGGTCTGGTTGGGCAGGGCCGTCTGCAGCATCTCGCCGTCGGACAGGTTAGCTGCCAGCGCGCTGACACCTGGCACCACGTGGTACTCCAGCACCTGCACGTTACATAACCACATTAATAACTCTGGGCCTTACTCTCTTACGACATCACGGCTTGGCAGTACTACCAATGCCTTGTCATGGCCTGTGGCCTCATCAGAGCAAGAATAAGAGAGAGAGAGTGAGAGAGGGAGAGTGAAAAGGAAGGCTGCCACACCTGCTTGAGCATGTCTGTCTGGGCCAGGATCGCGCCCAATGTCTGGTTTGTCTGTACCGCGAGCACATCGAAGGCAGCGTTGACCGGCACAAAGACGGTCATCATCGCAGTGTCGTTGTTGAGTGCCATGTCCAGACCAGTGGCCTGCGCATGAGAACACAGTTGTCACCCCACCCATTCCACGAACTTGCCCATGCAAGCAAAGGAATGTAACTGCCTCAAGCCTCCAGCCCCAATCCCACAGCAATTGCTGCATTCTCAAATCATTCCACAGCTGTCCACCTCACTGACCCAGAATAATAAAGAAGACCCTTCTTCAGCTGGAAGATACTGCACACACACACTACTCTACTGCATTGCTGTAAAATACTCAGGGGCACTCAACAACAGTCAAGGCTTGTGAGAGATCAGTATTCTGGAGGCATTCGAAAAGTGGACACCTGGAGGGCTGCCAGGAAGTCGGCCATGCTGGGCACCATCTGGGCGACAGCTGGCACAGTGGAGCATGTGGTGCTGACATTGTAGGCGATGTCGTCACCCACTACGATCACCCCCTGGGGCTCCGGGCCGGACGCAGCCGTCACGGTGCCTGCACGGCAGATACGACAGCTGTTCACCCATGCGAGTAAAAACTATCAATTGAAAGAGGATTTCTGCAGCCCTCAGCTTTATCTCCTGCCCTCTCTGGGCCAGACTGTGCGACGCTCTCGCCTCTGCTGGCTGGTGCAGCGCTCAATTTGAAAGCGCTGCAATCCAGGGCCGGCAAGACATGGGAAAGAGGAGGGCAGATCCAGGCCAAGGAAATGAAGGGCGAACTGAGAGAAGCATTAGAAAGATAGGTGCTGACCAGCTTGGGCTGAAGCATCAGCGCTGGCTGAGGCAGAGTAGTAACCGTCTGGGGGGCTGTAAGTATTGCCAGCCACAATGTCAGGCAGGTTGGTGCCCCCCGCGAACTCTGGCAGCTTGATAACCAGCGGGGCGGCGGCTGCCTCCTCCTTGGAAGCTTCCGCCTTGGGGGAAGCTGCCAGGGCAGCTGTCAGCAACTTCTCGTCCTTCTTAAGGGGCACCAAGGTGGGCAGTAGGATTGCAGGGGTTGGCGATGCAGCGGCCGGGGTCACTGCGTGCGCAACCCCGGCCCACCTCAGCACTTACTAACTTGCAGCACGGGCACGGGGAAGAATGAAGAAAATGGGCTCTGCAAAAGGACCTTCCTGAGGATATCTTGAGTGTGTGACTGGACCACACCCTCGTCCTGAGGACATACTCGGGACCATTTGCAGGATGCCCTGACAAAGCCTTGCAAGTCCAGGGAACCAGGCACTTCTGAAAAAGTGCCTTGAGGCATCGTGACAAAAGTAAGGCGCTCTGAGGATGACACCCGGGCCCCTGGAAGGAAGTCATAGAGTCCAAGGGAGAGCAGCCATTGGAACTGAGTTGCGCATCTTGTGTCGCTCTCTAATCTCTTACAAGGCAAGAGATTGGAGATTTGTACCTGGTGCGCCAGAGACGGCTGTGGGCACTGCAGGGGGAGGAGGCGACTGCGGCAGCAGCTGGTTCTTGAGGCTGTCCAGCTGCAGCACAAAACCAGCCAGCTCTTAGTCGAATTTAACCACCAAAATAAAGGAAAGTAGACAGCTCTGCATGCAGCTGTCTGCTCTCATATTCAAAGTGTCGAGGTGCACCAAAACATACAGCAGCAACCTTGCATGCACTGAAAGCATGCATGCATGCATGCACTCTTTTGGGCATTACAAGCGCATGGTTGCACAGGAGAGGAACCATGGACAAAAGGGAACTCACAATTGGAATGTCCTTCTTGACGGGCAGCAAAGCGGACAGGTCCGGCACCACAGGAGTGGCGGCCACTGGAGTGATCGGCGCTCCAGAGACGGCCACCGGCATTGGAGGGGGCGGCGTCTGCTGCGCAGACACACAAACCGTCACTTCAGCTCACCCGTTCCTCCATACTGTCACATATTGATGTGTTTGTCCGTCCTTATCCCAACCCCAAGAGGTGCAGTGGACATATACTGCGAGGTTTCTTCAATGCACCTGGCCCTGTGGCCTGGAACAAGCGTCCAACAATACTTACAAGCCTCAAACAAAGCAGGTGACAGCAGGGACGTTCTTCACATGCGCAATGTCCCTGTGCATAACAGGTCACATGAAGTTTCTGGAGGCTCATGCCTCCCAGGCAGGTAGCCTTCTTTCATGCTAGGCAACAAAAGGGAGTAAATGGGTATTTGGGGATGAATAAGCGCACCGCAGCGATGAGTTTGTCGAGGCCCAGCTTGGAGAGGGCGTCCTTGCCCAGGGCGAGCAGCTCAGCCTTGATGTCTGGCAGCTTGAATTTGTACAGGGGCACATCGAGACCCACAGGCGGCAGGATCTCCTTCTTCTTGGGCAGCGGCAGAGGAACATCCACCTTGGGCAGCTCCAGCGCTGTCACTGGGCCGGCCGCGGGCAGCGCTGGCACCTGCACACAGCACGGCGCCATGTGAATTTGCAAGTGACTAGGTATAATTGAACTACTAGTTCAACTACCCCTAATGTGACCTTGCCGAATGGGCTCATGAAATCGTGACCTTTTGAGTGCTGGTTGAGACGGCATGCAGGTACACAGAGACATGGTGCTTATGAAGACGGCTGGCGGATTTACAATCTTGAGTGCGGAAATGTGGCTGATTTTGTGTCACTTCATCTGACATGATATAGATTGGGTGTCACACTTCTATTGGTGCTCAAGCTTCACACGGCAGGTCACTGACTCTCTGGCGACGCGAAACGACGGCTCCTCAATAAGGTCATTCACTGCATACCCAGACAAAGAAGGGGCAAAGAAGAGTAGACTTGAATCATGACATTTACTCGTGCACCTGCAGCCGAAGCAGCCGTGCCAGTTGCACCAGTTTTGTAGCCAGGGCTGCTCACCGGGGTGAGGGGAGTGCCAGAGACGGCGGTGGGGGCACCGGAGACGGCCAGGGGCGGTGGCGGCGCGCCAATTAACTTGGAGCTGATCTTGTCCTTGAGGCCCAGCAGCAGCGCCTCCTTCTTTGGCAGCTCGATCACCGCCGGCTGCAGGACAGAATATGACGGATGAGCCAACTTGAATTGGAACTCAAAATCAAAAGAACTCAAAATCAAAACAATATCCTGAGTTTATATATGGACATAGGTGATTGGTGTCTGCGCAACTCCTCAGTAGCTCCAATTTGCATGCGGCAGGCCCTTCGCATGCTGGTGAGCTTGAGAAGCCCATGTTGCCAAAGCATCAGGCTGAGCCCTCCAGGCATGCTACGGTCTGTTTTTCTGCAGGGGTAGGCAAGCGAATTTAAGAAACTGAGGAGCGCACGGGAGGGGGTGCCGTTGTGACACCAGAGACGGGCAGGGCTCCAGAGACAGGCACAGGCTCGATCGGTCCAGGGGCGATTACAGGCGGGGGGCTGGGAACTGCCACCGGCTTCAGCGCCTGCAGCTCGGACGCCACCTTGTCGGCAGCCTGCAGATACACTCAGACATCACAATCATTATTGTAAGCTGTTTGTGCCAGGGTGCGTAAACAGACGAGCTGCAGGTATAAACTGCCACATGCTCAAGCAAGGAGATCAACTTTTGCAGCGAGGTGTGCGAGCGGCTTGCCTGTGTCTTTGTCGCCTCAGCCGCATCGATGATGGAAGCTGCAGGAACCTGAGCCACTGGCACGACTGGAAGCGCCACGGGCACAAGAGGTGCCACTGCGCCACCGAATTTAGAAAACCTCAGACGAATGCCAATATATGTGTGTTCACTGTCACTTTGCCTGCAATGAGGGAACCATCTCCTAGATTGCATGTGGGTTGATCCGGTGGCATTTGTAGTGGGCAAATGGAAAACAAGAAAAACGGGAAAGAGGTATTGGCCACTGCTGGATTCGAAGCAGCCCCTGTTCCTTTACGTGGGGATAGCTGATGCTAAGTGGCCTTCAGAAGTGCTGAGACAAGCTGGTAGAAATGCCATTACTATTGAATGTAACAACACCTCATGCTCTTTAGATGAGCAGGACTCGACATCCCAAGGGCGATCCTCCTGGGTTGTTCAAACACTTCTGGGCTCTGGAATGGACTGCTGGTCAGGACATCCGACTTGCCGACACAATAAATATTCCACAGGAAATGGTCAAGTCTGTGGGATTGCCCAGAGGCACATCAGCGCATATGTCTGCAAACCCCTGGACCTTTCACGAGGCCATGTCAAGTCCTGCCCTGCAAGCGCCATGAATTTGCCCATGCAGTAAGGGTAGAAGGAGGATTCGCACCGACTGGTGCTGTGGCAATGGCTTGGGCGAGGACATCAGCTCCGGAAGTTGCCATGACCAAAGGTGCAGCTGCGGCGGCGCCGCCTCCGTTCATGCTGGCAGTGTATTGTTGCACAATCTGCACGCATGCACAAAGCAGTCAGCATGAGCTCCTTTGCAGCCACAATCTCTGCCTCTTGCCACAAGGTTGTGAGAGCAGGCGTCAGCGAGCCAAACAGAACCAGTCTGAACTTCACTGCAGCAACAATTTATCTGAGCAGGTGTGCAGCGAGGCAGACAATAAAAGGCATTTTGCAGCTCCAAGCTACGATGAGCGGGTCTGCCACAATCCAATCAGTCTGAGGTCCATTGCAGCCACAAAATCTTGAGCAGATGTGCTGATGTCATTGATTGCAGGGAGCGGCGTCATGTACACAAGAAACAGGAAGAAAGGCTCAGTTGAGTGAGCTCTCACAAGTGTTATCTGATGCTGGCATCCCTTTATTATTCAGACTGGCCGCTGTTTCTCTTCTTTGTTTCAGGGGCCTTGGTGAGATTGAGCGTACCGACTGGGGCAGCAGGACGGTGTCCAGGACGTGCTCAATGGACTTGCAGGCGATGAAGTCTGTGAATGTCACAGCCGCCTTGCCCCCGCCACTGGGAGTGATGGTCAAGGGGTCCAAGTTCACCTGCGCATAAGCATATCAGGACACCAGTCACGGTCAGCATTTGCACTGATTACTGGTTTGACAAGGCCGCAGGATATCCAAGTCAGAAAGAGCGCTTCATGAAAGAATGTTAGATCCTACAGGACATGCGATGCTTGGGAATGCGCGTGTATTGGGCCCCTACCGTCAAGGTGTCTTGGATGACCGTCGGCAGGACTTGGCCACTGGTGAAGTTCTCGGCAAACAGGACCACGTTGGGCACCACGTGGTACTCCAGGATCTGCAGAACAGCAAGAATTGAACTCGACTGCAATATGCCTGAAGCTCGTGTAAGTTAAGTATTTGCGTTGTGCAGGATCTAGCAGGTCATAGTGCTGTGAATCGGCAAGTGTACCTGTCCAAGGAAAGGAGTGAAGGCTCCCGCGTTGTTGAACGCCTGGTCCACCGTCATGCCGATGCTTGTCAAAAGATTCTCGAAGGCAATGTTCTTGGGCAGGAAGATAGTCGCCACCAAGTCTGAGCTGTTGAACGCGGTCACCAGGCCGGTCCTCTGCAATGCAACGTCAAGCCATAATCGTTGCTGCGTCTGGGCACTCGGTGCTGTTGAGGAACAAAGTTTGCAAGGAGACAATGAAAGTATAAGTACAAGATAGGAAAAGGCTTGATCAACGCTTTGAATAGTGGTTTGCTATTGTTTTCGCAAGGTCGAGGGGATCTCGATGGGCATCTTGGGAAGGCCGAAGCAAACCTCCATTGCCTGGGCCACGTATGTGAGCTCTGAATTCCTTGCTGCTGACTGATACGGCGTCACGCAATCCTGCCCTCTGACAGCCAGCCCTGAAACCACCGTGCGAAATCAGGTCAGCTTCAGGACGGCATGGCTCCGATAGCGCTAGGTCTCCCGACACACTTTTCTGGACAAGTCAGTGACAACACTATTTTACTCTCATCCTACCTGAAAGAAGAAGTGTGCATCCTGCCAGCCACAGCACCTTCCTGCAACTTTGCATCCCCATCATATCGCTAAATGTGCCCGGCAGGGCCAAAGCACTTCAGCTCCCTCTGTCCACTACCACACTCAACAACTACGTTCAACCAAAGATAAGCACAGCACAGTTATTTATCTTCCATTCACTGGTCGCTGCAAGCCCAATTGTGCAAGTCGTGGGGTGTTGTCTGAAAACAGCTGTCCCTCGGCTCGTCGAACTAATTTCATCAACTCCCTTCTTCAAATTTCTCAGCAAATTCCTTGGACGGTTAGAGTCCCAGTGGTTTTGTTTTCAATCTTTACAAGCAAAGCAGCATCACATGCTAACAATGGTGTGCAAAGCTGCCATCAAACAATGATTTTTTGAAGGGTTCACATAAGCTTGGCATACACCAGAGCCGCGAATTCAAGACGATAATTTTGCATCGTCAACTCAGAAAGAATGAATGTGGTGTACACCAATTTAACTATCTCACATCTCTCAACTCACCCACTTCATAGCAGTTGGCTCTCAGCTATCTGGCATCAATACCACACAGAGAAAATATTTCTTGATACCATTTCTGTATGAAGCGCTGCAATTTGCAGCATTATCTCAACAATAACGCCTCAGGCAATGTCTCACATCTCTGCAACGTCTTCTTGCGAAATGCAATCAATTAAGTTGCCATCCCATGGGTGCACCACACCCTCTGCTACCTGCTGGCAGTACAGCCACTGCTCATGGCAAACTCTCTTCTACTTTTCAGCAAGTCTCACGCTCTCTGCTCTCCTCATTGTGTGTGCACTTTCTGGTTGCGCAAAGAATATGCGTCGCTCTCACAAGTACGCCAGCAGTGTCTGTGCGCGCTGCTTCCGCAGCCTCATGCGCGCTTTGTTCAGTAGCTGACTCACATACTGCTCGCTAGTGCTCATTATCTCTCCAATCTGCATGACAACCGCACACTCCTCATCAAACGCTCTGTCACATCAAGAGCCAATACAGCAACGAAGCTTGGTCTCTGACTTTCACTTGAGCTTCTGAGGCCAGGCACTCTGCGAAATATTTGCTTCTGTGCAGCCTACTGATGTTGGCTCCTTAGGAAAGAGCACCTTCAGGTACGTACCAAACTGCCTTTCCAGATTAAAGCGTAGAGATCCTAGGTAACAGTGTTCATGGCACTTCGTGAAGCTGTACTGAGTAAGTAGTGCATGAAGGGCATAACAGCACCTCTTTCTGGTTTTTCGGCCGCCCGTCGAGGCCGTAGAAGGACCTCAGCACGGTCTGCTCCTTGTCTGGAAGACTGCGGATGGCTGTGTCCATGTGCTGCTGCAGCTCCAGCAGCCCAGCCGCCCTCTCTGAGTGCACCTGCTCCTCCACTGCACCCTCCAAAGTGTCGCCCCATGTCTCCTGCAGCAGGCCACCTCTCCATTACAGGCAGTTCCATTGCCAGCATAATCAAAGAAATAATCAAGTTTACAGAATGGGCATCGTCTGAGCTTTGCCGTACAGCGGCCAGGGTGCATGGCAATTTCAGGCCAGAGATCACCATGTTTGATCAAGGGATTTCAACATCTATTGAACAGTTCAGATGCCGCATCGCGCTGCAAATTGTAGGGTGTCAGAGTCACCCTCACATCACCACTGGGTGACAGACCAACGCGACAGAGTGATCAATGCGACAAGCAAACACATGCATTACAGTTTGGTGTATGTTTTGGGCGCAGACCTGTGGGGCCTCCCTGCCGGATCTGGGATAGGCGGCGGTGCAAAGCGCTCCCGAGAAGACCTCGCGCGTCGCGTGTAGCCGCAGCAGCCGGTGCAGCTCGCGCGTGGTGAAGCCGCTCGCCGTGCCCAGCTCCTCGAATGTCGGCTGCCTGCAACATACCACACCTGTCACATGGATAACCCTGCCAATGCAGCAAAGCTTCCCATTTGGCTGCTTTAAGCAAAGTGTGTGACAGAGCAGTGTTTCAAGGACCTCAGTACCTGGGCGCAGTCAGTGACAAGGACATAAGGGAGCAGCAACTAAGCCCCAAGCCTGCCACACCCAATGATCACTGTGTTGACCCCTGGCAAATGACATAAGTGCCTATAATATATGGCTCGACAAACTCATATAGATACAGACTGTGGTACTGAAGGGCTTGAAAGTGCGACGGAGTCGGCCCACCTTTGGTGCATGTCGGTGAAGGCGGTTAGCGCGCTCTGGAGGGCGGCCAGCTCGGCCTGGGTGGAGTCGGGAATGATCACGACGCGGTTCTGGCGCCGGTATTCACGCACGACGGTGTTGCGGATGGAGAAATAGAGGCAGGTGCCTAAGCGGCTGCCGCGCGCCGGCTCGTACCGCCGCAGGCCGTCCTGCAGGCCCTCCAGCCCCGCCTGTGCAGATAGATTATATGCCAAATCAGCAAGAGCTTTGCAGGGAGCATAAAATCATTCCGCTGCACATCAGCGTAGGACACTAAGCTACAATTCAGTGCTATCGAACCTGTCAACTCGAGAAATTTGGGACAATGTCGCTGCACCAAAATATCACTAACTCGGGACAATTCGCTAGTCGCTACCCCTCGTAAGGCCTGTGACGTATATATGTATGGGCTTGGTCCTTGCATCGCCTTTTGACACCAGGACCTTGTCCCCATTGGGTACTTATCTGCTACAATGCCATAAGGATCAATTTGGGAACCATCAGGTTGCAGGGGGCATGTAGGTGTCAAAAGGTCTGAAACAATGCCAATGCAACACAACGACTGTTCACTTCTATCAGTGTTCACCATTCCACCCTTCCATGCACACTGCTGGCTGCTCAACAACTCTCCAGGTGCTGTTTCAGGAACAATCTCGCACGATGGGGAAGTGGCCAGACTGAAGGTTGCTTGAAAGCCAGGTGTACCTGGAAGAGGTCTTCATAATCAATGACCTGTGGACTCCGGTACTGCTGGGCTATTTTGTGTACCAGCCTGACGTTGCAGATGATCAGCTGGCTCTGAGCATCACCCGCTGCATGCAGTACCTCACCCACGTTCTCGGATGACCCCAGAAATCCACGCGCAGATATTTCCTCATGCACCGGGGGCCGCCCTGTTGCCCTCTGTTCGCACAGACACACTGATATGCTCAGTCAAGGAAGCAATGAGATCCAAATCATGCAAATTCTTCACAAGATGAAGTCCTGTGCAGATTATGGAGAGATGTACAACTGCTGAGGTGGATTGAGGGTGATGGGCATGACTCACCTGCCAGGCCGCCAAAAACATCTGTAGCCTCTGGCCGGACCGCATTGCACCAATCAACTCAACCTCTTCCTCCCTGCACACAAAACGGCACGTCCATGAAAAATCACACCCACCACAAAGAGCAGGCAGATGATCTAGAGCAGAACAGATTGCGCCTCATAATGGGTCACGCCACCTAGCTTTTCGTAACTCTGACTGGCAGTGAAAGAGACCATCTGCAGATGTACGTGTTTCAAGTGAGCCATTGTAAGCATTCTCAGGCTCTCACACTCAACCGCCCAAATGGAAACCGTCTGCATTCACATTCCTATCTGGTCTCACCTTGTCAGCAGATCCCCATGCCCAGGTCGCTTGCACTCCTTACAGAGCAGCGCCTCATTCACCGAACGCATGACCCGGGGCTGGCGCAGCAAATTCGTGTCTGCCAAATTAAAGTGCTCGCTAAGTGTATCCCACTGCCTTAGCCGCAATCCAGCTCCCCTGAACGAAGCTGCCGCTCCTGTCGCTCGCCTCTCCTCCAGCAACTTTGCCTGAGCTGCTTCCACCACAGCCTTCGGCTCCACCTGCAACACAAAACTCTCTCAAGAGGTGATTCAGACTCACTCAGATTATTGGTTTCTGATTCTGAGCAGGGACAACACTAACGTGTGCGGCCAGAAATAGAGTTTGGAGGTGATGACAATTAGGCTGATGTCCACAACTTGGCGAGAGCTCACCCCAACGAGTGCACCAGCTACAGCGGCTGCCATGTCTGCCTGCTGCCTCCTGATCCTGCGGGAATATCTCCTCCTATCCAGGTCTGTGTGGGCGCTCTGTTCAGTATGATCTACCTCCATCAGCCCATCCTGAGCAACGCTATAACGGTGCCTCAACTGCTCGAGCAGCTCTCTGCGACGGGTTTGGGCTAGGCTGGCGGCAGATGGGCTGGCCAAGGAGGGATCTGCAGAGGTCGATACCTGCAATGCATAACAATGTCAATTATTGGTTTAAAACATGATCTTTCCTGCTCTGTACACCATTTGCGTCCTGGAAGGGTGTATGCATGTGGGTAGCATGATGGAGTGGAAATGCCCGGACGCACTGAGCAGAATTCAGCAACCTTCTGAGGTTGCACTTCTCGTATGCTGCAGTACTCTCCAGCCAACTTCCTCTGGATATGCATTTCAAAGAGCGCAGCACCGCTGCAGGCACAGGAGCACGTCAGTATCAGCTTCCTTATATCACTGGAATTTAGATTCACACAAGGTAATAAATGGCTCGTCTAATATGTTTGTTGACTGGTCAGCGTATGAGCAACACATCAGGACCCACTCCTTTGCCTCTCAGATCCGGTACGATGCACAGGTACAGAAACCTCACCTCCTCCAACGATGCTCGAGCAGGCCCTCGAGACTGTTGGCTTTGATCCTATGGTTTTCCATAATTGACGAAAGGTCTTCATTGGCTGCATCTGCTCGGGGATCTCTTAGTGTGGCAAGCTGAGCCCCTGGGTGGGAGGTATTTAAACTCACTCGTGAATCAGTAGAGCAAGGTCTCCTGCTGGCATTATGTGACTTCTTGAAATTGAGATTGAAGCAAGCATGCCGCTGTAGGAAAGCAGGAGACGTGGTGCTCGGCACCATTTGCAAACTAGTAGGACCTTGTGACCAGCTCACCCACTAACTCTCGGACATGATGAGCGGTGCTTCTTGAAAATTCATTCTACATTTTTCTTGCGTTTCTAGAAGGAAAAGCTTTTCTCCTGTAAGTGAGTTCTGTTTGCATGTTTCGATGCAAATACTGACACGATTCGGGCAAATTGCAACGCCGCAAGACAGATTTGCATGGGCTTGCATGGCGATCAAAGGACATTTAGGTCGTCCAATGAGCGTAGATCAAAGATGAACAACGCAAATTGAATTACTGCGTTGCTATGACCCAACGAATGTTCTTGTTTCTCTGGGAGCTTGAATCCGAGATCCAAGGGCGACGTCCCAGCGCCTCTCGAAGCAATCACGGCCTAGATAAATTTCAGTGATCAAATCGTTCAAGGGGAATCGTTTGCAAAGAACTTGTTCAAAGGCAGCTAATTTGATATTTGTTGTTGCGATCGGACGTAGCTTCTTCTCCTTTTCATATATCGCAGGTCCACCATTAAATTTCGAAAGGAATTTTAGGAACGGACGCACCAGGTTTGCCATCTGAAGATACTGTGAAGATACTCTTCTTTAAAAACAATGCTCACCACATATTTGGTTTGCTTGAGTGTGACTTCGAAGCGGTGCAAGTCCCAAACTGTCAGCCAGATCAAAGGCATGATCTACTTCCCTTCAGGTGCAATCTACATCCTCTAGGAGATCATCTTCTGGGAGATCTGCCCCTGTGCTTCGAAGAATTACGAAGGCATGTCTGCTGGAGCAGAACCCCCCAGATCCCAGCAGTCCACCATTAAAAAAAATGTACAGAAGGCGCGACTACATGACACCTGCTGATTAAGCACTGTACCACCCACTCATTGTTGGAAACTTTCATTAGACGAAGCAATATCTCTAACACCACACGTCATCCCAATGCAGTGCCTCATGAATGATGTAATTAGGATATGGCTTGCAGGTGAAGCCCCTCCTTAGAGGCCACCTGCACCAGCATGCCATCTTCGCTGCCCTGGCAGCTGGCATGCTGCTCGTGGCCTCCGCCTCAACCAGGGAGGCCAGAATTTCTTGCACTGTTTATGTGGCCTCTCTGGTCGCCCTATTCAGCGCCAGCGCCCTCTATCACAGGTGCTGTGCCCCTCCATGACTCCAAAGATCGCCAGAGCATGAGAAGTGCACAGCAAGTGCAATTGCCATTCAAGATCTGCTCCAAAAGTGAGCATTCCTGTGCTGTACAGGGTGACATGGAACCCATGGGCCAGGGAACAGATGGGTAAAGTGGACCATGCGGCAATCTTTGTCTTGATTGCAGGTATCCCTTGCTCTTCAAAATAGCCATACCCAAAGCATGTCACATTACTGAGTCAAGGCCCTTGCAACTGTAGATGCTGTCTACGCATTTGCAGCAGCTGCAAATTTGTGTGCTTCCGCAGGGACATACACTCCAATTGCACAGCTGGGTTTTGAGGGGGAGCTTAGGCACATGCTTCTTGTGAGAGTGTGGGTTGGCGCGGCTGCTGGCATCCTGCAGTCCATCTTGTGGCCGTCGGCGCCCAAAGCCGTGTCCACTGCAATTTACATCGGACTGGGTTGGATCATCCTCCCTCATGCTTATGAGGTAAGCAGCATGTCATGCTGAGCACTGTTTCCAGGGTGCAGACTCAGTTGTGCTGTGCAGCAGTTTCCATGCCATGCCTTGAACAATGATGCAAACCACATGCTGTCTGCTTTGCAAAAGCAGAGAGAGACAGTAATCTCTGGTGATGCACTGTGCATGGTAGTAGGTTGGCGCAGCGCTGGGGACATGTAGTTCAACTCTGCTTGTCTTGGGAGGGTTAGCATACACCATTGGAGGCATCGGATACGCTGCAGGGTGGCCTGACCCTCACCCACAGGTCTGTGGGCCACTTGAATTTTGTAAATTAAACCCAGCTGCAAGACTCAGATTCTGTTGCATGCAAGGCTTCAGCTGCGCAAAGCTTTCTCTTTAAGGCATGAAGTGTGCAATTATGGTGATGTCTGCTGGTAATGGCTGCAGGTGTTTGGCTACCACGAGGTGTTCCATGCCTTTGTGGTCGTAGCAAGCATTCTCCATTTCGCTGCGGTATACTTGCTAGTGCATAAGACGTGATGACATGTAGGGGCAGCGATAGCGTGCTAAGGGAGCACTGTTCGTGAGAGCTCCTGACTAAGCATGCGCAAGAAGTGAAGTGAGAGGCTAGAATAACGAAGCTCTGTCATAGGCCTGATTGAAGGAGGGAGGGAGAGAGTGTGAGATTGTCAGAAAGAGACTCTTGGGAAACAAGGTCCATGCAAGTCCGCAAGCAAGTCTAAGTGCCAGTGCCCCTTTCTACCAAAACTGATTCATGAACACTTCAAGTTTCAAACCTCGAGCAAGTTGCTTGGGCCTGAGGAGCGTGCGGTCTGTGTGCTCCAGCACTTTGTGGTCCGTTTATATTAGGATGCATGTGCGCACCTGTAGAATAAAAAGGTGATCCAAGTACGGTTTTTTGGCCATGATGCCCATGCATGTGGATTGGGAGGGATTGGCGTTCACTGAGTGCTTAGGGGTTCACATCCTGCCACGTCGGCAGTGATCTTGGGTCTCATCGACTTCTTTTGCGATTTTGAAAGGTGAAAATTGAAGATTAAGGTTTATACTACGAACAAAAATGGCTTCAGCAACTGTGCATACAAGCGCACTGCTGCGGACTCAGCAGGCCCCTGCTAGAGCCCCCGTGACTGGCCGAGTTCATGGAGCCTCTGTTCCTCAAGCTCCTGTTTCGCTGGTGAGATTTTAAGCACCCGATCGATATTGAGATCCTTGAGGAAATTTTAATTGATTTCTTTGTACACAAGCCATCGTCGCAGCGAATCTTGGGTTTACTATCTTAGATCTTCCTTTCGCTGTGTTCATGCTCAGTTGTGCAAAATTTCTCAGTTCAAAGAGTAATCGCTTTAAAATGATTAATAATGCTTTACTAGGAATACTGCCACCCCGTACTTGCATAATAGTGCAGAGTCATAAAAAACTCAACACTGTTGATCCCTGATGCCAACGAGCGATCTAACGTTTTTGCAGGGCAAAGGAGCCTTCTTTGGTCCTACTTTGCCTCTGAGGAAGCTTAGCGCCAGTGTATCGCGCCAGCGCCAGCCTGTCAGGCCCACCATGGCAGCCGGCAAGGAAGTCACAGTGAGTTTACTGCAGACTTGTGATCTCACAAGCATTGCTTGCAGGAAAGACAAGACAGGCTGAATGCCATTATCCTGGTGACGCTGACCTTCTTTGCATGCTACGCCGCAGATTGAGATTGACAAGCCACTTGGCTTGAAGCTCTCCGAGTCAAAAGCTCCCGGTGGCGGCCTGAAAGTCACGGTGGGGCAACCCCCTTTGTCTCTCCTTGACCACCAATGATCTTCCCAGCCTATTGGAGGTGTTGACACCACTTCTTTTTCTTGCACAGCATGGTTCAGCTTTGTCGGGTGTATCAGTCGCATGCAAACTGTTTCAAGGATTGGCACAAGTAAGCCAGGGTGCTATCCATGCATTCCATAAACGCTGACTCTTCATTTGCGATGCTCAGGGTGTTTCAGGCAATGCAGCAAACAGCGGGATCTCTGTGGGCGACACGGTGATCTACACAAGCTCCTTTTTTGGCGATGAGCTCTGGCCGGCAGACAAGCTGGGATTCAGCCGATCTGCCATCGGCGCATGCCCGTCTCCTGTCTGCTTTGTCTACGTGAGCAGACCTCCTTACTGCGCAAGTTGCATGCCCTGAATTACTGTATCCTTCTGACAGATGGATCTGTCCTGACAGACCCGACATCTTGTACATGAAGGCCTTCCTTGCTGTGCCAACTTTTCACCTGGGTGCCCACACCCCTCTGCCGATGCTGAACAGTAATCCTTGCCAAGCTTCTAAATGCATTCACCTTAGGATAATACTTTTAGAAAAACTTCAAGTGAAGTTTTAAACATTGGCACTGTGCTAAGACGGGCGTTGTTGTGATGGTGCAGGTGAAGGGCGAGAATAAGGAAGTGCAGGTGAAGCGGCTGCCGAAGCGGCCCATGCCGCCTCGCTTTGGGCGGAAGCTGACGTCAGCGCAGAAGGAGCTGGCGACTCACATCTGCGTCGACTGCGGCTGGATCTACTGCGCCAAGTGCGCCCTCTGCAAACCAGCTCCTGCTTTTATTTCTATTCCACTGGATCAATCATTTTGTTTACCTCGAGTTAGCTTGTCCTAGAGTGGACCTTGTATGGGAGCATGCCCTTGGTGAGCGCCCTTCAGAGCAGCATCGTGATAGGTGCAGAAGCTGACAGACTTTTGTGACATGCGCAGGACGCCCTTTGAGGAGCTGGATGAGTCGTTCAGGTGCCCGCAGTGCTCTGCCTACAAGAAGCGCTTTGCCAAGTACGACGTCGCCACCGGCAAGGTAAAGGCTCAGCCCTCCCAGCAAGCCCTCCAGTGATTTTTATGGAACTGCCCTCATCTTTGATGACCCGGCAACCTGTCAGGGAGTTTTCACGGGGTTGTTGATGGATCACTTCAGTGCACCCCTTCAGTACAAGATGTAGCAGCTGGCATTTGAAGGTCCTTTCCTGGTGCTGCGCAGGTGAAGGGGAATGTTCCAGACCAGCTGGCGACTCTGGCCACTGTCATTGGAGGCCTTGTTGGCGTGGGAATCCTGGGCTATCTAGGCATTGCCCTGTCACAGGTCAACTGAGCCATGGTTGCATACAGAGCGGGGCAAACAGGGCTGCAATTTTGAGGATTGCGGATGTGCAATTGCACAATTTTGGCAGCAAGGAAGTTGACAGATAGGCACATTGCCCTCACAAGCATGGAAGGGGTCTTGAAGGCTCTCCATCAGGCAGAGATGGTTTGTTGCTCATCACCGTGATTGACTGAAGTGCTCACGTGGCTCACTTGACGATTGCTGTTTGACTTTCACGTTCGTATTGAGCACCTCGTATTGGGAATTGCCCTTGAGATATTAGATTGAACTTGATAATATACACGGGGGCTTACATTCGCGTGGTCAATGTGAAATGAGCGATATTGTGTAAATGAAGCTCCAACAATATATAATGCGTGATTTATTGGAGATACTCTGTACAAAACGTGGGTTACACGCACGCATTACTCTGTGGCATGGGCTAATATCAACATGCACGCCTGCACTGATATCATGAGCTTCAAACCCGTGGCAACACCAAGTCTGGCACTTGCATGTTGGAGTGTGCTGCTGTGCACAACCCATTTCAAGAGCGCAAACCCCAAATGGTCCTGCAAGAACAATATACAGGATGGAGTTTGCACCACCCAAGACATGTCAGCAAAGCAATGTTGTGCTGCCACAAACCCCAATTCCTATGCATAATCGACAGTAAATCGACAGGGTTTGCATGCTCTTCAAACTGCAGTGCACACTGCCGGTAGAAAGAGGTTTCAGAGCCGTACAGCACATCTCATGTCCTGAATCAAGTAAGAGCCAGATGGTGATGCACATCAGTCCATTTGAGCAGCTTTCACACCATGCATGAAGCCTTGAGCTCCGGCGGAGGCTGCAGCAGTGCACCCATTCTGCTGCTTGGCGGCGGCACAAGGCCCAGGCGCTCATGGCGGACGAGCAAATTCTCTACGCGCAGGCACGGCTGCTGCACCGCTGACACTGCAAGCACGCTTGGGGCTTCCTGCTGGGTCGGCGCAGTGTGGCACTCTGAAGCAGTGTGCTCTTTTGGCAGCGCCGACAGTCCACTGCAGCCCTTCTGGGACTCCTCTGGCAGTGCATCAGGCTCTGCTGGCTGCTGGATGTCGCCTGCTGTCACTGGCGGCTGCTGTGGGGTCGGGACTGCTGACCGGGCTTTCTTGGCCGGGGGTTCTGTGTCCCAGGTTGTGTCTACGCCCAAAACCTGGGCGGCTGACAGTGCTGCCTTCCTCCTGGCTTCCCAGGATGCTTTGGAGGGTACCTTCAGGGGTGAGGATGTCCAGGTGCCGGGCCGGAAGGGCCGCCTAAGACCCTGATAGCACCAAGAGAGGGATTGAAATTCATCTGGCGCAGGATCAGGTGATGTGAACAAAAGTGTAATCATACTACCCACCTGTTCCAGCAGTTTGCAAGAGGCAGGATACGAAAATCTGAGTTGACAAGAACGAAGGCTGTGCATGATGTGGAATGACTGATTGCTGCTGATCAATGGCTACACGCGTCCCTGAAAGCATGGCATTTTCTGCCTGTGGAAAATGCCACTGTTTGGATTACAATAATGCAGAGATTGCAGTGCGCATGCAAGATCATAGGAGGGTGCATACCTTGCAGGCCATGCTAGGCACCATGTCTGTTGCCTCCAGCAGGGCTCGCTCGAGGCTAGTCAGGAGGGTGCACTGAATGCTGAATGATGGACCGGCAGAGCTGTCATCGTGTGGCCTCGTCCTTTTGCTTCTGCGAGTGCACTCGCCTTCCCCTCGCCTGATAGCCTCTGTTGCTCTTATCAGTGCAGCCAACTTTGGGCCCAGAGACACTTCATCCTGTCCACATGAATGAACGCCGCGAATCGTTGTATTTAGATCAGGCACTCTTTCTCTTGAGCGTGAAAGGCAGGACAATTGTTGGTCATAAGCCCGCTCCTGCACTCATTCAGAGGGCCAACCAACACAGCAGAGGGGGGTGTCTCACTTGATCTGCCTGCATATTCCTCTTTGTCCTGTGCAGAGGCCGCCATATGGACGTGGTGAGCATGGCACCATTGCAGTTGCAGTTCAGCACACCACATGAAGTATCCTTGACTCCGTAAATGTAGGAAGCTGGCCCAGATCCCAGTGGCAAGACTGGGCGGTGCTGCTCGTACACTGTGACATATTCCCCCTCCAGTGTGGTGCTTTGGTGCACGCTATGAAAGTTGCACGTGCTGGAATCCCTGCAGCGTCGCATGTATCTCGTCACATGAGAGCCAGCACTTGAAGGTACGCTTGCACTGAAGTTTAATGGACTTGCAGGCGGCGTTATTGCTGCTGACTTTGCAATGGGACTGATCTCTCTGAGTTTCCCGCTGTGTGACAGTGATCAGCAACAATTGGGAGTCATCAGAGGGTTGAAGCGCACCACAACCGCTGAGTATTGCACTGCTGGGGAAGTGCGCCTGCATTGCGGGACATAAGACTCCCATTGGAATACCCTGGACTGTCAGGTGTATCGAAGACGTGGATCTGCCTCATCAATGGTACAGAGGGCATGTCGAACAGAGGCTTCGACCCTGTTCAGAAGTGAAACTTTTTAGTAGGCTGTGGCATCCTGCTGGGGCACCTCTGACATCCTTGTGCTTGAGCTGCATTTCAGCTTTCGTGAATGCGTTGCGAATTTCAGCTGTGAAGAGTACTGATATGCAGTTGCGGATTTGCCTACGATGGCTTGAGATGCTTGTAGCAACCAGAATGGATCTGTTCTCACCTCCAAAAATAGAAGCGGTACGCTCAGGACCCAAATAGGTCTTGGGACGCTTCCAAATTCTGCAAGAACTCATTCCATTGCCATCCAAGAACCTGCGCCGACCGTCACGCACCAAAGGTCAGCAAGGGCACGCCATCCACTGACAACCATGATGGGGGAACAAAGCGCACCCCCCTCTTTGAGATTTACATAGTACTGCGACAGGCTTATATACTAACACAAAGAAATTACCAAAATCTACAGAGGCAGCAGGATTGTGATGGTAAAAGCTGCACACCGATCATCTTGGAGCATGCTGGAGGTCAGCGTCGTCTAGCTCCGGGAGTTATGCTCTACCCCTTGCCGCCAACTCGGTTTAATATATGTGATTGTGTTGAGTCAATATCAAAGCAATCAATAATGCGTCTGAAGGTCACTGCAGCTGAAGGGACAGTTAGACTCAGGCAGCGAATTGGTCTTGACTAGGACTTGAAGTCGCCATTCTATCCGCCTTGTATGCCTTAGATCTCTGCATATCAATTATCAGTGTGAACACATTCTAGAATCATGGTTGATCATGAGGCCGCATCCGCCATACTGGAGCTGTCACTTCCAAAAGTGTGAAGCTTCACAGCGTGCCCGATTTGGCTATTAGACGCACGACACCATCGAAGCAATTGCAGAATGTAGGGCCTCCACAAGAATTCTGCAAAAGATAAGTAGCATGTCGTGGCTAAATAATGGTCACATGTTGTTTTGACGAAGGTCCTTGGGATGCTTAAATGCAGGAAGCCTGACCAATGCCGCATCTAGATCGCCCAGTTATAAATAACGGAGAAAGGGCAAACAAGTGTGATCCCTGCACATATCAACATTTTTTGTCACAGTCTTCATAAAGATGCGACTTGTTGAGCTCAAGGAGCTGCAGTAGATGTCACAGTTATTGGCCCTGTGCAGCTTATCTCTGTCTCTGCACTGCAGTACGATCAGAGGGCCGGTTGGCATCCTTTCTGAGTCATTATTGGTCGCAATGATCGATGTGCACTATTAGCTGTACATGTCACGAAGCCATTTTCATGCATAGCAGCTTGAGTCTGGCTCTATCTCTCAGGCCGCTTACAGCGTCCCCATTGCTGTTAAGACAAAGAATAGGGAGCTTAAATGTCCTTTCCGCGCTACGGAAATTGACAATGGGGACTCTCCAATGCAGAGCAGCATTAAAGCACCCCGCGATCCCTAGTACAGCAGTTGCTGCCACTCCGGTAGTTGATGAGGGACCACCTGAAGGCCTCCTTGAGAGAAAGATCAGAAGATGTGGAGTGCGACAGGCTGGTAGTACACCCTCTACCACCGGGAAAGCCAAGAGGAAAGTAGCACTGCATGTTGCCTACTGTGGCACTGGCTTTCAAGGTGAGTGCAGTCCAATGGCAATACAAATGCTTCATTCCACATGTACCTCCCACACGTCATGGACTTAGATGAAACTTTCTTGTGCAGGGCTACAGCTCCAAAGGGGTGTTGAGGACATCACAACAGTGGAAGCCGCCCTTGAGGAGGCCATCTTTAAAGCAGGGGGGATATTGGAATCAAACAGGGGTGCGCTGCATAAGATTGACTGGTCTCGCAGCAGCCGCACAGATAAGGGCGTCCATTCCTGCTCCACGGTAAGTTCCTTGCAGCATTTGGCATTCAGACAGCATGGAGAGACTTTGTACAGCAAATACATCAGATCATGGCAACATGTACCAGCAATGCGTGAGAGAAATGCATGCAACCTTGCAAGCCTTCAGAGCTGTGAAGAGGACGCCTGGGTGCAGGTGATTGGGCTCAAGATGGAGTGTGTGGTGGAGAGCTTTGAGAGCGATCCAGAGGGGCTGGGCATCGCTGGAGAGATCAACAAGCACCTGCCTGGACAGGTGCTTCATGCAGACCAGCACTTGCCGCATTTTCACGCCTGGTACTCCTCCTTTGCAGCACAGTCCTCGCTCTAGGGGTCTCTAATAGTCATACATGACTAAGAATGGGCTGGTGAGCAGGTGCGGGTGCTGAGCGTGCAGCGCACGACGCAGAAGTTTGACGCGCGCCAGATCTGCGAGGGCCGCGTCTACAGCTACTTCCTTCCCACCTCCATCATTGGCCTTGAGCTGGATGGTACTGCTTCCTCCCTGCTTCCTAATCGAGGCGCAGCAATTGCAACTGTTCATGCTGTCTCACTGTCGCTGTCAGACCGGCAGTTGGGTGCAGGGGGAAGCGACGGGAGCTTTTAGCTGTGGTAGAGAGGACTCTGTAGAAAGGCTCACTGCCTGAGAGCTGCAGACAGTTTGAATCAGCATCCACAGACCCTGGCAGAAAGGAACTGAAAGAAGGTGACCTGAGAGCTGTAGAGCGTGTGATCAGCAGGCTGTGGCAGGAACAAGATATGTGGGAAGGCCACTGAGGGCTGGAGAGGATGTGCAGGGAGCGAGGAGGACAGGGAGCGGCTGCGGCTGCTGAGGGAGTGCCTGGCGCTGTACGAGGGCGTGCATGCCTTCCACAACTTCACCAAGCGGCGGCTGTACCGCACGTCGCAGCGCAAGCAGGGCCGCGGGGCCAAGCGCAAGGGCGGCGGCCGAGTGACTGCAGGTGCGTGCGGACCCCTCTTTCGCCTGTTCTGGCTCGGCCTTGCCCACTGGGTTTCTTACAGAGCGCACGCATGCGCCCCTGGTCAGCCTGAGTTGGTATGCAGCACACGCTGCTCAGCCTTGCCTACTGTCCTGCATGCATGCTTGCGCGCCTGACCAGGCACAGTAGGGTTGCCCTGTATGCACCACAGGCCGCTGTAGAACACACCAGGGAAGGTTCAATACCCAGACACGTCAGGAATGCATTTGCTAGCTTGGCAACTTCTGGTATATGAGGTGTGCAGCGACAGCATGCTCTCCATGTGCAGGCGGGGAGGGCGCAGGGGGGAGTATGGATGAGGATTCAGGCGGCGAGGATGAAGCGGAGAATGATGCTACAGCAGCATTGGAGGCCCCCGGCGGTAGCACTGATGTCCATCAGAACGGCGCAGCAGAAACCCTGGTTATGTCACCTGGAGTGGACGCTGGCTGCACTGCATCAGCACCAGTAAACACCGGGTCTAGAGCGGCAGAGGGTCCAGAAAAGTGTGGAGCAGCGGCGCCTGAAGGAGCTTTTGCAGAAGGCCGTACTGGAGGCTGGCGGTCAGACACAGGGCCGAGACCGCTCCAATTCAAGTGAGTTTATCTGTTGATAAGCCACCATGAGACTGTGCTCAGAAATGGAACTTCTCTCATCCCAGATATTGCCATGTCCTGTACCTCTGTTGCTGTCTCTGGTTGTCAAGCAGCGTGTAAGGAGCCCTTTCTCCCGGTGTACAATACCATATAACGGTGAATATGTCTGCATAAGGGAGCAGATGACGTAGGTATTGGACTTCTCCTGGCAATCCTGAGCAGATCTTTATGGCCTGTGCAGGTGGAATGAGGAGAGGGACGAGGCAGATCCAATCACCCGCTCTCATTTCCGCCACATCTTCTCAGCCACTGCAGACGACCCAACTCCTCTGGTCCCCGGCGGCACTCCCTGCATCAAGGTCTGCTGCCCTTATGTGTGCAGCCACTGTCGCCAATCTGAAAACTACAATAACACCTCTTTCAGTCTGCCCAATGCCGAGGAGGTGATCGCCATGCATGTCTAGTGGGTTGTGGCCTGCCAAATTCGAATCAAAACGCAGAATCAGAGGTTGGGAAGGTCAGAGCATCGGCAAAAATTTGAAGCTGATGAACAAATAGCGTTGAGATATTCTCAGCGTGACACAAGGGCCATGTGGGGACCGTCTCTAATTGTCTACTATTAGAATCTATAGAATCTATACGCCTGACGATGTGCACATAGGTGATAGCCTGCCTAGAACACGTGCAGCAAAAAGGAGCAGTAGGAAACCTACCATCATTGCCTGTGCAAGCTGGATAGCAGACATGCAAACAAGGCTGCAAACGACTGACCTGGTGGTATCTGAGCACGGGGTTGTATGTTGGCAGGTGGTCTTCTCTGGGCAGTCGTTCATGCTGCACCAGATCCGCCATATGATCGGCGCTGCTGTGGCCGTTGCGCGCGGCACAATTCCCCTGGATTATGTGGAGGGCTGTCTCCGGTCCCCTTCACGCGCTATCATGCCCCTTGCACCTCCCCACGTGCGTATCTCCCCTGCACTTCTAATGCCCGGCCTGCTGCCTCTTGATGCCCAAACACTGCATCCACATAGCATGTGCCCTCATGGGCTATGAGCCGTCCACATGCACCTGCAGTGCTGTGCTTAGATAGAGGACCTGCTTCTAGCAATTCTGTGCCTTGATGGGCTCGTGCACCTGTGCCATGCTGTGCTGTGCTGTGCTGTGCTATGAGAACGAAACCCCTTGACAGCAGTTATTGGTAATGGTTGCTAGGAGCAGGATGAAACCAAATTCAACTGAAGGCAGCTGCGTGTTGTTGCGACAGGTGCTGGTGCTGTCAGAGACGGTGATGATGCAGTGGAGGGATGAGCAGGCGAGGGCCATGCTGGCGCACACAACAGGCGAGCGGCTCACGCTGCGCTCTGGCGGCCTCGCAGCGCAGCAGGCCTTCCTCTCAGAGGTCAGCAAACCTCTTTTGCCCTCATTCGCCACGGCATGACATAGTGGGTGGATCATTTTTTCTGTATTTGATCAGTTCCAGCAACCCAGCCCGCATGGCTGGTTGATACAGAGAAGATCTTTTTCAATGAATGGGATTGGTGCAGAGGCGGGGTAGCTTCGTAATCAGAACAGTGTAATCATCATACACTCTTAAGATGCAGCTGGTTTGGCGCATGCATGTCATGATTTGTCCTGATAGATGCGGCCTTTGTGCAAAGAAAGATTTTGGCATCTTGGGAGCATGTCCAAGCAGCTAGTGTTTCTGCCATGTGAAGTGAAGCTCTGTGTGAAAAATGCAGGTGCTGCATCCAGCAATTAATGACCTGCTGCAAGCAAAGGACTGGGAGTGGTGGGAAGGGGTGCTGCAGCGGATTGTTTACGATGAGGCGGAGATGGCTGCCTTCCTCACATCGCATGCAGAGAGCAAGGCTCGCTTGGAGCAGCATAGAGCTGAGCGGCAAGCAGAAGCTGCAGCCTTCGATGCAGCCAGAGCATGACTGGATTTTAAATGCACATGCACCGCTGCAGCATGATTACAGGACCTGTCACAGCACTTTCAAGTGGTGATGCGCAACAGGAATTCCATTGACAGACGGAGCTTATTCAGCTCTGTTGAACGAACACACAATCAGAAGTTTGTATTCAGAACGGGTTATAGCAAGACAGTCTGACCAGTCATGAATCCCACTTGAAAGTTGTACAAAGACGGCGTATAAGATCCTGCCATTCGCACAGATTCTATGTAATATTTTAAACAATCTATGCCTTTATGGCACATTCCGGATGTGTTCACCACCACGCGGGTGCACTACCTGCTGGAAACATATATATACAACTTTGGCAATCTACTGTTCACATTGTTCTCGATGCAGTCTTCAAGAGTGGTGCTTATCTCGGGCACACAATTTTTTAGGAGCAGTCAAGACTTTAGCCGCTCGTACAGAATGCCGCATCACACACTGCTTTGCCTCAAATATTGCAACTTTGCTAGGTACGCGTTGCCAGCATCGGCGCTAGTTGCTAGGTTGTGATAAAGTGCTGGGCGCGTCAGGGGCACAAGCAGGGCGCAAAACAGGCAGATACCCAAGCCAAATGCTGCTCGGACAAGGCCTCTAGTAGGGTGAGATCTAAGGGCTCCAAAGTCCGGGAAGCCCATAAGGTTGCAGAAAGAATGTACTGCCACAGCCGCCCCCAAGTGGCCAGTCCGCAGAAATACAAACGTTGCAAACCAGCCGAACAGCGTTGTGAAGCCAAATTGAAAGGTCACCTGGCACAGCAGGGCAGGACGCTCAGTTGATTCAGCTGTGCAAGCCACTGTTTGGAGCACCCCACAGGCAGACGAGCAGTATCCACAAAGCAGGCATGCTGACAGAAATAAAATGCTGAAATGCTCACGGGCATGATGTTGAAGCTCACCGCAAATAAGGCAGTCGCCAGACTGCGCCTCTGATGGACAACATATTCGTACAGATGATGCACATGGGCCAAGCCAAAGAATAAAGGAGTCACTAAAATTGTGCGGCCTGCGCTAAGCCCCTGCATTAATCATCACACCAACGGTACAGTAAGTCCAGCCTCAGGTTGTGGCCTGAGAAGTAAAGGGCATGGCAAGCATCAAAGCAGCACTTATCCTCAAAGTGACAGGCACCCACCTGCAGCAGGAGCAACGGAGCCATGCAAGATCTGAATGCAAACTCCTCTGTCAAAGGCCCCATCACTATGTCCCGCAGAAGCTGCACACCCATATGCTCCTTTCTTGTTTATCACCCACGCACCCAACACATTTCCACTCGCTTTGCAGTGCACAGGAGTTTGACAAATATTCAACAAAGAGAGCAAATGCAAGCGCTCCACCTGTATAAGGGGACGACCCCGCCGCCCAGCCAGCACACCCTGGTACCAATCCAAAGTCCAAACAGTGAGGGGCCCCAAAAAGAGCGCAGCCGTGAGCAGCACAGGCAGCGTCACAGCTGCACCCAGACCACTCAGACGCAAGCCCAACAGCTGCAGCACTGCATCTTGCAGGCCCTCTTTACTACCCGCCTGCATGACACCAGCATTTGTTTTCAAGCCCTGACGCTGGGTGCTTGCAGAAGATGTTTATACAGGTTACTGATCTGTAATTTCTCTCAAGTTGCCCTGCGACATGTCAGCTTGCCATGAAGGATCAGATAAGAATGTGTCATTTCCCTACACACAGCATGAATAAGAATATAAGGAGACTCTGGCGCCGTTAGACTTGCCTGCAGCCTGGAAAGGGCGAAGAAAAGGGGCAGCCAAGCCACGGCACAGACGAGTGCTGTAGAGAGGAATCTTGAGAGGATGACTTTGGTGTGGGACCGGGACAGGCCCGTCTGAAGGTAGAATGGTGCAACATAGGCGGTGCTGATCAACAAACAATCCAACAATGTGCGCAACATCACCCGATCTTTGCAATTGAGCTCATTAATGTAAGGCTGGAAGGCCTGTTCAACCTGCACCAAAAGGGAGCCCTTCAATCAGCCTTTCAAGGAGATTGCACGACATGAGAGGACAGCTAAAGTAAGATATGCTCACCTGTCCAGTGATCCAGTACTGTTAAGATAAATTGTCAATACCTGTCATCCAAGAGCGCTCATTCTTCAGTGTTCTGCTGCCTTTCTAACATGCTGGGCTATCACACTGAGAAGCTGAATGGGCACCAGCAGGACTTTCAATAGCGTTGTGAGAGCGACGAGCACGCTATTTTCCAGCACCTGGACAGCATATTCACCTTCACTCAGGGGCAACAGGCAGGCACTGAAATTACACATCTTTTAGACTTTAGATGTGCTCAAAGATGGGGCCAGAAAGCTGAATGGAAAACCTGCTCGGAGACGCAAAGTTTACCGAACAGTTCTTGGAATACTTGCAGACTAGGATTTTAGCGACTAATGACGCAATGAACTATGTCGGACGAAAGTGAACGTCTTCTGCATGGCAAGTGCGTGTGCCCTATAAAGCTTTAGGTAGTGAATAGGCAGCTCAACCTTGTCTATCCATGTACTTGATGTCCGATTATAGCCCGATTGATCCATGCTGCTTTATGGATGAAGGTCAATGTGTACCGCTAAGTGTCCGATCGCCGAAACGGCAAGTGTCGATCAACTTTCGTGCAACTCTTTCTCACATCGCAAACCTTCAGGATATCAGCAAGTAGTCTCACTCGCAGTGCCAAGTGTGTATCCAAGGCGTGAAAAGCAACACAATAAATGCAGCCAGATTGCTCCCTTTCCAGATTGCCAGGGATGTTGCCAAATTTGGAAGCCAGCTTCTCGAGGAGAGGAAGCTGCATGGATGGCCTGCTTGTACTAAGATTCCTTTCTTGATTTTTCTCCTTAGTATCAAGATAATTACACATGCTCGCTGATCACAGTGATGACATTCTGAAAGGTCAAGTTTGTGGATGAAGTGTCCCGCTGGCTCCAGGCACTGCCAGAGGCAACTTTGCTGGCATAAGTTCAGCACTAAGTCAATATCACAACGAGGCTCACGCATGCCTCACCGGCATCAACTGGTCAGCAAATGCCTCTATACACCCTCCGGCCCTCCAAGGAGGCCGATCAGGCCGTGCGGAAGATAGACAGGTCCAAGTCTTCAGGCCCCTTGGAGGCCCAGGCAGTGAGGCGGCGCTTGGACTCAGTGCTGGCAGTGGAAGACGATAGCTCGTACATGCTGCACAGGTTGAGCAGAACAGTCTCCTGCAGGAAAGCCTGCGGCTGGGCCTGGAGCGCAGCCTCCAAGCTCTGCACCGCTCCCACCAAGTTGCAGGCGTACATGCGACAGACGGCCGCGTTGTTGGCAGCTATGCAGTCCCCCGGGTCCTCCCTCAGCACCGAGTCAAACTCCACCTCCGCACCTGCGGCACACGCAGCAATAAATCATGTTTTTGCTGTGCACGCAGGGTTGGGACTGAGAGGTCACGCGATCTATTCAGTTGCTGCGGCGTGGCTGAAGTGATTGAGTCTCTTGGGTTGACAGAAGAGAGTGCTAAAGAAACGTGCTTGCCACAACAGACGAAATGCCATCCAGACTGGGGGAGGTGCCGAAACGGGTAAAGAGCACTGGATCACAATCACGGTGCTGGTCACCGTGTGTGAGTGAAGGCCATGTGATTTCCTCGATGACAGAAAGCCACATATTCTCCAAAGATTCCAGGGAAGGAGAACAGCTGCGCACCCTTGTAGTCCTGCTCTGCAAAGAGCAGCAGGCCCTGGTTGCGGCGCAGCAGCCGCCGGTCCGCGGGCGTGGCGGCCGGCCCGGCCGCGGCGACGGCTCCGATGACCTCCTGGAAGGAGGCCGCAGCTGCCCTTAGGTCCCCCAGCACCAGCTGCACGTAGCCTGTCCTGGATAGCAGCTCCACATCCCCCTTCCGCCGATCCAGCAGCCAGGCAAGCCACCTCAGCGCCACCACATACTCCCGCGCCCTGCCACACCGCAACTACTCGGTTATCAAGTGAAATACAGTAACCGGCGGCCACAATACCAACTTGTCTGGTGTATCACTCCATAGAGACATCAGGAGCAGCTAGCAAGGGAGTCATGATGTGCGAGTGGAGGGCAGACCGGGTATGGTGGTTTGCAATCATGGCCACAACCATCTGCTGCCGGCGATCCCACAGCTGAGTCAATTCTGACGCTGGTACAGCCTCTTTTTCAGGAACGCCTGGGCACACAGGGCAGCTGGGTGATCATGCGGGTCCCTGATAGAACAAAAGTGTCGGCATCAAAGAAATGCAGAGACAGTTCTCCCACCTGATGGTTGCGTGTCAGTGCCGGATCTGCATCTTTCAGACTGTAGCCTGCAGATTTCGACAAGGCCATACATGCGCTCCAGAGCATCAGGTGCCCTGCCCAAAAGGTAGGGCAGCTCTGCCTCTAGCCACCTCAAGGCAAATGGCACTTTTGATGTGGGGCCTGATCACACAATATCCCAACTTTGACCCTCTCATCTCCATCATGATCCAAGAATCATCATCAAGGCTCGCTGAGCTCTAAAGGGCGCACCCTGTGGACCATCTTGCAGGTAGGCTGGAGAATCGAGAGATCCCAAAGCTGCGAGCTCGTCTGCTGCACTGCCGTACTGTCGCAGCTTTGTCAAGGCGAAAATATGCCATGCAGCCCCCACAAGCTTGTCGCCCATAGGGGCATATTTGTAAGCAATAGTTCTCTCTGCTACCGCCCTCCATGATCCCTGCAAACGTCAAACTGGATTCAACCATGGCAATTGACTTCAACAAACTTCAAAACATCATATCAGATCAGATCGGCATTATACCTGCAATGCCAGGGTCTGTAAACCAGCCGTTCCAGATGGAACGTCTGCAGTGCTTCGACGCAGTTGGACGGCGTCCCAAGCATTGAATGACTCTGTAACCGAGCTAAGAGGATCTGGACTTGATGGAATGGTCATACAAGAGCGTAGATTTTGGTCAGCAAGTCCAATGTAACGAGATCAAGAGCTGAGATGGCAGAGTTCTTGAAGGCATGAAGACCCCTCGAACGCTGAAACACAGAATTTTCAACCTGTGCACTACTTACAACTTCAGGCATGCAGTGTTAACGAATCCTTTCAGCCTGAAGTTCAACAGCAGGAACGTTAATTGATAATACTGGCGGAAAATCAATCGCCTCTCCATCAACCGATTTATCCTGTCCAAACTCGTTCGACAAACAGTGGTCATGTGATAAAAGTGTTTGCCATTATTGTGGACGTAAATCAACTGCCGTACTCACTTTTTCAGCCACCTGCGTGCCCGGTCTATGAAAAACATTGGAGGTATGGCCCTATTTGGTACCATCGCCTGCTCTGACTCCCTGTACAACTTCCGCGAATAATCTTTTACCTTTCCAATTGGCAATCTGCGCTGTGTCGACAGGATTTCTTCTGGATATGGAGAGCACGATGTTACCTGATATTTTTGCGTTTAAAGCTTTGGTGAGCCAGAAGAGGGGACCATGTGGTGGAGTCAGAGGAGCAGCTGCCGGCAGCTATGCTGGGAAATATGAAGCACATTTGTAATCTATATGATGGAGATGTGGATTTTACACACAGTCATGCAGCCTGGCTGAAGACCAATCCCGAGCAATTGGCAATTGGCTTTAGAAAAATGCAGTACATAGGTCATGACATGATCAGTGATGTCACATGTAACGTTTTTATCCTTTAGTAGAGGATTCAATCCAGATTAGTGCTGGCACCATCAACATATAGTTGATATATCTTCCAACTAAATTTTATTGATGAAGGTCTACATCTTCATGCAATTCTGTCTTCTTGGCCTCAATTGCACATTCACAGGATTGCAGCTGCTCCTCAAAGAGAGCTCACAAGATGGGCAAATTCTGGCGTGCACCCTGCATGCTGAATCACAGCCTAGCATGTGCACTTCATTTTTTTTTATATTATTATTATTACACGCTTTTCCTGCCAGAAGCAAGGTGCGTCTGCAGACAAGCTGCAGTAAAGTTACTGCAGCTGCCAAAATCCTACCCCTTGATGGACTCGCCAGATGCAAGCAAGACCCAATCAACAGCACTTCATTTAACAGGGTTTATTCCTCCTTCCTCGATTTCCCCGCTGATATTCGATAAAGTTTCCCTCACCAAATCGACCTTCGCGTTCACTGTGGACAAGTACACAGTCCAGCTGCTTGTGGGTACTGCCTTGAGTCATCGTGCAGCACTCCACGCCCGCCCAGAAACCTGTGATGGCTGTTGGGCGCTGCCTCCTGCAATTGCACAGGTGAATGGCGTTGTCAACAAACTTGGATTATCTGTAGTGAATAGACCATAATGCTACGAGGGGCACAACCAAATTACAAGAACCGGCAGACTACAAGATCCAATCATGATAGGAACTAGCATACGAACGCATGGTCTTGTGTGAGAATGCAAGCACTGGTAAACACCATTTTGGGAGACACCGTACCTCCAGCCATGTTCAGGCGGCGGCGGCCAAAGCGCCCGGTGACGGGAACAGCCTCGGCGTCGGAGTCAGAGTCCTCCACAAAGCTGCCCTTCACAGGGCCTGCCGCCGCCCTTTTGTCCCCAGACGCTCGCGCCTGCGCTGGCCCCTCTTTCTTTGCACGCTTCACCTGCGCACCATACTGCTCTCTTCACCAGCTGCCCATCTCAACATGGTAGAACTGACCTCCTTGACAAGGGGCAGGCTTGGACCTAGCCTTTTTATAGAGTCTCAGCATGAGCAGAGCATGGGGAATTGACATGCCAGGCACGCAATGTATGAAGCTCTGATCGAGCCTCAGAAGTCAGAATGAATGCCACAAGGACAGTGTGAGCTGCTTAAAGCTCACATCCGGATAAGCAGGCAGCTGCAGATCGGATTACTACAGAGGCCGCACCGGGAGGGTGCCCTGGGCGGCACGCTTGCGCTTGGGTGCTGGCTCCTCATCTAGCAAATCTACTTCCCCGTCGGAATCCTCAATCAGGTCCACCTCATCAATATCATCGGCTGCGTCACTGCCACTCAGCTCGTCCTCGCTCTCCCTGGCAGCACAGCACTCCCACAATTGCAACACTGCAAATACAAGGAATGTGCTATACAAAAGAGGTGGAGCATCATGTATGCAGGGTGTAAGACTGTTAGTTTCACAACGTGCACAACACTTCTGCATTTCATCTCAAAGTACATCAGCTTGTAATTCTCACAATCAAATAGGTGAAGCACCATCGGCTGCTTGATCTCTCCTCATTGCTGAGGCAAAAACTGGCATGTGGGAGCTGCCACCGTGCAGAAGGAAAAGGTAGCGAGGAGTATGAGCGCACCTGATCTCGTTCATGCGCGCGCGTGCTCCGGTGGCGGCCTTGCGCGCAGGCCGCTGTGCAGGCGAGGCCTTTCTCCCCCGGGACGCCACGCTGCGCTGTGTTGCAATTACCCCATCCTCTGCCTGCACATAAATTTTCAAACTCACATTCACTACATACCCCATGCACAAGTATCCATAACCATTGTTGCCAATAACATTCCTGCAATGGCCTCATCTGCGTACAGGCCTTGCTGGGAACTCCTGATATTGATCCGAGTGTGACTGTACAGTGTGTGAGATATGTTACAAGCCAGCAGCCCATATCGTAGAGCTCAGCTGCGCACCTGTGAGGGCGTGCCACGAGCAAAGCTCTCACCCAGGGTCGCCTGCCGCCTCCCTCGAGCCGCTCCCGGCGCATGCGAGCCTACAAGCGCAGCCCACAATCTTCAAACACAGATTCGCTGAAAACCAAGCTAAGACTGTGAAGCTGCCGTGCATCTGCGCACCAGCAGACTGAGTCCCAGGACGACAAGCGCAGCCATCGCGATGAAAGCCTCTTGAGCAGTGTGTGGAGAAAAAGAAGGCGACAGAGCCAGCCCACCTGCTCTGGAGGCGGTTGGCGCGGCGCGTCTGCGGCCCTGAGGCGGAGGTGGCGGCATGGCTGACGTGGACGGCGCCTCGTCATCGTCGTCCAGATCCAGGTCAGCATTTGAGCGCACAGCCGCCGCAGCGCCCAGAGCGCGCGGCGCGGCCGGCTCCTGCCGAGGCGTCGCCGCCGCCTGCCCACAAAAAAAAAGGCTCTGAACCTCTTTGTTTATTGCCTTGCTTGAGCACCCAATTTCCTCAAAGCTTCCTGAGATTTTGCATGCACCGTGAGGGAATTAAGCTCTTAAGGGACTCTGTAAGACTCTCAAGGGACTCTGTAAGACTGGCGATAATCAAAGGCAGCACTGCCACATGGCAGTGTGTTTGATGTGCAGGCCCATGGGACGAGCTGAGTCAGGAGGTCCACCCAGCGCACCTGGGACTCGCGCCGCTCCTTCATGCTGCTGGCCAGCAGCACCGCAATGTCCTCATCCTTGTCAGTGCCGCCGTTCTGCACCGCCGTGCTCTGAGAGTACGCCAGTGCCTTGTTCACGCATTCCGCCAATGCCGCCTTCTCTTCCTGCACGCCACTTACCAGACCTCTCACTTCAGGTGTGAATCGTCAGCACAGACGCCTCACCCTCACAACCTCCACCAGAGGATCGCTCTACTGGTCACACATATCCATACAAACTTTGGGGGGCACAGAAGCATGAATCATCACTTTTCAGAATCTGAGGCCTGTCAGGTAGAGTCCCAATGCCCATATGCAGCTTTTCAGATTGCGCCCCACCTGCAGACATCCCATAACAAGAGGACACCTCACTCTCCAGAGAGATGACAATTATGTGGCGAGCCCACCTTGTCCACGAAGTCGCGCAGGGCCTCGGTGAACTCGTTGCGCGTGATGATGGCCACGTTGTTCTCAGGCAGGTGCTCTGCCAGGAGCTGCTCCACTCGCTGCTGGTCCAGCGCCTCTGGCCGCAGATCCGCCTCGCTGACCTCCCCATCCCCAACCTCAGGCTGCACACACAGCGCATAATCACAATTGAATGAAACCTGCTGTCAATCCTCTGACTCACCAGAAATGTTCCTAAGTGGGTGCAGTCCATCTAATGCTGTCTTGCAAAGTAATGTACAGACTTGCGGCTTGCCAGAATGTGAGAAAAATTCAATGGATACGGCCTCCGCGTGCACATACAGCGCACAGGCTGCTGACGGCCTGCTGTCAACCCTCTCACTCGCCAGAAATGCTACTAGGTGGGTGCTAGCCATCTCCGGCTGTCTTGCATGGTACACTCTGTGTGTACACTGTAAAGACTTGCGGCTTGAATGTGAGAAAATTTCAAACTGGGAATCAAAACATTGGCGAGAGCAATGTGAGTTCAGTTCATCGCCTTTGGCAGCTCATGCATGCTTGTAATTGCTAGGGACATGACATGGAATGTACTATGGCAGCCGGCAAGTGGGGTCCCCACCTTGGCTTTGCGCGCGGCAGCCTTGTGGAAGAGCAGCATGTCGTGGGGATTGGCGACGCGGCCAACAAACTTCTGCCCGAAGCGCTGCGCGTTGATTGTTGAGAAGCCGGTGTAGTCCACGCGCAGCCGCACCAGCGGCAGCTTCAAGCGCGCTGCGTCCTCGGCCCCGGCCGCGGCCGATCGCGCCCCGGCCGCGGCCGATCGCACCCCGGCCGCCGCTATCATGCCGGCCACCTTTCGCTCTATCACCGCCGCCACGTCCTGCGCACATCAAACGATGCAGTGATCTTAAATCAGAAGTGACTGGAACTTGCTGAGACACTTCCTAAAATGCAAGGAGCCTGGTTGATACATAGCAAGCCTCACTTTGAAGGACTTCCTGGACATAATGTGTACTTTGAACGCTGGGCAAGCAGCATGCACATGCGGAGGACTCTGCTCATTCCCTGGCCGAATTGTCCATAATGAGGGAGTAGAGTAAGCTTTAAATGAACCATTGAGCAGATGGCTGCAGATTGTAATTGTGGGCAAATATCACATCTGTACTGCAGTAGGGGATGGGCTAGTATGAGAGGCTCGTCAGGCACATGGGGCAGATCTGTCTGTACCTCCGGCTTCTCTGGGTCCAGGCCCTGTTGGTCTCCGAGCACGATCTGCACAGTCAGGCACCCAATAAATGCCAATTCCGCCCATACCACTCGGATACAGTATTCATTTGGATTTACAAGAAATTCTTTTGGCTTCTAGAAGACGTCCTCCTTCAAAGGCATAAATCTGTGCATCGCATGGTGATGTGGCAGGTGCAAGCAGGGGCAGACCTGGTCAAAGGTGAAGGGCCGGACGGTGCGCAGGGGGTACTTGAAGGTGCGCCACTGCTCCCCCAGGAATTCCAGGACGACCACATGCTTCTTCTTTGCCTCCCCCTCCGACAGGGCTGTGGCTACGCTCGACCCAGGCTGCAGTATGCTGAAGGTCTTGTCTGACTCTGCCGCCTGAGCAACACTGAATTTTGTCAGGATCACCTCTATTCTAGCGAGGCTGCGCTTGAGCTGGGAGGCAAGTGAAGGTATGCACCTGCGGTCTTAGATATTGAAACAGCACTGCATGCGACTTTGGTCCGACTTCACCTTAACACAACAAGTCCACATCACCCTGCTGCAAGTCCACAGCAGGGTGATGACCTTATCTTTGGTCAATGTACATGCATGCACTGTGCAAAGTACAAGCATGCTCTCAGGCAAACAATGTATAGATAGACCTACATGCATGCACTGAGACACAGGCAGAGGCATCCGAGGTCGAGAGAAGCCTAAACCCGCAGAAGCAAGGAAAGCGTGGGTCTCTAACTCACAACTGGCTCGGGGATGCACTTGTGCTCATGGCCCCAGATGACCAGATCCAGGAAGGAGGGCAGATAGTCCTCCTTGATCGCGTTCTTGGCCCCTTGGCCACGTGTCACCCGGTTCTGGTGCAGCACAAAGATGTTGAACCATTCGTCCGCCGGGTACTGGGGAGTCACCTTTGGCTGCCGCCTGCACCCCAGCCACTCTATCAAACAATGCCCTCTTAGATTGTGGATGCTGGAATGTAACAACAGTCATGCCCTTCAACATCTGAATGACAAAAGGGGCTCTTTCACACAACCTGCCACTGTGAGAATTGGACAGACCAGACACTGATAGAGAGAATTAAGCAACATAGTGACAAGGATGACAATTTTGCAGAGATCACAGAAGCACATGGCAGCACCAGTCGACGCTGCCGGGGGTCTGGAATGCGCGCGCCAGGCGCTCATCTCGGATATTGCCCAGGCCATAAAGGGCAATCTTCGTTGTTCCCTTCTGCAGCAGCACCGGCACAATTTCCAGCTTGCCGATCGTGGAGCCCTCCAATTGCTGCAGCACAGACCACAGCTTTTGACTGGTTTTGGGACCTTGGGAACTACTTGCTCGTCATTGTAGATCAATGTCTTCATTTCAGGATCCACATCTGACTCTAATGGCCCTCTGTGAGCACGGCAACACAAAGTAGGCATGGCGCTTTATGCTCAAGAGGAAAGCAGGGGCCACACCGATTTGCCAAAGTAATTGACAAGGTTGCATGTGGACAGAACGTCCACAGCAGACAGGTTGTCGACGCCGGAGGGGTCGTCATGGTTGCCATGGATTGTAAACACCGGCAGGCCGACACTGTAGTTGTCATTTTTAAAATTTGCCTTCCTGGAGCACACACATGAAAGGGGTAGATGGAGGCCGATATCATGCACCTGTTTGCTGGGGTATAGTGACGCAAAAAAAACTGCATCACTTGCTGTTCCATGCATTTTTGAGAAGAAGCGCAGGGTCTTACCCGCTGACGAAATTCTCAGTCGGATTGCTGATGATTTTGAACAGCACTTGGCTGCCGTTCAGGCAGTACTTGCTGAGAATCTCCATTGTCCGCACCAATGTAGTCCTACTGGGCTTGTTGTCATGGAACAGATCGCCCCCAAGCAGCACAAAGTCCACCTGCATGTTGATAGAATGGCTGTCAGGATCTTTTGGCAGTTTTTCTTTTTATTTTAGCATGAAGACCAAGAAAGACTTGCACACCTTCTCCCGTGTGGCCTGATCAAAGATCTCCTCGAAGGTAACAAAGGAGTCGTCCTTCCTTATCTCGTCCTTCTCCCATACGCCCTGCACAATTTCAGGATAATTTGGATCACGAGGTGTTATGCACAGAGAGCTGTATAAGAGATCTATCGTTGCTACAGAAGCCAGCAGTGAAGAAAGCCGAGTTCCCCCACCAGGTGGTTGTCCGTAGCAACCAGTATCCTCAGTAAGTTCCTGCCAATGCATCATGAAATTTCAGAACATCATGTAGTCTAGAAGAGATTTCACAGTGTAAAAAGCAGGATGTACCTGTCTTGATCTGCAGCCATCGGGCTTGCAATGTGTGATGGGGCGGGCCTATTATGATCCAGTTCTTAAATCTCTTGCACTTCAATCAACGTATATTTGCAGGATTGTTTTCCTGCATTGAAGGTGGGGCAGAGGTTCTCCATGACAACCGACCATCGAGTATGGATATTTGCTCACGGACTCTACAAGGTTGGAATACACTTTATGCAATGTTTCAAGATCACTTTCACGTCACCAATAATGCATTTAAGGTGTGATCATCTGGCTGTGGAGTCCTCGGTGAGCATGCTTTGCTGCATGCTGCGCTCATGTGACGTCACATGCCAAGAAACCATGTTACCATCCTAAGCAAACAAGAGTCAGATCTCTTGCACACTGAACGGATAACAATCACACTCCCTGCACTTGATATAGTGGAGGATGGTCCTGAGATTGGTGCGGCGTATTCTTTGGGGAAAAGATCCCCTTGCCAAAAACCAAGCAGTTCATCTGGGAATAGGAAGTTCCCGATGTGATCGTAATTCAGAACATCATTTTTCATGTAGTCCTTGCACTGTATAAATTTGGATCAGAGCGACCTTTGCAGGTCATGGTGATGAAACGCTTCTGCCGTGCTTTATGGCAAGCGGACGTCACCAAGATATCCCAAATGACAGAGACGCGCATTTTTAGCGGAATTAGCCCTCAAATGACTTCCCAACAATTAATGCACACGGTTCCAGCAGCCGTCCAGGAAGCAGGTTCGTTATTTCCCTCCTAGCCTTGGACTATCACATCTTGCATTTTCTAGCCATCAGTTCACGCATTCCAGAACGCTGGAAGCATCGATGAAGATTTAATGATGGGATACAGAAGGCAAAGCCAGCAGCGCTTGGATCTGGGCCTCGCTGGCAGCAGTGTCAGTATCCAGCTATGGTGTGCCTCAAAGGACCTCCGCCTGCATTACAACAAGTAGTTCACCCCCATTTTGTATGGCAATCATCTCAAGCCAGATGCCTATCAAGCCTCAGCAAGCCTGTCAAGGTGTGGGGCGTGCAGTGGCAGTAGAACCCCATGTTTTGCTGCAATTTAGCGTAAGCATTGTAGCGAGGTCGTGCTGTAGTTACTGATGTCTTGGTCACTGCAGTGGGGTACAGGGTGGGCCAGCTGGGGCCAGCTAGACATTGTGACGGATCAGTCACAGCCCTTGCACCGCCAGCTGACTGGATCGCAGGCTTGACAGATGGGTTGGAAGAGGTCATGAACTCGGAGAGCCTGGAATTGCAGGCTATCTTCAACTCAGATCATATGGTGATGCTTCTCCTAGCTACCCGCACTGCTGGAGCAGCTCCATGCACATTGACATATGTTCATCTATCGGTAGTGACCGGCCGCACCTCAACTTGACTAACTGTCTGCTCTTTGTAGTTTGCAGCTTGGGTGAAAAGCGGCTTGATTGCAGACCTCAGATGCTTCTATGACCCAGAAAAGCGCTGCCTGCACTCCATAGTGCAGTTGGGCAGGTTTGACACGTCCAATTGTTCCTTTCATGATGGCCATTCTGCGGCTTTTGTGTGGCTGTTGTGAGGATCTTCTGAAGTGCTGCATTTTACTTTTCCAACTTACTGAGTCGCTTTGTCTCGTGCAGCGGGGTTTGTGGGTACCCGAGAGTTTTGCATGGCGGCTTCACAGCGGCCTTCCTGGATGAGAGCCTTGGGCTCCTGTTCTTCGCCCTCAGACAGCATGGTTGCCTGCCATTTGTTGCGCCAGCTTTCACCGCCCATTTGGATGTAGACTACAAGAAGGTTTGAACACTCATGCAGACAGACTCTCCAGTCATCCGTCAACCCAGCGTGCTGTGAATTGACATCAATTCATGGCCATGACCAGCCCATCAGTAAAGGTACTGTTTTGACATGTGCAGAAAGTGGAAGCTGCACCTGGCAGGCTGCTGCTGTGCACAGCAGAGGTGGAGCGCATAGAAGGCAGAAAGCTGTGGATGAAGGCCACACTGCGTGACTCGCCGGGTGGCAAAGTGTATGCGACTGGACACGCATTATTTGTGTCACCATCCACAAGGCACCTCATTCAGGGTGGCTTGAAGTATGTGGCATCTGGGCTGGCCCCCAGATTCTTTTCGCTGGAGTGATGCGGTGCTCGCAGCGAGTCTGAGTAGAAGCAGTGCTTAGCTTGATGGTATCTAGACAGTACAATGCAATCTTCTTTAGAAATAGGTCGGTCGTGAATAAATATTCTTTTACAGTGGAGCTACACAAAGCAGACTAGTGAGCTGCAGGAAGCAGGCTCAGGGATGTAGACTACAAAATTAAGCTTTGAACGTTCATTATAATTATTGATACGCCATAATTGTAGAGATTGGCTCTCAGTATGGATACAGACCTCCAGTGCATACACTATATATACAATTGCTTGGAGTGACATGGTTTTCCCTAGCACTCATAACACAACCACTCACACAAGTCCCAACCAAACTCTTGAGGACGTCCTTCATACAATGTTGGAGTTCCTCGCAGCGCCCACCACTGATTTCACCAGTCACGCATTCCCCTAAAACTAAATTGCTCGCATTTCCTTTGATGGGTTTCATGACTTATGCTGATCATAGCTACCACAGGCAGCTGCCAGACTACAGCGCGCTTTGAAGATACACAGTCATCAGAATACCACCCACGCGTTGTTTCCCGCTGAAATATCATTGTCAATTCTTCGAAGCGCGCTGCACCTCATCACCGGGCACCAATCTGCTTCTAGCCATGGAAGCGAGCTCCCCAGATTGATCTAGCAGTGCTCCAGAGCTTGGCGCGTTCTCATATTGAGTCTGCACAGCTTTCTCAAGGTGCAGCAGCTGTCTGGGGGTCGCGAACAACTGGAAGGGAGGTGGAGCCGCCGGAGACTGCCATGGCATGCTGCAGCGGTTTGAGGGTGTCGATGATCTCGCTGAAGTTGGGCCTCTCTGCTGGGTCCGCCCAGGTGCGCCTGATAAGGCTGGCAATGGTGGAGTGCATTGCCTCGGGAAGCTCCAAGCGCATGTTTCCCCAACCCACCGCACCCACCACCTGCAGGCATGTGCTGTCACATCTTCAAGTGCACTCCCTTAAGAGTTGTACTATCTGCACTATGTATCGCTTTACGGTCCAAGCTGCCACACAACGCCAACAGGACCACACGCAAAAGACCCTGTATCTTGTACTTTGCGCATTGGTGACTTGATGGTCCTCAATCTCACAGGCAACAGTAGCTGTGCCATTGCTGCCTCTTGGACGAGGGCTTCAAGTCAGCAAGGCGAAGAAATGATAGGAACATTACAAAGGGAAGCACCTGCATGGCGCTCATGTCGTGCCAGGGCACCTGCCCAGTGAAGAGCTCCCAGAGAACCACCCCATAGCTGTACACGTCGCTCTTCTCATTGTAGCTCTGCTCACAAGCACACGGCAATCAAGCTCAGGCAAACACTCCAGCAATGCATGCCAGAGCTTGTGACCAGTAGAGACATTTGAGCATGACTGCATGGGGCTGCATGAGAACTACTTGCCTGGCTGCGCAGCACTTCAGGCGCTGTCCATTCCGGCGTCCCGGCCTGGCTCTTTGAGGACAGCCACGTGCTCCGTCGAACTCGGGATAAACCAAAGTCACACACCTGCGGCCGTGCCACCACACTGCTGTCATGCAACTCACTGGCCTGCAACCACTCTCACCCCAGCAGCTACTGAGCTGCAATAAAAAAGCAGATGCAGGCCGTTACACTCATGCAGCTCTTCACATACTACTGGGGAATTCAATGCCTTCAGTGGCACAGTGGAGGGAGAGGGTGAGGAAGTCTGCACCTTGGTGGTGTAGTCCTTGTCCACCAGCAAATTGGGTGACTTCAGGTCCCTGTGCAGCAAAACCCACCTCCTCAACTCCTGCTCTGAAGATCAACTCAACCCATCACTGATTCCTCAGATGCACCACGTGAGAGAGTGCTTGCATGCGTGCATGCCACGATCAAAGAAGCTTTGCCCTGGTCCAACACGGACGCGCGCCAATTCACCTGTGCACGATGGGAGGCCGGCAGCTATGCAGGTAGTTCATGCCCCTGGCCACGTCCAGTGCTATATTTATCCTCCTCCGGTCGTCCAGCACAAAGTTTGGCGTCCTGGGGCCAGCACCAAGCATGTTCGACGTCTTTAGCTACAGGAATTTTGTCAACAAAGATTCACCAGACACATGAGGACCTTGCTGGTGTGCGCACTGTCGTGTCCATCACACAAGAGCCTTGGGCACGGTGCACCGATGTTCAGCCAGTTGGGCAGGCCGAAGAGGCAATATTAGTGTGAATCTGGCTATTTACAGAGACATAAAAGGAAAGGGGTACATACCGGTGGAGGATTCGGAAGAGGGAGCCGCGGGGCATGAAGGAGGTGACGATGGAGAGGTTGGGCGGCTGCGTGCATGCCCCCATGAACAGCACCACGTTCGGGTGCTTCAGCCGCTGCATCAGCGCCACCTCAGCCCTGAACTCCTGCACGGCACACCCACAGCACACACCCTCACACACATGACACATGCTATTTCCCAATCTTTGCGGCATGCTGACCATTACCCTCGCTCTGCTGAGCAGAGCAGTGCAGAGCAGATGTAAAAAGCATGCAGCAGAGTTCCAAGTGCACCTGACATCAATTTGCACTGAAAATTGGCAGAAAGAGAAAGGAAGCAGAGCGCGAGCAAGACATTCAGAGAATCTGCAGATGGTCAGGATAGGACAAATACCTGGCTGCAAACAAATATTGAAGCAGGGGGCAGGGACCGCACCGCCATGAGCTGCGGTGAAAGATCCTGCTCCAGGAACCGCTTGACAGCGACGTCCGTGTGGCGCCAGGAGCCCCGAAACACCTCCCCGTATGACCCAATGCCGATACGCGGCCCGAGCTCAATCTCCGACGCGTCGATCTCCCACTCTGCCGCGTCCTCCGCGGCTGACACTGCCGAGCTGCCGCCGCCGCCCGATGAGGACGCGCGCGCGGCCGCGCCGCTGTCGGCACCGGCGCTGCCGCCGCCGCGCATGGCTGCGCGGCCGTCGCCGAGTGCTATCGCCTCGGATGTGATTCCCGCCGTGCTCGCAACCTCCTCCCCTTCCAGCACCGACGGCAGCTGCGTGCCCGCCTGGTTGTCAACAGCAAATTCCTCGTTTAGGGACGCTTGATCCGACTATCGGGTATGCCATTAGTTTGTGCCCTGCTGCCTGAAGATTCCTCATACTTGGACACTATGAGGCATCTTGCTCCTGTTACAATGTTTTGCAACTTCATCCAATATAGCAGCAGGCGATCATGATGGTGCTGTCTTTCATGGTCACTGAAGATCAATTGAAGCATCACACAAGGAGTTTGCAGTGAATCAGGGAGGGCCTGGTCGTCACCAGCAAAGACACAGCGCGTGGGGGCGCGGCTTCAGCGCCATTTCTGTCCACCAGCAGCCAGGGCCACGGATCCTTGTCCGCGGGTAATGGCTCTGGCGGAGCGTTCCTCTGCGGCCGCAGCGGCTCCACACTCGGCCGCGGTAACTGACAATGACCGTCCACGTCACTCCTGCATGCCAAATGAAATTCAGTGCTTGCCCTTTTGGTATATGGCACAAACAGACCGGTGCCGAAAGTGGGTTACACCCTAAAAAGAGTCTTCCTAGGTGCTCCAGAGACTCCTGATAATTTTACAGGAGTCAGGAGCAACATCTGCACAGCCTCAAGAACAGCAACATCTGCATGCTGGCACCCTACTACACATCCTCATGGGCACAGACTAGCTTTATTCTAGCAACATGGAGCAGCAAGCGGCGCACCGCGAGTGTGCGACGTCGTGAGGAGCATGATTGTTTGTCGGCTGCACAGCGGTGGAATAGCTGGTAGAGGCCTGGTACTGCGCCAAGCCGTTGACCCCTGGAGGCGAGCTGGCAAACTCGTGAAACGCCGATGTCCCCCTGCCGACCCCCTGCACCCAGGAAAATCAAAACATTTACAAAGCATCAAAAGCAGGCATGGCAACATGTTGTGTGCATGGGAAATTCCTTATTGCCCACTAGTAGCCTTCACGGAAAGGCTAATTGAACCAGGTAGTCAGGTAGATTACTGTACTTGCAAAACAGGATGAAGGAGAGAAGGAAGTGAACCTGTGTGGGGGCCGCTTCAGAGTTGTATCTGCCATGGCGCGGCGGAGGTTCAAACGGCTGTTGCAGGTCCAGCTGCTCAAAGGGGGACATCGGCGGAGCTATGGCGATGAAGCAGGGCGCCGATGTGCTGGTGGTGGCAGGAGGATCGCCCACGCCTGATGGCCCTGCCAAAGATGGCGCCGGGCTCTCCTGTACACCGATCAGACCATTCAAAACACTTTGCTTTTACAGGCTTCCTGTCTTCCTGGTAGCTCTGAGGGAAGTCTCTACTGGAAGCTCGATGCTAACTCCTGGCGCAATGCAATTATTATACGGTGGTCACAGGCTCAAAGGAGGTTGTAAAGGTAGCGTGCCTGTAGGGAGGGCAGTAGCACAGGTCCCTCTGTGTCACCATCCGCCCAGTTGAGCCCAAGGGAGATGGACTCCTGCAGGGAGGACTGCAGGACTGACGACAGGGAAGTCTCCGCATTGATCTGCGCCAGCAGGCACACCCTTTACTCTTGTCCAACGTTAGGAATGGCAGAGTACATGCTACATTGCAGGATGACGGTCAGGATGACGATGCAGGATGACGATGCAGGAGGGGTGTGGCACTCACCGGATGAGTGGCGCCGGGGTCTGCTACGAGGTCCACAAGCAGCTCCTGGGAGTGCACGCGCACGATGACAGCCGCCAGCTCACCCGATCTCCCCACCTCGCCTGTGGCACGCAATATCTTCGCTCTTGTAAATCCCCACATGCCAGCTGACAATTTGGCGCAGCAAGCATCATAACAGCATAGTCCTCAACAAATAGTGAACACCCAGTGCTGCTTCCATCAAGGTCAGGTAAGAAGCTGATCAGCGATAGCAGGGCATGGGGTGAGACCTGAACACCTAGCACGGAACAGCAAAATTACAGTAAGGAAGACTGAACATGACGAAATTTGTCTTGCACAATGATATATCCAGCGCCCACTGTCGTGGGCGTGCAAGGGGGCTGCGCACCGATGAATGGCCCGCGCAGCATGCGGCAGGGGAGCTCGCACGCGTCGGCGAGGGCCTTGAACAGCAGCGCCCGGTGCCGCGCCAGTCCCACCGAGAGGCTGCCGATGGGCACTACCAGGCCTTGCCGCACGTCCGATCTCCGGGCCGCTGCGTACCGCCGCGACAGCGCCGCGTGGCCGCTCCTGCCGCCCATGTGCTCCGCTACCACCCTCGCCAGCGCCTGCAGCCGCCAGCTCAGACAACTCAGGTCCCGTGGTTTAATTTTTCGAAAGGGATTGATGTCAGATGATCCTGTTCCAAAAGTTGCTCATGCGGAAGGCACCAGGCTTCATGTGCTGTCATATGCCCCCGGGCCATTCCACATTTGACACGACTGAGAGCAATGCCTTTGAGCATGACTAGATGGGTGTTCGAGACAGCAAAAGCATGGGCGAAATGTTGTTTGTACCTGGATGCAGGCCAAGGGCCCCTCCTTGCAGCTGGCGCCAATGGCCTCGGCGGCCTTCCCATCCACTCGCGCCAAGTCAGGATCCGCATCGTGGTCCACCACAACCACCTGCGCAATGGACAAGAAGCCCCCTCAGCATGAAAAGCTCCCGTTCATCTGAACTCCAACATCCTCCCTTTTTTGAAAACTCTCGCACTTGTGCATAAAGACAGCCCGACTTCATTTCCTTGGCGCCAGTGATGCACTGATCATGTTTAGGACAGAGGAGCAGTGTGGGCACCTCTCGGGTGTCGCCGTCCCGGGGTACTACTGCTCTGAGGTCTGCCAGGCTGGGGAACACACTGGAGCACTCGTTGGGCTGCAGCTCCGGGAAGGCCCCCCAGGGATCATACAGCCCATCGCACACCGCGTCCTCATATTCCAGGCTGCACACACAACCCCATTTGATTAACAATCATCTGGTGTTGGCCGCATGCTGCATCCCATGCTGATCGAACTAGCACACCCTAGCAACGATCAACTATTCGAGACCATCTAGATTTCTCCATTGTTGGGGTGGACTTACCTGGCATTGAGTAACCAGTCGAGCTCTGGGAAGGGCACACTACACAGCATGCATAGCAGGGATGAGTAAACAAGCAGGGCAGGAGGTGGCACCTCTCGGTCTGCCACAGCTTGCAGCTGAGTGCCTCAGCGGCGCTGCTGGCCTGCCCCGGGGTCAGGGACAGCCGCTTGGCGCGTGCAACGTCGTCCTCTTCGCGCACAGCGTCCGCCGATGCGCGGTTCGCCTCGCTGGCCGACTGAGACAGCGCCACCGCTATGTCCAGCTGCACACCACCCCCTTTCCTTAGGCCACCTTCTGTCGGGTGTATTGTTGCATCTAGCACTTCAAACGAGGTTCAGAGTACTGTATCTGACGCTCTGATCGCAAGCAGGCCTTTGCAAGGTGCATGGGGGAGTGCAAATCGGCAGATGCATGACAGGGCGCAGGCTTGAGCGGACCTCATTCTCCTCGTTTTCATAAGATTGTGACTGCTGAGGCGGTGGCTGGGGGAAGAGCGTGGGTGGAGGGTATGCGTAGGGGGCCACGTGGTGTGGCCAAGGGTACTCATGCTGGAATGGCTGCTGGGGTAACGTCTGCTGGATCTCTGGTGGTCGGTAAGGGGGTTGGCTCTCTGACACGGGAGGCCTGCGTCTGAACCAGTCCCGCAGAGCTGACATTTTGGGGCTCTGTCAATCTCTGTATCCTTGCTGATTGGTATCCTATAGGTTGTGCCTGAACTTTCCCTCAATGGATTGTGGGCATCATATGGGCTCTTTCCAAACCCCCTCGAATCCTCAATTCCAAATAACAGATGTCTTCCCGATCACCAGGAATCTTCAAGATCAATCTTGTATTGGTATGTTGCTGGCTATTATTGCCCAGAAAGATTTCAGACTCGGTGTAGCCAGCCGGGTACCGAAGCTTCAACTATCATGCTGCATCTGATTAAGGTCCTTACGTACATAAATGTGGCAAGGAGAAATCAGGTAGCAATTCTGGATGCAAGACTGAAGCTCACGCCAGCACAGTGCCCATCACCATGCCATTTGTGCTCAGACCCACCAAGACACAAAGAGCAGAAGGGATGCTTCCGGGGTTTTCCAATGCCTACAACAGCTGACACCCCTTCAAAGCAGGTTTGACTGAAAGCATCGGGGCTCTGTGCGCCTCTAATGCCCTTGCTTGAGAGCGCAATGCCGTAAGCAGCTGTAAGATCCACGTGGCATGAGACCCCAAACTTGATGAGGCTCAATGAAGCTTGGGGTGATGAAGGGAATGCATCATTGCTACGGGAGTACATCGGGAAGTATACGTAAGGTATTGACCAACATGAACAGGTTGAGAATAACCAGCCTCACAAACCTTCGACAGATCATCTGCAACAGTGCAGTCACCGAAACACGCATGGGATCTGCAATGGCGCAAGGACTAGATGATTATACTCAAATAGACAGCAGAAATCTCTTTCAATGGCAGCAGCAGCGATTCATGGCGGTCCCAAAGAAAAAGGTGCCGCACCTGCCAATGTCGTCCGAGCTATCATATCATAGCGCTTTTAGTGAGGGAAAAAATTTCCCAACGTTTTGGTCTGCTATTGATTAACAAATGTGAATATGTTGATCATTGAAGAAATCGCGCATCTGATGGTTTTGGGCCCTGCATGCAGGTATCCCCTAGCCGAAGGGGGAAGCGAAATGCTATGAAGTTCTACCGACCAGTAACATCACTTGCAAGATGCAGGTAAGGTTTGGTGAAGCTTGTTTCTGTGACCCTGCATGCAGTGAGCCTGCACCTGAGCCATACTGACATTTGCTGCGCTGTGCAGCTCTTGCGAGCGAGTGATGCATCCGCATCACATCCCACATTATTACTGCCAAAGAGACGACTGTCCATCCAAACTGCCTCAGAGTGGAGGTTAGCGTGACCACCTGCAGGATAGGAGCGTGACAGCCTGCAGAATGGATTGGCTTCTGCATTTTCATCTATAGACGGCTAGATAGCCTATGCAGCAGATGGCAGCTGTGTTTACTGGATCTACATTACTTTTGCCCTGCTTACTGCACTTGGGCATACAGCCTCAGGTTGACAGGCCGACAAGTTGAACGTTAAGGCTTCTGTAATAGCCACTTGGCGAGCTGATAAGTGCAGCAAAGTGGATGCCACTGGTACATGGTCACCAAAAAAAAAGTATGTCTGATAGCCGGCTTCATGGCGCCATGAGACTGAAATGACGATATAGGAGTGTGCAGTCATTCCAAGTCTACACAGATTTGTCTAGTCTCCAAGCCATTGCACCTCGGACTGCCGAGTCAGAACCAGGGATTTTGGAGTGTGGATTCGACCAGTTGTTGCTTCAATGCGGATGCACGTTGTAACTCACCCTTACTTATGCATTTGACTCCTTGAACAGTGCGCATCGCACTTTGCCTGTCAGCAGCACTGGCCCAGCAGCGCCGCTGGCGCATCTGGCATTTTTTGCCATTGCCACTTCTGGTCCAACATTGCTGGTTGTTCTGATCACCCATGACCTAATCACTAAAACAACAGGCCGCTGAAGTAGCTAGCCCTACAGCCTGCTTGCAGCACGTGCTGCACTGTAGCTTTATTGCGGTGCAAATTTTACGGCGTCTGTGTAACAGCACATACATGGTCACACTATTAGTGTTACACTAAGGCAACCATGAGCACTTGGCTACTAGCTGTTAGCTCGTGCAAGCCATCAACTCCACATACAATTGTCCACATGTCATCTGCACATCTACCCACACAAGTATTGCTGGTCTCTAAGTTTTGTCAAATTATTTAATGGCATGCTATATCCACGCTAAGAGAATCGGGTGCCCTGAAATAGATCTGGGCAAAGCATCCAATGAGTCTGCGGTGCCGAAGTAGAACCCCTACTATAAGCCTCATAATTATGAAAGACTTTCTGAGTCTTCTTAATATGAATGGCCACAGCGGAGGACTTGTATGATCAAATATTATCGCTTGCTTGAGCCATTTGTCAGGGGTTTCACGAGGTCAGAGCTCCCTTCCAAATTGTCCGCACTGGACTGCTCGGTTTCCACCTCACGCCCATCACTGCCTGAGGCCTCATCTCCCTGATCAATTGTTGGCAGCCTGTTTGACACAGCGGTGATCAGTCTTGCCTGCTGAGTTGACCCGAAGCTCATGAATGCTTCCCAGACCTAGAAATCTGCCGGGAGGCAGGCAAATGCACGCTTTTGGCAACTAAAAGCTTGCACAGAATCAGACGCTGCCTGAGAGCACAAGCCTCGCTGAAGTCACGTCGTGCAAGCATTTATTCAGATCTGTAGACCTCTCAAATGCGGCAAGTGGGGCTTCTGACAGACAGAAGAATCACCCGATTCTCAACTGGGCGCCAACCAGTAATTGCCCAAAAACAGAAAGACGATCAAGACCCTCGACCACCCTTGCTGGGCAGTGCAGCCATCCAGCAATTCTCCTCTATACACCAACTCCTTTGCATGCACTTAAAGAGTCCTGAAGCTTTGAGAGTCATTTCGCCTACCTGGAGGTGTGGTGCGCGTAGGAGGCAGGCAGGCTGTACACAAAGTAGACCACCAGAGTCCCCGCCAGCCACACTCCAAACCTGGCCCAGGCCGCGGCGCTGATAGAGCCCAACAGGAAGGTATTGAGCACCAGGGAAGCTGCGGGCACCCATGGCCAGGCGGGCACGGCAAAGCTGCCCGGCCCGGGCAGGTGCGTCTGCCGCGCGAATGCTTGCAGCGACGCGGTGGCCGCTACTGCGCTGGCGCCAAAGCCGGCCAGGCCGCCCCAACCGTCGCTCGACTGGTAGTACACGCTCAGCCCTGAGCGCAGCACAAAGCAGTAACTTAGCAGCGCAGCGGTGATGGGTCAAAGCTCAAAATCTGCTGGCCAGCATGCAATCTGATAATGACCCTCGATGCAAATATTCGGTGACCCTTTCTCCTGCAAGGCCTTCAGTGCCATTTTCAGCATCAGCAGTGTTGATATTGATTACTGGCCCAAACCAAACCAAAGAGAACAAGCGCAGCCCCTGCCGTCCATAATCCACTTCCTTGGGGATGACTTTGTGTGGAAGAAGTGACTGGTGCAGGAGGAAGATGACTCACCGATCCCGCTGACGGCAAGCCAGGCAAGCAGTAGGCCGGGGAGCCAGGGGTTGGCCCCCTTGGCGCGCCCAGCCACTCCATAGTATCGCCGCCACAGCAGCGCCAGGGCAACCACAAAGAAGCCAAACAGGCTGGAGATGGACGTCATGTCCGACAGGTACTCAAACGGGGTGAACAGCGTGATCACGGCTGCAGACACACCCAGACACACACTCTATTTCAGAGTCTTCGGCAGGAATTTTTACATGCCTGGCTCAATGAAACAAGCACACGTAAACAAAGATTCAGGTGTAAGCTGCACATGGCTATTGGCAGCACGAGTGTCACTGAAACACTCCCTGTACTAATCTCCTTGTTAACTTCGTCGAACCATCGCTGCTCACAACTTTGCACAACTACATCACCAATGGTTCAGACAGTGCTGGGGTAGCAATGCGCTTCAATGAGATGCATGCATGCACCAGCAGTGCACGAGAAGAACACAGTGAAGCTGGGCACTCACAGACTGCAATCCCCTGAACTGCGGTGGCAATGACGGGGGTACCGAAGCGAGGGTTGATGCGCGCAAAGACCGGGGGAATGAGATGTTGGCGTCCAAGTATGCAAATGATGCGTGCCCCCGCATAGAAACCCACCAGGGGCCCTGTCAGGATGCCGGCCAGCGCACCCACCGCCACTATGTACCGCGCCCACGGCAGCCCGGTGCTCTGCGCAGGGGGGATGCACAGATTTGGATTTGGATTTGGATTTGGATTTGGATTTGGATTTGGATTTGGATTTGGATTTGGATTTGGATTTGGATTTGGATTTGGATTCCGCAGCAAAAGCATTTAGTATCCAGCAGGGTGGCATGTCTTGAGAGAGCACAGCAAGCAGAATTGTGAGGATATAGGGCAATGGGTCATAATCCAACGAAGTACCAGAAAGTCACATAGCAATGGCGGACCCTGGTGAGCCAATTATTGGTGTCAGGCATTGTGAAGAACAACACTTGGGCGTAAATGAGCAGCACAAAGTCGGACAGAAAAGGGAATGTCTACCTGGAAGGCGGCTGCAAAGGCTGCCTTGGGGCTGATGTCCACATAGGGCACCATGAGCACAATGGTCGCACTCATGAGCATGTATAGGAGGGTCACCACTCCCAGAGATCCAAGTAGTCCAATCGGCAGGTCCTTCTTGGGGTTCACCACCTACACCAAAAGGCTTATAGGTGAACACTCACTAGCGCAGAGTTGTAACAGACAGCAAGCTTATAATATGGCAGTCTCTCAATGAATAGGACAGGTATCCAGGACAGAAGCAGGCTTGCCTCTTCTGCAGTATTTGCAAGTGCATCAGCGCCAATGTATGCAAAGAACGCCGCAGTCGCCCCATCAAATATCCCTCTCACCCCGAACGGCGCGAAAGGCTGCATGTTGGCAGCCTTCGCTTGCGTCAAGCCCACAACGATCACGAAAACAATTACTGCGACGTGCGCAACCGTCACAACTGCACACAGCACCAAAGAAGTGTTCAGATTGCTTCGTTGCAGAGCCATCCACAAATCTGCAGGGATTCCAGGTCACAGTGAAGGATATTTCTTACATGAGGAATACTGAAGAGGGGAGGCGCACCGAGATTGAACAGGGAACTCTCATGAGTCCCAAGGATGAGCAGCAGAGTAAGACCCAGCGACAGCCCAAATGCCAAGAAATCCAGGTCCAGGCCGCCTGATGTGTGGACCTGGAGGTCTGTCTTTGAGTCCACGTTGAGGAGCTGTGACAGGTAGGCGCTGAAATTCCTGAGCACCCCGGCATTGCCCACAATGTGCGGGATGATCAGATTTGTACCCACCACCCTGCACAATTGATGCACACACAGGTAAGGACATCAAGTGATGCACATTTTATTGCAAGCATGCAGTGCAACACCATTTGTGATGCATTGCCTGGGGGAAATTGCAGCCAAGGACACAGGGCCCTGTGCAAGTCATCTCCTCTGCAGGGTATCCTTTGAGCAATTGATTGGCACGTTGAGTAATGAAGGGCTACCATCCGATCAAGGGGCCGAAAGTGAGGGTAGTGTAGCTGAAAGCGCCTCCTGTGACCGGGACCTCAGTTGCAAACTCCGCATAGCAGAGAGCGGACAGCAGTGCTGAAATGGCTGCAATGGCAAAGCTGATGATCACTGCCGGCCTGCACGGCATCCACTGTCAGCGAAAATTGCATGGGTTACAATGAGCATAGATTCAGACCGGCCATCAGACAGGCAACCCAGCGGTGTTTCTGAAAAAGCCACAGGGAAGTCAGCAAGCATTCAGGGACATACCCTGCCTGACTGTGTGCTACTCTCCCAGTGGTCACGGAAATCCCCGCACCAACAACATTGCCTGCAAAAGAAACATTCTGCTCAGAAAGAACGTGCCTGTGCAGCAGTGTGGTAAATAGCACAAGGCAAGACCAGTGGAGACTTCAGAAGACATGACACAGAGACTAGTGAAGGCACTGCGATTCAGGTCCGAAATGAATGCTCTGACCAACAAGATAACTAATCAATGAGCTCAGTTCAAGGTTTAGTACTCTGGAATTATCTCTTACATAGAGGTGCAGCACACCTATGCCCAGGCAGATGAGCTGCAGGGACGTGAGGGTGCGCTTAAAATTGCGACCTCCCTCGATCCTATCCCTGTCCTCCTCCTTGAAGGATCTGGGCTTGAAGGAATACCCTGACGCAAGGCTGTTCTTCAGAGATCTGAAATAGGAGCGAGGATCTTCAAACTCGCCCCAGGATCTTTCATCGCCCATCCCAGGCGCTTGAGGTGTCCAGATCAACCTCTTATAGAGTATTCACGAGCAAATGTATGATTTCAATCGGAGCGGAGATTGACTTTTGTAGCAGCACGAGCGTGCGTGATGCCTTCACGTGCTCGCAAGATGGCTCCTTGCCCCAATTGGAGCGCTACTGCTTTTGCCCGGAAGGAACAGCAGAAGATTTTTGCCGAACAGGGTCTCACCTGATAATCAAACGATTTGCAATTTGCAGGGGAAGTTTGCTCAGATATAAGTTTCTCTTTTGTCATAGAAGAATCATGATCCTTTGGACATTGTCCTGAAAATTGGCCAAGGAGCTCTCAGCAGAAGGGTCTTCGTCTTTAGTCGTCAGTCGACATTGTTTAAATTATCTTGTCGATAGACTGATTGATTGTCGTGAGATCGACGCTTTTAAGCCTGAGAACATCTGGCTTCGGATTGAAATCCAGGCTACATTGTCCAAGCGAATATATATCATTTCTGTATACGCAGTTAAGTGATTCTTGCTGGATGGTGAAAGAAGTAGCCGTGACGGTGTCCGTTCCAGACTGCAATGTGCAGGTATGACCTGCTCTTCCAATGCTTGATTCGCAGGAGGTGATTGATTACGTCATCATGATCAGGCAGAGAGCAAATAAACTGCTCTGTATGGGCCACAGGAGTTTGCAGATATAGTCTTCGAAAGGAAGGCCACTTTGCTAGAGTACCACAAGCGAGAAGGTGACCCAAATGCAGTCCTGTCAGCTTGGCAGGACGACGTGCGCATAATTACATTCTCTGTACCACTCTCAGGCGTTCCTGATGTGGTCAAGACTGCCATTGGTACGGCCACCCCTGCCTCGTTGTGTGTTGCATGGACTTGAGCGTTTTCCTATGCAATAAAAGAACAATATATTCTGCTCATTGTTGTCATCAAAAGCTTTTCCTGTTGTAGGCTGCAGCACTCTGACTATCCGGGAGACTCAGCAGAGGGAGTGGCTGGTGGATGGGTCTCTGAAAGTCACAAGCGAGCCTGTCCTAGACATTGTGGGTGGATCCAAATTCACCACGTCAGCAGAATTCACAGTGCAAAGTTCTGCAGATCAGTCAGGCTGCGAGGTGCGTCCTTTCGCAACCTATACTATCTGAGCATCATCCTTGCGCCCAACTACCAGATACAGAGGATAAGGCATGGTGCATCTTGACTGACAGCAGCATCTACACGAACTGTATGGCACCCCTTTCCATTGCAACTGTCCTTCTCAGGGCTGTTGCAATGGAGGTTGCAGATGCGCCAGCTTGCAATGTCCATGAAACACTGCTGTATGTTGCAAGGTTGTGAGGCCGTTTGGTGTACTTCAGGTGACAGCCAAGGTGCTGTGTGCTGCTGCGGGACCGTGGGGGTTGGTCTCCACCATAGAGGGCATCATGGCGCAGCAGGCCCAGGCCTCTGTGCAGTCCTTCCTGGAGTTCTGCGCCCAGAAGTGCAAGCAGGAGACGCAGCAGCTGCCAGGGTACACCTCTGATGCAGAGACGGTGGAATTCTATCAGGATGCGGCGGATACCTTCCTTGGAGCCTACCCTCCTAGTGCTGAACTGGCAGGTGCGATTCGGCCTGATCCAGTGACACAGCCATGCTTATCGCTGCTCTGGATGTACATTGCCATCCAGCCTTGTAAATCATGCAGTGCAGCAAGCCAATCCTGTTGCAGAAAAATCACGATGTCCCGCTGATCATTAATTGCATGATCGCGTTGCAGGGATTGATCTGCAGAATCTGGAGCCAATTTTGGAGCGGCTGGACATGCATGCACAGGGCATGCAGGCATCTGTCAGTGCGCTGTGTTCTGCCATTCGCAACAGTTCTTCAACTGCACCAAAGCAGCCCACTATCAGTTCATCCTGGGCTCCCTCGTGGCCTAGAGCAGGCCTAGGAAGCAGCTACTGGCTGGTCCTTTTCCTGGCGTTCCTTGCAGGGTGCTATCTGGGGTCATGGGTCAGGCTACGGCCGCAGCACTTCCGCTAAGGAGAGCAGAGTGTAGCTGAGCAAGAGTGAGATGTTTTGTACTTTTCACAGACACCCGAGTTGAAGCTTACAAGCTTGACAGACATGTGCAGCAGTGATGAGCGGGCACTGATGAGAGTCCAGCAGCTGTGTGCATGACGACAGCACTGATCTGAGCAGGTATTGTTGACATCAGAGCTGCAATGTTCTGTAAGAGTCAGCAGACAAGGATATGCTCATTGAGGCCCTGCCTCAACAACAGAGCTTGCAGCTCCAAGGAGCCGTTAAGATTGTGTGCATGTCTGTTTTGTCCCATATAGCATGACACGTGGCACAGGCCGGAGCTTGATCCCTGTAATCTTACAATCGTACTGATTGGCAACCTAATAAGTCTGTATTCTCGTTGCGAAACATATTTTGCCTGCATTGAATGTGCACCTGTAAGTTGCTGGCAGCAAAAAATCTAGAAGTAATTGCGAGAGATATCTATAAATCACGTGAGAGCGCAGAACACCATGTGACATGCCTCAGAAACGACAAGGCATGCGGCAGGCAAAGGATGCTGCCAACAGTGCTATTGTAATGATATTGTGGACTGCACCAATTCTGATGACAACCACCCTCGCTAAAAGACTGCTGGATACTGATCAAGCATTTCTTCCATTACCCTGACTGCACTGCCCTAAGCAGTGTGTCTTAGACTCCAAACTGTTCTCAGAGACATAACATACAAACTGAATTCTGCATATTCCATATACACCAAAAGACAGAAAAAGCAATTGCGGAAATTCGTACACTGCACCCACCCACAAGGGCAGCGTCCTGCAGCACAATTAATGCATGCAGCCACTAGAGACACAAATCCTAACCAAACAACGCAAACCGCACTCCTTACTCCTCACAGATCTAGGCAAAACGACGGACCCAAGTACACGAGCTAGCCTATCAAAATTCCTAACCGCCCCCAGTGTTGTGTGGTGCGCTTACAAAATTGTGCAATGTTTCAGAATACTGCTGCTCCCCCGTTATACCGCTGGCAAAGCTGCTGTGCCGGCAGGAGTTCTCTGGTTGCCTGGTGCTGCTTCAGGCGTGGCCATTGGTGGTGCTCTTGGGTCCAGCGCTGACGATGCTCTTGGCCAGGTCAACCGAGACAAAGCCGGCGCCGTCGCCGTACTTCTTGAAGTTGTCCTGTCAGTCAAAGCACAGCATCCACGTCAGGACATCCCTCACTCCTAGTGCTTGCCTGACTCTTCACTCTGTCCCATGTGGGCCTGGCAGGAGCACGAGGCATGCCCGACCATGAGTCATGCATCGGGATTGGAGCCAGACAACAGGGCAGCGACTATTATCACCTCTGCACGGAAGGGTCCGTAACAGGGTAATGACCATACATCAGTATTGTCTTGCTCAGGCTGGAAGCAGCGGCTCACCTGGTAGAGCGTGGCCAGGAGCTTGAGGGTCTTGTCGAATTCGGCCTTGTTGGACCACTGCGCAGCTGGGTTCAGGATCTCGTCCGGCACAGCTGTGCACTTGGTCGGCACCTGCGCGCACATGCTCCCCGCATCACAAGCTGATCCCACTTCAGCTTCTACTCTCAAGGCAGACTCCATGCAGCCAGGCAATTTTTTTGCGCTCTGAAAGCCAGCACATGTACATGCACAGGCAAGTAGGTTCAACAATTCTAGAAGCCAGCACAAACATGCACAGGCAGGTAGGCACAAAAAACAGCAACAGGCGGGAATGTGGAGAAGGGCGCACATGCAGGCTGAAGATGGGTGTGGTGGTGGTCTCGGCTGCGGCCAGTTCTCCGCTGTGGATGCCGTCGATGATGGCGCGCGTGTAGCGCAGCTTTATGCGCGATCCCACGCCGTAGCGCCCGCCGGTCCACCTGAACAAATTCACACAGTCCTTGAGCATACGGTATTTGGACCGCCAATTGACCCCAGGTCTTCTCCGCGACTTCGAAGGCAGCCTATTGAGCTAGGAAACGAGACAATTACAAGCACAATGCATCCATAAGACTCAGTCAGGTGTCCCAAGATGAGCTCTCAAGATGAACAAAATCAGTCCCAATGGAAGTCCAATCGCAGCTGCTATATCACATGAATGTGAACACTTTGAGAGGTAAGGCTGATTTGTGCAAGACAAAAGGATGATGATGTTTGAGAAAGAGGGCGCACCCTGTGTTGACGAGCCAGGCGGAGGTGCCGTGCTGCTCCATCTTCTGGGCGAGCATGGCCGCGTACTTCATGGGGTGCCACATGAGGAAGGCCCCGCCAAAGCAGGCGCTGAAGGTCGCCTCCGGCTCAGTCACCCCCATCTCAGTGCCCGCCACCTGTCAACCCACAAATGGCATGGCTCAAAGGAGTGAAGCTCCAAAATACAGAAATCGATCAAAATTGGCGCATGCATGAAAATGGCATGCGAACCTTCAACACTACAAAGACGATTGCTTTCGCAATGATGCCCAATCGGTCCAACGGCTAGTTTGTCTTTGTAAAGTCTGGTAATCATCATAAATGCAGCCGTCTCTGTAATGCCTGCTCATTGAGATTAAGAATGTGGCCAAGCAACGTCAATGGCGTTAAGGATGTCGTGGACCAGCCGCTGTGGTCAATCAGCAGCATGGCTGGCAGCTGGGACCACTACAGAGCAACTTGAAGCAAGCAGACCCAAGAGAGTGCAGCGGGACGAGCAGAGGGGTGAGCACCTTGGCGGTGTAGCCGGAGATGAAGTGGTACATGGCCTGCTCCTTGGTGAGGCGGGAGACGGGGGGCAGCACGCCAAACGCGTCGCAGCAGAGCAGGATGAGGTTCTTGGGGTGGGGGCCCACGCAGGGGATGCGCGCGTTGGGGATGTAGTCGATCGGGTACGACGCGCGCGTGTTCTCCGTCACAGCGCTGCAGGCCACAGCCACACCAGCCGCGTCAGCAATATTGTCAAGTTTGAGACCTGAGTCTGTCATACAAGAATGCCTGCATTCCTCAATGCTGAGTTGAAAGGACCGGTCATGCAATCAGAGTTCAATGGATTATGATGGCAGCGCAGGAAGAGAAGAAAGAGAATGGTGGTGGCCAGTGAACCCGGATACACCAGGCACATCCCAGCCCCAGAGCTCATGCATGCGGGGGTGAAACTCTGTTGAAAGCCAAGTAGTAAGCTGTAAACCAATTACAGATGAGTGGCCGCACTTGGAGTCAAAGTCGACATCGCGGGTGTGCTCGTCGAAGACGACGTTTTCGAGGACGGAGCCGAAGCGGATGGCGTTGTAGATCTCGGGCTCGCTGCTCTTCTTGAGGCCGATGCACTTGGCGTAGCAGCCGCCCTCGATGTTAAACACGCCACTGTCGCTCCAGCAGTGCTCATCGTCCCCAATCAGCGGCCGCGCCGGGTCCGTGGACAGCGTCGTCTTTCCAGTACCTGCAGCAACGCCAAGGCAGGCCACATTCACATAGGTGCACATCAGGACTCAAATGGGGGGATTATTAATCATAAGGCTGTTATCTGATCTGCATGATTGGACCATGGCCACCATGGCCCATGCATGGCGGCTGCGCAGCTCCAATGCTGCTGATATTCTCTATATGCAGGCGCTCTGATTGCGGATGCCATGCTCTGCAAGCATTTAATTTGGGTGCCAGGAGGTCTGGCATCGCCATAGGGAGCATGCGTTCACAGTGATGTGCAAGAGCATGCATGCAGGTGGACGAAAGCAAGGTGGCAGGCGGCAGTGCAGGGCAGCACCTGAGAGGCCGAAGAAGAGGGTGACGTCCTCGGCGGCGCCGACATTGCAGCCGGAGTGCAGGGAGAGGATTCCCCGCTTGGGCATGAGGTAGTGCATCACGCTGAAGATTCCCTTCTTCATCTCCCCCGCGTACTGCGTGCCCAAAATCACCATCTCCCGCGTCCTGCGCACATTTGAACACCACTTGTGAACAAGGTTGCATGCCATGACTCTCCCATTTGGTTGCCCTTTTGGAGCTAATCTGTTGTGACATTATAGTCCAACGCAGCCTTTCAAATTAGCCTCACAAGGGGCTGCATTGGACAGCCACGGTTGCTAGCGCCTCAGCTAAATAATGCTCCAAAAGACAAGCAGCAATCAGGCATGCGCTCTCACACAGGCAGGTCAGTAAGCATGCGTAAGTACTCGTACACAAAGACATGTTCAAAAGAAGGCACCTGAGGTTGATGTCGACGGAAGTGGAAGAGGACATGTAGGAGGTGTAGCGGTTGACAGGGAACGCCCCGGCGTTGAAGATGGTGAAGTCGGGCTTGCCAAACTCTGCCAGCTCCTTCTCGGTCGGCCGGATCAGCATGTTGTACATGAACAGCGCGTGGTACGCGCGCGCACACACCACACGCACCTTGATGCGCGACTGCGCAGCACACAAGCAAATGCTTAGCCCAGACCTGTGCTGGCCAGGAGTTTGTAATTGCTACCCTTTTCGAACTGTAGGGGAAAGCTGACAAGCCCCTTTCTCCCTTCTAAGGATATTGCCTAATCATGCACTGATCTATTTAGACTTTTGTCTCTAGAAATGGTCTGGCGTTCTCTTCTTTCTTTCAGCTCATTGAATTGCCCAGCGGCCAGCTGGCAGTGCTGATTGATGATACTCTACTAACACTTACTCTTGATATTGAACCTTTAATATTTTGGCTCAAGAAACTTCCGTGCATCCTCTCAGCACATGTTCTATTCAGCATATGAGATCCAGAGGAGAGCGATGAGAAGCCAAAAAAAGAGCTCACCTCGGGGTCCCATCCGGCAAAGCCATCAAAGATGTAGAGGCGCTCCAGCATGTTGAGGTAGTCCACAGCGCGCTCCCTGTTCAGGATGAACGTCCTGCGCCAGCCACCAACACAGCGCTCACGACATGCACCCTGCAGGCAAGCTGTTGCTGGCTGCCCATCAATTGTTCCCACATGCTCCAAGCTGATGATTAGTATTGAGACATGCAGCAATGCCCCGCTTGGCATGCAAGTCCGGCATGCGTGTGAGCAGAAAAAGGCGGCATGAAAAATTTCCTGCATGCATGCAGGTTCATGCATGCAGGCGTTACCCGGACTCCCGGACTCCTGTGTGCAATAGGTGGAACTTCTGGTGCAGCAGTGCTGCAATTGCAGACCATGCACAGTGCCATGCGTGTGGACTGAAGGGCAGAAGGTGCTGCAATTGCAGATTGTGGACACTGCCATGTGTGTAAATCAAAGGATAGATGGTGGCGGCTCACTTCTCGTCCATCTCGTAGTTGGGGGCGCCGTTGGCGGGCTGGCCATCGGCCGCCGCCCACCAGATGTCGGCCTGGGAGCCCGACTCGCGCACCACGCGCTTGTCCCGAGGACTCCGCCCAGTCTTTGCGCCTATACCACGTCAGCGCAAGATACTTCAGTGCAGATATTTCTTGGTGTGAAGCTCCAAAATAGGAGCTGAAAACCTGTGGAGTGTGCTTTGCCTATCCATGAAAGGTGGATGGCTCTCAGGTTGGACATCAGTCTGACAACCTGAGGAGTGAGCTGTTCTGAGACTGTACAGGCGAGGTGCTGTGCAGACTTCAGAACAAAAGACGACCTGCATCCGCACATGCAAAGGCGCATGGCTGCACGCATCGCATGCACATGCTGCATGACTGTCAGGAAAGGGGTACAGCGCAAATGGGGAAGTACCTGACAGGGTTGCGAGGGCGCCGCTGGCCACAATGTTGGTGCCGGCCTCGTACTGCAGTGCCTGTACGGCAACACACAAAATATCTCCATCCTGGATATACACAGGTGCGCGTTACGGGGGGCTTCTTGATGCAACACGCCATCAGATGCCCAGGCCCACGGACGTGCACTGCTAGGAGTGCTCAGCAGCAGATCAGCAGGAGTCTGACCTGCTCATAGAGCTCGGCAGGAGTGAGGTTGTGGTGCACCACGGTGGGCTTCAGCCCGGCATCGGACATGGCGCGGATGAAGCCGCTGCGAGTGAAGGCAAAGGCAGGACCCGTGGGTGGCTTCTGCGCTGCCTGCATGCATATTGATGGTCAGAAAGCAGGCCAGATGTCTGAAGCGTGCACCCCCACAAGTGCAGTACAATAATAATGTTATTCCAGAAAAGGGCAAGGGGTGCAAATAATGTTCACTGAAGCACTGCAATTCACCTTCGTCTCGCCACGCACAACCTTGGGTCCCGCGCTGCATCAGCGCCCAAGCGTTGGTCAGTGCCAGGTAGGACATCACAAAACATAGACAGGCTTCAAACTTTCAGAGGGGCTTATTTTGCGCTAGGAGATGTCTTCAGGGCCAAACATGATACTTGCACATCCCAAAAAGTCATTGCATTAGACAGATAGTACTACTTACACACGCGCCGATGACTTGAGGGTCTCGGAGAGCGAGTCGATGTGCTTCTGGGCAACGTCATCTGCGCATAGATTTCACGACGTCTTGGATCCATTATGCCTACACATGATGTGTGCACGCAAGCGCAGACCTCCGTCACCGTACGGGCTCCCAAACTTCAATACCTAGATTACGTCCCAGTAGGGACAATCCAGGGTGGAACCAAGGTGGACCAATGCCACACCTTGCCGCGGCTTTGTTGATGATTTTTGGAGCCTGTGCAGATCGACGAGATCCTCGGCTCTGCTCGGGTGCGACACCGGCTCGAGCAGGCGGTAGGTAGAAGCCCGCTCGTCGACCAGGTGGCTAGCATCGCTAGCGTCGTCCCTGTGACGCAACGCATGAAGGATGATCAAGAGACATGCAGCATATCGCAATGCCAGATCTGCAGGAGGGCCCCACAACCTCGAAAGCATCGCGCTGTCTTCGTCATCAAACAGCACGGGCACAGGAAAACGTGCTGCTTGGGCAGGGCACTGTGTGACCATCAATAGGTATCGATCACAGTGCAAATTAGCAATGGATGGGGGGATTCCAGTGAAAAAGTGCAAAGATACTGCTATAGAACCCGGTGTCGTAAAAATAGCACTAGAAATTTCACAGGCAGGAGCTCACTTTATTATAGGCATGGCGGCAGTCTTCCACAGCGGTCTGCACACTGTGACTTTTGGGGCGGTCTGCTGCGGTTGCTGGAAGTAAAACTCAATTCTGAGGGCAACTTCCCAGATCTAGCAAATCAATGCAGTCAGGACCAGCGCCTTCCGCACAGTTGGCTCTGCTGACCTGGAGGCTGACTCGGCGATTTATACGAGATCCCCTGTACAGCAGCCCTGCGAGGGATTTATCGCCAGGGCAACAGCTCCGGTTGAACAGCTGCAAGTTTTGGTGAATAGAAACAGAAAATAATTAAAATATTTAAGTTGACATTCTTTGCATGCCACAGTACCTGTCACAAGCATGCCCGCATGTTCAACGCCTTGAAGTTTACTAGAAGCTTGATCTGCCCCGATCTGGCCAGAACGATGCGAGTTTTATCTTCCCAAGGACAATGCAGACGGTTCCATCTGCCACTATCTTCCATTTCGGCTCCATTTGAGCGTCATTGCCCCCTGAAGGCACCGTCAGCTGCCCCTTTCAGGGGAAGCCCCTCTGGCAGTGCTCTGGCAAAATGGGCCCCATCAAGACAGCATTCGGCCACTCGGAGACTCACAAATCAGGCTGTGAATGCTTCCAAGCCAGCCACAGCTGCAGATGACCAGAGCGCTCTGGTGGCGGAGCTCCTGCAGCTGCCCAACTACTGCGCCGGCTGCGGTGTCAAGCTGCAATCTGAAGACCAGGATCGTCCTGGGTGAGTACTCTTTCGAAAATATTTAGTACCTACATCCCAAGGGAGTGTCTCTTGTCCTCCCTTACTGCTGGCAATGGTGACATATGCATGCGCATGCTCAGACGATGCTGTTGCTGCATGCAGGTACTTCAAAGTTCCCCAGAAGCTCATAGAAGCATCGCTCGGAAAGGTAGATAAATGGATCCCTCATTAAACCATGTCCTCGGTGATGTGTGTGTATCGTTGGAAACAAATGCTGACGTGCTCCTTGCATGCATGATACAGATCCCCCCGGAGCGCATTGCAGAGGACGGCGCTAGTGAAGAAGTGGAGGAGAGGAAGGCCTCAAACTCAGCAGCGACCACTTCGCAAAGCTATGAGCGGGCCCCAGAAGCCTCACAGGCGCTGCGACGCGTGGATGCCTTGGTGGAATCTTGGCTGGTGAGCAGTGCTTTCTGCTGGGCATCTGGTTATCTCAATTGCTGTGACATCACGCTGGTGCAGCTCTGCAGGATATGCGCCAAAATATGCAGCCCACTTCAATGCAGACTAGGCATGTTTCATGGTCAAGCAAGGTGCATATTGAGGCCTATGGCATGTCCCTGGGAAACAAAGATGTCTGTGCCTGGCAGGACGAAGACGAAGTGGAGGATCCCAAGGCGGCGCTGCGGCGGCTGAACATTGCTCCCGAGATAGAGAATGAGCACGAAGCGCGCGTCCTTTGCGCTCGCTGCTACTCCCTGTCGCACTACGGGTGAGTCACCGCAGCAGCCTCTCTCGGCGGGGCTCCATATGCTTTCAGCAACCTGCAAGACACACCACGTCCCAGCTGCCATGGCAATGTTCAACAGCTGCCACGCATGACACAAGCAGAAAACCCCATGTTTTGTACCACGCAGCAGAGCGCAGATGCGCCATGTTGTTGCCCAGGAAGGGGTTTGAGGTCAGTAGTATGACCAGGGCTTTCTTCCTCTATTCTGAGAGTGGCTACTGTGCTTCACAGGCAGGTGAAGAGTGCGAGGGCGGAGGCGGACCTGCCGCAGTTTGATCTGGGCCAGAAAGTGGGGCGCAAGATCGGGCTGACGCGCCACCGGCGAGCGGTTGTGCTGTGCGTCGTCGACGCCGCAGACTTTGACGGCTCCTTGCCGCGCACCGCCCTCCAGGCGCTCTTCTCGAATATTGAAGGCTACCAGGTGATTCTAGGGAAGGGCGTTGCTCCTGGTAAACGCCAGATGCAATTTCTGGAGAAGGCATCCTTTAATGAATGAATCCGACAAGGATTCAAGTCCATCTCTCTGCATGCGGTCCTGGCTATTCCAACAAGTTGATTCCATTGCATGTTGCCCGTCTCAGGCTTCCCTGCCTGATTAAAACCCACATACTGGCAAAACGGCAAGTCAGACGAAGGGTGTCCCTGCCTGTGTTGGGATCCCTTCCAGGAGAACAGCGGACTCAGCTCAATAAGCAGTGTTTGAAGGGTGCTATTGTCATGCTTCCCCGCAAGAGAACAGCAGGAGGAGAACGTTGGCAGAGGATTTGAACCAAGGCACAATAAGCCCTGCCAAGTGTTACAGGAATGTTGACTGTGTGTGTGTGTGCAGGTGAGGGACGGGGTGTCTGCTGTGAGGGCGGACAACAAGGATGTGAGATTTGTGCTGGCGGTCAACAAGGCCGACCTGCTGCCGGCGCAGGCCACAGCCGAACGGCTTGAGGTGATCACCTTGCCCCTCCCAGCTAACATCCCACCAACATGCCTCACCTTGTGCCATATACAATTTGACACCTAAAAAAGAGTCAAGTGGTTTCATCCAGTGTGAATAAACTCATAGAATGAAAGTTTAGAATAATAAAGGATGATGGCAGACTGGCATGCCTAGACCCTCTTGTCTTGAGCGATCCCCACAGTGTGCTCCCCTGAAGGAGTGTGCTAGGAGGCTAGTGCATTGCCAAAGCAATGATCAGGCAAAGACTCTTCCACATATTGGACAACATGCACGGTCATCATTAAGGGTCTAGAACTCAACACAGCTGTTGCGCGTGTGGCGCAGAAGTGGATACGGATGCGCGCGAAACAGGGGGGCATGCCCAAGCCGACCTCTGTCGAGCTGGTGAGTGCTCTGAAAGGCTGGGGAGTGGAGCAGCTGCTGGTGCGCCTGCACAGAGAAGTGGGCACCACCGGCGATGTCTGGGTGGTGAGCGCTCTATCACTTGAAAGTGATTACATGCAGAGTCGTATCCGCCTATCATGACTGCTGAGCAAGCATGAGCCTTCACACCACATGACTCGTGTGTTATCTATGGGTCACCAACCAAAAAAAGACCTTTGTTGTGTACATTTTCTCATGAGTGGTGATCGCCCAATCAGAGGAGTACATCCCTTCTTTTGTTGGCAACCCATGCAGTCTGTGGATGCTCAATACGTGCTGATGGTCTAGTGAGTGGCGAGTTGAATCCAATGTACAATGAACAGGTGGGCGCTCAGAATGCCGGCAAGAGCTCGCTCATCAATGCCATGAAGCGCGCAGTGCGGCACGGCAAACCCAGGAACGAGCTCACCACAGCCGCCCTGCCCGGCACAACTCTAGGTGAGAAATTCCTGCACATCTTCAGCACTACGTTCCTGCCATCAATTACATCCTCCAGGTGGCATTTTTACCTTTTTGCACTCTTCTGGTTGCTGATAATGCAAGTATCTACAAAGAGGTCAGCAGGTTTGGTCCTGAGATATCTACAATATCTACAGTGAGGTAAAAGTTTTGGTTGTGTCTGTGTGCAGGCATGCTGAAGGTGCCAGGCCTGATGCCGCCAAGGTGCAATATGTTTGATACACCGGGCGTGCCCCACGATTTCCAGCTCTCATCCCGCCTCAGCGCCGATGAGGTGTGACTCTGATAACTGATACCAGACAAACAGTGCACGCATCTCAATGCAAGTCTGGCACAAAAGCAGAGGATGTGACCCATGGGGTCCCATTCACAATATTTGCAAAGACACACAACGAGAGGGGGGAAAGCACGTGCAATGTGGCGCTCTAGATGGCGAAGATGTTGCAAGAGTTGCGCAGAGCACAGGGTAGTTGTATGAAATGATTGTCACAACTGCCGATGCAGGTGAAGCTGCTGCTGCCGAAGCGGCGGTTGAAGCCGCGCACCTTCCGGGCGGCTGCCGGGCAGACGGTCTTTGTGGGTGGCGTGGCTCGTATCGACGTGCTGACCAGCCCGGGGGCCACGCTCTACCTGACCGTCTGGGCCTCCGACGACCTGACCTGCCACTTTGGCAAGACCGAGGGCGCCGAGGAACGGTGCGCACACTACCTGTCCAGAGCCCTCTCTGGAGTATTCACCCAAAAATGGCCTTGCTGGACCTGTGCTTGAGCATCTGCTGCAGCGCCTGCCATGTAAAACTTGCCATCACAGTCAGTTTGCACCAGGATCTGCCAGACGTGGTTGATGTGCAGTGCTGCATTCCTGAACCTCCAGCATCGCAACATGGGCGGAGATGCAGGCAGGGACTTTGCAGGTGCTGCCTGGCTAAAAGTGAGCGCATGGTGCAGGTACGAGAAGAGTCTGGGCACAATGTTGGTCCCCCCCCTGGAGCAGGAGCACAAGCTGGGGCCACTGGTTCCCTGCCAGGTCACTGCGCAGGGGACCAACTGGAGGCAGAGCAGCACAGACATCGCTGTGGCAGGCCTGGGGTGGTTCGCAGTGGGCGTCAGCGGAGAGGCGGAGTTCAACGTGTGGACGCATGAAGGTGCGTGCCTCCTGCCTGCACCCCTTGTGCCCCTGCGCTTCCTCAATGAAGCCTGAGGAAGCCTTGGAGTTTGCAAGACCACTCTCGAGAGGCTTGAAGCATGTCCTCTGCTCTGCGAGAGGCTCGCCAGGGGGGTACTGTCATAGAAAATGTTACTGCAGCCATCACGGGTGGGGTAGTATTGATACCTGGACGCTTTGTGCAGGTGTCGCCATCACCACTCGCGCTGCAGTGCTGCCGGACTATGCGAGGGATCTGGAGCGGCCGGGCTTTGGCAACCGCGACAGAAAACCCAAAGGGAAGGCTGGCGGCAAGACTCACAGATGATTTTGCTGTACAGTGTCGGCCGTCGCAGCACTCTAAGGATCTGTTCTGGACTGATGTCTTCCAGGGTGCATGCTCCAGTGAGTGTTTAGGCATGTTGTGTACACGGGGTCATTTTCACACCCGTGCACAGGCTCATTGTGTATCTCACTACTCCGGTATGCCGGTATACTACGTAGTCAACACGGTGGTATCATATGATATATGCAAAGCTCTAATATTATTGCCATAACAAAGGCTTCACACAAGGCATGCTCTATCAATGCAGTCATGCAAAGGATCATTGCTGGTGCTGCAAGCACTTCTGGGACATGTTGATTGATTGATTACGCAAATATGATCTGCATCTCAGTCATTGTAGCATGGGGAGCATTCCAGATCAGGCTCTGCACGAACGAGGTCGGGCGGCTTCCGATATGAAGCACCGACAGCAAATTTTCTCGCAACCCCATAACTCCGCAGGTAGTGCGCAATATAAAAGCTAGATCTCATGACAGAAACCTGTGGAGTGGGCATCATACTAATGACGAAGGAAAGGCAACACATCTAGGATTCTTTTGTCTCTATCTACCTCTGCGTAAGGACCATCGAGCGTCGATCACAACCTTGCGACAAGTATCGATTCATGTCAAGATATTTCTGCCACATACGACCTGCTCGAAGCTCGTCTCGATTCAAGGTGATCGCAGTTGAGGGGTTGCATACTGCCAAAGACTCTGCTAATGCCATTGGCACTCTGTACCTAAGCGATGATCAGATTCCAGATATTTATGTGCGTCTGCAGAGAATTGGGTAGTGTTCTCTGAACGTGCCAATCATGGGCTGGAGGGAGGAAACATTCGACCTTCATAGACAGCGAGACTTGATTGGAAGGGGAGCCTATGGCGAGGTCTGCCACTCCTATTGTCATGCGAGGCCCTCCTTTGAAGGCATCAAGGATGGCTGCGGCACAGAATGACCCTGGCAGCCCTGGAGATACGTTCCATTCTTTTTGCCTGTAACTTTGCCGCCTGCGCACAGGTGTACAGAGCTTATAACAAGTTGACAGCCTGTCCTGAGGACAACACGATGCACTCAAGCAGATCAACGCAGACCCGAGGGACGCAATCAGTGGCGGCAGCCCTCGCTACGCCATTGCTGAAATCACAAACTTACAACAACTGGACCACCTGAATTTGATCAAGCTCAAAGGACTTGTAGATCCCGACGTAAGTACAATTTAATCTTCCTACCATCCTTACCAGGAAGTGGTTCCTGTGCAGCCTTGCAAGCACAATCTTCCACTGCCATTTTGCTGCAAGCGCCCTGTACAGCATTCCAGAGAGTATTTGCCAGTCTGTGAATTGAGGATCTGTGTGAATTGAGGATCAACAGTTTCCATGGTACATAGTACTTGGTCCTGGATCTGATGACCAACGACTTGCATGGACACCTGAAGAGGAATGGTTACAATGGTCTCCCACTGCGAGAGGTGCGGCTCCCTCAAGGGACTCGGGAAGTTTGCAAGAAATTCAGATCATGTGTTTGGCTTGTCGCCCTCATTCCAAGGCTAGGCCAAAAGGCCAAGCCCTTGCTTTGCTGTTGTCTGCAGTGTCATGCAAAGTTCTCAGATCCTCCCGTGCCTGTGCAGGTGAACTCTAACACGAAGCAGCTCTTGGCGCTTTCCACATGGCATGCCCGCCTTTCCCTGGATATGAGCCCCTTGTGTACAAATACATTCCCCCGCTGAACCCCGCCGTCAATCCTCAAGCTGCTACAGGGCCGCCTCAGCAGCCAGCACAGCAGTAGAGTTCTTCTTGTTTATGCAAATAATGCAGAGGCAATACCGAGAGTGCATGTTTGGCAGCGCTTTTGCCCATCAGCAGAGACTGTTCAGCAAGCACCTATCAGTGTGTACAATTCCGGAAGAGAAGGCTTCATGTTCAATTTCGACTGTCCTTTTGCAGATTGAACGGTTACATCTTAAATCAAAGACTCAAGTTGCATCACATGCGTGACCCATTGAATGTTGCAAGCTGTGTTTGCTTGTTCAAGTCTGTCTCTGAGCAATAGTTCATGAAGGCATGGTGATTTCACCATGGTCACGTAAAGAAGAAGTTTTGACAAGTGTGAATACCATACTCTTAATTCCAAATATGCTTGCAAACTGGAACGAGCACTTGAAGCGCCCAGCAAGTGTCCAGCAATGCGCAATTGTGCACACAACTTCTGACCTGTGATCCCCATACTGCCACATTGAACACAAGAACCATGCACGATGTGCAGGATGTTCAATTTTTTGTGCTTTTGGGCTGCAGGTGCCATCTGTACAGCCACGGCATCCAAGCCATGACAGCTCCAAAATTGAGGACCCAAATCACAGCCAAAATTGCCTGTCCAACACAAAGCCACTCAGCATCCAGAATACCTGAAAATGCGCCCCTCTAAAAATTCAACACTCTGAAAAGCTGCTGGATGAGCCCAGCAGAGTCAGGTGTGTACGAGCAAGCAGGAGACTTGGCAAAATTCCTTGAGATATACGTTGAAAGGCACCTGAAGGTGTTGCAGGTAGGCTGGGCCGTGCAGGGCAGCCACTAGAACACTCCCACGGCCTAGCTGCCAAAGCCTATAAATCATGTGCACCACTGGCACCATCGGCCACATGTACGATCCTGCACTTCACCGCCTTCTTTTCAGCTCTTCACAGGTCAGATCTCCAGGAATGTGTACAGTCTGCTGCATTGACGCCGAGCAGGCTTTGAATTGACCAGAAACTTAAAAGTTAAGGCAGCTGCTGTTCACGTTTTGAACTGACCTCGCTTGACGAAGACCGTCTCCATCCAGATCTGAGATAGCAGTGTTGTAAGGTATGTCAAGAGGCATGTGGCTGCCAGGTATCCATGTTGAGTCCAAAGAATAGACGCTACAAGTGTAGCTACGGGAAGAAACAGTCCCACAGATGCTGGCAGCGCCTGCGCAGCATTCCATCGCTACTATGAGCCAAATTGTGCATTTTGGCTGCCCTTCTGCTCTGACCGCTTCACCTCTGGCAAGAGCGATGCTTCTGCGCAAATATCTGGCGATCATTCGCTCACCAGAAGGTATGGCCTGAAATACTTTGGCATTATTCTTTGGCCTGAAGGTTCCCTCCACGGCCCTGCAGCAGGCATGGAGGTCTTGCTCCTTGCTTGCACTAGAAAGCAATCCAATTTGCCGGCATTTCGTGTTGACGTTGCTGAACTCACCTGGATATACTTCAGCAGGTCTTGTCTCCAGGCGCTCTCGACCAAAAGCCTCTCCCACGAGGAGAAATGCATATGAAGTCACAGCGAAGAGCACATCTGTCGCCAAGAAAAGCGCCAATCTTTGCATTGAGTCCAAGCTGAGAACCTGTGGTGGCTCACAAAAAAATGCCATGTTTCTGTAACACCGACTACCATATGTATGATGCAGACACACTTCTTGGTTCACCAGATCTCACGTCAACAGAGCTCAATACCTACTTCATCGATAGCCTCAATACTAGACACATTAGATCGACTTCAAAATATTCGACTGACCTGTTCGGCCTGAAAGCACGTAAGAAGCGATGGTAATAAGCCACCAGCTGTCAAGAGCATTCCAGCTGAAATCCAAGAACCGTCAGGCCTCTCTGTGCCACTTTCAGCCGTCATTCTGGTTTTTACTGTTCTTGGCAACCTTCTGCAACTTTTCAATGCGATGTAGCGCAGTATCCTTGAGGAGGAATTCTTCAGCCAACTGGATCCTGCTGAGATCACATGGCTTCTCCAAGGTAAGCTGCAGTAACACCCCGTACAGTTGATCAATCCCAGGCTCATCAGGAGACTCCCGATTGGTATTTCCTGTAATGCTGGAGCGATGCGCAGCACGGATTCTGCACGATCTAGAACACGGTTGGCAATGCATGTCCTCCTTGCATGATGACTCAGCTTCCGACTTGAGGCTTCCAGCTTCCACAACGAGGTGTGTGGGGGAGGGAAGGTATCAAGGAGGGGTCTCATGCTGACATGTCATTTAATATGAAGCAAGGCGCACTCTGTGTCCTTTCAGTCATCAGGCACTGTCATTATGATAGTGTCATGCAAGCAGCTATTGGCCTTCGAAGGTATTCCGGCCTCGCCCCGGGCCAGTGATTTGGAGCTCATGAGCTGAGGAGCTGATCAGCTACACCGTGTGACAGTGGTGACCAGAATATGCTGGCCAATACAGGGGAGCAACATGTGCAGAGATGGTGAAATTTGTTCCCGAACACGCAAGCATTGAAAGCGATGCAGCCAAAGTCACTGCCAAGCGTTAAGCGCTCATCATGATGACTTCCGCTCTTGTGCAGCTCTATGCAAATGTGCATGTAGCTCATATCTGCAGGTCGCTCAGGGGCCTGAAATGACAGATGATTGGTGTGACATCTATCAAAAGTCAGCCTCCAAATACCAGCATTTAGCTTTCACATCTGTTACATGCAGCCCTCTGGGACACACGGCCGTTTTACTGCATCATCACGCCTGCACAATATCAAATGACTCCTGCACGTGCCTGAGATCACTCTCAGCTTTCCTCCATTGCCTCCCATTAGCCTGAATGGCTATCAGGAACATGCGATTCTTGTACGCAGTAGCTGCCACCAGGCGGTGTGGCTTTAGCTCCCTGCATGTCAGAGCATATGCATCTCAGTATGAGGCCCTGGCAGGAGTCCTGTCACATCATGTCATGATAATTGCCGCTGCAGAGCGCTCTGATCAACATGTCCTCTCCCAATAGATCAGCAACATGCAGAGCTCACCATCTGTAGTATGTCAGATTGTTCTTTTTCGTGATTGTCTGTCCCATGACATCGTCCTCCTGCACACCTTGTGCACAGCTTGTGATCCAGATCATCAGAAACGCAACAACAGAGCCAAATTAAAAAATGATTGCAAGAATTCCTCACCGAGAGTGGTGCGCCAAATAGCTCTGGTGCAAAGCCGCTAATGAGCTTCTCTGGAGGACCCACTTCTTCTATCCTGACGTCTGCATTGAAACCCACATCGATGAAGCGCAAAATAGGGGCCACAACAATCGCCAAGCTGCCCTGATCCTTGTTTGAAAAGCGCAGGTCGATCTGTTCCCCCAACAAGTCAAGGTCAACATGGGCAATTGAGCAAAAATGACCAGCAGGCATGCTTTAAATTGCTTCAAAATGCCAGTGTCGTTTCAGCTTGTAGATGTGACAGCAGAGAACTGATGCATACCTCAGTGCCACCAAGATCGGCAATGGACACGGGTGTTTCTTCCCAGCCTTTCGGCACCTTAAAAGAGTATCGGGGAATCTCAGACCAGCCTACTCCATGCCCTCCGCTCTTTCCTTCAGGTCGGACGTAGGTTTGATAGCCATCTCCATCAGGGCTGCTGAGGCCTGGGACCAAATCAGAACATTAATTTTGCTGACTTGCAGCAGGTGCGAGGTATGGGGACAAACAACCCTCTCAAGGAGCCTTGCCTGGGATCCGTCCTGCTGTTAGACCCTGAACAGCCAAGGTGGGCTGCACTTTCAGAAGTCCATTGACGAGAGCTGTGGCGGACATCAATTTCAGCAGCTGCCTTCTTGTACTACCCTCTGCGTCCTGCACGCCCGGGCAATATTAGGACACTAGTGGATGCATTGCGATACAGAAAATCGAGATGAGATTTAATTATCACATGGAACACCTGTCGAAATTTAAGCAACTTGCCTCGTTTGCATATCGGTTTTTTGATCGTGGCAGTGAACAGATCGCTCGAAAACGTCCCGCTGTCCTTGGTGCGCTGCATGAGTGCTGAAACGGTCTCTGATTGCACACAGTCTTTGACATCGCAGATGTGCGATTGGTGTTTCTAGAAATTAAGTCCTGTGTTCTCAGCAACGGAATTAACGTGGCAAATCTACTCCACCAACTTCAGTGATGCTCTGATCCACTTGTACTGGACAACCTGATTTAGCTCAAATAAACTTGTGTCACATGAATAAGCAACACAAACAAGATTCTTGGCACTCAAATGATGGGCTTCTCGATGAGTTCGCCGAGAGCAGCAGGGAACGCCTTGAACTGAAGTGTGGGCATTCTCCACAGCTGAATGGATGGAATTTCTCAGCACAATTATGATGCTGGTGATTATTATCCAAGAGTATTGAAGCAATCACTTGTTTGAGTACAGAAGTAGAAGCAGCGTGCGCATAATAAGTTGTTAACTGGATTGACATCTGCACTGATACTTGGACCACAGACACCCAGCAGAGGAGAATGCCAGATCTCCAACCACCAAAGATGGTAGCGTCTCAGGTAATTCAGACAGCCATGCAGGCCCTTATCCAGAACGACTGTTGCTTGCATCCTCCAGCGTAGGGTTGACACCAACTGCAGTTGCTTTGCTTTGAGAAGCAGCAGCAGTGTCGCAATGGTGCTCAGATGTATGCACATAGCGTACTCATAGCGTGCAGCAATTGTCTTGATTAGCTGGTATGAAGGATGAAGGCAGAAGGCAATGGACTTGGTCCCTGGCCTGAAGTCAGAAGCCAAGAGGGACTGTCAGTGAAGAGCAGGCTGGCTGAAATTCATATCTATCACCATCCGCAGGCAGACTTGCAGAACGCCAAGATAGACATAGGCTACAGGGACTTCTGTGCCCATCTCCTCATACCTCTCAATGCCTGCCGGCGAAAAAACTTCTATCTGCCCTGGAGATGCGAGCATGAGCGGCACGCCTATGAGAAATGCGAATACAGGGAGTATCAGCGCAGGGTACTGAAGAAGGCAGCTGAGAAGGCTGAGAAGCAATAAGTGGGGCAAAACAGTAACCTGAAGAGGAGGGTGCTGTGGGAATAGTGTTTGCATCAAACAACACCAAATGCCTCGAGTCTATGACAATGCATCATATTGTCGTGACCAGCAAATGCGTTGAAGATGATGTCATTACAGTCCTTCGCAAGGCATGCTCATGCGAAGCACGGGTTCCCATTGGACTTCTCTGGCTGTGTACTACATCTAGTAGATGGGACCTGTTTGATGCCAACAAACATTTAGATAAAGAGGAGTGCCGACATCAACATTTGGTAACTTCAAGAGTACGGTACTAGTTGCAGAAGAGAAAGGAAAACAACCGAGGAGTGCAATCTTTATCAATCGGCCTTCTGAAGCCGAACAAGTGTAAACTTGGTTGCTGAATTGCAGCGCATGCCCAGCGCGAGCCACTACTTCACGCACGTGTGCACACCAGGGATTAGTGACTCGTTGAGAAGGAAGGCAGCCTTACATACATTACTTGCATGACTCGCATTCAATCAATTCTGTCTGCGGAGGCAATGCGCTAAAATATCAAATCAAGTCTTCCACCACTGCTACCAACTATTGTGCACCTGCCAGGCGCAGTGCTGCTCTTGCAAGTGGTGCAACATACTTTGTCAACAACACCTGTTGCCCAGGACAGACCTTTCAAAACCCAGGGTGTTCTGCTCGGACTTGTAGAACTCCACGCCTAAGCTTCTTGCAGCGTACTTGTTTATTCACGTACAAGAGATTTCGTCAAACAGCAAAGAGGAGCAGCCCATACAGCAGGTTGTGCTATGCTGTGCAGTAATGTGGGGCTTGCACCGTTTTTTTATCATACTGTCACATCATCTGTCACTGAACCTCGAGGAGAAGGGGAGAGGTTGCGACATGTACAAAGAGATCCTCCATAAACCAATACAGCAGAAGCAGCCCACGCAGCAAGCTGCGCTGCGCTGTGCACCATTCAAGGCACGCTCGCACAAGCTATATTTTTTCATGGCCTCTGGTGGGCAGCGGCTGAAGCCTCGTCCACAAGCTTGGCAGCGTGCTGGCTGTCTGAGGGCTGCTGTGCAGAATTGCTGCCCCCCTCGCTCAATTGCAGCCCGCAGCAAAGCCCCTCATCCGGCTGTACTACCATCACACGAGGCTGCACCCTCTTGGGTGGATCTACTGGTGCCACTCGCCCTGCCGGTGGCCCTGCTCCTTCCACATCATATCCTGAACCACGCGACAAGCGCATGCCAGATCAGCTGAGTGGTGAGCAACTTGACCATGGACAGCGCGACAAGGAGACTGGATGGATGTGGGCCACATGCGCTAGAACAAGACGAGATTGCACCTTGCCGCAGAGCAGCCTCACGTTGAAGGCGCCTCGATCTGCACCCAAGCAGCAACACTCGCAGAAAGCCTGCATCACGCCAGAAATGTGGTTTGAGGCCAGGGATCGTCCATGCAGGACGTGCACAATGCTGTGCAAGATCATAATTTCAAACAAATGCAGCCTGTACTTCTCTGAGTCTGGCAGCATGCAGAGCACACTGTGGGGAAGGTCCTGGCGCTCCAAGTGACTCACCCAGTGCTATGGCCAGGGACACGATGGCCAGGGTGAATCCAACCTGCAATTGCAGCCCGATCAATTTGGTATCAAAGTGACAGATGGCAAGCTGTATGCCGCGAAGGGCATTTATAAAGCACTAATTACTTCTTGTAAAAAGGTATAAACCAGGATTTTGCAGGGGACAAACACAGGGACACGTCTGCCTAACGCTTACCAAGTGCGGCAGCGTAGGACCGTCGCCATAGTACGACGGCCCGCTATACTGTACTGTTGTTGACGTTGAGACTGTGCTGTTACTCGCCATGCATATCCTTTTTTAAAGGAAAAAAGTGTTTCAAAGCAACCCCTGCCACACAAGCAACAGAAGCTTACAGCAACCAAGAAACCGGGTATTGGCCGGCAACTTAAAGTAAAAGTAACATCTGCATGGTGATCCCTGTAAACATGACAGCAAGTGCAACAGCACAGCCTAAAAGCCTTGTCATGCACATCTCCTGGATGACTTGAACGCAGGAAAGACCGGACCTCGAAGTAACGATACTAAGAGTTAGGATGTTACAGAGTCAAATATTGTAATAGTTGCAGGCCTCTATCAGTTGGATCGCCTCAACGAGGAGCCAGGTGAAGCTCGGCAACTTTCACTCCCTTCGAGTGGACCTCTATCTGTCCGTCCAAAATTTTACAAGCTTCTCCCACCACTTGTAATTCTCCTATGTGAAGTAAAGCTTCATAAACCGGAAATTGGAGGAACAATCGGTCGATGCTTCCCACGTCATGATCTGCCAAGGTGGCATCCGCGTCAGCCAAGAGACATCTCCTACTAGTAGAAGCCTTCTGGAAATTTTGTTTGCAAAATATCAACATCTTCTTGCTGTTTGGCATAGCTAGGTGGACTGCCGAAAGCGCTGGAGATGCATCTTCAGCAATTTTGCTTACAATGTATGCTAATTAATTCCTCGTGCACGCAACTACCAGATGGATATGACCATAGGGCCAAGGCCAGTTCAGTGAGAGGAATGCCCCTATTGATGGTCGCTATCAGTGCCAGGCTGACAGTAACTGGCAAGGTTTACTGCAGTGCACAGTGCTCTAACCTAGCAAGCATGGACACTGCCGTTGTCACACCAAGGTGACAGCCTGTCAGACAGAGTCCCAGCACATGCACAAGCTTACCATGAGATTGAGCAGCGCAGCTTGCAAATTCCACCATCATGTACCCCTCAAATTTGAACAGAACGAAATGCATTGAGGAGAACTGGCGATCTGCAGAGCTAGGACTTTCTGGGGCATCCCATCTTGGACGCGTACGCGAAGCAGTTGCCTACTAAGAGCCATGTGCAGGATTTATAGCAGCCTTGATTCTAACTGTGCCTCTACCTACAGATTGTTCTTGAGTGCAGGACAGCCCTCTTGATTGTTTTTCTTCAAAACGACAGCCCAAGGCGCTACACCGATTTGCAATGGAGATCGACATAATGCCCACCAATAAACCAACCTGGAGATCCCTGTGTATAACCACGATTATTGCTCTCAACACCACAATAAAGTTGCAAACTTGTCCAACTCCAATTTTTTGCTGGCATTGATTGCTGTGCCCAGCATGCCGTGACCTCTTGCACAGAGGCCAGCAACTCCACATCCTGCAGAGGCAAGTCAATGCACTCAGCTGAATGCAGTGGATACCCTTTGCAGCAGCCAAACTCATTGCCACCGAGGTGTCGCAACAAGATCAGCCCTAGAGCTGGCTAAAGGACACATGGCTGATAACTAATCTTTGGCATCTTCATGGAGCAGAGGCACACCCGTGAACTTTGGGCGCCAGTCAGGCGTGGACACGTCCCGGCCGCGGCAGCAGCTCTGTCAGCAGCCAGATACCGAGCAGCAGTAGCACACCCACCAGCACCCTGCACAGATCACACAGAGGGGCATTCAATAACCCCATGCTGACGCTGTTTCAGCCCATGCTTGGCCCTTCTGCTATCAGAGGACGAGGACTTCAGTGAGGGTGAAAAAGCACCTAATCAGCAGTGCAAGGGAGCGCATATTTCGATTGCATCTGAGTGCGCGTCCTCTGTCAGCCAAATGTGGTAAATACTCATGACAAGACGATTTATCTCGCCGGATTTCACACACACTGCATAGACTGGACAGGAAGACGCCGGAGAAAGGAGGACGCAGCACTGACCTGTGCATCAGGCTCTTGGGCAGCTGCTGCTGCGCGTACGCCAGCACGCGCTGCAGCGTCCCCTTGCGCCGGTTGACCTGCACGCGGCTCTTGGCCACGGGGGCCCCGATGTGCTTGCCCACGCGCCCGCTCGGCTTGCCGCCCCCGCCGGACGGCTTCGGCACCGCCGCGGCCGCCGCCGACGCCGGGGCAGGCGTGGCCGGCACCTCTGCCGCAGTGGCCGCTGCCGGCAGCTCCTCGCTCGCCTGTACAGCAACAGATAATGAGCCAATGCAGTCCACCAGACATACCAAGATTTATTCCCTACATGCGTCCCTCCACCGAGGATTAGGGTCTTCATGTAGCAGACCAGGCGCAAAAATGAAAAAAGGTCCAGGATACGCCCAGGGGAAGCAACGCACAAGGGCAGCGGGCTCCTTGGCGGCCTTGTCATCCTCCTTGACGCCGGCGGCCTTGTGCGCGTCGCGGACCTTCTGCGCGCGCTCCTTCTGCTCGGCCTTGCGGCGCTTGCGCTCCTTGCGCGCCTCGGCCTCGCGCGCCGCCTCCGCGTTGCGCAGCCGCGCCCTCTCACGCTCCTCCGCCTCGTCCACCTGCTCCACGTCCCTGTGCGCACAGTCACCCACACCACTCAGCCGGCGGTCGTCTGCTGACACAGATGGCACTTCATTTAAGATACTCTTGTCTGAATGACAGCGCAAGGAACCATCAAGTCAACAGTGCAGTGATGTTCAATCGACCACGTCCTCAAATCAGCTCCAGAAAAGCTGCTACTGAGCATAGATCCGCAAGCGATATCTTCAATATGTCCCTTGCCAGTGCAGGGAACCGTCATAGCATTGGCAGGGGAATGTGTGCAAAAGTTTGCAGAAAAGAAATTAAAACAAGGTTCCTACCGCTTCAGGAGGGCAGCAGGGGGCACGAACGGCGTCTTGTCTTCAAAGATGGCTGGGATCTCGACGACCGACTTCTTGACGGCCTTGCTCCTCCTGGGCGCCTTTGCCTTGGCAGGCACCAGCACGCCGCCGTTCTCCGCCAGCTGCGCCAGCTCCTCCATCTGCATGGCCCCCAGCGTCTTGTGCAGCTCTGGGGCCTCCACCGCTTCCTGCACAGGCACCTGACATCAAACAGCTGCACGCCAGGATGTGCCGCTGCCAATCAATTCCGTTGAAGAGTAAGAAAGTTTTCATGCCATTCAGGTAAACCGAGGGAAAAATACACAAGAAAACAAGGGATCATCTGCTACATCTGCAATTTATGAAGCGGTGAGCTTCAAATTTAGGTACAGGTAGAGAGTGGAGGCGCACAGACTCTGACAGGACAACACACTTGCTTCAGCACAGTGCCAAGATAGCTTCAATCAGGGAATTTTGGGGCAGCAAGCAGGCAGAGAGGAGCTCACCGGCTGCTCAGGCTCGGAGGTGTGGCCGTTGGCGTGCGCGGGAGCCTCTGCTGAGGCGTCAGCAGCGGCCTTGGGGCCTTCAGCAGTGACCTTGGGGCCCTCAGCAGCGTTCTTGGGGCCCTTGGCAGACTCGGCAATGGCGACACGCTGCTTCTCATGCATCACCTTCTGAACCCCGCTAAGCGCTCTTGCGATGACGTCCACCGCATTGTCGCTTGTGCCCTGCCCGAAAAAGCCAATGCATTAGACCCAAGAACCCCTCCGTAATCGACCATGCTGTCACCTTTGGCAACATGACATCTTCCTTAACCCTCTTACACACCACACCTGCAGGCTCCAAAGCATGCAGCCAGGCAGCTGCTCTGGATCAACTTGTGTAGAACTACTGGGTGGCAAGAGGGAAAGAGAGGGCCCCACCTTGACACTCTCCTGCTTGGCCACCCCGCGCTCCTCCTTCCACAGCCTGTGATACTCCTCCCGGAACTTCGCGTCGTTGGCCAGCAAGTTCATCCAGTGCTCCGTCTACGTCAAAGCCAAACAGAAATCAGAGCGTAGCTGAGCAAGCAGTGCCTTGCACCTGCAACATGAGCTGCGCGCATGCATGCTGCATGGTTTGACAAGCAAATAGGGATGAATGTGACAAAGGACACGGACAGGTATTCAGCTGCTGCGTGCACAGCAAGCAAGGCGGGTAAAGGGCGCACCTTCTGAGCGCACTGCTGGCGGGCGAAGTCGACCCTGCCTTCCTTGAGGTAGAGGCGCACTTGCTGACTGAACCGACGGTTCAGTTGCCACTGCTCCACCATGAAGCCCCCAAGGCCCCTCATCTCTGTGGTCAGCTCGTCCTGCGCAACACAGACGAGCTTGCCTGGTCAGACTCTGCACCACTATGCAGGTTCTTCATCAGTATGCTGTCTCGTCGCTCCTGCCCAAGCATAAACATCCCCACCTGAACATGCAAATGTCACCACCCAAGCTTGCCGTCGACATGCCGGACATCTTGCCAAGGGCAACAGGGACAGCATGACGGCCAAGAACCACTCTCACCTGCTTCCTCTTCAGTAGAGAGCGCCTGGTCCTCAGCTCCTTGACCTGCTCGTCCAGGGCGTTGGCCTCAGCCTTGTACGCTTCAAAGACATCACTCAGTGCCTTGCTGTCCGCCACCAGCGCTCTCTTCTCTGCGATCAGCGCCTCCACCAGCACGTTGGCCTCTTTCGCGCTCATTGCCGAGGACATCTCCGGCTCAGCCCTTGCCACCTCGCTCGCCGCAGCCGCCCTGGCCCGGTCCTTTGCTTCCACCGCGCGCACAGCAGACCGCTGGCCCTGCAATTCCACCATTGGTTCATTGTCTTAGTGCAGTTGCCCCAAGGAGCCGTTCCAGCACATCTATTGAGCCAGGCATATGACATTTTAGGGTGTCTGTTGACTCTATTGTGCTGTATAAATCGCAATGGCCCTTATCTGCAGCAGCAGGATTGCGTGATTGTGATCTGTGTAGCAGTTTCCACTATTGTTTACATCTCTGGAGCGGCCTGAGATCACGTCACGACGAGTGAATGAGTCAGGATTGGCAATGAAAACCAGCGTGTGGAGTGCGGCACCTATGATGCCTGACCAACTGCCACATACCGTGCGTCCGCAAGTTGACAGGAGGCCACCTTCACCCGGCAAGGTGACTTGAAAGAGGAGCAGAGCAGAGGAGAGACACACCTCCAGCTTCTTGATCTGCTTGTAGAGGGCGTCCTCCTCAGCTTTGGGGTTGGTCTCGTGCGCGTAGCGGTACTCAACTGCCCTGAGGGCTGCGTTCAACGCCTCCTCTGTTCTGAACTGCACGCGGCTGTCCAAAGCGTTCTGCTTCTTGGCCAGCGAGGCCGCTTTGGCCGCCTCCGAGTGCTTGTTCCTCTCCGCCACATGAGGCTCAATCTCCACCTCCTGGTGAAACACAAGCAGCCAGGTACGTCACAGGATGAGTGCCAGCTTGAAAGGCAAGGAAAGTGCTGTTTAGATCATGCCACGGATATGGGCCAATGTACGGAAGCAGTGGCTGTCAAATGCATCCAACAGTGGGTCGGGAGTACAACAGCAGGATACTAACCTTGGCAATGATAAGCTCCCTGAGATCTCTCAATGTGTCCAGGGTCGCGTCCCTCTTGTTGCGGACGACATCGCGTGCAGCCTGCATCCAGCCAAGCATATTACGCATTGCCTCAGATGCATCAATGTGCACAAAGGCATTTAAGGGGTGTGGGAATGGTTCTGATCAACACAAGAGTTGTGCCCAGCAGGGATCGGTGAGATATAGAATCAACGCCAGGATAGCCTAGACCGTGACAATGCATCCAATTATGAGCAGGAAATGCAGCAGTAACATGTTCACGGTGTCCAGGCTATATTCCCATCAGAGAACATGACGCCCTGCTCACCAGCGTAGAGTCGATCGCATCGGTCACCTCCTGAGCTTCCTTTCTCAGCTCGGCAATCTTATCTTGAAGCGCTTGCTGTTGCGATTGTGGTACAGTCTGCTTAGGGATCCGCGGAAAGAACATGCGCTTGCTTGCCTCTTTCGCTGTCTCCTCCTGCTGTTTCTGCAAGACAGCAGGGGTCATATCCTTCCTTTGGTTTCTACGGATACAGATATTTCAAGCCCAGCTTGCAAGAATCGCAATCAGGCATCCTCCTAGAACCTCGCTCAGGGTATCTGCTCACCATCAAGCACTGCTCCGGAGAGAGGTCCTTTGAAACTTCAGCGCGAGCCTTCTCTGTCGAGAGCCTGGCGTCCCCGTTGACGTTCTCATGAATCGTATCATCCGTGGAGGGCATTGACATGGCGGCAGCTGGAGAAAGTTCAGGTTTGCGCGGTTCCTGGCGCTCTGTTGAGCCAGTATTTGACTTCAGAGGACTGTGATGCTCAACACCATTGCCATTTGCCTCTGCCACAAAAGGTTCTTCCTCAACATCCGATCTCTCTGCTGTCTGTGGCCGACCCATTATTACCAAACAGCGAGGTATGCCAAAGATGGTGCAATGTGGCGATGGGCTGCTGACCCCGCCTGTTTCCAGCAACCTCGCAGACTTATTACATCAGAGGAATGCGAGATTCAGTGCAAGTAACTGCGGATTTACAACCGTGCCTTCAGTCACAAATTTGTCAACTTCGCCTGCAACTTGGCAGAAAGGCTCGAGGCAGCAGAAACGCCGTCGTCCTGCAGCTGCCCTGTCACCGATAACACCATTTGCTCTGGTTTTGGCTCCAGCGTCAGGACAGACACTGCTAATCAAAGACATCAGGTACATTCTCGAGTGCACTTTGTCATTTTAAGAGGCTAATGAGGGCGATCGAGAGGCACTCGAAATTTCTAGAGCATCACTGATCCAAGTTCTCCTTGTCTGAAGAGTCTCTTTTGCACTTCGATACTGTATCGATTGCAACATTATTTTTCACCGCTGCTAATATTGCTTGTGAGCAGAAAGCGTAATCCCTGGCTCTTTTGGCACCATGGGAGACCACACAGTCTACAAACGATTGGAAGGAGAGACTACACAATGGGAGGATTTGCAGAGGAAGTTCGGTAATTTGCCGGAGAAAGAGGTCGTCAAGAAGGCGGATGCTTTTTCTCCTGCTGACGACGAAAAACTGCAATACGATCGTCTTGATCGGGCACGAGATCCAGAGTCTCTGGAGGACTTGGAGGATGAGTTCGAGGAAGACAGTTTCCTTGAAACGTACAGGTAAGTCATGCTGGGTTTTCCAACGTCGCTATCATCTTCAGGATCCCACCAGTCTGGGAAATCTATTGGTGGCGCCCAGTTGCCCTGCAGGCAGATCAGGTTGGCTCAGCTGAAGGAGGCAGCAAAGAAGCCACGTTACGGCAAAATAAGTAGCATTGTGCGAAACCAGTTTGTCAGGGAGGTGACTGAGGCCAGCCGAGACTGCTGGGTTGTCGTGCTTCTCAGCCAGGAAAGGTGCGTCTGTTGCAATCTTAGTTGTCATGAAACCTGCCTGAGTCATGACGGAGCGTGTGCAGCTTTGTTTAGACTCAGATAAATATGTGGGATGCAGGGTCCTAGGCTGCCAAGTGCTGAGACACTGCTTGAAGCAGTTGGCAGAGCAGTACCAGCATGTGAAGTTCATCACCATGCAGTCCACAGACTGCATACCCAATTACCCTGATGCTGACCTGCCCACAATACTGGTCTACAAAGATGGCCAGTGCAGACGGACCATTGTTGGCCTTCAAACCCTGGGCTATGATCGGATCTCACCGGAGAGTGAGTGATCCACCTTTCCAACACGTTTCACAAACGCCGTGAAGCGACATTTGCCAATCGTTGAACCATAGAGACATACATTTCCTCTTTGTCAATACATACGATGCAAATCTGTTGAATTCAGTGAATTTGGGGAGCTGCTTTAAGATGTCCTTTCCATCTGTGTTGTGTCTTGCAGGTGTTGCAGCCGGATTGAATCAAGTCGGCCAAATCTGCACAGAGGCCAACGTTGCAGCTTGATGCTCAAGCCTTTCAAGGCAAATTAGCAGTGCTTTGCCACCGGGAGTCGCAGAATGCTGGCTAGCGGAGGAATAATTGATTGAACTCGCTCAAGCAGAACATACCGTAATAGACCTGTTGTAGGCAACCAAGCAGAATCCCTAGTCTTTGATTTGCCTTATCATTAAGAATTTCTGTTGTGAGCGGAACTCTGCTACACTAGTTAAAATGGGCAATACTGGAGCCACGATCGTGTGTGATCTGTGATTGGCTATTTTTGTCAATGACTTGACAAGCTGACACGCTTAGTGCTGATTGAATTTAATGACTATGACATTCAGTCAATGATCAACGAATGTTTCGTGATATGCATCCATGCTTCATTGTGCAAAGGAAGTGGTTACTACATATTTTGTCTCGTGTATTCTGGACCTTGAACATGACCTGGTTTGGGATGATCTTTTTGTAAAGCCTGTACTGCTCGTCAAGATTAAATTAATGCGGTCTGCAGTGGCAATCGCGATGACTGTCATGTTAGCACGCAGTATGCTTGCTTCTAGCAAGGCAGAGGTATGTAAAGGAGCATTGATAAGTACCACGTTCGAGGGCGCGGCTGGATGCTGCTGCCCACCGTCCAGGCTGCTCTTGTCAGGCAGCAAAATTCCCTGGCCGTTGAGAGGCGTGTGCAGGTGCAGCAGAAGAAGCTCTACCGGTGGCAAGGGCACTCCATTTAGCTGTTGAGGTTAGCTTCACTCCCCTCAGCTAACGCTGGTTAAATCGCGTTCATTCCTTGATCTGTGCTGAGCCAGCCTCCCCTCAAAGTCCTCTGGGGCCACGAGAAATTTCAAGCTATTATTTCAAGCTATTCAAGCTTTAAAGCTATTTTTTACCCTTTGAGGCTGCTTTGAAGGACCCTGCTGCCAGTCTCCCTGGCTTGGACGCTGCACTTTGAGTGATATGCAATTCTGCGAATGACTGAAAATGCCATGAAGGTTGCCTCAGGCCAGAGTGAAGTGGACATTACCCATTATGTGCATGCAAAGAGCGTATCATTACCTCGAGGCGAAATCCCTTTAGCTGAGGCAATTTTCAGCACCATTTTCTCCCATTTTGTCCGCATGGCTTCAGAATACGGGCTTGATGCTATGATATAAGCGGTCTGCAAAGTTTGAAGTGGTGCTGCACTTGCTGCGGCCGAAGCCCCGGAGGTGGCCGAGCTCCAAGACTGCACCGGTTCACCAATTCAGTCCGAGGTACCTGCCTTGCGTCGCCTTGACCGGTCCAGCATATAGTCGCCAGGATCCAACCAGTGACACATTTTCAATTTTTCGATCGAGATATACTGATGGCTGAAGCCCGGCGACACGGAACCTTTGGGTCACACATTCACGGATCGCGCGGCTTAGCTATTCCAGTTTGAGGGGTTTGTTTTCTTTAGCCAGTTATGTGTAGAATTTGGTATCCGGCATGCAAGCAACTTTATGAGCCTGGCTTGTCCATTCAGATGGTAGGGATCTATCAAGCTACCAGTCAACCAGCAATAGCCCGATCAAGACCTCCTGTTTCCAATGGCGATATCTAGGAGGCTGCAAGCAGTGCCTCATGTGGCTCCCTTTGGACTTATGACATAAACATTGTCTGGTGACTGCAGAACAAGGAGCCTGAGCAACTCTGGAAGAAGGAAACCTGCAGCCCTTCCTAGGCCAGGTGACTCACTGCAGCCTCATGCATCACATTGCATTGTGCGTTGCAGTAATGGACCATCTCGGGCTTGCTATCCTTGCAACAGCACTCCACTGTGCCAGGCAGCTTCATGCATGTACTTTCTGATTATCTTGTACGTGAAGAGTGGGCTGCGGCCCAATGCATGGAGGACTTAGCACATGAATGTGGACTGTCCACCATGACAGGACATGTCTTCATGCATGCAGGCTCTCTGAGGCAATGGAAAAGCCCATCATGGAGCTTAACACACAGCTGGACTTTGTCAGCATCTCCAAGGATGGCCATGGGGAGGAGGCAGCCTCCACACCCAGCTTGTTAGGCTACAACATAAAGAAGAAGACAGCAGAGGAATGCTTCTCGACAGGCGAGACCCACACAAACCCGACAGATGCCGCAACCACACCCAGGCAGATGCCAAGCACAGAGCCATGCAGCGGCAGCCAGATGAAGACCCCAAGAGTGAGCAACATGCGGCATCTCCTGGGGAATCTCTCAGATGACCTGGCCAGCCCAGAGCAGGCCCTGCAGCAGCGCACCCCTGGACACACAAGGACCCCCATGCGCCAGCCACCACTCCGCGTGCCAGTCAATGACTCCTCCAGTTCCTCCTCTGGCATAGCTGACAGCAGCAGCGTCAGTGGCACCGCTTTCGAGAGCAGCAAGGGATACGCGATTGCCAAGGCTGCGTACAAGACAACCGCAACATCGCGCAACACCACCCCTGCAATGAAGCCCCCAAGGAAGACATGTGGAACGCAGCAGACTGCTGTGGCAAGCTGCCTGCTGGGCCGCCTTGACCACAGCAAGCCTCAAGCGCCGCATGCCATCAATCAGCTGCGGGATTCAGACCAACAGCACTCCTTTGAGTTCCCAGCTATCTGTATGCAGCAGGATCCAGCCAGCCGGGGTGTCATATGGAAGCTGGATACCCCAGCAGAGCATGAGATTGCGCATCAGCACACCAGTGCAGCTGTGCAGATTCAGCAAGTGCCAGCATCCAACCTCAGCGCCTCTGCCCTCAACTCTGCGTTCCCTCCACAGCTGCATGGGTCCTTCATGCAGCCACAGACAACCCAGCACTATCAGGGCATGCCCATGAGCCAGCTCATGGGAGGAGGCAGCATTCCATTCAGCCCACATGCAGCCATGCACCATCAGGCTGTGTCCTTTACCAACAGCCAGGGCATGCAGCTGCTTCCACTCTACATGTCAGCAGGCATGGTGAGATCTTTCGCTCCTTGCATTTGTCCCCCGTTTGCGCTTTTGTGTTGCCAGCTAATGTTGCTTGATGCACCAGGCAGAAGCCTTTTGAAAAGGAGCTTGCTAATGTAATACAGAACTGAAATTTTTCTGTCCTGTTCAGGAATATGCAGCTCTGATCTGACAGGCATTTGCTGATGTGCCAGGTGGCCTCCCAGCCGCAGTTCAGCCCTCCACCCCTCTACACAATCCCAGAGACGGATGCACCTGCACCCACCATGCAGACATCTCCGCCAGCGTGGCAGATCCCTCCTTCTGCAGGTGGATGTCCTGCTCTCTTCAGAAGCCTCAATGCATTCATCATGCCATGTCTTGTTGCATGCAGCCCCTCATGTACTTTATGCATGGACGTTAGCTAAGATCGATGAACTCTACGGTGTCATTGCGCACCTTATTGAGAGTGACCATGGCATGCATTGTGAATGCTTCTGTTGTGTTGCAGGCGATGCTCGTGTTCCTGTGATGAGGAACGGCAGGCCCTACATGCGCGATGGAGTGCCTGTCAGGATTCCTCTGCAGGACACAACAAACATTCAGAAGATCGCCACCATCTGCTATGTGCAGGCTTCCAAGGTGCTCCACATTGGGGTTGGTACTGCAGATCGGCAACATGCTGCATAAATGCAATAATGACCATCGCTCATGGCATGCATGAACCTACCGATTTGAAAAGATGTGCATGCACAGCGGTCAATGGCATGCACTGCTTGTCTTACATTTCTGATGTTGTACAGGGATATGTGCCTGCCAACGTGGACAGGGACACTGTGAAGAAGCTGGTTCAGCAGCAGATCGAGGCGTGCAAGCCCATCCGTGCTCCCTGGTACCGCGAAGGCCCCCGCAACCCAAGTGCTCACAGGGCCAGCGGCAAGCACGCTCCTCCTTCACAGCAGCACACAGTATACGCAGACAACATGAAGGTGTGTCCCTGCCTTTTGGGCAAGTTGCTACTACGTTCAAGCCTGCATCCTTGCATGTGCTCAATTTCCAGCATGTATGTAGGTGCAGAGGGATGTCCAGTTTTCTCCTGATGGTGTGCATGGCAATGAATATTGTTCTTACAGATCTGTGTGCTGTGATCAGGGTATAGCAGCTGGTCCCCATGGCCGTAGCAGCGGCAGCCAGGCGCAGAAGATGTGCGAAAATAGCATGCCTGCAGGCACTGGCTGCTTCATTTCTATGGCAGGGAGCATACAGGGGGTGCCCAGGGACCCTCACAGACTGAGCACCAGGGACATCGACCATAAGCTGGCAGGTCCCACCGCCTACAGTGCAGCAGCAAGCCCCAGTCAGGCCCCTGCTGCTGTGCAGCTTGCTGGAGGCCGCTGCACGGCTGTGGGCACTGGCTGCTTCATCCCGTCTGTGTAGATGCAGATCTTGACGTGTCAGCGTGACACAGGCTGGCGTGATCATCAAGAAAACCTTCAAGCCCAACTAATGTCAGCATGAGCACCCTTGACATGGTCTCAAGTCCCAAAACAATCTCACTGACACAGAGCTGGAGGCAGGGCCAGCAGGGTTCTTGCAAACCAAATGCAGATCAAATAGCCAGGTCTGGGCTGCAGCTGTTGGTGTCAGCGCAATCTGTGAAGTGTGTGGTACTTGGCAGAGCAACAGAAAGCACATATTGGGAGAAGGCGCGCTTTTGCGCATTTCCGTGGTAGGTAAGGAAAAAGGACACCCTTATTTAGATGAGGAGTGAGCACGCACGGTGTGGCACGCACCCCTGTCCAGGCCTATATGCACGCTGTGGCACCGTGTGCTCCTCTGTGAGATGCAGATTGTTCTCTATTTGGCCAAGGTTTCAGCGGTCGGGGTGTGGCATCCATTGAGAGACCTACTTGACACCCTGCTGCTGTGCAAAATCTTGGAGCAGATCATCTTTAATAATGGAAGAGTTCTGTCATAGAAGGACGAATGCAGACACCGTGTGACACCAGTGCCTGTCTACAAGATGCCAAATATGGCATAGTAAGTAGCATCAGGGTAGGGCAAGCTTGTTCAGCTCAAGCGCCAGAAGATTCTACCTTGCAGGAGAAAGGGCTGCCTCAAGTATAACAGCAATAAAATGATCCCCTTCTGTGGTCAGACATATCTTCCATTTCCTACTGTGTGAAGGTGGCTCGAAGGTTCAGGAAGCTGCCAAAAACCCAGACCTCTTCACCCCTCAGCAGGGTCCATAAAGTAACAAGAGACGAAGGATCTTCCCCTTCCAAAGCTGCCATTAATTTTGCGCAAAACATTGTCAGATCCCTGTCAGAAGGCATCGCAATGCAGCGAAAGTTCACTCAAGAAGCCCGTCTGCTTAAAATAACAGTCAAGGTCGACAAGGAGCTTGCGCTCATGCCGTACCCAGTGTGCAGGACCTGCTCGTCCGACATGTGGAATTGTATGCACGTGTCCACTCATCTGATTACATGGATTCTTGCCAGGCTCACAGGATGCAATTATGTTATGCACCTTGGTGGTATGCCGCATGTAAGGCATTGATGAAGCCCATTTTAGCCAACGGAGTGCTGGGCACCTCCCCTTATTCTATGAATGCATGTGTGCATACCTGATAGTTATATTTCAAAAATGCACACCCGGCTGCTGGGGCGTGGATTTACATGTTGGTGCACCACTCCTCTCTGAGGATGCCACTCAGTGACGCAAACCTGATGGGATCTATGTACATATCATTGTCATATATTGTCGTTTTTCTGAAATACTTGACGGACATGCCAGCATCGCCCTGTTTGGCAGTCTCGCATGTACGCATCTGCAATTTTTTAGGTCGGAAAACATACCACTTTGTTCAGCAACCTACACAGTAAGAGTCTGACATCCTAGCTTCCCTCTGTTTTTATTTCTTGCATTCACGCTTGCACTCTCTTCAGACTCTGTACAATGCCGCTCCGCTGAACGCTGGCTCCATAAGTGTTGCTCCTGGGCCAAGATATATTTGTACAGTTTGATGCATTCTGTTTCAAGCGGGACTTGCAGCGAGGCACTCGTGTCCCTTATTTTGCCTTTGCAGTTTTCACTTCATGTCCTGCACTCTCTTTTTGCCCAAAATTGGGTACCCCTCGAATGGCTGCTTGATGTCATACTGGCAGAGGCTTCTTGGAGTCAGGCCAGGCAGTTGCTGGTGAAGGAGTTCCATGCTGAGCCGGCTGCTGGTGATCAGGGGTAACAAGGGCCCTCTTCTGTGCATTTTGCTCTGCATTGACACAAAGTACAATGGTATGCCAAGTCTCTGCAGGGCACACCGTTTACAGGCTGCACAATGATTTGTGTGCTCGGGCACAGTGTGGCAACAAGAGATGCACAGACATGCTTTGACAGACTCAAAGCATGCAGGATCGACACACGCGGGGCCTTCCACTGTACTGTGATGCGAAGCAGGTGCTGAAAAACACTCAAGATGAAATTGATACCTCTGCGCGCAATGATGGCGATGCTTGCCCACAGCCAGGAGTTGATGACAGCCACCCACCAGGCCCAGTGGGGCCAAGGGATGTACTTGTGGCCCAGGTGCGATACCGAAAACCTTGATATTCCCACCCCCAGCAGAACGAACATGACCACAGCGCTCGCAAAGAGTGTCAGCCTGCATGACAATCAATGTAAATCATCAGCTCAGGGGCATTGCCAGTCACAAGGACAGAAGAACAGAGCTCTTGAGTGCAAGGTATAGCATGCATTTTGAGATCAGCCAAGGAATGTTATCAAGGAGGTGCGTACGATAGGATGAGAGCTGCAGGAAAGAGGTGAGCGCCCATGGCTCTGTGGTGGGCTCTGCCGGTGCTGGAGAGCTTGCCCTTCTGCTTGAGGACAATCAGCGCCCACATGGTGAGGAAGGTGACATTAGCGATGATAGATATGCTGAGCAGGCCGGCCTCTATGCCACCCCAGACCTGCCCAGCCATGCTCACCTCCTGCCCACAAAAGTCACCGCTCAATTAACTCTCCAGATTGGACTTGTCAGGGCGAAATGACCTTTGAATGCTTGTGCACAACTATGTGATGTTCTTTGGGCATTTTGAGGAGCCAGTGCAGTGCCACCAGGAGGTCATTTCTGCTCAACTATCTGTAATCAGCTGAAGGAGCACTTGCAGCCTACCTTCAATGAATGGTAGTAGGCAAATCGTGCTGGGGCCAAATGGTGCAGCCGCTGCGAGACCGTGTCTGTGCCCCTCACGTAACCGGCCTGCCACACAAGAGCTAAAATGCCCAATTCAAACTTCCAGGACTGCAACCATTTGCTTCTTGCAAGTGCAACAGCTGAAGTCATGGTCATGCACAAGTGTGGACAGCAGGCTTGGAGATTGGCGCACCCAGATCTGCAGGGAGATGTTGTTGTAGTGGTTGGTGTGGTAGTAAGCCCAGCCTTTGGACACGGCGCAGAGAGGCGCAATGGCAGTCGCCAGGGTCAGCAACAGCAAGACAGGGACCCAGAATAGGGTGCTCTGCAGATACAACGGCACACTCAAAGGAACTTCAACCAAGAAGAGACTGATGAAGCTCGAGTGAGTCTATTGCAGCACGACACGGGCAAGTCTGTTGACGGGCAGGAGCTGGGTACCCTGGAACACCGATATATGACGCTATCCGCTGTCACTGTCTCCACAGCAACATCTCTCGGATCCTTCTCATTCATCAGTCCTGGAGCCAAGATGAGGTCGCCTGCAATTTAGTGAGCAGATCAGGCGGCGAGATGTGAAGAACAATGCTCGGAAAAAGAGTCAGCTTCCTCTTGACGCTGCTTGTTGTAGACCTCCCAATTATTCGAGGCAAGATAATCACCTGAACACAGAAAGGGACGTTCAGCAGTGTAGAATCTACGATCTTGGTGTCCTTACCCAAAAAAGGTACGTGCTTGTGCTCGTGCACAGCGGTTCACGACGTTCAAATCTTGCACCAGAAAACTCCAACAGCGCCGAAGAGGAGCCACAAGTACGATGATTGCGACCAAATGGCTGGTGTCCCTCAAATCTGTCTGGGATTTTGTGTGTGGGACGATGCGATCTTTTGCCTTGGAGTGTCCGAAAAAAGCTGATGTGGATTTGCTTCGTCATGGTCGATGAGAAAACGTGCACACGAGGGCGGAATCCACCTGTTACAAATCGTCTCTGCTTTTGTGTCAGCATACAATTTCCTCTTAATCGTCATTTTGCATTCTCACGTATTTTGGACTGACCTGCACACTATGATACAGTTGACTTCAACTGCAATCGATCTGGTACATGAAGAGGTGAATCTATTGCGAGCGGAGCTGTGCCTCTCCCCGCGGCACGTATTTGCCATACTTCCTGACCTTCTTGCTGAAGGAGCGGTTCCTGCTAAAAGCGCCCTCCACGGGCTCCCCAGCATCCACCGCTGCCTTGATTGCTTCCGCCAGGACGGCATGATTTGGCATGTACAGGGATGTCACCCTCCCAACCTTCCCGGCCCTGCCAGTCCTGCCGACCTGTGAACCCAACAAATAGTCACTCAGCAGCAATATTAGAGCCCTTGTGAGTAAACCCAACAACCCAGGCCCCGGCTGGCGGGGGGCAGTATAGACACTATGCACCGTGCCCGCGGTAAATTGGGTTTTGCTTGGAATTGGCGAGTCCATCAAGGGCAGTATTTGTGGTAGCCTTCACCTGCTGCTTGTCTGCAGACGCACCTTTCCTCTGGCAGGAACATCCTGTAATGATAAACAAACAACCAACTGCACCACGTGCACATGCAGCAGTGGACATCAGAACAGAGAGACTCACCCTGTGGAGGAAGTCTATAGCGCTGGCAGCAAAGCTGCTCTGCACCACATGGGTGACATCTGGAATGTCAATGCCGCGAGCCGCTGCATCCGTGCACACCAGCACTCCCCCCTCCCTGCGCACCCAGCCTTTCAACGCCCATGCTAACACTCATTGTCTCATCTTGCTGACCCAACATATCTCTCCATATCAGTTGCAGGAATACAAGCATGAGGACATGCAGAAAGTGGGCCATCTGGTTGCTGACATCTCAGTGATCTGGCACAGAATGTCAATTTTCGGTAAGCTGCATATCTTGCAAAGGAGGCAAGATGCTACCAGGTATCACAGATCAGGTGCGCAGTGGGAGCCGAACAGTATCTACTTGATTTTCTTGGGTTTCTGGAAAGTACCCTGCTCGCATGGCGTCCAGGGCGCCAGCTCTGTCCTGGGGCGACACCTCCCGGTGGTACAGCAGCGGCTGCAGGCCCACATCTGCCAGGACAGTGGCTACCTCATTCGCTGCAGCCACGTTGGCAGCAAACACCAGCGTCCGCCCCTGACCCACCTCCCCGCTCACAGCCTCCTACGCACACTCATCTCCTCAGCACACGACCACTGTTTGTAGCACCTCCTGGTGCTCATGCATGAGACAAGCACATACTGCCAGGCACTCATGGCAGGAGGACAATTGTGGAGCTTGCCATCCATAGTGGCAAAAGGATGGAGCTAATCCGGCTGAGCCACATGCAGTAAATAACTTTTGCACATCAATTCCATTCTAGTCCAGTCCGCTCTGCTCTCAGGTGAATGGAGCTCCATAGATTGGAGTCCTGGTTATAGACAAAGAGCATGAGCATATGATGCTGCGGCGCCATGGATGAGCGATTAAGACAGAGAGCGTGCCTGCAGGCTGCTGCGCCAGGAGTCTTGGGTGATAGGCAGCCACGTGTGCGCCACTCGCCGTTGAGCTTCGTGGAGGCTCGGCCCAGACAGCCACAGCAGGTCGGGGAAGAGCCTGCCCAGATCGCCCGCCACTGTCTGCCCGGCTCCTGACGGCATGGTCGCCGCCACGAATAGATACTGCCGCTTCCAGGTCCGCCTGGTGCCAACACATCCGCGCATCAGAGTGTCTGTTGGTGTCTGATCAAGCACAGATCAATCGACAGACACATTGGTGGTGTCTGATCAACCATGCACAAGTTTGCATGCTTTTCAGACTGAACATTGACTCTCACTGTCCTGTGCTTCTCTCGGATTGTGTAAAAGCAGGCTAGAACAAGCAGGATGGGAAGCATCTGGTGCACTCGTCACTGCAAACAATTCCTCTATTGGAATTTGAATGGCAGATTTGGGGCCTGCGCACATTGGGAAAGGTGTCTCTTCCTCCGCTCCCCTGCCAGAGGTGCTGGCTGGGGGACTGGACCTGTCACCAGAGCCCTCTTCCTCCCACTCGAATCCCTTGACCCCGGCGCCCTGTAGCTTCTCAGCATCACCTGCCGCATCGCAAGAACATGCCTTCAATACAATGCCTGCATTATCTTGCGCAATTCCTTCAAGTGCTGAAGGAGAGCATTTCTAAAGGAGCGCAGCCTGCTGGCAGTAGCAAACAACTTGGCGAGCGCATGTGGTGCCAGTGAGCCCTCATCGCTCCTCCTGGCACTCTCCCCGCAAGCTAACACCTACTTCAACACTACGCTCGAGGGCAATACTCCCATTAAATACCCTCATTAAAGATTCTCAGCACACTCACCAGTCCATGATTCATTAATTTCAGCGTGACCTGCTACAGATGAAGGCGCCTGACAGGAAAGGCACGATTGCGAGATTGACTAATCTTCATGCTTAGCTCGGAAACTAGCAAGTTGTAATTCCTCGGCTCTTGAGTTTGAAGCATTGTAGCATCCTTCGGCAAGGGATCGCCCCCTCTCTGTTTTACAAGTGTAACATCAAGTGAGATCTTGATGCGCAGGCGCAGCAGCAGGCATGGCTGCGTTGCAAGGCAACGCACAGCCAACAGATGCCAAGCTTACTAAATATGCTATCTGAAAGAGTACATGATGTACGGTGCAGGTGTGCATGGCCGGCACACCTTGGGCGGCGGCTTTGCGCAGGTGGCGGGGCAGGGCTGCGAGGGCGTCCCCGGACACGCCCAGCTGGCGCGCGACGGCGCTGGAGCGCTGTGCGCGGTCGCCCTCTCGCAGAGCGTCAAGAATGCGCCGCACGTCGCGCTGAAATCCCCCGGTCAACAACAGATCCGCCTCGTCCAGCACCACGTGCCGAATCCTGCAAAACCGTGTTTGGAGTGTCGCATTAAGGCACAACCGTAAAGTATTATTATGAATACACGCCTTTCTGCCAAGAGGCAAGGTGCATCCTGCAGACAAGCTGCAATTACAGGCTGCCACAATACCACCCCTTGATGGAGTCGCCAGATCCAAGCAAGACCCATCAACCGTGGGCACGGTGCTCAGTATATATATCGCCCCCTGCCAGCCGGGGCCAACCATATGGGAGTGTTTAAGGCCCTTTTTGCTGTCTTCCTTGTGATCTGAGAAGAGATTAAGCTCTGCTCTGCTAGTTGAGATCAATCGTATCTTCTAAGTAGAGAGGCCACGCCCCAGGCCTCTCTAGTAAAGGGTCCAGCACAACAGCTGGTTTGACTGCCCAGCCTGCCTTGATCAGTTCAGCAAGTCAATCAAGCATAAGGGTGGGCAAGGGAGGGCTCGCACTGACAAAACCTCGCTTGTTGGGCTGCTCAATTGGTTGATGTTGGACAGACCAACCTCTCAGTATTGCCACAGGCACCCCCCATGCCTCGTGCCAACTTACACCCAGGACTATGCTCCTAAATGCTTCAAGGACAACCACTGCATTGAATGCATGACGGCCGTGCAAGTGCTCGTCGTTCGGCCAGCCAATGCGTCACTATCCTGAACACACAGGGCCGCAGGAAACATGTCATGCACCCAGCTCCTGTGCGCTCAAGGAAAGTTGACCTGCTTGGATGCAAGGACAGCCACTGCCATGCAAGGGCTCTAGGACACTAGAGAGTGCAGGGAACAAGTCTGCGCGCGCACCGGGTGACGATGCCGGCCTTGGTCCAGTGCCAGCCGGCGTACTGGCCGTACTCCTGCGTGGCCGCCATGAGGCCCGCGGGCGTGGCAGCGACTATGTCCGGCATGTCCCGCGGCAGCGGCGCGGCCGACGAAATGTGCGCGCTTCGCACCAGCGGCGCCCCTGACGGCCCCTTCAGCGAGTCGGCAAACGCCACCACCTGCCACACCGCAGGTTCTGCTGTCACAGTTTCCCTTGTTAGTCCGCCCGATCTAGGTCGTACCCCCTTCAAGAGTCAAAGGGCCGAAAGGAAGGGGAAAGCAAAGCACCAATCCCCTCCTCACAGCTGGCTCAGGCAGAGGAGCTGAGCACCAGAGAACAAGGGCCATCATTGTTGTCGCCTCCCCAAATCTGATTCGAGCTGCAAAAAAAGGGCTGTGCAAAGAAAGGGCCTGGAGCGCTTGCAATGACGGCAAATTCACAAATAGATGAAGAGTAGAAACTGAAAATCCTTCAAGCGAGAGCCTACGTGTGGATCACTATAGCTGTGATAAGAAACCTGACCAGACTTGTGCTGCATCGTCAAAGTCAGGGGTGAAGGGCCTCCCAGGAGCACCGCAGCGCAAACTGCTAGGGGCGATTGTAGGCGAACTGCTAGGGGAGATTGTAGGCGCACCTGGCTGCAAAGAGCTGCGTTGGGGCACAGGACCAAGATGCCATCGGCTGCCCTTTCAGGCCTCCTGCACAAGAAAAGACCACCTCGAAGTGTTCCAGCAGAAGTAGAAGGCAAACATCAAGGCAGAGCATTATTGTATGTTGTCAGCGCAATTGTGACCTGTCCACATGCGCAATGAAAATTGAGACAAGAGTAAGCACCCCTCTGACGATGTGCTCTGCACGTCTGCCTCCTGTGCCTTCCCTGAGAGAATGGAGGATATCAACGGGGCAAGGTAAGCCATTGTTTTGCCACTGCCAGTCTCCGCCGCTAGGACAAGAGACCTTCCAGACAGGATAGGTGGGGCTGACAGCTCCTGGTGCAGACAAATCCGTTGGTTAGCCCACAAGATCGCACGATGGGTAAAACTATGTAAGGTTGTGGCAAAAGTATGTGGCTGTTCTACCTGTACTGTTGAAGGCCTGTCATATCCTGCGCCTTGCAGTGCATCGACCAAGGAGGTTTGCAGACCAAGTGAAGCAAAATTTGTTTCCTCGGACGCAAAGAAAGAATGCTTGTCTGCATCCTCCTGGGGTATCTCTTGCGCTGATCGTCGTTGAGCCGTCACTTGAGCTTGACAGCGAAGTGATTGGCTGTATGAACGTGCGTGTAATGCGAGACACCTAAACTCATGAGTTAGCAATATTTTGCATTGCAGACAGTGATACGTCTTCCCAGTATCCCTAAGTGTGTGCCAGATGCCTGTCAAGGCAGGCATCGCTGAGGCCATCTTGCTTAGGCCCGTGTCGAGGCACTAAACTTGCAAGTGTAATGCCTTTCGCTCACTGTCACCTTACATGAGACATGGTAATTCCAAAATAAATGTGAGAAGAAGATGAATTCTTCCAATCTTGCATGCGCACGAGCTTCACACCTTAGAGAAGGTGCTCACTAACCCTTACCAAGCCACGTCGAGACAGTAATGAATTGTCATCAAATTGCTCTGCAAAGCTTCAATAGACACCGAGGTTTAGTTCATGTGTTCACAGTAACATTGTTGAGAGTTGGGCGTTTGCTTGGAAAGCTTATTTTGTCACGTACAAGCTTGGCAGCAGGCCCGAAGGTGTTGTCGGAAAATAAGACGCGCGCCATATTTTGTCCCTTGTGAAGCTAAATATTTGTATAGTTACAGTAATCCAGAGCTTCAGGTGTATATTTCTCGAGCAATTTGCGTTGACTTTGCTTTGACAAAATGATCGATGGCTCCTGACGGCATCTCTTTCTGATGCGAAGCTGTTGATGCTGTCGGTATAATTTATAGTGAAGGCCCAATACTCCAACATGCATGCAAGATTGTAAGCATAACATCTAGACATTCTACCCGTTTTAATGGCATGGGCTAGTGGAATTTACAGGACGGGTGCTGACGCTATTGTGGGCTGGCTGCAGGATGTCAGGGTTGGCTGTGGATTTACTGCAGCACGCCGCACACCTCCCTGGATATGTCCTTTCTCGAGATGTAATAGAGCATGAATTACCGGTGAGGCATCTTAGAATCAGCAGTCTGCACATATCTCTGGTTTTGGAGCTCATATGCACCCTACAACTTGTCTTGTGTGTCTGGATTCCCAGATTCCTGAATAGTATTTAAACATCTCTCGAGAAATTTGAGTAACGGTTGCCTTTGCCGTGCAGTATGTCCTCTTAGCATTGGCAGCTGGCTTTGCCGTTGGTGCCGGCAATTATGTGATGGAGCACTTGGGCTTCAAATTATGCCAGTGGCTGGAGAAGAAGGGGCAGATGCGGAGGCTCGCGCCAGGGGCAAAAAGAATATATGTTGAGCACCCGCTGAGCAACATTTGGTCAGTGGGAGCTCCATATGTGCTGCTGTACTATGTCGTTGCCAGACATCTCTGGCCGCGGCTCTGGAGCAATATGTACATCAGCCTTGCCCCTCTGGACGTGTGGCCTTTCATATGGTGAGCACTGCAGCACTGCAGCATGATTGTTTTTGCTCTGAAATAATCGGGTCTCAATCTTGCGCTGCATAATGTCCAGGAATTTGTATCATTTCTATTCTATGATGAGTGTCTTGACCTGAACTGCAGGTTTGCAATGGTTCTTCATGACGCATGGTTCTTTGCTGTTCACCAGACCTTTCACAAGGTGAGCTTGACCGCATTTGCAGACCAAATCTGACATGTTAGAATATTGCAGCAATTCCAAGCAGACCTCTGCTGGCTTGTTGGCATGCTGAAGCTAAACGACTGGTATGCTTCAGGTGAAGCCGCTGTACAAGAAGGTGCACTCGCAGCACCATGAGATAGGATCAGCAATAACCGCTCATGGGACAGCATTTGGAGATGCAGCAGACATCGGCCTCTGTTTTGTTGCGTTCCATCTCGTCATCGGCATCTTCCTTTCCTACCAGCAGCGTTGGAACTTGGCAGCACTTGTCCTTCTCATCATCTTTGAGGTAAGATGTGGCACATTATGGTGCCAGTGCCCTGTGTGCCAGCACCTTCAACTTCAAGCATTTGTCTCACGTAAGTTCAGCAAGGCCAAGAACAGCAACATGCTGCACACACAATCTGAGCTGCTGCAATGTTTCTCTTGGGCATGCAGGTGGGCACAAATATTCTTGGCCACACTGGCTATGAGGCACCGCTGTGGCTGCATGCGCTGGTGACAGCAGGAGTGGGCCTGACGCCGATGGCTGCAACCTCAAAGGCTCATTACTTGCACCATGTGGACCCTCGCTATAACAGGGGCCTGTACTTTACCTGGTGGGACAGGCTGTTCTGCACATACCGAGAGGACCACCCGCTCATCTTTCCTGGAGCAAAGTGATAATCAGCTGCGAGGTACAGCAGAGGCCAGCAAATCAATTTGCATTTGAGTGGAGAGAGCAGTCTTAGTGAGAATTTCTGATTGGCACCATATTGGCTATATAGGAGGGCCAGTAGCAGTGTCACAGCAGGATACTGTCAATGTTGCATCAATGCGGAGTCTGCTCAGCATGTTTGCTGAGCTCACTTTGTGGAAGCTTCTTGTACATGCTGTGCATATTCTTTATGATTCGAATTCGTGAGGAATTCTTTGTGCAGGGGCCCTTCAAAGCGCCAGGCACGTAGTCAGTCCATCTCTTGCCATTCTTTGGTCGAACGCGTGACGGTTGTAGATAGAATGTTGATGTAAAGGAGGATAGAAGGGTGGGCAGGATAGGAAAGGATCGTTGGCAGACCCTGATGCAAGCTTGATTGCACATGAGGTGCTGGGTGTGCAGCAAGGTCTGCATAGTGGAAATGGAAGGATGATGTGCATCTGAGTGTGAGGATATTGTCGCTTGCCCCAAAGGCTTTGTACAGGATTGTGCTGCTTTGGGATGACTACCAGATCTAGATGATGATGCCATTTCTGTTCATGTCAGATTGAGCAACTGAATTCCTGTTTGCTTGTTTCACCATGTATAGATCTCTAGTGGAGTGTCCAAATGTGACGAGATCTATAATTTCTGAAGCGGTCAAGAACCAATAGTACATGCGTGGCGCCATAAATATCTGGTGATGCGAGAATCTGACATTGTTAGCTGTTCTGTTCACCAGATTTGGTCAAAAATACGGTGGTGGCATCTTGCCATGAGTCATAGTATGACTGTCATACTGAGGGATCACTTTCATGGCTAGGCGCATCACTGTGAATGCTCATGCATGCATTCATCAGCATCTGCGCGGCGCATGCATGCGCGCATGGTGCGCACCCGGTACTGCAACCGCCGGCAACCTAAATATAGATCCATGGCAGCAACCGCAGAGGTGTACTGGATACTGTGTGGTATATTTGCCCTCCGAGTTTGTTGGTGCAGCACCTATTTGGATAGCTTTACAAGTTGAGGCCCTGCTGCTAGGAAGGGAAAGCAGGTGGACACACCACCAGATGCCTACACACAGGGCACCCGAGTAATCAAAATCCACTACTTTAGTGGATGTAAACGCTACTAATGTGGTGGATTATTGGCAATCAGGGGCCATGCCACCTGGTAACACATTCCATAGCATGCCATTTTGGTAATAAAAATTAGGCCTTTCGTCAGTAAGCATGGAGAATGATCAGTGATGTGTTTCTGTACCGAGCATGTCACTTATTATTGCTAGGATCCCGTGTTACAAGTGTGGCAGTGACAAGGAGAAGCTTCATCCGAACTGCGCAAGTTCAGAACGCTTGACTCGCTGTGTAGGTTGTGATTATATTATCAGATTCTATTCAGAAGGTCTGACAAAGGACGAATACGGCCACGACGCTGTTGCCGACTGGGTCTTCAAACAAGAGGCAAGGGTGCCATTGCAACGTTGCAATGCCGTGGACTCAGGGGTCAGATAATTCCATCAGAGCTGCCTTGGCCGAGATGAACCTTCAGCATTGTCCAGAGCTAATGGCTACTATTCTATTCGCGGGAAGATTGAGAGCGAAAAGTATCCAGAGCTCAGAAATATTACCCACAAATGCTGTGAGGACTGCGTCATTGCAGCCCAAACCAGGGGCAAGGATCTCAATGAGGATAAGTTGAATTTTATCATGCATCAAGGAGTGATTGGTAGGTCTCAATAAGCACTCCATCTTTGAAGGTTGGGAACACCTATGTTTTGAATCTCCCCATGACCTTGACACAGAGTAACTAACTCTGACTTTTGCGTTGCGTTCAGAGGCAGAGACCGGCGACTTGGAGAGGAAGAGAGCCGATAGGCGATCAAGCAAGATTCGAGGCATCATTGGTGGTCAGCAGGCTCGCCTCGAAGACAATGGGACGACTTCGACCGCCATCTTTGCAACGAGACACCTCAATCAGAAAGTCAGCTTCAGCAAGAGCGCCAGCAGATTGCTGGCAGCAGTGCCCAACCTGAACAGGACAGTGATGGCAGCCTCGTATCTCCAGGCCAGTGGACTTCAGGCAGGCCAGACAGCCCAAGGACAGGCGCAGAGGGGCGCCACAGCTGCAGCAGGCGGCATGCAGGGTCCCGCAGCCCCAGAGGCAGAAGCTGCAGGACCTTCGCAAGCGCCACAGCCAGGGATCAGCCGCAGGCAGCTCAGCGCTCAGGGAGCCGAGCAGGACATCGTCCAACGGTGGCTTGCGTTCAGCCTCAAGGCCTCATCCACCGTTGCAGAGCTGAAGCGGTTCCTGCTTGACAGAGGCCAGCGGCCAGTGATCTTCACCAGAAGCGCGCTGCTCGCCAGGGTGGAAGGGCTGCTTAGATTTGAGCATCCAGAAGGTAGCTATCCATGATGGCTGTAACGATCAGCGCCTACACATCTTATGCCTGGCAAATTAATAACATGTCCTCACCATTTCCTCTGGACATCTTATGCGCTGGCAGCTAATGGATGCTGTCATGCAGGTGGACTGGAGCCGAGTGCGGCGGCGGTTGAAGAGATCACAGCCGCTGTTGAGGCCGCAGCCCAACCGGCACGGCAAAGACCAGCAAGGCAGAAGGTGGGCATCTTGTTGAGGATCCTTATGTTTGCATGTGCTTTGTGAACGCCTCTCATCTGTCAAGCTGCTGGTGCAGTGAAAGCGAGTTTGGCTGAACACACTGATTGTAAGTTATTGTTGTTACAGGCGCCGAAGAAGTCACAGCTTCAGATGGAAGCGGCCAAGTCCATTGTTAACAAGGGTGAGTGGGCGCTCTCAGCTGGAAGCTCTGATCACCTGGTGACTGTTGCACACCCGAGAAGGCTTTAACTTCTGCAGATTTGATGGAAGGGAATGATAGCCAGTCAATTGAGGCGCTCACATGTTTGCAGGAGTGAGCAGCGGCCTGCCCGTGGTCAAACTCAAGCAGATTGACGAGTTGCTCTGGACCTTCGACAAGTGCCACTACCTGCCGCAGTTGGGGGAGAGCACTCCCTCGATTGGTGTCGCTCTCTGGGCCGTCACAAGCACGCTGCACCGCGACGGGGAGTTCCCAGCACGCAACTTGTCCCAGTTGGGTCGTGCTGCCAAGGCTCCTGTTGGTTTGGTGCGCGCTGTGCAGCCAGGCAGCGATGGCAACCAGCTGCATATGGAGATATGGTTCCTCGAGGCGCGCGTGCAGACAGATAGCCAGGGGGAGCCCGAGGCAGCGGTGGCAGGGGAAGGCGGTGGGGCACGCGCAGATGTGGAGGGACGGGGTGCAGGAGAGGCAGCCACCGGTGGGGGCGTGCAGGAAGGGCATGGGCGGGGTCGGGGCAGGAAGCGTGGCCGCCGCGGCACAGGCGGCGCGCGTGGCAGCAATCGGCCCAGAAGGGGCAGCCGAGGCAGGCTCAGGCGCCCAACCGCCAGAGCCGCAGAGTTTTGGGGTCCCCCCACTGAGGGCGACGAAGACGAGGTTGGGAACCTCTTCTCTGAGTCAGATGCGGATGACCAGCCAGCGCAGCAGCACAGTGACCCAGCAGAGCCAGAAGGGCAGGCAGAGGGTGTCCTGCCTGAGGCCAGCGAAGTGCCGCCGCAGCCCACAGCTTGTGCGAGCCAGTCGCCGTTGCACGGCTGCTTGCTGGCAGATGAGTCGCCGCAGCCTGTGCCAGTCCCCAACGTGCGGCTGAGCATGCAGGGGCATGCCGCATCGCCGGCCAAAATGGCTGTGCTGGTGATCGACTACCGGCACATTGCAGCGGCCCTCTGTCATCCAAAACGGCTGAAGGTGGCTCTCGGAGGCGCTGCCGGGAGCTCGCCCATGAACGTCGAAGAGGCTGCAACTGGTGTGGCGCTGGCAATGTTGCTGGCTGAGGAGCAGAATGCGGCGCGCGCCGGAGAAGGTGAGGAGCCATCATGGCTCTCTTTGTCCTGGCTTATATGATTCCACTCACAGTGAGTTTCTAAGTTATAATGCCATGCGAATCATACCCCGAAGGTTTATCGACAGGTAATTGTCAGCAATAAGCTGACGACAGGCATGTGTTGTCTAGGTGGGAGTGCTACGGCAGCGGAGCAGTCGCAGTCAGCCTTGGAGCAGTCACCGCTGTCTGGCGCCATGGTCTTCTTTGATCCTGCTCTGGAGCTCGCTGCCGATGAGGAGCCAGCTTCCTCCTACCGCTCTGCAGATGGCCCAGCAGGCATGTACAAAATCCTGCTCTGTCATTCCTGTGAACTTGTCAACTGACTGCTCTCATACGCTGGTGTAGTTGATTTGTTCATGTCTTGTCTCTCAATGCTGAAGTGTCTGCTTGCCCCTTTGCCTGAGCCATGCCTGTCTTTCACGCACCCTGCTCCACATGCTGTGCTTGCCCCTTTGCCTGAGTCATGCCTGTCACTCACGCACCCTGCTACATATGATGTGGTAGAGTGCCGCACCTAAGGGTCATCTGGGTAATACTAACAACAGGAATAAATTTGAGCTTGACATCCTAGCAAGACACTAGGGAAGATATTGCTTGAATGCGGTAATAATCGCGGATTGTAAGCAGCTGTGTGTTGGTGCGCGCAGGTCGACCGTCCCTGGAAGTTTCCTCCCCTGGGATCAACATGGAAGCTGCAATGGGTGTCATCGCAGGGCTGGCATGTCAGCTGAACCCCTCGCCGCAAGCCAGAGGCCATTCGAGCGCGCACAGTGACGTGCAGATTCTGCCAGATGACACAGTCTATGTCCTAACAGATGACAGGAGGATAGTGGGGACGGCAGAGGTGGTGCATATTGGGCCTGGCACACGGTTCCACGGTGCTGAGCTTGAGGGGTTTGGTGTTATTTGCGGGCTCACCATCACAGACGCAACTGGGGCTGGACACCAGAAGGCATGGTTGAGCGACACAGATGAAGTCAGAGCAGGCAGAACACCCTTGGAAGCAATTGGGGGCAATCAGATGGTGGCAGTTCCCGAGAGGTGCCTTCGCTTTCTGAGGCGCCCACCGGCGGCTGGAGAGTGACTTGCAATGTGATCTTTGCACTTTCAAGCTAAGTCAGTTTCAAGCTTAGTCAGAATTGGCGTGTGAGCATGACGCAAATGTAGCATCAATTTTTTTTATGTCCTAAATTTGATATTGCAATGAGGACTGTAGTAGGTTGTGACCAAGTCTGCCTCACTACAAGGCGTTGCACATCCATGCGCTCTACGCAACTAATATTAGTCACTCACTTGTCCCTCTCTGCACATGTGCGCAACAATCATGACGGTAACCAGATATCATGCATGTAACAATCTGTAAGGTAATTTTGCTCCCGGTTGCCTCACATGCTCAACCTTCGAATCTGAAGTGGCCAGTGGGATGGAGCACTTCTGCTTGAAGACAGAGCACTGCTGCTGACCGCCACAAGGTAGTGGCGGTGGAGGGCAAGAAAATAAATCCCCTGAGCCTATCTTATAATATTATTAACCCCATCTGTCATTGAGCAGCCTGGCTCGTTCTTGCTGTTTCTCTACGATGTCGGTGTCGAAATCCACTCACATAGAATGTTGAACGTGGAAGAATTGCTACAAGATTCTTCTCAGCATCATCGCACTTCTTGGTCGCTGCATAAAGACACACGGCATGTCACATCAGATGGCGCAAAGGTGATGCCCTTATCTTGCCGGCACCCACGCTATGGTACACGCACGCGATGTGTATCAATCAAATGTGCCACAAGCGACAGAATTGGGGTGTCAATTTGCTGCACAGCGTGGGTGCCCCTCCTTGATGGGCACATCTCTTTACATCGAGCAGCCATCTGAGATCGCCAGGGTTGAGGACGTGCTGTCCGTGCAGCACGCACTCAGCGTCAATATTTAGACTCTTTCAATATTGATTATTGATGGTATTCTTGTGAAAGAGTCTCTTGACCGGCCCTGTAGGTATCGCACGCTATGAAGAGGCTTTTGCAGTCCAGGGTTGGGGCAGCACACCTCTGAACATAGGACCTGCCACCTTTGTAATCTTGCTCAAACGAAACCCTGAAATGCCTTCTCGAAGAGTGTGGTTTTCGAAATTCCTTCAAGCACCACGGCTGTGTGTGCAGGAAACCTAGTAATCTTCAACCACTGAACTTCCTTGAAGGCGGGAGCCATGCATGCACACACCGCCCTCATTCACTGGGCACTGGTCATGTACAGGTGAGATCTCAGGAAAGCAAGAGTATGATCCAAGTGTAGAAGTGCTGTAGAAATCGGGTTGAAGCCGCGGGCCAAAGCCTTGGAGCCTTAAGCATCATGCTGATGATCATAATGATGCCATCGGGTCAGTACTAGTATAAATGGCGTAAGGCTACCCATTAAGAGATTCCAGTGGGACCACCGTCGAACATTATAACCTGAGAGAAATTTCTTTAAAGCATCAAGCATCTCGAGATGTGCTCATGAGCAACGCATGTCTTGTGCTGCAGGTGCAACCCATGCCATGCCCGTGGCCAGTGGGCACGTACACATGTGCATCAACGTTTCAGGCAATTGCAAGTTGCCACAATGGCTACCCAACACCGGTGTTGGTAGCAAGTGAATAGTGGGTACCCACTAGTTATTTGCCACACCATTGCCCTCAGTGTACTCTTAAAAAGCAATCACTCGATTATAACTAGAAGGCGCCTCTACAGTGTAATATTGTTGTCAATAGATCAGATTGATATTATTGTTGCATTCATTTATTTTATATTTAATTATATTGAACAAGCTCGGCTCGCAAGGCTTCAAGCCTTGTTGCTCCAATTGGTCAAATATATGCATTATTCTTTTTTATCTGATAATTCTTGCAAAGCAGAATTAAAGCCACTGCAAATATTAAGGCTTGAAACTCGAATTCACAATGTGGAGATAAAGTCCATGCAATGGGTGACTCGTTAAACATTAATTGAAGCTGAAGGGCTAATTGGCTTCTGATAAATATTTTAATATCATGGTCATTTATTTGGATGGTCCAAACAAGCTGTCGACATGAGAATGATCACTCACAGGCTTGCATGGACACTAAAGTCCCCCCAGGTTTTGGTAGAAAGTGAAGCCAATGACGGTACTGCAACATGCTCAGCCTATAGGTAGCTAACCAGATATTTACTATAATTACACCTTGAGGATCTGGTCCAGAGTCACATGCATGCCATATGGGCGCATGTTGCCGACTGTTGACATGACCTCTCCAAGAGTCATCAAAAAATCACATTATGACAGACATATCTTCTTAGAACCAATACAAATCTTTTGAAGACTGAAGGTCTTTATTGTCATTAATGGTGGGCAGTGGGTCATGGCCTTCCTCTAACTAAGGAAGCTTCACAACCTGGCAGGCAATCTTTCTAAGTAGCAATTCTTGTCAAGGTTCATACTGTTCATTTTTTGGCTGCTGGCAGTCAACATGCTATTAACTATTAACAACGTGGACACCTGTACATATATACAAATTTTAAGTATTAATACTAATATTAATTTGTAGTATTAGCCGTATAATTTTATCATAATATTATGATATGCTGCCAAAAATAAAATTCAACGAATTTAATTTGGTGGACCTTCATCAAAGTTTTAAAAACATGACAGGGACACCTCCATTCACGACAGGCATTGATCACATTTTGACACTTATATGAGATAGAGAGAGGCACTGCTCAGAGCTACATGAATTGCAAGAGTTGCAGGAAGTTTCAATAGGCTGCCTTTCGCTTGAACAACTGATAATTTTTAACAGCAATGCATATTTACATTAACAACATAAGAAGCTGGCACTCTGTGTTAATTATTTGCTTTAAGTGTGTGGAGAGAACAAGCTGCTAAGAGATCTTGAGATTTTTGAGCCAATTGGCAGATGATTCCACAGCGCACTCCCTTCCCAAAAAGGATCTGATGAATTGTAGAACAATCAGATTACTGTACTCTATAGAAGATTACTGTACTCTATATAGAAGCTACTGACTTTCAAAGTTTGAAACAGCATCGAGAACATCAAAATTGGCAGACAAGGCGAGATGCTCATTGCCAAATTTTCAAATGTGCCAATATTTATGTGTCCTCATCATCGCCGCCGCTGCTGTCTGAGGAGGCATCGGACCGCGCATCCTGCCAGTCCGAGTCGGAGCTGGTGCCGCTGTCCAGGTTTGTGAGGTCGGCGTGCAGCGCTTCCACAGCATTGCCTGCCATGCCGCCCAAGTGCTGATACTGTTCAAGCTTGGAGAGGAGCACCACCTGCTGCCCGAGCTGGAAAGCTTCAAGGGCTGCATGCACACCCGCCTCCCCCAGCTCCGCCGCATGGGGAACTTGTCGGGCGCTGGGCAGGCGGCGCTCTCCCCTCCCAGCGGCTTGCTGCACTTGCTGGGCGTAGTGCTCATAAAACACTACCATATCCCTGGCCTCACGCCGCACGATGGTCATCTCTTCGGAGCACCGCTTCAAGCGCTCCTGCTGCTCCGCCAGCGCGGCCAGTTTCCTAGCCAGCAACCCTGCCTGAGCAGATTGTCGCTGCCACGGCAATGTGTCTGCCGCGAGCAAGCCAGGGGCGGTCAAGCGCTGGCAGTCATACTGCGCTCCCTGATAGTCCCCAGGGGCGGCATGCCAGCGCCGCAGCTGAAGGATGTCATCGCTGACTTTGGACACGATGGCTTCCATCTGGCGCCGCAACCGCTTCAGGCTAGTGCGCTCACGATATGCCGCTGTCTCCAGCTGTCTCTGTAGGGCGTAGTAATCCACGAACCTGGCTGCAATGGAAGCATGTAGCTGCTGAATCATGAACCTCTTCCGCTGACCCCCTATCTCCTGGTACAACCGGTCTGCCTCCACCCACCGCAGCTGTACCCGGTGCCTGCGCTCCCACGCTGCCAGCTTGCCCTCAAGGACTCGGCGGTGCTCATGCCGCATTTGCTCGGAGAGCGATTGCTGCCCCTCAGCTGCGAGAGTCACACTGCCACCCAGCGCGTACAACTCCTCCAAGCAGCCTTGGTAGTGGTGCTCCCATGTAAGACGGGCCTGCGAGTAAGAATCCTGACATCAGTGATTCATGCATCTTTATGTATCTTCCAAAGGTGTGCATCCCATTTGCTCTTTACAAAAACTCCACCAGTATGCACATCCTGTCATGTCTTGTCCTGTCATGTCATAAGTCACATGTCAAATGTCCTATCATGTCATATGAACAAGCACCAGTACAGCCAACTGAAGGTGCAGAGTGGAGCAGCACCGGGATGGTGGGCGCGCTTGTTGATGCCCCCTCAGACGATGTCTGCCGCTGCTCCCGGGCAGACCCCTGCGTGCAAAACAAACAATCTGCTTGCATACTTTCTTCTGAGGCAGCTCTTTACTCTGAGTCCTCTGAGCACCTCCTTCTCACTAGCATACCCATTGATACTTATTCCATGCTAGAGAAGAGCCTTCAAAAAGGACCAACACACCTCTGCTTCGTCACTTGCGCCTGCACCAGCGCCGCCTTGGAGAGGATCCTGGCCTGCCGGTGATGGGACGCCTCCTGAGCCACCGCCACCCTGCACCTGATTCATCAGCCAATAAGCGAGCATGCAAAGCATTGCAGACTGCAGGATATATCAAGATGGCATCTCCCCAGAGAATCAGTAGAGACAGGTGCAGCAACTAGGAGGGGTGCATTTTACCTGCAACTCGGGGGCTTTGATTTGGGCAATCTCCTGCTTGAGGGCCCCCGTGGACTGCCGCAGTTGTGCCAGCAGTCGAGCAGCCCTCCTATGCCACTCAAGCAGCTGCTTGGGCAACCTGCGCTCCTTTTTTCGCTGCCAAGCCATCGCCTGCACATGGACCAACATTGTCACTTCTCGCACCTACAGGGTTACAAACTGCAACATCGAGCAAGGCTACAAGAGCTTGCATCATATGAAAGGAGAACTCACCAGGTCCGTCATGTAGTCCTCCCGCGTGGCAGTCGCCATGCGCTTCAAGATGTGTGCAAATTTCCTGTAATGTGCCCAAGCCTGTTCAATGTTGTCACCAAAGGAGTTTCCTGCCGCTAGCATGCGGCGGGCGCCATACTTTTCTTGGCATGCCGGAATGTGAGCCTTCACATGCCACGGCCCCACTGCCAGGCCAGGCATACCCTCCACGTTTCCTTGAACCATCCTGCCAGCACAACACATCACCATTCAAAGGGGACGCTGCTGTGCACTCCGACGAATCCACACACTCATAGCATGACTAGTACTAGACACTAGGAGTGAAATTGTTCCATGCAATAATTGTACAGGGCACATCTTGACGTAAACGCCAGGCATGATGGACGAAAGATTATACCTTCGCCAATATGGGTCAAACTGGCAAGCAATGTCAATGAAGAAGTACTTCAGATCCTTGCCCTCCTCAGGCTTGAACTCCTTCAGCAGACGCTGCAGGAGCAACTCGTAGTAAACAAAGCACTCCGGTGTGAACAGGTTTGCCGCCACGAGAACATACCCGTGGCGGCAAACTGCTGCTGCCACGCCCTACGCACAAGCACATGCGGGAGTGTCAGACCGGCTCCAAAGCACCAGCACATCTTCTTGTTACACGCTTTCCTGCCAAGCAAGGTACATCCTGCAGAGCTGCAATTTAAGGCTGCCATAACCCTACCCCTTGTTGAACTCGCCAGATCCAAGCAAGACCCAATCAACCGTGGGCATGGTATTCAGTATTTTTACCACCTGAAGCAAGGCACGCTAGGGTGCTGCCAAGTATTACCCTTGCCAGCCGGGGCCAGGAAAAAAAGAGAAAAAAATCATGGATATATGAGATGCATGCCAACATCAGTAAGCGCAACAAGATCCCAGAAAAATGCGAGGAGACTCACTTGCACATATAGGCGCAGCTGCGTGTCTGAGGCGGTTGGCGTGGCAGCAACGAACTGAGAGCAGACCGGCCGCTCCAGCGCCGCCGGGTCCAAGGCCTTCCGTTGAGCGAGCAAGGCCTTCACCTCTTCATCAGCAATGAAGGGGCTATAGGGCAGCTTCGGCTGCAGGAAATCAGAGGCTTTGCCCGCCGCCCTGAGCTGCGTGAGTCCCAGGCAGGCGTCAGCAATGGCTGCCACGCAAGTGCGAAAGCAGCAAGGACACTGCACAGTGGGGCCCCCGGAGGCACGACTGTCCAGAGATTCCTGGGTCGCCGGGCCCACCTCAGCTGCATCTCTGCCAGTTTGAGCCGCGAGGCTGCCTGCTTCCATTTCTGGTGGCGATGACGACGCTGCTGCTTCCCTCTGAGTGTTCTCCTGGGGCGGCGGCGGCTGGCCGAGCTGCAAGTCTGAGTCACCGCTGAGCCCTGCCTCCGAACAGATGGGCTGCACGCCAAGCCTGTTGAGGTCATGTGTGGCGATGTCCATTCTGCGCCACTGTCTGACCGCCACTGGGAGGTTCCTCCAGATATTTTTGGGCAGGCCACTCAGTTGCCCGTACGGCACACAGCCGTTCCTGACGTGCACCTCCTCCAGGGCGCTAGTCCAGGCGACCATTGAGGTTGGGCTGGCGAGGCTGAGCTCATGCGTCTGCAACATGAGCGCTCCAGAGTAGTAAACCAGCGGCCTCTGTGGCGTTGCAGGAAAGCATCCCATGCTCACAGGATCGACTGTGAAGGCGGCACTGCACCCGCCACACCTGAATGCTGGGGGGCTGACCTCTGTCCTGCCGCTGATCGAGACATACACAAGCCTGCTGATCGTCTCCACCTGCTCCCACACTGATCCCACCCTCCCAGCCTGACTGCATGGACTGCAAGCGGGCAGGGCTGCTCTGGCAGCTGTCAAAAACTCTGCCTGCAGCTGCTGCTTCAGTGCTGCTTGGCGTGCAGGCTGACCAGCTTGGAAACATGTGTTCCTGAATACATTGTCATCAAAGCACGCATCCCATGCTTGGTGCAGCCGTCTATTATCCTCTTGAGCTGCCTGTTTCCGCAGACGCCGGCGTGAGGGCGGAGGCTGATAATAGGCAGCAGCGGCTTCTCCATCTCCATCTGCAAAGCCATCCTGCTGTTCTTCCTGCTGAGCTGTGTTTCTTGCAGGGATCCGCCAGGATGGAAGGGCGCTGGCCGGCCTCCGGGGTCCCCTCGGTGCAGATGTTGCCACAGTGCTGCCTAGGTTCCTCCCAAATCTGCGGCCTGGCTGCAGCAGAGCAGGAGTGTCGGCTGATGGTATCACCTTGACACTGACCCTCCACCTCTTGTTCCTGACCATTCGTCCTGCATGAAGTCATCACACAACGGTTTCTGCAAGTGATCCACCAGGACATTAAAGGAATGAGAAGTACATCAGCAGCATGCCTTCTAGTACAAGTGATACAACTATCCTTACAAGCACCTGGGCTACTTGCTACTCTTTGGGGTGCACAGTCCTCTCCAGATGCTCCTCATCAGATTGGCATTCCAAGCAAAGCCAGGTCAGGGCAGACACCCACGGCTACTCACAGCAGCAGAGGGATCGTAACGCTCACCAGAACAATTGAACTTGATGTTGGTTTAGATTGTAGACGACTTCAGTGTCTGTCCGGTGCATCAGTGCTCAATTCAGGTGAACGCTCTGTGTTGCCTGCACGCATTTCATTTCAAGGAATTGGCTTGGCAGGGCATGCAGTCACTACGAAAGAAGTAGACATGCACGTCGATGGTCGTGACATTCGATTAGCTGAGTCCAAACAAGTCAAGGATGGGGATGCCAAAAAACCGGCAAAAGTGCGAACCTCACATGGCCAGCGACAGAAGACTTCAAGAATTCGTTTAAATTACTCCCATAAACATTTGCGGCCGTCCCACCCCCCTTTCAAATCCTACTTTGCAACGGTAACCTGGCAAATGGCATTGCTGTCTTCGCAGAAACGAGTAGCGCACGATCCTATAGATACAGGCTTGACCGAAATAATTAGCTTGACGGAGGTACTATGCAATGCTGAGATTGTTGTAGGTAAATCTGAAGGATGTGCAGCATTGCTTTTGTTATTGCACGCCCCGAAGGGGCGTGCTCAGAAAGAGAGCCAAATCCACTAATGTAGTGGAGTGCATGTCCACTAAAGTAGTGGATTTTGCCCGACAGAGTAGGATGCTACACATGCCATAACAGTTACTAAACCTGTACGGGCGCCCCTCGGTCGAAAGCTAGCCAAATGAACACAGCGACTTGTCGCTCCTTATCTGTAATTTCGCCCATGACGAGGTTGCATTTGTAGGATGAAATTGTACGGTTGCAGACACAGACCGTGGCACTTCGTGCTGTCACTTTCTAGATGACATTCCGAGTACTGTGACATATAGCACCTGTGCATTGAGTACGATGACGGATCTATTCTGGACTTCTGAAACCATCGTATCATCTGATGGGACCGAAAGTGTCGTGAGCAAGGTCCCCAGAAAGAATAGCTTCGTGGAAGATACGATTGCCGTGCTGACCCTCCTTTCTTGGTTTGGGTGCGTCTGCTCTTAATGCCCAATGAATGCTTCTATTCATTATTCGTAATTTGCAAGCTGAATTTTCGACATTGATCCAGCGAACATCCGAGAATAGACATCTTGTCAGACTTATAAGCACAAGGAAGGTCAGCTGAAGGTCATCAGTATTTGCTTGATTGTGCAGGTGGGTGTGGCTGGGTCCCTGGCTGCTTCTATGGGTCCTCATTTCGGCCATATTTTGGGCTTCAAAAGTTGCGATCACGCTTTTGGTGGTCGTCATCACCCTCACCTTCTTGCCTGCTGGCAACGTGCGCCCCACCTTCACATGTATTTGGTACATGATGTACTGATCACTACCATCTTACTATATCCAGAAAAGGGTTGTCCAGAGCCATTGCTGCTGTTGGAAGTACTCAGCCAATGTGAAAGGATGTGTTGTGGCTGCAGATTTGGTGGGGATACAGAAGCTTGCCCTTATGGGACATTTGGAGGCGATACTTCAGGTGTGCAATTGTTGCAGCCTGTTCCTACAGTTCTGTGTATTCCAAGTAATTCCCTGAGCCAAATGTCTTGCACTTGCAGCATGCGCCTGGTGACGCCTCCCAAAGACAAGTTTTTGGAGCCACATGGGCACTATTTGCTTGCAGGTGAGTTGTCTCTTCTGTTGCAGACTTGATTTGTCATGTATTTATTAGATTGGCTTGCACGCGCTTGGTAGATAGGTTGTGGCCCTATCACATGGGCTGCCTCGAACCCTCTGCAGCCTAACTCCAATGGTGTGTTGCAGAGTTTCCACATACTGTGTATCCCATGGGCTCCTGGCTAGGGCTGCCTCTGTGCGGTCAGAAAGGAACTGGTGGGAGGCTATTCTCATATGCTCCCCAACAACCAAAGCCAGGCGCTAGCTTGCAAAGTTGTACTATGGAATCCTTGCTTAGAACATGAGAGGTCTGTGCCCTCTCTTTGCAGGACTGCCCCAGAATTTGAGAGGGGGCATTGCTAGCATCATGTTCCAGCTGCCTCTTGTAAAGCACAACTATGCGTGGGCAGGCTGCATGCCAGCAGGTAAAGTGCATGGGAAGGTTGCGTTTCTATTCAGTGGGATCTGGCATCCTTGCTTTTCTTGCAAGAGCAGCTTCTGCGCCGTGCATTGCTTATTCTGACATGGTTTGTGTGCTCTGGCCAGAGTACAAGCAGATGCTGGCGCACTTGAGGCAGCCGGGGGCCTCCCTGAGTGTGATACCGGAGGGCATCGCGGGTATATTTCTGGCGCAGGACATGCAGGATGAGGTCATCTTCCTGTCCAAGCGGAAGGGCTTTGTGAGGCTTGCCATACAAGCTGGCGCGGGTGGGCACATCTCGCTGGCCTGACTTGATCTATTCTGGGGGCAATGTATTTAGATTGGAGGTCAGTCTGAAAGTCTTCAGGACGACTTTTGAAGGATAGCCTGAAAAATGCGCGCCATGAAGGGTCAAGAGGAATTTCTGTGCATGTTGCAGATCTGGTGCCTGTGTACCATATGGGGCAGAGCCAGCTGCTGACGTTCTGGGGCGCGGAAAAATTGTCTCGGCGATATCGCGCATCAATGGGCATCTTTTGGGGAGCTTGGGGTCTCCCCCTACCCAGGAAGCATCCAATAATTTCGCTTGTCGGTGCTCCCATCAAAGGTCAGTCGCTCTCCTGGGATCCTTCACATTTTTGTGCATGCGAAGGCATCGTTTGAATCCAAAGGAAGTGGCAGAAATTGAATAAGGCACTTCTATAAGTCTGGCTGATGTTATGCGCCTCAAAGCGGTGCACTGAACGAGGATTCTGTGTGCTGCAGTAAAGCAAGAAGATCACCCCAGCCAGGAGCAGATTGAGAAAGTGCATGCAGACTTTGTAAGCAGCATAAAGCAGCTATTTGATCGCCACAAGCATCTCCTGGGAGCTGCATGGGCTCGGAGGGAGCTGCGCATCGTGTGAGGGAAGTAGCCTGTGCGCGGAGTTAGATGTATAATGCAGATGAGATTTATTTTGCAGCCACCACATCAATCATAGATAGTGTCACGCTCAGTAGCAGATCAGTTCAAAGGTCCAGCATCCGCTTGCAACCAACAGTGCTCCCCAGAAATCTGTTCAGGTCTCATGTTCACAGGAGTGCTGTACATTTATCAAAATCTCTGCCTAATATTTACCCTGAATTTGGGCCCGGATCATAGGACATTGCTTACCACTGAGTGAACCTGATACATACAGTCAATGTGGGTGATGGAAAGCCCAGTTGGGAAAGCCTTGCCCTTTGAATGTCGTATAACCTCGAACAAGCTCGAAGAGGTAACTTCAATTGCTGAACTCAACAGTTGCACCTCTTGAATTTTCGTCCAGAGTCTGCAATGATGCAATTAATTAAGACTCAGCGCTGGGCCAGACACTGACGTCGGACGAGGTATACCGAACCTCGCATTACCTAGCATGCCTGATTGCCAGCATGTGCATGGCACGCTTTGGCAGCCTTCCTGAAGAGGTGCGAGGGCTTGAAGGGATCGTAGCGCACAAAGGCCTCCATAGCTTCATACTCTGGGAGCCCCAGCTTGTTGTACAGGCCTGCAGTTGCCTGCACACGCAAAAAAACTTCAGTCCCCATCCTTTCCATTGGGGTAGTCATTAAGTAAAGCTCTGTACGTCGCAGTTGGTCTTAGCAAAGGTAGTGGCTGCAGTCACCTTGTTGCGATCCTTGGCCCGCTGCCAGAACTCCCTGTCATCTGCACCTGGGAACAGTGCGCGGTCCTTCTGCGACTCGTGCCTGAAGATGGCCTCCACCTGCACCCAGCAATTCAGCTTGACTGTTTGGCGCTGCAAGTAGACTTGCATAGGCACTGGTGACAACAGTGCCCTGCCAGAATTTAGGCATGGGAACGAACCTTCCTGTCGAGCTCACTGCTGTTCAAGGGTATGCACATATCTGCCTCCCAGGGTCCCCACTCCTAGCCACAGGCACAGAGACAAGTTGAGGGAGCTGCTGGAATGCATCAGATGCACCAGGGCATCTCAGGAATCCTGTCATGCTGCTGCATGGGAAGCAGGATGTCTGACCTGCCATGCGCCGCGGTAGAGGAAGACCTCTGTCCCCTGGAACCAAGCCTGCGCCTTCACCTCATCCACGGCCTGGAGAACTGCCTGCAAGTTGTCCAGTATGCGTCAGGACCCGTGGTTCATGGAGTCTCCTTAGTAGGAAGAGAATTGAACATTGCCTGGCAGCATATAAAATTCATGGAGGCTCTTATAAGAAGTGACAGAAATCAAGGAAATTATAGAATATATTAAAAAATTTGGTGATATTACCTTCAGGCAAGTGCGGTGCGTCCCATGGGGATCCGACAGGTCGCCAGCAGCATATATCTGCTGGGGATGCACCCTCTGAAACAGCTCCACGATCAGGCGGATGTCTTCATCGCAAAGCTCCTTCTTTGCTACCGTGCCTGCTTAATTCATCACACACGCTCAGCGGGAAATAAAGCAAAGGATACTTTGGCAGGAGACAAGTGAGCTTGGGGTTGGGCAGCGCACCAGTCTCATAGAAGGGCATGTCCAGGAAGTGAGCACGCTCTCCAGGGACACCGCAGACGCCAGCCGCACTGGTGGCCTCTGTGTACCTTATCAGAGTCTTGACCTGCTGCAGCCGTGGGGTATCTACCTGTGACATGCAGACCTGGTCTTCAGTCCCCAAAGTAAGGGTGCACGGGCAAGAGTCCAAAATACAGAGGGCATAACCATCCTCAATGAGAAGCAGGGAACAGCTGACCTCTCCTGACTTCTTCTTGGCGACAAAGGACTTGATCTCTGCATGCGTTTTGCGGGCCTGAGCAGCGCCTGGTCCAGTGGTGCTGGCCAAGCGCTCAACAAAGTCCAGGTGGCGCAGCGCATCATGGTCATGCACAGCTATGCAGCCTGATGTCTGATATGCCACATGCACCTGCATGCGCATGACAGCGCTGAGACAAGGCAACGCATGCAGGATGGCTGAAGGAGGTTGCCAACGGCTAGCGCACAGCTTGTAGATCTTCTGCCAATTGTAGTAAAGCAGGCACGATATTATGCTGATCACACCTCGTGGCCATGCTGGCACAGCCTGGCGAGTGTTCCTCCCAAGGAGATCACTGCAAACCGGCAATCAGAAGCTGTGAGTTGCCAAAAACAACAATATTGTCGTAGATTATAAATCAGATGCAGAAGGGCTAGGAAAATTGAAGCCAGGGATCCTTGCCATCGTCGTCTGGATGGGGTGACATGACAATGACTCGCTTGCTGGGTCCAGCTGCCTTTGCGCTTCCATTTGGAAGATATGATGAGGCGCTGCATGCTACATCTTCCTGCGTGGAGTGCATCCAAACCACTCAGCAAAGCATTGCCTGATACTGATATCTCAATTAATCTGCTTTCAGACATTGGAAGCGTCTCATCTGCAGATGAATGGAGGAGCAAATAGCCAAGTTATTGTTTCTGATCCAGCACAGTAACAACCTTGAAGGTGGCATACACACACTACAACTTTGTCTCACCTGCTCTGTTTCATGGCCTCCAGGAAAACCTGTGATTGTGCTCTGCAGTTGGATGAAGACACGTTGATTGATGGCATCAGCAGGACCGAGTTGCTCACAGAGCTCCTGCAGGATGCACATGTTGCTTTGGCCAACAGCATGATCTCAACTGTATTAATACGAGCCTCCACACAAAAGTGTGCGCCACCAACGGCAAGGAAAGCTGCTTGCCTGCAAAGAATTCTCACAGTAATCCCTGTCTGTCAACCTTAGGATGGACTTGGACAGCTGCTGGGCTAGCCAGATCACAGCACGCTTCACCAGCAGCTCGTTCCAGCAGACAGAGCCTAGCACCCAGGGCTTCTGTGTCTGAGTGAGCCCTGCAATCATTGAGAAGCTTTCATTTGGTATCAGGGCGGCATGAAGTCCAAAGTCAGGGAGCTGCTGGGATTAATTGTATTATCAGGAGGCATAAATCACCAGATGATGATGCAATGTCCAGGAAGACAGTGGCGTTTGGGTGCTCCTGCAGGAAAGATGCCGGGACTTTGCTGGTGACAGGCCCCTCAACAGCCCGAGCAGCAATGTCAGCCTTGTTCTCGCCAAATGCCATGAGCAGTATGCGCCGCGCCTGCACACCATGCATTTTTCCTCCACAATGCCCCACTGTTCACTAAGTTCTCTTTCTGTCTGTTATGTGTACTGTGCACATCTGGTATGTTGAGGTTGGAAAGTTAGGAAGCAGGGCTGGTCATGCATTCACAGCGTGGGGCAGAAGGCGTACATTGAGGATGGTCGAGATGCCCATGGTGAGGGCGCGACGAGGCACATGCTGCTCGCCAAAGAAATCGCTGGCAGCGTCCAGGCGCGTCACTCGGTCCAGGTAGACCATGTGAGTGCGACTGTCCCGGCTTGTCCTGCAGGCAGGTGTCATTTGCCTCATGTCAGATACGTTTCTCATCCCATCTCAACAGGTGCATGCATCCTCGAGCGATATCAGTGATTCTAGAGGCGAAAATTTTAGTGAACCATTTGGTGCGCACCCTTGCTCATTGAATCCAATGTGTCCCATCCTTCCGAGACCTAGCAACTGCAGATCAATACCTCCTGCTTCCTCAATTGCATCTTCGTACTCTTTGCAGTGCCTGCTTGACATATAGGGATAATAGTCAATGGTGTGGTCACTTGAAATCTGGCAGCTAGGACATTCAACTGGGTATTGAACACACCTCAGTACTTCAGACTCTGAGATGGAGCCATCCGGAATGTGAATATTCTCAGGATCCATATCTGTGATGTGGTCAAATAGATGCACAGCCTGCATTAACAATTGACCATTCAGCACTTAGCGGGACAGTAGGAAGGCTTTCCTTATGCATGGTCATGAAAACCGAGCCAGAAGTCATGCCATGAAATTGTGGTAGCTCTGTAGGTCGTCCGCATGAAGGCCATAGTACTCGTCCAGATTGAAGGTGACGACATTCTTGAAGGACAGATTGTCTTCCTTGTGCATTTTCACCAGTTCTCGGTAGACAAGCACTGGTGTAGAGCCTGTGAAGCCAACCCATTTGGACCCTCAGATTGAAAGATTGAAGAGAACGTTGATATGCTAGATCGAGAGGAGTCAAGGTGCATCGACTACACTTCTCATGAGCAGTTTCAGTCGTAGACTCACCTGTAGCTAGACCTAGGACACACTGCTTTCCTGCATCGCACAATGTACAGATCATGTGTGCAATCGATGCAATCTATTCACGGCTGTGCAAAACAAGCAAATCACTAACTCACAAGAGATGAATGCACCCTGCACAACGTACCTGCAGCAGCATGGCTCCTGATGGTCCTAGCTATTTCTAATGCAACTTTGTGGCTGAGCTCCTCGGCGTCGTAGTGAATATCAACTGGAAATTTTTCCATATTGTCCCAGCTGATCTTCACGACAGAAGCGGTGCCAATCCTGACTTGCAATAGGCAGATCGGTTGCTGTATCGACTGGGGTGGGTGGCTGGCGCTCACAGATTAAGTTGATCGTACGAGAAAATTGTGTGAAAATCAATATAAAGGATATATTAGTGACCTCACTTGCTCGCTTGATCCTTTAATCACTTCCCAGTGAGCATTCCAGGATGTGAAACCTTGCTTTGCTGGACGTTCGAAGCTCTTGTACGAGCAGTTCTTGTCCGCAATTGCTTTCTGATCACAATAAATGTTCCTTGCTACAAATATTAGCAGCCAGTTGATACTAGCACTGCTGCACGAGCAACAGATTCCCAGATGCTAATATTGTCCAGAGTACATCCAAATCAGGCAGTCAATTTGCATTTCCATGCAACTCAGGCAAAACGCCTGCACCAGGCTCATGCACGGTCTGTCAACTCTGCGTATGACGATTGATGATGGGGAACTATGTTACAGGCCACTCGGTGAAATGGCATGGTTTTTGCCATTTCACAAAAACCATGCGCACAGCAGTGCACGTGGCACACGACTCCCTCTTGCAGTAGCACCGCTCATACTGTGGCATTTGCCATGGAATTATTATGTCATGATTAGATAGTGACTCATATTGGATTATTAAGTGCAACAATTGGGCTAAAAAATCCAAAGCCTCCCACAATGTCCGTGCTGTGACAGCGATGACTCTTCACCGAGAGGCAAAGTGTAAAGAGACCCTGTCATCTCCGACAAGTTTCTATGTGGCAATTGCTGCCAGTGTTGGGCACCTGAAAATCTGAGCTCCTCCAGACCCCATGGCACATGTGCACTCAACAAAGTAAATTAAAGGGGCCTGGCATTGAATGCCAGCAGCACAGAAGAAGAGAGAAGATAGATCATGAGATCATCTCCAATCTGGCATGCGGGGCATTGGCCATTGCCTCAAGCATCTCCGACCACAAACCACAATAATACGCTCGTCCAGCACTCTGCATTTCAAAAATATGCCTGTATGTCAATCGGTTGCAGATGCCTGCCCAATGAGAAAAGACCAGTAGGGGCCAATCTTCTGCTCTATTGTCCCACTGCCAGACCTCAACTGCTGCTGAGCATCCTCATGCTGTATCAGCTTTCCCCTGAACTGTGATTCCCACACAGCTGAAATGGCTGTTGGGAAGGCTACAGCGATCAGTAGCAGCAGCAAGCTCTCCTTCAATACTTTTGATGCTGGCGCTCCCTCAATCCACCGCCCTGCACAATACACAGTTTGAGACACAGTACTTGGAAGTGCCAAATCTGAATGCAGCAGCAATTGTGCAGTCACAAAGGGAAATCCACCAAGCTCCATGATGATGCTGCTCCACCAGGATAACAAGTGCAGCTGCAGCGCAGTGCTATAACGGACAGAGTAGAAAAGAATGAAGCCCGCTTGGACCATTGCAGCTGGCACCGGAGCACCCTGTGGAGAGATCAGAAAAATGTCGATCAAGGGGCTGGTTGTGTTCTGGAACACCCAATGTATCGTCATCAATGAAAACATTGAAAAGCATTCGTGCGGACCTGGCCTATTTCGTCGCGTTTGAGGAGCAGTATGCAGACCATGCCAGCCACAGCATTGGCAATGACGCAAGAGATCTTCATTGTCTCGTGTCTCAAGAGCCTGCATGCACGTTCTGGTGGGGTTCACCTTATCGACATTCCACGTGGACACTACGGTAAGGACAAGCATGAATATTCGGTGGAACACCTGTATGCTGTATGTAGAGAAGGACACTGGCAAGGGCTGATCACCTCGTTTCCTTCTTCAAGGCTGATGCGCACAAACAGTGGTAAATGGCCATGTTGAGCCAGATCAATATTATAACGGCTCTTCTCGGAGTAATAGAATAGAAAAGCAGTTTGGGGATACACGAAATCCAAGCAATTGCCTGCAGCACCAATGCGGTTGATGTGCAAGCATTATGATGCTCAGCAGTTCAAACGAATTTATACAACCAATTGGTTCACAGTCCCCTGCGATCATCAAGAGCATGGGAGTGTCCACGATTGGAGGATCCTATAGAGTTGGACGCACCATGATATTGTTGACCCATACTGACAGTCCTGCGCTTCTCCTGCAAGTAATAAAGACTTTCAAGGCCATGACATCAGGGATGGACACGAAATGAAAACAGCACACTGCTGACTCGGACCAAGATGCAGTCCATAGCTCCTGCCGAAAACTCCACTGAAGCTACACAGCATGGTACATTAAACATCACCTTGCTAACGAAGCTTCATAAATTGCTTCCAAGCTTTTATCGGCGAAGAAGCAACCCATTGTAAGACTGCCATGGAGTCTTATTACGACAGGCCAGTGTCGGGGACATCCATGTCTCACTTTGACAACGTCAAACCCTTCTTAATTGCTCTCCAGCATTGCAAATCTGCTTGAGGGTGCGATCTGCCCTGCGGACGTGAATGTGGGCTGGTTTCCTTCGATCTGAACCCCTCTATCCTATTTAGGCAAGCTTGAGGGAAGAAGGTGAGCTCGTCCATGCACCCTCCATATTGCTGATATTATCAGTGCTTGTGTCGGCGTCAATATGCAACATTACAATTGTGCGCCTTTGGCACCCATGGTTTGATGAACAAGCTCCTTACAAGCAGCTTTCAGTACTTGAGCCATCAAGCAGTGACATGTTCGGAGCACAACTTCAACTAATTTACACCAAGCCTCAGTTCCCGGCTGAGTCTGTTCAGCTGAAAGGAATGGCCGAGGGGCGGCACTTCAAGGGTCCTTTTAACCAGGTGTAGATTGCAATGAAATATCACTTAGTGCTAATCGATCTCACTCAGCACTTACATGCTCGTTCGTTCCCAAAGGGAGCTCATCTGTCATCATCAGTCATGTCCTGGTCACCTACACACTGACTTCCAAGGACGCGCGCCCCAGCATAGATTCTAAATTCCGCGCTCGAAAAGCTTTCTCTCCTGAATTAAAGGCCGGATCAGTTGCATCTTCACAACTATAACTGAGATCAGGCTTAGGGAAACAAGGATCAGCCGAGGTTGGCAGGAGGAGAGAAACCCCCAAGAAAACGGACAGCAAAATATGCAGGATCTAGATCGAGACGTAAAGGTACAAAGATGTCGTCTTTTTGAGCCAATTTCTGCAATAAGAACCCATATGACGACCTGCCCTGTTCCTTCCCTGTTTTGATATTCTAAGGCCCACTGCAGGATGCCTTCAATAAATGCTTGCTGGGAAACTACCAGGAGAGAGTCATTGGAATGGCAAAGTATTGGGCAAGAGATGCTACATTCACACACGTGCGATCCCGCATTGGCTTTACAGCAATTGACTCCTGCTCAGTTGCTAATTTTGATCTGGGGATTGGATATCTGGAACGGAACAACCTGCTCGCAGCGACGTTTTCTGTGCTGAACAATCCTTCTGATAATTGAAGGACATAATATTGACCAATTCTGATACATTTTCTTTCGTTCGCAGGTATCTTTCAAAGCATTCAATCGCGACGATATCTGGGGTGTGTCCTCATCTTTCGGATACATGCTGTGGTTGCTGACTTCCTTGAATGCGGAATACCTTGTTGATGTGACACAAACGTTGAGCGCTGTAGGAATTTACCAGCTGTGGAGCCTCAACAACAGGGGGCTTGGCATTGACTACCTTGAAACCATTGCAGACCAGAAGGGGAACTCAGTGCTGCTGGATGTCCTAGGTGCGCTCTAAGTGTAAAGCATTAGTGAATCGAACTTGAAGACTTTGCTGGTCAGGTGCACAATGGCGCTTCCTTTGCAAGTCATTGCAGACATTTCACAGGTTTCCGGCCATGACGGGCGGAGGAAGCTGATAATATCTCCTGTGTTCTATAATGCAGAGCACTGTAATATCTGGTGGTGCTTTCCTTTCTCCAACCAAGACGTAAGGGAGCTATTCACTCACAGCAAAAAATGTCCAGTGGCACTGTTGCTTGCATGCATGCATACACACGTTATTGATTGTAGCGTGTTTGGCCGTGCAGGTGAAAATCCACACAGTACTTGATCTGCGGGACACGCCGAATGGCAAGGTGTGCGCTTTTGAATCTCCAAATTGCCTCTGGCTAGTGACATCGCCATGCACATGTGGCTCCAGGGTTCAAGCTGCTCTTTCCAGGTGATCATCAACCAGTACGACCACACTCTTGTTGTGGAGTCCATCCTATACCACCAGGTCCCCAGGCTTGGCAACTTCCTGTACAAGCATGTCCTTCCTGCAGGAGGCGCGCCCTGACCTGGCTCGTCAATCTTTTGCCTGCAGCATTGCAAGCTCTGCAATAGCCTATGATCACCAGGGTGCACTTTTAAGCACTATTCGCATTTGTCATTGACCGGTCAACAACAGTTGCCCTTGCGACCGTGGCTGTGTATCTGCAGGTAGCTTTGTGGCATTTATCGGCAACTGGCTGTATGAGCATGTCAATCACAAGGTGCTGCTCCTACTCTTCTGCAAGCCCACTTGCATGTGCCTTTCTGAGGCTGCCAAGACCACCCTTTCACACAGTTGGCATCTTTTCAAGGCCAGAGAATTACATCTTTTTGAAAGGGGAGATACAGCGTATGAAAGCCTTTATATGGGCAAGAGGAGTAATCTTATGGGAAATGACCTTGCAGACAGAGGTTCCCAAGCTGAGGCGGCCGCTGTTGGTAGACCCAGAACACAGCATCCCTCGCACGGCTGAGGTCCTGTTCAGCCGCGATGCCAGCGGCCGCCGCGCACTCGTCTTCGGCGCCTTTGCAGAGGACGCGCTCTACTACAACACCTTCGTGAGGCCCCATCAACTATTCCCTTTTGACCACTCTGCTGTACTCTACTGCAGGACCGCCTTTATCATACAAGGGGACTCTGTCTCGAGCGTCGAGTAAAGTATGAAAGGCGGCAGTTTTGTCCTGATTGCCTGCATTCATGCGCATGGACCCATGAATGATGAGCACTCTCAATGTTTCTGCGCGCACTCTCAGCTTCTCATGTGTGCGCAGTTCACTGTACTTGGCCCGCACCAGATCTTTGGCATGCTCAATTTCTGGGCAACCTTCAACAGGCGAGCACTTCCTGAACTACTTGAATCCCCAATCTCCTCCTCACAGCAATTTCCGCTCCTTTTCCTGCTAGATTGCCAGCAGGACCTGTGTTGTAAGGTAGCAGTGAAGGTCGGCTAAGGCTTGCGGGATGTGTGTGCAGGAAGGTGGAGATCCACATACAGAGGGTGGTGCCTCAGGGGGACCGAATCCTGGTGGACACAGAGCAGTTCTTCACGCCCTTCTTCTGGCCCAGCTTCCTGCACCCGCTGGTCTGGTACAACCACATCCTCATCTCCACCAAGGACAACCCGGCCGGGTGAGCTGCCAATGCTTCTATCAACCTCTTATTGATGAACCCGAACCTGTGCCACGTATCTTGGCAGCTGGGATTGCTTTTGGAGCGCTCTTTGACCTGATGATTTGCTGCAAATACTCAAACTTTAATCACTAGCGATATCACTACACATTCTTGCTGCCAGACACAGTGATGCATTGGCCTTGAATGGGTTTGGTTTCCTGATGATCGCTCCTTGCCGCCCACATCTGTACGGCATTGCTTACAAGTGGCCTAACAGACGCATTGATTTCAGAGATCTGTGGTGCAGTGGCAAGTTGATCACCCGACTGGACAACCACATCATCGTCCTGGAGCCATTTCTCAGGTACAACCTTGGACCGCTCAGCTGGGCCTACGAGCGCATGCGCATCGTCAATGGGAAGGTGTTTGGCTACGCGGGGCGTTCCCTGCACCGCATCCTGGAGTGGTACCACAGCAACCAGGTACCACAGCAACCAGCAATCATTTTCATCTGTCTCCGGAGCACTCAATACAATTCATGGCTTCCTGGCGTGCCCAGCTACAACTTCCACACTCAGCGGCTAGATGCCATTTGCTTTCTTCGCCCAAGCACCCTGAGAATCATCAGTTGGATGTGTAGACCTGCATGCTGATGCAGAGACAGCATGCAGAGGCTGGTATTTGCTGGACTGGGACGGTCCAATAAGCCAAGCCTCTTCTCTGGCTCTGGATGCCTTAACGCTGATCCATAAAAGTGTTGCTGCAGGTGGCTGACAGAGTGGCTGCACATGTGCCCAATGTCAACGGCTTCCTCACCAGTCCCTCCAAGATGGCCAATTGATGCCGCACCTCAGAGCTGAGCAAAGTTCTGAGACCACTGCTTGTAGACTTGGCAAGCGTCACTTCGGCAGAAGCAGCATGAATGGCAATGCCAGGTATACCACATCAGGAAGCTTTTCCACAATCGGATCCCTCATGACAGCCAGGATTGCAGCAAAGCAGCTGAGGGGACAAAGAGTTTGAGAGAGAAACGCATGTCAAGGGTGAAACCAAGGTTGTTGAAAGTCTGTTGCATTGAACCGGAAATATGGTGGATTTGTTAAGAAGTCAGTCCGCTTTACAGTCCACTGGGCCTTGTGGTCACCAGTCAAGATGGGTTATTGTCTTCCGTAGAGGATTTACATGAACCTGATGTTGCAGTGACTGGGCAAATATTGTTGACATCAGAGGCTCTCAGGATTTCACTTGAAATTAACCAATTAGTGTCATTGTGAAAATCAAACTTTGATGAGTCTACATGTAGCAGGATGCCAGAGTGTTGGCTCTGGAACCCTAATACCATCTTCATGTCGCCTGGCTTACAGCGACAGGGGCAGCTGGCGGTATGCAAAGACTTCTTGTGCTTGAGAATGCGCGCATATCTGTCGAATAGAAGTTGACTTTATGATAAGGCCTGGGCATATATTGTGTGCCTGGAGCGCTTCTTTTCTATGAAATGGTGGTGCAACTGTCGCAGTGCTGCAAATAGTGTTCACCTGATAAGACAACATTGCTAGAATAATAGAGATCCTTGTCAACACTCACACGATGTCTGTTCGCAGCAGTTTGCAAGACGGTTTTAACTTGCGGTTTCCAAGTCTGATCGGTACGTGCAAGGACTGCAGAACTGTAAATGATTCAACCACAAGGTTTGCATGTCCTGCATGCTCAATTCCATTGCTTGCTTCAACATATACTAACACATTCTTAAGTTTTCACAAAGGGGCCCTGCTGCGTGAATCTCATCTTCATCTTCATCATCGTGTTGCTGTTCTTCTGCCAGCTGTACCATGTTGACTGTTGCATCAGTCAGTTGCGCTGGCGCCTCAGCAAGCTACCCCACCACATCGGTGTCCTTTGCGCGCTCTTTCCAATCTCTTTTACTGTTTGCGGCGTGCTGAGGCTGGCGTCAGCATCAGCTGTATTGCCTTTCTTTCCCTTCTCATTCGCGCCCTTCTCCCCCCTCAACTCATTGCCGCCCTTGCCAGCCCCTACATGCCACAACCCACGTTACTCCTTTTGTCCGCGTGTCTGATATGAGTGGAACAGCTTGAGCTTCTCCTCGGCGTGGTCTTTCTCTGCGAAAGTTTGGACTAATGTAGTCCTGATGCCCAGATGAACTATAGGAGGCCTCAGGAAAAGCTGCTTCACGGGCAGCACCTGACAGTGCGGTCGGCTCAGGTGTGAATACCATCAGGTCGTCATCCACAGTGACGGCAGCAGCGGAGTTTTTGCACTGCGCGGCTTTTGCGGCGGCCGGGGCCGGGGCGGCGGGGGGCGGCGGCGGACAGCGGGCGGCCCGCTTGCACTCCGGCGGGGTGAGGATGAGGGAACGCGCGCGACGGTGCCCAGCCTCCAGCGGCCCGGGCCAGTCGGACTCTGGCGGGTGCGAAATTGATGCCAGCAGCCGCGCCGCTGCCGCAGCGGCGCCCAGCCGCGAATGCATCTGCAGCGAGTCCCTCAGCGGCTGCGCGCCAAAATTGCACTCAAGACGTTGCTAAGCATGCAGCTTGAGCCTCTGCATTGGAACAAAGGTATAGAGGCATTGTATTGAGAATAGGGATGAGGAAAGCTGAGGAGTGGCCAAGTCACCTGGAGGCAGAGGCCCTGGTCAATGTCGCCAGTGAGCTCGCCAGTGAGTTCCAGCAACTGCTCCTTGTCATTCATGCCGTCACGTTCTGCCGCAGTGGCTCCATCCTCCGCCAGTCGTTGCCGCTCTGCATCAGGCCACCAAGGTATTTAAATTCCTGACTCCAAACAAGTCTATAGAGGCATTTAGAAAGAGGATCTAAAGACCGAGAGCGAAGCTAAAATGTAGGGCGGTTTCTCACCGAGGAACGGAGTGATGCCGGAGTGCGCTGTGGTTTGCAGCTTGGAGGGCACATTGCCCTGTGCAGCGTGAGGGGCAGAAGCATGCTGCGGATCCCTGCGCTCATGCAGGCGAAGGTTGGTGACCTCAGCCATGTGCATGCGCCTGGGGCGCTGCGGCGCGGCAGGGCCGACATCGACGGAGCGGCCGAGCGGCCCCGGGGAAAGGTGCATGCTGGAGATGAGCGCGCAGCTGCCGCGCAGCTGCCCCGCCTCCCCCATGCGGCTGAACGCCGCCTTGAGCGCGCTGTCCTGCTTGATGCCCAGCTCCTGCGCACGCATCAGCCACCTTCTTACCTACTTACTTACAAATGATCAGCCGCGGCAGCGGCAACATGCATATCCTTTCCGCCAAGCTTGGACGTCTTGGGCTATGTGTACGCACAAAGGGCTTGTATAGGCCGATTCTGCTGAGGTCACAATGGCAAAAATAGTACTAGGTACCCCCCTGACAATGGTATACCAATGGTCTTGTGATGCCTGAGGGAGAGGCAGACCTGCTTGAGGGGGCCGGCTTCCATGGAGCGGCCGAGGGGCCCCAACTCGGTCTCGAAGGACTCGTCGCTGCTGATGTGGAGCGGGTGTGACACCACCTGCCGCTGCGCCGAGCGCGGGCGCTGCCCCTTGGGCTGCGGCGAGCGCTCCCCGGGCGCCGGCCGCATCTCCTGCCCTGCCTCTTTTGGCGCTGCCACCATGACCGGCGTCTCTGGAGTCCTCCCTGCCACAAAAAACGCACCAACGACAGGTCAAACACGCCTCCCGAAGAGTTGTCATATACCATGTTGAGGGCAGATGAAGACATCAATGCCATTCAGAGGCCAAGAAAGGAATCTTCTATATGATGAAGGGAAGGTTGAAAAAGGATATGTTGGCACCTGTGTCTCCGGCAAAGCCAAAGCTGCCGGGTGCGGGCGTGGGCAGTGTCTCCAGTAGCATCCCCATGTCTGGGCTGAAGGGCGACGGCGCTGCCCCGTCTGCAGCAGCGCTCTGCTGCCACTGTCCCACCTGTGCAGAAACAAATTTCTTGAAGTCCCTCTTCTGCAATGCCTTTGAACAGTAAGCCTTACCCTGCTCGACATACGGCCTCTCCATTAACACATACCTTCATAGCACTATTTAATCTGTCAGACCAGACAGTAAGCAGCTACTTTGCACTACGAAGTGTGCATACTCAGGTGCGCGGGTTGCACACCTCCTCAGAGGCGCTGCTGGATGTGAGCGAGGGAGACTCGTCCGCTGCCTGCTGCCATGCAACACTTTCACCACCTGGCTTGGACGCAGCCTCTCGCATGCTGTCTGCCTGCATGCTTGCCTCTTCCTCAAGAATGCCATTATCCTCCTCTGATCCCACGCTTCCCGCGTCTGCATACCTGTGCACTGCAGAGGGTGCAGAGCGCTGCGCAGCCTCCGCCTCAGCCTCGCCCCTCCTCCATCCCTGCCCTTCACCCTGGATGCTGCGTGCCATTCTCTCTCTCTCCCGGGCCGACACATGCTGGTGGCTGCTGCGTACCGCCATGACAGCAGCAACACCGGCGTCGCCAAAGCTGACACTGCGGGCTGCCCCTGCATGCTGCAGGCTGTTGTCCCCAACCGCGCCAACCGGAGCAGCCAGCGTAGGGCCAGCAAATGCAGCTGCAGCAGCAGCAGCAGCGGTAGGAGCAGTTTCATGGTTGGGGGCGGCTGCTACTAAGCTTGCATCGGCGGAGCGTCTCCACGTGGGCTGTGCAGCGGGCCTGGGCACAGCGTAGCTGGCGTGCAGGCTGCCGGGCTTGGGCGTTCGCAGCGGCGACGTCCGGTACTTGGGCAGCACCGGCGGAAGCAGGCTGCGCCGCACAGGCACCTGTCCGTTGGCGTCCCCTCCTGCTACGTGGCCTGCCCCACCACCCTCCACTGCCCCGTGAGCACCCCGTGAGCTTGCCTCGTGATCATTCCGCGCCGAAGCCGGTTCGGCGGCAAAGCTGTCGTGGGAGCCGTCTGAGGAGCCAGCAGCGCTGCCTATTGACGCCGAGCGGCTGGGGTCCGCTGCTCTGGCGTGCCTCGCTGTGAGGCTTGCTCGCACGTTGGCTGCAGCGCTTGCGTGCTGCGGCTGAGCGGGCAGATGCGTGAGGCTCTGCATTGGGTGCGGCCCGAGCTGGTCAAAGAGGCTGACCGGGTGCAGGTAGGGCTGCTCGGGGCGAGCATGCTCGCTCTGGTGCGGCCCTTCTGGCCAGTCCTGTGGGGTTGTGTCATGGACAGGCACCGGCGTCGCTTGTGGGAAGCCCTGTGAAGCAGACTGCTGCCCCTGGTCCCCTGGTGCGGGAATGCTGGGAGCGTGTCTTGCGGCAGGGACGACTGTGCAGCTGCTGGCTGTCACGTCGCCTGCTGGTGTGCAGAGGGGGTTCATTGGCGTTGATGAGGCTGATGCAGTGTCCAGATGACCGCCGGCAGACTTCCGCATGCCGGCCGCATTGACCTCCTGGACAAGACAAGACTCTCAATTTCAGTGAAAATGTGCACTCACTCAAAGGATCCAGCATTGCACATGCCCAGGACTGCTGGAGCAGGTAGAGGAAGCATGCAGAAGCGCCGTCTCACCTGACTGCCAGCAAGAGCCACAGATCCTCTGTTGGTTTCTGCCTCCTGTCCAGGGAAGCCCTTGCTGCGGATGGACTCTTCTGCATGGTTGCCGCTCTGCCGCAGTCCAGCTGCCACCTCCCTGTGAGCCACACAATCTTGTGTGAGGGCTTATTCGCATAGATGAGGTCCAGAAAGCCTTCCAGGATTTTCAACACTGTGTTTTACACCAATTCTAGGTCCTTTCCAATCTCATAATCGGCACATGAGGTGTGCGCCGTGCCTGGATCTGCGCGTCTTGGCCGCCTCGTCCTCTGGCACCGGCGACAGGACGCCGCCGCTTTTAAGAGGCTGCTGCTGCCGCGGTGTAACGCTGTTGGCCTCTGCTGGCGCCTCCTCCTCGGCGTTGATCTCCGCCTCTGTCATCTCCTTCCACCCATCCTCCTCGGCCCTGCACTCATCCACTTAAGATCATATACAGAACCTGATTGTCAGCTAGAACCTGACTATAAGACTTCATAGGAGGCAGAGACTTAATGTCTAGAGGACACCAAACAGACATTGATACACCACAATGTATGACTTCAATGTGAAATTAAATTCTGACTAAGGGTACCCAAGGTGCCATTGACAGTGACAATTGTAACATATCAATGACTGGAGGACACTCTTGCATTTCAAGCGAGACTCATCGTTTGGCGGCAATCACTGATTGTGCCAACTGACTCGCAGGCAGGGGTGCTGACCTGTGAGCAGAGCCTGGGGATGCGCCAGTGTGCATGGCGCGGCTGGCCCTGAGGCCGGCCACGGATACGCGTGCGAGGGGCCCCCGCGCAGACAGGCTGCCGCCGTGGCGGGGTGTGACCGGCAGCGGGATGCACAGGCTGCGCGCGGTGAGGGGCCCCCGGGAGCCGCGCTGCAGCGCCCGCCGCGCCGTCAGCTGACCGGCCTGCGACGCCCTCAGGCTGAAGTCTGTCCCATGCAGCCGCGCGCTCAGCGGCAGCCGCAACCCACTTGGCCTGCGCCACGAGACATTCAAAACTAAAACTCAACTTCAAACTCCCAGCACCATCAATTGGACGCCTTTCACCGAACAGCAGGACTGAATCATCAACGCATGCGTGACCCTTCAATCTCATGCGACCCTGCAATTGTGTTGCCAGGTGGTGTGTTCTGTAACAGTACGGCGGGATATGGCCGATTGTGCCTTTGTATCACTTTTGAAAGAATGGCCTTTGTACCAATTTGAAAGAATGGCAAATGCACATAAAATGCAGAAGGGGGGCGCACAGGGGCTTCGTTGGGCAGCTGGCGCGGACGTTGGCCTCTCCGCCGCCGGCCGGGGGGTCCGCATGCACCTCCTGGGCGAGCCTGCCGCCGCTCAGCATGCCCAGTGCGGCCGAGGCCTCCGCGGCCAGCGCTGCATGCAGGGAGGGAACGCTGCTGCGCTGCTGCAGGCCCAGCCTCCTCATCCGCTCCCTCGCACCCTGCCGCACATCAAAGTTCAAAGTTGATCCATTGATTATCCAAAATGAAGGCCTGATTTTAGGCATGCTTTTGGTGCGATCACACGCATAAAATTCCTTCTGTGGAAGAAATAATTTAAGTGCCTCGTACACTGCGCTGGAATGTTAAAGAGAGACATGAGGCAACGTGCAGCAAGATCATGTGCTGTATGCTCAGACTGCCAAGATCAGTCAAAAATGTGCAGTAAGTGAAGGAAGCAGGTGAAGCGCACCTTTTCTGTGAGCAGGGCGTTGCGGTCCTCGGGGCGCAGTCGCTGGAAGGCGCGCACGTGGCTCAGCATGTTGTCGCGCTGGCGCAGAGGCGGCAGCTCGGCCGGCTTCTTGGTGCGCTTCTCCGCCTTCTCCGTCCGCCGTGCCGCCTGCACATGTGCGCATATCACCGCAGGTCAGCAACATCAGCCCCTAGCTTGGACACCAGTAGCAGACAACCTTCACAGAAACAAAACGCTCCACACAGCAGAAGGTACACAAGCATGGTAAAGCCCGGCTGGGATATTTGGTCCCCGGTGAAGGAATAATTGTAAAATTTCTGCAGATGCACCTTGCCTGTCTTGGCAGGAAGACTGAGTAACCACATGGGGAAGAACAGCCGGGCAAGGGTGCAAGATCGGGCACCTTCTGTTCGGCGGTGGTGACCTCAGAGTGGGCGATGTCGAGGTCGCGCGCGAAGGTGATGAGCACGGTGAAGAAGGCCTGCGGGTCCGACACGCTCGCCTTGGCCGTCCCGTTGACGTACGCCGCCAGCTGCCCAAACGCGGCCACCGCCGCGGCTAGATCGGCCTCCAGGGACGCCACATTCTTCTCCGCCCTTTTGTGGAAAGCAGTCATCACCTGCATGTTCAGCAAACGCTTGTTATCAAGAACTGAGCCCTCTTGGCATTGCATGCATTTGTGTGCCTCAAACCATTGCCAGCATGAGCATGGAGTCTTTGCGACTGAATGATGCCCTATGGCTGCAAACCCATGCAATTGGGTCATAATGGCTGCGATCCAGGTCAGTGAATGTCGTCTGGTCTCTAGAAAGCAGTAGAACTCCAGTTGGGGCACCCTAATCGAGCATCGAGCATGCACAGCAGGACAGTGTAAAAGAAAGGCCAATTTGAGGAGTGTGCACCTGGCGGAAGGAGTCGCCGTCGTTGGCGGGCATGGCGTCGAGCGTGCGTTGGACGGCAGCCAGGGAGCGTAGCAGGTCGGCCACCTCGGCCTGCAGCGGCCCAAGCGCCAGCCGCGACGCAGCCGCCACCGCGCGCAGGCTGCCCTGGATCGGCATCTTGTCCGCGTGCTTCTTCGCCAGCTGCGCTCATGACACATGACGCTCAGCCGCGGGCTGTCTTTCACAATAGCCCATGAGTGCAATGCCAATGGAGGTCTGCGTGGAAACAGCCTGGCCACCTGGGAATTCTTTGCCATAAATGGTAAGTGCTAGAATTCTTATAACTTATGCAGGAGGGCTGCGCAGCAGAAGTGTACTCATGGTCTACAGCATCACAATCTTATGCTATCAGGGGTGGTGTGCATCCAATACATTACTTATTTGTAACAACAGGCGCGTGGAAGGGAAAGCACAGACCTCCTGGGCGACGAAGTGGAGCAGGGTGCGACCGGGCAGGCGGGACTTGAGGCCCTTGAGCTTGAGCAGGGACTCGATCTGGAACCCGGCGGCGCCGCCCGCGCGGTTGCCCCAGTTGAGGAAGTTGCCTGCGGCCAGGCTCATCTTGAGCAGCACGGGCAGCGTCCTGTTGCCGCGCACCTCCTCGCACGCCGCGCGCAGCATGCCCACCTGCGCGCGCGTGGCCGCCTCCCGGCCGCCAAACTGGCGCTCGAACCGCGCCGCCTGCAGCCGCTGCTCCACCTGCGCACTCCACGCATCACTGACCCTTCAGCACTGATAGGGGTTTTTAAAAAGTCGAAACGGACCCTGCACTCAGTGGAGCTCCAGCCTCCATCCACAGCATAAATTGTTGAGAAGGCAAAAGCAATGGACTGCGACACCGGGAGAGTTGCAACATGGGCTTCTTCCATGCGTTGCGAACCACACCTAAACATTTGGTGCAGACATTTAGATGAAGAAGCGAGTGCAAGAATGCTGGGAAGGCAGCTGAATGGGCGAAGGCCCACCTGGGGAATGGACATCATGGCAAGCATGAACTGCTCGGCCTCGCCTAGCTGCGCAGTGTCCTTGGGCGCCGCTCGCAGCCGCTGCACGTCCTCCACAGTGGGCAGGCACTGCAGCAGTCCCGCGAGCTCATCGTCCGCCAGGCAGTCCTCGCTGTCAGTGCCGCACTGCAGCACCGCCTCCTTGATCTGCACAGCCACCGCCAATCATCACACTTCAGCACTTGCCTAGCAGTGACACTTAAAGTCACCGATGTGGGGGAACCAGGATTGCATAATGCATGTGAAAACCTGACGACTGAAGTAAGAATGGACACCTTATTCCTCTTCATTTGAGTGCGTTCAAGATCATTGTAAAGCATTGGGAAAATTCGTGCAGAGGACAAGAGAGAAGAAGGCAGGACCTGCGCAGGCGTCATCCTGAGCTTTGCCAGGAAGACACTGACGTTCTGGGCGCGCTGCATGGTCAGCAGCATCTTGTGCTTGGGCGCCTTGTCCGCGCGGCCGCCCTTGAGCGTGGCAGTCGCCTTGGCCGCGAACTCGTCCTCCAGCTTGTCGTAGTCGATGTCCGCCTCCACCGGCTCCAGCTCACCCCAAACTGTGTTGGCCACCTGCGCCCAAATATTTGGCACTTTTTACAACTGTGGAGAACGTGTCTTTGAGTGTGTCCATGCAATGGGCCTGACGAGTGACATCGCCAACTTAGACTATGCCGCTTCTATGTTGAAAGCCCAGTGCCATTGGCAAGGCAATCTATGAAGGACCGGAGCTATCCTATCTTTCTTGTAGCATATCTACATGAATCGAGACAGGACTGTTGCTGAAAACAGGATGCTTGCATATCATGTCATAGGGTGCCCTATTCAGAGGGCATCTAATGCTTCAGAGTCCAGAGGCATACATAATTTTTCCAAGGGAGCAGGAGGGTGGCGCACCTGCTGGGGGTCAAGCTTGTCCCAGAAGATCTTGTTGGTCGGGCGCGAAGGCGTCTTTCCGGGCAGCAGAACGGGCGCGGTCGCGGCGGCAGGAGCGGGGGGCAGTACCGGGGGCGCAGGCCCCACTGCAGTCCGCTTTGACCCCGGCGGTGGTGGCGGTGGCGGGGCTGGGGGGGCACCGCGGCCCCCACCGCCAGGCCCTTTGCCTGGCGGTGGTGGTGGCGGGGGCGGAGGGGCACCACGCCCCCCGCCGCCCGGCCGCTTGCCTGGCGGTGGTGGTGGCGGCGGAGGAGGTGCCCCCTTGGTCTGTTGAGCTGCGGCAGCTTTGGCGGGGGGCGGCGGCGGGGGCGGCGGCGGCGCTGCCTTTGCGCCTTTACTTGGAGGCGGCGGAGGTGGCCTGGGTGGGGGCGCCTTCGGTCCCGCAGCACCCACTGCCTTCGCTGCAAGCCCTGCTTATGCAGTGGAGTCATTACTTCTGCCACACATTTTCAACGAGCACTAGGACAAGCGGGGCATCCCGACAATATGCACACATCATGTGTTCCCTCAAGATTGAGAGAGCTCACGGTTTCCTTGTGCAGTAAACATTCTTCAATACCTAGAGGCCTTGGGGGAGGTGGTGGCGGCCGAGGAGGTGCTTTGGGCGCTGTAGGTTGAGCAGCCGGGCCCTTGGGTGCAGACCGCGTGTCCTGCTGCGCGCTCGACGACCCAGCAAGGCTCTGCCAGCGTGGGTTTGCGTAGCCAGCGTCCAGCACTGTGATCACCGCTGCATCCTGCATGTGGCAAAGCACCGGTGTTCAGTCTCATCTCTTTCGTCCACTCACCTATGCCTCGAGTTTGACATGACATTGATCTTCCTGCCTACCGGTATGTCCACCGGCACAACAACACTTTCACAACACTTTGATTAGAACAGCAGGCGGGCAGGGTGGCGGCTCACCGGCATTGGCTGCATGCTGCGAGGTTCCTGCGGCAGCTCTGCGGCGGGCGACTGCTGCGCAGCGTCCGCTGGCCGCCTGGCGTACGCGGCTGTGCTTGCAGCGGAGCCTGGCGGGTAATGAGCAGGTATGCTGGACACCTCCCTGGCCATGCTGCGCTCAGTGGCTGGCGTTGGCGCAACCACCCTCATGCGCACCACCTTGTGGGAGCCTGCACATGCACCATCGCAGCGCTGTGTGAAATTCAGTAGTTCTGAGAACTGGGCGTAAGCAGAAATCAGCCCTAAGCTCGTTGAAAGCCATGACGGACTGACTAGGTAATTGACCGGCTCATGAGGCCAACCATGAAGGTGTCTATCAAAGAATTGGAGCGATCTCTTCATAACCAGCAGGAGGGCTCGCAGCCTGAGCATTGAGGTGGTTGGAAAGGCATTCTGACACCTCTGGCCGCTTGAGTGGACATGAGCCCAGTGATCTGCGGCAAGCTGATAGCCAGCCAGAGGTGCTCACCTGAGCCTGGGGACTGCAGGAGGCCCACGAGGGTGATGCGCAGGTAGCGCTGGATCTGGGTGTGTGCGCCGAGCTTGATGACGTGCTGCAGGCGTGAGTCCCTGTGGCTTCGCAGGCCCATGCTGCCCAGTGGCTCCCACGTCATTTGCGGAGCGCTGGCGTGCGCAAAGCTGATCGCCTTGGCTGTGCACTCCAGGCTCGCAAATGTCACCTATAAAAATATTCCAGCAAATGGTGTCAGACTGCAGACTGTATACAATTGCCTTCATGATATATCTTCTTGGCCGGAGTTGCAATGAGGAGGTCAAGAGTTGTGCAATCCAGGAACACACCTTGACTTGCACATCCGTGTGGGGGCGGCGCTTCAGTTCCAGTGTGCAGTAGCTCTCCATTTGTTCCCTGTGGCACCTGTGCATGACTATCCCCCTGTTGCATAAACTGATATTGGAAAGCGTCCCCTCCCTTGAGGTGCATTGAGACGCCTGAAAGAGCAGCACATACACTGATGCAGCTTACTGAACAATCGGAGCACTGTGGGTGCACCTTGTGGTCCAGCAAGGTTGTTGGTCGGCATGGGATCTGTTTGACGCAACCACAGTCTCACAGCCGACTCCGCTTGCTGCGACAACGCCACGGACAATGGAGGCCAAGACTAGGCCATTGCCATTCACATCCCTGCTCGAGGCTGCCTCAGACCTCGCCACTGATCCTCCCTCCTGTGAAGCCATAAATGTCTCTGTGCATGGCTTGCGTTCTTGGCAGCAGGTTGCATGATTGGATCTTTACGGCAACGCCAATTATGTGTTATGTGAGCGCACCGACATGTCTGCCTTCATACTCATAGCAACTGGATTGTGTCCTTTCAGTGGATGCAGTCGCTTGTCTGGAGTGTTAGCCATGTAGCCGGCTTGCAATGATGCATATCTCGATTTCCTAAGTCCTGCCACCAGTATCTCATCGTTCATCACCCCGTCTACCGCAGCCACGCTGGAGTCCCACCTGGAGACAAGTGCAGACGGTGAAAAGGTGGTGAAAAGGTTGGTTCTCAAGCAGGCTGACCTTTGTTGAATATTCTTTCCGATTTAGCTTTGTATAATCAACATTTGGGATAACCTATGCAGTGGACCTGGAAGCCAAGAAAAGTGAGTACCTGGGCTTTGTGGCCCCAGGTCCTTCTGCCAGCATACTGGATCTTCAAACGGGATTGCTTGCTTGAGACAAGTCGCTGTATGTCTGATGATGATATCAGTCTTACTGACAGGTGCGGGTGTTCTATGCGAGCAGATAGTGCAAAACAGGATGTACTGAGGATGTACGAGACTGTGTCAGCAAATTATTGGAAACTTTACAGCTGAGTAAGCTGCAGGCATATACATATACCAAAAAACTTTGGACAAAATCAACATGGTGTCATTGTCAAATTTTTGCTCCAACAGAAAGATTGTCAGCTCAGCTGTCAAGAGCGGTTTCAACAGTCACGCATGTGTCGGGGCAACGGCGGCGTTCCTTTCGAACTTTATGGCATACAGGCTGTAGGCTACAGCTGCTCCTTGTCGAGATGGGTAGCAAAGATCGTTGGATCGTTTGATTGCCAAATTATTGCTCAGCTCTACTCAGAGAGCCACTTCATTCCATATATGCACTCCGTGTCTTAGAATGCGGGCATTTGCATGGATAGCGTCCTCATTGGCAAGTTTGAGCAGTAAGAGTTGAATCTTAGGCATGCGTCGATTTCTAATCCAGAAAATGGAAGGATTGGAATATGGGAGTGAGACAGGTACGTTGACTCTCCCTAAGTCATTTAGTGGGCCTTGGGATGCTATTGAGGGAGGTGCGTCGCGTATCGAATGCTGTGCTGACCGATCTTGTTCTGCAGGGAACGAGAAAGGGCGCAATAGGGCATCAGGCGCCCTGGAAGACAGTGTGCAGGTCCGTGTGCCCTTCTGTCCTTTGCTTTTAGTGAGCAGCAGAGCTGTTTGCCTTCATATAAATGCCCCAAAAGCATCAAGTGTCGATTGGGAGCATGGAGCATCACATTCTCTTTGCAAACTGGCCAGGTCAACGGGGAGCCCTTCGATGCTGGCCAGTATTCCTTCTTTGGTGATCTGGGTGGAGACGATGGTCTTGGAGACGAGCTTGGAGGCCTGGAGGTACCGACACTCTCCTTTCTTATTGAAAACTTTATACCATGCTTGCGATTTGCAGAAACTTTGCTTCCATGAGACTGCAGGCATTTCTGTTCCCTTCACATTTTCAGCAGCAGTCAACAGCACGTTCCAGGAATGCAGGAGAACACTTGTCCGCAACTTTGTGCTGGCTCGATGATAATTGTCATGTGATATATATAGGATGGCATAGAGGCGCCTCCAGAAGAGGAGGTACTTGAGGATCCTGACCTAAGGCTTATCGATGGCGGCAATGAGGAGATTGAGGACCTGTCCTACGCAACCATGTTTGCAAACGCCCTTGATTTGGAGGCAGACACCCCCCAGCAGCCTGAGCGCATGCGCATGGATGACCCTGTCATTCAGCGACCCACTCCGAGCCAGGTAATCACGCATGCTCCCACAGGATGCTTCATGCAATGAGCACGAAGGTTGGATTGGATTCAGTGACAGAAAATTCCTACTCCAGTGTAGCTGAACGTGAAAGTAACGTGGCAACCGCAGGCGTCAAGTATTGGCGGCAGGGCCGAGAGTCTACGCAACAATTTTGGACAGCAGATCTTGACTGGTCCTGGTCTGGGAGACCTGTCCAGCTCCCTGCCCAATACCTCGGCATGGGGCGGCTTTGGAGATGCGTCCAGCAATGCAGGCGCCCAAGGCGTCTTGACTGCTTATGACTCACCGGGCTTGCCTGGCCTGAATGTCCCTCCTCTGAACCAGGTATTGTTTCCATAATGCATCTGGTTTTTGAAAGAAGTGGCGCTCATAGGGTCGTATCAGCATGGTGACCTTCATGCTGCTGTTGCAGGCCCCTTCACCTTATGACCAGCAGGGTCCTGGTCTACCACACTTCTCTGCCCAACCTCAGCAACCGAATTTGTATGCACAGCAGGCTCCGTCCTTGCCTCCACCGCCTGGGTTTCAGCATCAGCCAGCCGGCCCTATGAAAATAGCGGTGAGCACCAACTAATTCCAGACATATGCAAGAAAGGAGCAGTTAGTCTGACAGATTTCTGTCAGATTTTGAAGCAAGCGCTCAATCACTCATGCTCGCATGGATTGTTGCAGCGTCCCATGACAGTGGATGAGCTCGAGGCGCAGCTGATTGGCCAGCAACAGCGCAACCAATTACAGCAGCAGCAAGGCCTCCATGGTACTCCGCCGCAGCCTGGTCTACTTGGCTTCCCTCCCCACGCAGCGCTGCCGCGCCCTCAACCACCCGCGCCCCACATGCAGACAGCTCCAGGCGGGCCAGAGCAGCTGGGCTACCAGGGGCTGCCCCCCTCAGCCCTGGGCAACAGCCTGCCTGCACCTCCAGGCCACGATAGGAATTTTGCAGGTGCGCACAGACAAACCTCCCTCAGAACCACTCTGAGACTTGCAAGAGGGGCTCGTACGATATGTTTCATGAAACTTCACGTCGGCGATGCGCTCTAGCCGCAATTTAAAAAATACGTTTTTATTTTTCAATTTTCAAAATCTTCTGTCAGGTGGGCCGCCTCTGATGGGCAACCCGGGAGTGCCCGGCCCGCGCCCGCCGCCGTACGGGCCGCCACCGCCAATGCAGTTTCCTGGGCCAAGGCCGCCGCCACCACACATGCATCCCCAGCTCATGCAGCCCGGCATGCAGGACCACGGCGGCCCTCCACCCGGCGTGTACGGCAGCCCAGGTGACCTGCCCTTCATTATCTGCAATCATTGCACATTCAAGGGGCGTCGGCATCAAGGCAACTTATGTTGTGACGGAGGTATTTGTCCCTTTGGCAGCTGACAAATTTCGCACTGACATGCCCCTTTACGCAGGAATGATGGGACCGCCAAGGGGATTAAATTATGGACCAAGTCATCCGCCAGGTGCTTCTGCGCTCCTTGGCTCACCTGGAAACATGCAGAACCTAAGCCGATGAACTTCACCGTCTCTACTCAACGCACGGGATGCAGCTCACATGCATCCAATATATACATTCTAAATGAGAACTGGGCTTGATGCAGAGCGGCCGCCGTTTGGGCGCGGCAGCCCAGGCGACATGGGTGCTTGGGGTCGCGGAGGACCGCACGACATGCATGGCCGAGGCCCAGGAGGCCCCCACCAGGGACACCACCAGGTCTCTTCTCCCGCTCTTCTCATACCTTGCTTTTGTCAAGCTGTCAGTGCAGCCCGTCAGTGCAGTCCGTCGGGGCTTGCATTGGACTGTTTACGATGCCCTGCCATGGTTGCCTGACCCTTGAATGTAGCAGATTGAGGATGACTACAGCACATCAAGAAATGCTTTGTATGTGAACATCGCAGGGGTCTTACCCGCCGCCAGGGCCAGGGTTCATGCCGCCGCGGCCCAGCAGGGAGGCGCAGTATGGCAATGGCATGCTGGGGAGACGGCGCGCTTTCGGCTCCAGGCACATGAGCACGGATGAGATTGAGCAGATCCTGCGCATCCAGTGGAAGTCCCTGCACTCCGGCGCGCCCTACCATGAAGACTACTACTACCAGGTCATCCCCCTGTCTTGCTCACTTCCTTTGTTTCTGCTGTGTCCACAAGCGTGCAACGCTCAAGGCCATCTTGTTTGGATTTTCACTGAGGCCATGATCGGATTGTTCCTATCACCATCTCCATTTGGTCGGAGCTTTGCTTGTGGGAGTATCAAGAGATTCAATGAAGAAGCAAGAAGCAGTAGCTGGCAACTGAGCGGTGGCTGTTGGCTGATTGATGTGAGGTTATCGGAGCTGCTGGAGTAACAAATGTGACTAGTTGGCAGCACTCGGCTGATGGGTGAGGGTGTTACTGTTTAGGCGTACGTGCACAAGCACCGGGCGGGCCGCAACACGCGCTGGTTTGCGCCGGAGGGGCTGCGCGAGCTGGGGCCCAGCGAGAAGGTGGGCACAGAGCCGACAGCGTATGTGAAGCTGGAGGGCCTGGGCAAGATACCCTTCTCCAACATCCGCCGCCCCCGGCCCCTCATGGAACTCGAGGCCAAGCAGCCCGCCTCCGACGAGGTGTGTCTCTCATGCTCCCTCCTGTAGACCTGCCAATGCCTATTCTAATCCAGAGGAGACTGCACATATGAAACCAGTGTGAGCATCAAAGCAGGGAGGAGCGCATCGACAGTTTGAACATCTCTCGGCCCAGGAGCACCAATGATCACATTGCATACACGCTCGCAGTCAAGTGTGGCTGGATAAGAGTTTGGGCACCTTCTGTAAACCACAGACTGCCTTGCAAGCCTGTCATGATCTGCCAGGATCTCTCCGCATGCCTGGCAAGATGCACGGCGCTTGTGACGAAGTCCATGGGCTGATGCGCATAGCGTTGGGCTGTCAGGATGGGGAGGCGGAGGGGTCGGAGCCGGTGGCGGTGCGGCGGCGGCTGGAGGACGAGCCGCTGCTGGCGGCGCGCATCGTGGTGGAGGACTGCCTCAGCCTGCTGCTGGACGTGGACGACATCGACCGCATGTGGGCCGCCTCCGGTGCCCAGCGCGACAACAAGGCCGCCCTCTGCCAGCGCCGCTCCCTGCTCCTCCAGGTGCCCACTCTTCCCCTGTTGCATTCTTTGTAACACTTAAGACAGCCATGCTTGGACCGTTGTGAGCTACTAGGCATGCTGTGTGATGAAGAGTCACCTGGGATGCTCAGAAGAATCCACGTTCAAGTGTGGACAGATGTGGTCTATAAAGCAATGCAGCCCAATTTCTGCTCCATCCACAGTATCTATTAAGAGCATGCATTGACGTACGCGGCCGAGTGGCGTGCAGGCGGTGACCAGGAATCTGCGTATCCCGGACACGCCCAAGCTGCCCGCAGAGGGCGCAGTCGACGGGGTGTTCCTGCGCTTGATGGCGCTGCCCAAGGGCCGCGGCATGCTCACCCGCGCGCTGCGCCTGCTCTATGCGCCCCTGTCCCTCTCCGAGACCGTCCCAGGTGTGGGCATGCCCCTTATGCATGGGGCATAGGCCCACATAATGTATTGGGGCTTTCTGTTATCCCCACATTACATATAATGCCAGTGATGTGTTGCAGATTTGTTAGCATGCTCGTCCAACCTTTGTTTAGATGGGCATGAAGGTAACAGCAAATTTCATGTGTGCCCAGGTGCGCCTGTGGCGGATCCGTCCAGCCTGCAGATTGCATGGGCGCTGCTGCGCAACGTGCGCACGCTGTTTGGGCGCACCTCCAACGTGGGCCAGAAGGGCGCGCCTCGGCCCGGGGCCGTCAACGAGGAGATCGCGGCGCAGGCCGCCGATCGCGACATCGAAGTCACATCCAACATGGCCGTCTCTGCTGCCGAGGTAATCCATCTCTCCTTGCCTAAATAACTTTGGATGGAGGTCAGAGGAGTAGTTTCCATTTGCCTGTGCTCAGGGTAATTTTCTCTAGAATTGTGTGCTCTTGGCGACTGTTGAATTTGGTAGTACCATTACATCAGGCTCAAGGCGTGGAAGCCCAACAGGAAGAGCTGCCATTGGCGCGGCGTTCTCTGTCATCGACAGTCTGGTGCTGCTCATATTGTGCCACATAAAGAGTATTTTTGTGCTGTTGTGTGTGCAGCTGCTGAAGCGGCTGGACAGTGGCACGGCGGTGAATGGGTGCATGGCGGCGCTGGTGGCGGGGGACCTGCTGGTGGCACCGGGCGCAGGGGCCTCGCGCGCCGATTGCCTGCTGCCGCTGTACGTGCCCGGAGAGCGCTCGCTCGAGCGCCACGCCTGGCTGGCCGACCTCCTCATCGCCATCCTGCAGCGCGCCCAGGTGTATATTTCTTTGCCCCTTAATGCGTGTCAACAGACCCCAATCTTGTATGAAGTCAAGGAGTAATAGAAAGTGGCGCCCGCAGCGGCCGCGAGGCCAATCAATTCTGATGGGTTTGTTGCTGATCACCTTTTTTTTCATTCCCCATCTCTCAGGGGCGTACATAACATATATTCCACCAAGCCAAGTGATCACACCCTGAATCAACTGTAGTTGATTGGCCAACAACATTAGTCACACAAGAAGCTGTGTTTAGTAAATCCCCTGAGGAGTCACTTAGACGGTCAGCAAGAAAGTCATTTAGAAGGTCATGAAGGGAACAGATGGGATCCAAGATTGTTGTCGCTTATGGCAGGCATTTTCCTCATGAGAAATGAGGCTGCGACTGCTGGGATATGTGGCACGAAGTACACGGTGTTCAAAAGGTCCAGCTGGTTGACAAGTCCTAGTTTCTGGTGTCAGGGTGTGAAAAGGTTGGTTGGACACAGCTGCGACATTTAAAAAGGACTGCCCTGTTGCAGGAGCTGGGCTTGGCTGAGTACGCATCAGAGAGGCGCGCCGTCCCGGACAACGCTGCAGTGGTGGACGGGAAGGCGTGGCGCAGCCACTTTGGGGTGTTTTTCAAGCTGGTCCTGGAGCATGTCTCCACCCTTGTGGAGGTGAGTGCGCTGTCAGTGCTCAGCATTTTGTGTAGCACCAGCATGTTGGTGTCCTGCATAGAGCATATTTATCAGCATGATGCCCGGTGATCAGAAAGTTTTCTTAAGCAAGCTGGTGTTGCAGGTCTTCACCATGGCGACTGCTTCCGGCGCAACAGAGGCAGCCGAGTATGCCAGGGCGATTGTTCCTGTGAACCTGGTCAGGAACCTCTTGCCTCACGCCACTGACTTCCAGCGTGAGCAGCTGCGAGCCAAGCTTGGCATGATCTCCTAAAGTCATATCAGGGCGATGCGTATTCTGGGAGGCTCTGTATTGCAAGTGATGCCTTCTTGTGCTGCGGGCCAAAATCCCTGTGCATCTTTTCTGGTGATCGCTGCACATCAGAGATAATGACGAATATGTCATTAAGAAACGTTATGTGTGCAAAAGATCAATTGACTATATGTGATCTGACTGGTACCATGTTGGTGGCTTATCGGTCTCCTAAGGAGCTTCGCTACCAATATTTGCTTATCATCTCCTATTGAACTAGTCAATTCCAGGCAGTGACTTTCCTGACATGCTGTTATGCCGCATGCTGACCAAGATCAATGTCAGACGCCATGCTTACGAGTAGGGCTGGACAGCAATACGCTTCTTGTGGGTTTGCAACTGCCAGTGGGGCTTTCAAGTGGTAATTTGCTGACAATTTTACTTGACAAGGGTCGGCCATTTGAAGTGTGCAAAGTCTCCGCCTTTTGAAAAGGAGCAATGCACAATGGGTCCTTCTGCTCACAGTGCTAGCCGATGACATGTCAGTTTGGTGGTGACTTCCAATTATGAAGACCTCCATAAGAGAGATTGTGGAACTTCTGCAGGTCACTTATAGTGACTTTAACGTGGATGTTATTATGTGGGCGCCTGCAATAGCTGTCTTGCAGCCAGTCTCCTTGAACAGAGCTTGATTAGGCAGCCATGGCCAGAGGCCGAATCGTCTGAGCTCAAGCCATGTAATTCCTATTGTTCTTACTGATAATATATCTATAAATGTATTAGATCATGCCATGCAGATCAAGGCAGTAATGATAAGGCAAACTAGCTAGCTGACCTGATCAGATCATCACACACCACTGAATCAGCGTGTGCAAGCAAATCAAAGCAGGAGATAATGCAAACATGTACATGAAGTCCGTGCGGATTGCGCATGCCAGTCCCTCAGCATGGACCTTCAACCAAATAGGGAATAGTCTTTTATCTTGAATGTTGCAAGGACCCTTCTCAGCAGAGACGGAGCCATCAGATGCTCACTCCTCTCACCAGGGCCAATGTCCTTTGCAGCTGCGCTGCTTGCGCTGACAGAGATTGGGGTATTGAGGATAATAAGCACATCCGATGAGACCTGCTTGAGGCGGATGATGGCCATGATCACCTGAAGGGACACAAATGCTGTATAGGTATTTAGAAGAAGACAAGTTGGTAATTGTTGTTGGGTAGCCATCTGGTGAGAGCCAGAATCGAGGCTTGCCTGCACCCTGTTGGCTGCGTCTGTGCCTTGCCTCCCTTTGGAAACCATTTGCTGCCCTACTATGACTACCTTATAGGCCTCACCTGGCACTCCAGGTATGTCTTGTGGATCTGCACCGAGCCAAGAATTCGAACTTCAGTGCCTATGATTTGTTCATCCGGTTTTGTGAATCCCAGAGCACTGCCTGAGCACAAGAGTGGGAACAACCACAAACCACAGAGGTGCTTACTTAGGACAGTTTCAGATTCTATCTGCTGCATGCTTGCCCCAGAGACATTTGCAAGGTCATTGAAGCAGTGCTGGCAGCTGTCAGAGTCAGGGACATCAACTTGCTCCTGCACAGCTTTACCTCCTTTAGGAATCTGCATCAAATTTTTTTGTCGAGCCAGGAAGGTGAGAAGAAGATATTGCTTACCACCACTTCCACTACAATGGACTGATCAACGCTGGCATCAGAGTACACCTGCATTTTCACCACTGACATTGAGCCCACGATGAAGTCCTCATCGGCCATTCAAAAGTAACATGAATTCTGTTGAATCTCGTTACCTCTTGATTGTCCGGAACAGGTCTGATGTTCGAGACGTCCTCAAAACGAGAAGGAACTGCGATCTCCGCAGCTCCTCCAAACAGTTGCACTTGCTGCAATGGCTCTGCAGACTGATCCATGCACTTCGTGGATAACTTTCCAAGTTGGAACTTGAAATTGACTGGTACTTAGATAATGAACTGCTTCTCTCGATTTTGAGGAGAAGAAAATGGCAGGTTTGGAAGCTGGTCAGATTTTCTTGGAGGCTGCATGCACCTGTGCATGCCGCTTGCGCATGCACATGGAATTACTGATCGTATGGAAATTCGATCTTTGTCTTGGAAGACAGCTTCCACACCAGATGCAGCACAATCTGCGAATGGAACTTCAGATTGGGCGTGCTCCATTTCTGACGCGTGTGCACTCATACTCTCCAGCTGCAGCAGTGTTTCTAAGGATACAAACATCAAGTAGGGCTAGAACTGATCCTGCAAAAAAACGATCGCTTTTCGCCAGGGGATCCCCTGATAAAAGCAATATTGCTTTCGAAGGTGCACGCTGTCGAAGCCAAGATACGTGTTTAAGAGGTCCTGCAGACCCCATGCAACTGCAGGACGGAGGTCTTTCACAGCAAAAGCTGGATCAGTTTCAACGCGATGGTGCTCATTGAAAACCCTTATGCAATCTCAAATTTACTCGTTGCCGTGTCAATAAGCTGCAGAGTTGATTTTCAGATACCTTGAAGGCAGTCTAACTGACTCAACTTGCCACAGGCTTTCTGGTACTTGAGGGCTTTGCAAGCCCAGACGAGGTAGCAGATCTGAGACAGCGTGCTGGAGAGCTAGTGGAGGGTTTTGAACCTGCTACACGGTCTGTGTTCTCTACAAAGTCTCAGGTGAGCAGCACCCAACAGGCTTTCTTATGTTTCATAGTACAAACCTCCCTGGGATATTTGCATGTCTTCTTCTCGCTACATCATGCCAGAGTGACTTGCACCAAGCAGGCGAGCACCACTGACGATTACTTCTTGGAGAGCGCCAACAACATCAGCTTCTTCTTTGAGGAGAATGCATTCCAAGAAGATGGCAAGCTGCGACAAGACAAGGCACTTTCAATCAACAAGATAGGCCACGGTACGCATAAGCCTGAACATCTGTCACAATCCCTTCACATGGCCAAAGCAGCAAGTAAAGCGCATGTATGGAATCTGGAGTCCCATTGTTGACGAGAAGCCCTCTTTTTGTGCACGCAGCTCTCCATGATGCAGATCCCGCATTCAGAAGCTTTTCGAGGTCCCAGAAGGTTGCGCAGCTGATCAGCTCCCTGGGTTTCAAGAGGCCACTGCCGGTGCAGTCCATGTACATCTTCAAGGTGACAATTTTCCCCAAAACTGAGAAGCATGTCACAGAATTCAATCTCTATTCCCTCATAGACTGCCTTGATTGCCCAGAGTAGACACAGCAGTGCGGTGCAGTGAAAGCAACGGATATGGCTGTGTGCAGCAACCGAAGATTGGAGGGGAGGTGCGGCCACACCAGGATTCCACCTTCCTGTACACGGACCCGCCATCTGTGGTGGGGCTGTGGTGGGCGCTGGAGGATGCCACGCGCACAAACGGCTGCCTGTGGGCCCACCCGGGCTCACACGCCAGCGGAGTCGCTCGGCGCTTCTTAAAAACGTGTGAATCGTGACGAAACTGGCATGCTTCTGTATCCGTCAAGGGGAGATTCGTGCTGCACTGGTCTTACAGTGTGTGATCTACGGTAAAGGAACATGTTTTACAAGTTGCAGACATCTGAACACATAACAGATGCAACACCATCTGAAACAAGGTTACTTGATGCAATGCATTGACTCTGATCTGAGCCTTTATATGTCTGCAGACCGGACAACAAGGTGACATTCGACAAGGATGTGGACTACCTGCAGCTGTTCAACAAAGAGGAGTTTGTGCCTCTGGAGGTGCCGAGCGGATCTCTTGTGCTGTTGCACGGTGCCAATGTGCACTTCAGCTATGAGAATCAGTCAGGCAAGAGCCGGCATGCGTACAGCATGCATGTTATTGAGGGAGCGTCCAGCCACAACTACTCACCAGATAACTGGTAAGGAAGCCCAGCTGCTCAAGATGTTTCATCTCTGGCCCTGCTTGTATCTGCAGGTGTTACACTAATTTGAGGCTGATGGTCTGTTTAAAGGTCACCTGTTCATATTTATCATGTCTGCTGCCGCCCTGATTTAAGAAGGTGTCGACCAAAGCTGATGTGTTTGCAGGCTGCAGCGCAAGCAGGATTTCCTATTCGAGCCTCTTGTTCAGGCTTCAGCCTAGAATCATTTTTTGCAAGAGTAGATAATGGCGTGGTTGAAATTAATCTGTACAACAGACGGTTGGACTGCATGAACATTGCAGGCAAAGTTGCTTTTTGGGGGCCGTGTGGTCTCCCCTTATGCATGACTGAGGTTGCTCAAGGGATACTGTAGAGCTGCGATTCCCATTGGACCTATGACTTCTGTAGGATGGCAACTTTAATACTGGGGAAGCACTCAGGGCGTACATGATTACAGCTGCACAAGGTGCCGATCTGAACGGCATTGGGTGTTCGGAAAGCAATGGTGATGAGAAGCCATTAAGTATGATCGCACTGTTGGCAACCATGGCCATAAACCGTATGATTGCGCAACACGTGTTACTATATATATTTAAATGCGCACAGCGGTCCAGGCAGCTAATGATAAGTTAGATACTCATGATCACTGCTTTGAATGCTGCTGGAGTTTGTTGTATCCTGCTTGAAAATTCAATGGTCAATATTGGACAAAAGACTCTTCCAAGATGGCTGCACCACATCGTTGTTCATGATGGCTTAGTTTGCAACTGCTGCCCATGGCGACAAATTGAGGCCGCTGCGGTAACCAGATCCTGGCTGTGCACATGCATGATCACCTCCCCAACAGCAGCGCAGGCGGGAGACTGCCACCGGAATTGGTGGCTCAAACATTGTACATGTGCTTTCAGTATATATGCATCCTGAAGAGATTAGATCAGCTTTGGCAAAACAAAATGCAAAAATGAAACACCAGGCGGGGTTTTTGAACCCCCGATTGGTGCTTTTTGGGATTAGAGATCACTGGGCAGGCACATATTGGAGATCACTTGCAATGTTGCATGCACAGCTCCTGCAGGAGCTGCCCTTTCGTATTTATGTAGCGCATGGTCACTGCTGAATGCAGCTCACGTCGCGGGGCATGTCTATATATTGAGCCATAATGCACATAAATAAATACTTCTCTTGCTGAATGATTGCAGCTACTCATTTTGAAGCTCCACATCTCCAAGAGCTGGGCAGTCATGTGCCCCCTGCACGTGCCCACAGCACGTTCTAATTATAGACCAAGCTCCATCCCGTGAGGTGCCATCGCCGGACACACGCTCGTGGAAGGTACAAAAAATGGTTGGGTAACACGAAGGGTTCGATAGCCTACCGACAGGACTCTCTCTGTGGATCAAAGCTGCGGCTGCAAATGACAGCAGCTAACGAACCAGTTTCGGTGGCCATCATAGGAGGCGGAGTCTGCGGCGTGCTCGCTGCCCAACGCTGTGTCAAGGAGAACCTTTCGTATGTCATTTATGAGCGTTGTACCGACTTCGGTGGAAACTGGTTCGTGCGTGCGAATTCCTACAGCCACTTACAGGTGCAGCCCTTGTAGAAACCTTGGAGCGGAAGCCGCGATCTTGCCGAAACTATAGTTGCCACAGGACGATTAGGGATGTCTTGATTTCCAGAATTACACTGGCGATCCTTATTACAGCGCTGATTTGCTTGACCTTCGATTCTTCAGAACCTCAGCAAAGAGGTCCTTGGTGTGAGCAGGCCTATGCAGCATTGTATCAATGGCATCCAATATACTCATTGGACAAAGGGCCATTCACCAAGGTGCCTGGCACAAAAGTGCTCGAGACCCTGCGTAAATTTGCCAAAGATCATGGACTTGAGCAGCACACTCACTTCCATACTGAGGTCACGACAATCAAGCGAGTAAACAAGGAGAGGTGCGCCTGCTCTTCTAAGCTGTTTTCTTCAGCTGGGGCAGCGGCGACCATTTTAGCTGAATTCAAATGGCTGATCATTCTAAAAGCACCCATGTACTGGTGTTTGTGCAGCTTCTTAGTGTCTTTCACGGATTTGAAGACAGGAAAAGCCAGCACAATTACAGCAGCTTCCATCTTTGTCGCCTCTGGAATCCTAGGTACTTGCTTGACCGCCTCACGGCAAACTACATTTGTCACATGGCACTTCGGTGCAGTTTCATTTGTCCTAACAGATCTGCCATGCATCATGGATGGTCGACATCTGCTAAGGAGTGGAATATCTCCCAGGTCAACAGCAATCTCCTGAGGATCGCCTTGTCCCAAGCCTTAGGACATTTTCAGGCAAGATTACATACGCTGGCCGCCATCAAGGAGTGGAGTGCATACTGGCTCAGCCATCTGAAGCAACCAACAAAGTGTGTGGAGCTGTTATACTGAGAGCTTGGCTGAGAAGACAATGCGAAGGAAATGTGTTCAATGTGCATTATGTGGGGCCATCCTCAGGCCAATCCGAGTTGCTCTCCGTGCTGAAAATGTTGATGAGCACGAGGACAGGGCGACAGTAAGTTGAAGTGCCATTGCAGGATGTTGTCATTCTGGGCACGGGTGCCTTTGCTTTGGAGGCCATGGAGGCTGCGCACAGGGCTGGTGCAAAATCCATCACACTGCTGACGCGGCCACGCGACAGGTGTCCTTCTATTCAAGAGTTTGCTGGACTCAGAAATTTTATTTATGGGACAGCTTGAAGTCATTGAGAGGTTAGCTGCGTCCAGAGGAACGTAGAGTGAATAGCTTGGTTCAATGCAGGTGGATAATGCCCTATTCACAGCAGTTTAAGTTTGTTTTCCTGGCCACCAATCCCTTCATGCCTCGCTGGCTGGCCTGCTGGCAGATCAACAGCTGGATGAAAAGCCTGTACAGAAAGTGCGGCATATCATTCTTGGGCCCTGCTGAGGGCTCGGACTTCAATTTCACTGGGCAGTGCAATGACGCCTTCTTTCAGTTAGCCTTGCAGGTAAAGTATTACAAACCTCGTTTCTATCATGGTTCTCCTTAGCAGTGATCCTCGTGCTCCAGCGCTGGATTGAAGGCGGAGCTGGCTGGTTCCGTGAATATGCATGTGATCAGGGAGTGCCACTTTCCTTACAGGGAAAAGTGGCGTACAAGGTGGACAAGATCAAAGCAGCAAATGACAGGAAGTTGACCTTGGAAAGCGGGGCTGTGCTGCCAGCAGATGTCATCGTCAATGCACGTGAGAAACCTTTCCTCTGCTCTTGCTGCCTGTTTAGATGTGCACAGAGCACACGCTATTGCTCACAAAGATATCCAAATATTAGAAATCCCCAAGATAATATAACAAGTCAATCATGTGTTCATGGAGCAGAGGGCTGTGAGGTGATGTGGCAGGCGCCATACTTGAAGGAGCTGGGCCTTGGTAGGTTGCCCACCTTGGTCACTGAAATCAAAGAAGCATTCTTGCCCTGTCACAGCACGGTGCTGAGGCTCCATGGGCACCTGCAGTCGAGCCAATAAGATGTGTTGTTGGGATTCTGCATGCAGATTTCAAGAAGGATCTGCACAACTTTGCCTTCCTCGGCAAAACTGCGCGCATTGGCACTGCCAGTGATTGGGTGTGGTATAACGTGCCACACGGGCCCCAGAAGCAGATCGAGAGCTTCTTCCAGGGGCAGCGGTGCATCCAGAATGGCAAGGAACAGGTGGGAGTTGTATACAAAAGATGAAACTCCATCCCAAAACTTGAATGTCGTCAGAATAGGGACACTTGCACATGACAACTATATTTGAAACATCCTGCAACAGGAGTTTGAGGCTGCTCTGCAACCTACACCATTCAGTGGATGCAAGGGAGAGAGTCTTGTGGCGTCCAACCCATCTGGTCTGCAGGCATGTCATAAGAACTGGCTCTTGAAAATTTATCTGTGCATCCAGTACTTGTGTCAGTAGGAAAGGGTACTCCCCTCATGCACAGAAACTGCAAGACAACAATGCATCTCTTGAAAGCGGCACTTGACCTCTTGCAATCAATTTTTGCAGGCTCGTGCTGAGAGCTTCAGGAGGTCAGTAACTGCAGGCCGCTCGCCATTGGGCAAGCTGGCCGCAATTGTGACATATGAGATCCAGGAGATTGGGACATGGCTGCTGTGCGGCCTGATGTATGGCATTGAAGCAGTCAGGCTAGGTAACTGGTTGAGCCACCCGCAGTCAGTTACAACAATTGTAGTGAGCCAGAAAGGCCAGCAGTAAAGTGGGGCATGAGCAAAGCAGACAGTATCCATAGCTGCCCACTTAAAATCAGAAGACCACTCCACGGACAGGCCTTTCAAGGCATTCTAGAAGGCATTCAAGGCAAATTTGATCTCAGTCAATAACAACATGCAGTGTTGTATGCCATGCAAAGCATCAAAGATAATCATTTGTGCTCCGAGAGCATTCTAACAATGCCTGCAACTGCTTCAGAAACTCACCAAGATCTATATGGCTGTGTGTGGATGTGTGAAGCGATCAGGATGTAAGACAGATCTGCACCAAGTGTCAAGAAGAATGTCAAATCTAGAGAAAGAGGTGGCATGCATGCCAGCACGTGGATGAGTCATACCATTGTTCCAGCCCTCGTAAGAAAACCAACGGGAAGTTCACTTTCCCACACAACTAATTCTTGTCTGGAAAGTTTTGATGCGCAACGCGACAAGCTGCTGTCGTCACAGGTCAGGTATAGCCAATATTCTACAGACGGAAGCCGTGAGATCTGGGGATTACTTCTCCTTCTGGACACCAATTTCGATGAGAAGCTAGCTAGCGGAAGTCTCAAACTTTGATTACTTTGCATATTTTGGCCCCTACAGGCTTGCAGGCATTGCGAGCCTCCTCTCAGGCGCAAATGGGGCCCCATCTCCATGTGCGCCAGAAATACTCACCACCTGCGTGGGCCCCTGCATGGCTGAAGGTTCGTCATCTGCAAAATTTACCAGTTCTAGAAAGGATGCAAACCTGGTGATCCTTTCGTGAAGAATGAAACCATTTACATTGTCCAGAAGTGTCCCAGCACAAGGAAGCTGTTCCATGCATGATGAGCACCATGATCTGCAGGCCCCTGAGGAGCGATTTATGATGGCGCTCCTGCCAACACCCGTCCATGAATGGCACCCCCCTGATGTGCCTGAAGGAGTGCAGATCTGGATCAAGAGGGATGATCTCAGCGGCTCACAGTTGAGCGGCAACAAGGTAGCGTCCATGTAACTGAAGCAGCGCTTTACGAGATGCAAAAGACTGGCTAGTACACTATGTCAAGTTTTTAACTGAGGTTTCCGAGCAGGTCAGAAAGTTGGAGTTTCTGGTGGCCGACGCATTGGAGCAGAAGGCTGACACGCTTGTAACTATTGGTGGCATCCAGTCCAACCACTGCCGGGCCACGGCAGTCGCAGCAAGGTGCCATTACTGGAGAACAACCCCTTAAAGCCACCAGCCCGCTCTATGCAACCTTGTATGCCACCCGCATGTCGTGCATGGAAGCTTCCCTCGTCTTGAGCCTTCACAGGACATGTCTCAGTCCCTGTATTTGTGCTCAGGTATGCAGGGCTCGACTGCCATCTCGTCCTGCGCAACAGCCGGCATGCGGCCGAGCAGGACCCGGGGCTGGTCGGGAACTTACTGGTAGATCGCATGGTTGGCGCCCATATCCACCAGGTACCTTTATCCTTCATTAGCATCCCCAATGGCATTATTTCTTAAGATATGTTGTGGTTCCTGGCTTTATTAACGGTAAAAATGTTTGCAATGCATTACAAGCTGACCGGGCGCGTTTGGAATCAACTGCTTGCAAGCACCAGTCCCCTGGTTGTCAGAAGATAAATTGATGTGCAGGTCACAAAGGAGGAGTATGGCAAGGTTGGTGGAACCAGGCTGGTCCATCACCTGAGGGACTTGTTGCAGTCGCAAGGGAAGCGGCCGTATGTGGTGCCACTGGGCGGCAGCAATGCATTGGGCAGCTGGGGCTACCTGCAGGCTGCCCAGGAAATGCTGGAGCGGTTTGGCAAGGGCGCCATCACTGACATAGTCATGGTGGGTCTACCTTTTCATTCACATGCTGGACTGCTGCAGAAATAATGGTTGTGGAGCGGCTGAGTGAGGAAGCCGCCTGCAGGCATGTGGCAGCGGAGGGACGACAGCGGGGATTGCTCTGGGGAATCACCTCAGCGGATTTGGGGCGCGCGTGCATGCCTATGGGGTGTGTGACGACGAGGAGTATTTTTACAATTTCATTGATGGAATATTTGCCGATCTCGGCGCCACGCCCGACGTCTTAGGTAAGTGGCTTGAGGACTTGCGACTTTGAACCTGCAAGTGATGCTTCAGGACTTTGTCATTTTCTCTTTGTCATTCATTCGACGTGGCACCTCTTTCTGGCAGGCAAGACATCACGGGACCTCCTCATTGCGCATCAGGCTAAAGGTGCTGGATATGCAATCAGTAGACCAGAGGAGCTGCAGTCCATTCTGGCAGTCTCTCATGCTACAGGTCAGCCTCAATCCCAGCCAGAAATCTTGGCAATCACTGCGCACCACAAATGTGGACTTGTGCTTTAAGGCCAATGCTTTTACTGCCCTGAATGTCAGCCGGCGCTCGAATCTGCTAATGTTTGCGCTGTGGGCAGGTATTGTCATGGATTCAGTATATTCTGGGAAGGCATTTCACGCATTCCAAAAGGACATGCAGACAAACCCTGCCGAATGGAAAGGGCGGAAAGTATTGTTTCTGCATACTGGAGGCCTCCTTGGTATGTACAGTGAGGCCGCAGAGCTGCAGACTTTGCTGGAGAAGCAAGGCAGGGCGCATCGTCTGGATGTGAAGGCCGTTCCTTTGTGAGTATCTGAGCGTGCCATCTCGCTGCACCACAGTGTAGCTATTATTATTATTATTATTACACGTTTTCCAGTCCTCAAGGACTAGGTACGTCAAGCAACACCTGAATTATTGCTCTCCAGTCTTCTCGGTTCTTGCACTTCCTCCACCAGTCATATGGATGCCCAATAGCATCAAGGTCATCTCTCACATAATCATTCCAGCTCTTCAATGGTCTGCCTCTAGCCCCAGTGCCTGACATTGTACTGAACATCATCTGCAATGGTATCCTAGTGGGATTCATTCTAGCCACATGTCCCAACCATCGAAGGCGTCTATATCTGAGCAAGTCTGATATCTGAGGCATCTTGCACCTTGCACGAATCTCCATATTTGGAATCTTATCTAACATACTGATACCGCAGAGGCTTCTCAAGTGTAGCTATAGTGATTGCCAAAACGATGTGTGGGCTCGAGCATGCGGGGTCCTCTTGGATTTATTGCTCTGTACAAGTAAGAATGCACCGAGATTGGAAAGACTGCTGCCTTCCACACTGTGCAGTGATATGTTACAATAGCTTTGAACTTTTTACCAACCAACGCAAGGTTGCAGTTCTGTTGCACCGGTTTCTCTCAGCTCAAGAATATGAGGAATTTCAGGACATGAACGTCTGTGCTCCTATGACAATGTCAATTCCCTCATAAATGACTCATTCGGAATCTGGGCAAATCAAGTCTTAATGAACAGTAATGCCACTGTGCCAACTTGCCGCCATGTTCCTGGTGGTCAAGGGATGCTAATTGTAAGCTATAAATTGAATTTCTACAGCGGAGCCGTTATGGCAACTTGTTTCAGCCCTCCAGGCTCTTCGAGACGATCTCAAAGACATTCTCTGACAGGCCATTCTCCGCATTGATCTTGGCCAGCTGCTCCTTCATCATGTGCTGGCGCTCCACATCGTAGTCCTTCCAGGCGGTGAATGCACTGCTGGACACCATGCGCGATGCAACTTGCCTGCAGCAACACTCGTTCAACGCTCAGCACTCAACAATGATGATCTTGCATCACCAACATAATGGGCAGAAGCTCAGGAGCAGAACTGAGTGAACTGCAAGACATTGCCCGCACAATTGTCACTCAAGACCAACATGCCAAATCCAAGCCAGGCATATGAAGCTTTGTCAACCCAGTCCCAACCCATTGTACGGCTAGAGAGAAGTGCACCTGTTGATCTTGTCGACCTGCAGAAAGCAACACAAGTATAAGTCAGAACCTCATGTGGGAATCTTGTGGCACAGATTGGTTATACAACAGGATTGCCAGGCTGCACCACCAGGCTGCACAGGAGATCACAAGAAACCTGTCAATTGGCAACAGAACAAAGCCACCTCTAGGTAAAACCCCAAAAAAGCCAAATGCATGAGTACCGGGGAAGCCTGTCACCTTGAGGATGGAGTCTGCAATGAAGTTGTAGCCGGAGCCGTCAGCGGCATGGAAGTTGACGGGGGAGCGCAGGAAGGCCAGGAAGAGGGAGTAGCAGGCGTTGGGGTTGGTGATGGAGAATGCCGGGTGAGTCACCAGCTTCTCCACATTTTTCAGATTGCCCTCCAAGTTGGAGCCCGCCTGCACATGAACCCGCATGAGCACACTGCAGCCAAAGATTTCTGAAGACTTCCACGTCACGAATGTCCACACAGCGTGAAAACATCATGAATAATCTTGCATGCATTTGATGTGCCTTTCAGACCATGTGCGAATGTCTCTACCTGCAGGGCGATCCACTTGAGCATGACCAAGCCATCGTCCTTCCACTGCTCATAGAACTCAGCCAACGCTGTCTCCCTCTCTTGGCCTGCAGAGCGCACTCATGTCAGCCCTCATGCTCAGCACTGCTGTCAATTTCTTGACGAAGCAAAGCACAACAGAACGGCACATGCACCTTATGCAGGACAATTGCAGCCAAGCAGCGGACAGCACTCACTCTCGCTGTCAACCAGGCAGGCGAGGGCGGAGATCTGATCGGTCATGTTGGTGGCGCTGCGCGTGCGCTGCAGCAGGTCTGCCGTGACGCTGGGGTCCTTCAGGGTGCTCAGGTAGGACAGCGCCTTGTTCTTGATGGCACGCTGCGCCGCCTGTACCACACTCACAGCATAAATAAACGCTCTCTGCAGGCATCAGTGCAGATCTGCGGGCATGCTCAGGGCTTTTGGATGATGGAGCATTACCTGTGCTGAGTCGCCGGGAGTGTAGGATGCTCCGGGCGCGCTCTCGTTCCGCTTGATGGCCGCCTCCAGCTCGGGCCTCAAGCGCGCTGCCAGCTCCCAAGCCACATATTGCCTGGGCAATGGACACCAGAAGCAGTCACTATACAGTCCACCAAGTTGCCTAGACTGTCGCAACAATTAAGCAGAATTTCTGACTCCAGAAGCAGGAGTGTGACCCCAGCGAAAGGGCCTTGCAGTGACGGCAAAACAAAACCCCGACCCGGAGGCTTTCATTACGCATGAAGTATGCACCTGACGTTGTGCAGGAGGACTGGGTCGATGTTGGGGATGGTCCCAATGAGCTCCGCTGCAGCAGGCAGGCTGATGGCGGCAGCCACAAAGGCGCCGTCCAGCCCCGCATCGCTCAGTACCGCGCCGATGGCCGCCACCACCTTTTCTGGCACACCGCCAGCCGCCGACAGGCTTTCCTCCAGCTTCGATTCCTATACACAACAAATGCTTCAGCAGGCAAATGATCTGCGGTTGCACCTGAACATTAAAGTGTTTCTTTGTCCAAACAGCATGGCATGAGATCTGCAAAAACATACTTTGCATAAAAACAGGATGTTGAGGATGCATGGGTGCATGGGTACCTTGGAGGCAGAGCCTGCAGAGTAGAGGGAGGAGAGGAGGCCTCTGAGCAGGCGCTGCCCAGCCTCCCAGCGGCAGAAGGAGTCCTTGTCATGGGCCAGCAGGAACACAAGCTCATCCTCTGTCTGCCCCTCCACCTGCATCAACGTAACATTCCCCATCTCAGGGTCCTTGAAGGCAACGCACATGTCTGCAAAGCACACAGAAAAGCAGCTTTACGAAGAGTGAAATTATAGCTGCCCATGAGCACGTCAGCAGATCCGCACCTCCAGCTTGACAGGGGCGCTGAAATCGCGCAGCAGGGAGGGGACGGGGTTCTCTGAGACCTCGGTAAACACAAACTCCTGCTCCTTCTCTGTCAGCAGCAGCACCTTTGTCGTCTCAGGCTCGCCTGACTCCCCCTGGTCAGCCACACCCCACCAATCAGTAATCCATCGACAGACCCACTGCAATGGACATGCCTTCACACAGGTAGATCTGTTTTCAAGAGCAAAGCAAAAAAGGTAAGATGTGGTGCACACCTTGAGAGTGAGGGGCAGCTCTGTCCCGTCCTGGCCCAGCAGGCCCACTGCCACAGGAATAGGCACGGGGCCCTTGTCGCTTTGGCCTGGGCTTGGGGGAGTGTTCTGGGAAGCCTTCACAGTGTATGTCCTGTTGGCCGCGTTGTACGATGCCGCAATCTTGACATGCGGCGTGCCCGCCTGTGCATACCTGACCCACAAAAATCAACCTTGCATCAGCACCTCTCTGCCGTCCGACACTTCTAAAGGGCCTGCAGAAGCAAGCAGCCTGCAAAGTCAAAAAGAAGCGAAGGCAGGGCAGATGCGCACCATGCAGCAAAGGCGCTGAGGTCCTGGCCATTCGCATCTGCCATGGCGTTGCGGAAGTCGTCACATGTCACAGCCTGCCCGTCGTGCCTCTTAAAATACAAGTCCATGCCCTTCCTGTGCACAAAACACGAGCAAATGAGATAAAAATGTGACATCAATTTGAGGGGAAGACACCCATGCATCTGATGGCAACAAAAGGAGGAGCACAGGAGGAAGAGTAGCACAGACCTGAAGCCGTCCTTGCCGAGCAAGGTCTGGTACAGCCTGACAATTTCGGCGCCCTTCTCATACACAGTGAGTGTGTAGAAATTGTCCATCTTGATGTAGGAGTCTGGCCGGATGGGGTGCGCCATAGACCCCGCATCCTCCACAAACTGCGCCGTGCGCAGCCGCGACACATCCTCGATGCGCTTCACCGGCCTCGAGTTGAGGTCTGCGCTGAACTCCTGCAAGGCCACACCAGACAAGCTCATGGCAAATGAAGATGCTGCCTTGCTGCATGCACGGCTGTGGCCCTTCAGACAGCTCACGTTGCAAATGTTACCTCAGGGACCTAGAACGCAGATGAGTCATATATCCTGTGGCATGTCATCAAGTCCGAGATGCAATTGCCATACCTGGCCCGGTATTGGGATACCCAGCAACATGCAAATGTTGCAAGCAAGACATTGGCTGCTAATCCTTTTACTCAGGACAGTGCATTGCGGATACCAGCAACATGTGAGTGCTGCAAGACTTGGGGTAATCAGCAATGGCGCAGGGCGGTGCATTGCAGATACCAGCAACAAATCAGTGTTGCAAGACATGGGCTAATAAGCAATGCGATGGTTGCAGCGCGCACCTGGTCGCGGAAGACGGTGAGGCCCTCCTTGAGGGTGAGCTGGAACCAATCGCGGCAGGTGACGCGGTTGCCGGTCCAGTTGTGGAAGTACTCGTGGCCCACCACACCCTCCACGCGCGAGTAGTCCATGTCCGTCGACGTGGCCGGCGACGCAATGACCAGGCGGCTGTTGAAGATGTTGAGCGACTTGTTCTCCATCGCGCCCATATTGAAGTCGTCCACCGCCACTATGTTGAACAGGTCCAGATCGTACTCCAGGCCTGGACAGCAGCGCGACTATCTCAGCCTCCAATAAGCATGCAGAGACGATCATAAGTTTTATCTGCTGCCCTTTCCATGTGGCATTGACGCGGACGGCGCAGGCATGCATAAGCTATTTCAGAGGGATGAAAGAAGATAACACGAGGGGTGTACCGAAGGTGTCCTCGTCCCACTTCATGGCGCGCTTGAGACTTTCAATGGCCCAGGCGACGCGGTCGATGTCCTTGGCGCGCGTGTAGATGCGCAACGTGACGGTGCGGCCCGACATGGTCTGGTACGTGTCCTCCCTGACTGCCAGGTCGCCCGCCACCAGGGCAAACAGGTAGCAGGGCTTCACGAACGGATCCTCCCAGACTGCAAAGTGCCTGCATTGTTGCAAAGAGCAGACATGAAGTCCCACTGCGCATGTGTGGGACAGCGCAGTGAAGGCACCAATAATCTCTTTTGAATGCACTCACAAGATGTGTAAATGCCCATTCAGTTGCCTGCCACTGTGCAAGCAATTACCTGCCACCCTCAAGAGAGCCCTGCTCCAGAAGGTTGCCATTCGACAGAAGCACAGGGTAGCTCTTGGCATCTGCTTCAATGCGAGTGGTGTACTTCGCCATCACATCTGGCCGATCTAGGAAATAAGAGATCCCACGGAAGCCCTCAGCCTCACACTGAGTGCAGAAATTGCCGCCGCTTTTGTACAAGCCTTCAAGAGAGGTGTTCTCCTGTAGTCAGCGCCAGCAGCTCAGATTGTGAGACTTGATTGCAGTGCTCTTAAGTGAACAAATTGGGAGTGCTCAAAAAATCTCAGGACGCAGATGTGCTGGCGATCTATAAGAAGCTTGCCTGTGGCTTGATGTCCACTTCAATTTCAACTTCGAATTCTCCCTTTGGCAGCTTGGACAGAGTCAACTTCTTCTCTGCAATTTCATACTCAGAGGGCTGCAACTCCTTGCCAGCCACCTTGACAGCAACTAGTTTGATGTCCTTCCGGCCTGCAACCAACATTTGACTGTTACATCCAGGCACAGCATGAGTTCACAGCCTCTTTCAAATCCTGGCGGAGCAGAGCAGGTCCAAATGCTTCCAGAGAGAGATCATCACCATCTAGCTCAAGACTCGGAGGAGCTGCCGCGCTGCCATAGTTGGGCAGCATACTGAGCCGTGATGTTACACGGGTGCTGTCTTCATTTAGGTTAAAGTCCAGATGTACGTGCTTTATCAGATAGGGCGTCGGTCTATAGTCCTGTCCACAAAGCCAGCCAACGATGAGTTGAGCAGTTTTACTATGCTGCCAGGGACATTGATAGCCTCATCGCAAGGCAGCATAAGTCAACGAAGTAATAACATCAATGATATTGCAGTGCACAGAATGAACAGTCACAACAGGATCGCAGAATGGCTTGTCAAGACCAAATTCTCAGCAACGTCCAGATCACACTCACCTTGCGGTAAATTGATTGAGGCGCTGCCATTTGCTCCTCTTTCTCGACCACAGGAGCAGATACAACTGCTGATGCTTGAATGAAACGCCTGAAGGCCGGCTGTGATCTGTTCTTTAACCTCCTTCCAAGATTACCTGAGAAACAGTCAAGCAGGGTTGCAAAGTCGGTCTAAAACATTCTGCACTGGTCGTCAGAAAGTCTGTTGTATATTTCAGTGAATCTTAGCGCTTCTATAAGCGCGAAGAAAGCATCATGATATGCAGGACAACGATCTCAAGACGCACCGGATCGGCAGGTGTGCTGCTGCGCAAACCAGGTCAGAGGACGCTGAAACAGTAATGGAGATCGATAGGCTACGCCTTTAAGTGCAACTTTCAATACTGATTGCATGTTTCCTGTCCAAAGCATCACTTTCAGAAACCCATTTACCATGAAGTGAGTCAACCAGGATGAGCAAGAAAGGGGGGCCCCGATGCCAGTGGCGTGGCACTTGCCAGAGCACATGCTGCCTCTCCTTCCACGAAACGGAAATGGGAAGCATGAAGATCCCACGTGCTAGGCAGTATCCATTGTATTCAGGGTTCATGCAGAAAGAGTACCATCAATTATTCCCATGCACATGCATATGCCAGTCATGACTGCAGCGGTAGTTGGCGCCATATGGGGATGCCTTCCCACCACAGGGGATGCATGCATCATGATGTTGCAGTTGCCACTGATCATCTTCTGCCGCACAGCCGCTTCTGCCAGGCCTGCAGCTAGCTGTAAAGCTTCATCGGGCTTTGAAGAATTCTGGGCCCCAACTTGGCTTGAAGCTGGGTGTACACCCACATGTGCATCAGTAGTGCTACCAAATCGAAAGCATTTGCCGATTGGACTGCAATGCCAAACAGGCACCTAAGTGCAATTCAGACATCTTGGCTCACAAATTGAAGTTTGGAATTCTTTCAAGGTCCAGGGGTTTTGACGTGAAGGGAAACTGCCATGTGACCCCTGAAGCAATTTGGGTGCGGTGCAGGAGTTTGGTGACTCAGGGCATCTGGTGCACAGCGGCGTGGTGGCCTCTGCAGATCACCACTGGTAGAAGGTTGGAACATTGGCAGGCCAAGCACACGCTCACAATCCAATTGCAGCAGTACACATTCTGCGTGCCAAACTGAGCATAGAGCAGTGTGTCATGACCATAAACCATGTGCCACGGATACAATAGTTTGCAATTGTCTTCTCTTACTGCTGCAATAGCAGCTGTACCAACAGGCCATTTGCAATGGCAGTGCAAAATACTCTCTCACCTATGCCCATACAATACCCTCGAGGCGTATTTTGTGATGCACGGTACAGACAAGTGGACGCATGTGTGATCAGATGCGGTCATCAGATATCCCCTCGAAAGGGACGTAGACTTGGACTGTACGGCAACCTTTCAGATCTTGCCGCGCGGCCCCTTCTCTCCGCCCTTCTTGGGACCCTGCTGGATGGGCAGGGCAACATCCTTGGATCCCTTGGCGCCCCACAGCAGAAGAGAGCCAGCGCCCCCTGCAAGCGCACATTTTTGCCGTCAGATGAAGACAGACAACAACATTTATGGAGTGCCCGTCGTGCCGAGTCCTTCAGCACACGCCAACACTTCTGGCAGTCATGAGGAAGCTGATGTCAACATAGTCGAGAATTCTCTAGAACTTATACTCCGGGCCGTTGCGCACCAACAAAGGTGAAGGCTAGGAGAGACTCGCGGCGAGTCAGCGGCGCGGCAGCGCGGTTGAAAAACTCGGCCTGCAGAGATGGGTACCTCTTCTCATCTTCCTGACCGTACAGCTCCCAGGATCCGGTGGTGTCCTCCAAGTCCTGTATATCACAGTTTGGCATCGACTGATGTTGGCTTTGCAAATTTGGAACACAGGCAAATGCTCCCTCTGTAGCCCAACCCCTCCAATTTGTCCCTTTCTTGATCCAGTGAAGCTCTGCAAGGAGTGATCTATCCCACATCAGGATCCCTGCACCTGAAAGAGTGCTGGCAATTCTGTGCAAACACCTCCACAGAAAATGTGGCAGCTGTACATCTGTTCTGATTGACCAATCATCCTTTTGATTGAAACACAGACTTGAAGGAACTACTCACGTCCAGGTCAAAGTACTCGCTGTCGCTCCCATACTTTGCCTGCACGGGTGTCGCCAGCCTGTGCCACAAAGCATCACACGCTCACGACAAGTCTTGGATTTCCAAAACCAGAGACAGGCAGAGATTGGGTGGTGTATTCAAGAGATGACTGTCGAGGAGCATGGCTTTGTGCACCTGTTCGAGGTACGCCTGGCCTGTGCACGGGCGACCGGTCGCCGCACTGGGCTGCCCACCAGGAATGTGTTCGCCCTGAGGGTGGTCATGGAGAGTGCCATTGCTGCGTACGTGACTGGGAGGGCAAGGAGAATGCTGAATTTCGAGTTCCGCAAACCTCATCCTGAATAGATTTCATTCTTCAATTCCTCCATATATTTCCCCGGTTATATTAAATTTACCCTATGAAGTCGCTTGCTTTGTCTCGATCGTGGTGCTCAAATGCAGAACACAAGAGAAGAAGACATTGACAATACGTTGACTAAAATTGGATCAGTTCAAAAGGTCATGTTTCCAATCTGATTTGAATATCTGTGGATTTAGTGTCATGACGCATCACGTACCGCACAGATCAAGAGGTGACTTGAGTCAGTATTTTCCGGACAGAAGGCGGCTACATCCTTAATGTAATAGAGGAAATGGCAACACAAAAGGTTTGCACAGGCATCATACCCAGGATAGTGCCGATCGCATCCTACTCCCTTTCTTGGACTTTGCAGTCTCGAACAGTATCTGCTTGAATAGATTTACTTATGTGCTGCACATACTGCAGGATGGAGAAAACACTGTGGAACCTGATGAGTTCAGCATGCCATCCCTTGGAGCCCTGCAGAAACTGAAGGGAGAGCAGGCCCTGGACAAGCAGCTAGCTGGAATTTCTGTTAGTGAAGGATTCAGAGCACGGCTTGCAGATGACCTCTCATCCCAGCAATCAGGTATGGTTCAGCTGCTTGCTGTTGCCCACCCACATGTAGAAGATGATAAGTCCTGTTGTTGATCATTGTTTGACAAGTTGTGTGGATGCAGAGACATCTGTCATTCCAGAACATGGAAGGCAGGCGCAGCAGGGGAGCAGAAGCCTGGATGATGAAACGGCGAACCCATTGGAAGGCCAGCGCTCGCTTGAGCGAGGCCCTGTTGAGCATGGGATTTACCACAATGGATGGGATTCCCGGTTGCCCACCAGCACAATGGGGAGCAACGTGTTGGAACCTGAAGCACAGCGACACAGCGTTGGCATGGCAACATCCGGCACTTCCTCAGGCCCTGATGCTCGCTTGGTAAAGCTGTGTCCTGCTCTTCTTCTGCCTACACAAGCAGATCTCCATAGGAGTGGGCACTGATTCGGTCGCACCAACCATGGTGCAAGACAGCCAAGCCAAACTAAGAGTGAGGGGTGTCTTGCAGGAGCCCCATCAACGCCGGAGGCGAAAGTTGGGTGTGGGCACTAGTCCGTACTTCAGACATGGCGATGTGCTTTACCCAGTCGTGTATGTGGCTGCCGTGGGGACCCTGTGTTCGCTCCACATACTGCCACCATGGCTGATCATCCTGCTGCTGATCCCTCTCTATGTGGGAGGCGTCAAATTGGTCATTGTAAGGGGTACGATATCCAGTTCCTGAATTGCAAATACACAAGCACAGGAAAGGATTCAGAGTTCCCCTGCGCACTCCTCTTTCTGACGCCAGGGTTCATCTGCAGGATCGGGGATTCCATCGTCAGAGTTGGCTGCCTCGCGAATGACAGCTTGTATGGTCATCGCTCTGGAAGCCGCATCGCTGGGCAGCTTTCTGGTGTTCTGCGCGCCACTGATGCCAGATCGGCTGCCAGAGACATTAGCGTTGACCATTCTTGTAGCAGCAAGCTTCCTCCTTCATTACAGGTGAGCACCTCGGGCTTTTCCACACCTCGGGCTCCCTTCTGTGCATCATCTAGAAGTAGATTGCCCAAGTCTGACATTGAAGTTTCTTACCTGTGTTGCAGAGCAGCAACGTGCGATCCTGGGTTCTTGCCTCGTGGTGGGGAAGACCCGTCTGCATGGCTTGTATCAGAGGGGCAGGGGGAAAGTGATGGGCAGCAGCGCCTTGGCCAGGGTCTCTGCCCAACGTGCGGGATTGACAGACCGTTGCGATCCAAGCACTGCTCCATTTGTGACAGGTTGGGCACATGCTGCACTCTCAAACCTATGTGCACCAGAATTGGCACGCCTGATATTGCAGCCTTGCCTGTAAGCATTCAGGATGTTGATGCCATAATGTCCTCTTCTGTCACGAGTACCTCTGCGGATTGTGATTGAAAGTATTTATCATCTTGATGAGGAATCAAGTGTGAAGACTGAGAGTACTTGACTCCAGGTGTGTCCTGCAATTTGACCACCACTGCCCAGTCGTGTGTGCATGCGTTGGAGCAAGGAATATTCGCACCTTCCTCTCAATGGTTGCGGTGCGCCTGAGGGTCTAAGTATTGCAGAATAATTTGCGTTGAGCTTCGTGGCTATTGCTGATAAGCCTCACCTGATGTCTTCCCTTACCTTTAAAATTCTGGCATGCAGGCAATCTTCGCATCTCAGATCTTGTACCTGCGCCTCATGTGTGCCTTCTGCCAGCGTATGCTTGCTGCTGCTTGGAGCATGTCCGCTTCGGACATGAAAGGCATGCATCTGGTCTGGCAGTCCCTCCAGTTGTACCCTGGTATGGTCATCCTCGCAATGGTGCAGGTGCGCACACATGAAGACCCTGCCTGGGTGCCTTTGACCTGTCCTACGATCCTCGGTGCCGTAAGGAGCCTTTTATGACCATGCTCCAGCTTTAAAATGCTGTTGCAATTGCATGTCTGGCTTGATGTATCCATGCCTCAAGGCCAATGAGGCGCACAATTGATAAGATCAGCTTGCTTGTGGTACAGGTTCCGCTGGTGATTGGATCATTCTTCATTCTGCTCCGCGCAGCTTTTTGCATCGCGGCTAATTTGACCACCAATGAGGGCATCGTGAATGTGCGCTATGCGTACCTGCAAGGCCCCGACGGAAAGTTCTGGAATTACTTTGACCGCGGAGTTCTGTCAAACTGCCTGCAGTTCTGGTTGACGCGGACACCCAGGCCAGACTGGGCACTCATATACCAAAGAGAAGTACAGGTACAGTCAAGCTTCCAAGGTGTTTCTGTTCAATTTTGCGAGATGTTGAGGTCTGCTGACGGATATCATATTGTGTGTGGGCAGGCAAGGGTGTCGCATGTGCCGCGGTGGTCGGGGACTTATGTGATGCGCTGGCTCACAAGAAAAAAGCGCCTAGTCCAGCCAGTGCTGCCTCTCCAGCCGATGAGGGCGAGGGGCTATCCGTGATCAATCTTCGCCCCATGGCGCCGACCTCAATGTGATGACGAAGTGCATCTGTCAAAAATATCATATGTGTCGAGAATGATGTGCTCCGGCGCGCGCGGCCGGTGGCTGGGAACATTTGCCCCACAGCGCTGGCTGCCTGCGACGAGGGAGATCTGTTATGTGTGTCTGAACACTGCTTGTGCTCTTGCGCGCGTGCCCGGCTGCTGGGGCTTGTGACGTGGCGCTGGCCGCCCAAGCTAGAGGCGAATAGACTGTTTTAGAATGTGTGCTTGTCAAAGTAGTCCTTTGAGCTGTACCGCCTGCAGGATTATTGTACTGGTACTTTTGTCTGAATGCGCCATAAGGTGTGGGGATCCCCTAGGCTAACAGCTTGCAGGCCGAAGTCCCACTGCCTATATTCCACTGCCAGTGGTGCAGTAGTACATCAATAATAATAATAATAATAATCTGTATGAGTGGCGAACCCATCAATATCATAATTATGGCCTAACCCCAGCTGTGCGTATTTTGCATATATGGTGAGGATCCCAATGACTGATAGCAAATCACATGCACTGTACACACCATTGGGCCTGTAAGACAGGTCATCTTGAATGTAATTCCTTGGCAGAGCATTTCTGGAACTTCAAGGAAATCAGTGCCTTCATGACATCAGGTTAGCTTGCATGCAACATGTGTGTGTGATATTCTTATCAGGCCCTCTTGAGGAACCCTACTGGCCAGAAAAAGGTCCCCTATATTAGGCAAGACCGAATTTATATTGAAGGAAGGAAGATTACATCACTCCAGCCGCCTAGGGCTGATTGGATGAACTGGCAGCATCCAAATAATCAAAACAATCCATCACAAAATGTGCAACACCAACAATGTCCAACTGCCACATGAATTGCTGCATCGTCACAATGGCTGCACCAAACAGCCCAGGATATCTGTCCCGAACAGATTGCAAGGCAGGGCACTCAAACACAAGGTGGCGCTCATCCCCAATAACCTGCTGGGCACAACGCATGCACAAACGCTGGGGCCGGGGAATCCTTGCCCAGCGGCCCGAGACATTGGGCAGACTATGACAACCCATCCTGAACTTCAACAGTATACGCAAGCAACGGGCACTCAAAGGCTGCTGTAAGAGCTGGCAAGGGTGGCGCACACAAGCTGGCCTAGCAAACCATCTGTGATATGTACACAAGGTGGCATTGCTGGACGGGCAGGTCCTAGGGCAAATGTCAATGTCATCCCAAACCTGCAGTGCTTGCGCATCTAGCAGCTGCATCACAGCATCAACTCCCTATTGATGTATTAGAAGAGAGATTCTCTTTCAAACCACCGCCAATGACCGCCATTAACAACCGCTGATTATTGCCTCCCTTTCCGTGCAGTGGCGTTGCCTGCGAGGGCATCTGCTCGCTGAGATGCCAATTGTTGCGCGCTTCTCCAAAGAAATCCTTTTTTCTAGTCGACATTATTTTTGTGAGCTGACTCGAAACGCAGAGCAACGATGGGGAAGGGCGCCTACGGAGCTGTTGATAATGTCCCTGCAAAGAAAGACACTTCCATCTTGAAAAGGCTAGGCTCATCAGGAAAACTGAAAAGAATAAGCTCGGTGGCTGATGATCTGCTAGTCTTGAAATCAATTTGGTTCAACAAGGCGAGCGGAGATGATCACGCTGAGCGCCTGGAAAACTTCTACGGACCTCAGGCCGAAGCATGTGAGCGCACTCGCGCATTCGCGCCAAAGAAATGTTGTTGCTTTGTGACGGAACAATTTCCATAGTCTGATTTGTTGTCATGTCGCGTTTGCAGATGACAACTTTCGGTCCAAGTTCCTGTGGGGTCGCAAGCCTATGCTTGCCGCTTGCGCTGCTAGGTTGGCGGACAAGACTGATCTGGTGTGGGTCGATCTTGGAGGCGGCACAGGGGTGCGTGCCTTCGCCTGTTCCTGTCAAACCACGAATAAATAGTTTTCTGGATAACCATGACAGTGGTCATTCCTGGAATGAGCGACTTTCTATCAAAGGCGTTTTTCCTGATCTAGTGAATTCCATGATCACATGTTTGCAAGGGATCATAAGGAAGGCGCATAGCTCCTTCCTTCTTTGTCGCTGCTTCAATATTTACCTTGTTGGCAATTGCAGGAGAATGTGGACATGATGGCTGAGTACCTGCCCCTGGAGAACTTCAAGACCATCTACGTTGTTGACTTGTGCAAGTCCCTGTGCGAGCAAGCCAAGAAGAAGGTGGACGCCAACGGCTGGAAGAATGTGGTGGTTGTGGAGGGTGACGCCTGCACATTCACGCCCCCATCTGAGAAAGTGACGCTGGTCACCTTCTCCTACTCCCTATCCAGTGAGTCCCTCCTGCTCTAGTATGGAATGCAAGTGCTCACAGTGGAGGATTCTTACAATGTACTTCCGTACCTAGCAAAGTATTCATGAGAAGCTGAGACCTAAGTTGCCTCTTATTGGGACTGTCTCTGTGCAGTGATCCCACCCTTCCACTCTGCTGTTGACCGCGCCATTTCCTACCTGGACCCCTCCATCGGCCTCTTGGGAGTGGCCGACTTCTACGTGCCCTCCAAGTACGACTTGCCCCTGCGCCAGATGTCCTGGTTGAGGCGCTTCTTCTGGAGGTGAGCACTGACCTAGCCACTGCTACAGCATAGTTGTGGGCTCCTTAGAATTGACTTGTGAATGCAAGACGAGCTGCTGACAAATCTACAGGTATGGATCCACGGCATGGGGGCAGGAATGAGACATGTGCTGCAAACAGGGCCACATTCGACACAGACAACATCGACATTGGCCCGGAGCGTCGCAACTACCTGGACCACCGCCTGTCGCGCGTGTGGGAGATGAACAGCGAGGTGGGCGCCTCTGCAATTGCAACAGTCCCCTGCAAGGATGCCACCATATCTTGTAATGACTTTTATCATAGTACAAATCTGACACATGCAGCTGTACTGCAACAAGTAGAGATGCCATCATGATATGTGATGACTTTTGTTGTGTTGAAAATCTGACTTCTGCTGCCTGGGAATGCAGGGTTCGATCCCCTACGTGCCCTTTCTGCGCGCGCCCTACTACGTGTGGGTGGGCCACGTGCCGCAGCTGGCCACTGTGATGACGGAGAACAAGGTGGAGGCGCCGCCCATGTTCCCGCCCACCTTCCTCTACACCATGTCCTGGGAGGACCCCCGCCCCGACATGGAGGTCCGCACCCCTTCTCACCACGTGTTCTTTGACAGCTTCCAGCACGTTTTGTGTGTCAGGTTTCCACATGGGCATTGATTCTGATGCATGCTCGGCTTGGGTATGTGCTGATTGCTTTGAGGCTGCCTGCAGGTGCTGAAGATCAACAATGATGACACTGTGCTGACGCTGACCAGCGGCGGCTGCAACTCGCTGAACCTGCTGCTGCATGGCGCCGGCCATGTCGTCAGTGTAGACTGCAACCCAGCACAATCAGCCCTCTTAGAGCTGAAGGCCACAGGAATAAGGTGCGCAGTACACCCGTCTTTCCTTTCAGCTTATTCATTGCCATTTGCTGTTGATTGAAAAACGCAGGCAGTCTTAGCATTTTGGCATGGTGATGCTGCAGGCAACTCCAATTTGAGGACTTCTGGCAGTTATTCGGAGAGGGCAAGCACCCCAAAGTGGATAGATTATACGAGACAAAACTTGCACCATTTTTGACGCAAACGTCACACAAATTTTGGAAGGACCGACTCTGGTACTTCAAGCAGGGTCTGTACTATCAGGGAGGCATGGTGCGCGGCCTCACTCTTCTCCTGTTTTCCCCATCCAAACATCTGCTTACAAGCAAGGACGAGCAACATTCCATTGCGCAGGAGGTAATTGTCCCATGGTGCAACCTCGCAGGGCCAGGTAGTGTACTACATGCAATTGTTGTCAAAGCTTTTTGGAATGGGGGGCGCGATGGAGAGGCTGGCCAATGCGCCCACGCTGGCACAGCAGCGCGCCGCATGGGACAGCGCCTGGTTTGTGCGCTTCTGCTCCAACGCCCCCGCCTGGATCGTGGACGTCTCCACTCGTCTAATCGCCCTCCTGTGCTTCAACCGCTTCGTCATGTGGTGAGCTGCCCGCTGACATGCTGCCCGCGATCATCATCATCATTATTACACACATTTACTGCCAAGAGGCAAGGTGCGTCCTACAGACAAGCTGCAGAGGCCTGCAATCAGGCTATCCTGCATCCTGCTCCCCGGGGGCACACCGCATCCTGGCTGCATGCTTGGCCTGTTGTGTGAAGTGTGCCTGTTGCTGCGCCAGGTTTGGTGCGGGCGTCCCCTGCAAGCAGTACAAGCTGATCCACAAGGACGGCCTGCGCATCTCAACGTACGTCGCGCGCACGTTCGACGGGGCGGCGCGCTCGTCGCACCTGCGCAAGGACAACTACTTCTACTACAACTGCTGCACCGCCCGCTTCGCGCGCGACAACTGCCCCTCCTACCTCATCAAGGAGAACTTCACCGCGCTCAAGAACTGCCTCATCGACAACCTCACCATCTCCACCGGCACCTTTATGGACGCCCTCACCTCGCGCATCTTCACCAAGGTGCGGGAAATTTGGGTTCCTCTCTGCTTCTGCCTCAAAGTGCACCCGCTGCTGTTCAGCTCATTTCCCATGCGACCTCAGTCCTCAGTCCGCCACATCGCTGCTGAAGAACAGCTCCTTGTCAGTTCTGCTGGCAACGTCAGAGTCCTCTTGAGCCCTGCACCATCTTCAAACCTGAGCAACTGACTTGTGGCTGCAATGAAGTCCAACGCATTGAATCATGAGGAGCTGTGTTCTGCATGGGATGTGGTCAGGTGACTGGATTGTTGTGTGCAGGTGATCCTGATGGACCACGTGGACTGGCAGGACATGTCGCAGGCGCGCGTGCTGGCTGCCACGCTGGCCAAGCACGTGGCGCCAGGCGGGCGCGTCATCTGGCGCTCGGCCGCGCTGTGCCCGCCCTACACGCGCATCATCCGCGAGGCCGGCTTCGAGGTCAAGTGCCTGCAGCGCGCCGACGAGGGCTACATGGACCGCGTCAACATGTACTCCTCCTTCTACGTCGCTGTGCGCAAGCCCACCAGGGCCCAGTGAACAGCCCAGCAGCGCTTAATGGACAGCGGGGAAACTCTCCGCTGTATCAGATGCACTGCCCTCTGAAGGGAAAGCAGGATATTAGTTTGCAGTGTCTGCAATGGCTTTCAGAACTCATGCTGCATGTCATGACAGCTCTGCTGAGAGCAGCATGATTATTCAGCATTTTTTCCTAAATAAAGAGGACGCACTGTCAAAAAAACTGCATGTTCAGCTCAGCAATGTACAATCTCCTGATTTGTGTCTGGCCAATCGGAAGGGCAAATTGTGCAGCGTCGATCTTTGAGATACTCGGTAATAAGGGCAGCAACACTTACGAACTGTGTCTTCTATGTCTAGGAACAGTCGATGCAGATGGTTTGCTCTCGGTGGCCTGGTGTGAAGGGGTTAAGATTTGACATGTAACGAATGCAACAATGAAATATGCATGGTCATTGAATGGGAGTCATCAAGGATTTTAGAAAAGCGATGCGCCTCTGTCTTCCAGATCTCATCACTTGCAAGAAATTTTTCACCGCCTCACTTGTACAAAGCTCGGAGAACATCAAAATGAGGGCCAATCTTATGAGGCTTGATACACTGTGACAGCTGATACCCTGCTGTTGCAGCAATATTGAACCTACAGCCACAGCGCTGTCATATACATGTGCAAAACTCAAGAGGAAGCTTTATACTGCTTCCTGATATTCTGGTATCGTGCCAGCTCCTCAGTGGAGAGCGATGGTCTCAGCTCTCGCAAGGCGGTCCAGAAGTCGCACTGGTCGACTTCCACTTCATCCACATCTTCGTCCTGCGATGAACGTTCTTCTGCCTGTGCATGGATCACAGCAAGCCCCCTCAACAGATATTGTCAGCATCCATGACCATTCACTTCTGGACACCCAAAATTGACCAAGTCACTTGTGTTCAGCCCTAAGTTTGTCACACGTCCGAAGGCTTCTATAGTTTGCAGTCTTCCTTCTTCTGACTTTCCAATCACAAGACATTTGCCCGGCAAGTCCGCCCTTCGAAGAGGAAGTCACCAGTGAACTTCACCTGTGCAACTGAACGCTTGAGGGCAGCCATCCAGGCGTCAGCGCAGAGTGCATACAGATCAGCGCCTGTGTAAGTGGGTGCACACTCCTGCGCCACCCTCTTCAGGTCCACATATTGGCTCAGCCGGATCTTCCGGGTGAGCGCATGCAGCACCTTCAGTTTGGAAGCTTCGTCCTCTGCCACGCCCACGTACAGCAGCTTGTCCAGCCGACCAGGCCGCATGAGAGCGCGGTCCAGCAAGTCAGGCCTGCAGAGTGACACATCAACGTCACTACCCAGGATGTGCGGAAGCCCATGTCGGTGTGCCACCCTGAAAAAAGGTTCTGCCAATATCAATTATCGGCAATTATCGCACTCCATGCATCTGCAAAGGGCAGCCACTGAGGCACAAGCAGGACATGCCCACGCGCTTTTCAGCAGGCAAAAGCGCATCAGGGCACACCAATCGCGACTGTATCAGTTGAGATCCAGTGGCTTCAAAGCAGACCCGCACCTATTGGTGGCACCGATGACAAATATGTCCTGAGAGCTGCCGCTGCTGGACCCATCGGCACCCTGCACGCCGTCGATCTCTGCCAGAAGCTGTGCCACAACGCGGTCCATGACACCGCCGGAGTCGGCTCCTGCTCCGCGCGCAGGCGCAAGGCTGTCTAGCTCGTCGAAGAACAGCACGCATGGCCGCGCTCGCCGCGCCCTGGCAAACACCTCCCGCACCTGCACCACCACAGGGTCTCAATTGCTTCATGGAAGCACGGCTCCACTTCAATGTGCATGCAGACGTTGCTGCTACAAGTGCTGCAAGTGCAAGAAGAAAGTAGGTGCTGAGAGCTGCCAAAGGTTGTCTGGGCACTGACCTGGCGTTCGGACTCCCCGATGTACATGTTAATCAGCTCAGGACCTTTCACGCTCAGGAAATTGAGGGAGCACTCTGTCGCCACCGCTTTCGCCATGAGTGTTTTGCCAGTCCCTGATACACCAAAGTGTCTCGTCAACCACTTGCTGCCTCTACAGCAAGCAATCTTGGAATACACACAACAGGAAGAATAGGAAGCTGCGTCAGCACTGGCGATGAGCAGGGTGGCACCTGGCGGCCCGTAGAGCAGTACACCCGAGCGGCGCCGCAGGCCTTGTGTGAAGAGCTGGGGGTGGCGCAAGGGCAGGTCCACCGTCTCCAAGATTGCCGCCTTCACATCCTCCAGCCCTCCGACATCCTCCCACTGCACGTTAGGTACCTGCACCACCCAGCACTTGATATGTACAGCCTCTAGTGAAAGTTGACCTGATGAGACCACATGGTTTTGCAAATGAATGTATGGATGTAGACTGGCATAGAGAGCAAGAACACAAACCTGGGGCGCCCCAATCGATATAGCCGTCCGCTGCCGCATGTTGCCCAGAGCACGGTCAAAGTCATCTGCATTGATCTCAAGGGCCGCATCGCCGGTGCGGTCAGCAGGCTCCGTGCCTCTTGCACGGTCCTTGCAGATGTCCTCAATGCCGACGTGCCTCGTGGCTGCGCTGGCCGCAGCGTCTGCCACAATGGCCGCCAGGTCGACCGGCAGCAGCCCTGCTGTCTGGGCTGCAACATTCTTCAATGTCTCCCCCAGCTCTGGCCGCAGCGAACTCTTGCAGCGCACACTCCCCTGTGGACAAGACAGTGGTCTTCATCATCAAGCAATCCTGGGCAATCGCCTCCTCTTTCCTATCACAATCAAACACAAGCAAAGGACAAGTACAACTTGCCTGAAGAAGCGCCAGGCGGGTATCCTGATCTGCAGTCTCCAGACCGATTTCATGCGTGAAACAGCGCCTCAGTGGTGCCGCCACGTCCTCAACAGCGCCGGCGCAGGCCACCAGGAACACCCTCCCCTCCTTGTCGTCCTGCTGCTCACTCTGCACAGAGCCGTCCTCTGGCGTGCAGCACTGTTCGATGCATTCCGACAGCACATTGGCCATCCTTGACACCGCTGCCTGTGCGCCACCTGCATCCAGAGAGGCCCATATGACTCTTCTAGACTCAGGAGAGGGGGTGTGGTGAGGTTATCAGCATGTGGGAGCAGCCTGTTTGTCGGAAGCAACCTGAGGGAGCCCCGGAGAGAGCGTCAGACAGCGCTCCAATGTCCTGCAGCAGCAGCACGACCGGGGAAAAGGTTCGCGCGCTACGGAACGCGGCTCGCACCGCGGTGGCGGCTACGGTGTCAGCTTGCCCGCTGAACTCGTGGCAGCTGTATGGGATCACGTGCAGGCCGAGGGCGGCTGCTGCCGCGCGCACAGCCGTGCTCTTGCCGCTACCGCTGGGGCCATGCAGAAGCAGGGACACTCGGAGGCCTGCCTGCAAGCCCCTCTGCAGCACCGCACAGCCCTGCACCTCAGCGACCTGTCGATGTGTAGCAATCGCGACATTTTCCTTAGCGGAAAGTTTGTGGCACCCAACAAAGTGCAGCACACTGCCTGACACACCTGGTGACAGAGTGGAGCCAAGAGCTGTGCTATCTGGCGCCACGCTGGCAGCAGCGAGCCCACCCCAGCCAGGTGAGCATGCTCGCGCCAGGCTGCATCAGCGGTAATGCCAAGCGGCCTGCTCTCATCCGATTGAAGCGAAGAGGACATGGGAGCACCGCCCAGCCCGTTGCTGGCTGCGTCACTGCTGTTGTTGCTTGCCTTGAGCTGACTGCCGACACTGCCAAGGCTGCTGCTGCTGCTGCTGCTGCTGCTGCTGTGATGTTTTGATTCCGCCAAACTGTCTGCAAAGCGTACAGCTCCGACCGGTAAGTAACCTGAGCAGCTGCCCTACATAGGTTCAGACAAGAGATCGTCTGTGTCAGAAGAATCCAGTACAAGACTCTTCCTGAGGCAATATAATCAATAACAGAAGTGTCCATATTTGAACAAATCCAAGCAGTTTGGAAATTACAGGTGATATATCGCATGCAGCAGGTGAAGTCTTGTCAAAGGCTACCTTCAAGGTGATCACAGTGTGCCTACTGTCCACCACAAGAGACCCATTCGTCGGTGGCACCATTTTGATCGCCTTAAGAAAGGCGTAAGACGATACACTGCTTCCATCGTTGGCTGTTTCCGATGACAATGCATCCAGGAGTGAGCTGCTCCCGGATACATCATTGGTCCTCACTGCAAACACATCCCCTTGCGCCAGCAGCCTGCAGCAGAATCCGTCTCAACAATGATAGAATGGGACGATGAGAAAGATGATGAGCATATAGCCACTGTCCTCAAAGTTTTGCTTCATTGTGGCAGCACACCTGAGATGCTCCTGGAAATGCCCCTGCAAGGCCCTGACGAGCTCCGCTGCGGCATCATCACCCCTCCTCGAGCTGGTGGCGGTATCTTCAGCTGGCTCACCCTCATTTCCTGCCCCATCGTGTGAAGCGCTGCTGTCAGGCTGCCCTGGCGCATGCTGGGCGTCCCCTACGATGGCACTTGTGGGGTTCCGGACCTTGACCAGCCACATGGCTTTCGCAATGCCCACGTTCCCCTGTCTGCCAAAGTCTGATTGAGGGAGCCCTGCCTTCTTCTGGACTACGATGGCCCTGGTTGCGGCCAGAAGACAGGCTGGCGACTGCTGATTTGTTGACGCACTGCTTGTTTTGTGCTTCTCACAGACATCCAGGAATGGCGCCAGGTGATGGTCCAAGCCCAGGTTGAAAGCCAGCAAGGGTGAGATTTGCGCCAATGCATGCCCCCCTCCATCGCTGTCTCTGCACCTGCCTACTGCCTCACTGCTCTCATGACTCGACTGATTGTTCCCCGCAACTGCTCTGACAACATGGGGGAATATCTCAGGCCTGGCTGGGTTGCAGACCTGCAGAAAGCACAGATGTGGATAAGTCCCTTCACGGATCCCAATAATTTACGAGCATCGCCTTAAGGCGCTGCTTATGAAAACCTTCACCATTAAATACATCTCCCAAGCGAGCAGAACGTATACTATGTACAAGACCGTCCCAGCTTTGCACCTGCGCAACACTGTGTGGCTGGAACAAGCCGCACCTGCACCAACGATCCGTTGTAGAGCCCCAAACCTCCCAAATCGTCTGGGTGGATGATTAATTCAGCCTCGGGATCGCGTCCTATGAAGACATGCTCGTTAGTAGCCCTGGCGACACCGTTCACGGTTCGGTGCAGTCCATCGCGCAGGTCCTCGGGGGGTATCGTCACTAATGACACTGAGCTCAATAATTGAGTGTCAAGAGCCCCAATGTAATGCTCCTTCTTGCCAAAAGACTCTGTGACACTGCCTGAGGAGCTCGTCTGGCCTTCCGCAGTGTACTGGACGCGTGTCAGGCGCTTCGCAGCATCACCGGACACCACAAAAGGCATTTTTTCAACACTTGATGGTTGATTTACTGCTTCTCTGCTCCATCCCTCCTCGTATCCATGCTCAGCGATCACGTGTAATCACGTGCGCGATCTGGCGGGAATCTGGACCGTGACCCGATTTGCACAACAACAGACCAAACAGAACAGAAAGCGAACAGAAAAGAAAATTCATCATCACCCGCAAATTTCCTTTAGCATGCCCAGTTCATCAACAATGTTAAAAGCTGACGACCAGTGTTAACTTTCTGTCGGAGTAAAAAAGGAAGGCAGCAATGTCAAGAAAGGAACCACGTCAGCTCAAAGAGCTCCGAAATCTCATGCCATTCGCTTGGGATACTCGCAAGGAGAAACATCCACCAGGTTCCTACTTTCCATGCTGTCACATCTTTGCTCCTGCTGTTAATGTGTTGTTGCCTTGGCCTTGAAAATTTTCACAATTGTCGGGGGAAAATTTACATTTCTGGTAGTCCTAACAGCTTCAGGAAGACTGGTTGTATGCCTTCTGGTGCCTTACACTTTCTTTGGTGATACCTTCCAGGAGTGGCATCAATGCGTGACTTCCAGGACTGCTTTCAGTTCTCCTTCAAATCGCGGCAGAGTCCAACCAAATCAGCACATCCTGGGCAGAGGAAGCGCCGTAAGGATAGGAAGGTAAGAATTCAAAGGAGACCTTCTTGGGGTCAGCTACTTGAAGCAAAAGGGAAAGCTGCATCAAGCCGTGTGAGTTTGCTATCACACAGGTCTTGGAGCTGAATACAGAGCCTGTCGATGTGGCCGACAACACAAAACTGGCAGGCGAGAATGAGGTCAGCACTCTCAAAAACAGGCAACAATAACCTGCGAATATGCCTGACACCTTCGTGTCTTGCCAAACCGTGAAGGTCTGCATTGTGCAGGCCGTGCCCCGTGCTGGCCATCCCAGTCCATGTAGAGCACAGAAAATTGCCAAGACAGGCCAGAATGTGCCCTCCCCGCCAAAAGTGAAAGAAGTTGGAATGGGAACCCCCAGCTGCATGCAGACGATTCTGCGGACTCCCGGCTCTGGAGTCTCAGATGTGACACCAGCATGTCGCACCCAAAGGTTGGCTGGGTGAGGGTCCTCATGTATTGGCATTGCAACTTCTAGAACAGACTCCCTACCTCGCAAACCCCTGCTTCAGAGTACATGTGCACGGGCTCTGGAATTGCCTACATCTTTGCAATTGCATGTGCAGGCACAACCCGCAAACCATGCCCAGCCACCTCAGTGCAGGCACAGCCCTACATTTGAGCCCTGCAGGTGAGCTATGGACCAGCATATGTACCAACCTTGAGCATTCCAATGCTATGCATCCTTCAGGATGTCCGCTGACAGATTTCCAACAAAGCAGGTGCTTTGGAATCCAGCCGCTGGCACGAATCTCCTCCTGTGCCTACAAAGCTTCTGAAGGATGCAACAGCAGAGGAGGGGTCCGGCTCAGAGACCATGTGCTCTTCCATCCTGAAATCGAAGAGGGCATCGTCTGTGTTCGGGCCCCTTCTGGATGCTGGTAATGCACGCAAACCCCCATGCATGCCTCCCTGAAGAGTGCCCAAGCTAGTAATTGATGTCAGCTACCCATTTCTCATCGCGATCCTCAAAACTCCAACAGGTTCAATGTATGCTGCTCATGCTGCCACAGGAGAAGCAGAAGGACTCCCGTTGGATGACACAGCATCAGGGTCTGGGCAGGAGAGGGAAGCATTACAGAGCTTGCAAGAGATAGACACAGCTATCCTCCTCTCTGGCACCAAGCATGTGCAGCTTCCTAGGAATCCTACTCCTCCCAAGGAGACAAGCGCTGCAGCTTGTAGGCCTCTCAACACAGAACGCACTGCTCCCAAGAAAGGTGTGCAGACAGGAAGTAAGCATTTCAATCTCGTCCAGTGGACGCTTCACAGTTCTGTGCATTTTTAACTGACTGAGGTAATCTTCTCTTTTGTTCAGGTGCCCCATCAGTGCTTGTGGGGCTCCCTGCTGTGCACAATCCGGCAATAGAGATGGATGGCACCAGGGGTGCCGCAGGCAAGGACAAGGAAGTCTCTGCAGAGGATGGCAAGCGAGCTTACAATTCAGTCACTGGAGGCCTTGGTTCATTCATTGCAGAGCAGGTGCAGCATTTGGACTTGGCAATGCATTTAAAGCAATATGGCTTTTGTTTGCAGATCATGCACTTTGATGAACAAGCACTGACATATAAGGTGTTCCTTTGCCCCATGCCAGGATGAAAGCCACTGCCATTCCTTGAACCAGGATTGCCGTGCCCATAAGAAACCCCTGCACACATCCGTCGCCTCTGGCCCAGGTTTCCCTTCTCATTGTCTTTGTGCTGCTCTAATTTGTGTGCAGCTAGTTTAGCATTCTCGATCAGCCCTCGATGTTACTTGATGCCTTTGCATTGACTTGCAGGTGCCTCGCCCTCGGAGAAAGCGCTCCTGGAAATCAAAGCGCTGGATATCCAGTGCAATACTGCAAGACCAGTGTCGCGGCCAGCGTCAGCACTGTCAGAGTCACGGAGCCTCCTGCTCAGCAGTGAGCCTGCGCAGACCTGCCCTCCCCTCTTCCAGACGCCTGCTGAGCGAAAGGTGCCGATCGTTTGGACAGGATCATGCTCAGGATCTGATCAGGACACTGCTCATGCTTTGACACTAGACATATTTTGCCTTGCGTGATGACAAGGCGATTTGTATCTTTCACATCATGCAGGGGAGGAAAGCCAAGCCTGCCAGCACTGGCAAACGAAGCAGGCCCACCTCTGCAGTCTCTGTGAGGGCTGATGATACTACAGAGCCCATGACGCCAGCTGGTGAGTGGACACTTGATTTAAGCCAAGAACCTGGTGTCATATTCTCTGTCATACTCTTTGAGTTGCTGATATGTGTGGTTGTGCTCTCATAGGTAGGGACGCTTTCCTATTTGCTTCAGCAGTCATGGTTCTAGGCAGCCATTACAGAGTGGAGCCCAAGCAAATACCGCATGCTCAGCCGCTGATGGAGAGCGAAGCATCCCCCAGGCAGGCGCCATGCAGCCGGGGTTCATTGCTGCAGGCTTGCGCTCTCCTGAGCACCCATGATGCTGCTGCGGGCTGGAAGTACTAATTCCACCCGCTGCACCATATTCCTTCACCGAGTAGATGCAGAAATCCTCATGTTCCAACTTTATGCTTGAAAGTTAATCAATCTTTCTCTGAATTTGGCAATCTCTTGATGTTGCTCCTGGGAAGATCCTTGTTGCTGCAATAGTTTTTCAATCATTGGAAATGCATAGGATGTTGCACCTGTGTTACACTAAAACGTTGCTGCTTGACGTTTCTTACAAAATGGTTGAGAAAACAGAACTGGCTGACATGGTGAGTTTTTTACAAGAACTGATTGGTGAGGGTCCACTGTAGTCCACTAGCTAGAGTACTGGTATTGGGAGTCAGCTCTGCTCAGAGCCTACAGCCTGAGAACATGATTCTCCGCTTTAAAGTAGCTTTACAGACATGACGATCCGAGCATATAAGTGTGCTAGTTGGGTGGCAGTGAACACGTGTGCACAGTATCTTCAGAGTGTACACCGTTTGCGAATGATAACAACTTTCAGGGCGGCTCCAAGAAGTCCAAGCTCAAGCCGCTTGGCCGTGAAATGATTAATTCATTTCAGTGGCGCCACTACTGCTGGCAAATTACAAAAAACTTTTGGTGTCCCTTAATACGCTTACTAAGTAGTAGGCATATGCATTATCATGAAAATTTGAGAAGTCAGGGTCCCAGATGACTGGGAGATTCCCATGGAACTGCATCAGACTGACGGTAGGTGGAAAGTACTGAGAGATTACTGTGGACTCCAACTCTGTAAATAGTTTCATCGTCACTCTCCATGGGGAAGGAAGGAAGGAAGGAAGGAATGAAATTACACATCAACATCCAGCCGCCCAGGGCTGCTTGGATGAACTGACAGCATCCAAGTGATAAAAACAATCCATGACAAAATGTGCAACACTGACAATATCCAACTGCCACATGAACTGTTGCATGGTCTGAATGGCTGCACCAAACAAAGCAGGATATTTGGCCCGAATGGACTGCAGAGCAGGGCACTCAAAATCAGATGGCGCTCATCCCCAAGCACGTGCTGGTCACAATGTAAGCAATAGCGCTGGGCCCTTGCCCAGCGGGGGGATTTGCTGAGCATGCCGCGCAGCATTCAAGATATATCATTTCTAAGAGGAGATTGCATGCAAGGGGATTCAATGTGACCCTAAGAAGTCCATGCCCTCCTTTGCCAACGTTTGTAAAATCTCGAAGATCAACTTTACAAGACACGATTGTAAACTTCCTATTGTCTATTCTGTTTTTCAAGATTTTGGGCAAAGACAAGCCTTGTCATTGTCTCAGGCAGGAAGCAAAGTTGGCATCTCTTGAAGCGTCGCTCGCTTTGTCTCTCAATTGTTTCCTTCGAGGGATTATATCCTCGAGAAAATCGATACCAAAACACATTGCTTCAGTACACCTTTTTTGCGAGCAAAACGTGGGGCTGATAGTGTGTGATCTGGAACATCATGGTGCTGGTGCTGTGCATCGGCGACCTTCATATTCCTCATCGAGCAACAGATGTGCCGCCTAAGTTCAAGGCGTTGCTGGTACCCGGCAAAATACACCACATCCTTTGCCCTGGCAACCTCTGCACTAGGGTGAGTCACCTGAAATATTCACACACAGATCACTGTTTATGCTTGCTTGCTACTTTGAAATCTGATTCAAGATCTGTGTCTGCAGGAAGTGTATGACTACCTGAAGACGGTATGCACAGACATTCACATAACGCGAGGAAATTTTGACGAAGCTGCTGCAAAGTATCCTGAAGACGAGGTGCGAGGATGCCCTTAGCAAATCTTAGCAGATCTTATACAAGACACCCATTCAGCATGCTTGAATGGTTCATTGTGGATTAGGTGCTGAAAATTGGCAATTTCAAGGTGGGCATCTGCCATGGGCATCAGGTACGGACCTATGTGTCGTCTGAAAGGATGCTCTTGACAACGTTGCTTCACATCTAAGCCCCTGTACCTAATAGCGTGGCACAAGAGTTAGAGTTAGGGCTTGAACACGTGTAGGTGACCCCTTGGGGAAGCAATGAAGCTCTTGCGCTAGTCCAAAGGAAACTTGATGTGGATATCTTGATCAGCGGCCACACACATGAGTTCAAGGTGTGCCTCACTTTTACGTGGCAATTCTGTGAAAAGCAACTTCTTTCCAAAAGGATGAAAGCCATTCGTATGGGCATGTTCAGGCTTTCAAATTTGAGGACCGATTGCTCATCAATCCCGGGTCAGCCACTGGAGCTTACAGCGATGTCATTGAGAATCCCAAGCCAAGTTTTGTCTTGATGGATATTGATGGATCAAAGGTAAATGATCCCTTCTGGAGAATAGTGCGCTGCTGCAATGCCCAGCCTCAAAATCTGTGGTGTGTCCTTGTGAAAGAATATATCCTTGCAGGACTAAGCGCAGTGAAGCTTTGTTCTTATTTTTGCAGGCTACAGTGTACATCTATGAACTCATAGACGAGGAAGTGAAGGTGGAGAAAGTAGAGTATTCCAAAGATGATTAGACCCTCACAATACAGTACATTCGTCCATTGCCAGTCCTGGTCAGTCCCCATGGAATCTTGTATGCCAGGCCTGGTGTCCTAGAATGTCCTGATGTCCTGGCCAGGAAAAAATTTACTTGCTCTTGACCTGAATAGCACATGTGCTCAAATCATGCTTGAGAGCTTTAAGAAGTTTCCACATTGATCTCGAGCTAGGTCTTGCGCTATAGGGAAAATAATATGGATTGGCCACATTGGCAGTGCCCATGACTCCTAAACATTCGGATCTTTGATGACTTCCACCAGGAATGCAAAGTAATATGTGCCCTCATGATAGCACCGTGCATGCATGACTGTCGAAACTGCGATGCTGTGTTTTTACCATCCACAAGCACGAAGCCAACTTAGGTGGGCCTATGGCTGTGCTGTAAGTGCACGGCAGCTTGCACAGAGATACAGTCATTTGCATCGGCAAAGCTGATGTACTTCGTAACAGCAATGTACACAGCAATCCGGGAAAGCCAGATCTACCCACCTGACACAAGCTGAAGTAAGGGCTGCGCAACTACAACTGAAGATGCTACACCGCAAGTCTAAAATGACCCTTGGAGTTCTGTAGGGTTGAGTTCAAAAAAGACACCAGCAAACATTGATGCAATGCGTCATGATCAGAACTTTACACTATATTACCTACTCCTTTTCCCACCAGAGCGGGGGTGATGTTGGCAACCGCTTGGTGAGCACTTCACACCCATCTTTTGTCACAAGGAGGGTGTGCTCAAATTGCGCTGATCTCTTGCCGTCAGCTGTGGCAGCAGTCCACCCATCTGGCCAGGTGACATCGCGGTAGGTGCCAACATTGACCATTGGTTCAATGGTGAAGGTCTGGCCCTCCTTCATCACACCCACGGCCTGCCACATGCATACCATCAGCCTCTGGAGCTCTCCTCTGCTTGCTTTCTGCTAGAATGCAAGCATGTGGTGTGCACAATCAAATCGCCAACATCGACACACACCGTCGGCTGAAAGCGGTGCCCTACCTTGTTGTGGGCATAGTGGGGGATGTTGGGCGCGCAGTGAAAGAGGTCGCCAATGCCATGGCCGCAGTAAGATCGCACAACCTGGAATTTGTTCTGCCCCACGTACTGGCTGATGATGTCCCCTATTTCCCGATACCGCACTCCTGGCCGCACAGCCTCAATGGCTTTGTCCAGCGCCTGCCCAGCAAAGAAATTGGTGTAACATCCTAAGGGACATTTTAACAGCAGTCTACTATGTTCCTGAGATGAAGGTCAAGCGGCCATAACATCATGAAGTTATTGTGTCGGAGATGACCTTGATGAGAATGGCTCGATGGAAAGTGCATCTCAGATATGCAGGGAGCGCACCTCTGCAGTCACTCTGATGAGCTTCTTGGACTCCTCGTCAACGTTGCCCACAACAAAAGTTTCATTCAAGTCGCCATGGAAGCCGTTGTGATAGGCTGTCACATCAACATTGACAATGTCCCCATCCTGCAGTGGGCGCTGATCAGGGATGCCATGGCAAATCACCTGTGGGATGCTACACACCTTTAGTGCCGCTCCACATAGACACCAGAAATTACATATCCATCCTCATGCATGAAAACCAGCAATAACTCACCTCATTCACTGACGTGCACACTGACTTTGGGAAGTTGCAGTAGTACAATGGAGAGGGGTATGCGCCCGCTGCTAAGGTTGCTTCATGCACCTGCAGGGGAATTCACAATATTCGCATAAGCGCTGAAGAGTTTGTCACACAAAGATATTCGCGGGGCTGTATTTTATGAGCAAACCAATTCTCACCACCCGATCAATCTCATCTGTAGTAACACCAGGCCGCACAGCGGCATGTGCAGCATCCAAAATATTCCTTGCTATCAAGCACGCTTCACGGATGCCCTTGATCTCCTTCGGGCTCCTCACAGAAACTGCATGCCCAAAATGTAAATGAGTCATCCGGCTTTAGCTGATAACACCCAAAGCTGCGCCATTGTGCTGATCTGCAGAAGGGTCAATTTGGCACCCAACGGCACACCTATGCGTTGTTGCCTGCTCTCGATCTCGGTGATGGGCTGCCCTATCTCTGCATAATCTGGGTGTGGGATGTCAGCAGGAACCTGAACACAGCTATGACAGTAATCAAGTGCTCTGAGGCATGGGGCAAAGACACACGGCAAGCAGCAGAAAGTTAAGCTTCGCAAGCACCTCACGGCGCGGCGCGACCCTGTCAGGCCTCAGTGAACCTGGCCATGCAAAAGTGGGCAATGTGAAGCTCCGTCCCCGCCCTCTCTGGGTCACGTATGCCCAGGTGTGGGGCCCAGGGTTGTGTGCGTGTTTATGCTCCGCCCATGCCATCTGCATCAGGTGGCAGAGAATTAGATCTTGCATTGTGTCAGTTCGCGTGCGGGGAGTTGGCAGGTGTGCTTCTTACAAATAAAATGGCGCATGATAGCGGTAAATCCTGTGCGGGGTCCCTTGTCACAAATACTCGGGGCACAGCTCAATGAATAGCAGGAAGACCCTTGCTCCAGGATTGGAGAGGATCCCTTGTCACCTTGAAGCAATCCTGTGAACAGAAGGCGCTTGGCTCCTTCGGAAGGCCCAGCTCCAAACACTTGGGACACTGCAACTTGGCCGTCTTCTGGCATCTGCGCTTTGCACCCGCCCTTATCGAATGCCTCTCAGCAACGCATATATACATTGATGATATCCTGACTGTCCCCTTCACTATAATCCTGCCAGATAAACACCAAAGGTGGCTGGTACTTGCCTGGCACATCCGTAGACAATGCTTGAGCCATTTTCGAGCTCTGCTTCCTTGTCTTGAGCCATGATGTAGGACTTGCAAATAGATCAGGTCAGCTGCTTGTCGTTTGAAACCCACGGAAAATATATCAAAGTGCAAGTACTAGGACTGCAAAAGAGGAGGATATCGAGGCAGCTCGCGCCATAACAGTTGTCATCAGTATCAGCGGACGGATTGCTGCAAAGCTTGCACATCAATCAATTTTCTGACGACGGAGGCACGTGAGCTTGCCAAGTCACCTGCTGGTCCAAGAAAGCAGTTTTTGTGCAGTTTCAGTTCTAATCAGAACAACAAACAAAGTAAATGCACAGAAACTTTGCTAGCGGGGTGAAAGTTCGAATTGATTTATCATGGGTTTCTTTGCCTGATGATTCCCTGCCAGGAATAGTGTCTCTAAGGATGCTGCTTTAGTATGTCTGGAGATCATACATCTCATAGAATTAGTTCAATAAACATTGCTGAGTTTCAGCAATCATCTTTGGTGCAGGGTACGTGTTAGTCACCGCTCCTCACCCATTTGAACGCACCATTGCTGTCCTGGAACATCTTCTCGTGATATGTTTCCCACGAGAAGATGAAATGAAATCCTAAGAAGTTGATTCCTAAAAGTACCGCAGTTCTCAAAGCCAATACCTGAATATTAGATCAAGTGCAGAAAAGCCAAACGTCAACTTCTTCGCTTGCACAGGAGAGCACACAGATTCGAATGCATGCTGCAGTGAGCAGCAGGATACAGGGTCAGCAGGCACATGTGATCCAACTGGACGGCTTGCACTGCCCAGACAGAGTTTAGACGGGATGGCAGAAGCAGGGCCAGGACCTCCGAATATGGTGCCCCTGCTCATGAACAGAGCAACTTCGACCAGCGATCAGCACACGCCTGATACGTCGAGACAGAACTCTTTGCTGCATGACGCGTGCGTGCAAGGAATGATGCGGCAAGTGACAGTGCGGACAGATGCAGTCACGGGTCAGCCGTTGGATATTGTCCTACCCCCAGAAGCACCTACAGCAGACTTTCATGCTCCTGGAACTGTGCTGCAGACACCAGGTGTGCATCTAGGGCGCGGCATCCCTTGTCTTCTCCTTGTTGCTTTCAGTGGACAGAAGCAATATTAGACTTGGGGGTTGACCCTTGCATATTACTTGCAAGACTGAAACAGTCTAATGCTTTCCTGCAGACTTGCCTGACGCAGAGGTCAAGTGGCGAAAATTGCAGCCTTTGGTTGCCTTCTGGATGGCGTGCAGCACAGTTTCCTTTCTGTCATCCCTTTTCTGGCTGCCCTTGGGCTGCTTGTCAGGCTTCTTGGGCATTATGGGGGCATTTCTCATCTGCAGCTGTCAAAGATGCTTCAACTTTCCAATGGCTGTCAAGGTATTCCCTCGGCTCTGCCCCTAAAATGTACGGAGTGTAGCACACTATCGCAAGCTATCTTGTTGAAGCTGACTTCCATGTTTGCTTTTGCAGGCAATGCAGACATTGGCGAGCATCTGCATGGTGCTGTCTGGATCTGTGGCTCTTGTCCTGTTGTACGCCGCCATTGCGGTCCACTGCGATCACAAGCAGCAGAGCGCTACATACTGCTTTCGGCTCATTTTCACGTACGCGTCCGCCCTTCTGCATGCTCTTGCCTTGCATGGAGAATGGCAAATATAAAGCTCTTCGTGGGGCAATCATTTCTGATCTGCTTCTTATATGCTTTGGCTCACAGGCTGTGCCTTCTGGTCGGGTGGCATTCATTGCATGCGGCGGTGTCCTCAGCAGTTTCTATTCGTTCATCAAATATCAAGAAGCTCCTGGACCCGATCAAGTCCGGTGTTATCCTTCTCCCAAGTTCCCGCAGACTGCAGCTTGGCGCTGGTTCACCCTGTTGATGGTGCAAATCACGCCGCCTGCTGTGTGCGCATATAGCAGACCTTCTGCCCTGCAACGCATGCTGCTGTTTATATTTTTGTACAATAATCTGCAGCCTATTCAAAGCAGACGTGTTCTGTCAAGATTAGAAAATTGGGAAAGCATAGCATCCACCCTATGGCCTAGCATGGCTAGCACAGGGACAAGGTACACTTAAGAAAGCAAGGTGGCTTAATGACCATGAAGTTCCTTAGTTGAGGTCAGCTAGGTGCACATGTAGGTAGTACATATGTATGCCTGAATGGCAAACATTGACTTGTGTCATCTTCTGATCGTCAGGCCTTGATGTAAATGCGCAATCTATAGCTATATATAGCCGCCAACAGTAGGCTATATCTGAAGCTCTAATGGAGCCTTCACCCAATACTTGGTAATTTAGTTGAGCTCACAACTTCAAATTTGATTGTCAACGGCAAGGGCACGGCCAGTAGGTTGTCAAGGTAGAGGTCTTCACGAGCCTCAGGGGTAAATTTTCAGTCATCATAGAGCTGCAGCTGCCTGAAGTGTCTCTTTACACCAAATTCATGATGTAGTCAGAGGTCCCTAGCATTTCTAATGCACGTGTCCACCTCATGGTGAAGTAGATTCTAAATCAGGCAAAGATCTGAGCTTGCCTATCACTGAGGGAAAATTCACACGAAAATACGACACCATTGGCAATCAGCGTTCCATGTTTTGACAACTTGGCCTGTGACACCAGATGAGAGTATCTAGATACTCTTGGCTGAAAATAAATGATTGCAACTGCTTTCTGACAGATATAAGCAAAAGGAACATCTCCCGGCTTGTCACTGGCATGAATGGTAAGAAAGTCCTTGCTGCAAGAACTGGTATCAACCCACCAACTGTCCCTTGGCCCTGTGATTTAAGCTTCCCCACCCATAGAATACCGTGCCCTTAACACCTGAGCATGCCTAATCATCAAATGTCTGCTTCCTGTTCTGGCCGGTGCCAGCAGAGCCCGCGTCGATGCGCATTTTCGGCTTGAAGTCGCCGCGTCCGCGACCGCCGCCATCGCGGCCTCCGCCGCGACCGCCAAACCTGCCACCGCCTCCGCGGCTGCCTGCACCCGAGCACAGTGCAATCAGCAGATTATGAGACCAGGACAGAGATGCACGGCGAGCCATGAGGAAAACGCCAGAATGCTACCCAACCGACAAGGACAGAGAGACACATTACCTCCTCTGCCACCGCGACCGCCGCCAAAGCCACCATCTCCACCGAAGCGGCCCCCACGGCCCCCGCCGCGGCCACCAAAGCCACCACGGCCTCCGCCGCGGCCGCCGCCAAACCCGCCGCCTCCGCCGCCTGGGGTGCGCGGCTGTGTGTTGAGGTCGATCGTCAACCAGCCGCCAGCTGCCTCCGTCCCATTCAGATCAGCAGATGCTTTCTGCACAAGGCACAGAGGATTATGATCTGCCCATGCCCAACTGCAGAACAAGCTTGGCAGCACAGTCATCAGAAACAGCTTCTGCCCAACCAGATTATGCGTACCTTGCCATCGGGGCTGGCAAACTCGATGAAGGCAATGCCCTTGAGTGCACCAGTCTCGCGATCGGTGGGCAGGCGCACAGAGCTGATGGCTCCGCACTCCTGGAAAGCCTCTGTGAGTTGCTGGCGGACATCGTCTTCCCCAAGGTCGCGGCTGAAACCCTTCACAAATATTGTCGTAGGGTCGCTGTTGTCGCTGTTCTGAGCGCCTGTGCCAAGCCATTCATTGAGTGAGCCAACGGATATTGAGTCATTTTTTAGCAAGGAAACACCGGAAAGATCATCACTACAGTAAATCCAGTACAACCCAGGAAGGAAAGCAAGCATTGGTCCACAAGCAGTGTCGCACCGCGATTTGAGTTGGGCGTGTTGCCGCTGGCAGGGCGCTCCTTGGCTGAGTCAATGAACAGCTCACGGCCCTCCATCTCAAACCCGCTCTTGGCAATGGCTGCTGCTGCGCCCGCCACTTCCTCAAATTGGACGTGAGCAAATCCCTTGGATCTGCCAGTCTCGTAGTCCATGCCTGCGTGCATCATATCTTACACATGAGCCAGGCTTCCATGATCACAGTCGGGAGGGTTGACAAAGAGCAAAGGAAGCTGGCAAACGTCCATTAAAGAGCGCAAAACGCAATGCCGGGTGAGTAGCGCACCGACGCGAACGCTGGCGACTGTACCGCAGTCTGCGAAGAACTCTGTCAGACTGTCCTGGTCAGCAGACCAAGGCAGATTCTTCACGAAGACAGTGCTGCTGCCTTGAGCAGCTGACTCATCCGCCTTGGGGGCCTGCCCCTTTGCTTTCTTTGCAGGAGGAGCCTCGGCCTACAGGCAGCATGGATTGTCAGCATGAAAATCGCACAACATGGCACAAAAGGCAATCATGATTGGGCTGTAAAGACTGCATGCATGACAAGAGTATGACTCGATGCAAGGCAAAGCAGTACCTCCTCTTCGTCAACCTCCTCCTCTTCATCGTCACTCTCCTCCTTATCTGCTTCCTGGAATGGCCAAAGGTTCTCTGAGCTTTCCGCAGTACATTAGCAAACAGTGCAATATTGTTTCATTACAGAGTCCAAGGTGCGAGTCATCTGATTACTCACGATTACAGTGCATGAGCTTGGGAACTTGCCTTCTTGCGTTTCTTTGAGGCAGCTGCCTTGTCCTCTTCCTCAGACTCTTCTTCCTCGGATTCCTCCTACAAGCAACAACCACTGCTGTCACTCAATATTCCCAATTAAGCCATTGTGTCTTCCTGCTCTTCTTGACTGCATCAGAAAAATAGAAAAGAAAGAATAAAGTGCACAAACAGCAATGCAGTGGGAGAATAGGCCACCTCATCAGACTCCTCATCGTCATCTGCCTTTGCCTTGGCAGCGTCCGGCATGTCCTCGTCCTCGTCCTCGTCGGAGCTCTCCTCCTCATCATCGGAGGCCTCCTTCTTGGCAGCCGCGCGTGCCTTGGCTGCAGCGGCGGGTGCAGGCGCTTCGTCATCGTCAGACGACTCCTCCTCATCTGAATCTTCCTCCTCGGAGTCATCCTTGGCGGCAGCGGCAGCAGCCTTGGCCTTTGAAGGGGCAGGCTGCACATCAACAGCACTCTTCAGATCAGAACAAGACACGCCTCAAGATGCTAAGTGTACAACAAATACCTCCAACACAACTTTATAGCCAGCAATACCGCACCTCATCGTCGCTCTCTTCCTCATCGTCGCTCTCTTCCTCGTCGCTGCTCTCCTCTGCCTTGGCGGCAGGTTTGGCCGCGGCCTTCTTGGGCGCATCATCCTCATCGCTGCTCTCCTCGTCTGACGACTCGTCATCATCCGCTGCGGCGGCTGCCTTTGCAGGAGCGGTCTTCGTGGCAGGCTTGGCTTCCACCTCATCGCTGTCTTCCTCGTCACTGCTCTCCTCGTCGCTGCTCTCCTGCGGAGGTGGCGCCGCCTGCACCCAATAAGCGCACATAAGGTAGGGTGCTTTTCGAAAGAATGGATGTTGTGACAGGACCCTTTCCTGGAGTATTGAACGGCAACATATTAGTTGGAAGAATTGCTCCTTTGGTGGCAAGGGGCCGGGTAAACCAAGGAAAGGAAAGAGGTGGGAGTTCGTCTGCCCTCAGCTTTGCACCCCATCATGTTCCTATGCGCCAAGTACCGCACTTGCGTGATAATTTACAGCTTGTAAGGGAAGTTGAGAGGCAAATGGGTACCTTCTTGTTCTTGGCCTTGCCGTTGGCGACTACAGGGGCTGGGGCCTCCTCATCGCTGGACTCCTCGTCTGAAGACTCCTCCACCGGCTGGACCTGAACGCTTGCGAATAACAATCAATCAAGCCAACACAAACGCCTGCATGAATGCAGCTTGCGAGAATTCCAGCGCCACAGTGAAAAACTGCGCTAGTAAGACCAAGCACCAGCGCCTAGGGTCCGACGTCGGAAGGCTTAAAAGCCCGATCCTAACATCCCACATCGTTACAATGCATGATCGCATGATCTTATACTCACCTTCTTCGGGGCCTTCTTCGTTTCCGCAACGACTGCGGCTTGCTTGGCGGCTTTGGTCTTCTTGGCAGCCTTCGCCGCCACCGGCTGGGCGGCCTTCACTTTCTTTGCCATGTTGATAGATCTGCAATTTGCGAGTATCGTAAGTATGGATATTTCGCTGGAATGAGACAGAAATTGGTTTCTGCGAGCTTTGGTTGCTCAGCACGGGGTGAATGACTTTCGATGAGTCACCATGCTTCTCACGTGCAGACTCTGCGAATTCCATCGCACAGGACACAGCTTGGAGGTCATCTGGTGTCTGCAATTAGAAGCAAAAAAGCCTGTGTGATTTGTGAGAAAGCATCGGCCCAGTGTCAGCCCGTAGGAGCAAGTTGTCGACTCAGTCGTCGTCTTGATCTGACTTTGTATCTGGGCTTTGCTCAGAGTCGATCTGTGAGTCTGTGCTTTGATTAATATTTGAAGACCACCTTTTGAGTTCATGCGATTGATCGGTGTCAAGTTCGGAAGGCTTTGCTGACCTTGTATTTCTTTCATTTCTTGGTGAAAGAGTAGTCATGCAGTGCCAGGAGGGAAGCTAGGAGCCTCGAACGGCGGGGCTTCTTGATATGTCGCTGTTAGACGAATGGGAAACTGGTAGGGTCAGCATCGTAGATGACATTGGACGGAATTTGGCTGTGACATCTTTGGCTGATGACTCCCAAGATGAGTACCCAGGCTCCCCCACAATCGGGCAAGACCGTGGCCTCTGTGCCCTGGAACCAGTAGATCGACAGTTGACAAGGTTCGAGGCCCATCACAAGCATGTGGGAGTCGCTGCCTGGCAACAGGACCATGTGCTCTGCATAACATCATGTCCTGTCGTCTGGTGTGCAATTTGGTGCTGGCTCTGCCACAGGGGAAGAGGAAATGTCACCGCTGTCGCTGCTGGATCGGAATGCATACTTGTGGCAACATCCCGAGCCGTTCTCCTGCGCTATGACCTCTCAGTCGGACTTCTTCCAGGTGGGGCAGTTGCATGGGGTTCCAACCTCTCGACTGGTGTTACCGTTCTGCCCGCCCTTGTTTTGCCGAATGATGTTTTGGGTTTGTGACATGCAGTTTCCGAGATGGAGCTCTCGAGAGTGCCGGATGCGCGAGTCACGGGGTTGTGGATGGAACCCACAGCCACGCACGCCCTTGTCACCGTCACAGTGGGAAGCGCGCTGGGGTCCACGACAGAGATGCACTATGTGCATGCCAAGTGGAAGAAGCCCAGAGTGCTGTCCAAGCTGAAGCAGAAGGGCCTGAGCATCACCGCAGCAGCATGGAACCATGCAAAGCTGTCGGAGGCATCCAGTGGGTGTGTGAGCTGCCGTGTTTGTCTATCTAGAGGAATACGGGCTCCAGATGCCATCTTGGCAACATTATTGTGGCCAGGATGGCAAGATGAAACCATCCCTGAGCTCAATGCCAGCATGCGGCTGTGATTGATCAACTGCACCTGTTTGCAGGCCTGTCATCCTTGGCACTGACAAGGGGAAGCTGCTGGAAATACCTCTGGAGGAGAAGGACAAGAAGGATGGCCCAGTGAAGGAGCTGTACAACTTTGAGGATATGCCGGAGCCCATCCGTGGACTTGAGCAACGGGAACTTCCCGAGAACAGAATGCTGGTGCTGGTGGCAACACCGACGCGACTGTATGTGTTCGTGGGCGGTCCGACGTTGGAGGCACTATTCGTGTCGTATCCTGACAGTGCAGGTGGGCGCATGCTTTCCCTGAAGGATATTGCACTTCTAGACAAGCCAAATGAATAGCGAGCATAGACACGCCGGGGGATCTTTGTGCAGGCGACCTGCGAAACTTCCTGCATTGCCCGGGGGAGCCAAGCGGCAGTGGCCTCCTGCAGACCTGGGCACCGCTGGGCACCAGGAGGGCAGCTGTGTTTTCCTGGCTGGCGCCCACCGGCGTGCAGCACGGCAGGCTACTTCTTGACTTGGAGCTGAGGCCACCATCAGACCTGGAGTACCTGGCGCTGGATCCTGGCATTGCACTTGATAGCATCAAACCTGGAGAAATCCTGTCCATGGTGACGTCCCAGCCATGTCTTTCTATTTTCAGTCACTCTGCACAATTCCTCATGCCTCATTTATGTTTACACCCATCAGCAGATCCTCTCTCTGAAGGACAATGTGGACGCAGGCCATGACACAGTTTCACGTGCTGCTCCTGACGGCCAGGAGCTTGCATGTGGTGAGCCGGATCAGTGGCCATGTAGTCCAGGAGATGCTCATCTCTAGCTCCATTCCGACCATAACCCCAGGGGGATTCCTCAGGCTCGTCAGAGACGTGGAGGCCGCTTCCCTCTTCCTTATGGCAGGTACGCACCCAAGCTGTGACCATCAGACACCGAAGGGGGTGATGTCAGAACCATGCATGTCATGACCTTCTGAGCATGGAGTTTGCTTGGTATTGTCATCCACCGAGCACCTGGCGATGTTCCTTGACCAGGCGAAGGGCTGTATGAGGTTGCCATGGACAATGAGGAGCGGGATTTGTGGCATTCGTTTCTGGACAGAGGGGACTTTTCGTTGGCAGCACGATATGCGAGCACCCAGGTGCTGCGTCAACAGCAATCGTTTGAGTATTGATCTTCCTTGTATTGTGCACCTGCGCATCCCAGTGCCTGCTGTCATTTTGAATTTGTGGCTGACAAAGGCTTCCTGTATGATGACGTGCCTCGCAGGCAGAGCGAGATGTGGTCGCTCGGGCCGAGGCGGACGTGGCGTTTCAGGGTGGCAGGCACGTGCAGGCAGCTCGGCTGTGGGGACGCATCAGGGCGGCGGAGCCCAGCTTTGAAGAGATCGCACTGCGTTTTGTGGGTGTGGGCGCCACGGAGGCGCTGCAGGCGTTCCTCATGGCGCGCTTGCAGGTGCTGGGCCCCGACGACAAGGCACAGGTGAGCGCCCCCTGCTGAAGGCTGGGAGCTTCCTGAACTGGGAGGAGCCCGTTTGTGCTCTGCCCGGCCTCAAGGAATCCGTGCGGATTGCAGAGAGGGTACATGCATGCTTTGCACTGTTGCAGGCGACGATGGTGGCATCATGGGTGGTAGAGCTATATCTGGACCAGATCAACCGGGCGCTGCTGGAGGAGACGGCGGAGGCAAGCACCAGTGGCGAGGCATTGTCCGAAGCGCTGCGCGGATTTTTGCGCGACCACGTGGACGTTCTGGACGTCAATGTCACCATCGGCTTGCTGGCCAGCTACGGGCGCCTGGACGACCTCATGCACTATGCCACCTACCGCCAGGTCAGCATTTCTTAACACTAGCAGCCCACCTACGACGTGCCTGCCGCTTTGCTATCCATCTTGGTGGCACTGGTCCTCTACCTCAGGACGGCGTTTCATCCTTGCTTGCATTGCCCACATGCAACAAAGCCAAGCTGGCTATTACTGTATTCCTGGCTTGGGCAGGGAGGTGCCCCTCCCTGCCCAAGCTAGCAACCCAGAGCTTGAGGCAATGCGCTCACTTGGCGCGTCGCTCTGGAATTGAGCTACATGGAGAAGATTGCTGCCTGGCAGGGCTGGCCCCAAGACGGGTCAACACGAAAGCCACGCCAAAGGGGCATTCTCTGCTCACTTGGTGAAATAGGTAGACACGACAGACTTAAAATCTGTTCCCGCAAGGGGCATCGGTTCAAGTCCGATAGTGAGCACCCGGCAACTTGGGGTTGTAAACCCCTTGCACAGAGTGCAGGTGTTAGATAGGGTTGCAGAAATGGGGCATGGAGCTAGCATTATGAACATCTGTGTTTGCAGGACAATGAGACATTGCTGGAGTACCTGCTGCAGCGAGGCGAGGCCTCGAAAGCTCTGGCCGTGCTGCGGCGCCCTGGCGTCTCACAGGAGTTAGTTTACAAGTTTGCTCCTGTACGTGCTCGCGCCTTCCACCCTTTGTGCACCCCTTGTTCAAAGTTCAGGCTGCAGCTTGTTTGTGATGAGATCGATGTGCTGACTGTATTGCATCAAGCAGTTCTGCCCGAGGATCTGTCACGGCGTTCAGAAACACAAGCGCTTGTGTCCTTCCATGGCCAGGTAACATGGGACAGTCATTGTGGCTTTTGTCCTTGGTTGAAGACACTGGTCATGGTGACAGGCTCTCGTAGCGGCACTTCCTGCGGAGGCAATTGATGCATGGATGGCAGCATCACCTGCGTTGGATCCGCGGAGACTGTTGCCTGCGCTCATGCGAGCTGGCCAGGCATCAGACCTCTGCAGCTCGCAGGCTGACGCCCTGCGATATGTGGAATTCTGCCTGTCTCAGCTCCACTCCACTGACGCAACTGTGCACAATCTTGCGGTGAGATGAAGCGGGACCTCTGTCCACTGTGCATGCCCATTTCGCCCTGATGAGCAGAATGTTGGCGATGATCACTCTGTTGGCAGTTTTCTGAAGCTATTGCATCATGCTTGCACAGGTGACCTTGTTCAGCAAAGATGCAGATGAGAGGCGACTGTTGGAGTACTTGCAGACTGCAAAGGACAGCTTTGGGAAGCCCTACTACGATGCTCAGTTTGCTCTGCGCGTGGCCCGGCAGAATGGGAGACTCAATGCCTGCGTGCAGCTCCTGTGTGAGCTGCAGCTCCACGAAGTGAGCACTTCTCACTTCTCAGAAATTCTTGGAGCGAGTTTGTCAGCAAGCATGACATGCAACGGACCCTCTGCATCATCATGTATTTGTTCCTCACTTGGTTCGTGCCATGTTCCAGGACGCAGTGGCGCTTGCTCTCACATTTGATAGGAGCATCGCGAGCGCGGTTGCCACAAGGGCTGAAGATGATGAGGCCTTGCAGCGGAAGCTGTGGCTTGCAATAGCCCGGCACCTGATAGATGTGGCATCTGAAAATTCCAGCTCTGACCCGGTGCTGCTCATGTGCTGTACTCCAGAAATTTTGTGGCTCTTTTGCATGGATCCCAGCACACTGGAGCACACACGATAGCTTTTCGCTGAGAAGGGGCTGATGCCCTTGCAGAGACAGCGAGTGGCCGCTGTGGTAGAAGTCTTGGAGGAAGCCGAAGGGCGCATCCGCATCGAAGATGTGTTACCCTTGTTCCCAGACTTTGTGACTATTGACGCCTTCAAGGCCGCTATCTGTGCATCTCTGGAGGACTACAATTCGCAGATCGAGCAGCTAAAATTTGAGATGACTGACGCCACGCGCATGGCAGATGCGCTGCGGTGATTTCCTCACCTAGCCATCCATTGAATAATTTGTTTCAGCCACTACAATGATGCAATGCAAGACAAGTGTCCAAAATTTGGACTCCAAAGGGTATCTGTCAATGACGTCAGGCTGCCATTGCAGGCGAGACATGACGGCTCTTGAAGGGCAATCAGGCACTTTGGATATAGCGGAACTTTGCGCTCGGTGTGGGCGTGCAATTGGAGCACAACCGGTGGCAAGCACATGCCCCCACGGTGGGGCAGTGCCGCAATTCTACCTGTTCCCCACCGGTAACGCGTTCCATGGGGCATGTCTCGCCAGCGAAGTGATGGAGTTGGCATCGCCGCAGCAAGCCTCCAGGATCCAGTCTCTAATCCTCCGGCTATCGCAGGTTTGATCCCTCTGGCTTTCAAAAATGGAGGTACAGTCTGGGTACAGTTGACTGGGGACACTTCCCTGTTGCCTTCCTTGCTTAATGCAGATACTGCTAGGCTATTCAGTTTTTTTCTGTTGCTGTTCTGTGCAGATATCTCCGGAGAAGAGCGAGCTAACAAATGGCAAAGGAGAACAGGAAAAGGACGAACTCAGCCAGACTTTGGAGAGCATGATTGCCATTGAGGATCCGTACAATGGAGAGATGGTTGTGCGAAGTATCCGCAAAGGATTCATTGATGCAAAAGAAAGTGAATTGGACCTGTGGCAAATTTGACAGTTAACTCAGATGTCTAGATGATAGTGCAACTGCTATTCAACGTAGAAATGCTCCATCCTTGCAGTCAGGATCATTAATGTCAAGCAATACTGCAAGTCAGAGCTCATCATCGTTTGCCTGCAGTGCACGTGATTGCTTGCCTGTGATTGTTGCTTGCCTGCTTTGCTGTGCCCCCTGCCTCCAGATGCAATGCCGTAGGCTTGCCCCGTGGGTCCTCCGACGTCACCTGAGGGGTGTTGCCTAAACCCTAAACCCTAAATATAGGCCACCAACACTGGGGGCCGAGGCCAGTGTCCCGGGGGTGGAGGGTGCACTCCAGGGACCGTGCAGAGCTGAGCTCGGCGGGTCCCTCGACCGGTGGTACCGCGTGCTTGAGGCCCCATCCCGCGCTGGCAAATGGTGAAGGCGCAAGGAGCTCCGTCGCGGCAATCTGTCACCCCAGGGCTCTCAGGAAAACATACAAGGTGACAAGCCGGGCTGACCCGGGTGGAACTGCAGGAGTGAAAGCGGTCATCCGTGCCCGATACAACCCAAGGGGCTCTTAGCGCCCAGATGACCAGTAAACCTGCCCAAAAACTGTGGTGGTGACCAAAGTATGAGAAGAAACGAGCGGGTGTCATGGCAAAAGGCCAGGAGAGCATGGTCATACAGAGTGCCTGTTTTAGGCCAAGGCAGACCACCTGGTTAAGGCCAAGGCAGGCCACCTGTTATAGGCCAAGGCAGGCCGGGTACGATGTGTGGTGGAGAAGAGCATCAAGCGGGCAGCGGCACTGGGTGCTGTGCGCTCCAGCAAACCCTGGCTGTGCGTCCGGCAGGGCGTCCACTTTTTTTTTTTTTTTTAAAAGGGGAAGCCCCCGCTATTACACAGGTGCCAGTCGCACGCTTCCCAGCACGCATGCAATAGGATATTTGGGGAAACCTGTCAGAGTTGGGGCACGCAGAGCACTCCCGCAGGAGGATAATGCGATACCTAAGAGAAGCGCAAGCATGAAGGCATACCACAGAAAGGCAACAGAAAGGCTCCTAGCGATGGACATGTCCCAAGCACCAGAGGGTAACCTCATCCCCAGAGGCGCACTCCAGCCCGCCGGCAACGCAACACCGCTGAGGTGACGTTGGAGGACCCACGGGGCAAGCCTAGGGCTTGCAGCTGGAGGCAGGGGTCACAGCAAAGCAGGCAATCATCAATCACTGGCAGGCAATTATGGATGTGCGGGCAACCAGTGGTGGAACAGACATGAAAGGCACGTTTATACGGTTGGCCGACAGGGATGGAACAGGATCGCGTTCGGACCCATTACCACTAGGTGCCGCTCGGGGCTGGCAATGTGACCCTAAACTATGCCTCAATCTGCCAGCAAGGTGGGGCACAAGCAAACGGTGGCATATGGGAGATATGAAGCCGCAAATGAGGCGAAAAACAGGTAGGCTGGCGAGAACTCGACCAGATACACACACCCACCACATCGGAGGCGGGGATAGGCAGGAGGCATCATGTCCAAGGTCCTAGACACCCGCTCAGGTTCAAAGGTGGATGCTGGGCTTGGAAACCCTAAACCCTTCAGATAGCCTTCAATGAACTACTGTGAATGGTGAGGAGGACAGACACTAAGGCAAAAGGCCACGGATGACAGGCCAAGGGGATTGTTGGGGCTGCTGGTGAGACAGAAACATCGGAGGATCATTGGAAAACTATTGATAGCCTAAAGCCCTGGGCAGGGTGGTCTTCTGTAAGCTCGCGCCAACGCTCCGGCTCTCCGGCACGGTACTCCACAGGTAGCGGGGCGCACGATGGATCCGTCTGGCCGAGGGATACCCAAGGGGTGAGCCGCGCAAACACGTCCGGTGGTGGGCGAGGCCACCGGCACTGGGTGGCGAGGCCAGTGCCCCAGGGGTGAAGGAGGCACCCCCGGGGCCGTGTTGGGCCGAGCTCGACAGGTCCCTCGACCAGTGGAAGCACGTGACTCAGAGCCCCATTCCGCGCTGGCAAAGGTTAGAGGTAGGAGAGGCGCAAAGCTTCTGGTAGGCAATCTGTGGTCCCAGGGCTCTAAGGCAAAAGGGGTCTCAGACAAGGAACGACAGGCCGGGCTTTGCCGGGGTGGGATCGGGACTGGTGAAAGGTTAGTCATCCGTGCCTGACTATGGTATGACGAAGGCTCTTAGCGCCCATGTGCCCAGAGCACCTATCGCAAAGGCCCCCCTAAGAGAGGGTGTGAGTTCAACACAAGAATCGACACGAGCGGGTGTCATGGCAGAAGGCCAAATGAGAGCATGGTCATACAGATAGCCAAGTTAGAGCCGTGGCCGGCTGGGTACAGTGAATGGTGGATCGGAAGCGTCACGCTGGAAGCGGCACGGGATGCTGGGCACTCCAGTGGATGACTGGTTGCGCGCCCAGCAGCTCCTCCAGCGCGCAGAGGACCGCGCGGTGGCACCATCGCGCCGCAAACTGCTCCCTGGTGATCATCGGGTCGCGTCCGCGAAGCCAGTCGCTGAGCACACCTGCTGTCTGCCGGACGTTGACGGTCGCGAGCCGCCAATCGGCAAGCAGGGCCTTCTTGCAGGAAGACAGGATGCGAGCCGCAACCGCTCCGGGGGTGATCGCCGCCGCATCTGGCTGGTGGCGGCCGCGCTGATATGCTGCCCACAGCTGACAGATTGTAGCGAGCCGCAGGCGATCCCAGAGCTGCCTGAGCTGCCGCGGCGGTCCCCAGATCCTGGTGTCATCGGCGAGAAGAAGGTCGGCGCTGCGCGGTGGCGCGTCGTCTCCGGTCACCGCGGCCCATGTCGCTGCGAACCAGTCCCACACCCCGGCGGCGAGAGGGCAGATGATGAAGACATGGGTGAGTGTGGCCAGCTGACCTGCACAGCTCGGATGCGGGCAAACGTGACCGGCGGGATCGGCACGGTGGACGTGACGCGCGAAGCCGCCGACGAAGAGCTGGCCATGCAGCAGCCTCCACGCTGTCACGCGCTGCCGCCGGTCCAGATGGGAAGCGTGCACCACTTGCCACACATGAGCCCAAGGTGCTGATGGGTCTGCTGTGACAGCAGCAGCAGGATCAACAGTGACATCTGCTCCCTGTGGCACTGGTGAAGGGCCCGCTGGCGCGCCCGCAGGCCCGCCGCGGTCCCGCAGCGGAACCGGACGTGGTTGCGGCGCAGCCATCCAGATCGCCCAGGAGGAGGGATCAGGCTGCCCTCGAGGCCTCTTGCCTAAGACCTGCGACGCGGTACCAGCAGCTGCAGCCCTGGCCTCCCATCGCGCCTCGAGCGCCCGAAGGCCGCTGCGCTGATCATCTGTGGTATCAGCCCAGATGGCTGGTCGCAGCGGGCCCGCCGGGCTGGCCTCCCCCTTGCTGATCCTGTGAAGCACCTGTCGCCGCGCGGTGGCCTCCCTCACCACAAACTCATGTGCCGGCCGCGTGCCGAGCCCCCAAGCCTGAGGGTCCTGTACCTGGGATCCCCAGAGGCCAAAGAAGTATAGTGTGGGCGGCGGTGGTGGCGGTGGCTCCGGCAGCTGCTGCTCCCACTCCAACTGCTCCCCTGGCTGCTGCTCCACCTGCAGGTGCTGCTCTGGGTGCAGCTGCTCCGCGTGCTGGCGCTGCTGACGTGTGCCGCTGCGTGGATGCCAGGGCCTGGTGATGTCCCAGTGCTGAACCAATGCAGGCTGCGCGGCCGGAGGAAGGAAGGCGTGCATGGCTGCAACGCCTCCGTCCACTGGCACAAGGGCTCCTGTGCTGCTTACTGTGTGGCTGAGAAGGTAGGTGCTACCTTCGGCTGTGCGAGACCAGACGCGGCGATCCGACGGGTCCGGAGATGCGCACCACATAGCGGCCGGTGGCTGCACCTGGATTAGCGCTCTCCAGGCTGCTGGCAAGGCAGCCAGAAGGATGGGCACGCGCTCTCGCACCATCCGAACCGGATGCTCCGGGCCGCGCACGACATCGCGCAGGTGGCTGATCCTGACCAGGCCAAGCCTGGCCCAGTCCTCCCAGGCAAAGGGCTGCCTGACTGCATCCGTGAGCTGCCTGTTGAAGAACAGTGGCTCACCCATGACTGCGTCGTAGCCGATCGCTTCCGGCTTCCGCAGGTGATGGGGCCGCAGCTGCTGGTAGGCATGCAGGTACTGCCGTACGCGCTGCGGGGCCTCCACATGCTTCGCTGCGAAGGTGGAGAAGAGCAGGAATCTTCCCAGCTGCCAGATGTGCTGCCGCCGCGCTGACACCGTGCCGGGTTCCTGCGCTGCCAGCCAGGCTGTGCTCCTGTACAGCCAGTGGTCGAAGTAGGCTTTCCAGGCCAGCTGTTCCGGCTCCAACAGCCTGCCCACCACCTTGGCCTGGAGAGCCAGGATCTGGGCCTTGATGTCCACCAGCGCGATGCCGCCGTGTGCGGCCGCGCGGAAGCAGACGTCCTTGCTTGGGAACAGCGCCGCCGCTGCGCCAGGGGTCACCGGCCGGTTCGCCGCGACGAAAGTGTGGATGGCTCTGCAGAGCCTCTGTAGCAAGTCTTGTGGCACCGGTATGAAGGTGGCATGGTAGGTGACCATGGAGGCCAGCACCTGTTTTGCGACGTACGCTCGGCCCAGCAGGCTGAGTCTGAAGCCGGACCAGCGGGCGATGCGGGCCTCCACCTTCTCAATGATGGCTGTGTATAGGGCTGTGGCAGCTGCAGCTGGCTGGGTGGACAAGGGAATGCCCAGGTGCTTGACGCCGTCGCTCGAAGCCGCGAAGGTGACCCCCGTGACTGGATCGGGCCCGGCGAGATGGCTGAGGCTGCCAAGCCCTAGGGCCTGGCTCTTGCTGCGCTGCAGCCTGGCTCCTGTGGCTGCGCAGTGGAGGCCCACGCTGGCCCCCAGCACGATCTGAGCATCCCGGGGAGTCCGCGCGTGCACGCTGGTGTCGTCCGCATGCTGGTGCATGACTGGTGCTGGCTCCCCTGAAGGCAGTCTGATGGGCTGGAAAGCTAGCTGGCCTGCAAGCATCCTGGCATGCGCGGCCATCGGCTGCGCGGCAAGCACAAACAGCAGCGGCGAGAGGGGGCTTCCCTGGAAGACGCCGGCGGCCACCGGGAAGGCATCGGTGTGCCAGCCGTTGAAGGCCACTCGCGCGGTCGTGCCGGAGTGCAGAATGTGCACCCACCGCTGCACACCGGGCCCGAAGCCCACCGCAGCCATGCACCGCTCAATCCAGGCCCTGTCAAGGCGATCGAAGGCCTTCTCGAAGTCCAGGAAGACCTGCACGCCTGGCTGGTGTGTGGCCTCCAGGTAGCTGATCTCCTCCAGGTGTGCCAGCACGTTGTCCCCCGCCCAGCGCTTAGGCAGGAAGCCTGTCTGTGTGGCATCCACCACCTGATTCAGCAGCGGCCCGATCCGGCTGGCGATCGCCCGCGCCGCGAGCTTGTAGTCGGTGTTGAGCAACGTGATGGGCCTGTAGCTGGCTGGAGACTCCCTGTCTGCCCCCTTCCCCTTGTACAAGAGAGTGATACGCCCCTGCGTCAGCGGTGGCGGCAGCGCCGCTTCCCCGCCGCCGCCGAAAGCTTCCTGCAGCATCCCTGCCAGCTCCAGCCCTACCACAGGCCAGAAGCGCAGGTAGAACTCATATGGCAGGCCATCCAAGCCCGGTGCCTTGCCGCGCGGCAGGCTCCGGAGGGCAGTCTCCAGCTCTGCGACCGACACGCTGCCATCACCGCGCTCTCCTTCTGCCGCTGCAGCTGCCTGAGGGGACAAACGCTTGTCCACTGCCTGCAGCAGCTCATCCTGGGCTGCCAGCGACACCGGCTGCGCCGCGAAGAGGCCTGCCGCTTCGTCGCCACTGTAGTACTCCCGCAGCACCGCGCCGCCCCGATCTCTGCCGGCTGGGTGATCCAGGACAACCCGTGGGCTGTCAGGGGCTGGACCTGTCCTGAGGGCCATCAACTCTGTGCGGCCCTGCCGCTCCCGGGCCAGGTGGTGGAACCAGAAGGTGGACTGCTCACCGTAGAACTGCCATACGATCCCAGCCTGGAGTGCTGCCCCCTTAGCTGCCTCCACATTGAGGCCCTGCAGAAGCTGGTGGGCATCCTGCCATGCCAGAAGGGTGTCTGGTGCGGGCCGCCGGGTGAACGCCGCGAGCGCTGCGCGGCTGTCAGACTCCAGAGCCCGCTGAGAGGCCCGGCGCTCCGCTGCGAGAGCCCAGGAACGCTGCATGGCCATATCTTTGACCTGCCACTTCAACTCCACCCACCTGCTGCCCTGCGTGACGCCCTCTCCGAGCGGGTGTGCGGCAAGATACTCCGGAATCGCTGCCGTAATGCGATCGCAGAACGGCTGATCGTCCAGAAGATGAAGGGGCAGCCTCCAGGCTGCAGAGCCATACAGTGTGCTGGCTGGAGCTGTAAGGCTCAGGCTGACCCCCAGGTGGTCTCCTGGATAACCAAGAACCTGCCCGATCGCTCGCGGCTCCCGGCTGACCCGCGCCCGCAGCGTCTCCGAGACCAGCCAGCGGTCGAGCCGGGCAGCTGACTGACCTGTGGTGGCAACGTGGGTGAAGGCACGACTGCTGGGGTTGAGGTCACGCCAGACATCGTAGAGCTGATGCTCAGTCTCCACGAGCCGCAGGCCGGTCCAATATCCATGCGTCCGCTGACCGGGCTGCCCGGCGGCCATGTCCTGCTGGCCTGCAATGCAGTTGAAGTCCCCTCCCACCAGAAGGCAACGTGCTGCTGGAAGGCTGGGCAGCAGCTCCTGTGTATAATACTGCTGTCGCTCCGCTGCGGCCGCAGGCGCGTACACGGAAGCTACCGTGTAGGGCTGGCCACAATAAGTGAAGTCCACTAGTAGGGTGCGTCCGGTGGTGCTGCAGTGACGCACCGTGATGGCTGCTGTGGAGGCTGTGGGTCTTAGTAAGACCGCTACGCCGCGTGACTAGGAGGTGAAGTGGCACCAAAATGCGGGCCCGCTCCAATTGCAGCGAAGCCCGGCAGGCCCCTCCTGCGCCCATGCTGTCCCCTCCTCTGTAGAGCTGTGGTGGGTCTCCTGAAGGAGGA